ATGCCAGGCAGAAGTATCTCCAAAGAGCTTCCCTGCGTAATAGTAGGAAGACTAACTTCAACTAGAATAGCGTGATGTGAACAACTCAAATAATGGCTGACTAGGCAACCTCATGACTTCTCCTAAGCATCCCAGACCACGCATCGAGTCCCTGGCTACCTTAACAGTCATGAAGGATCCTATAACATAAAAGCAAGCTATTAGTGCTCGCGAGATCCTGCGGATCACCATAAATTCATTACCCGATATAGAAAGCTTCCTTAAAGATGACCGGACAGCTTTAATTGCTGGGATCTGCTTGGCCGAAGATAAACGAGACCCGCGAACAGTTTGCCTGTGGATTAGTCCAGCTCAACAACAACATCCGACTCCTGACATGATCTTTACTCGTCTGCTCGCCATCCGGTTCCTTGCATTAGAATACGAGGATTGGCTAAGACAACAGGACAAGTTGGAGTGCGAATTTGATAGCAGGCGTCCGGACAACCACGGCCAGTGCAAAATCTTTATAAGGGAGAGCTATCTACCGGACACATCACAGACTCAAGGTTAGCTTAAGTATGGGCAGAAGCTGCTCAGGTTAGAATAGAAGACAGGGAATATAGGGATTTCCCTGGCAATGATGTTTGCCTTCCCAAGGTTCCCCCATTTCTATGACGGTAAAATTGAGCACGCCATCCACCTGCTCAACCAAGTCCAGTACCAGGTTATCATGAAATTCGTAAGGAAAATCTCGGAAGATTTTGTAAAATACACCATTTTCTACCGTAAACGCATGGGTTTGTCCGATCAAGTCCTATTGAAGGCCTGATGACTGACTTCATTCAGATATTTTGTTTGAAAGCCTAAAGCTTCACGGCTCGAAGTTGGATATGGTATAGCTATATCTTCATAAACGGCAGAGCGACTGGCGAATAAATGTTGTCATACATTGGACGCTCGGAAAATCCTTGCCAAACAATCCGGGATCCTGAGTTCGGCGATAGTTCAATATAGAGGCTGCCCGCGAGGACGAGGAGCTTGTCGGTTTCGAGCACGATTTCGTGGACATCTTTCTCAGTGCTTCTTTCGAATTCGTCTTCGGTGAGGCTATTGCTGGATGAAAAGACCTTAAAGAGCCCGGTCTTCCAATCTGCCTTGTGTCTGAGTACGCGAAAAATGGAGAGCGATCGTACATCACGTGTCGGGTGTGCTCTCATCACCCGCGACTTTGGCTCCTCATCGTTTGTGCCACTGTCGAACTCAATTATAGCAGGCCCCAGTTTCTTGACTTTGTCAAATGGCTTTTGGAAGAAACTTTTTATAATCATTTGGATCTGTTCACATATTAACGAGGACACCTCGCCTGGTTTAATAAGGTCTACCTGTTTTCCCGAATCTAAGAAGCGTTTGTACTTATTTCCCCTTTTGCAATAGGAAAATGGCGGAGCATGGAGAATTGGTCCTTGAGATAGAACACTTTCTACTGCCCTTATATTCTCTTTATCTGGTGCTTTGTCTCGGAAACATGTCCAACCCACGTGTTCTATTGTGAAGAGCTCAAACCAGGTTAAAGAATCTATCCCCCACATTCCCATCGATAACTCCATGATGACTAATGCTGCCGAGGATATGCAAATAATCACCGACCTCACCGAATGATACAAGGAAAACCGACATAGAAGGAGGAATAGTTAAAGCCATTTAACAGCTACATAGAGATATTTATCCTCTCAGCTTATATAATCTCTTTTTAATCTTTACATCACACATGGACACCGCCCTTCTATAGCTATAGCAACTCAATCTCGCATATAGACCTCGTAACTGATGAAATACGTCGGAAGAAACCAAGCGATGCGACATCTGGGTAGGATTAAGAGCATCTCCTGGTACTAATGAGCCGACTAAGTATGTAGGAAGCATCACGGTAAGGAAACCTATGACCAATGCATTGGCTACAGTGATATACCCCTCGTCTACTCCCGCACCAGGAATAGCCCTAGGCCCTTGTCCATACACGTAGCCGAGTCCAATATCTTCGCCCTGTGGGGATAAATTCATTTCCATAGACGTCCTATGAGGAAGCAGAAGAAGTAAGGAGATTCTAGATGTCTTTCAACAAGGGATTATTGCTATTCTGGAACGTTGTTATCCATGACCACGAGCCAGGGGATTGTTTTAATACAGTAATACAAGTACACCCTCTCTAATCAATTACATGTAATCCCATATTGTACATTGCGGTAATAGCCCACGCCTATTCTCTTCTTGTCTCACGTATCTTCTTATTAGAACCTGATAGAGTCCCTCCCTAATTTATCGACCCTGTTTCTCTGAAGGGCGTTTCATCTGGTTATGGGCGGTAGTGGTGGTGCTCCCGGCTTTTTGACTCCCGTAGTGTCATATGCACCTCGTCCCATGTTTAACGCGGATAGAATATCGATCGGTGCTCTAAAGGGGTCGATATTCAGCAGTCAAGTATTCAATGCTGGATGCTGTACTTACTTAGTCTTTAAGTAAAGAAATATGTGGGGGAAAAAGCTTGCAGGTGTAGATGTCTCGTCTTTTATATATACCTTCGCCCAGCATATACTGAAAATACATAGTGAAGCCCGGAGTTAAATATAGAGATCCAAAGTACTAGTATAGTGGAATCTCTCTCAACTATGCGTCAATAGTAGGAGGGGCGGGACATCCTCAGCAACAAGATGAGGGCAATTCCTAATTAGGTGGTCAGGGTAGAATTCCTGGAGAGGCTATGCCACGTTAAATGACAAAGGAAGTCACTAGGTCAGTTTAGACTACCCAATGGATGCGCTCTGTAATATTCTTAGGGATAGAGTGTGCTACTATGGATTTCCGAATTTTCTTTAAGAATTACTAACTTCTACAGGATTAAGTGAACAGTTCTATCACTAGTGCAGTAGCAATATTAGAGATTTAGCCGCTATGGGCACATAAGCCGAAATTATGTAGACGCATATTTGACTTGATTCATCACCAGTTCCAAAGCAGGTTAGGGTAGATCTGCTGCCGTCTGTTACTAACCACAGGATTGCTTGAATACGACTTGTAGAAAACATACCAAGTTATATATCCTATTATTATTTTGCTGGCGGGTTACAGAAATGGCAATCCGGCCGTTCACAAGCATATCCCACTTCATATACATTGATTTGAATCATCAAGTAGCAACTTTAGTAATATGGAATAAGACAGGGTTCGTGTTCCTGGAAGCCGCAACTATATTTATGACGACTGTGGTAACACATTCTATAACACGGTGGTATTAGCAAAAGCAGCGAACATTTCTTAGACTTCTTACTTCTTTCAGCGGTGTAAAGCAAAAACTCCACGGTAATTAGAGCGAGCGACAAAACAATACTAATAATTCAAGCTTTGGAAAAAGATGATTTGGAATAAATAATAACAAGTCCCCAGAAGGAGGAAAAGTCCTCTGACTATATGTTAGTAGGCAGCCAAGGGATTGTTTATGCTTGCGATCCAATATCATAAATCACTATTAGTCCCCGTAATTGCCTACTCTTCCTGAGTTGAATTACCTAAAGTACAAGAAGGGAAAAATCTATATAGTTAATCTTTTCAAGTTATCGAGGCCTTGAAAGTCCGGGCAAGATTTCACAGCCTAATAGGCCCAGAACACAACTGCATCCTTATCCCTATCATAAAAACAAACCCTATACTCTTTACCACCACCCGGAACTGGTCTAGATCCATAGATATGAATGATTTTGTCATCAGAAAATAGGCTCGTCCTTAGATCAGGAAGGAGGATGAGTTCACGCGAAGTTTCAAATAATTAGGGGAAATACTCACTTCTCACAACTCAATTCATCTCGGCTATTGCTTTCAAAGGCTTTTTTTGGCTGGGATTCTTGTTCTTGATGGCCTCCCGCATATCCGAATGCTCATAGCCGGGCGTTTGCGAAGCTCGGAGTTGGTCGATTGGGTTCGGGGGCTGGGAGACATACGCCGTTGATTCTGAATGTGTTGGCGTACCTTCTGCGGGTTCTTCGAACATCTGATACTGTAGGAGGTTAATGAAACGGAATGTGGCTATCAGAAACAAACCTACCAAGCACACCATTGACTCGCGTTTCTCGTGAGGAACTTGGTGTGATAGAAAGTGTAATTTTGACTGTAATTTCGACAGTAACATTCGAGCCACCCATGGTAATTTCATGCAGGAATCTGAAAGATGATGGATTGTCCAGTACCAACTCCGGTGAGACCTTGACAGGGCCTTCATCTTTATACACTTGGTATAATAGTTTTACTTATCTCGGCAGTCGATCAACTACACATGATAGCAGTGGGTGGGACGGCGTGCCGATTGATCTCTCCGGGTCGCTGTCACAATTGATTTTTAGAAGTAGACTTAGCTAGCACCTAGACATAGCTGATAGTAACGGCAGTAATCTTCCAGCCGTCCATAGTGACCGCGAACAAGTGCAGTAGGTGATAATGGTGTATCATCTAGGTCAGTAGAATGGCTGTTGAGCCACGATCGAACGTAATTTCCACTTGGTGCTGGGCATGAGCCGGTCTGGTGAGTTTGCAAAAGTAGCTCGCAATGCTCGACGTATACGTGGAGATATGTATTCGATAAACCGTGCGTAGAGCATTGGTTCGTCTCGAATGGCGCGTGGCATTGAGTTACGCGTCGGATTAGGCGTCGTAACTTCCCGCTAGATTCTCCGTCCTTAGCAATGCGCACAACCAAGCTGAAATTGTAGGCTGCAGGATTGCATGAGCTCCCACAAGCGACAACTCATCTGCTTAGCTATGGATCCCAACCACTTTTCGGTGGTGGGTGGTTGGGATCCGCCACGGCTAGCCCTCAGTATGCATTTTAGCTTGGTTCCCGAAACGGTTTGGTTTCGATTGTCCTGGACAATCGAAACCAAACCGTTTCGGGAATAGCCTAGATTAACATGGCACAATGTCTCCAGAAAGAGGGGTATCAGTCAACCATGCAAAACACACTTCTCAAAGACATGGCGTTAGTTCCACAGAGCACGAAAACAGCACTCCAGAAGCAGCTTGAAGTTCTTGCCGAATTGCTATCCCCAATTGACAAGGTATGTGACATTCATTATGTTCCTTGGTGGGAGGCTAACCTAGCACAGAATCTCTCCAACACTCTCAAAGATCTAGGGCGCCGATTTGAAGGTGATGCCAGAGCAACTATCCAATACTTGAACAAAGCCCTCAAAGATGTACCTCGCACAGAGGACAAACCAACTCAGAACAGTTCCACCGTCGCTACGCCCAACGATGCAGTTCGAAAATACTTTGAACAATGTAACGGTCTCGAGGAAGACGAAATATCACAGCTAATAGGACTATTGAAAACATTTGAGAGAAAAGAGGATAAAGTCAAGAAACTCACCCTGGCTTATGAAAAATACAGAGAAAATCCGACCGAGTTCTGGACTTCATTCTCCAATTTGCATGCTGGTAATAGCATCAAACAGACGGTCAGTGCGATCGACCATCATTCTTCTTCATCACCGCTGGCTCGCCGACTCCTCTGCAGACGCCTGGCGGCAGAGATCAACTCAAAAGCTCAAGAACTTGAAACCCAAGGACATACATTAAAACGTGGTATGTCATATCGCGATTTGGCATTTCAATTAAGTGTTGGCGGGGACTGGAAGAAACATAGCTCGAAGCTGCGAGAGGGAGAACGATGGTTGTGTCTAGATCCTGGTGTACTAGTTGCTATCAAGGAACCAAACTGGAGAAGGTGAACTTCCAAACCCATTTCTGTTCTTTGGCTGACCATTTCCAGTTGGGCCCGTATGAGGACAATCGGCATCCGTGCTATTAACAATTATCTCAAAAATGATCCATTGACCTCTACTTATCAGGGCATTTCGACGCCTATACAAGCAATTCAAGATTGCTTTGGCTCTACCGTACAAAATTGCATAACGCCTACGCCTTCTCTGACACTTTCGGATTCCCAAGGATCAAGTCATCTGGTTCCACCCGTGTCCTTGAATCATTGTGAGGCTCGGACGAAACGGCGACGTATTTGCCAAGCTTCAGATGGGGATTCACGCGATGGCCACCAGATGCGCGGGTGCCAACCTCGCATAGAAGATGAACCCCCAGGGGATAGGGAAGAAGGTACCGAGTCGGTCGAAATGCATTTGTTGGGACTCGTGGAGGGCACTACTGGCAATATACCTTCCCAGCAGGGGGGTCCCCTTGATTTCTCGTGTGGCATAGAAGGTGCTCCGCAAGTATCTCATCCAACACACCGGATCGTCGACAACAGTCTCCTACCGCAAACAGTGGAGCAAACAGCGATACACGAGAGAGACACAGCTCAGAGTTTCCTTACACCAGAAGCAGATCAGGGATCAGTGCGTAGTGGAAGGGCAATCCCGTCACTTAATTCGCAAGATCTCTCTGGCGGAGATCTTACGAGTCGGCACCCGTTTCCCAATTCTGACCCGTGCTGGAATTTCCCAAACTTTGACTCCGGCTGGACACAATATACCTGGCTATCCCCTTTTTCCAACTCAGATCCGAACTTCTTCTATAGTTATTAATTATCTTATTAATACACATTTGCATCAAAATGATACTTGGAACATCATCCCTTCAAATCTCCATTTCGGTGTTATTGTCGAGTGAGGAAGATAGAGCCTCACAAAGTGCCACACTCTCTCCAGATATAATATATTCGATAGTTGTATTGGCCGGCATGTACAGCGTATCTCTGGCGCTCAGGGTGATCGATATGGATTTGGCCCGTTTTATTTCGGCGGCTGTCATTCGATGCGACCTGGGTACAATTCTAAAGAATCCCGTTTCAGGGCTGAGACCATGTCGAGTCGCTGCTCTGTATATAAGCACAGTCCCAGGAGGACCGGGAACAAATCGCCCTGGTCGATTGTTATTGAACAACCTGACTCTTGTCTCGCCGACCTTTTTGGCGTCGGAGGACGAGCATCCGAGGTATTCCTGGAACCATGCTTCATGAGGAAGCTATAACTGTCAGTAAAGTACTCGCACAAGCTCTCGTGTACACCCAAATCGACATACCTTCACGCCGAACTTCATAAGCTGCTGCCCATTCGGTCCACATCTCCTAGGGGGTGACGATATCTCAGCTTCCACAGCAGCGAGTAAATCATCAGGTGGCTCGTCTCCGGGAATAACGAGATATCCATCGTCATTCTGCATTTTTGTCTGGCGGATAGGCGGGTGGGAGACACAATTTCGCAGTAAAATGAGGGGTTCGCTGTGTCAAATTGGCCGCGGGGCGACTGCCAAGCCACATGTGGCTAAGTGTTAGTCTTCTAAAATTGCCGCGAAGCTGAGGTCTACAATGTAATGGAAAAGGGGAATCCCCTTGGTTTTGTCCCGAACCTGGGCTTAATAACAAAAGACCACGTACTCTCAAATTATGTAACCGGAGAACTAAACCGCAATCATATTTGAAAAGAGTTGGGTATCTGCACCGTTACTGCCTGACTTTTTCACCGTCCACTGTCCCAGCACGTGATGGTCAGAAAACGTGGATGCGGGAGCTGATTAATCACCCGCGCTCGTCCGAAGGGACGTAAAACATGCGAAGGCTTGGCAAGCGAAATGACTAAGGATCCGGATGGATTGGACCACTGTCAAACAAAATGCGTATTCAATATACACCAGCAATGCATTGGTCACTCAACGAATGTATGAGGGTCTGATTTCCTAAACTCTGCGTATCTAGCTGCTTAAATCTCTCAGTCTGATCATTCTGAGCGCGTAATCGACCTTCCAAATCAGTACTCTTCCATATAGTTGAAACATGATCTTCAGAGGCGATGGCTGAATAATCCGGAATATCTAAAGCTCCGAATTAGTGGTCATTTTGGTTGACAACCACTAAACAATCGAATGAAGCAATTGAATTGGCTGTATTATTCCTTCAGTGAATTGCTTCGCCCCCCACCTCCCCCCCCCGGGCACCATCAGCAGCGTTAGATATCAAACGGTGGCTTATGCCCAGCTATAGAATCAGGGTAAGTAACCGCATCTGGCAGAGCTATCCTCCATTCAGTCGCTCAACCTGTAGGTGATGAGCTAGGATGGTATTAAATATTATCATGGCGATGCCGCTTTGGCCTTTCCTACTCGGGTTGTAGGTCCGATTCTGGAGTTATTGTTCGGCGACGCTTCCGAGTCTCAGGGAGGATATAGTTGGTAGGACCGATATGTCGCTCTTGGGTCTCTTGTCTTGACTCAGCCTGCGAAAGGAAACCACAAAGTTCCCTGGCCGGATACAAGGCGACAATCAGTATCGCCCTTGGAAGCGCCACTTTGTATGTATGCCATTGCAGCTGCGCAGAAAGCTCTGATCTGACCATGGAATTTTACTTGCTAGTCGTCGCGCCGCAGTCACTAGTACCACTACATGTACACTCGGACGAAGTCTACTAGATCACCTCGTGTGCTCCTCGTATATTCCCGACCCGGGGGGGTGAAAGGCGTAGGGGACGTTGATTGGGGTTGTCTTGTGCTTGTCGGATTGTGGTGGAAGGCCGGTGGTTTGGCAGTTCTGGGCAGGCCGGCATTACTGTCGCCGAAGAGGAAGGACCATGGGCCGTTCACGCCTTGTACTCTGCTGGAAGAGTCGGGATATCATAACTTTCCAGGCGGTCAAGGAGCTGATGTGGGACAATATTGACGGTCGATACTATGGAATTGTGTTGTTTGGTGGGCTTGGCAGGAAATTACGAAGTTGCTGAATTACGTGATCTCGATCGATTCAATATGAAGGATGGTCTTAACGACTACAGATGATGAGCGATATAATAGACGTCAAAAGAGCATAATATCACTCGAGTTGGGGTGGGGTATTGAGGTGTTCTATCTACATGTTCACTAATGGGGCTGTTAACATCTTGGTATTGGGCATCTGGCGAGAAACCACATTTGCTATAAGCCACAACATTAATGAGTCCCCGGGGTCGCCATCAGGCAATTCCTACTAAGGCGTCTTGCTGGGAAGATTGTATCCGCAAGACCTGGCTCGCGAGTAACACTAACTTAGTTTCCGGTTTGAGATCCTGTAGGTAATGGAAGGCCTTCTGGTAGGATTCCATACAAGTAGTATATAAATTCAGTAAGCTGAAGTGAGCACACTGACCAGAAAATGTGTATATAAAAGAATAGGTGAATCATCATTATGTCCATTTAGAAAAGAAGCCTTATGACATTTGCACCGGCGATGTTAAATTGTTGTTCAGTTACTCAAAAAGGCGAACGCGAGAGAGAATAGGAGATATAACTGCCAGGGCAACAAGTAGAGGCGTGGTGGCATTTTGTAAGTCCGCCGGGTGCCTTTCAAGCCAAAAAGGTATAAACCATATCGCAAATGAGACCACAAGGCAGACCAAAAGGATGGCACTGAAAAGTATTGCAAAAAAGAAAGGGGCTTCCTCAAAATGAACACCAAATGCAAAATCTTGGGGTAACATAGTATTCTTGACAAGGGTCGGAAGCCTTCCGTTAAGGTCAACACTTGTTCCGCAATCAATTGGATTGAAAAGGTAGTGCAGCACTTCGTTATTGGGATATGGTTGTTCGGAGGGCCATGGTCGAGGCATAAATCTGTATTCTTCAAAACAAGAGTCTGCTGGCTTCGGATACCGCTCTTGATCTTTGTGTATCTGAACATAGTGAGATTTCTCCGAGTTCTTGTATAAGAAGCTCTGGAACTGTATCAAGACACGATTCAGTAAGACAAAGTTTATCGTTTACGGCAACTAACAGGCATACCCGAAAGAATTTAATGCCAACAACCTCCTTCCACCAGCGCCAGCGAGGTGTGAAAGTCCGATACGTCCGACGTAGATTCAGAAATGTGAAATAGTCGCTTTCGCCTATCTCCACAAACCGTGCTCTCGATTGGTTTTTTCTAGCATCAATGCTGAGAATGATCCATCTTTGGGCCGAATTCTCTACTCGAGAGGTTATAGCTCCGGACAGCATGAGGGGCTGCTGATAGGCATGGTGAGATTGGGTCTCTTCTGGTGCCATATTATTTGCAGACTGGTTGTTTGAATTGGCAGAATGACTCAAGCCTTCTGCAGGATTTTGCTGACGAGCACTTGACTTGCCTTGTTCTTAAATGTTTATTTTAGCCTGGGCAATTTACGTGGGTGTGCGCTTACCTGCTTGGACTGTATTTGACAACGATTCAGAATCATAGCAGCTAAGCAAGAGTTGCATTGGCGTGGTGTCCTCAAGAAAAACGGCCTCTCGATTCATCATATCAAGTAGGCATTTTGGTGCAGAAGCACGGGCAATGCTAAGATCTGGAAAGATCACTTCTGCAAGACTCGTCGGAATATCACAATATATTCTTCGACCACGCTGCTTTCAAGCGCAATTAGTACAGATACAGTGCTTTTATACCGAGGGATTCGTACAAGCAGGGTTGAATACAACCGGGTATGGCCATGTCTCGGCTCTTTCTCTGGCTGTGCCAGAGGCCACCAGTAAAATTGAAGTCCAAACCAGCGTTCCAAGGCCCTTTTCAAACCGTTCGTGACCGCTGATATAAAACTTCGTTTGAACTGTAGATGGTAATCAAATTGACTCGGGGTATAATGAGGCCAGTCATGCGATGCTATTTGCGACGAGTGTAAACTGCGAATGGTCTCCTGGTCAACCTTCCAATTCAAGGCAGTGTTTCCTGAAGCTTCAGCGAAGTATTGAGCTATGAGAAAGGCTAATTAGTCATAGTTCCTGACTGTGTATGCAGAGAAGAAATTTTCCTTCTGGTAGAAGTGAAGGTCGGTTCCAAAGTCGGACCACTTCTCTTTGGTTCCCAGATACTCACAAGAATGTGAATCCAGCGTATCTCTAAGCTTGTTGTGATCTGTACCAGATTTGAGTACGTCATGTGCTCGATCTGTAGGCGCATAGGACAATCCTTGGCTCGTCCTGTTCACTGAAACCACCTCGTCAGCATCTTCAGTGATCGGGATCGTATCTCCTCGCTTCTCAAGCAAGAGAGATACAAGCCGATATCCACTCTCTATATTCTGAGCAGCAGCCTTCACGATCTCTTCAGTGATTGGAATCGGATCTCCTCCCTTGTCAAGAAAGAAGGTTAAAAGCTGTTCTCCTTTTTCGCCATTGCTAGCAGCGGCCACTAAGACTTCATTTGTGGCTGGAATCAATTGACCTTGTTTGTGAAGTAGAAATGATAGAAGCTGTGGACTATAGTTCCTGTTTTCCAGGATCAATTTGATGATATCTTCAGTAATCGGAATCGGATCTTCTGTCTTCTCAAGCAAGAGAGATAGAAGCTGATCTCCATTTCCTGTGTTTTGAGCAGCAGCCTTCACAACCTCTTCAGTGATCGGAACTGTATCCCCTCGCTTTTCAAGTAAAAGAGATAGAAGCACTTCTGATTTGAAATCATTCTGGATCGCAGCTTTCACAACTTCTTCAGTGATTGGGATTGTATCTCCTCGCTTTTCAAGTAAAAGTGATAGAAGCACTTCTGATTTGAGATCATTCTGGATTGCGGCTTTCACAACTTCTTCAGTAATCAGGATTGTATCTCCTCGCTTCTCAAGCAGGAGAGATAGAAGCTGATCTCCCTTCCCTGTGTTTTGAGCAGCAGCTTTCACAACTCCTTCAGTGATTAGGATCATATCTCCTCGCTTCTCAAGCAGGAGAGATAGAAGCTGATCTCCCTTCCCTGTGTTTTGAGCAGCAGCTTTCACAACTCCTTCAGTGATCAGGATAGTTTCTCCTCGCTTCTCAAGCAAGAGAGATAGAAGCTGATATCCCCTCCCTGTATTTTGAGCAGCAGCCTTCACAATCTCTTCAGTGATCGGGATCGTATCTCCTCGCTTCTCAAGAAAGAGATTTAGAAGCTTATCCCCTTTCATCACATTTTGAACAGCAGCTTTCACAATCCCTTCAGTAATCAGAATTGTATCACCTTGCTTCTCAAAAAAGAGACTCCAAAGCTGGACTCCATCCCATATATTTTCAGCAGCAGTCATCCCAACTTGCTCACTGATCGTTATCGTATTTGCTCGCTTGTCAAAAAAGAAAGTGAAAAGCTGTTCTCCTTTTCTGCCATTACTATTCCTAGCAGCGGCCATTAAGACATTGGTTGTGGCTGGAACCAATTGACCTTGCTTCTCAAGTAGAAATGATAGAAATTGTGGACTGTACTTCCAGTTTTCCAGGATCGACTTCATAAGATCTTCAGTGATCGTGATCGTATCTCCTCGCTTTTCAAGTAAAAGAGATACAAGCCGATATCCACTCTCAACTGCAGTAACTACATAAAAGCCTGAGTGTGGAACAGCCCCAAGAATAACCCGTGGTATGTCATTGTAGCAAACAAAATACGTTAGGCTGAAGGAAAAGAAGAAATAAGAAATTAAACAAACTACCGTTTTGAGCAGCGAACTTACTTCCATTATGGGTCAAACGATCTGACAACGCAAACAGACCAAGCATTACACCAAGCTTGGAGGCGTTAAATTATGACAATATCCAATCACTACGCTGTTCCTCCCACAGAAAAGAATTGAAAGTGGGCATTGGAAACATTACATGAATAATGGGAAGGAGTCACAAAGGAAAGGAAGGTAAGGTAGTAACACCTGCGTGATGGGAAAGCGTCCCAAAGATTCCAAAGCCGCACCCCACAAAGTCCGAAGAACAGAAAACTTAGGTTACAATTGGCCTTGAAAAGGCCCATATTTGATAAAATGGCGAACTAAGGGGTGGTCGAATACCACTAAGACCCTTCGGGATTGGCTTATTCAGCGTTCACCCCATTTCCTCCTAGTGTGGTGTCATCACACACCATAGTTCAAATGTATAGACCTCTGAGATCGCTCAACCGATCTCAAGACAATCATCTAATTCTATTGGACATCTTTAGTACTAGCCAGTACCTCAATTCCTCACCCTGACACAGAATTTAACACTTACTCTGAACGGAAGATCAGTACTGGTGACATCTGCAAAGTAACTTATCTTGTTGCCTAAATGGCTACGGCGGGGCAGCACGTCTCGGTCAGACACCGGTTGTTCCAGGACGCGAGGTAATCTACCAATAATTTAACGATTTTCGCTGTCTTAAGGAACCATTCAGCGCCAAGTGGGGCAACCAGACAGGTCGTGCCCGTCGCCCGGTGTCGCCGGGTGACTCCGGCGCCATCTAAAGCGCACCCAAAGAGGTCGCGCGACGGCGCCGGCGATCGCCAGGGTCGCCGGTTTAGAGGCACCCACCCGCCTATTGACCGCACACAAGCCTCACGCCGGCCGGTTAGTAGTTGGGTGGGTGACCACCAGCGAATCCCGGCTGTTGTATGTTTTTGCCTTTCGTTTTTTTTTTTCTTTTTTTGCTTTTCACATTCACTCATACTAACTAGTATCTTTGTAGCAAAGAAGTCAAGATCCGTGAATTACTCAGCCATTAGGGGCAGTTCCTTAAGCCAGGGCCCACTGGAGTGTATGCAAGTAGAAGTCTACAATATGCCGGACTGGTATTTCTATCGATCATTGCATTGCTGTGTACCCGAAGGAAAACCTTTCTACATCTTCATTTGTCACGTCCCAATGGTGTCTGTTGCTTCTTTGGTGGGGGTATCAGACGCAGCTCCCCTCCGCAGGATATCTGCAACATCGCTTAACAATTGCAAAACGGATGGAGAGGTACCCCTGCTGACCCATCTCGGGTTGGCAACAATGTCAAGTGCAGTCTTCTCTCCCACACGAATGGAAGGGTCTATACCACGGCTCATTAGGAATTAAACAAACTCTCTCTTCTTCCGTGTCAGAACATAACCATATGTCCAACATAACGAAGCGTAGTATTCACACAGCGAATAGAGCCCAGTAGATCCATTAGGCCCGGTACGTGCATTGATATCCGCCCCGACTGCCAATAGATGGTCAATCGTCATGTAGGCGAGCTCTTGACTTTCCTTCCTGCTGCTTTCCTTGCCTTCAAAGAGAATGTACTGAGCCAGGAAGGTGCTACTAGTAAAATAGGCATTGTTGCACGCAACTGTAAGCATGTCATGCCATGCAGCCTTGAATTTCGCTGTGTCGTCGTTGTCAGGTTCGCAGTCGTAATCACACAGGGAAAGCACTTTCGCAAGACGTTCACTTGAGGCTTCATGCTGGATCAAAAATTTCACGGTCTCGAGAAATGTGGGCACGGCCAATTGGGACAAACCCCACTTGGCAAAAAGCAAATCAAGGCAGGACGGGGCTGGTATTATCTCAGTTCTGTAATTAAAAGCATGCTGGGTCTCATCCCAGATCTCCGAAGGCGCATATTCACTGTAAATGAAGGCGCCATTATCAAGAAAAAAGGTAATAGCGTCAATTGGATGAAAGATGTTTGTCGTATCCCACGAGTCGATTGAGTCAAGGTACGTGAGCAAAGGAGTTGAAAAGTAATGACAGTATATAGACAGGGACTGCCGAGCATCTAAGGGATGACCCCGAGCCCGGTAAAGCCGATCCGATTTATAGAATTAAAACCAGCCGTTTTGATTAATATCAGCTCCGTTGTCCAAGCAGAACTGCATCGGCTCAAGGCCGTGCTTCACAATCACCTCCGCGGCCGCGAAGATAGGGATATTCGAGATTCTCTTCTGAGGACGACCGATGTCTTTACCATAGATATCAGCTCCTTTAGTAAGAAGCAGGCGCATGAGCGGAATCGAATTGCCCCGAATTGCCGTAGAAAGGGCACCAATGAACTTGAAGCGTCCTTTGGTATGCAATTCGCTCGGATCGGCACCTTTGTCGAGCAGCATTTCAATCAGTTCTATGGGAGCCCCAGAACAGACCAGAATGGGAATCGATGGTAGGCCAAGCTTGTCTCGGGCTTGCTCATCGAAGCCTTTATCGAGGCACAATGGTAGAAAGTCCCAAGTGTGGCACGGAAGGCGGCTTCTTTTCTTCAGACGCCGAACCAGTACCTTGTCGACGCCTGGACCATCAACCCATGAGCCCAGATCTAGGAGCAGCTTAAAGGCTTCCATATGGCCTCTCGCGAGGGCCAGATACAATGTAAAGACCTTTTTCCTCCCCTCAAGCCCCTGCCATTGTTGGTATGGAAATTCAACGGTACTCACGCAGGCCCCATTCAACACAGCCCGACGAATAAGATCAAGATTGTTGGATCGACATGCCCAGATCATTGCTTCATTTGTAGAATCTCTACTCCGGAAGACTTTGGGCTCTAGGCAATCGGCGAGATGGCGACTGCAGGACGAGAGGGTTGCTATCTCAACGGCTGTCAAATGATCACATACTTCAAGAAGAATCTCCATTGGAAGGGATTCCATTTTCGCAAGCATACATCTGAGAAGAAAAGCAAAAGCGCAAAAAATAGGGGGTGGCAGGGTGGAAATTGGGCTTTAAAGGCCGCGGAAGACGCCAAGAATTAGATTGACTCAGTGGCCCTGGCCTTCTGGGCGTTTTGGAATGGGCCAGAATGTCTGGCCTTTTCTCTTGATTAAGAGAGTCCCTGCCGTTTCCTCGCGAGCACAAAGATTGCAGATGACTGACTTCTAGGATCGGTCTCTGCCCGGGTCTTCTCTAGATACAGAGTGGCCAGGGCTCGATCCTTTCCGCCAAAGTGACTAGCCGCATTCTCAGCTGCCCTGGGGTATTTATCGTCATTGCTGCTGCCCAGTATTGAAGGCTTTGAGCCTATTCGGCTGGTATTCATTGTTTCTGAATGTCGCAGCAAGCTCCGTTCGAACCGTCTTGTTGATCGATACCCTCTCGCCTAGCCTGAGAGTGCCCTGGGAACATTCTAATTTCTCTCGGGTCTTAACTGTATTTGCCCAATGCCCTCCAGAGTGTTGTAGAAGTCAGCGGTTTTGTTTCTTGTGTATCCAAGCCCTGGCAATGTGCTGAGCTTCAGCCTAATGGGAGCAAGATTGGCACTAGTTGTGGCTGCTTACCATTTTGTAGCACTACCATACTTGTAGACACCAGCTGCAGCGAACAGTTAGGAGGGCGAGAAAGGGCGCGTAGATTCTCATGTCAGCAATCAGCAATTTTGGTGGTTAGGACGACGTGAAACAAGAGAACAGGGGAAATGCTATGAAAATCTACAGCCCCTCCCTATTGTAAGCTTTTCCTTCTTATTTCGTGGTTAGTATTTTATGTTGGGACTCACACTATATCTTGCAAATGAGCTCGTGTCATATGTGGCTGGTAGGTATAGAGAATAAAGCAAGTGTGTGTGCCTCGTATATGTATTAATCGAAGTATTCGTTGTTCGAGCTCGCGACGAATAAACATCGTTGCAAAACCAAGCTTATGACCGCAGTTCATCACTCATCGATGCCTTTTATTCTTATCTTCAACCAAATCTTCCAAGAACTAGAAAAGACAGCTGAAGCTGAAGCTGCTTCCCTACATATCTTCATCTGAAATGTATCATGTTGGTGTGACTGTATTGCAATTAACATGACTGGTCTCCGACCAAGCCTATCTTTAAAATATCTCTATAAATATAAGATAGAAATTAGAATAGAAAGTTCCGAAGAAGTTAGTAATCCTCCAGAAGGATTGACACGCCTTCAACAGGAAAATAAATCGTGCTAAGGTATAGTGCTGAAAGGCGTTATCATCGGCCAATATGAAAAGTAAAAGAAGGAAAAAAACTCATTTTCTCGTCCCGTCCAGCTCAGGCATGTCTGTTGATGCAGGCAGCTCAACTGCATACTTCGTCGGGTCCTCCGTGTTTGGCGTTGGCATCTCGCTTGGTGGGCCATACGCCGATCTTGCTATAGGCCCTTCATCATGACTCTGCTGATACTGGGCCGGTCCGTTCCTTCGTCGCCGAATCAAGAAGAGCGCAAGGGCCGCGATCGCGAGAACAGCCCCCACGGCGACACCAACGCCAATACCCGCTTTGGCCCCGCTTGAGAGCCCTGACGAGCTCGAGGGGTCTGTGGAGGTTTGAGAGGCCGTAGCAGATGTGGTAGCAGCAGCTGTGGTGGTGGTAGCGGTGTTCGATACCGGCGTCGTGGCCGGAGGAGTGCTAAAATCGCTGGACTGCCATCGGATGTAGACGCCGTAGGCGTTGATGTGGCCGTCGCTGCTCAACGAGCTATCCGCGCTCGACGTGATTCCGTCATCATCGGTCCAGGTGTACTTGAATTCGGTGGTGACGTCGGGACCCGGTGCCCACAGGCAGTCTATCGACTCGGAGATGGTAGACGATGTTCGAGTCGAATACTTCTGGTCGCCGAAGCTGAGGAAACCCCGCATGTCAGTTCAAGATCGTGATTATTCGGTATGCAGGCCGGACTTACCTTGGACAGCAGGTGGCCGCAGTCTCGGTGCGTGTCCCATCAATCACGGTACCGCTGGCAGCGATGGCATAACCCGTAGGGCAGATTCCTGGCGAAAAATAATCCGTCTTTTGCCATCCAGATGGCAGGCATTCCGATCGACTTATCGGCCCCAGGTTCATCCACGTCTTTCCACTAGTACTAGCGAGCCAAGGGTTGCTGATGCATGAGTCCGGCGGCGTGAATGTCGTCGTCAAGGGGAGATGGGTTTTTTGCGTTTCGCTCGCGGTTTTTGTCGTGATACTCATGGTGGAAGCGGCGTTGGCGTCGATCGTGTTCGCAACATCGACCAAGCGTGCTCCGCAGGGTGTGAAAGAATCAAGGGATGTGACAGGACGATGGTCTGGCGGATGTACGGCGTAAGGTTTTTTGAGGAAATGTCAGCAGTGGTTTTAGACGACCTTGACCATGGTCGCCTAATTGGCTGGCGATCAGCACCCGACTATGGGACTATTCGGGGTTAATAGAAGCAGTGAGCCGGACGATCGAAGCTGAATGGTCGGATGGTCGACATCGGGCACGATGGTGCTGCAAGGTGCAGCTTAAGTATGCCAGTAGGCAATTTAGCGCGGTGGAGACCGCTTCACCTGCCTCAGTTGTCTTCCGCAATGTTTTTGCCTGGTTTTGTCTGACAGGATGCTGATGTAGGGTTTGAAGTGCGTTCGGGCGGTAGCACGTGGAATTTCTTCCAGGGTTTTAGAGACAGATGGGAGCCATGTTCGTGGCATTCAGACCCTGTCCGATCATCTCTGGGTTGCCCAAAGAACGGCTTTCAAATCCCAACGACCGAGTCTTGATCTTTTGGGGCGCCGATCGCAATTAGCGCGACGGGGAGCTATTGCTCTCCGTTGTCAGCCGCAATATCAGGGGGAGATAATGAGAAAGCAATCAGTGATGGACGGGCCTTTGCACAGAAATACGGCGTATGGCATCGATTTTATATCGCTTCTTTTTTCTCTTGTCCATGTTATTCATTTTCAATCTTCAGTTTCACGACTCGAGTTGTGTCAGTCAGTTCCGTTACTATTGACAAATGGCCCCCAACGCCAAGCCAGATGACTGACTCAAGGAGCGTTCAATGTCGATTCCAGTCCCTGCTCATTCAAAACGATTTCGGGCCGTAGTCGGTAAGCATTTCAAGCACAAAGAGTTCTCGTTAAATGGTGCTCAAATGATCCTGAACGAGCCGCCGTAATCCTGAAACACGTGTTGGATGTATATTTCCCGAAAAATGACGTATGCTTGTAGGACGAATGCTTCTTTTCCTTCGAATTTTAGGCAGAAACAAGTGGATTTAGTGCTTCCAGATCCTTCATGTCTTCGGTGAATCAGCTCGTCCGCCAGATCTCTGCCGATTATCAGAAGGTGAGGTGGACGAGACGGAGGGAATCAAAACAAACGAAAGCCACAAAACCTTATCTTATCAGCCTCAACCTCTTATCTGTTATCGGCAATATCAGGCAGGCGGTGTGGCAGATCTCCCGGAACAACCATTTTCCACCGCCTTCCGCAAAGAAGGAGATCTCCAGGCCGCCTCAGGCAATCCTGGAGAAGCTACGCCTAAGTACGGACTACGGAGCCTCCTTCTATTGCACAGCCGTGTCTATGCAGCACTATTCCTATCTCTCGCTCGCCAGTCGAGCCACTGCAAATCCGCGTCGCTGTATGTTCCTTCTCCTTTGCCTGCTCTGCGGCAAACGAGTCCCTCGCACCATGTTTCTTCCAGTCAACAGTCAAATGAAATAGAGACTAACATCACCTTCCTCCTAGACCTTCTCGTCAACTCGGTGAGTTTCGCTCGCATGGGCATTACAGCCCTCCGTTACAGCCCCCAAGGACCCTGCGATCGCGCGAAACAAGACCACGTTCGCCTGGGGCGATGATGTCTTCGAGCATGGCGGACTTAATTCCCAGGCACACGGCGGTCGCATTTCTCTGTAGTGTTCCGAGCACAGGGGAGCTATGACCTACGATACGACTGCCGAGAAGCCGGAATTTGACATGAAGAATGTGAATACTCAGGGTTCTCAGCGGTCTAGTTCTCCTGAGACCAACCGCGCTCGGCAGACTGATGGTGGCAAATGCATAGAAGGACCGCGAGTACGCGATTAGCGATCGGCACTTGGAACAATTATGGAGGGAAGGAGGGAAGGAGGGAAGGAGGGAAGGAGGGAAGGAGGGAAGTCCCAGGAAGTTGGACTTCGTCGTAAGTGGATATTTAGGTTGATGTTGGGACGTAAACTGAGGAGTATCGCTTCCAGGATACGCGAAAGGTCCGGACTGTAGCTTGTTCTAATCTCAACCTCGATACACCCTGTCCATTCCCTAGCTCGGATGCCACAAGACATGTCTGCTCTCGGCTGTTGGTGCGACGCTTCTCAACAAGCCACAGACTTCATCTTCCGAAAGAGAAGGCTTGATCAGACAAGTCGACCGTCCTCTGCAAGGGGTTTGAAACCCAGCCATATGACTGACTGCCCCTGGCTGCGCAGAACCCGTCCTCGTCCGCCGCCCCCTTGGTGTTTATAAGGGGGGAAAGTTGGTTCACTAAAATCGGAAGTTTCAACGGACATGTTTGAGTATCATGAAATAGAAAATAAGAGAATATGTAATCGCACACAGCGATTTGCCCCTAGGATGCATTTGATTGGGACTTCTCCAGATAGGTGCAATGGCATCTACTTGACCAAATAATCGAAAATAAGAGAAAATGTGTAGTCTACTTACAGCTGCAACTATTGCACAACATATGGCCAAAGCATAATCAAAACGGTATTATTCATTACTATTGTAATTCATAGGTAGGTTCAAATCACCCGCGTCCTTAGCATCAGACAAAGTCATGTATATACACATCTCACAAAAGAACAATCATATCGTCGCCCTCTCCTCTAAGCGATCGGCGCATAGAAGCTGAACATGCCGCTGGGGTCATACTTCTTCTTCAAGCTCTGCAGACGGCTCTGTCTCCAGCTCTCGCTACCATACCAGCCCTCGGAGCCCTCATCACCATACGCATAGTTGACGTACGCGCGCACATCCGCGGTGCCGCTCGCGTCCTGCAGGATCTGACGCAGCTGGTTACCCAGCTTAGCGGCCTTCTCGTCCAGCTCGGCACCGTCAGGCTTGTAGGTGATCAGGGGGGCGGAGAGGATGTTCTCGTCACGGTAGGCAAAAGCGGTGCTCTTGGCGTCAATCGCCTTGACGCCTTCCATGGAGTAGCCTTCGAACATGAAGATGGAGCCGTTGAAGGCGGAGGAGCCACGGACGGCATCCGCGAAGACCTGGTAGGCCTGCTTCTGCGCGGCCACGTTGTAGGTCTCAAGGTAGTTGGGGAATCGCGGGTTGATGAGACCGGACTTCTGGCAGGGCACGGAGTCAAGAGCGATGTTGGTCCACGCGGCGAGGTCGGTGTAGGTGCCGCTCTGGGGGTCGGTGGAGATGGGACCGATTTCTTCGAAGGGAGCTGTGTAGGCGGAGTCGACTTCCTTGACGCCTTCCTGGATGATGTACATGATGATGACGGGCTAGAGGTGTTTATTAGACACTGGTATGAAAGGCAAGTTGAAGAAAAAGAAAGGACTCACGTTGCTGGCATCAGCATCGGGGTTGTTCAGCCAGTACGACCAGTTGATCACACCGGCAGGCTGGGTACCGTTCTTGAGGAGATACTTGTTGGCAGCCTCGTAGACCTGCTCGACCTTGTCGCCGCTGAAGGTGATGGTCGAAATGGCCCAGTCCTTGTGCTCGATGTCGAAGACCTTGGAGGTGACGGAAGTGACGATACCGAAGTTGTGGCCGGCGCCCTTGACGGCCCACCAGAGCTCAGAGCTGGAGTCCAGAGTGGCAAGAGTGCCGTTGGAAAGCACGATGTTCATCGACTCGAACTGGTCAGCAACAAGACCGTGGTGGCCCTGAAGCCAGCCGTGGCCACCACCCAGGGCGGGACCGAGGTAGCTGACACATTCGCAGGTACCAGTGACTAGTTAGATTGAATTAGCATCCCATAGTTTTTTCCACTTTAGTGCTTTTGTATACGATTGGGACAAGACTTACCGGTCTGCTTTCCAGCCTCCCAGAGCGTGTCAGTCACCAGCTTAGACTTGGTTCCACCAGCAATGGTAACCGTCTTGCCATCCTCGGCGACATCGACACCGCTAAGCTGATCCAGGTAAATTTCGATACCACTAGTCATCTTGCCCAGGGTAGTGATGGCTCCGTGGGCGCCATTGTAAGCCAGGAAGGGCAATTCCTTCTTGTTGGCGAATTTCACCTATTCCGTGGCATTAGCGGATTGATGCTGTACCACCCCGATGCAGTGGTGGAACCAATATGCGCTGGCAATGTGCGGGGAAATCATAACATGTGAAAAAGGAAAAATGTGAAACAAAAGCAGAGAAAGATAAATAGATCGACAAAATAGAAAAGTCAAAAGCTTACCGTCTCAACGACATCGTTCTCTGTGCTAGGAACGACAACGATGTTCACGGTGGGCAACTCCAGATTGGACCACCGAGTGGAAGCCTTCTTGAACTCATCCGAGCCAGGGTAGTAAACCTTGGCAGAGGTCGAAAGCTTCTCACTGAGTTCCTTGTAGTCGGCGTCGCGAGACCACAGGTTCCGAGTGACAGGCAGGCTCTGACAGGCCGAGGTAACAGCCCACGCGGCGATGGCGGTGACCACTTGCAAACGCATTTTGACTCAAGAGGCGAAAGGTTATATCGCGGTGGGTTAAGATGCAGGAGACAAAAGGTAAAAGGAAGACCCAAAATAAGGGCGCGCGCACAACTGGCCCCTAGTTCAACACCTGCAGGAGAAATGCAGGAGACGAAAAGAGTTCTCACTGAAGGAAGCAATCTAATAAAGTATAATTCCGCTGGATTTGAATCCCTGTCGGCCACACGAGAGAGTTGCTCGGAGAGAGAAGAGAAGGATTCGAAGTACTAGGTAAAGTACCGATATTATAGTTGGAAAGCCTGGACATTGGCTGATGTCCCAATCTCCGACTCGTCCGTCCGGTGTCTCAGACTAAATCCGGCCTAATGCAAGCTAGCATTAGCCATGGCGCATGGGTCGGCGACCGCGTGCTTGGGGCGCATGTTCCGATTCAATTTTGGCTGGAGGCGTTCTCCACCCGGACAGTATATTAGACTCTGCAACTCGGATGGTACCATTGGTTCGAGGAAATCAAGAACCACCCCTGAATTATTCTCCAAAGATACCCATCGGCCGTGAATAATGGTACTAGCACTTCGGAGTAAACCACTAAAAAGATAACTAACCCGTTAGCTCTACGGAGTCGGATCTTTGCGTTTTCCTGGCGCTAGGGAATCCTTCGCCACGCGACAGAGCCGGGATGCGAGGGTCTCAAAAATCCAAACAATGGGATTCAAAGTTAAGGAATTAATTTAGTCGGAGCACTCGGAATCCTCCCAAACCTTGACAGCGACCATGGGGTGCAGAGAACAGCACTGGGCGCCCCAAAAACTCAGTGTTAACCGAACGCTCTCCACTTGCGAGAGCTAATCAGTAATCAAGAACAATCTCCAATCTCCATAATAATGCCACCGTTAACTGGTATTTTGTTCGATCTGAAGGATTCCGGCAAGGACACCGGTACTGGTGGCGACCGCAAATTTCGGTCCTTATTTTTATTTTTAATTTTTTTTTTTTCTGTTCTTACTTGGTCTTATTATAGAAGGGGGCTGGAATGGCTGTATACATGTGGCACTCGGTCCCCTCCTTGGTTTATTAGCAATCGAATAAACGGCTGCGCGAAGTTCGCTGAGCGGTGGTGTGAGAAAGACGTGTCAACCTTCTTGTATCGCATTGAGAAATCAAATCAGACTATTCCTTTCGACCTCGAACTCTCCCGGACCTACACCTATTCGACATGTCTATCTAAACAACCCCTGTCAGTTAGTACGCAGGAGCCATGTCGACCTTCATTTCCGGCTTGATGGCCAGGGCTTCCGAGCAGGACGCTGCTCAGGCGGCCTTCCACAAGTCCACCGTCGAGTCGTGGACACTGTATGCATTCGGAGTCGCTGCGACCATTCTCAGAACATATGCGCGAGGAAATGCGGTGGGATACAGGAATCTACGATCGGACGATTATCTCGTGTGGGTCGGAGTTGTTCGTGCCCCCAGGGATCCTTGGTGGCCTCGACGTGTTGCTAATCTAGTGCATGATCCCTGCAGTTATTCTACACGGCGCAGACGGCCCTTGCGTACAGCGTGGGCAAGTCCGCGAATGGTCTCGCCAACAGCGGTATGACGGACGCGCAGCGGGCTGCGTTGTCTGTCGACGATCCCGAGTACCGATTCAGGTACGTCTCTATACCGTTCTAAACGTTCTAAACGCCGGGAAATACGCGGGATATTAATACAAAATGTGGTGATACAGGGTTATCGGATCGAAGATTCAACTGGCAGGCTGGACGACATATTCGGCTCTGATATGGGCGCTCAAGTTGTCTATGCTGTGTTTCTACGTTCGACTTACGGTACGATAACCATCCAGTAGAATATCCATCACTGGATGGCGCAGCAGCTGACACCGAATGAACAGGACGGACTCGGGAAACGCTATCGTGTTCCCGTTTGGGTCGGCTTCGGTCTCGTTGTCGGAACATTCATTGCCAGTATCATCACCATCCTGGGAGCATGTCGACCAATTCACAAATACTGGCAAATAAATCCCGACCCTGGAAGCAAGTGATCCCCTTCAATCCGCCACTCTTCGTCTGCTAACCGTTCTCGTTGACTGTAGACGTCTGTCAAGCCGGTGTCTCTAAGCCCATCGTCTGGGTTTCCTTCGCCGCGAATGTCTCCACCGACTTATACCTCATCTTTATCCCGATTCCCATGCTCTGGAAATCTAGTCTCAAGCCGATCAAGAAGATCGCTTCGACGATTGTGCTCAGCACGGGAATCTTCGTTCTTGTCTGCGCGACTCTGAAAAGTGTCTTCGTGCTTGTGGTGAGTAACACTCATGATGAACCCTGATCACCGGCCTTGTCTAGGTTCTCACGTTCTTCCCATCATTAGGAACCGATAGACGGCGCCCAACTAAGTGCATCCTGGGGCACCCGTGAAGCCTTCGCAGCCGTGATCACCACCAACCTGCCCATGATCTTCCACATCCTGCGCATCTGGCTCAGCAAGGTCTTCGGCAGCGCGTTCTACTCCACCGGACAAACATACAAGACGCCGTCGGGCGGGTTCAAGACCATCGGAGGCGGTGCCTACGGAGAATCCCAGAGTCGAAGTAACCGGCGCGGACCGGCCAGCCACCCGAACACCATAAACATGACGTTCACGGAGAGCGAAGAGCGCATGATGAACGAGGAGATCAAGATGCAGAATCTAAAGGCATTCGACGGGTCCTCGGCAGCAGAGGCTGGTCATGCGGGCGGAAACGGCGATGTGGCTGCTGGAGCAGGAGGGATTGTCGTCTCGAACCGCGTGGAGGTCACCAGTGAAGATCGTCGAAGTAGTCACAACAGCAGTGAGCCGCCGGCGGAGCGGGTTCATGAGACCTGGTAGATTTTCTGCGACCGGCTTGGTGGGATACATTGGCTTCTACTTATATTATACACACATAGACGGACTGGTTGGAGTTAATATGGATGGATTCACGACTATGCTACTTATTGTTATTAGAGCGTCAATGTGAACTTGGCATTTGGCATTACAGCGTCGATTCTACGCTTAGCAGGAATGCCATCCACGTCCGACGTAACATGGCCGTAGACACTAACGCCGACCCTATATTAAAACAGATTATACCACCGATTCGAACCGAGGCCGAGTGTCATTTCCCATGACTAAAACTACCCACAGAGGTTTTCCCTTCTCTTGTCTGATTTCGCTAACAGCCGACACGCCCTCAAGAGAAAGTTTGCAATTCGAAGGAATCCGGAAATACTCCAAAAGTCTCCACTGGCAATAACGCATTCAATCAATCGTGGCCGTGGAAACGGATCCACCCACGCGCCGCTGGCCCGGCCCCGACGGTTCCGATCATTTTGCGTTCTGTGCTTTCTGCGATCTCTGGGAATGGCAGATCGATTTGACAGGCGTTACGGATTTCGAGGTTCTCATACCCTGATCTGTAGACACGTCATTTGACACGCGACATACTTCCTGCCGGCAACTGGGCGTAATCTTCAGACTCGAAAGTACCGACATGCATGCCCGACGGATGCAGGGGGAATGCAACCCTGCTAGCAGCTCACTACCGCTTTTAGTCGACAAACGTCGGTGCTGCCTAGCCAGGGTTAGCGGCAAGCCTCGGCCATGGATATTAATATGGTTCATTAGCTTCGGCCACAATGGAGACGGGTGGGTCGCGAGGCCCTGGAAGTGATTCGTGATTTTAGGGGAGTTAGGGCCCAGGTCGGTCCGAGTAGACTGGTTACTGTTCGCGGTTAGTGGTGACTTACTGCCTTCGGTCTTTGATAGATCGTACGACGTGCTGCCTGCTCATGGCTTTGATATGCTCCGCGGAATGCACGTAGAATCAACCACCATATCAGACCACGTCAAAAGAAAAAAAAAAAAAAAACCACCCTGTACCTCCAATCTCGCTCTTCTTCAAGAAACCAAAGAACCCGAGGTCCATGGCTCGTTGGAAATAAACTTCGGCCCTCAAGCCAATGATTTACCCGATCTTTCCCCATCCTCGGAGCGTGCGAAGTGTAAAACTCAATATTCAGTCTCCAACGACGCCAATGACGAATGCGTTCACTCTCTCCGATTAGGGTTTACAGACACCGGGTGACATCTAAAAACGTCTGCATCTCCGAGTCCGTTTCCTGTTCCTGTTCCTGTTCGCAGTGTGCTGGAGATCGACCCAGTGTAGATCCGTATCAGCCATGTGTTGAGTGTCGATCAGCCTCAAAGTTCAGTCAAAACGGTCGGGTGCGGACTCGGACTCGGATTTTGAGAGGTTCGTATTGTTCCTAAGCGCCATTATGATTCTTGAATGGCTCTGGTCTAGCACATACGACCACAGGGTGAGGAGAACAGGGCTTCCCGTCCGCTCAGCCGTACTTAAGCCTCACGCCGGCCGGTTAGTAGTTGGGTGGGTGACCACCAGCGAATCCCGGCTGTTGTATGTTTTTGCTTTTTAATTACTACTTTTATCTTTGAATTCAGGGGTCATAAATACTTGCTGCACTGAGAAATGCGCCGATTGTAGGCAATCTGGACAATCCACGGACATGGCACCTGACCGAGTTGACTGCTCGCTGTGTGTAATAGATAGCGTGTGGACAAGAAACCAAGCCTCTTGGTACAGCCTGTTTGCTCTGTCTTCTGCAGAAAACCCGTTCTTACAAATGTGAGAAGCTGCTAAAGCGCTTGTTAACTCAGTATTGACCGTTGGCAATCCAATCGGCGAATGAGCTAGGCATTCGGCGAGCTACAGCGACTTCAACTTGCTCTCGGGCTTTGATGATCATGTCGTGAGAACCTATCAGACAATGCCACGAGCTACCTCTTTCATTATTTTAGAGCTCCGTTTGCCCTTTGGTAGCCGGTTAACTGATACAATTTCACCCGCACCCTGTCGATCAGACCCTAGGAGTCGCTCTAGTTCTGGCGGTCCTCGAATTTCTTAACAAAAAGGCAGTAGTAGACATTCTGTCAAAAGATACGATCTTTGGAATTTCCATGATACTCATGCTTTATTGTAATGGTTCACCTTCTTTATCTAGCAGCGCCCTCGCGACGTCTAACTCGCTATCGAGCGCACACAGTCACCCCACGGCGTAATCGCCATGCGTGAGGTGTCTAGGACACATGGCTTCACCCCAAGTAGCTCCATTAATACGGAGACGTATGTCTACTCTAGCTATTATCCGACACATGCTCCAACTCTTGGAGATGACAGGAGTTCTGCATTCTGCCAAGCACGACAAGGTCCGACCAGACCACATCAAGGCTACCATGCCTTATCTCGAACATTATAGCTAATCATACAAGGTACTCTAGAGATAGCTGAGATACCACCAGGAATATCCGCACTCTGCTCTTTCTGGTAGTCAAAATCTAAAATCGCGCTTTGCGTATCCAGAACTCAAGTATTTGTCTTCATCTAATAGCATTGGGGCCAGAATGCTTAAGATGAAACAAAAACACGCATTCCGCATCATCGCCATTCTATAGCAAGACTCCTAGAGAACAGTTCTTCGGGAGCAGTAGCGCGCGAATGAACAGTCATAAACATATGGGCTGGTAGTAAAAGGAGGTGACAAATAAATGCCAGAAGAAGCAGTTCTCTTTTTTTTCATACAGGATCATAAGATTCTAACACCTTCACTAAATATTTCCATGATTTCCATGATTTCCATGGGGGAAGGCCTTGTCTCCTGCTCTGGTGCCTAGGTTTCTCTAACATGGGCTTTCTTTTAATCCCAGGTATACCGATATTGTAGCAGCTGAAACTGTAGAAACAAGTCCAAAACCATTATAAAGGACGGTATTAGTGTATCAATAAAGATATACGCTTGCAGAGGATGCCGTTTTTAAGATATCATCTTTCTTTGGAGAGCTCCACGCGCTGCGTTGACTTAACAAGTCAAACTTTCAGTACATTCTAATTTGGAAAAAATAGTTCCAGCAACATGGCTAGGTCACACACACTGCACCCACTACATGAAATGAATCTACAAAAAGAAAAAAGAAAAACATACAACAGCCGGGATTCGCTGGTGGTCACCCACCCAACTACTAACCGGCCGGCGTGAGGCTTAAGTACGGCTGAGCGGACGGGAAGCCCTGTTCTCCTCACCCTGTGGTCGTATGTGCTTGAATAAATAAAATTACGGGTAATGTATGAACATAATTGTGGGGGAAACTGGCAATTAGAGCAAGTAAATGGAGGGAGGGTTCAAGGGAGAGGTGGCTGAAGCAGCCTTCAAATTAGGGCTGAAAGGTTCCGTGGTTTTCAGAAAACCAACGGACCGGGAAGCTTGAACATGGCAGCTTGTAAGCTTTTGGAATTCAAGAAATTGAAGTTCTAAAACAAGAAAGAAAAAGATTCTTAACCAACTGTTGATCCAGCACCTGCTGGTTAGCACTTTATATATCGATCTGTTCCGTAATATCCGCCCCGCATACCATAACATTCAATACTTCCATAAACAATCCGAATACTAGGACAGAATATGCTGCGTTCGAGCCTCTGTCTATTATTCCAGGCTCTGCTGTCGTACAAATCAGATCGAGATCAAGATGTTCGCCGATATAGTGGGGCTCCGGCCTTTTCTCAAGAACTCCTTTCCGAATATCCGTTTATCACTACTAAACTCCCAGGTATAAATATCTAGACCTTTAAGAATAAATGATGATTAAACATTTCGGTGAAATTAACCATGGAATCCTCAAGCCAGGACAGCATTGCGACCAAGGAGACGCCAATACCCTTGACGGAGCTACCGGCCTGGGAGAATGATCCAGCCAACGCGCAGAATTGGAGCGTGCCCAGAAAGATCTATAACACCGCCATACCGTCTATCCTGTGTTTTCTGATGTAAGTGGCTAGCCCTATCACTGAGTTGCTTGTAGGCGCAATTAAACAAGTCCATTCCCTATAGATCATTCGGGCTGGCCATCTACTCCCCGTCGCACGAGCATGTTCAAGTCGACTTTCATACTTCCGCTACCAAATCCCTCATGCCGTTCACCATGTACGTCTACGGCCTGGCGTTCGGGCCCATGGTCTCAGCTCCAATTAGCGAAACCTACGGTCGCCGCTTTATCTACCTCGTGATGACCCCCCTGTCCATGCTGTTCGTTCTCGGGGCCGGGTTTTCCACGAACTTGGCTAGCCTCGTGGTGTGTCGCCTGCTGGCCGGGATTTTTATCTCGGCACCGCTGGCTGTCGGGCCTGGGACGATCATGGACATGTGGGGTGGTCCAGCAGCTAGTAACGGCGTGATAATCCTCATGACTGTCGCGTTCGTGGGACCAGCCATTGGATCTCTGGTCGGCGGCTGGGTGGCGCAGTACAAAGACTGGCGCTGGTCGCAGTGGACAACGCTGTTCTTGGGGGCTGCCTGCTGGGCCTTCAGCATGGGCACGCAGGAGACGTACGCCCAGTCGATCATCCACCGTCGCGCTGTCAAACTAGGATTGCCGGATACTACGAGCCCCGTGCCCTCTGGTCTGGCCGGGATCCGGATAATGCTGACGGTCACCCTGGCGCGGCCGGTCTATATGCTCTTGACCGAGCCCATTGTAGCTCTGTGCTCTCTGTACTCATCGCTCAACTTTTCTGTTCTGTTTTGCTTCCTCGCCAGCATTCCCCTGGTTTTCACCAATGTTTACGATTTCACACCGGGTCAATGCGGGCTGGTTTTTGTCTCGCTGGCCCTGGGGTGCGTTGTCGGATGCATTGCCCTACTCGCGACGGACTACTATACCAGGGCCCGGCATCGACGGAATCATCCCGGAGGAAATCCTCCGCCCGAGCAGGTGTTGTGGCCCGCGATGCTAGCTAGTCCGCTGATGCCGGCTTCTTTGTTTTGGTTTGCCTGGACGTCAACTAGCCATGTGCACTGGATGAGTAGCATCGTCGCCATCGGGCTCTTTGGCTGCTCCGACATCATGATTTTTGTGCGCAACCAATGTCTTTATACTCATCCATGTTCCCGCGAGTTCATCAACTAACCGTCTATCTCGCGTAGGTGGCAACCGTCCTCTATATGACGCGAGTCTACGGGGCAAAGTCCGGAGCCTCCGCCATAGCAGCAAATGGTCTGCTGCGATACGGGGTCGGTGGTGCTTTCCCCCTATTTACTTTGGCTAGTATGCGTTCAGTACATTCGCGATGCTCTATGGTTACTAACTGTTATCAGTGTATCATAACCTTGGGTATAGCTGGGCATCGAGCTTACTGGGGTTTCTGGCTGTGGCTTTTATGCCGCTGCCCTGGCTGTTCTTTCGTTGGGGAAGTCGGATCCGGAAACATAGTGCTTATACTTCGTGATGAACATCGACCTATAGACGGAGCACGGACAGTTTCTAAGGGATACCGCTGTAGAATGGTTGGAAGCGCGACACTGTTTCATTTTATTACGCCTTTTGGGTGCAAAGTCTCAGTATAGGCTGCACATTTTGTCTAGTATGTTTAGGGATGTATATAGGGGTTATATATCGCACATTCATAATATTCTCCACTACAGGATGCCCACGGTGCAGATTCTAGATAACATACATTGCTTTCGACGCCACCAGGTCGACTAATGTACCTACAGGTTCCACAGATCCGAATATCCGCGGACGATAAAGAACAACCCATATACAGCCCTCAAGCGAACTCAATACGTTCGTCTTGCAGAGTTCCTGCTTTCTCTCCACTAAATACGCCACCCCCCTTGGTCTCCCTCACACAGCAATACCCACGGAATTCCCTGGACGGCACCTTCTCCGCAAACATCTCATCAATCTCCTCCAGCGACCGCCGCTTCATCTCAGGCACCACGAACCACACAAACCCCGTCGCAGCGACGGACAAGCCGCCGTAGATAAACGCCACACTGCCCTCGATCTCCGCCTGCGTATACGGGTTCACAAACACAATGACCAGACCAGTACCGTAAGCCGCAAGCCCAGCAAGGGCGACCATGGTCTCACGCACCCAGGAAGCAGGCGGGATCTCGGCAGTCAGGACCCAGGCCAGCGGGCCCCAGGTAGCCTGGAAGGTGAAGAACCAGAGCATCAGAAGCGCGACGGCTGCGACCTGCGTGCGGTACTCGCGGGGGGTGCCGTCGTTGGTCAGTCCGCCGATGCTGAGCATGCATGCTGCAAGCAGGGCGGCGGAGATGAGCAGCACGCGCCGTCGACCGAGTCGGTCGGCGACGATCACGCCGGCTAGGTTGCCTGCGATGCCGATCACGTAGACGACCACGGACATGAGGAGGACCTGGCGGAAGCCGATCCGCTGGAGGAAGACGGCCTGGTAGTTGGCTACGAAGGAGATGCCCTGGGCTTGTTGGAAGATCTGCGCGCCGACGCAGATGATGGTGCGGCGGCGGAGGATTGGGTCGGTGAGACAGGCAGACCAAGAGGAGGAGGAGGATTTGTGTTGCTGCTGCTCTTGCTGGGCCTGTAGAGCTAAGTCGTGGAGATGATCGAGCTCTGTCCGGGCAGCAGAGAGGGAGAGAGCACGGAGGCGAGCGAGACTGGCTGCTGCTTCGTCGAGTTTTCCGCGGTGCATCAGCCAGTAGGGCGACTCAGGAAGAAAGGGCAAACTGAGCCAGTTGAGGGCGGGGATAGCGATCTGTGCGACGACGACGCCGCGCCAGGCCCAATCGCCAGGGATATGGCGACAGAGGTAGACGACGAGAGCGGCAGCCAGGCCGCCGACCATGAGGAAGACGTTGTAGGAGCCAGCCATGAGGCCGCGCAGGGACTGGGGCGCGCACTCGCCCTGGTAGACAGGGATGACGTTGGAGGCGATGCCGCCGCCAAAGTAGACGACGACTTTGCCGACGAGAAACTGGGCGTAGCTCGTCTGGCAGGTTGACTCGATAATGACGCCGATACTGACCACAGCCGACTGAATCTAGAGGCTGTTTTTGCGGCCGAATCTTTCGTTCATGGGCGCGCCGCACAGCAACCCCAGGATGACCCCTGCATAGCCCAGCCCCGTACCGAGGGACTGCTGTCGCTCTGTGAGACCCCAGGTCTCCTCTGTGGGGTCCTGAGATCCGAACCGGCGGGCGAACTGCTGCGAGCTCATGATGCTCGCCCACCACGCTTGGTCGAACCCGAAGCCCGCAGAGGAGAGAGAGCCGAAGATGGCCACGGCCCAGATGATGGGCGGAAGGTTTCTGGCGCTAGGGGCTATCATGGTAATGAGGAAACGGAAATAAAGAGAATGAAAGACTGGAGAGAACAAAGTCCTGCCCATCTGTGGACGCTTTGCGCCTTTTCATATCTCCGTGGCATACGACTGTACCCCAGATTCATCTCAACCATCCGGGGATCAGAGAGATCTAGAGAGACTAGGTAGACCCCAGTTCCACCCGTTCACTACTTGGCATCTTAAGACATCCAATAATATGCTTTATAGCAGCAGAATTCCCTCGCGTCTATACGTATTTCGGGGCCATAGCGTCACATGAACTATAGAAGGCTCGTGAAGGAGTCCAATACTGGGCTTGTGTCGGGCTGGAGGCGAGCGAACACGAGGAAGGAAATGAGAAGCGAATCCTTCACGTCTATTACTCCCAGGACTCTCCGGATTACTAGATTTCTTGCTTGATTTTGGTGGGAGCCGAGTCGGCATCCCGCTGATTGCTTCGGCGGAATCTTTGGAGTCTCCACTATATCGCCGACTGGTGGGTACCATGACGGTGCTTACCCCAAGCATGCAGGCCTAGAGCAATCATAACCTGGAGAAGGGCATAAACTGCTCGAATTTTCTCCTTCTCTCCCCAAAATCGCACATTGGGGCCTATTTATTTGAGCAAAATTCAGTAAAAATTCTATCAGAACCCAATGTTACCTATACCATTTCTGCGAACCTGAAATCCAATACTCTCCCTTGAACTTGTCATTTTGGATCGTGATAGTACAATACCTCCAAATATGAGCCCGGAGACTTCCTCGCCCCTCGTCGACCATCTCCTTCAGTCCCTCACACTCGAGGAGAAGGTCGACCTCCTCGCCGGCAAAAATATGTGGGAAACCACAAACATCGACCGGCTGCACATCCCCAGCCTAAAGATGACCGACGGTCCAGCCGGCGCCCGAGGCTCCAAATGGACATACGGCTCTCTAACGACGTTCATTCCATGCGGTATTTCGCTCGCCGCAACCTTCGACCCTGCACTGGTGGAGAAAGTCGGCACTGTCCTCGGACAGGAAACATGGCGTAAGGGCTGCCGGGTCTTACTAGCACCAACCATGAACCTATCGCGCTCGCCGCTTGGAGGACGCAATTTCGAAGGCTACGGCGAGGACCCGTACCTTGTGGGCGCGATCGCGACAGCCATGATACGCGGGATCCAAAGCCAGGGGGTAGCCGCTTGCATGAAGCATTTCATTCTCAACGACACCGAGACGAGGCGGTTTAATGTCGATCAGACGATTGATGGGCGTACGCTGCGAGAGGTGTATATGAAGCCGTTTACCATGGCTGTGCGGGATGCGGACCCGTTGACAGCCATGGTTAGTTACCCCAAGATCAACGGGCTGCATGCCGATCTGAGTCCAGAGGTTTTGCCGCGTCTGCTGAGGGAGGAGTTGCGGTTTGATCGACTCGTTATGAGCGACTGGGGTGGGCTGAACAGCACCGTCGAGAGTTTGCTGGCTACCACAGACTTGGAGATGCCGGGGCCTCCGATATGTCGGGGGCAGCGTTTGTTGGATGCGATTCGGAACGGGGACATTAATGTGGCGGCACACGTTGACCCAAGTGTTCGGCGCATGTTGCAGCTTTTAGAGAAAACGGGATTTTTGGGAAACACTGAGCAAATAGTGGGATCGGAACAAACAACAAGCGATCCTAACTTCCATAAGATTGCCTGCGAGGCAGCACAGGGGGGTCTAGTGCTGCTGAAGAACGACGGCGTGCTTCCCCTTCGGCCCTCGACTCTCCAAAAAGTGGCAATCGTTGGGCCCAACGCACGTAAGCCCACGGCTGGTGGATCTGGCAGCGCCGCTGTGAATCCCTTCTACATCACTACCCCCGAAGAGTGTCTCCGGACTGCGTTGAAGGCTGCAAACCCGGACATCGAGGTCACATATTACCCCGGAATGCTAGACAGCTTGCGTGCACCTCTTCTAGGCGACTTGCTAACGGTCCCTGACGGGTCTCGCAACGGTCTCGAAGTGAATTTCTTCGCGGGCCATGCTTTCCATGGATCAGTGGTGGCGACTAGTCTGTGGGATGACTCCCTAGTCTATTTGTTCAGTGATGGCGACGTGCCGGCCTCGTTAGACGGTCGTCCATTCTGCTACCAGGCCTCGGGACTCATTAAACCGCAGGAGTCCGGACGTTACACGTTGAGCCTGGCGAACACCGGGCAAGCAAAACTATTCCTCAACGACGAGCTACTCATCGATAACAGTGAATGGACCCGCACGACGGGTGGTTTCCTAGGTTGCTCGAGCGAGGACCGAACCGCCAGCATTCAGCTAGAAGCAGGACGTGCCTACCGACTGCGCGTAGACAATATCGTCACACTGCCACTCGTGAAGGCATTCGATAACACACTGTTCCCGTGCGTGTCAGGTATGCGTATCGGCATGGCTCGAGATCTGGACGAGACAGCAATACTGCAACAAGCAGTCGCTTCAGCGCGCCAGGCCGACGTGGCGGTGGTCGTGGTGGGCCATAATAAGGACTCAGAGGGCGAGGGAGGCGACCGCGCACACATTCAGCTACCCGGTCGCACCGACGAGCTAGTGAGCGCTGTCTGTTCTGCAAACCCGAACACTATCGTCGTGGTGCAGTCGGCCAGTGCAGTAACCATGCCATGGGTCGACGCTGCGCCGGGCATAGTGATGGCGTGGTATCAGGGCCAGGAGAACGGGGAGGCCCTAGCACAGGCTCTTCTAGGTCACTGCAACTTCTCTGGAAAGCTGCCCATCACGTTCCCGCGGCGGCTAGAGGATCATGGCTCGCATGCTTGGTTCCCCGGTGAGGCGGCGCAGGACCGCAACACGCTCGGAGAAGGTGTGCTGGTTGGATATCGACATTTCGATGCGCGAGAGATTCGTCCACTCTGGCCGTTTGGGTTTGGACTTTCGTATACTCGGTTCGAGCTGGCTGACATTCGTGTCAGCGGGACCTTGAGCGCTGTCTCCCCGGAGTCGCGAGTTCTGGTCCATGTACGGGTGGTTAATGTTGGAGGATGCGACGGGCAGGAGGTGGTGCAGGTTTATGTGGCTCCATCAGCAAGGGTCGCGGAGATGGGTCTGGTACACTATCAAAAGACTCTGGCAGGGTTTGGCAAGATTGAAGTGGCTGCTGGAAAGGCGCGCGAAATGACCATCTCCATCTCAGGCTGGGAATTTTCTTGGTATGATGCGAAAGCTGGTCGGTGGCAACTGGATGCGGGCACATATAAGTGCTGGGTGGGCCGTAGTGTCTGTGAGATTGAGAAGGAATTAGAGATTGTTGTAGAGTAGTCACAATAAGAGAAGTAAAATGCACGATTGCTTATTCTATGAGATATAATCACAAAGAAAACAATAGATGCGAGAGATGCAGGTATAACTCGATCCTAGTAACAGCGATTATTTCTCTCATGTAGTAATGCCGAAAAGAATGAAATTCTCTGGAATGCTGACAGGCTTATATTCTGAAACGGCATGGTATTTCTTACTCAGGCTATTGCTCTCATCTTAAAAAGGACATAGGTTCGTGGTCCCGTTCTTACCATTCAAATGAGAAGAGCAAATCATAGAGATTGGCTAATCCGACGTTTTCTGCCTCGCTTTTCCAATTCAGGTGAGGAATGCATGTACAGTTCTTTCTCATTCAGGTACCGTGCAATCCAATGCCATAGGCGCTTATCTGCAAGGAAACCTTTGTTCAATTCTGCCATTACAGTGAGATGCCGTGACAAAGCCAGACGCTCTTGGCCAACGCATGAAAAATACCGCATTTCATTCTCGCTGGGCTCCTCTTCATCATACTCCAAAATCATTCGAGAGATCTGGTTGAACTCATCTCGATCTTTGAGTTGACGAAGATGAGAGTCGACTTCTGGGTCACCCAATAACCTCCTAAATCCAGAAAAGTAATCGTGGTCTTGGAGGGCATCAAGATTGACGAGGCGCAAGAATGCCCAGAGTATATTGCCATTTGAGAACTGGAGGTCTTTGTCACCATCAAATCCTTGAGCAGCATCGAATGCTCTAGCAAAGGGGGTTTCGAGGGGAGATTGTGGGCGATCGCGAGGATGTGGCAAGCCAGGGCAGATGAGAAGCATGGAAGGTGGGACAAATGATGCAAAGGCCCAGTCAATAATGCAAGTGATATTAAGCGCATCATCGACAAATATATTCTGGGTACTGAGATCTGGGTGGCACAATGGATAGCCCGTGCACTTGATTTGATGATCCCTCTCGACCAGGGAGGGCACTCTATCTTTTAGGGATATCCCCACCAACGCGTAGTCGAGACTGTTCTGCGTACTTTCGGCTTTGGACCCTACTGCGACATAGTCGTTCCATCGATCGGTTGCGGTTCGATATTCATTGAAGTTGTCGTATTCCTCCGGGACGGGCACCGGGCCATGGAATAGGTGATGGCCCATAGGAAGCTCTTTTACATGGGCGTTGAACGCGAGTATGAGAGCCGAATAAAAAGACTCGGGCTCAGTGAAGGGTCCTCGTGGAATGTCCTGCTCGTCAAACTCATCTCTTCCGTTCCACACAAGCGTGGGGTAAAGACATCTGCCTACAACGTAGGATTTGTCTTTCGGATAAAGAGAGCCGACTTTGTCCAGGCGCATATTAGACATACATGCATAGATCTTGCCTAGTTGTTCCATTATTTTTTGCTTTTGACATGAGGTCAATGTTGCTTGAGGATAGGCATTGCCGGTTTTCGGTGGTGGGATCATATCATCACTCCACTTATGAGTGCTAAGTGGTACGCCTGTAGCTTTGCTCATCAAGACATACGGAATGCCGACGGGATTCTGACGGGTCGGGCTGATATGATTAGTTGTGAAAGGCCACATACACCAGTGTATCGAAAGACCTTACCAGTAGGAATAAACTTCTGGGACGGGGATGCTCCCATTTTTTCCAAGATACTGGAGTGTTGCCACTTCACTCAACAGAACCTCACCAGCGATGCCTTCTTGAAGACCAAAAGCCTTCTGTGGCGAGCGGAATACCCATTCTACCCCGTCCTCGAATGCAATGAAGATAACCCAATTGAAACTACCACCCTTCGGGCGTTGAGATTCGTCACAGGTACAACCTTTCCCTCTAATACTCTGTGCGACGGACAAAAGAGCCGCAATATCGAATGATGCGTAGGTAAAGATACTCGCTTTTTGCTGCTTGTTGATAATTGTTACGAAAATCCTTTAAGACGCGTGCGCTCAAAGCTGAGTACCGGAGTCCTAGATCAGCTGGAAGAGTGAGCACGGGCTTCTAAAGCATCAAAGGGGAAAAACACTTCATACAACAACCAACGAAGCAGGCGTAGGAGTAATAAGCCATGCGAGCATTCCACAAAATATCATCAACGGTAAGGGGCGGACTAATCAATCAACCTACCATTCGGTGATAAATGCAATTTCTGTCACCTCGGCAACAACGCTTACTCTCATATAGCACAATATAAGATGCGGGTAGATTTCACAAATGTCTGGACTCTGTGTGATTTAGGAAAGACTCCCTGCCCAGCCGTTGAATTTTAAGCTTCAAAGATGCCACATCGCAAGCCAACCCCTGGCACACTGCGTCCTCTTACTCCGAGGCTGCATACGAAAAGGCTCACTAGCCTTATCTCGACACAGTATATTTTCTTGAAACCGGTATGCACTACGGGATTGAAGTCTAACAATGCTTACCAAACTGACTTCATCAGGTTTAGACATTCTTGAAGCTTTTTGGCTGGGCAAGTCTAATGAGAACGCTAAAGTTGTTTCAAGATGGGTTGGTGTACTCGGCAGGTCTATATTTGTTGATGCACATATCACTCTCGCCTACGAGTGTAAGTCACCCCGAGCTTCGCGCAATATTCATTTGAATCAATGTTACAGGCTTATGAAATATACAAGGAGTGGGACTGCCTTTTAGAGCTTTAATAATATCAAGTTTTGTTTATGAAACTTATGAGCACTATTAAAATAGATATAAATTAGGTATAATTTAATAAAAATACAAATAATCTATATTTAACTAGCTTGCCTTATTTTGTCCAAAATTATAGGTAAAACGATTAAAATAATCTATATAAAAATTACAAGATATGAAAAAGCTCTATATAAAAATAATACTGTAGAAAGGAATAAAAATAAAAATTAAAACAAAAAATCATAAAAAAAGTAATTTACATTTTGTTATCTAATCTAAATAAAAAAAGAATAAGAAAAAGTCTGCAGGCAGATCAGCCAAAGTTATAAAAAAAAATAGATCTTCTCACCGTTTAAACAAAGGACCGAAAAAGGACATCTTAAACCTACACAACAAAAGAAATAAATTGTTGAAAGATATTGGTCGTTAAAGTCTGGCAGGATAATCTCTGCCAGCAAAAAATCAAGCATCTAGCTAAGCTCAGGGCTGTATACAGAGTCCACAGCTACCTTTCTTGCTGCACATCATCAAAGACATAGCGCATGATGAGAGCTGCAACCCTACCTTCCTTAGCCAAATACGCGCTGATCGTTTGGATCTCATCGACATCATCCATTTGACATACGTTGACATCTACTGTGAAGCTGTCGTCGACTGTTCTGGCTTTCCGTTCAAGCAAGCCATTTCTGCGCACTTCCACAATGATGCCGTCACAGTCATATCGATCCATATCGAATGTGATGTCAGCTTTGTCCGCAAAGGCACTAAAACGCAGAACGACCTCCTTCGACGAGGGAATTTTTGACCCTTCCGTCACTTCAGTGATGAACTTATTCAATGTGCCCGTTCGCCATCCCATGGGCGGATTGGTTGCCAGGTTGGAGGAGCTGCTACGGGAGCTGGAACTGTAGTAACCATGATGGCTGGGAGGGAGGTCTTCGGGGATCTGTTCCCTGGGCTTGTCGGTGGGAATTGTCTCGGATTCTGCTTCCCCGTTGGGGGTCTCTTCGAAGCTCGTCCTACTGCCGTCCACGGCCCCGTAAATCGCTTGTTCCGCAAATGAAGTATCAGAGCTCTCACGATCAGCCATTAGCGCCACATCCGTCGTGATACTAGCTGATTCATCCTCGTTGGTGGTGGAAACTTCTGGGCGAGATTCCCAAGCAGCAAATGCTGCGTCAATCTCCTCACTGGCAGTCTGGCGGTTCGACATGTTGGATGATTCGAGGATGTTTCTGTGTTTTGTATAGACTCCCCTAGGATTGGTTCTTTTGCTCTCACTATTCTTGTGAAGGAGTGCTAGATATCTGAGAGATAAGGAGTGATTAAAAATTTTGGACCGAGATGCTGAAGTTGCTTGGTATTTATACAGAACGGGATATGAGGATCTGTGTTCGAAGACAAAGGATCAATATCCCGTACAAAGCGCCTATATATTGCCGCGGAATTAGTAGTTTTTAGTAACGATATAGCGGATGGTTCAACTAAAACCGCATATAATTGGACTGTGTCTAAAGAATTTCATTCATTCTTTATTAGGTCTCTTTATTTTTACGTTTGACTGTTTGAGAACAATGGTTTTGAAAAACACTTTTTACAAGAACTCACTTCTACGGGTTTCTTCCTTTACAGTCAGCCTGCGAGAGGCATCTTCTTTAAAAGTCAATATTCAGGAATTTATCTTGTAAGACATGCTACTCTGTAGTAGGAGGCTGATACGACACTGTGAGGGAGTATCCGCTTGTGTTGATGCTAGGATCTTCATTAGTCGAACAGCATCAGATAGAACCTTAGCTCTAAACATATAAGGAAAATGGAGGATCTTATCGATTAGATAAGAAATTGATAAGATGAGACAAGTAAAAATGTTAAATTCTACGCAGCTGATGAGCTAGGCCCAACTTATGTATTATCCATGGCTTCGAGGATGCTGATTTAGGAAAAGGCGAGCAAACCAAAAAAATAAAATAAAACACTTAGGCAAAATTACGGAGTAGAACCCACTAGACATGCAATCAATATGCAATAAGATGATCAATTACGTGGCATAATCTTTTTTCGGCAACAATATGATACATCCCATCCGGCCTCCCACAAATTTCTACATTCCCGGCTCACGCGAGCCCCAGCGTCCGCACATATCACTTTGTAATAAGCTCTTCTTCGTCAATCGACAGGAGTTCTTCTCTGCCATCGTTCAGCGCACTTCCTGGGTGGCCAAGATTGAGAAAAATCACAGCGCAACACATAACCCTATACCAACACTGTTAGCCAACGCCAGCATAACGGCGAAAACATCGACTCACGCAGACTCAAGCGCAACAAACAAAGGCTCATCTCTAAACAGCTCACTGAAGTATCCCGCATGCAATTCCACAACACGGTAACAGCAACGAAGCAAGACCAGCAACGTTGCCGTAAACAAACACGCCAGAAAGCCTTTGAGACATTGCAGCTTATGCCGACCGGGAGACCCCCAGCCAAGGTAAATATAGTCGCCGAACATAATACAGAATAGAGTAAGCGTGACAACCTGGAAGATTAGTCCTGCCATTGATATATTAACCCCGACTTGGATGTCGTTCTTTGTGTTCCCCACGCAGGAGAGCCCACCTCCGGTGGCTTGTAGGACCAGCGATACGATATCAGCGGGGATGAACATCCAGTAAAAGAGACGTGGGCTAAACCGAGAGACGGAGCGATCAGTGTAGTTGACGCTGGGTTGAAGGACGGGTTAGTTTGGTTGTTGTTTAGCAGGAAGAGGGGTGGTGGCAGTCAACAGGGACCCTTACACCTGGGACAAGACAACATAAATAGCAGAGCAGTAAAACACGGGGGCTACAGTGATACAAACTGCGAGTAGCAAGATCAGCATGTCTACAGACTCTCCCAAGATATCGCTGTGGCACTTACCGATTTGCATCAGAAACCCACTGAAGATAAAAGGGTTTCCATGTAACAGAACACGGCCGACGTAGCCAGCAATTTCTAGAATGCAGCCACAAACCATATTAACCATAAAGCCCCATGAGCCGGTCCTGATCCCTTGGAAAATATGAACAAGCATGGCCAAGGCAAAGACCACAATGAAGATGACGTTGGCCGGAACGGATGGCCTATATTGAAGGATGCTCGCTTCAATGGGACAAGTGTCCAGTGTGCAGTTAGCATTAGGTCCAAAACTGACGAGGCCATGAGGAAGTTGTGACATTCTGCCTGCGTCACGTCGACTGGTTGTTTGAATTTCTCGAAGTCCTGGCGTTTTGCGATTGAATCGGAGGGAAATCATCGCCTTAAACTGCTGAGATTCCCCACAGGTTAGGGGCGCAGCTAGAAAAATCTCCCATGGTGGACTCATCCAAAACCTACATCTCTTTTTGGCTGTTTTGAAACTTGAAACCACGAAGTTGCTCAGGGAGAAAATAATGGATCATTTTGATACGGCAATTTATTACAGTTGTTATGACACACGGAGACTACCAATTTACCATAGCTAGCTCCGGTAACCAAGATATTGACGGGTTTATTGCACTATTTATGTGCCCTCATCCTTAGTTTCCCTGATAATTCCAATAGAGATGTAAGGTTAAATAAGCGCAGATCCGATCGGCGACGATACATAACGCATTGGTTTATTCATGTATGATGCTCTTACTACTTCATACATGAGTAGCTATGGAGTGTAGATCATGCAGCAAGTAAAACAGGTACAACAAGACATTTCTCAATCAAGATATCTCGCAAATTTATGCATTCTTCAAAAAACACAATAATCTTATTAGACAAATATGAGCAACAAAAGGGAAAAGGAAGACGAAAAGCAACTTATGATGAACCATCAGCCCTTTTCAAACAGCAATAGAGCTCACTATTCCATGTCGCTCTGTTACCCGTTACACCAAAGGCACTCTTTGCCCGAGGTGCAGCCTCCGCCTTACTACTGGCAGCAAGACTGATGCAGAGTAGGACTCTTACCACTGCAATAAAGATGGCTAATCTCATAGTCCTTAGCTCATGGTGGCAGGGCTTTTCCGTGAGTCCTTGAGTTCTGCCAATGAAATCCTGCGTTTGATGAACAGTGTCATTTATGGTAATATCAAATCGATCCAAAAATTAATTTGAGACTAGCGCCTTGCTATGCAGAGCCTGTAAGCATACGTATTGAAATTGATGGTGTTATTCTCAGGGTTCCGATCCCTTTGTTGCTTCAGGAACACAACCCATCTCCCTCCATTTCCCGTCTTCCGGAGGAATCGCCAGTCCCCACGCTGCGTGAATCTTCTCCTCCCAAGTATTATCTGCAGAAGCTGGAACCATGAAGCCAAATCCGATGATGTAACTGAATACGGGTTAGTGAAACAGTGGTACTCTCTTGTTGGGGACAATAGACACTCACATTTTGTCGTACGCCCAATCCCAAAGCAAATGGCTCGGACCGCAGTGTAAAGGCTTCAACCCAAGACCATAAAGCTCTCTATGAAAAGCCAGAAATACGTCAGCTGTCTTGACGGACTACGTGAAAAGCACTGAGATCAAGACTCACTTATATGCAGGTGTAAAGGCTTCCCGAATGGCATCACGCTCTGCCTTGTCGAACGACCAAAACCTCTTCTCATTCAGACGAATACCGGGAAGCATCTCCCACAACAGATAAGACATGTAACCTCCTGGAACCAAGCCGAGAATATCTTGTTTTATTTCTTTCATGCCCAAACATCGTGGGAGGTGCTTTGCGCGCTTGTTGTGGAACAGGGCCATGGCTTCGATATCATCGTGGGTGCGGGTTCCTGCCTGCGCTGACCGTACGAAATCAGGCTCATCTTCTGTGCCTCGGTGTGGGATTTGCATGTATACTCTCAGGAAAGCTTGTTGAGATGGGTTTCGCGCGTTTCGACAGAGGAATGTGGCCCTAGAATAGGATAGTTTGGGTTCGGTATCGTGCTCCTCATGTTCCACGATCTGTTGGTGAGGATACTCAGATATGAGTTGCGTGATCGTCCATCTAGATCGAAATGGGATTTTGAAATCGACATACTCATGGACCCAGCTATCGGTGAAAAAGGTCCCATGAGCCATGTTGGAGATGGTAGAATGGAATGATGCTGTTGAGGTGGGAAAATAGAGAATGCTGAGGGGATAATAAAGCGAAGGAATAAAGTGAATGATAGAAAGTGGTCAGAGAAGACAAAGTCAATAAATGGTCATATGTCATAGTGAGAGTAGAGCAACATTCACCGTGCTGCATAACTTGGCTATGCTATGTCTGCTTACTACTCCTTGTGTCATCACACTCTTTTCCTTGATCTGATCCGATCTGCTTTTTCCCTCCTAAGACGTTCTCCGGGCTCTACAACTCCTAATGCGAACACACCATCGCTGAGATGATTCACCCAGAATCTTAGGCCAACTTGACTGCGGATTTGATATTGCCAATGAGGCTTGCGCAAAGTAGAGGCGCAAAATGCAGATACCCTTAAGAATTGGCACATATATCGACATATTACTTGAGATGGATTCTGTTAGTTGGGGTCAATTTGAATTTCTTTTAAAAGTGAGCAAGTTGCTTTTGCATGTGAGATATGAGCATCGCATGGTAGATAATATGTAAAAAAAAAAAAATAAATAAATAAATTAAAATAGATCGGTGCCTAAAAAGAAGCGAGCAAAAAAAGAAATGAAGAGATGATGCGTCGGCCGGGAGTCGAACCCGGGTCCCTTGCTTGGAAGGCAAGGATGATAACCGTTACACTACCAACGCGGTAGTTATTACTAAGACCTGGATTTACTGACACTGAAGCCCAGAGTCTGTAACAATAAAGAGACAAGAAGTGGTGATGGTTCATAGCCCCCAAATAAGCACTTTTAGCAAAGTCTTGAGCTTTTATAGTTATTTTTTGAGGGCTTAACATATTCGTCCTTTGGTTGTGCCTAAATAGGAGTTGAAATAATGTAAATTCGCAGTTCCTCTGTTTTTCCTGTTGGCGGTTGGCCGTAGACGTCAATTCAAATATATTTCGCTTGATATTATGGTATCAGAAGGATAAGAAATACAATGGGTGTAGCCTTCATCTCCTTTTCTTCCTATTTAAGCAGCACGATACTTATCATGAAGTATGATATTGTAAATTGTCTCGAGCTCACTCTTCTTCATCTAACTATTCGCATCTGGCTTGGTAATAATTACGTGTGGACGCAATCAGCAGACCCCCTTCCTCGTGCAGTCAACAGGGGTAAAAAGGCAGAATACAACGATCAAATCATGAGATATAGACAGTCGATTAATGGATTATTGCTCTTCCTGGGTAGTTATGTGGGTGTGCTTTTGATCTGAAGCCGCGTGAAGAGAGCGGCGCATTTGTCCCGGATAGGAAAAGATGAGCTCCAACTTCATTCTTCGTATACGAGGTCAAAAGGGGCTACGGCAGCCACAACCTCCCCCGTCAGATAAGATAAGCCAATCGAGGAGTCAATCCACGACTCAAAGTGGGAATTGCGGAAGTTGGTGAATTAGAATATGGTCCGATCACCACATATCATCATTACTCGCCGAGAGATCATCGGTGTTCCCACTGCCAATATCCCCCAGCCATTCCGTAAAGTGAAACGATTGGCGAAGGCTGAGTCGAGTGATCTGAATCCTTTGAAAAGGCGAGAATGACGTGGGGGCTTAGACAGGATGCGCCCGATGGCCCGCCGCCCTCGTATTTAAAGCCTTGCCAACCTGGCACTAATTTGGCGCTAGAACTTTCCAACATCGTGCGGATTGATCGCGTTTACGCTGCAGTATAAAAGCAGACGGATTTCCCAGGACTTTTCCCAGCAAGCAATTGAGCCTATCTGGACTTTCCAAACCCCTCGAGCTTGACTGGTAGATCATCCGACACCATGCCGTCAGATTCACCACTTGCAATGCTTAAACAGCCTCTCTCTATCCGACCAGACCATGTAGCCTCACGTCCCACTTCCATGGTCGTCAAACAACACACCAAAACCTGGACTGGTGGCGACTTCACCATATCCACTCGATCGGAAGAAGATAGTTCTGTTTTGGAAACGCTATTCACCGTGGATGGGGAGGTCGCATCCTTTTCTCAGCGACGACACGTTCGCGACGCATCGGGTCTTCCTATTTTCGAGATTCGTCGCAAACGAGCCGGAGTGACTTGGTTCGTACATCTTCCAGGGGACAGCGACAGCGAAGACGCCAAGCCCCTCGCCACTATCGCACCGAGATTACACCCGCTCAAGGACAAGTTCGACGTGCATTTCAAGAATGCCAGCGCGAACGGCGAGGACACGGTGCTCGAGGTCCGCGGGCAGGACATCTGGAAGTACAGAACGAATGTCTATCATAACGGGACATTGGTGATGGTGGCCAAGTTGACCGATATGGTGTCCGTGTATTTGCCGATCAAGCGGCCGAAATGGGACTTGGAGGTCGCAGAGGGATTTGATCTGTCTCTGGTAAGTACTGGCTTGACCCTGATGCCTTCAAAGTATCGGAGAATGATGTCTGACTTGGTTTATTAGGCATCTACAATCGGAATCATCTTAGCAGCCCTGCTATATCAGAGCATGATGCACTCGAGAAGTGCCCCGAGTCCTGGTGGCAATGATCCCGGCGAGGGGAGCAGTGGAAAGCAGTGATTTTGCGTACTTCCAGTTGTCTGCTGCAGGTGTCAGCAGAAATTCCTTGGATTCTTTCTAATGTTTATGTTATTACCCACTTTTCTTTTCAATCCAAACGATGAAGCTTTTTTTCCGGAGCATATTTTTAATTTAGTATGGTAATAGCGCCACAAAAAAAGTCTAATATAGTGAGCTGCTTCGAAAGTTGAAGAAGACTTTTGATGACGAGAAAGCACGATGGCCACTTCAGAGCAGGAGTCCACTGCACGTGGGGGCACGTGGGGATTGTGCTGCTTTCTATCTTTCTTCAGCCCCGCCCCTCCATCTTCTTCAATTCCCCATCTTTTCTTTTCTTTGTTTGTGCGAGACCCTCGGAAGAAAAAAGCACGCAAATCATCAAAAAGCAATTTCTATCATCAACCCCCGGCAACATGGCAAGTGAATATGAGTTCGAAATCGGTCTGGATGAAGGGGGAGAGGAGAGTGGCTATCATATGTTCAATGCCCCCGGCCAGGAACAGCGAGCTCATCTCATCAACCAGACGTACCCGCGCGATCGCATTGTGAAAGGAGACTTGGAACAAGTCATCCATGGCCACCTGACTCCGGACGGAGATGAGGCTACTCTTATCGTGGCAAAGTTCAGTTTCCTGGGCCAAACGCCTGACCGCCGTTTCAAATACGCCAGGATCACTTGGGACTTTTCGTACGAGGGCTCTCTCAATAGTCCCGAGGTGCTGGATATCTCTCTGGATGGGCAGTTCATCATGAACAAATCGACCTTCTCGTCAAACAATGGGTACAATGCTGATCTCGGGGTTCAAGGGGGAGTTGGGGTCACCGGCAGCGTTGGGGCTGGATGGACTCGGTCGCTCGAAGTGACCGTGAACGACCACGTTTCGATTTATGGAACAAGCCGTTATCGGGACCAAAAGGTCGGCGAACCCGACAGCGCGAGATGGGTACTAGAAGAAAACGCCAGCCAGAAAAGCGGTATCCCGGGGCTCATTAGAACTGCGGTCCTGTTGCGACGTCAACCAGGCAAATTGTTTCTCGGTGACATTGAGATCCAAGCAAAGATTGGATTCGGAAACAACGTGATGTCGTGGTTCGGACGAAAACAAGGTGTTCATCCAGTGGTGTTTAATCCCGCTCTACCGCCAACTACGAAGGTTTACGACCCGTCTAACCTGGAATCTGTTGTCCTGGATGATATCCAGTCGGTTGTACATAACAAAGTGCTCCCTACAACGGAGTAGGCAGTTCTGTTCAAATTCGCCATCTGGCTACCTGGGCACGAGCATAACATGAGCTGATATACCCTATTGTTCTTCCTGCCGCCAGCCAAATTCATCCAGGCCTTTGTATTTAAAGTCATCCTGACCAAAATTGGTGGTGAGCTCACATCCATTTTCGCCAAACCCGAGAAGGGGATATAACATCTCCCGAGTTTCCCAATTTCTTTTTCCTGAAATGGAAGAAGCGTTCTGTCAGCATACCATCATTATTCACGAAAATGACCTCGAATCTCACATACCAACAAGAGTGCCGTTGTGGGTGAAAAATACCCACTGCTCGTGGAAGTCAAACCCGCATCCTGCAACATCACCAGGAAAATATTCAGGCCCAAAAGTCTGGCCTTGGCCGTTTCCTTCATATAGACACCCATCATCGGCGTGATACCCCAATGAACCCGCCTCCCAGCCAGGCATACCCTCGTGCGGGGAGCTTTCGGTACAGAGTCCGAGACCCATTGTCCTGTGCAATGTGACATTTTATTAGTCGCCCAAATCATAGAACAGGTGAAAAGTCAACCCGGTGAGATACCTTTCTGTTGGTAGCTGACGGATCTGTAGTTCATAATAGAGAACACCATTTTTCGGTGGAATTGGGTGCTCTGTCCGTATGTGAACATACTCGGAGAGATGGTCATCAATTGCGGAGTCTTTTCGTTACAGTAGTCAGCCGCGATCAACTTGGTTGGGGCATGTCGACATACCAATTATCACTTTGCGACCGTCATCCATTACCAAAACCGCCTTTGGCTGAGAGTCCCTGGCCCACCCAGTGAGAGATTCAGGCTCTGGCTTTTCTGGAGGAAGGTAGCTATCTGCAAGCAGCGAGACAATCTCCACGTGTCCGCGAGCGTCGGCGTAGTGAGCTGCTTTCCATTTATGCTTATCGCGAATGTTCCACGGAGAGTTTTTCTCTACCAGGCAGCGGACTACTTCTTCATGCCCATTGGCAGCTGCCAAATGCAAGGCAGTCATCCCTTGATGATCTTGAGCGGCCGAGTCTGCACTCAAGTCGCTCAAAGTTCTCACAGCGTCGACATGGCCTCGGGACGCGGCCCAATGCAATGCAGTCCATCCCTTCGCATCGCTCGCCTTGATATGAGATTTGTCGAGGTGCAGCAACTCCACTTGCCCAATCATTGCTTCAAGATGTAGAGCTGTCCATCCTTGTTCTCCATCTATCTTGTTGATCCCATGATTTACCAATGTCACCAAAAGAGCGGCATCGTCAACCTCAAGAGCCTTGTGAATTGCCGTTTGACCCTTGCTGTCACTTTGAAAGGGGCTGCAGCCGTGGCATAGCATGGCATCAACCATTAAGTGGTCCTTCTCACGCACGCATTTTGCCAATAATCCAGGAGGCACCGATGCCCCTCGGTGCAGCGCAAGGTCTACGACCTCCCTCTTGCCGCTCCGAGTTGCAAATTCAAGCATAGTGATCCCGAGATCTGCTTTTGCATCCACATCTGCACCATGGTTGAACAGCAAGGTAGCTGCCTCTAGATGGCCATTGCTTAATGCCAGCATCGCCGGCGTGTAACCGTCCTTATCCTTAGCGTCAGGGTTGGCATTTCGATGAAGCAGAGATTCGAGAATTTCAGTCATTCCGTGCTCCGCAGCCACAGCCAGCGGGGTTTGAAAATAAAGCCCGCCTCTTACTTCAGTATCGACTGTTGGGTACTCTAAAATCCGCTGCACGCCCTCAACAAACCCCGCCAGTGTCATTTCGACAAGGGCTTTGCTGTATTCCTCAATCGGAGGCGAGCTCTGGTCCAGTGGCTCCAGAAGTTGCATTGCAATCGTGAACTTTTTCAATCCAAGTGCCAGACTCAGCGGAGTTTTGCCATCCTGATTCATAGCAAAAGAACTCCACCCTGCCCGCATCAGAAGAGCGACCACATCCTGTTCGCAACCCGCTCTCACAGCTTCACAGATGAAGCTCGGATATTCTGCCACAATTGTTTCAATATTGCGATATACAGAAATAATCTTGTCGACCACATTCGAATCCATACCGCCCGACACCGCGCAGAATAAGGGTATCTGACCTCGGGCGGTCACCGCGCTTAGATCTGCTCCTCCGTCCAATAGAGACATAGACACTTCGGTATGACCTCTAAGCAGAGCTAAGTGCAAGGCTGTCTGATTCATTCTGTCTTTCAGCTCAAGGTTGCCCTGGTGCTTTATCAAAATGTTCGACACTGCAGGATGCCCAAATTTAGCAGCTATATGTAGTGCTGACTCCCCGGAGCGTTGGTTGAGCGTGTTTGCATTGACCCCGGCGCTCAATAACAACTGGGCCAATTCCCCATGACCATACTCTGCACATACATGAAGGGGAACTCTACCATGAGTGTCCGAGACGCCAGTGCTAGATCCGGCATCAATTAGGTGCATGAGTAGGAGCGAGTTACCTGCCTCACAGGCCATATGGATGGGTAATCGCCCGTGATTGTCAGAAACATTCGGATTGCTCCCATTTTCCAGCAGCAGCTTTGTCGCCGCTCGATGTCCCCCTTTAGCAGCAAAGTGCATGGGTGTACTTCCAAAACAGTTTCCCATGTTGAGATCGATACTGGATTTGAGAAGCTCCTGCATGATGCCGACATATCCCCTCCTGGCAGCTGAATGTAGGGGGCTTGGCTCCTTCTCATGGTCTCGAACAGGGGTTTCAGAGTCCTCCATCTCTTCCTCCTCGTCAGTCTCTTTCTCCTCGTCGCTCTCTTCTCTAATTCTCAATTCGTCTCCAGTGTTGTATGTTCCCTTTCCATTGCCTCTCGCGCGGCCCTCTGTATTCACATGATCGGCTTCAAAGCGATTCGCGCCACTAGCTGTCTCTGATGAATCAACACTCAATCCATCTGACAGCTCTGAGCTATTTGCATAATGGTCAGGGAGTACCTCACTGCCATCCAAGCTAAGTCCACTTGGTATCCTGGTATGGCTAGTGTGCCCCCGTTGCCAATTAAGGAGCTTTCTGACCAAATCGAGATGGCCTCCTCGAACGGCTAGATGCAGAGGATCAAACTGCTCATCATTACGAACGTTTTTCGACGCCCCCATTCCCAAGAGCTGCATCACTATATGAACATTGCCATTTTGAGCTGCCAAATGGATTGGCTTCTCTCCCTTCTCATTGATAAGCTCGATATCCACCGAGGATTTTGTGGTCAGCTCATCAAACACGTCTGAGTTGCCCTGTATGCATGCGATATGGAGTGGGGTATTTCCATTGCAGTCCTTCACGTTGGGACTGATATCGGACATCAGACTTTTTACTAGACACGCTTGGTTGGCTGTCACAGCACTGTGCAAACATGTAACGCCATCGTCATTCGAGCCTTTGACACCTATATCTTTGGACACTAGGAATTCAAAGACTTCCAAGTCACCTGCCTTGGCAGCTGCATTGAGTATCATCGTGCCAGTCTCATCAGACAACGGACGACTCCGCACATTGAGCAAATGTTCAATCATATGAAGGTGACCGCCGTTAACAGACTCAATGATAACAGAGGTGTCGTTATCGAGCAAGGATGCTTTGTCTGGAAGAAGCTCCAAAATAATATCTATGACTTCCCGGTGACCATGGAATGCGGCTTTCCTGACACATTTGCTGAGCAGAGTATCGGAAGACCCATTCTCTCTTTGAAACGCATCTCTAAAGAGATTCAAGTCACCTATGCCGGCCGTCAGAAGTAATGCCTTTTCGGTTGAAGCGGTAAACTGCAATAGCTGGCGGGCCACGTGGAGTTGGCGAAATTGCAAAGCGGCCTCAAATGCTGTCGCCCTGTCAGGTACCGAGGCCTCGCCTCCATCCTGCAGTAACAGATCTCTCACGACCTCCGGAAGGCCATACTGAGCGGCCAGATTGAGTGGTGTTGACTGGGCCTCGTTACATCGATCCATGTTGTGATTTGTCCACCACCGCTGCGCCCATAGATCACACGATTGACCAGAGTCGAAAAAGTCGAGCACGTCTTGGACGAGTATTGACTTGTCTTCAGCTTCATTGTAATGGTACGGCCAGTACATCGCCGCATAGCTCTCAAAGCTGCGACCCTGTGAACCCCGAAACAGTCGATCTTCAATTGTTGATTGTTCCAGGTCTGATGCGGATATTTTCAAGTACTGAAGGCAGCGGCGAGCGATACCGGAATGGGTTAAGATGGCCACTTCTGGGAAGGCACCAAGCGCGTTTACCCTGTCGGTCAGGTGTGTTTTAGCAAATTTCGCAACTGACGAATCCGCAAAATGCACCTTTCCCTCGCGCATCTCAATCAACAGGCCCAGAGCGTGTGATAATTCCACTTCAACCTCCGAGGGAAGAAATGGAATAGCTTGGCTCCTGTCAACTGTAGTGTTTGGTATATTGAGTGCGACTGTCAGCTCATCTAGGGTCAAAGACCGATAACTGTGGGTAATCCACGAGAAAGCAGTCAATACCCATGGCTTAAGACCCTCAAGACGGCCAATTGATTGCGCATATAGGTCATGCAACGGTATTTCTAAGATAGGTTGAGCGCTTTCCAAGGTATTCCCCGCGAGTGGATTTGCAAGCAGCGCTTTTAACCGAATTCGGGCTTCTGCAGGTGATTCAAGACACTTAAGCGTATCAATTATCTTTCTGCCAACGCACATGTGACTATGGTATCGATTCAAGACCTCTTGGACTTGAACGCCAGTTTTACTCTGGTGATCAAGGTTCAAGATAAACTCGTTCCAATATGATGACAGAGTTGGCGATAGGGAACTAGTAACTAGAACCTTGCAGCGAGCATGAGCTCCTTTTGCCAATTTTGTGAGATCTTCAAGGCACTGGAGGACATTGTCTTCACATTGATCAATGCCATCAACAATCACTGTGATTGCGGGAAGGTTGGGAGAGGAAAGTAAGGCACGGATAACTATCAACAGCTCATTCACAGAAAGAACTGGTCGCGATGAGATCCAATCCGCATGACGCTGGATTGATTTGAAAGCGCTAGGGAATTTGGACAAAGCTCGGAATATCAGCGCGCATAGAAAGGTAGCGCTAGATCGCCGTGGATGGTCAACGCCATGAAATGAGAAGAAGATTGTCAATACCCCGTCATTAGCATTCGACCATTCGGCGGATATAGTTCGGGCAATCGATGATTGATCGTTTCCATCTGGACCGTGGAGATACAGAATCGCGTTATCGTCTTCGCTCTGTGCCCACGCCGAATAGACGCTATTGGACTTCAGCTCGGGGTACTTCAGAGACCATGGTTCTGTCTCTATTTTATGTTGAAAATGCGACACCGAAAATTTGGAAAGTATCGAGCAGTAGCTCTGACTTCTGGGAGTGGCATCTAATCATGTCAGTGATCATCAGGCAATGTCAAAATAATCTACTATGTCAAGTTCATACCGGATATTCGCGTGTCTGTGGCCTGTCTTAAAGCATCTGACAGCGCTTGCCACAGATCCGAAGCCGATTTCGAGCATGGGTCTTGCGCCACGACCGTCTTATACTTTGGCGACAACTCAGAAAATTGTTCGTCTATCTCTCTGACTGCCGTGAACAGATGTCCTATCATACCACTGCCCCAGTTACACTGCTCGTTCAAACGCAGGGCAGTGTCCAGGCTCAGCGCCTCCGAGGACCGTTCGCTGCATGTTTGGTCCCTGGGCGTAACAAATCCCTAGGCATTGCCTGTTAGTCTTATGAACAAACTGCTCGAGGCCGAAGGACCATTGTGGATTGCTCAGTCTTCCTTACCAGATGGGATATCTTTCGTCGAACATTTACGTGCTCATATTCTCGATCGGCAATTGCTAGTGCCTGATTGACAATGTCAACTCCATGTTGAGTTTCATGGCAATTAGCACTTACCTGTTTCACAATAAAAGCTCCCACCCCAATTCCAAATATTACGATCTCAGAATCGCGCTTCAGCTCTGTTAGTTCCGCCTGATGTTGGTCTTGACCGCAAAACATACATTGCGTTCGACTCGTTCATGCTCTATTATTACCAACAACTCTTTCGCTTGCGCTTGGAAAGATCTCCGAGTAGCGAACCCATTTGCGACCGGTTCAACAATGGGCCTCACACTCAGAATACCCACCTGATGGAAGTCTGCTCTGAGGATCTCCTCGAATGATGGTTCCTTGTTGGCGATTTCTGAGGGAGGTTCGAACTCTGGCTCATCGAAGTCATGGACAATCACAATGCTACAACTTTTAGCGTTGGATCTATCGGCTTTTAGCGCGTTCTAGCACGTACTTTTGCTGAAAACCCGAGGATTTGTTTGCCTTTGGACCGTTTACCCATCGTCTGGTGAGGGAGGGATAAGTTGAAGGTGCAAAGTCCATGTTGAACGCCGGCTAACTGCGACAGCAAGATTACTCCGGCGCTCTGGTAGCCATTTGTAGGAGCAGACTGACCAACAATATAGGTCCAGTCCACATGTCTTGTCATTTCCAGATCAGGTACGCCGTACATGCACGGTCCCACAAACAAGTGCTCGGTTAATCGCGAAACACGACATCATCGGATGGATGCCCACTTTTCAGCCGCTCCGGTGGGGATTTGGCTGCGGATCGGCCCCTACAAGGTCCCAGTTCCCGGGTGGTCTGGGCCATTGTTGCACAGTGACGCGCTGACGATGCAGGAGCTGAATGCAGCAGGGGTCAATCGGCGACGATTATTCGAACATTAAAGTGGGGTTTCATGCCGAAGAAAAAGCAATCATCACACTAATCCAATTCCCCTCTTTCAGTTGATTTGCGAATCGAACCTGTCCACGGAGCAGCTTCTCCGGGGACCTGTGATTGGAAGGTTGCTGGGTTTTGTCAAATGACTGGCAATCCTCCCCGGCTTTTTTCTAGCTGCTCAGGAAAGAGACCTGACTACGCCCAACGACGGAGCCATGGTGCAGATTCGTGATCCCACAAGGCTTGCCAGAGAAAGCAATTCTCAGAGTGTCAATAAGGACGATGCCCTGGAGGCTCGGCGATGGAGAGAACGGAGCGAGGAAATAGGTCGGCGGCGAGCCGATCCTGACAGGGGACCTTTGTCAATCTGGAGAGCCGATGACGATGAAGAAGAGGAAGAAGAGGAGAGCGACGCTGTATTTCAGCCACTAAGCGAAGAGGAGAAGAAGTTGAAAATTATCAGCGATAACCACGGCGAGATTTTCACCCATTTCAAAAGCAAGCCATCGTACAAGAACGGGTCTCTGGAGGACTGTTTCAGAGATGTCGATGGAAACAATGACCGGGCAGAATTTGAGGGCTTCGTCAAACAGCACCGCCCCTATTTCGACGCGGTCGGAAAGGATCAAGAAAATCTGCTTCACTATCTTGCAAAGCAAGCGAAAGGGCGTCCGTTGGTTAGATGGCTCCACGGAGAGTGGCCCCATCTTGCTTTGCAAAGAGACGCGGCCGGAAATACGCCTCTCTATTTGGCTATTACCCGACGTCAGAAGTGGTTTGTCCTCGTTATGCTCGAGTCGCAGTACTCCCTTGTTGAGACCTTAGGGATAGTTGGCGAGAATGGCAACACAGTGCATCGAATGCTGCGAGAGATGCTCCCTGTGACTGATGAATTGGCAATTGCTCTGAAAATTGCCCTAGACAATGAACCGTCAACAAACGCGAACTCGCCTTTCGGGGACGTCTTTCGCTGCAGAGACAACGAAGGTCAAGCGCCACTCCACGTGGCAGTCAGCCTTATTTCGAAGCCGACCATTCCACCCATAGAGGATATCCGAGCCCTGATGAGATTCGTCCGAAATATCGTGGAGATGGACCCATCGACCTTGCACGAACTGAACCAAGAAGGCCACACGCCACTACATCTTGCCATCAGCACAATTGGGGACGCGCAGTTCCGAATAGCGACGTCGAGAACTGCATTACTTAGTTCATGGACCTGCGAAATGATTCAGCTAAGTCCCAAAGCCTTCTTGGTGAAGACTGCCACAGATCAGAGTCCTTATCATTTGCTCGGGAGCGCGAGGGATGACAAGGCATGCGAGCCCCTGGTTGAAGAAATGAAGAGGCTGTATATAAGAGCTTTGCCGAACGAGGAACTGAAAAATCTGCTATATTCCCAATGGGACTGCGAGACAGGATCGGCAAGATTCCTATCACAAAGCGAAAAACGGGTCTACTTCGATCTTTCGACGACTCTCGAGACCAATCTCACATATGAATATTTTGAAGCACTCAGCAAGCACGTTCGGTTTGAAACAATCCTCCACCATGTCGATCTGCCGAACATGTCTGTGCAAAAAGGCGATAACTGGTTCAAAGGCGCCACTGACTTCAAAGACCGGTTTAAGGCTATTCGAGACCTGACTGGAGTAGGAAGAGCAGATTTTCCCAAGGTCTTTATGTGGTTACGGAAGAATGGCGTGCAAAAGATACTCGAGATTCATGCAATGGACTCTGCTGGAACATCCCACTGCGATGAGGCGATTGAACTTTCCATCCAGGGTTTCCAGGTGGAGGTTTTGAACTGGGAACGCGTCGACATCTCCAGCGATGTATTTTTCAACGCCGCGCCGGACGTCCGTGAGCTACACCTTTATGCCAGCGGGAATAATGAGGTCTTAAGAGGCTGGTCATCAAAGGATGGTTTACCGAGATTGAAAAAGGTGAGTTAAATGGATTTGTATGCCAGGATACGAGCGCTGATGAAACCCTGTATCAGCTTAGGAAAATAACCTTGAACGTCCGACTGGTAAGGCACTTTACACACACATATCGACACCTCACTGACCAGGATCAGGGCTCGTGTACAGAGGCCAGAATGAAGGGCAATGTAAAATTGTTCAAGGAGCGGCTATGGCAAGAGATTCCCGATATCGAGATCGTGGATGGAGCCATGGTTGTTCCTGACACTCGCTTGCCAGCCAAGAAGGTCCAGAGACCGACTGCCACTAGGTACGTACAGATTTCTAGATTATCCGGCCATTGTGCTCATGTTTGTCCTGTCATTTGCCTCATTGCCTGTTTCTATATACTTTCGGTTAGCTAATAATGCAGTAGCACCCATCGGTGGCTCAACTGTGTCGAGGAGTTTGCCAGAGAAGTTAAAACCTATCACAAGAACTTTCAGTCTCGCATGCCGAGTGTGAAAGTGGCCATTATCGACGACGGAATCAACGCCTCGCAATTTGACAATCACACATGTATAGCTGGAGGAACCTCGTTCCAATGCCATCATAATCGCCCCGACCGCCCATTGGATTACTGGGCATCAACCGGTGCCCACGGCACCGAAATGGCCAAGATGGTTCAACGAATCTGCCCGGTTGCAGAACTGTACATCATACGGCTTGGCGAGGGAACCGGGGAAAAGGGAACGCGACAGATCAAGGTTGAGACTGCTATCAAGGTAAGAGACGATTCCCTTATTCTCAGAAGAATCAAGCACGGAAGACTAATCTTATTGCGACTAATTCGCCCCTACCAAGGCCATTGAATGGGCCACCAATGCCGGCGTCAATATCATCTCCATGAGCTGGAGCATCAGTCGAAAAAGCGTCACCCAGGAGACCTATCACGACTTCGACAGCTGCGTCCGCAATGCCTACGACCAGGGCATATCCATGTTCTGCAGCGCCACCGACCAAGGCCAAACCAAGGAGGCGAGTTCCGACACCTACATGCCCGCCGTCTTCGGGGACCCGGTGAAGATCGGCGCCGCCACGCCAGAGGGCGGGAAGTGGTCCTTCACAGGGTCCCAGAAAGTTGACTTCTATCTCCCCGGCGTGGATATCCCGGTGACCGACAAGGCGGGTGTGGTGCGCTTCGAGCAGGGGAGCTCGTTCGCCACGGCGATCGCAGCAGGTCTAGCGGCCTTGCTGCAGTATTGTATTAGTGTCGCGGTGCGGGATGGAAGCGAGACCCCAGTCTTTCGCACAGATGATATGAAGCACGCTTTCCATACATTGTGCAGTACGCACCGGGAGATTCCAGAGGTGGGCGAGTTCTTCAAAGATGTGGGAAGATTGGACACGCCGTTCAAGATGCTGGAACGGTATGAGCATATAGCAGCGTCTTTGCGACTGTGAATTGCATTTGCAATCTGGCGTATCTGCCTATTTTCTGTCGCCCAATCTTTACGAAATGGAAATCTGAGCATTCCCTTACCTAATACAACTCATTAGCTAATTGACATAATATTTTCTCTCGTGGCTCAAATCTATAACTCTTGTCCTGGAGTTGTTACTAGCAGTATGTGGAAAGAAACCGAATTAAGAAGACAACCCTACGCCCTATGTCTCTGTTTGCATACTTCATTACACTTGACGCTTGCTAAATACCACCTGCAGCGGCGCAGGGGCGGCAGTGAACGCATCTAGTGTTGCATCCAAATAAGCAGGCTCGGTTTGGCCCGGTGCGAAGGACACATCGTAATGAGTTACGATGGCAGCGATGACACGACGAAGCTCCATTAGACCGAATTGCTTCCCAACGCATGAGTGTGAGCCTGATCAAGTGTGTTAGCTATTAAAAGCATGCCGGGGTATTGGGGAACCCACCAATATTAAAAGGTGTAAATGCAGCTGGGTCCTTCACGAGCTCAGGCTGGGTCGTCCATCGCTCGGGCAAAAACTCGTTGGGTCGAGCGAACATTCGCTCGTCTGGAAGATCTCTGTTAGTACTGCACATTCCCACCAGGTAAATCAGACAGAATAAAACTCACCCCTCCAGAACGTATATACTGGTATGGTGATCAACGTGTTTCCGGGAATATACGTGTCGCCGATCATCATGCCCTCGGGGGGAGTCATGCGTTGAGCGCCAGATGGCACAGCTGGGTGTAACCGGAGCGCTTCATTTATGGCAGCGTTCAGGAGACTGCAATCGGCTAGTCTGTCGTAAGATAGGTCGGGTAGGAGGGGTTCTAGTTCTTTCTGAAGCGCCTTGTATAGCGCTTGGTCCCTGACGAGGTTGAAGAACAAACCGCTCATTGTTACAGCAGTGGTATCACTGGAATATAGATTAGCTCTCTGCTTTGGCCACCGAGAAAACAGGAAGAAACTCACCTGCCGGCAACAACAACCAAGTATGCGTCGCCGAGAAGGTAATTGTAATCCACCTGGGTTTTCGGGCCCTTCTCAAATGCATCCAAGACGAAGGAAAACACGTCAGGCATATCTGGGCGATTCTATATTCCTTAGGTTAAGCCCCAACAGATTGAATCGTTCTCAGATACGAGTAACTCACCTTCACTCTCCGTTCGACGTGAGATGTAATCCACTTCCATTGTTTAACATAATCCGCATTTATGCCCGGGATTCTCTTAAAGAACGGAAGCAACCACGTCAAGTGGCTAAACAGTCCGAGCATCTTCATATCTTCATGCACTTGTTTCAGCAGATAGGCGTCCTTCCCGGAGTTGAGCATATCGAATGATTTTCCGAACGCCATGTCTCCCATAACGTCGAAACTGAGATAATTGAACCAAGTCGTCATATCCATAGTCGTTCCGAGCCTCTTGTCAATAGCAGCGAGTAGTTGATCAGTATAAAGCGTAATCCGCGGCTCGTAACACCGGAGCGCTGGGATAATTATCAGCAAAGGTCCGACAGGACACCACTGAATGTGAGGTCTACCTTCAGGCTTAAAGCCCTGATCCCAAATCCTCCTCCTCTGCGTATGAGACTTCTTATCTCTGTCCATGTGGAGGTTCATCCGCGGCTCTAGGACCGTGTACCAAATCCCTTTTCCAGCCTTGGAGCCAGCTCCATGCAGTGCCTTTACGGCCTTTGGGTCGATAATCGATAGTTCAGTCGGCGCTTTGGCAGGCATTAGTCGCGACGCAATATGAATTGCAAGGAAACAGCATACCAATGCGAACAATATCCCCGTACTGCTCGTGCAGTTTTTGTACTTCATTATATAATTGCAGCTTTTTCGCCGACAGAGCCGTCACGTAGAAGTTGGACAGGCGGGCGAGAAACGGACCGGGGAACTTCGCAAGGGGGTGATAGAACGCTCGATAAACGAGCATGCTGAGATAAATGCCCGCGACATGGCAAAGAACAATGCTAGCCAGGGGCGCAACGTTCTGACCAGCAACAAATTCCACAACCACCGCGCCCAGCAGCAGCGAAGCGTAGGAGACGAACAGCGCCGGGGCCTTCACATCCCACTCGCCATAGCGATAAACCAGGACTTGCGCACTGACGCCGCTGATCCCGCCCAGGGCCAGCAGCTTGTGCGACGTCTCAAGCAGCATGGCTGGACGATAAAATGCGCAGGGGCTGGAGGAAAACGTTGGCGAAGTTCTGCTCCCCGGCGTGGGCGGAAGCGCTAACATAAGTACCCTGGAAATCATTTCTAAGCCCTATGCCCAATTAGGGCGAGCGATTACAAAACGAAGGTCGCGTTGTCTGACAGCGCATCTAGATTGGGGCTGGCACACATGCGTGACGTCAGAATGCAAGGGTTCCATTCCTTCCCCTCTTCGCGTTACCGGAGGAACCGTCTGACAGGGGTGCATTGGCCCCAAATCGCTAAGACGTGATCTTACGGGCCGGATATCGTGGGGGCCAATCTGCCAGAGATAAATGGCCTGATCCTTTGCTTTTGGTATGGGACAGATAGGTTTATGCTGAATCCTTACTCCATTGTAGGATTTATGGTTTTCATTAAATTGTGGAGGTACTTTGATACTTTGATGCAAGTATGAACTATACCGGAAATGGTACATATCCGTGAATGGCTTCAATCTGTATCTGAAAGAACGAGGAAGGTGCCTTCGAAAGTCTTCTGAACCCTATAACCTATAAAATTGCTGATAATTCGGAACATGCGTTCACAGTCTCATTCAATTCTACGTTCCCTAAACCCCCTCCATCATGACCACTAGGATGAATCACAAGTTTACCTACCCTGAGCTGAACTATGATGCTCCAGTCAACTTTCAACCCTGCACTAAACTAACCATCTTTTTCCACAAGCCGGATGACCTATCTCCCGGCCAATTTTCCGACCACTGGGCCCATTTTCACGCCGATATCCTTCTAGCGATGCCTTTGTTCCGAAAACTGGGCTTGCGTTACAGCCAAGTACGTGTGACCCACCCAATCTGCATGGGGCCAAAAAGTGGATCAAATCCTAATCTAAAATTGGCATAGTACCATCAAAGCCCCGAAATGAAGGCACGGTTCAAGAGCACGGGCCTGGAGGGAATCAATCTCCTTGAACATGACGGATATGCCGAGCTTTGGTTCAGAACTTGGATGACTGGGTTACTTTTTCGTAAAGCCGGGAGTTAATTGATGCATTTGGCGACTGCGCTAACCTCATGAAGCTGCCTTGTTCAATCATGGTGGGATCGGAGAATCTCGTTTGGGGAGAGACAACCAGAACCATTGGTGGAAGGGACGGGCTGCTTAATGAATAGGAGTTGGGTACTGTAAAGCCATCTGATTCCCGGCCCATGATTTTAATAGGCTACAGATTACCAAGAAGCACTAAGTGCATTAAAAAGGGGCGATTATAGGCTGGTCCGTAGCACTGGAGTAGTCCAAGTGAGTACTCCTTACTCCGGAGTATATATGGATTGTACCAGTGACTATTAATAGAATATCGAAGAGCTACTTACCATCATAACGGCAAACCTATTTAAAAATTTGCCATGCACTACAGTGGATACGGTTCATAGGTGACACAAGATGCAGGAATGTCGATCATCAAGGTCATTCGCTACATGTGGTGGGGAAATAAAAGCTCACCCTTGCTTAGCCTTTTTTTTTCTTTTTTCAAGGGTCAGCATGTTGTAGAGATAGATTTTGCAGCTATATGCCCTATGGCCTTAATAAGGAATATGCCATTATGCAAGTCTATGGAATCATTTGAAGCAAATGTGCATAAATAGATACATAAACTGCTCCTACTCCCATGCTTTCATAAAGCCTTTCCTGACTTTCTTGGTTTGATCCTCTTATTATGCCTTTCGAAGACCCGACCAAGATGGCGTTAGCCTCGAAGCATTACACGCATCGATCTACCACAAAATGGAAGCTTCCGGTCAAGGAGATTTCCCTATCTTTCTCGACGCCAGAGACGTTGCACAGGCTGACATGCTAGCCTATGGGGATGCCATCTGCGGGGACCAACAAGCTATTGACATCATACTGTAAAGCAATTTTCGCTTTACTGCGCACCTATCACCTACCCCTGCCAATTTGGTCCATGTTTTTTAGTCAAGGACCGTCCCCATAGCTAGTCAACACACAAGTTCTTCCTTCTACTCTATTGACTCCTACGATTGGTAGCTGGGATTCACGAGGGATCGTCCACGTAGGCAGCGGTGTGTTGTTGTTGGAACGTCCTGCCTCGCGATCCTTGCTCCGATCTCACTGTGAGAACGCTGGTCCCTTTTACAATACGAGCCCATTTCCCCTCTTTAGATAACCGTCTTCCACATGGAAGAATAGAAGACCCACAAGCACTTGATATTGACTCTAGCAAGGCTGTCCTGAAACTAAACTTGTCTTCTAGAAACCTCAAAGAGACTTCGCTTGACTCTATAAAGTCAATCCTAGAGGTGGAAAAGTATCATCAGGGTATAAAAGCTTGAGTTTTCATTATGTAGAAGGCTTTCAGATAAAAGGCAATTTAAATTGAATGGAATAGAGCTAAAACTTCAGCTGTGTGTAACTTGATTGAGAATAATCATCGTTTATGTCGTCAAATTATGTTCGTTATAGCGCTGGGCGCTCGCATACACTGCCCAACCGTGAATATGGCTAGATCCACTCCATTAGAGCACTCTTAGGTCTTGTCGTCGCCAGTATTCTCAGTTGAACGACCCGATTCCACCCGAATTGGCACCGTTGGCACATGGTTTCGACTTCCCACCAGCGCTTGTCGCAGCCCTCGTCTATCCGTTGCTCGTGCCTGAATGTAACAATCTCCGGCTTGGGGGACAAACACACGAAAGCTGAACAATTGCCACTCAAACTGCTTCCGACGTGTTACACTCGCCTCACACCAAGTGTCTTCTTGGTCCAGCCTGATTTCCACTCTCACAATCTCGTCTGCTCCCCAAGCACGTCCCCAGCCCTCGACATAACCAGGACAATCAAATACTTCCTGCGGTTTCGGCCGCACAATAATCGAGTTGGGCTGCACCTTCCATACAGGCCTTTTCCGCACTCCCTCCACATCTACCGGATCAAGCTCGTTATAAAAGACGGTAGTGAACGCACCCCCTGCTCTTGTCTCCCGCACAGACAGCCGAGACAGCCACTTGGTGGAATTCGTCCCAAACCATCCCGGCACGACGAGTCTTACCGGCCCTCCGCGCTTCTTGCTCAGCGGCTGGCCGTTCATCGCATACGCCACCAGAACCTCCGGGGCCAGGGCCTTTTCCATCGGCAGATCCTTCTGATACCGATCCGCCGAGACCCCGCCAAACGTCCCCGAGTCCAGCCCGTCGGACCAAACGAACAGCCCTCGCCCGGGATGTGGCCGAGCAATGGACAGGAGATACCGCAGCGGAACACCGGTCCATTTCACGTTGCCGATTCTCCAGACATTCTTGGTCGGAGGGACCAGTGGACTGCCGTAGCACTCGTGGAAAGAAGTGACTGACTCGGCTGGCATCTGTCGGAGTTGCTCGAGGTTGAGGGAGAAAGGACGCTCCACGAGCCCGTTTATCACGAGGTGCCAGCGACTCGTGTCCACCACCGCTGCCCCCATGTGGATTGTTTGGAAGAGATCAACGTCGGCCGTCACGTCCTCGTACAGTTCATGGGGCCGTGGCGGTGGACGTATGAAGAAGCCTTTGGGTTGAATGTCAACCAGGGCTTTGCGCTCTGAGTCCGGGATGTCATCTTCAGGAGCTATGAAGTGGACAGGGGGTGGGCTAACATCTGCCATCTTTTGTCGAAGAATTCACTGTGAAATGTTCGAGAAGATGGACAGAAAAGTTGAGGGCAGTTCAGTTGCATTACCGCCGTTGCCGCAACACCCGAGCCGGGCGCCTTCCAGCAACATTCAACGCCCCACCGTCGATCATCGACAAAGAAAAAGGCCTGGCCATGCATGTTTTTCCTCCATCGGATTGTGCAACATGGAGGCCATTTCAGCACGAGGCAGAGATTTTGCAGCTCAGAATCCAACCTTTCTTTCAGTCTTGAGCGATTCGTGGGACTCGCAATCCAATCCCAATGGAATCGTCAATCTGGGCCTGGCGGAAAATGTAAGCATGCAATACACACTTTCGGTTTGGATGCGCCATTGATGTTGCCTAGACCCTCATGCACGGGGAGATGCAGGAATTTATGAACTCCAAGGTACTCCGTCTCTCGCCTACTCAATTACTTCATCCTAAATGACCTGTAGGTCCAAATCGACGCACATGCATTGACATACGGCGACGGATTCAGCGGCTCGCATCGGCTCAAAGAAGCTTGCTGCCAGTTCCTAAATCGTCATTTTTCTCCCTGGACTGTGCTCAGTCCCTCCAATCTAGTCGTTACATCTGGTGTGAGCAATGCACTCGAGTGCTGCGCTTGGGCGTTGGCCGACCGTGGGGACTATATTCTCGTCGGGCGGCCATACTTCAATGCGTTCAAGACGACCTTTGGAACACGGCCTGGGTAGGGAATGACACGGTAATCTCACTATTCAGACGGACTGATGCTTGCAGGGTTGAATTACTCGAGGTCGCATTCGCAACGACGGATCCATTCAGCTTAGCCGCAGTCAAGGAATATGAGAGAGCGTACGTGGAGGCCATAAGCCAGGGTCTCTGCGTTAAAGCGCTTCTGTTATGCTCGCCACACAATCCTCTGGGTAAGTTGGGTGGCTTACTCACATAGCAGTTGAAGTTTTATTGAGATCTTTCCTAGGTCGCTGCTACCCTGAAGAAGTCCTTAAAGAGTATATGAAGTTCTGCGCGAGAAACGGACTCCATTTAATCTCTGATGAAATCTATGCCCTGTCAACCTGGGAAAACCCTCGCCTTCCAGAAGCACCAGGTTTCAAATCGATATTGTCCCTGAATGTCAGGGGGTTGATGGATCCGAGTATGTTGCACGTTGTTTGGGGGTTAAGTAAAGTAAAAGACACTCGTTTAAATTGACCTGAAATAGCTCTGACTGCTCCCTAGGACTTCGGTGCCACAGGTCTACGAGTTGGTTGTTTAATTAGTCCATCCAACAGGCTGACACTGGACGCAGCAGAAGGCGTTTCGTAAGACCTGGTCCTTTGGCTAATGATCCTCGAGCGAGGCACTGACCTATCATTCTCATCTAGTTTGTATAATTTCCCCTCCAGCGTCGCCGACCAAATAGCCGCATCTCTCTTACTTGATCACGAATTCACCGAACAATATATCACAACCAGTCGGCGTCGGTTATCAACAAGCTACGATCTCGTAACCACCTTCCTCCGCACCCACGACATTCCCTACATCGAATGCAATGCTGCCTTCTTCGTCTGGATAAACCTGGGAGCAAAGACGGAAGGCCGAGGCATTACAGACACCGAAATCACGGCCCAACTCCGACAGGAAAAGGTATACATCGCAGCCGGCAAGGCTTACGCTGCTGAAGAAGCAGGGTGGTTTCGTCTGGTATTCGCGCACCCTCAACACGTGCTGCAGGAAGGTCTAGAAAGAATGCTTCGGGCAATCGACTCCATGGCCAATCCGTCATTACTCTAATCTCTCCGCATCCCTTCCTCTGTCAAACCCTTCGAGGTCACGACGGACCAGTACCTATCCCAGCACCCCGACATCACAGGTATCGTCGGAGTAGCGATCATCATCCACAACAACCGAGTCCTGCTCCTACAACGGGCCTCGGACGACGACCCTCCGGGTCTCTGGGAGGTTCCCGGAGGCGGAGCCAGTGGGGACTAGACCCCGGTATAATGCGCTGTGCGAGAACTCAGGGAGGAGACAGGTCTCGCGGCATCAGCTGTTTTGGATATGATTGGGGACTTCGAGTGGACTGAGCGAGAACCAAAAAGGTGGAAGATCTTCATGTTCTTGGTGCAGATAGACTGCCGTCACAATGGCCCTGAAGTCTAGATTAGCCAGCATGAGCACCAGTCATATCTGTACAAGAGGACTTATGCGACGGGGTTCCTTTGCGTTGGATCTTGTCCAACCAAAAGAGGGCGATACTTGCAGCTTTTGAAGAATCACTGCTATTCTAGGCCACTAAGTACTAAGTAATAGCAGGCGAAGCCGTATGATATTTTTGTATACTGTGTTTTATTGTACTCAATAGGGGATTACCCACTATTTTGTTTTTGACTGACAGTTAGGTAAAACTAGAGAGAAATGGAACCAGGATTGCAGGCGTAGGCGGATGGTCAGTTCTAACACTCCACTGAATGCTGTATCCCGTGGCGATTATCGGCTCTTTGATGGAGTTGATTGGCTTGTTGAAACTCCAGGAATCAATTTGGGTCGTGGAATATGTACTTGCAGCAAATGCAGACCAAGGATTTTCTCAGACCAAACTGGTGATCAAACGGGACTATAGATATAGTGCACAACTGTGAGCCCTCCCAACATCCAATGTCTCCATGGTCTAGTTGGTGTTATGACGGCGGTCTCATATTCAATATGACAGTCCTCCCAAGGACTGGATATCCGCAGGTCACGAGTTCGATCCTCGTTGGAGGCATTTTTTTTTCTTTTTCCTTTATAAGAAACCAGATCTTATACATGAACTCCGTAGGAGAAATCCTTTTTTTTTTTTTCGGCTTTGTTTTCAAGTTCATAGTGCACAGTGCGAGTCAGACCCCTCCCGTCTCATCGAAAACAATGACATCTTTACCCCAATTGGATTCGCCCTCTGTACTGGGGTAGAATTGACAGCATTTGTACAAATGGAGATTGTCCAATTTCTTTTCTTGGAAGGGTTTAATCTCAATTTCATCTCTATCTTTCTGCTCTGGCATTTATTTCTACCTACTTCTGCATTGCTGGCTTCAATTGAGTACCGACCGGGGCATTTTAACTTTTAGGTCCGTTATCACTCGAGATGTCTCCCTCGACAGGCCTCAGCTGCATGCATTTCTAGCAGTCCGGCAATCTTTCCTTTGGTTGTGATTAATGTTGAAATAGGCCTTGTGGTCGGCTTTTGCCTGGCTGGTATAGGTATTGCCTAGATCTCGCTGATCACAATTTCAACACCTCCATGGTATAATGTAAGAGGCCCGCACCTAGATTATTGCTCCAGGTCCTCTACGTTGGTCTGTTTCTGCTGTCCCAATATTGGTGAATATGGTTCAGCCACCCGAGAAGCCGGGTGCAAAAGGGTGTGGCCGGACGTAGCTCTTGTTGTATAGGTTGATAAGCCCTTGAACTTATCTACGGAGAAGAACATTCACGCCCGACCAACTCGTCTTTCGACTAGGTCTAGTTGAAGAGAGGATGCTGTACTTCCCGGCTGATGTGATTGCAGGTGGAACTGATATATTCATATAGTTTGGTAATTGCCAAAAGACCGATTATGTATGTACCTAAACCAAATAATGTGTGTGTTCTGGGGAATTGATTTTGAAGACATTGTCTCTCCTTCGATCATTCCAGTAATTAAATTGAAGCGACCTAAAATTGTCTATTGCTTCCCTTTTCTTGTAAAAAGAAGTGAAAAGCCAGCAGCACAAGCAGGTGGTATTTAGTAGTAGGTAGTATAGCCAACCAGCCAAATGATTTGTGTGGTGTGGGCCCAGGGTGTGAGGAGAAAAAACAAAAAGAAATGACTGAGACGGGGCTCGAACCCGCAGCCTTTGGTAGTTAACCCCAGAACCTTGGAAGGAACCGGAACCGAAAACCAACGCGCTACCATTGCGCCACCCAGCCATTGTTGAAGAAAGACCGTAAGATCAGATCTTATCAATGACCCTGCTTATAGCCTGCCGGCCATTATATCAGACAAAGTGTCGCAATGAAGTATATTTCGAATTGAAAGGGATTGCTGCCAACAGACAAATTCAATGCGCAAAGCAGCAGTAGTTTGGCTTTTCTACTAAAGTGCTGAGCAAAGCAGCTGCCCTCGTGCTGTTCAATCGAATCCCGGGGTATCCGAAGTGGATATATTGCCTGGTTGCCGAGCAGAAATTCGCTGAAATCGAGGCCGAAAACAAGAAGCTTCTCGCAGCGTACAGCAGGGTTCCAGTCCACAAGTTCACGCAGCCTTCAGGACCCCGACACCAACAAGACTTGTATCATTATGCAATACCTCCGGGGTGATACTCTTCAGAAACCTTGCCCTCGCTTAACACAGTTGAAGGAGCTACGATATGCTTTGATCGACGATGCGATCTCGAAGCTCCGGAGTATACCGCCACCGGATTAACTCGAGATGTTGCACCGTCAGCCCTATCTTGACTGTGTGTTTTGGTCTGAAGCTCTGAATCATAAGATATCAAGCCAGTTGACATGGATCTTGCCATCATCAAGAACCTTCGCCTGACAGAGTCAACCCAGTACGTTCGACTGTTGCGGGATATCGTTCACCGGACTCTCGTCAACCACCGCACTGGTTTCACCCACGGTGACCTGCAGCTGAAGAATATCACGGGGCTGAAAGGCTCGGAGATTGTAACGGATGCCTTAGTTTTAGGGGTATCCTGAGTTCTGGGGTTACTGAAACACTACAATCACCCGTGGGTTCAAACCCAACTGGCTTGAAATCGTGCCAGGTATTCCGACCAATACCCGGTAGAATTCCTCATAGTGCTGGTGGTGTATTCTTCTTTGTTTATCGGGTGGGAGGACAGTGAGAACTGGGGGCGTTATAACGGTTGCAGGACTGGGAGCTTGAGTATATATTTGAGCGGGCTCGGGTATATCCTGGTGAGTTACGTTATCCCCTTTGCAGTCTACCAACCAGCGACTATCGAGGATGTTTAGTTAGTGCAAGGTACACTATCAGCTGTTCAAACAAATGCTAAACAAAACGGCAGATGGATATCTCGAACGACGGCATACATTGGATGTTGTACCCAGCAAGATTTGAGGAGCCAACACTTCTCATGTCCACCACTCCCGGTGAGGGAGGCAAAAAGCAAAAAGCAAAAAAGAATGCCTCCAACGAGGATCGAACTCGTGACCTGCGGATATCCAACCTTTGAGAAGGCTGTCAGGAATATGAGACCGCCGTCATAACACCAACTAGACCATGGAGACAACTGGTTGAAAGCAAGCACCAGAATATTGCTATACAGGCCAAGGTGAAACGCCCACTGCTTCCAAACATGATAGAGGCATCCAATCAATCATACCGACTATTAGCCTTCCAAGGTGCTGTGTGCTGCCGCAAAGTCGAGAATGGCAATTTGCAATTTGTGACTTCTTGCTAATAAGTGAAAGGGGTTGAGAATTGGACTTCGAGGGATTGAGGGAACGATATTATTATTCTGACCTCTACGAAGTACTACTACGCCGGACATGCCATAAAAGCACGACTCCACCAGTTCATGGCTGGTAGAGACTGACTGAGTCGGGTGCGGTTCCACATTTCTCAAAGAGGTTTAGTCAACATGTTGCCCGCGGATTTCGCGATCTTTTCCATATCCCCACTCCACACTCACAGAATCCGCATGAGCGCAGAGCACCAGAACAAAAAACAAAAAAGGAAATGCCTCCAACGAGGATCGAACTCGTGACCTGCGGATATCCAATTCTTTTGAAGAACTGTCATATGTAGAATATGAGACCGCCGTCATAACACCAACTAGACCATGGAGACATTGGATGAGAATCAACCGTCAAAGTTTGGTTATATTAGGATGGAAGGATGCGGGTAGTAATATCACTCAAAGAGAAGTTCGTAGAAAGTGTGTTTACTTTCTTAGGGATTGAGTCGGTTGGAAATTGGCCGTCTGAGTGCCTACTATGGTTTCATGTGAGCTGGAAGGTTGTTGGACATAGTTATCGTTGAGGATTCTGCGAACTAAACCCTGGCGATTGGGTAATGAATAGTATTTGATGGCCATGGATATAAAAATATGTTGACTAGAGACCATGGAAAGCTTCGGTTTCGCAAATGAATGGGACAAGAAAGCACAGATCCTGTCCAGGTCCAAGAGGTTTATACGGCGATGAAATTGTCTCTCTCGAGAGAACAGACAATCCGTCATCTTATTGAACTTTTCCGTCCCGTGTAGCTGGAGGAGACAAAATGTCATGGAAATTGCCTGACGATTTATTTAAACCGACCATTCCTGAACCTACGCGTAAGTATATGTTGCCAGAGCCAGGACTACCGGGCGCGCATACAATACACTAAAGAGCACAACAATCACAAAGAGATCTACCTTCGCTTCATCCTGCTAGGCCTCGTATTACGATACAATATCGCCACTCCAGTATCATCGAAATATCCCGCCCAATCCTCCCCATCGTTCCCAGAGTCAGCGAACCAAAACCGTCCGTTCTCCAGAACTCAAAGGCACCTCTATCGTCCTGACCAACCCCATCCTCCCCAGCACGACCGACAAATTCAAAACAATCTGACCCCGCCGTAACAGCCATAATATTGCAATGTCCAGCCTCTTGGATCGTGGCTGCGCATCCGCGTGTTACTGTTACTAAACGGACAATTCATGCGGCTGGACGCCGACTTGGCCGGCGCCGGCATCATCTGTTCTTGCTGGTCGAGTGCGTGCCTATCCTTTGGTGTAAATTCGGCTGTAAGTTGGTTAATTACTAGCTGTGTATACACTTCCTCATAAAATAGCAGGCATCCCGACTCTTAGGCCCTAATTGAACTCGAACTGTTATGGTTCAGAGGAACAAGACGGGGGAGCAGCTAGTCTCTTGTATCATTTCGAACGGTGTGATACTTCGGCCACTTTGGGGGCCATTGCATGGTTTTGCCTTCATTATGGCTGGCACTAGTCCTATGGTTGTCGTATGTATGTCTATGCGAGAAACGATTTATATTTCCGGCAGGGTAACGAAGGGACTTTTTTTGGGGTCAACAGCGTTGGATGTGTGGATGGCATGGCCAAATACTCTTAGCCAAAAGAGAAAGGAAACCGAAAATTTAGATGATTCATCTGAATTAATTTCTTTTGTTGAGAAACAAACTACGTTGCCATAATTAGGGCCATGACCACCCGTGCGATTGCCTTCATCACAATATCCGAGTATTATAGTCAATCTTTCGGCCCTGTCCTTCAACCGAGTCTCCATGGTCTAGTTGGTGTTATGACGGCGGTCTCATATTCCTGACAGCCTTCCCAAAGGTTGGATATCCGCAGGTCACGAGTTCGATCCTCGTTGGAGGCAGGTCTTTCTTTTTGCTTTTTGCTTTTTTACCCCCACACACTCGTTTATCACATACAGCACTAACTGTACATCCCACCAATGTCCCTCCTGGCCATGGGATGAAATAAACCCTTTGTTTTGTCCATTCTGCAATACTAGAGTAGCACCCTGTGTTGCTGCCCCTGCCGCCCTCTTTCTCATGTCTGTCTGTCTGTAAATGCTTTTCTCAGCCGGTCTTCCGCATCTGATCCTACTTGACTAGCTGTCTTTATTCAGACCTCAGATGCCCACAAGTAGCTCGCCAATAGTGGGGTTCGTAAAAGTTGGACTTAACTAGTTATACGCCCAAGCCTACTCACCACGTTTAGGCTAAAATCCCCTCTATCCAATCAGCATGTTAGCTCATGAGGAAGAGCGCCGGGCTCATAACCCGGAGGCCCCTGGATCGAAACCAGGACATGCTATGTCCTAATTCTTTTTGTTTTGTGTTTTGCTTCTTCACTTGGCCACTGCAATTGTGGGACTTTCAAGGCGTATGGATACAAGATTCTGCTTCCATTCCGCTTGTTCCCAATTATGGCCTTGAGTGGCGCTTTTCTGATTTTTAAGCTGTATGCGATGAAGAAGACCTTTTGGAATATCCTGAAGATTGATAGATAGGGTCTTCGTGGTGGTTGGTTAGAAAAACTAGAGTAAAGAAAAGTAATTAGACAGCAAGTGATCATGGAAGAGACGAGTGAATGATCAAAGTTAAAAAGCCAGCCAAAAAGCCCCCCTAGGTGAGTGTCTCGGCACCGAGCGCGTTCCCTTTTTGAACTAATAATTGTAGAGTTAGGAAATGGTAGAAGATGATGAGAAAGGGGCTTTTAACAGTATGCTATGGTCTTAACCTGATATGATTCAAGGCAGTTTTGATTTATCTCTATTTGCACTTGGAGTAAGTACCCTTGACGACATGAGAAATGGTCGAATAATCGAATGCTTCATTTCTCAATTCAGTTTAGATTGATCTTGAGACGGGTTTCAAAATAATGAGATCGGCTCTTTATATAGATGATGCAAAACGCCTCTGAGGAGAAAATGATTTGTGTCTCTTTACACTTTTGTTTGCGGCTATGCCGAGGCGTCTAGTAGAGCGACTATCTGCCAAACTTTGTGTTTGAAGATGCAAACTTCTGATATAAAAACATAGAAAGAAATAACATAGCCTAAAGTTTCATTTTAATCATTCAAAAAGTAAATGATACATGGCGGTATGGCGATGCAGATGCAGAATGTAGTGACCAGCCTATGTATGCCAAATGAAGAAGGTGCAATGGAGTCGGATAGCACAACCGCTGCTATGTCAATTGAACCTGAAGAAGAGTTATTTGGGAAATATCATGTAAAGCAAATACCAAAGCCATAAAACTCCTATGCGTAAAGGTGAGTGCCCAAAATGGAAAGTTTATAGTAATCAAACTAATTCCGATGAGTATAGCTAGACCTGTCTGCCATTGCTTTTTTTGGAATAAATACTTTTAAACTCAATGTAAGGATATTGTTACTTCAAAACATGAATATATTATTCACGAGTCTATTCTTAATAGATTATATCTATATATAGCCCACCGCGCGTTTACTGGCCATACCAGACATGCCAAAGCCCGTCCCTATCCCCATACCACTCCGAAAAGCACTTATCGAGTGCTTCAGAGCCGCCGTCCGCCTGGTGCGACCAGAGCTTCGTCGCGAGTTGATACTCGTGGGTGGGCTGGCGAGCATCGCCCACTCGTCGGATTACTACACCGAGGACCTAGATGTCGTGGCGCCCGTCGATGTTATTGCCGACATCTGGAATGAGGTGATAAATGGCGCCCCTAACTTCGCCATGGAGCCCGACCATACTATTTCTTTCGATGCCAGCCAAGGGTTCCGCGTCCATATGGACCTCCTAGAAATGGGGAATAGCGCCATCGACCGCGTCGTGAAGGCCGAACCCTTCGAAGAAGGGTCAGTTGCGTCCGTAGCGGACTTGTTTAGGTTGCGGGCCATGTCGATCGTCGATCGTAGAAAAGATGGGGAAGATGTAGATTTTAGATGGTTGTTGTCGAAAATGGCTATGTTGGGCCAGATTCTACCAGAACTGGAGGAGGAGGAGATGGACTGCATCATCGAAGCCGGGGGGGATTTACTGGGGAAGGCTGATCGCCTGGCCTTACTGGCCATATTGAGCGAGCGCGATGCGCTGAACGTTTACAATAGATTAAGATAATTGTTTCTGAGTGATGAATAAACGCCCGTTCATGTCCTTCAAAGTACGTACAGGATATAAGCTGTCGACAAAGTGATCGACATAATGAATGAAAAATAACAGATCACCGTCTATCACTCTGTAACAGGTCAAGGTCAACAATCCATGCTGGCTGCATAGGAAAGTCTTCAGACCCTTCAATAGCAGCATTCACAAAAAGTGTATGGGCACCCGGCTGTAGGGGAGTGGCATCACCGGTACAGTGGCTTGTCTGGTGGCATGACTGGAATTTCCCGGCCTGCTTGACATTGGAAAGCTTCTGGATCACGACCGACTTCCCATTATCAATGTCGGTCAAATGCGATGGTTTTTCACTCAATTTACTCCGCCATCCGACCAGCTTCGCTCCCCAACCCCCATGAATATGGCCGAAACAATGCATGCGAGGTCTGGCTCGTGCGACCGCCTCGAAAAGCTCCGTAGAGCCTGCTCGCTGACCCGTGTGTGTATAGTCGAAAATACCCCGAGGTGGGCCATGTGTAATCGCAATATCAACGCCCTGCTCAATAGCAAAATCATGACCCTGTCGGGGAGAATACTGAAATCCCCAGAAGCTGTCCTCTAGGGAGGGAGTGTACGGACTGGCATAAACAGTCAACGAAGCGCCATTTTCGAGGGTAAAGCGATGGATACCTTCTCGCAGGAAATGAATACCAAATTTCTGTGCCTCCGTGAAGAGGTCCTCGACCTGGCCGTGGTAGCCGTATTCTTGTTGGATCTCTAGGGGATCCACGGACTGAAGGCGCCATGCTTCGTTGATTTTGTCCTGAAATATGGGGATGTCCAGGGTAAAGTCGTGATTTCCCGCGATGACCAGTTTAAGAGGGGCTTGTAGTTGTTTGAGGAGGGTGATGGCGGCCTTGAATTCGTCGAGCTTGGAGCCGTTGGTTAGGTCGCCGCAGTGGATGGCAACGTCAGCTGGTTCATGGGGGAGGTTCTCGCGACCATGGGTGTCCGATACGACAAGAAATCGAGTTTTGATTGTGGGTTCGGATAGACTGTCCATGATTATTTCTTTGGACGGAAATTTCGACTAATCTTGTGGGTGGTTGGGAGAGAGTAACGGAGGGAAGGTAGTTGGATGAAGCTGGAAAATGGTGAGTAGAAGTTGGGAGAAGAGTGGGGGAAATACCTTCAGGGTGACACATCGAAAAACTTTGGAATTTGGTCAGATATGCGTAAGATTTTGCAAATCAGTTGTAGGTACAATATTGTCCGCACATACGTCGACATGCGGTCATGGGCCGGAAGGTTGAAGTTTCCTCCTTAAGAGCCACGACAAATACATGTTTTCTATGGCGAATAGAATCTTTAGGTAGATAATAGATCTAATAGATCACCTTAAGAGATACCGTTACTATTCAATTACTTACACATATAAAGTCAAACCCTCGCGGAAGTATTCTTCCTGATTTATCTTGGATTCTTCAACTACTATGTATCTATAGAGGGAGAGATATAAGCTGCGTTATGTACCTCCAATACATTAACACCCTCACCCAATTTGAAGACAGTAACAACATTTTTTGTTTTTTTAATTCGAACATGAATACTCAGGTTGCCGGAAAACATGAATATCTTTTAGAGGCTTCCTCCATATCATTTGAAAAGTAATAGACCTTTTAAAGTGCCTAGATAGTCGTTCTATATAGAAGTATTATCATCTTGGAATAGGGAGATTGTCTGAGTGGTGGTATATTAGTGTGATACTGCAGATAGACGGCCTAGGGACTATGCCCGAATATAGTCTTCGTATAGGCAACGTGAATTATAACTGGAGTCTGGTTAACAGAATGGCCTGAATGTAAATGGGATTTGGCTATCGTAATTTTCCAAATCGTCCGAATGTAGTAGGTTTGTATGAATATGGAGAAGTAGGCTTAATGGACCCTCGTGACAGGCGGGCTTGGAAAACTAGACCAATGAGGTAGGCACCTCTACTTTAACTCCACTTCGGCTTCTTTGCCTATCCATCTACTTCATCCGTCTAGAGTGCAGACCGAAGAAAGTACTCAATGATACACATCAACCGACAGCTGTCAGCTTTGGAGTTCTCCATTTTGTCATTTTGCCTATAATTTTACTTCGATTATAATTCATAGAAATAACTGAGCCTGGTGTATGAGTATCTGCTATCTTCAACAGCTACTTAAACTTAACATTAAACTAGCTCCAATCCTCTCTAAGGACCCTTAGGCCCATGATGTATACTACTTTGCAGACAGAATGCACAAGACCATCCAAAGGAATCCTAAAAGAGTAATTCATACTTCTAAAATATTTGTTCTGCATTGAGTTAGTCTATCTCCAATGGTATTGGCTACTATACCTGGTTTCTTGAAACATATGCTAGATGTCGAAGGCGCAGATGTAAAGAGGGTGTTATGCGCCGGCTGTTAGATAGAAGGTCTTTCAAGAAACACACACCGAGAATTGTGAAGGGAAAGTGGAAGGCTGTTCATGAGTAATGTCGTATAATACCTATCAATCGAGCGATATCGTACAGCGAGATAGCACCGATGAAATGTATCTTATCCGGAAAGCCTCATGATGTACTCAACCGAGAAAATCCGTGCCTCTGAGCCGAATTCAGCTTGAGAAGTCTTGTGGCTCACAACTTTTGGAAGGTTTTTTCGCGAGGGTGGTTGGTGTTCATCGAATGTCTCCAAATTTTGATCCATGGTTCTTTCAACTATGAGCAGGCCCGAAATCAAATATACCCATTGACAATAATCATCCGCACAGCTGATGATTTCGACATCCACGCGATAGTGTTCAGTTAATGGCCTTCGTTGCGGAGCTGGCTGAATCGAAAATCAAAAACCGGTAGCTGGTATGGAATTGGTAAGTTGATTGTCTGTGCAACCTAGGGCTCCACATTCCTTTCGTCTGAGACAGTCGATCAACCGCACCAGCATAAAACGAAGGACTCCACATTGCATAGATAGTGCATATCGTGGGAAATATTGACGTCGTTGGAATGAGATGAGAGCGAAAGTTTGAATTGTTTCTATAACAAGACTTGGAGGCTTGGTAGAAAGTGGGGTGGACAGGCAGAGCAAGTGTTTTTAAGTCTGGAGCACGGAGGAATAACGGGGGATCTGCAGATCGCGTATAAAGTGCGAGCAGACAAACACGACTCGTTCTAGCGTCTCTCCAGCGGTGTCTTGCTGACCCAGTAGCAGGATGGCATCTTCGAAACAATTGCAGAATATCGCAAACGAGCATCACTATAGGCCCAACGGACTGTCTGCCGCCGGATGCTAAAATAAGCCTGCCAAAACTGACCAATCGCGTTCAATCATTCCATCAGGTGAAGTGGGCCCTGGTCCAATCCCATAGCCGTCTAAACGACTATACGGGCGTCGTACTCTAAACGACGATGGCAGACTTGGCGGGTCCTTCGGGGGCAGTATCTCCCAATCTGACATCAGTGCAGCTCGAATTATGCATTTTCTCTCCGGAAAGAAAGCTCCCTTTCTTCCTGCCTTGAAACTCGATCGCCTAACGGGACCACAAGCCCTTGGGTTGAGCCGTGATGTCCAATTGCAAGCCCCAAACCAGCACGATGGAGCCAGAACGCGTACATGCCAGGGATCAGTAAACCCCAAAAATATGCATGGTCCATCTAGTTATCACTTTCTTTGTCTTTAGTGCCGGCTACGTATATCTCTGGTCTTCTCCAGGGTCCATAAGACTTGGCAGTTTGGCCGCTCAGGTCTTATAAGATCCACACCCCTCTCTCTCCTCGGAGGCTTATACCAACAACGAACTGTCGCGCCTTTTAATTTCTCATTCTCTGTCTCTTAGCGGTTTTCGATTCCCTTCTAATTGCCTATTTTCACGCCATTCACGTCGTTCACGCCCGCCCACTCAGTCACCAAATCCCCCGCATAGACCACAGATACAGGAATGCCGCTCCCAGAGAACTACAATTACTACCACTTCCACCCCAACAAGGTCATCGGCATCGTCGCAACCGCCCTCTATGGCACCAGCGCCATATTCCACATCGTGCAGCTATGGCGCGCGAGGGCCTGGTACTTTCTATCCCTCCTCACCGGCGCCTTCAGTACGTCCCTACCCAAGCCCCATCCCAACAGCCCATCTAACCAACTCCAGTGATGACCCTCGGCTACATCTTCCGCGTCATGGGCGCCGAAGATCCGACAGCCTTCGGGCCCTTTGTCGCGCAATCGATCTGCATCGTGCTCCCGCCCGCCTTCTACGCCGCCACCATCTACATGACCTACGGCCGCATCGTGAACCACGTCGGCCGCGACGACCTCTCGCTCGTGTCCGCCCGCAAAGTCACCAAGATCTTCCTCTGGGGCGACATCACCGCCATCATCGGCCAGTCGACCGGCGGCGGCCTGACGCCCAACGGCGGCAGCCTGGCCAAGGTCGGCGACGGCATCACCGTGGCGGGTCTCTTCGTGCAGCTCGTCTTCTTCGGCTTCTTCCTCGTCGTGACGATTATTTTCGAGCGCAGGATGCACGCGGAGGCGTTTAAGCGGCCCTACCCGAAGTGGCTGGTCCTGATTTGGGTGCTGTTCTTCGTGTCGGCGCTGATTATCATTCGGTGCATCTTTCGGATCATTGAGTATATTCAGGGCGCGGATGGGTATCTGGCGACGCATGAGGTGTATCTGTATGTCTTTGATACGTTGCCCATGTTTGTCGTCCAGGTTATCTTTCACTTCTGGTATCCGGGTGATATTCTCACGCCGAGAGAGCCGCAGGGGATTCCGTTGACGTCGCAGGGCACGGGGTCGGATGAGACGGCGTAGATTGCACTGGTTTATAGTTTTATTCTTACTTCGTTCTAGGATGACCATGTCTGGGGCTAGGAGACCCAGTGTATAGATCATGAGCAGGGGTTAATGTCTGGCGTTCATTGCGATGATTTTCGGTATTGTTTCAACATTTCAACATGTGAGCGTTCGTTTATTGATTTAGACTTGAGTCAATGTTTTGCAGATCAGACTAGACAGACAGATAGATCGAGCGAATGAATGAATCAGTGATAACTGAACGCACTCTATTTGAGACCGTTCTTATAAAGGAATTAGGCATAGAAACTGCTAGCCACCGTGGCTACATCACTCCAGTGGACCGCTGGCACACAGCAGGAAGAAACAATAAACTAAAGTTATAAGTAATACATACAATTCAGCTCATGCCTATCCAGCCGTCTGAATCTCAGGACTCAGGTAGCAACCAGCTCTATCTCTATAATGATATCATACATGCAACCCTCCTGATTTAGGACTAGTGTAGTCTGAATAACGCTAGGTGCCTGGCCGTCTACCTATCCAGGGGCACATCTCTTTCCGAAAGAATCTAAACCGGAGCAACAAAGGCGATAGGGAATATTTGAGGACTGAAAAGCACCCTTCTATCAAACCGGTAGCTATCACCTCCAAACGCGCCTTGGCGTTATGTCAGTGACGGTTCTCTCGCGGCTTGTTGACCCTGATGTGTTAATTCCGAGGACGGAATATGCCAATGGTAGGGAAGCATATTGCTGTTCTGAACAGTGTGGACATCAAAATTAATCTATGGTAGGTATTGACATGAGCCGATTTACCCCTTGGGTATTCGAACACGCCGAAATCGCGGAGAGAGACTGCACCGAGTCATGGCCGAATGAATGGGGCGACTTCAAGAAAGTTTTCGGGCTTCTCAATTCATACTACACCGAGCTTAATGGGAACAGTCAGAGAGACTTAACACATGATTTGAAAAGAAGCGAGAGAACCAGACTACCCAAGAAAAACTGGAAGGTCTCGAGAAGAGAGTACTTTGAGCATTTCATGAGATCGCAAGGTATGATGCTGCGGGAGCTGGTGGAGACTATTTATCAGAACCTCAAGGATGCGATGCCTCAAGCTCCTCGACTTCAGTGAGTTTCTCAGTCATTATATCTGCTACGACTCTATGCTAATAGCTACGCTAGTTTCCCTGTGTCAAGGTTTGAACAAAAATACGTCATTGGTGGCCAACGGTATATTAGTCGACCGGATGGAGCAGCTATGGTTAGTCCGAAAGAGCGACGTTTGCCAATTATCTCCTTTGCCGGTGTACGTACTCCTGCCATCATCTTGTTTTACAAGTAACCTGATAAATATTTCAGTGGTATGAAGGGCAGACATGGAGCGAGTTTCTGGCAGAAATTCTGAGTATAATGCTGGGACAGCTTGCCAAAAACATCAGAGTGGATTTTCAAGACCAGGAGGTCTTTATCGTCGGATTCTACGGGCGATGTATCTATATTGCCCGCGGATATTTTACAACTGACTTGATCTCGCAGGTTCAACTCCATGGCTATACGGAAGATGAGACTATTGAGATACAGTTCACGCGAGGCTGCAATCTGTCATCGAGGGAAGACTGGCTTGAAGCTATGGATGCTCTGACAGGGCTTCTGCGATACCAATTGAGTGGGAACGCCATGGTAAGCGCGCTGAAGCCTTATTTGCACAACGATGCTAGTCCTAAAGTTTATGGTTAAATAGCTATTACTGGTTTCCAAGGACAGGGTGATTTTTTAGTTCCTACCATGATTTAAGGATTCCTTTCGTTGAAGCTCTCCCGTCCAGACAGAGACGTCAACATACCAGTACCCGGCCAACAACTCACATACTCAAAGAACTGCTGCTCCGGCGTCAAAACCAACACCTCATGATAGAACCTCACCGCCATCTCCTCGCCCATCTCCTTGGCGTATTTCATAAACCCACCGAAGATCCTCAAATGCGTCGGGTGCGACTTGCTCCACGCCTCCAACGAGGCCAGCTCGTCAAAATACCCCAGCCCAAAGGTCCGATCCACGCCGTTGCCCGCAGTATCCGTCACCTGCATGAACCGGTTACTGTAGCACCCCGTCTCTGCGCCGTGATCACGCAGGAAGTTCATCCCATCTGTCAGGGCCGGTTGCAGTTGGTTCAGATACAGCGCGCGCTCCTTCGCCTTTGCCGAGCGCCAGTCTTGTCCGGACCGAATCACAGCGAGGTTCTCCCTCCCAGGGACGCGAATACGCGCGGTCCGAGTATCCGATCTCTTGACACCGTCAGGGGAACGATGCCCCTTTTCGCCCGCCAATTCGTCGGTCTGCGATAGCGGGAGTCGATCGCGCATGCTCCCCCAGTACCCATGCTCGATGAGAGGCTTACTAACCGCTGACCGAATATTCGAGCTCCCCTCATGCATATCCGGGTGCGTAAGGATACTCTCGAAGCGATCGACAGACGGGAAGAAAACTTCCAGGAACCAGCCATGTCGCTGCGTCCTGGGATCTAGGGCCGTCCACCACGCGCGGAATCCGCTCGTCTCAGCCCATTCGTCGTACGTCTGTCTGCTGGGAAAGTACACGATCATGGCGATTGTGTAGGGGCCGGATTTGTCAACCACGGCTGCGGGTTCTTGGAGCGTGGGACGCGCGGATTCAGGCACACGGTCGGATCCAGTGAAGGATGAGATAGTCTGCATGGCAAGGCCGTCGTTGGAATCTGCCGATGCGTACTGTGCGCCCATGATGGCCATTACGAGGTCTTTGACTTTCTCTGGGTATCGCGATGTGAAGAGGGGGTAGGGGGGTGTGTGGTTGGGAGGGACGGTCGCTGGGACTGTGCGGGGTGTTCGCAGATTCTCGGGGATGGATGGTTCTAGTTCAGTCATGTTGGATATTGTTGATCAGTGAGGTTGGGATCAAGGGAAACAGTGAGATTTCTAAGGTATGTGGAAGACGGGGACATGCGATTGATATATGCTTTATAGGTTTTAGTGTGGGATCGCTAGACTTGGTGCAGGGATCAAGTAGCATATCAGGAAACGGGATTTGCAATCTGCTGAGTGTTGATCTGGCCGCGGCATGAGGCATCATGGAATGTAATATGCAGTCTGTACGTTGTCAGTGAGGGGCAGCAGCGGGGAAATACTCGCTATTCCTGCCAAGTCTCTGTTAAGTCATGGTCGATAGGAGATTACTGGTCCAGTTGCTGTGTGCATCAGTGGCTTTTATGAAACGACATGCGAGTAGCCATAGCAAGGGCAGGTGAATGAACAGATTAAAATTGGAAACAGGGTAATTGAAATTAGCTAGTAAATAATTGGTGACTTATTTGTGTATGTGGAAGATACAATCAGGTGGAAACAAGAAGGTACTCGTGGTACGATCGATGTTAGAAATTATAAAAACCCCTAAAAAATATCATATAACCCCAGGAGGTGTATGAACAATTTAAACCTGGAATAAGTAGAATGCAAATATTAAATCCTGCTGTCCGATGATATCACGTGCCCTCGCATCCAGCCGAAGCGATCGCGTTCTTCGTGTCGGAGTTCCTGCGTTGATCACAGCCGCATCGATGCGAAACGCCTTGCGGACTCAAACACCACGGTCGCTCAGACTCGAGGTCTCATGATGCCCTCGGATGAGATGGCATCGTCAAAGGTTCGCAGGGCGCATCGCAAGACGCGAACAGGATGCACTAATTGCAAGAGGCGCCGCATCAAGGTACTAGTGGCTAGTGCCAGCATCATCATCTCTATAGCTCCGTTGGTTTCTGACCTAGATCACAGTGTGATGAACAAAAACCGTCCTGTTCCAAATGCATCCAACGAGGCTTCAGATGCGGATATCTCACCCGCCATCCCGAATGTGACTCCCCCGTGGCTGCAGCGACAGACTCACCCCAACCCCCAGCTCCCACGCATGAGCTCCCCATGAGAGAGCTGCAGCTCCTGCATCACTTCACCACCTCGACGTACGCCACGCTCTCCCCGCGTGGCCACGTCAAGACCATCTGGCGCGTCACGGTGCCCAAACTAGCCTTCTCCAGCGACTGTCTGATGCGCGCCATTCTCGCTCTATCGGCGTTGCACCTCTCGCGACTCGAAGGGGACCTCGACCATCAAGCGCACGCCATCGGCTACTACGACGCGGCCCTCCGCTCCTCCACCCTCGCCATGCTGAACATCTCCCCGGAAACCTGCTCCGCCCTGTACGTCTGCTCCGAGCTGATCTTCATCTTCCACCTCGTCCACCCCTACCTCTCCGGCAACCCACTTCTCTCCCCCAACAACGAAGTCGCACCCTGGCTCGTTCTCCTGCGTGGCATTCGCACCATCGCCGACCCCTTCCGCGACGCTCTCCTCACCGGCGTCCTAGGGCCCATGTTCGGCACCGAGCCCTCAACCCCCGACACAGTGATCATGGACTCGCTCGACACGTTCACCGCGCATCTGCGCAAGACGCACCCCGAAGCTGACTCCGACCTGCACGCCTACCTCGTCGCCATCGAGGAGCTGCGCCGCTGGTCTGCGGGCGTGGACGGCCACGGGTTCCAGTGGGCGGTGTACGTGGACGAGAGCTACATCTCGCTTCTGCGACAGATGAAGCCGGCTGCTCTGGTTATTTTTGCGCATTTTGCGCGCGTGGTTAAAAAGTCGGACTCGAATTACTGGGTGCATGGGTGGGCCGATCGGCTGGTGGGGGTGGTCTATGGGACGTTGGATGAGAGTTATCGGTTGTGGATTCGGCCGGTGTTAGAGGAGATGGGGGTGGCTAGGTAGATTGATTAGAGGTCTTTGTAATATATCCTTGAGGTTGGTTTAATGAGATATGATTCTAGTCCAATCTGCTAGGTTAGAGTAGAATGCAGACACCGACGTCTGCTCTGATAGTTCAACCCGAGTTTACTGCACCGATTCTTACTACATAACCCTTCAAGCCATCAAACATATCACATTCCTCATAACGGTATAGCATAGCAGCCGACAAGAAAACATCTACTGAAACTGAAACTCCAACAGCGACTGAAACGCCCCCGCCTGCGCCCCCGAAGTAACACCGACCAGACGAAACCGCTCACTCGCGCGCCCAAAGATGCGCTCGAAATCAGCCACCGTTCTCTCGCGCGCATTATGTGCCGCCAACATGAACTGATCCTCAATCCTAGCCTTAAATTAGCATCGACTCACTCATCCAACGACCAAAACCCCGATGAACATAGAAAGAAGGAACCAAACTCACAAAATCATCTTCTCCGTCAACCCACCCAGCCTCTTCGCCGGCGGCTCCGGCAAAATCCCCTCGCTGATGAACACGCGACTGCCCTCCCTCAGCGCGGGCACTAACGAGCTAATAATAGCCAGCGAGTCCTCGTCGTTCCAGTCGTGCAGGATATGTCGGAAGATATAAGCGTCCGCGACGACAGGCTGCTCCGTGAAGAAGTTATGCTTCATGAAGCTGACCTGGTTCTGTAGGGCTGTGTCGCCGCTGCTCAGGACTGCCTTGCGGCCCATTTCCAACGCGTCGGCGTTGTTGTCTTGCACGATGAAGGTTGCTGTGGGTGCCAGGGGCGCGATGGTGAGCGCTGTGTGGCCGGAGGAGCCGCCGACCTTTTTCTTTCTGTCAGCTTTTACTCCATAGGGATAAAGTTAAGGGGGTATATAGATAGATAGAGGGCATACATCTACAATAGTCCCCCCCGCCAACGTTCCCCAGTCCCACGCCGCACGCAACCGATCCATCGACCACAGCGGCGTATTCACCCTCCCCATCAAATACTCATGATACTTGCGATTCAGGACCTTATCGGCGGCGAAGAAATCAAACAGGTTCTGATCCGTGCGATACGCCAGGTTGAACGCCGTGTCGGGGAGCTTGTCGCCGACGCCGGCGCCGTCGCGCTCGACGACCATCTTATCGGGGATCTTCATGAGGATGGCGCCGAGGAACTCGGTGAAGTGCACGATGTTGCGCAGGTGGGGGGTAGTGGCCAGGGCTCGTGAGGCTGGCGAGTGCGCGATTTCGTAGGGCGCGGGCTCGGTGAAGACGCCGTTGGAGATGGCGAAGCGGGTGGCGCGGTAGAGGATGTCTTCGGGGAGGTTGGTGAGGGTGGAGAGCGCGGGGATGGAGATTGAGGAGGTGAGAGGGACGTGTTGGGGGACTTCGAAGCGAGTGAGGAGGTCGATGTTGGATGTATCTGCGGCCTGGGGTTTGTTAGTGGTGAGGTGAGGTGGTGAAGTTAGGGCTCGCGATGTATGGATGCTTGTATGTATGGATAGGTGATGGATGAACTCACCGACCAGGCAAGGCCGAGGACGTGGTCTGTTGGTCCCGATGCCAGATACAACAGGTCCTTTGCGGCCCGGATGAGTTCATTGCGTACGGCCAGAGGAGCAACGCTGGTTAACTGGGCGCTGGTGTCCAGCGTGGCCTCGAAGCCATGCTCTTTGGCGATGGCGGCCAACTCGGCCGATTTGGCCTGGATGGTAGATGCTAGAGACTCAAGCGACATGTTAGACGGCTTCCAGTACTGTTGATAAGCCGAGTTAGAATTTCAGGCTCTTGCGTACTTTTTGTTCCCTAATGCTCGCTTCATCCTGGAAGATAAACCCATATCTTCAATCGCATATCGGAAAAGACGGGGACAACTCCCAACTCCAACTCCCGATAGCCACACGTTATGACAGGGAAAGATGTCGCGAGGGGGCAAATGACCGATTGGTCGGTTATTCCTGCCCGGTGAGTTGTTTCGAAACGGGGGTTAATAAAGGCCTGCGATAACACTAATTAATGCAGCAACTAGTGGCAAGGATTGCGCCGGACTGCGACGGCGGTGGCGCCGATCCCTGTCCTTACGATCCTGACGGAACAGTCACATTTAGGGGCCAAGGGAATTTATTTCCGCTAATATGACCCTGCAGAATGTCGATCGCGTCGTTTTCCCTCTTTTCTTTTTCCGCTTTGGATACGGGTTTCAGTTCAGAGGTCTGAGGGAGACCGTTGCATTATCGACGAGCCCTATAGACCTTCTGACTTCATCACAAGTCACCTCGCTATGCCACCTCGCATTCGTAAACTTTGTCTATCGGCGCATCTCAAGCTGCTACCTCCTGTCCGTAAGCCGCATAGTTCGCGGCATCGGCCCTCTCATCCAGCGGACGTGTCTCCGGCACCACCAGCGCCTCGTGATCGCGTAGAGCCTCGCGGCATTTCTCAAAGACGTCGAAACTACTGTCGTCAGCAAGCCACCAATATCGCAATTAATTCAACGGGGCACAATGCATGGATCTCACCCGAAATCATGCGCCAATCGCTCCGCAAACGTCTGCGGCACATCTGTCATCATCAGTCAGCTTTTTGTCATGCCCAATGTAACATAGCAAGTAGCATAGATAGGGTAAAGGATAGAAGGATTCGTTGTACTCACCCGCCCCAGGTGGATCCGCGTACCGTCGCAGCTCCGTCTGAATCTCACCCTCCTTGCCGACTCGCACGCTGGACATCAACTGCGTGCGTGCGACGCGGAGCCGGCGCACTTTTTCGAAAAGTGCGATCCGTGTGGCGATCTCGTCGGCGGAATGCACTCCGTCGAAGAGACAGCCTAGGGCCCCGGCGTCTTCGAGGGCTTGGTTGGCGCCTTGGCCGCTGAAGGGGAGCATCTGTAGGAGTTAGTGTGTACCTCGTGTTTGGCTTGGGGAGGGACGCACTGGGTGTGCGGCGTCCCCGATGAGGAGGATTTTACCCCGATTCCAGCGAGGGACGGGGGCGAAGATGTTCAACGGCCAGATGGTTACTTTGGGCGCTTGACTGGGCTGTGTTAGCTACTGGACCTGGGTAGAGATCAGAGGATAGATACCTGATAACGTGTACCAAACTGGGATGGAAATGCCCGAAACGCTGCACCATCATGGCCTTGTAGTCTGTTCACGTTAGCATACCATATCTCTTCATATCCATAACCCATGAAACCAAGATAGAAAGATAGAGAGAAGGAACAAACCATCCGCCTCACTCCCAAACCGATTATGAATCCCCACGAAATTCTGCATCTCCCCACTACCATAATCAGCCCATCCCATTCCAACCCTATTTGCAAGAAAAGCAAGGGGAATACATACTTCTGACAATCATACCAAACCATATGCTCCATGGTCTCTCCATCCCTCGTATCCGCCAACACAGAAGGCCCATACCCCTTAACCCTCACCAGCTGCTGAAACGATTCATCGCGCACCAACACCTCCGTCGGCACCTGGAACCGAAACGCACTGAACCCCGTCCGCGCCGGACTCTCGACCTCATCTCCCAGCACAACGCTCTTCAACACAGAATGCAGCCCATCTGCCGCGACTACAAGGTCCACCTTCACCTCCTCCCCTCCATCAAACCGTAAAACCCCATCCTGCGGATCCGCCGAAACAACCCTCCGCCCAATATGAACATTGACACCTTTCCCCTTCGCAACGCGATACAACTCAGCGTGCAAATCCGCGCGCTGCATCGTGTACAACGGGGCACCGAACCGCTCCTCTGCGTCTGAGAGATCGACGCCCGCGACGTGGCTGAAAGTCGGCCCGTCGCGCAGCTCGAAGACGGATTTGGGTTTTGCGCGTGCGTTCTCGAAGTTGAAGGGGAGGGTTTGGAGGATGCGGATGCCGTTCGGGGCGACGACGAGCGCGGCGCCGAGTTCGCTGAGGAAGGAGGATTTCTCGAAGACCTTTTCCCCTTCTGTTAGGTTTGGGTCATGGGGAAGGGGACTGGTGGAAGGAAGGGGAGTACCTCGACGTGGTGGCCTGCGTTGCGGAGGGCTGTGGCGGCGCTGAGACCGCCGATTCCTGCGCCGACGATGGCGATGGTGAGAGGCATTTCTGAGGTGGGTTATTTGTATAGTTCCTTGTTACTAGTGAGTCAGGGAGAAAGTTATGGTGCGGATTGGAGAAAAAGGGTGGGTTGTGAAGTTCACGGGAATCGGCACGTCTTATATCCTGTCAAGGTCATCCTTAATTTAATCGCCGACTAGTCTGTTATGCTGGCGTGGTCTGATTCTAAACTAGACTGCTCGGCCCGATGCCGATGGTTGCATTGCTTGTATCTAAGTACATCTCGACTTTCATGCGTGATAGGTCGACTGAGCTCCCAATTGAGCTACCTAGGTAGAAAGGTAAATGATGTTGTCTTTTTACGGTTTTAATCCAAGGTCATATCATAGCATGAGTCCAAAATATTTGACAAAAATTCCAGCTTCCTAGACATCATCTTGTGTCACCAACTCTAACCAAGCCAGTCCTGGATAGATTGCGCAATCGCCGCTCCCACGTTTGTAGTCTGTAGAACATCATCGTTAGATTTATGCACAGCAAGGAAGCATAGCAAAACTCACCTGTGGCGCCTGCATCATGCTGAAATGACTCCCCGGCACTGTCTGAATTGTAATACTTCCCGCCGGGATCAAAGCATCCCAGCCCTGGGTATCAAGTGAACCTCCTCGCTTGACCAACCACTCCACGATCTTCTGATCATAGTCCAGATCAACTGATGTGATATCCAGCTCTTTTTCTAATCCATCTTTCGCCCAAATGAGCGTCGTCGGAATCCCTTGACCCAACGGCCCTGGACAATACCGCTTCACCGCTCGAATCGTCCGCTCAAAATTCTCGATCACCCCGGCACTCATGACTCCCGTCCCGGCGATTAAATCCAAGATCTCGCGTGGCATGGCATCAAATACCAACCGACAGGGCGAGTCAATCAGAAGCAGCCCCGCAACCTGCTCACCTGCTTCCAGCACCTGTCTCGCCGCTTCGAAAGCAAACATTCCGCCTGCCGACCACCCGCCGAGCAGATACGGCCCGCGAGGCTGCCGGGCCCGCACCGCCCGGAGCATTTCCGCCGCGAGCGACTCAATGGTAGCTAGGTGACTGTTGGCCGAGTTTAGCAACGGGCTGTTCAATCCGCAGACGCGGGTGTTGGGCGAAATCGGCGGGATCCGGGCATACGCAGTGGCGAGCCCGCTTCCGTCCGGAAACAAGAAGAGGGTTTGAACTGCGGAGGCTGCATCTTGGAGGATGATCGAGGGAGGGAATGGGAGAGAAGAAGGGCTTTTCTTACTCGTTTTCTGCGGGATCTTGGGCGAAGAGCAAGCTGGCTTCGGTGCCGCGCCGAATTGAACGCTCAGGGCATTGTGGATGTCTTTTGTCGAAGACAGGTCGCCGAAGAAGTCGGTGGGAACATGGACTCCGAGAGTTTCTAACGCAGCCGTGATTGATATAGCCATCATCGAGTCAAGACCAAGAACTGATAGGTCGTCGGTGGAGCGGACCTCTTGGACATCGACGCCGATCTCGTCCGCGATAATGGTGTACACTTCTAGAAGGCGGGCGTCGACAGAATGACGGTCTGATTCGTCCTTGTATTCGCTGAGAGGTGGTGGAGTTGCTGGTCCAGGACTAGCAGAGCCAGGGGTCGGAGCGCCAGTTGTTTGATCCCGCAAGATGCTCTGCACGTAGTCCTGCATCTCGCCGAACGTAGGGAAATCAGTGAACAACGAGGCCGGGAGCTGAATCTCAAGCGAGCCCTGAAGCTGCGACAAGATTGTCATCGAGAGAAGTGAGTCAACACCTAACTCATTGAACCTGCTATCATCAGAGAGCTCATTCGTCGAGATGCCAATCTGCGACGCAATCAATGCTTTCAGGTCAGGCATTCTCGGCTCATTCACCTCCTCCTTGAAGCTCAAATTCTTGGACGTAAGGTAATCGACATTCTTCGCTTTCGGTTCAATGCGCGCCGACTGTTTTGAATTCGTCGCACTGGTTGAGCTGGATGAGAGGATTTTATCAATCAACGCTCGCGGAATCCTCTTGAACTTCACGTCCCCACAGCTAGCGACCATCCGGTCGCCCTGGAAAACAGATACATCACCCGCAAACACACCACTGTCCCCAGGGATCATTCGCACATGCGCTCGGTACGGCAAATCCGGACGGATTTCCTCCGCGATCTGGTAAGTGTCAATGCCATGGGAAATGTAGGTAAATTCGCGTGGATTGACAGTCCCGATGGCATTCATCACGAAGCCGGCAATCTGCGCAAGATTGTCCAGCCAGAGCGGGGAGCAGAAGAATGTTCCAGCATCGCTACCCTTATACAGCGACAATGAGACGACTGCTTCTAGCTTCTCTGAATCAACAATGACCTCTTGCATGCCGTGATACTTCGTGTCGTAGTCAACAACTGTCGAGAACAGCTTATACACCATCTCGTGAGAAATGCGACTTGTGATGCCTCTGGCTACACCTCTTTCGAGGTCACTCATTCGTTCCAGAACGAGATATGCGTGCTTGTTCCAAGTTCGCAGCCATACTTGCGCATCTCCAAACTCAACGTGGCAGGTCGCGTTATTATCCACTTCGTCAGTTTGCGAATTATACATGCCAACTTGTATATCGACACGGCCGGATCTCAGATCTGCCTGCCCCGAAATGCGCAAGAGCTTTGGTTGATTCGGTCGCTCGACTGGCATTGTTACAGGCTTCATCATATGCAGGTCGACGACATTCATGCCAGAGACTGGACCATCGAACTCGAACCTCTCGCGGAAGTAATTTGCCACAGTCAAGGCGATATCTGAGAAAACACCCTAACGTTAAAAAGCATTAGCCCTGTATACGCGCCCAGAAGAAGGTTAGGATATACTCACCGACGGGCACAGCGCCACGCCATTCAGCACATGTCCTGCAATCAAAGAATGAAGAGCTGGATCTGCGAGATCCGACTCAAACACAGCGGAGGCCTGTTTGCTCTCAACTTCCATTGTAGAAAGAACTCGTTGCACGGTGGTCGTCAACGGCTTTGCTGGTTGATCCACATGGGCATTTTTGTCCGCATTCCGTTGCAATAGCCAGTTACCCTTGTAATCAATCCAATACTTCTTTTCGTCGAACGCGTAAGTAGGGAGGTTCAATAGCCTCGGGTGATCCGCGAACCCATTGTGATACTCATTCCAGTCAATTTCATACCCTCTGTTGTTCAGCGACGCCAGCGTCTTGCACGTTGTGGCGAACGGTTCTTCTTTCCGTCGAAGAGTCGGAAGCAGGCGTTCAGGGGAGCCCAGTGTCACTCCGATCATCCCGAGGCATACTGGATGAGGGCCGAGTTCGAGGAACACTGACTCTGGTCGCACAATTCCCTTTGCTTGTCCCGCTTCCAGAGCACCCACAAAATTGACTGGCTTTCGGGCATGGAAGGCAAAATACCCTGGCGTGAAGTGGTCTGATCCCGTAACTTCTTCTCCCAGTAAGGTTGACAGGACGGGAATTCGCGGGTAGCAAAAGGTAATGTGTCTCGCTGCAGCTTTGTAAGACGCCAATATTGGCTCGACCTGCGCGGAATGGAATGCGTAAGGCACATTGAGCATAGTACACGTTATACCATTCGCTTTCAAGTGTCTCTCTGCGTCCTGAATTGAAGCACCGGGGCCACTCAAAACCACATCCCGGGGACTATTGAAACAAGAGATCTCTAAATCTTTCATCTGGTCTTGCAAGGCACTGTGGACACTTTCCGCTGACAGATTAACAGCCAGCATAGCATGTGTATCACTGGTACAGAGTGACTCCAACAGAGAGGCACGTGTACCAACCAGGTACAACGTGTCGTTGGCGGACAAAACTCCCGCTGCATACAAGGCTGCGTATTCTCCAAGACTGTGCCCGATCACTGTGGAGGGTGAGATATTCCACGACGACCAAAGCTTGAAGAGAGTCATTTGAATCGCCACATGACAAATTTGAGTTTGCACTGGTGAGATATCATTCATTTTTCCTGTACCATTGACCACATCGCCAATGAAAGGGGGAAATCCTTGCTCTGTAGCAATACGTTCGAAGCGAGCGAGCTCCGTCCTGAAGAGTGTATTGTGCTCAAAGAATTGCTTCCCAATTCCGTGGTAGAGACTGCCTTGACCGGTAAAAACAAATACGAGATTGGGTGTTTTTGAGGATGATCCGAAGTCTTGCCTTTCAATTATGGGCCCTAATTGCGCCTTGACCTGGTCAATAGCAGAGGCCACAATAGAAACCCGGAGCGGGTGTTGCACTCTTCGTGCTGTTGTCGAATATGCCAGGTCAAGTAGACTTGTCTGCGGATTCCTTTCGAGATAAGCAGCCACATTCCTCAAGTTCCCGATAAGTGATGTTGCTGATTTCGCCGTGATGCTGACCAAGTGTTCACGCTCGATGGGCTTACTTATCTCCAACACCGAAGATCCCTCTTCAAGTAGTAAGCTTGAATTAGTACCTGCGGCGCCAAAATTATTGATAAGAATCTTTCGTTTGCGACCAGCCCGAACAGAGAATGGAACCAAATCATCAGCAATCCTCACTCTTCGCTCATTCAACGCCGGGAACTTCCGGTTAAGTCGTCCGCTTTGAACGCCGACGTGAGGCGGAATGTTCTCTTTCTGAAACAGCAACAGCGCTTTTATCAAGGCTGAAATACCGGAAGCCGACTCCCCATGTCCAATATTTGCCTTCAATGAGCCAACATACAATGGCCGATCTGCAGGTCGGCGAGGGCTCTCCGGTGCCAACACATTTGTAACGGATGTCATCTCCACAGAATCACCCAGCTGGGTTCCCGTCCCGTGGAGTTCCGCATAGTCTATATCGAAAGGATGCACGGCTGCCTGGCGCAGGACCTTCCGGAAAAGAGTCTCCTGCGCCCCCGCATGAGGTTGTGTGATTGATGCAGCGTACGCGGAATAGTTCGCGCCGCCAGCCAGGATGACGCCAAGGATATTGTCATTGTCTGCCTGAGCAGCGTCGAGTCTCTTCAGAACAACGCTTGCAACGGTCTCACCTCGACAGTAACCGTCCGCTTCGTCGTCGAAGGTCTTGCAGGGTCCGTTGTCGGACGTGAAATGTCCTCGAGCAAGGCCATTGTACATATCGGGACTGTTGAGAAGCATCATTCCGCCAACTACGGCGGTGTCGCATTCGTTGCTCCAGATCGAGGTGCAGGCAAGGTTGAGTGCTGTTGCACTTGATGAACAGGCAGTGTCGACGCTGAGACAGGGTCCTCCTGGAAGCAGCATAAGAAAGCGTTTTTGACTGGAAGTCAATGGGGAAACTCACCAAGTTGGTTTGCTCGTGAGACGCGTCCCTTAGTTTTGATTAGCAAAAAATAATCAAGCGGAAACCGGGCAGCCAAAGAATTAGATGAGTAGACTTACAGGCCCAAAGGCCCTCACAACACCCGACACATAATACGTATCGATATCCTGAACAATATTCACATCTTTATAGTCATCCGTCGTCTGACCATAGAAGCTCCCGACCCGCTCCAAACGGGTAGACGGCGTTCGGCCCGGCACATAGCCTGCCATTTCCAAAGCCTCGTAGGCCGTTACCAGGGCCAGTCTCTGCTGCGGGTCCGTCTGCATCGCTTCTCTGGGTGACATGTTGAAGAAGCGGGCATCAAACATGCCGGGACTTTTCATGAAGTTACCGTACATCGATGCGCCTTTGTCGCTCGAAAGATGCGTTGCGGGGTCGAATCTGTCGTTTGGGATCTTTGGGTCGTTTCATTAGTATGAAGATTTGTGCAAACATAAGCAGGCCTGACTCACCACTTTGTGGCAGTCAATACCATCTGCAAGAAGCCTCCACAACTCTTCTACACTGTCTGCATCGGGGAACCTGCCTGCCATCCCGACGATCGCAATGGGGGTATTTAGTGGCTCTCCACTATGGCTCGTTGTAGAGTGGGTGCTCATGTCTGCTAGCAAAATCTCTACATCGGCCCCAGCGCTAATAGCAGCGACCAGTGACTTCTGAGAGTGAAGAGGGCCAAAGCATTGGGTGTTCCATTTGGTGTGGCCAATAGAATGCACACTGGAAATCGCCCCCTCGATGATGTTGCTCCATTCGATTGGCTTAATCAGAATATCCTCAAGCACAGCGTTCAATAGACCTCGACGACTGGTCACCGGAATACTGGAGCCGGAGCTTGTTGACAGCATTTCCGGTTGCTCTTTGTGCCAGGTCTCGGTGCTGTATGCATATTTAATTGAGCATGAACTGTCCATAAGCTCAAGCACGTCCTTTTCTGTGTAAAGATGCGAAGCATGATATGGTGCATAGATGGCGACAGGGCGTCCGGAGAGGTTTGAGCTAACCTCTTTCAGGTTGATCAAAGCTTGCTTTAGTCTGGCCAGTGTAGTTGGTGGTCCTTGTATCGTTGTGGTATTCTCAAAGCTTGCAGAGACATATGCTTGCTTCCTGTGAGGAATTCCCTGTCCATCGGTCAACTTCCATTGGGTCAGGAAGCCACGCAACAACATACCAAAGCTTCCGGCGATAAATCCAGAAGCTGCTTCTCGATAATTTTGTTCTCCACAGTAAGAGCCCACGAGGCTCCATCAGTATCATATTCCAGGTCATTTCGGACCGTAAAAACCAAGCTACCCAGGTTCAATGCGAGTCGAACAGCCTCGACCGCAAGAGGAATAAGCTCGAGTAAATTCGATGACAGGCTGATAACCGAGGCAGATATTTGTCCAACACATAGTCCAATGTACACTGTGCTGTGTGGGCTAGGGTAGTCGGCGTGAGGATGTGTTTCGTACCAGCTTTACTATAGTTAGCCAAGGATGATCTGGGCTTACAACAGACCACTCACGATATAAACTGGCCTAATTGCGCAATCAGGAGGAGGGCTGGCGACAGCACCCGAAGACTCGATGATTTCCCATGTTGAGGATCTGTAAAGTCATACAGCTCTGTAAATCTCCTAGCATCTTGACGCACGTGCAGTGGAAGGTGTTCGACGCTATCTCGAAGCACATTCTTTGACAACGTAAGAAATCTGGAGAGAAGTGTATCCTTGCGCTCGGACTCCAGCAGCTGTGACAGAGCCGAGATGACAGACGTTGAGGTGTCTCCGAAGAAGAGAATAGTTCCGGGACGCTCCATTGTGTTAAACAGTGGTGTTCTTTGTGAAAGATAGTGTAGAAAAGACAGAGGGGAGCGGTGTGTGGCCAAGTCGAAATCTTTATGTACTTTTATCTTCCTGGGTTGGTTCGACCTATACCACCGTTTCATATCAGATTGATATGCCAGGGTATGAACGGAGCTTACCCAATGGGGTCATATTTTCTTTCTTTTTCGATGACGCCTTCATCCATCCGCTGTATCCACTCGCATCCTGAATCCTCATCGTATCTCTGCCGCTACGGAGTAATCCGTAATCTGCATCCCGATGCGTTTTGAGTGCAATCTGAGTCAGCCAATCCTTCGGGCGTTTTCACCTTAATTGCGCTTGCGAAGAATTAAAGGGATCGATGATAGCCCCCGTTATACCAGTGCAGCTCGGAGAATGCCTGCCCTTAGCGCTGACAAGATAAGCCGTTGGGTTGGGTTGCAGGAATGTCGCCGGACGAAACTAACCAAAGCCGACGGAATATGCAGAAGGACGCCACTTGCACCAAATTAGCGTGCATGATCGAATTGTTCTGCAGGTTATGAATAATCAAACGATCACACCTATCAAGACGCATTGATAAGCTCGGTTTTATTGGCTGCTGTTGCAAATCTCCCACTGAGCCAAACAAGGGTCAACCCTAGTTCACTGCGGTAAGGGTAAATTGCGTAATTCGTTATTCAACTGTTACAGCTGTGCAGGGACCACGTCGCATCCGACGTCGTAGATCCCCGATAATTTCCCTTAGGGGTCCAGCCAGCGCTAATTCTAGACTTTTGTTGATCAGAGTAGTTGTTACCCTCCCCTCGTTGTAGATTGCAGATACGGGGCCGTGTCAACGCCACCGGCAGTGTACGTCGGCTATTTGCGCACGATTGTGAGCCAAGAAGTATGTATCACATTCACGAAATATTAAGTGTGTATAGTTCCGGAGAAGATGCCGGAATAGAACCGCAGTAATCGTTTGCTATGCCAACGAATGCTAACGTTGAGTCCAAGCAGCCAATTCCGCTAATTTTGTTGTTGGGGAGGATTTCCCCGCCGGAGGAAATAAAACGACTAGGCAGAATCGTTTAAGCAGACTGTTTGACAGAGAAAGTCTCTTTTTGATCACCGGGTTCAGAACAGAGCCTATTGTGCTCGGCTATTTCTCTCATCCGGTCGTTCATTTCATCCAATTTGCGGGCAGATTCAGCCGCATATCGACAATGACGTCGAATTGCAGGACCGAACTTATAGAACAACCATGGAAACGGGAGACATGCGACCGCCAAGAATGCGGAGATGGAGGAGGCCCAGTGAATTCCCAGGTTATTGTACATTGGGGTCGTGAAGAGGGGACTGAACATCAAGAATCAGCGGGATAATGTCGGGGGTCACGAGTGAGACTTACAAGGCCGCTCCGAAAAGGGCACGGATGACTGCGTTTGCCGCAAGCGCCGAGGCGGCGTAGAAGGTATAGCCATCCACCAGGTAATTCACCACGCTAAGGAAGATCGAGACGTGGGAAAAGCCAAAGAACACCGTGCCGATCTGACACACGATCCAATGAATACTGCGGTAGTTGGTCCAAGCGAACCAAAACAATCCAATCGGGAGAGTGACCGCCCCTACCATGGAGGGGATCAGACGCGCTTCGGGGGGAGGCCGACCATAAGGAGTGCGATCGGCGAACTCCTTATATCGAACGTCGTCCAGAGTCGAATATGCACAGCCCAGGATTTGGCCAATCATCATGCCGACAAACGACAGTCCAGAGGTGCTTTGCGGCCATTGGCGATCCTGTTCGAATACGATCGGAAATGCGGCAAATTCCATGTACATGGTGCCATAAATAATGGCCTATAGAGAGGTTAATTTTTGGGGCTTACTGTCTGTTATGCGAGGAAGGAAAGGGCCACAGACCATATAGATGCTCAAAAGCATCACGATTGGTTCCAAGAACAATAATATCCAGGGACGCACCATGGTCTTTGTGAAAGTGGCGGAAGCGCTCTGCTGCGAGTTCTCCAATCGACTTCTATAAGCCTTTCCAGTCAGCTTGCTTAATTTCGCTGCGCGTTTCTTCAAGAGAAGGGGGGAATAGGTTTCTGGGATGAAACAGATTCCGACCAGGAACACGACCCCGTTGAAAATGGTCGTCAATCCCTGCACCCATCTCCACCCTTTCGAGACGGCCAAAAAGTCACAAGTGATGGGACCCAAGCTCGGACCCAAGAATGGTGCCCCAATAAACGCAATTGTAGCCAGTCCTCTGTCGCGCGCCGTATACATGTCGGAGACAACGCCTCCCGCATTCGAAACCGCCGAGGCGCCAAAAGCACCGGCGAAGAAACGGAAGACCAGCAACGCGCCTATGTTGGGACTCGCAATCGTGACTCCCGCAAACAGGGTCGTCAGACCGTAGGTCACGAAGTATATGATCTGGCGACCGTATAACTCCGAGAGCGGCGCCCAGATGGCGGGTCCGATAGCGAACGCAAGCACAAACAACGAGGTATCCGCAATGATCAAGGTATCGCTAGCCCCGAACTCCTCTTTGATTTGTGGATTGGCTGCCGACAGCGCGGAGGATGCAAAAGTGATGGACAGAAAGGAGGCAGCTTGGAGAAGGGTAATCGACCATTTCATCCAGTCCCGCATCTGATGGGGATCGCGAGGGTCCTCGGGCAGCCATTCCACCAGGTAGGGACTCTCTTCAGTGCCTTCACCCTCCCATCGATGCTTCAGGACCGAGTCCGTGATGGTTGTCTGCGAAAGAACAAAGCGATAGAGGGGAAGGTGCTCGCGTGGTGGTTTGCCTGTATTGTCGAGCATCTTGAGTATAGAATTATTGTCAGTGAGATTAAAATGAACAGTTCAAGCAATTCAAACAGATAATGACAGGCTCAGGGATGGGCCATCAGAGTGACTGGTCTGGATGAAATGGAATGAGGGAATGTAGAACCCCCGGACGATGGACGGTGATGAAAACCGATGGATTTTCGGATTGTAGAGATGGAGTGAGAGAAGAGAGGAGATGGGGGGAGAGTAGAAGCGCGAGAAGTATGCATAGCTAAGAACAATCAAGCGTTTATGCCAACACCGACCAAGGCGATCTAGGGGAGGGGAAGGAAAGAAAGAGAAAGTCGGGGAGATGGGTGATTTCTAATGCTGATTAATTGACCTTAGGAATCCGCACAAATCATCAACGGATTGAAAAGCACGAAGGAAACAAGGATGTTGACGCTGTTGGCGGCGTATTGTGGTATCCAGAGATATAAATGACGATGCCCTGTTTTTAAGGCTACGCCAAGCTTCACGGGGTCGTGCCGGTCGGGGCCAATCAGCAGCGGGTGGGCAGCATTTCCGATTATCTATGGATACCTACCTTAGTAGTAGATGGTCCGTCGGTTTTCTTTTTTATCTTGGGTTTTTGTGTGGGCAAGAGGTCAATTGGAGAAACGAAAAGCATCCAATCAGCATGTTAGCTCATGAGGAAGAGCGCCGGGCTCATAACCCGGAGGCCCCTGGATCGAAACCAGGACATGCTATGTCTTAAACTTTTTGCGTCGGCCCTTTCTAGGTAGCTTATGCATAAGTCTGCTTTTTGCCGACCCTGTCTAGTTCATGTGGCAGGTATATTAAGCATGTATCGACATAATTGTTCCTCAGCTTAGCATGTTCCAACTCTCCCGGGATGTCTCGAAGTACTAGGTATTCTGTAGATTCCAGGGCCAACTGGTTCCACCCCGACTTGTCTGGCTGCTAAACAATCCACGGTCATATACAGGGGTTGGCAGTAGTTTAGCCCCTCTAATATGCTTATTGCTTAGTGAAACACCATTTCGGTGGAGTCATAATGAAGATCCGTCTTCATACATGACCGCAGCCGAATCGCGAGACACAAGTATTTCCTTTCAACGCAATTGTTCAGAATAATTACATTGCGACACACTTGACACCATTCTTTCAACTTCCAGGGAGCTTAATGTATGTATAGCAAAGCATAACCCATAACGATCCCCTTCTAGCATGAAGTTATGAAGCTACCAGTAGAATGCCCAGCGGAGATTAGGCTTCGGTTTGACCATTAGGTCATATAGCACTAAACGTGAGCCGTTACATAACCAAGCCCGGTTGGCACAATTGGTAAGCGCGTTCGGCTTTTAACCGAAAGGCTGTGGGTTCGAGCCCCACATCGGGCGGTTCTTTTTTTTGTCCATGTTTTTTTGTCCATGTACAGTCGTCTTTTAGACAAAAGTCATCGTGGAATCGTCAAGGTCTTTCTTTTTCTTTTATTTTCTTTCTTCCTTTCTTTTTTTCTTTTTTCTTTTTTTTGAAACCATTCTTGAGGGCTTTGTGTTGTAAAATACTTCAAAAGTTGTCACGGGTTGTTGGTGGAGTTGACGCTACTATCCCAAGTGATCTCTGCGCGGCCATAGCGATGACGCGAGGCAATAATTGACTCTTTACTGATGTGTTTCTGGATTTCTAGAAGACCTTCCGGATTTCATATGGTTATACTTCTGTTCTGACGCCATGCGGTGTCAGCAAGGAAAGAGCTGGAGTTGTGGATTCCGCGCACCTTCCCAGAGTGCATGTCAGGCTCCCACTCAGCATCATTCTCAACTCTTCTTTGGATAGAGAATGAACTGGGACTTATTCAAGCAAAACTCTGACATTCGACGCTATGGAGATGCCCCTTGAGCACAAGCTCCTGAAGGACCATCGTCTCGGCATCATTGTTATCGGCAGTGCTCTCAGCACGGGTCTGCTTGTCGGATCGTAAGCAAGTCCTTTATCATGGTGAATGATATGCTGAGACTTTTCATGCAGCGGATTTGGTCTGGTACGAAGTGGTCCGGCTGGCATTCTTTTGAACTACAGTATCATTGGCCTCGTTGCTTTCCTAGTCCTCTCGGCTTTGGGGGAGATGAGTTCGTTTGCGCCTATGCCCAGTCAGTGGACAGCACTTCTGTCACTATTCTTGACTTTCTCTGATCTCTGGATATAGCCGGAGCCGGAGGCTATGCATCACGCTTTGTGGATCATGCTCTAGGTTTCGCCACGGGGTACTGTAATGCGCTCAAGTATCTGCTGTCGACTCCGAATCATCTCGTTGCGGCGTCATTGATTACGAAGGTACCATTTCAATCGCACTCCTGACGCATGGAACTGGCTGACAAGGTTTTATGAATAGTTCTGGGTGGGAGATACCATCCATCCGTCGGCCATTGTCACTGTTGCCTTGATAGTAGTCCTGATCATCAATTTGATCACTCTCAAGGCATTTGGGGAATTTCAATTCTGGCTCGCTCTGTTGAAGATGACTCTTTTGTGCGGCACAATTATATTGATGCTCATTGTCGCTCTAGGAGGCGGCCCCAAGTACGCTCCTTGTCCTACTTTTGTTATGGTGAATCTATGCTCACAGCTATAGTCGTGACAGACTTGGTTTTAGGTACTGGAAAAACCCCGGTGCTTTTGCAGGTTTTGATGTCGCAGGACCCAGGGGGAGGTTCTACCGGGCTTGGAGTACCATGGTACATGCGTATGTTGTTGATTCTGGCAGGGTCTTCTGGTTTAATTGCTGTGCTGACCCTCACAGTGCCTATGCATTTGGCGGGACAGAATTAGTAGGAGTGCCTATCACTGAAAGAAGGAATCCACGTACCGCGATGGCCGGGGCGGTTCGTCTAACCTTCCTCCGGATTTTCTCCATCTTCATCCTGTCGATCTTTCTCCTCGGGATGGTCGTTCCACACGATACTCCCAAGTTGGCTTTTGCGTCAAGCGCCCACACTACTGCAGCTGCCTCCCCTTTTGTGGCAGCGGTTGAACTGGCAAATATCAAGGGCTTGGATCATGTAATCAACGCACTGATGCTCATCTTCATCACAGCGACTTCTACCACCGGTCTGATCTCTCACTTTGCTTCTGGTGCCGCTGTTCTAACCCGATATTAGACTTCTTTCTGGCCACACGTACGATCTATGGTATTGCGCTGGATGGGAAGGCTCCTGCGATTCTAGCCAGGACGAACAGCCGCGGGACACCAGTTCTGGCAGCAGTCATTCCCTTTGTCTTTTCCCTGCTGGCATACATGAGTATCAGCGCCAACACGAAGACTCTTTTCAGTTATCTGATGGAAATGATCGTGGGTTTCAGTACGATTTCCCTGCTTCAGAATCTGACCAGTTCTCTTTCTCCCTAACTGCCGTATAGGTGTCCTCACCTGGATCTCTATCCTAACCACGCACATTGCCTTCTGCAAGGCTGTTAAGACCCAGAAGATTCCGTCCAATCGCTTCCCCTACCGTACGCCACTTCGAGAGTGGGGATCAATGATCGCTTTGGTCTTCCTGTGCATCTTCAACCTGAGTAAAGGCTCCGAGATGCTCAGTGGAAAGAAATTCAATTACCGAGTTTTCATTGTTCAGTACATCGGCATCCCTTTCTACCTCCTGTGTATCTTCGGTTACAAGATTCACCGGGGGACTCGTCGCGTCAGATCCATGGAGGCGGATTTGGCCACTGGTGTTTCTCCAGTCCCTTTCGAGGAGGAAAAGTCCCGGAAGAAGGAGGAAGACAAGATTAAAATGGCTAGTGCGACTGGTCTTAAACGCGTTTATCGGTGGTTTCTGTCGTGGTTTTTCTAGTATTTGACGCGATCGGGGAGCCGATTTTCTGTTTGTAGGCATCATAAAATTGTGGAAAGTGAATAATTAATCGCCAAGAAGGATGCAAACATGTATTTTATCTGGATTCGTACTGCTCTTTGTGGTGTTTATAGCCGAGATTGCTCCGTTGGACAGGAGTAGGTTGCAGCCAGATAAATATATAACTTCTTGTAAAACCAACCATAAGCAATACGACGCCACCCGTTAAAGATTTGCTAGCATAAATAAAATGAAGATGAAAAATTCTTCTGAAGTACTTCTACTTATTTAAAAAATACCCTTAAGGCTCAACAATGGTCATAAAACAGACAATCCTACCTACCAGTGCAAGCCATTCTGTCCTAGGCCGAATTCATGCGGCTCGACCAAGACCATTAGAACATGTAGCTAAAAAGTCCGGCCTTTCTTCAACAAGGGCAAGATGGCCGAGCGGTCTAAGGCGCTAGGGTCAGGTATCTGATCTTACATATTCATCCGAATATTCCTAGTCTCGAAAGGGGCGTGGGTTCGAATCCCACTCTTGTCATGTCTTTTTGGCGTTTCTTTTTTTTGCTCCCCCCGTGTCATCCATCATGCATCACACACACACTTATTGTTTCAAGATTTTCTTTTCTCATCTCCGGAGCGAGCATAGGTTTGCGCCGCCACATCATGAGCTTTCCATTGAACCAAGTCCCAGGCCCCGACATCTACCAGGCAACTTCTTTTCTACGGTCCACATGATTTGAACGACCCTCCAGACTAGTTAAGACATGGCAATCTCGTGGTCTATCCGGCGTTATCCGCAGAGTCCCCGAATAAACCATTGCTCAATTCGGCAACCTATGGACCATGCTGGTCAGTAGCTCAAAAATGCCCTTGCGCAGTCCCTCGCTCTCATTGACATTGGTGATTTTCTTTCGCAGACCACCCAAAACCTCCTCTGCCTCTCTTTCATACAACCGTGCCAATGGCAAAGATTGAAAGATCTCGTCCACCTCAGCAGCTGCCTTGTGCTCCGGACGACCGTATTTCTCGAGCATGGTATCGTGCCGATCGTCCTGACAGATACGCAGCGCTTGGATCACAACCCAAGAACACTTATTTGCCTGGATATCGGTGCCGACCTTGCCCGTGCGAGAAGTGTGCCCGAAGATATCCAGAAAGTCATTCTGGAACTGGTAGAATTGGCCCAGTGGGATCAGAATGGCCTCGGCTTCTCGCATATTGAGTGGCGTCGCGAGGTTCAAATACTGAAGCCCCAGAAGCACCGACAGATAGAAACAGTAGTATCCCCCCTTGAGGAGCGTTATATGTCGGTATTGATCTAAGGTCCAATTTCCAGGACATTTTTCTCGCGATGCAATGGCGTCTGCTTCCTGTCCGCTCTCCGTTAGAATAGTGATTTCATTAAAGCTCTCCAGCATCTGCAGGTAAGATGGATGAGTTCGAAAGTGGTTCTTCAGGAGGAAAAAGACCGCCGATTTGATGAGACAGGCATCGTTAATGGCAGTGAGCCCAACTTCTGGCCGTCGATACCAACAGATTTGGTTTCTGCGCGTTATGGACCCATCTATGATATCGTCTAGGACAAGGAGATAGGCTTGCAGCATCTCGACGAGCCAGCCGAGAATGCTGAGGTCGTGAAATTCATCGACCGACAGGGGTCTTTCTAGTAGTATGTATCCGGTTTCGGGCACCGATAGGCCCCGGAAGAGTTTCCCGTTTCGCACATTAGTATCGAAAGACTGATCGATGATGTCAGTATAGGGATACATGTGTGTATGCTAGATACCGTACCTCTTGGACGTGTTTGATGGCATCTGATGGGAGGCCAATTTGCTTGAAATAGCCGGTCATCTCGTCAATCAAATACTGCAGAACGGCGTCAAACTCGGCACGGTTCGTAGTAAAATCCATGACGTATGCTCGTGGAATGATTAAGCCCGATCAGTAATACTGAAATGAGAATTGAAGTAGGTAAATTAATTTTGAACTTTTATTGATTCATCTGACGACGGAATCAATATTTTTGAGATGAGCTATTATATTATCAGGCCCTGGACTCACCACGAGTGGTTTATTTACAAGATATAGCCATCCTGCCGGTATACTTGATCCTGTTACACTTGACCCTGTTATACGAGATCTCGTGCGTACAGATGTTTTTATTTGGAAATAGTCTCCTTCGGTAATTGATCTCGCCCTGTGACCTTGAAATTTTGAAATCGCTGAACGGGACGGAGCCCTAGAACCTTCAGCCACCGGGCTTACGCCACCGCTCTACAAACCCCGAAACTGATCCTTGCATAAAATGACTACGTAGTGACGAAAGGCATATAGAATAGTGCCGTATTTCCCTGGCCAACTCATGTGAAATTCTGGATTCAGAAGGGATCTGATGCATCCTTGCATGCTGCATCGTGCATCGTGCATCCTGAGAGATAATATCAGTATGTGGCTTCTTGCATAATGTACCTATATCATTAGTTGGCCGGGAAATAGCTTCCAAAGTCAGGGATGAGGTCTTGGAGTCATGGGGTATGAGGGACTCCAGAGGAGAGATAGCGAATGAACTAATCTTGACCATGGGTGACTAAATATCGAACCATGGCATCAGATTTAAATCCCTGGAAAGCCTCCCCTGAGCTGCGAAGTTTTCACCACTGTATCATTTCCCGGTTTCTACAGAAGCAGAAATCCCAGCATGCACTCTTACGCCCCCTTTGAGGCATATCGTCTCCCTCCGTTAGATCATCTGGCCCCGCATCTTTATATGACTTGTTCGGCATCCTTTCCGCTTCAGGACACCGCGAAGGGCATCTCAGCACTTGAGGAAGGGGTCCACCACCTAGTGAACAATTTCCCATTCCTCAGCGGAAATATCGTCTCGACGAACCCCGCGGGAAAGGTGAACGTGCGAGAGGTCCGCCCCAGCAATGCCCAAAGGCTAAATGCTTGTCCGATGCTCTCTAAGAAAGCCCACCCACAGAGCATATCATGTCTTCGGGACCCAGAATTCTCCCACGATAATTTCTCGGCTCTACCAAATGTGTTGAAAGATGATTACAATCCATTGATTCGGTTCCAGGCTAACGAAATGCGTGATGGAATTATATTAACCACGTTCTTTTCTCACGCTGCGATTGACGCAGTAGGGTTCTCTAATATCCTAAGTGCACTTGCTTCGTTCTGCCAGTCTAGGCCAAATCCTGCACTTCTCAGTTCATCCAAAGAACAGGAGCGCGCAAGACGCAGAATTCATGCCATTGAACAAGGGATTATGGCAGTCTCGAATGAAAAGGGGTATGGGTCTAATTTTGAGTTAAGCTCAAAATGTACTGGTCGGAAACTAGTATTCCAGACGACCAAACTGGAACATTTGAGAGAGATGTGCCAAAACTATCACGAATGGATATCAGACCAAAACAGCGAAGCCGAACCGGTATCCCTCAACGATGTGGCGTCTGGTATTATTTGGCTGTGCGTGGTGCGAGCGCGCGCGAAAGCAAATGGTCCGTCGTTCTCAACAACTCAGCCTTCTTTCATGGCAATGGCACGAGATATCCGGCTCATGCTCGGCGGTTTGATCCCTAGGGATTACCTGGGAAATGCACTGGTATTTCCTTCTACGTCATACCCAGTCTCGGCAATGCTGGAGAAAGCGTCAAGCATATTTGGCCCAGTCATCGATTTAGCCTTTCGTGCTCAAAAGACACGCAAGAGTGTCGATGATGACCACGTCAGATCTATTATCGGCCATGTCCAAGCCAGTCATGATTGGGGATCTTTCGGATTAAAATTACCGGAGGTGGGCTTTAGCAACCTCCGGCATACCAACTTCTACGGAATGAATTTTGGACCGAATCTGGGATATATGGACCGCTTTGAGGTGTCTGCTCCTCAAGCTGCTGGACTATGCTGGTTTTTGCCAGCACGTACTGCTAAGGAAGGACCGTCGTCTCCATGGGAGCTATGCCTCGTGCTTGAAGAAGATGCTTGGGCGTATCTTGAAGCGGACCCATTGATTCAGTGGGTGTCAGGAGGTAGACTTTCCAAGTTATAATGTTCGTTAGATGCCAGGGGATAGAACTCGATAATGGTAATGAATTGACAGAATGCTTCTATAGCTAATTCCAGAACACATAATTTATTAATTTGATTTGTTGATATTCTGCCGAACAATCCCCTGATTTCCAAAAGATACGTGCGGGCACGTGATGAATGGCCGGCATCACCATGACATCGATGCGCCTTGTTAGGTTATTCTAACACACCAGCTACTTACCTTCCTGCAAGAAGCATCCCAATATATTTGCGAGTTCATGGCCGTCCACAAAGGAGAGAAGGCAAAACGTGCCAAGTTTTCTCCACCTCCGGACCCTCCATACGTAGATTTCCCATTATGCGCGGTGTGCCAATGCGACTTCGTCGCAAACACTCCCTACGGCTACAGGCTATACGACTGTAAACCTAGCCAAGACGCTCCCTACGGATACTGGCTATACGACTATAATCCTAGCCCAGGTCTATATCCAGCGACTGATGTTGAGAACATGATATTCTGGGACGTCTCCGAACGCTGGACTCTCTACCGAATGAGTACTGTGACATACCTTGATCCAAGCCACATTTGAGAGACACGATGCTAACACCCATGCCTCCGTAGTCGTCTTCAATACCCAAACTCGCCAGTACCACCTCACAGGAATTGCCCAATGGAACAAAAAAGAATATGACCGGTTTACAGTCCCCTGGGATCCAGAGCAAGGGGTGGTAGGAATTCCTCAAGAGAACGATCCGCAATTTGTCTCTCCCGCGGTGGTAGACTTACCATGGGATGATATCCAAATGACACCTGCGGATGGCCAGGAAGTCGTAGGCTACCTCATTCATCCTTCCTGCTGGCGACTGGCCCAGATGTGCCTGGGACAGAAAATGGAGGGGAAGGGGAGCCTAGGGCTTCTTTCTCGTGTTCTGCAAAGTAAATACTTTAGCAAGAGGTATGAGCCCGACACGATCGCGATAACAGGAATGATAGATACTAAGGGTAATATGCTTTCTTTTGTAGTCCACTGTGCTTGCACCCATCTATATTGAGCACCCCTTCTGACTATTTCTATTCCTCAGAGAATCCTATCGCCTCTGACCGCGTCCGGTCCTTGATTCGAGAAGCCAGAGTGGGGGAGTCTGGTGAGAAACATCGACTTCGAGTGTCACCCAGACATCAGCCTGTTGATTCACGGTTGGGATGCTTGCCTGCAGAGATTCAGTATGCTATTATGGATTAATTGGGATTTGAAGACTTTTTGAAAACCCAGAAAGCCATTCGATGGACCCTGCCAGTGTCTTACTGGAAGACTCGCATTGATACTTGGCTTTTCTTCGAGCTGAGGGAAGTGCTCGAAGAAGAGGGAATTGACTGGCCGTTTCTAGTTTTAAAACTAGAGGAAGAGGTCAAGCCTTTTCGAGATTCCCTGTGTGAACCTTTCAAGGGTATCGTGGGAGACTTTTACAAGCTTTTGAACGATGAAAGTGACTCATCTGCGTGGTCTGATGACAGAAACTAATATCCGGAATTCTATTGCCAGCGAAAGGATTAATGTGAATTTAGACTATTTGCTGGAGCAGATCTAATGTTTATTATAGGAATCTTTATGTTTAGGTTACTGAAATAATTTAGCAAGCCGCTTTTTCCATAGCCAGCTCATGTATTCAACATGACGGTCTCTTCCTCCATGGTTGCCTTAGCCAGTAAATCTAGCCACTTCTATGGCCACAAATAACCTATCTGGATTGAGAACGTATAATTCGTTTGCCTGGCGATGTTAAGACTGAAGAGCAAAGTCCCGCCCGATTCCTACGTTTTTGTTTTGTTAGAAACAATTCAACTATCGTCCAGTCGTATACGAAATGTAGAAATAGCTATGGTCTGATTTGAGGTAAAGAAAGGGCTTTATCTTTAGGAGATCCCCTTCCATCTGCCAATTAGAGATTGTAGATCCCTTCCTACTTCGTAGGGAGTGGAGTGGCCTCGTGCAGCTATCGGTAGGGGTTCGATGGACAAGGGTTCAATTTCAAAGGATAAAATTAGTGCTGTTGATTTATTCTGACTAGCAATCTTGGATTAATTTATGCCTTCTCAATCGCGTCGGAAATATTGATTTAGATTGTCTTAAAAAAAAACCAGTAAATGCAATAGAACGCAATAAAAGATACAATAAATATGCAATAAAGTGCATCTAAAAAGCGAGGCCAGAATCAGGCCATGAGATGTATCGACTACCCAGCCCTATTTGGATATGGGCACATATATTATTGCATTAGTGTATTTCAGTAAGTGGATAGTATTGGCTTGAGCGTGCCATTGAACCCCATACGAGCTAATGGATTGACATTAATCTGCCATTGATCTGACGTTCACACACTTGCTCCGGGAGACCATTCAAAGTGACCGAGTCGTATGGAGAAAAATACCTTCATTAGGCTTGAGTTATAAATTGGAAGCCAGAACCCTGTTAGGAAATAATCTTCAATTGAATAGTTTCAATTAAATTTCGGCTGTCGTTTCACCTACCCGCAGTCTGGTTTCAGGGTTGCGAGTTTTCTGTCCTCTTTAAAGACAACTCGTTTCCTGCGATGAGGTTGTATTTATTCACTTTAGCGTACCCACCGTCTTATGCTTACCTTGTTTCCCAGCGATTAAGAAATACTAATCGACTGCAAATGTTGGGATCTAAGTCATACTTCGGCACCGCCCTTTTGTCGTTGTTGGCGTTGAATAACTCGCTGGCCGGAGCATACCGCTGGTTCAATTGGCAATTTGACGTGACATGCGAGGCCACGGGTCTATTCGTGCCTAGCGACGAATCGGATCTCATTGACTTCGTCAAGGATCATTATCCGCGACGGACCATGATAAAACCTGTTGGGAATGGTCACGGCTTCGGAAATCTCACAACATGTGTCAGCGATGGAGAGACCAAGCGAGATTCCTATATTGTCAGCCTGACCAATTTGAAAGAGCTACACGTTCACAAGAACAACAACACTGTCACCTTTGGCGGTGGCTGGGATCTCATTGACTTGATCCCAACTCTCCACCATCATGGCCTCCAGGTGTCCAATCTCGGCAGTGAGATGGTTCAAAACTATATCGGTGCTGCAACTACAGGCACCCATGGAACCGAAAAACAAAAACAAAACATTGCAAGCCAGATCCTTGGTCTATCTGTGTTGGATGCCACGGGGAAAATGCATGTCATAGACAAGGAACAGACTCCGGATCTTCTCAACGCCTATACCATTGCTATCGGAGCCCTAGGGGTTATAACCAAGGTCACAATTCAGGCTGAGCCGGTTTCATATCTGAAGCGAACCTCAAAAGTAGTAGAGAGACCTTCGAACATCACTCAGCTTTACCAAACCATTGCGGGATTTGCCGAAAAGTATGAGCAGGTTAACATTCTTGGCCCTCACTTGGACTGGGACCCAGCCACCAAAGAGCCCGTGCCTCGGACCAACATCACACTGGTCTATTGGGTGGAAACCAACTTCAGTGGAGTTCAAAACTGCTCCACGGACTTCTGCGCAAACGACTGCGCCCGCTGTGACCGCAGCTATTTCTGCTACGATTACAAAATGAACGCGATCGCCACACCTCCAACAGGCATCTGTTATCGCGGCTTCATGGGCCAGTTTGAACATTTCTTTCCAATGGAGAATCTCGCTGCAGCGGGTACCGATTACTTCAACTATGCCCGGGCCCAGGGTTCTCGTTTGGAGCCATATCTTACAGGCAACACCCTGACCGACGGTGTTAAGGGGTATGAGAGCGACGATGTCACTGTGATCACCAGATTTGTCAAGGGTGACAAGCACTGGTTGTCTCCTGTCAACACTGACAATCTGGCGCACAATGCCAGTGGAATATTCGCCACATTGGGGTATTCCTGGCTTCCTACCTATAACAACTTCACCACGCAGTGGTTCTTCCAGGACCTGCGAGCTAGTACATTCCGAAGTTCGGCGAGAAGTACAATATCCGTCCGCACTGGAACAAGATGATATTCAACAACAAGACCTATGCTTCCACTATCTACACGAAGGTTGATGACTGGCTCGAGATCCAGAAAAAGAACTATCCGCATTGCCAGTTTCTCAATGAGCTTTTGATTGATGCTCTGGGGATTGATCGTTGTAAGACCCTGTTCAATTAGAGCACTGTTATTTTCAGACCGTTCCGTTCTTTTTTATATTGCCCTGGCTTGGCGATCCACTTCTTATCGATGAGGAAGGGTTCTTTTGTTATTCCGAGACTTTATATAGCCTTTATCTCTTGTTGTTCTATTGTATTGATGTGATAAACTCTCCTGTGCAATCCAAAGACTTTAGAGACTCGACTTGGTAAATGTATTATAAGATCTAGGATTATGCTATTTGGCTATATACTTTGCGCTCTCCCCCAAAATTAACCTGGTACTGCATCAGATAAACCTGTTCATGTAGATATTGCCTCATCCCATGTGGAAACTAAGCATATGAGTGGAGGTTCCATGGATTTGAAACAGATCCACCGACCAATCAGTCACTCTGAATCAGTGAATTGTTACGAGGCAGCCAATCAAACTATACTCCTGTCTCGGGGCCCACCTGAAAGTTCATCGCCTGAAGATTATGTAAACCTGGCTATCCACATATTGCTGGTGCCTAGATTCACCAAGACATTCCCAAAGCTTCTTTCACATCATGACCCCTGAAGGATCAGTCTGGAATTACAATGGCAACAACTTATGAAGTCGACAAGCAGAGACACTCTCGGTCCAAGGCTCCCCGAGTGAGGACCGGGTGCAATACTTGGTATGGGGTCCCTATTCAGTCTCCAAAGGCCTAGGTGACAGCACTGACTGTATCGATGAGATTCAGCAAGTGGGTAATTCCGCCGGAGCGGCTATTGAGCAGACGAATTGACGGTTCCTAGAACTCGCCGGGTGAAATGCGACGAGACAAAACCCACTTGTCGGCGATGCCAGCAAGACCGGCACAAGTGTGATGGCTACGAGATAGCACCTAGACTGAAACCCGGCCCCAAGCCTAAACCGAAACCGAAGCCTGATTCAGCGCAAAATATTCTTCTCTTGCAGAAGATATGCAGAGATGCGAAATTAGGCAGAGCGCTTCTACCCCGCCGACAAACCAATGCACCGATGCAGCCCAATGATATCCAACAACCCCTAGCATCTTGGCACATGAAAATTCCGAGAGTTTTACCAGAGAGGCTGTTCACCCATGACAAGGATGCTGCATTATTGAATCATGCGCAATTCTTCGTGCTCGACCAGATGGCCTCCGTGTCTGACCCTGCGGATTTCTGGTATAGTTATGCCATGCCGCTCGCTCATATCGAGACTCCTCTCAGTTATGCCTTTTGTGCACTAGGGGCTGCTCATCGGCACTTCCTGCTCAGCGGACCGGGGGACCTGAAAGGGTCTAAGGACGAGGTTTTAAAATCCGAGATTATCACCATCGAAAAATACAACGCCGCGATTGCCCAGATCCAAGAATATTCTCGCCGCGAACACCGAGGAATAGATGGATACATTCCACTGATATGCTGTGTGGTTTTCATCTGTATTGAGCAGCTGCTTGGCCGTTACACAGAGTCTGTCACTCACCTGCAATCGGGATGTTGTTTGTTCCGCTCTACCGTGGATCTCCCGGGGATGTCGGCCCCAGGGGACTTGAAGAACGCTTTGCTGAAGGTCTTCTACCGACTTGGTTATGACGCGATCACTATCGGTGAATGTGAAGTGCTTGGATATTTGCCTTGTGATTTTCCGATGCCGGACATGGGCAGTCGAGATCAGCCCTTTGCGGATTACGATGAAGCCTCGAAAATGCTAGGCCAGGTGGATGTCATCCATAATGCTTCCTATGCCTCACCGGCCGTTGTCCACGTGTCTCAGCCGACAGAAGGTCGCGAGTACCTATTGCAGGAGTATAGGGCGTTGAACTCTGCGCGAGAAGCATTCGGGATCTGGAAGTCTCGATTCAAACTCCTCCAGCAGTCTGGCATTCCAGCACCCGAGCAGGAGCCACAAGCTTTGTTCTTCTCTTTAGAACAAAGCGTATGGGCCATGCTGTCGGAATTGACGACGTTTGAAGACCCCCCTAGTATTGAAAGCTGTCAGGCTGTTTTGTCCAACACAGAGGCTGTGGCTCTCATGTATCAGTCTGAGAAGCATCCGACCTTTAGCTTCGGCGGGGATCTGGTCCCTACGCTGGGATTGATCTGCATGTCCTGCGAGGATCGAGAGACTCAAGAACGCAGTCTTTCTGTCTTGCGCTTATTACGACGAAGGGAGGGGATATGGGATAGTGTTGAACTCGCCTACGACTGCGAAACACTGCTTTTGACTGGTGAGCTGCCATGTTGATGCAATTATTCAATGCCGAATTGTCTTTGGGGTAATTTTGATGTAAATCTAAGGTCATAATTTGGATTTCTAGACTGTGGCTGCTAAATTTGTGCATTTAGTAAAGATATACTTCTATTTTAGTTACTCAGACATATATATATCGTTTATTAGCTGGTAAGGCTGGGAGTTTTGTTGGTGGGAGCCCTACTGAAGCCCAGAACCGATATGTGCATGTTGATCATCTCTAGCCAGCCTAACGCAATTAGTTATGAAAGTTTCCTATATACTTTATTCTTTCTTTCCAAACAGCACATACGACCACAGGGTGAGGAGAACAGGGCTTCCCGTCCGCTCAGCCGTACTTAAGCCTCACGCCGGCCGGTTAGTAGTTGGGTGGGTGACCACCAGCGAATCCCGGCTGTTGTATGTTTTTGCTGTTCTTTTTGTTGTTCTTTGCTAGGAGACAGGGAAGCCCGCGGTGCGTACGAAGTGGGTGGTGATGTTGATAGAGAGAGCTCACGGGGACCGGGGGGTTCACAAGTTGGTCATTTCTAGAAACAACGCCGAGGCTAGCTCTTGTACAGCATAGCACTTTTTTTTCCGTCCTATCAATCTTTTAAGCCACTTCCTTCCGTTCGGGCTCCATATTCGAACTCACAGGGCGTGGCCAAGAACTTTGGCCCGCTTTCAGCCTCATGCAAACGATAATTTCAGTATCCTGGCACTAGTTGAATTTGATATTCCTGTTTCAAGTTTTTTTTAAGGTCTTTTAAGGGATTTCATTTAGGGTGCTAGTGTAAAAAGCGCCGGGATACTCGATGTTCCTCCCACACAGCTAAAAAGACCAATATGCAACTCTGTAGGAGTTTTAGTACCTAACCTGCTAGTATAGTATCATATAATCTTAGAAGGGTCTTACTCATCCAAGACCCCTCTGGGTCTTTATATAGGCCTGTTACTAATAGCTAGAGCCTTAAGAGACTACTTTATATACATCTAAATTGTCACTAGGCGCCTGCATGAAGACCCAGAGGGGTCTTGGATGAGTAAGACCCTTCTAAGATTATATGATACTATATATAGCAGGTTAGGTACTAAAACTCCTACAGAGTTACATATTGGTCTTTTTAGCTGTGTGGGAGGAACATCGAGTATCCCGGCGCTTTTTACATAAATGTATATATTTAAAGTAAAACAAGGAACTTTCGATCATATAATTAGAGCTAATCTAGTATCAGAGCAGTTTGCATAATATCAGAGAATTTTTTAAAATTTAAGATAATCCGGGATTAGAGTACATAACTAATTTGATCCGGTGTCAGAGCCCTTGTCTTAGCATTCTGACACCAGATTGCCTTAAAAAATCAATTAATCCTGACACCGGGCCAACTGTATGCTGTCGCCACCTCCACGGGAAATCTACACACCGCCAAACACGGATCTCATGCCCCTGGAGTGGACGTCTGGGTTGACATCCTCGACCAGAACAAAATTGATGGAAAATGTATGAATTGAGCTAACTAGTGGAAACAACTCGATGAAGCAGAACGCACTCGGCGGGTCGTTGACCCGGACGTCGATCAGGTGATCTCAACACCTCCCTGCAATGCCCATATTTCTTTCCCTTGCTTTATTTGATCAAACTTTGATGATGATGTCATATAGACGGAACGGAACGGCACGGAAAATAGAGTTTCCGGGAGATCCCGAGGGCGATCAGTCAGCTGACCGGTCGCAAAGGCTCGGGTACCTCAATCTTCGCAAGGCCGGACTATCAAATTATATATCTGGCGAAATCAGGTACAAATACTGTGGAAATGCAAAAACGAACAGCGCCTTAACACTGCTGGCAACGCCAGACAGTAATTGGGCAAGTTGCTGGGACCTACGCCTCGGTAGTACCCACTCAGTTGCACACTAACAACTAACTAGCAACCTCGTTTTCCGGATATCAAAAGCAAAAAGACAAAGCAAATTAGATGCCCCCACGCGGGATTGAACCGCGGACCTCTGCATTAACTCGCTATACGAGTGCAGCGCTCTACGACTGAGCTACAAGGGCTTCTTATGCGAGCAAAAGCTGTGTAAAAGTAGACAGATTCCCCGGCTCAAAAGCACAACAGAGTTTGATCAACAAGATCAGATCCATGGATCCCTCCCTCTCCTTATATTGCGGTCTTTGGCCGCCCATTTTGCGGTCAAGAGGAGGCGTGCGTAGTCTCTTAATAGCAGCAGATTTCAATGGCTTCATAACGGGCCCAAAAAGCTACGAATTATCTTGCCAGTTTTCCGTCTACTGTTCTCCAGGGAAACTATATATCTACTCCACTAAAGGGGCCGTAATACGGTACATTTTTAATAGATTATTTTATGGGTCTGCTCTCGCAAATGGCGGCACACTGCACTATGCTATGTCCTACCCACCTGGGCAATGACAGCACTGAAAATGCTAAATGCCGTGATTCTGAACAAGAGGAGAAAGTCAAAGCTCTCTATTGATTTCAATAGTAGTGGTGTTACGTTATATGGGGCTCTTATTTCAGTCCGGTGAGCCACAGAGCTCGCGTGGTCTTTACCCGAGCAAAACCTTTTTACGACTCACTCGAGCTCTTCCAACCCTTTACGATCTTTTCTTACCTACTTTAAAGTAGGTAGTTAATTAGTACATTATGATTCTAGGAGCTACTTTGTATTTGTTTCCATAGAAAACACAGTAGGGCTGTTCTCGCCGTGTCCAAAAAACCTTTTAATATTCTGATATTGTCAGACCTTATCGACCGATAGAGGTAACGCGGTGTCAGACGCGACAGTTAAAGCTAGAAACTGCCGCACTAAATCCGAACACTGCGCCAACTACGACCCCAAGCAAATTTCATCAAGGACTGGGGTGACGTTAGCGTTTCTGGGGAGACCTATACATCAACCGACGAACAAGAGGCGTCATGGTCTCGTGATTACTTCACCGGCAGCGGCCCAGGGTATGCTAGTAGGGTTGCAAATTATAGCAAAGCCCATGCATGAGACCATGTTGCTGCAGGCAGCGAGTGTGATCGAGGATGTACTTAGGGCATAATTGACACGTGATACATAGTCACAGTGCTCAGTACCAAGATGTTGCTGCTCGTGGTTCTCCACCCAACACTTTTTCCAATCCATAAATTACAAGCTTTCGGTCCAGATTTATCTAGTTATTCGACTCAAAAGTTCAACGTAACCATAATTCCACGATGATAACACGCTACGGGTAAAGACGATCATAAAACTTCTGTGGGTGGATTGGATAATCTTCTGATCTGAGCAATTTTAAAACTGGAGTTTTTTTTAGCCTCTTGCAGGGATTTGTCTTTCGAGATATTGTCTCTCAATGACACTGGTGTGACTGACTTTGACCTTTCGAGCGTAAGAAATAACCAGAGACAGCCCTGGTAACTGGTAACGAACGATGTCAAGCTTCTGCTGGCCTGAGGTTGGTTATTCCCATGGTCATAGTAGCGTATCTTCGGAATTCGTCTAATTCCCAATTCCAAACGTCGTCTGGGTTTCTCCCATCGGGCACCTTTCCCTCAGGATAAAAGTCTCGCCGATAAAAAGTCACGAATTGGGCAGCGTGAGGGGTGCCGGGCTCTGGAACGGGAAAGACTTGCTGGAACACGGATTGCATATTAGTCTCGTAAAAACGATAGGTGATATATTATATAGTGCTCACAATTCGAGAACCAACGATGCCGTTCCTGCGATGTAACTCGAGGGACCCAGCTACCTCTCCATTGTCTCTCTCATCCCACTGTACCACAAGGACAGCGTTCACGTATGGAGCTCCACCCTGCAGCCAAATATCCTTAACCTCTAGGAGGTTAGCCCACGGCTCATGTCCACTCTCGAAAGCAATACAAGGGAAGCGGAAGTTATTGCTGGGAAAATAACCACCACCATCTTTGTAGGCCTTCTCATACGGGGCAGAGAATCTGTAGATGCCTATTTTACCATCCTCGTTAGAACAATTCGTGTATAGAAATTGTGGATCTTCTCACCAGCGTTAAGCATAAGCATTGTGTCTCTCAGTTCGTCCATGGTAAAAAACCCAGAACGAACGGCGTCGAACTGTCCATTGATCACCCAACTAGACAGACCGGCACGAGCGTTTGAACACATTCTGATAGATAATCGATGCACTATGGGATTGTACTCGACGGTCGGATTGCGGGCTTCAACATCGCCTTTATCACACAGTGTTTTCGCGACCTCGAATCCTACTTCCGGGGGGATTCCCAGTTTCTCATGGTAAGTAGGCCCTTGGGCGTTGATGATCCAGTCTGTCAACTCGAACCACAGCTCCAACTGCTCAGGGGTAAGGTGAGTAGGGCTTTGGTCGGGCTCGCTTTCGTAATCTGCCTCAGAGAACTCTTCAATCGTAAGAGGAGCGGTAAGATGAGCAGGGGCCTGATCAGTCTGACTTTCGTTTTCTGACACGGAAGACATGATGAACGGTGGTGATACCCGAGATTAGGAACAAGGTCTGCCAGTGGACGAAAGGGGGAGAATTAAATACCACGAGCAGTGCGCGAAAGATTTAGGCTGCAATTACTGGGTGAAACAGGCACAGAATGTGAAAGTATTAGATCCATGGTTGGTCATAGGCCCAATATGTCATGTTGACATGGAAGGCTTCCAAAACCTTAAACGCAAGGGGGAACCGCCAGGCTCCTCGGTTCATAAATTACAAGAGAGGTAGAAACAGAGACATTCACTGGAATCAGATTTTAAAAGGGAATAAATTATCTAGCAAGCAAACATCACTACTTTCTTCGGTGGTATCGTCGATAGGATTATAACTAGTGCTGATTGACTTGTTGTTCGCGGCTAATACAATAACTGTCCATTATCTGGATAAAACTTCTTTTGGAAAGAAATTGAGAAAGTCTGATAGTTATTTCAAAATAAGCCTAAGCAAGTCCTAAACCACAGAATGAAGAGGTCGACAAAAAGAATGCCATCCAGCTGCTTGTACTGCCTGGATATACCGTGCCTTTGACTGGAGAGGCTTAGGTTTGAAGATCATAGATCGAGGAGCGTTACCGGAAAACATTTGCACAGTTTACATCTAGACAAAAATTCTTAAATATGCAGGGTATAGATTTAGCCGTTAGAGCTTTGCATTCGATGAAGCACTAGATTTTGAAATCCATCTTGCATATGAAGGTGGAATCATATGCCTTTATTATTACTGTATCCCTTCTCCAGCACATGATTTTTGAGTGAACCCCAAGATGGCAGACACACAAATTCATATTAATAGTTTGTATACACAGTGCACAGATATTTGGCACAGGAAGAATACTCAACCTCCCTATCAACCCCGGCTATTTGTAAGAAATAAACAATCTGGTAGACATAGAGCTAAATAACACGATTCTCAATCATCGACCGAACCGTATCCGTAATGCTAGTCTCTAGATCCACATACTCCCACTTTTTCTCCGGAGTTCCCTTAGCAAGAACATCCAGACTAACACGCATGTCCCACCCTGTCGGGTGGATTCCCGGGGGTAGACTCTGGGCCGGATTTCCCTCGGGAACCCGATCCTTGAGCTGCGGGAAGTTTTTACGGATAGTGTTAGCCACTAACTGAGGTGCAATGAGCCCTGAGATGAGAAGAATGCGCTGGTTTGGTGCCGCTGGGTTGGCGAGTGCGTCGACATGGCTGCGTGCGACGTCGCGGACGTCAACCTATTAATTAATTAGCCCAATATTATTGATGATTTACGGGCTAGAATTAGCTCGGAGGCACTTACAAAATGGTAAAAAGGGAATGCTACTCCCTCAATCTGCTTGTGCGTGCCATCGATAAAACTTCCAATAGCGAATTGATTAGTCTCATTGATCGACTTAGGCCCCGAGATAGGGTGGAGCATTGGTCCCGTAATTATATCCGGGTTAATAACAACCAGCTCGAAGGATGGCGAGTTTCGTTTCATGAACTCCCAGGCTGCGGCTTCTGCGCGCGTCTTGGATACATTGTAGCCTAGTACGGGGTCACTTCGCTCGATAGCTTGTTCTGCTGTCACCTGGTGGCACGTTAGATGAAGTTATTCAATGAGTTTTGAACTTGCTTACCGGGTTCCAGTCTTTCTCGGTATATGGTTTTCCTTCGCGACACATGTCCTCGAAGGAGTTGAGGACGGATACAGCACTGCCTAGTAGGACAAAGCGCTTCAATGCCGCACCACCGTAGTGATGAGTTGCTTTGAGAATTTCCGTCGTTCTGTATGCATTAGTTGGCTTGCTCTCTCTTGTTGAGAATCAGGCACAGAAAGACATACCCCATCTCCGCAGGCTCGATCATCTCCTTCCGGATATCGGAGACCTGGAATCTCAATGGCGAAGCCGTGTGGATGACATAATTAAACGGCGTTTTTGCATTCTGAAAAAGATCATCGAATGGCTTGGTGGACGTGAAGTCAGAGACAATTGCGAATTCGATCTTTCCCTTCCACTCAGGATGCGTCTTGATGATGTCGTCCGCTTTGTCCTGAGAACGGACGGTGGCTGTCACAGAGTATCCCCTCTGCGGAGAGTTAACGATCTAGACCATGAGCCGGAACAGTGCTGGAAACATACATCTATTAGGATGGACAAGATATGAGAGGCTACGAAACCATTCGCGCCGGTAAGTAGGACATGCTGGGTTGACATTTTGATGCTTATGCTGTCAATCAAATAATACTATTGAATATGAAGGGATGAGATTGCATTTGTTTCCGAGTTGAACATGCCTTTTTATACAATTCTCCTATAACCCCGGGATTCAACTTGCTCAATCAATCCCCGATGGTACGACTGCAGAAGTCTGTGAATCAATGATGTCATGGCTACGTGGTTCGACATATCTGCTGGCCAGTAGATTCAGAGCAAGAAAACCTTATTCGCAGAAGTCAATTTTGTAACGCCTCAGATCTGGCACTGGCGATTTGGATCAGAAGATCCCTGGTTTCGTCGCGGACCGAGAAGAAAAGTGGATCCAAGGGCGTAGGGCGTCGTAGGGCGCGCTCAGCGTGGAGGAACTCCATCCCGACAACTTCGCAACGCTTATGAATTAATCGCCGGCCAACGCTGATCACAAGGTGCGAAGCCACATTGACGCATGCCAAGTGCCTCTGGAATTAGGAATGAAAGTTTTTACCACCGGAAATTACTAGGAATGGAGGACTTGTGATTTGTTCTTTGATTAGGGCTCGACTAGACTACCAGGATGAGCAATGCGTGTCCTAACTTGAAGAGGGATGGAGACTCTAGTCTCCTAGTGTCTACGTGGTAACAGGAGTCAAACATTCCACAACTAGAGTATGAATTCCTAGAGCCACACAATTTTAGACTACACTAAAAATCCCGCTTGAGTTGATCAACAGGCGGCAAAACCCCCTCTTTTTCCAGGATCTGGAAGGTCTCTTCCAGCTCGTCCCAGGTATCGGCATACCCAGTCCACCCCAGCTTCCTCGCCTTGCTCATGCTGGCGACACAACTCCAATCCCGACCCATCGTCATCACTAAGAAGTCCCACGTAGCCTTGTCCCATGCGTCTTGATCCAGATGGTATCTATCTCGCAGCTTCGCCCACGCCTCATTCACGTCCTTTCGCTGGGCCCATTTGATAGGATTGACCTGAAGAAACAGGACTGGGGGATTTTCTACCTCCTTGTCAGAGGAGATACCCAGTGACGATCCCTGGACCTTCAAAGGAGGCTTGTTGGGCAGGCGGATCGTCGAGGCCTCGTAGTTCTTGAACCCCTTGCTATCGGGCACCCCGCCGTTAGGGAACATGGGATCAGGGATCTTGCAGCCAAACCGGGCAGCCAGACGCGGCCAGAAATTCTGGAAAGACTCGGTGTCGCCGTTCATCACGTTAAAGATATTGTTCCCGGCTTTAGGGGCCGTTGCGGCCCAGAGACAGAACTTCGCGTGCAGGTTCGCCGACGTCCAGCAGTTAAAGGTGAAATAATTCGCCTTACTACCGGGATAGGGCAGTTCGGAGCCGGGAAGAGCTTTACTGACGGCACAGTAAAGACCGATAGACGTTGCTTCGTTCATGAAGTTTCCGCGTGCGTACCCGAGCACGTCTTCGGGAAGGGTGGCTACCCACTCCCAGTTGTCTTTGGCGGCGGCATCGGCGAGAATACGCTGTTGCTCATAGTAGAAGATAGTGGGCCAAGAGACGCCGCCGGCGTTGTTTTCAGGAAGAGGGTCGTCTTCCAGGAATGGCTGCTTGGCCTGTCCGATATGGACACCGTATTGCTTGAATCCGCAGGTTAGAATAAACCGTTTGATGCTCTTGTTTGCCCCTGAGATATTGAGGGCCTGGATGAAATTGGTGAGAAGCACTGCATTCACACGAGACAACTCGTCGGGATCGTCGCGGGCCAAGTAGGCGCAGAAGTAGATGTACTCGGCTGAGATACCTTTCAGGCTTTTTGCCATTTCCTCAGCGGAGCCTTGAAGGTCCAGGGAGACATGCTGGATCTTTGGATGCTCGTATCCGGGGTTTCTTCGAGAAAATGAGTATATTTTGTCGTAGGAACCGTCCTTGATGAGGTGGTGGACAATTGCACTACCGGTGATACCTGGTACATGATTAGATGAAACGGGAGACATAAAGGAATTGAATGCAAATACCGGTGGCACCAGTGACAATGGCTGAAGGCATTTTTAGTCAAGCTGAGAGATATCTGTATCGTTGTCTCCTAGAATGTTCATCTAGGTGGATGATATCTGTCCGATTTATAGACAACCGCGGATGCCATGATCCCGGTGCGGGGACTTTTTTTGCTGCTGATTGGTAAGGAGCAGAGAAATCATCCAACGTGACGTGCATGCAGACCCCGATGAAGGTGTCTACGCCACAAAGCCTGATGTCATGCAGCATAAGGGCAATGTAACGTCAGGACGATTGAGGCCAACCAGGGAACCAGGATGACATAAGCTGCCTGGGTGCTTCCCGAATCCCCAGACTTCCTGTTATCCACGTCCGTCCTTCTCCTAGCTTTGACCCAGGGAACGGCCCACCTTCTCTCAATCGCACATGTTGCTTTCATATAAAAACCGAGCACAGAAGAATGGAACCGGTCGATCCATTTCCCAGGCCTTTTCGGATGCTTTTGAGACCTGGGAAGGGATCTCGTGGCAAGAATGAACGGGGGTAGATTTCTCCAATAGCCACAGTTCACACCGATAAACAAGGCTTCAGGCTGATATGGGACTAGATCCGAACCTAATGAAAAGGAGCAATATTCAATCTCGTTGGCCAGCGATTCCGTCGCCCCAAATGTTTCGAATATGCGGGATGAACAGGGAGACAACCCCATCACCAACCAGCATTCAACGCGTTCACAACACGCGAACGAGAGAACTGAACATCAATTCGATTCAGGCTTAGCTTCTTTCCTGGAAACTCATGAAGATTCGACACAGAATTCGGCAGGAGCCTTGCCGCACGACAATCTACCTTCCATGCCCACCACATTCACCGTGCCGGAGAACTCACGACATGAATCCACAGACAGGCAAAGAGAAAACGACCAAGCAACCTATATATATCCGCTAATAAATCTTCATTATTCATATAACCCGGAAGACCCTGCCATGACCCGAAACGAATCATCACACAAACAACCCTTCAGACCCGCTCGAAGTCAGCGAATCGAAAAGCAATCTCGTGAAAAAGCACGCATCTTCCCATGCACATTCTGCTACGACAAATTCAAAAGAAAACACGACTGGGTTCGCCACGAGCGATCGCTCCACCTCGATCTCGAGACCTGGACCTGTGCCCCCGATCACGGTACGTCGATTTCTCCATCGACGAACCAGCCACACTGCGTTTACTGCGACCATCCAGATCCCACGCCAGAGCATCTCGAAGAGCACAATCACAATGTGTGCGCCGGTACCGATCGAACTTTCAGCCGAAAGGACCATCTTATGCAACATCTTCGCCTAGTTCACCATGTCAGCCAGGTTCCCGTCATTGAGAATTGGAAGAAAAATGCGCCTCCTTTTGTATGTCGATGCGGATTTTGCGATCGGCAATTGAATGGGTGGAAAGAACGAATGGATCATTTGGCAGTTCACTTTCGCAAAGGGGCTACTATGCACACGTGGAAGGGGGATCATGGGTTTCCTCCCTCGATTGCCGTGCAAGTAAGGAATGCGATCCCGCCGTATCTGATTGCACAAGGAATTCGGACATCGCCCTATTTACCCCGAAGAAACGATGCTTCCAGTGAGCAAATGGATCTGGATCAGATTGGCTTGGCGGGCCCAAGCCGTACTTCGAACCTTGAATCCACGGACAACCCACAAGATTCATCACAACAGGATAATTTGCCTGAAGATATTCAAGTTTTCTCGGATGTCATTGCCCTACATATCAGTAGGTTTGCCCGTGAGAACATCCAGAAGGGTATCTTCCCGACAGAGGAAATGTTTCAGAAAGAGACGCAACGCTTGACGGAAAATTGGAAACAAATAATAGCGGATAATCTAGAGTCCGTGACTAGATTTCAGCAGCAACAAGCGGAGGATGTACAAGGAGACGATGTAGCCTCTACAGACCCGGATCTAGATACACTGCTTAATTTCCTTTCATGATATCCTTTATTCCAGGTTTATTGTGAATCATTCAGAATACAACTAGATGTACTCTCTCAGTTTAATTCTTTGTTCATCGAGCAGCAATAACTTTAGAAGTAAGATGCCTCATAATGTGGATCAAAATTTCCATAAAGGATACGGGTGCGGCGCTGAGAATAGACACATCAACTTATTTAAGACAGCCAATCGATTTAGAGCTTTGCAGTGCTGACAGAATCCAGACGCCAACCAGGTAACCCCCAGTCGCTAGTCGGGGATTAGATCCAGATCTTAATAAACCCAATTGCCCCCTTGAATTATCTCTCCGAACCATTTCTCAGCAGGAGTGTGATGTCAGTATATAAATGCTCTCCTATTTCCCTCGAATACATCCGGACTCATTAAACACCTTGCTCGGAATTTTTCAACTGCAGAATGTCATCGTATGTCTCCCTCTACAGGTTACTCCTTTCCTTTTATGCTTACAGTCCGAAGTGTCCAAGAACAGTACCTCGCGCTGGCCCACTCGGCTGGCAAAGTCGACCCCTCTAGGATAAACGCTCTCTTCGATCAGCTGCAGCCCATCAAACCCGAGCATCTCGTGGGTGAATGGAGCGGCGGGTTCTTTGACACCGGTCACCCGGTGGCAGACACGCTCAAGGAAATCAAATGGGTTGGAAAGTCATTCAAATCGGTTGAGCACGTCGACCCAGTGATTGTGGATCGGGACGGAAAGAGAGCCAGTTGGGGCCAATGGGGCTTTGCTACCGTAAGACTGCCCTTTCAGCCCCAGCTAATAATGGTTATGTGTTGCTAAGTGCAGATGAAACAGGTTAGGGAGACGGTGTACCGAGGCGTCGTGTCGGCCACGATGATCTATGACGACAGGCCCGTTTTCGACCATTTCCGCTACGTGAATGAGAATTTACTTGCGGGGGTTATGGAGGGGAAGGGATTGAATGGTGCGGGTGACTTTTTCTTCTATCTTGAGAAATAGGTAGTCTTGTAGCAATCTACTTTGTGCTCGGGTTCAATATCTACCAACTTAAAATCGCGTTGTAATTTCACCAGCTAGACAATAATGAAGCTTTAGAATCGTTGACACCGTCCAGATGATTCGATCCTACCTTGAACTTCGTGGAGCCCTGCTTCGTGTCATTTTCTGCACCTCAACCACGGAACCAAGCTGATCGCCACACCCCCTGGTGGGTCTCCGAGTATCGACGCCCTAGGGCGCATCTGAGAAAGTCTCCGCTCGGGACTTGTTCCTCCTGGAAAGTTTCCGTGCGGGATATGGTTTCGCCGACAAGAATGTCGGAGACTTTTCAGGGGAAGACCCTAGAAATCAGATAATGAGCCTAGTAGCGCAAAATAAGGTGCTGACAAGATATGCCCATGAAGATTATAGAGCCACCTCACTAATGCATAGAAATTTTCTAGAAAATCGGAGATATTCGCGGAGCATCTCTTTATCATTTCTAAGCACTCGTCAAGCAAGGTGTTATAAAAATGGACAAACTCACTATAGATCGTATGTCAGACTGCTCAAACGATTAACCTCCTCTGTTCTGTATCGTACTCATCTCATATCATCTCTCATCCAAAACCATGGCTAACTGGCCCGACATCCCCTGCAAGCCCGCCGAGGGCACTTCCTACTTCACTCCGGCGCAATCCCCTCCCGCCGGCACTGCTCGCAACCCTCAATCGAATGGAAAGCCGATCCCCAAGCTCTTCAGCCCCCTCACCATCCGCGGACAAACCTTCCAGAACCGCCTCGGCCTGGCGCCTATGTGCCAATACAGCGCCGAGGATGGCCACATGACCCCGTGGCATTTCGCGCACTATGGCGCCATTGCGCAGCGCGGACCCGGCATGATGATTATCGAGGCAACGGGCGTGCTGCCCGAGGGACGCATCACCCCTGGCTGTGTTGGCCTGTGGAAGGACTCGCACATTGGTCCGCTCCGGCAGGTGGTTGAATTCGCACACAGCCAGGGGCAGAAGATCGGTGTTCAGTTGGCCCACGCTGGTCGAAAGGCTTCGACGCTGGCCCCTTGGCTAGGCGGAGGAGTCGCAACCAACGCGGTTGGCGGATGGGTCGAGGATCTCAAAGCGCCGAGTTCCATTCCCTTTGCCGACGGAGGCATTGTGCCCAGTGAAATGAGCGTCCAGGATATTCAGGACTTCAAGAATGCCTGGGTTGCGGCCATTGACCGCGCCTTGACCGCAGGTGTCGACTTCATCGAAATCCACGGTGCCCATGGATACCTCATTTCCTCGTTCATGAGCCCCTCCGCGAACCACCGCACCGATCAATACGGTGGCAGCTTTGAGAACCGCATTCGCCTCGCCTTGGAGATCGCGGAACTGACACGTGAGACCGTGGGCCCTAAGATGCCCGTCTTCTTCCGCGTGTCCGCCACCGACTGGCTGGAGAAGAGCCTCCCCGACGAAAAAGGCTGGAAGATCGAGGACACCGTGCAGTTGGCTCGCGCGTTGGCAGCCCAAGGCCATGTGGATCTGATCGATCTCAGCAGCGGTGGCATCCACAGCGCGCAGAGAATCACGTACGGCGCCGGGCCCGGAACTGCTTTCCAGGCGCCTTTCTCTGCGGCCGTGAAGGAGGCAGTCGGTGATCGCTTGTTGGTTGCTGCGGTCGGAATGATTAACAATGGGCATCTCGCTCAGGAGCTGTTGCAAGACTATAACTTGGACGTGGTGCTCGTCGGAAGAGCGTTCCAGCGGGATACCGGCATGGCGTGGCATTTCGCCAAAGACCTCGACGTGGAAATCTCCATGGCGGCGCAAATTCGATGGGGATTCACTAGTTCGCGCAACTCGTCGGAGTACATTCTGCCGAACTCGATGAAGGCGTCTATTTTTGAGTAGTGGAAGGGTTTTGTTTGGTTTTCACATAGAATTATAGACTTGCATTCTGATAGACTTGTAGACTTACATCAATAATATGGATCATAACCTTTTCATTTCTCTTTTCGCCAAATAATAGGTCGAATAACTATCTCTTCGTTTCCCGGAAAGTATTGACATTTTGGATATTTGCTCAACTGTCCAACAAGCCTAGCACTGTTTTAAGATTTTCACGACAATGGGCTGAACCATACAGGGCTCGGCTACAGTCTCAGTAAATGGTATGTCATATTGGCCAGATACAAGCTCCTAATAACTGAAAGTGCGCATCATCTCGAAGAACAGGAGGAAGCCTCAAAGCCCCCGCATGACCAGCGTGAAACCAGATACTTAAATCCACCAGCTACAGTCCATCCCTTAGCCGTCCCATCAACAAAGCCATAAATCTACTCTGCACCCTCCAAACTACCTTCAGGTAAATCGTCACTCGGCTGTCCAGCTTCGTTCTCCGCGTTACCCTCAGCCACCTGCGCATCATCAACCTCATCCCTCGCCACCGCCTCAGTCTCGAATCTCAGCAGGTTCTGAGGAACGCTAGCATCATCTGCCTCTCCCTGCCACAGGGCCCACAGGGCATTCTTGTCATCTTCAGAAACAGTATCGTTCACAGCGAACCATTTGCTTCCAATCTCAAGGACATCGGGTTCCTGGGTAGAGGTACAGGCATCTACCTGTTCCTCGCTCTGGCTCGTGATTGTGCGACACAGCCGGCACCAGGAGTGGCCACGCAGATTCGAACCGCCCGAGATGCAACGGCCTCGGTTGGCAGACGCTGCGACTCTTCCGCAAAAACGCGATCCAACTTGGTTCCAGGTAATGTGGATATCGGTGTCTGTGCGGGCGGTGCTACTGGCCGACGCAAACACACGGTTTCTAGACTGGCAGCATACTCGTTGGTTGATGTTGCGGCAGACAGAGGCACGACCGCGGCAGCTGTGTCCGGTATATTGGAACAAGTCAACTGCGTTGGTGAGGGCGAGGAAGGTGAGGAGGGGGAAGATGATGGTCAGAAAGGACTTGAAGTGCATTTTGGAGCTTCTGATAGGCTTGGGTGCTTTTTGATAGGGTGAGTTGCTTCTTCGAATCTGTCTGGGGATTGTATGAAGGAATCCGTGCTGTCTGAACTTCCGAATCTTGAGAGGCTTTATATGGTTTGATGTGCACTTGATCTACCATTGCGGCTCACTTGGACGCTTGGGGTATCAGTTGGTAACTCATTTAACCTCCGATGGTTGTGCGACACGTTGGATACGAACTAGAGTCATACGACTATTATGAGTTTCACCAACCCCAATAGCTAACTGAGAGACGTAAAGACAGAAAGGAGGGGGCACAAAAAAAGTGGCGATAGTACACCTTGTTCTTTGTGCAGTGATGATACTTCTTGGAACCATGATATCTCTGAAGCTGAAGTTTGTCCGTGATTGGATTGCCACATCTATGGAGGCTGCAGCGGTACCATCACTCACTAATTAAATGGAGGCCTCCTCTAACTAAGAATCACATTACATCGCTTCTATTTTACCGTCGCCAAAATACTTCCTTCCTTGAGCGCCAAGGCGAACCACAATACAATCCTGATAGGACTGTTGCTCCAAGAGAGCTCGATAATTATTTCCTCCGAGACATGAAGTTTGCACCACTGTCTACATTGCATAGCCTATTTCAAAAGTATGTACTACGGTGCTAAAGCCGCATTGAGCATGTATACCGTGACATTCCAATATAGCAGTGACGGCCGTAATAAGCAAGTGATGGTATACGACCGATTGGTCCAGGCTTGCCTGGCACGAAGAACAGCTACACAGAATATAGCACCATCTCTTTCTAGCCAGATGTCTCGCAAAATAAGACGACCCTGTTTATCGGAGATTTAGCATCCAATCCTATCGAGGCCATCTACAGGGATGGCGGGAGTCTGCTGCAGCCGATACAGGGATTCGAAGGCACCTCCAGTTGACCAGTAAGTACCTAAGCCCCTAGGAAAATGCTACCCATTAGGCTATTCCTGTCCCAATTAAAGCCAATCAAGTGAAGGACAGGGTGAACCTTCCTCATACTTCACCCAATGGGGCGTGGCTGCCTGATGGGACTTCCCAGCCTCAGGCTTGAGTCAGACCATGTGACCTGCTTTGTTGCTGCCTTCCATCTCAATGTCCGCAACTCTCTCGCTCTCCACCACCTCACTCCTTCCATCAAGTATCATCAAACAACTATCCATTCCATCAAGTTCTGAGACACAGTACTACTCAAGTCTGTCCCTTGTCAGCATGAGCCAAGAAATCCTTGTCACTACGGATGATCTGGGAGTCCCGACTCTCCGCCTGTACGATCCATCCAACGACGGAACGCCCACTGGAGACATATCATCTGAGACCATCAAAGATATCTCACCTCAATCCACGTTTGTCTTCACTGACCCCGATAATCTCGGTTCCATCTTCCGCAATGCCGAGACTCACGAACAAATCGCCAACCACATGCGGCGACTCCGACTGGTCATCTTAAACTCAATTGCAGACGCCGCGCTCACTCACACGGAGGAAGAAGGCGGCGTTGACGGCCCACACATATCGCCCCTTATCGACAAATGGTGGGTCGCATGTCGGGCCATCCCAAGAGGTCATGCGATCGAGCATGTGATCTTCGATCTGTCTTTTCCACGGCAAATCGCCAAAAGGGAGATTGTGAGGCTTCTACAGGGAATGAGCACGACTATGTCAATGAAATCGAGTGGAAAGTTTGAATGCTACACTGAAGGTGACCTTGAAAGAAAGGCCTGGTTGGAGAAAAGCCTGGTGGGTTTGAAGAAGTCAGAGGACTAGGGATGTAGGCGACGTCCTGCTGCCTTATCGGTTCTATTCATTTCATTCCTCTTCAACCTTTTATGTTTGTTTTGGTGTTATCACTCGCTATCAGCGTTTGGCGCGGGCTCTCTGATATTATTCGACCAGCTGATCCGGCGCATGTCGACAAGCTGCACTTTAGCATTGGTCAGCATAGCCAGGGTTACTTTATGGGTTACTCATTCACCGGCATGTCTTTATTAATCGAAATTCAAGACTTTCTTTAATTCAATATCCCTTTTTCTCCGCCTTTGTGCTTAAAAAAGCCCAAAAGAAATGCTTACCAACTCTTAGATCAACATCCAAATAATCCCTGAACTATGCAGAACTCACTCATACCGTGTTCACATTTTGTCTCCTTTCTTCCGGCACAAGACGCCCTCGAAAAATGCCCTATAAATGCTTTCTCTGATATGAGATGGTCTATGGTGGCAATGAATTCCCATAGCTGGACAGGGCTCAAGTGCTTAACGGCGGTAGATCAAAGCACCAGTCTGAAGTGTTCTAATCTATGGATCAGCAGTGAACATCCGAGACTTTTATTTGATACAAAATCAAAGCTCACAAAGATGCTTTACCATTTACCAACGGCTGAACATTGATTTCAGAATTTTCACTCACCCCAGCCAGCTCCTTGATCTTCTCGGTCAAAGACGAGCCATATAGTGACATGCCTAATACGTCCACTTATGTCATCATGAGTACACCACTCCTTCTCATCAACATAGACCGAGCAGCTTTTGTTAGCCTCTACCGAAACACCATCTTCAGCACTGCTAATGAGCAGGTCCCGACAGTCATTTGAATCAGCGCAACTCATGACTATCTCATCATTGATGTTATGCTCATACGCATATTCCTGAGCCACTCCCGGCTCAGAGACGTGTTGATAGTCACATATAACACAGTTGGCGAGACCCAGAGCGTCACCATCTGTGAGTAGGTGGTGATACGCTCCGACGTAACTACTCTCGAACCAGCATGCCGGCAAAACCAATTTCTGAAAACAGTCCTCCGCATCTAGGCACATCCATTGATATGAGTCACAAATGGGACCAATCGGGGATTGAATCCAGGAGAGTCATGCTCCTGGTCTGAGTCCTGGACGGCGGCTTCTCTACCCCCTCGAATTAAAGAAGGCTTATTCGAGCTCAGAGAAACGTTTCGGTATGTATCGTTGCGACCTTTGATATTTGGTTTAATCGTGGAATGATCAGCTAGCGATTGGGTCTCATTCATATAAATTAATCAGCTTTCGGATGCTCCTGTGGGAAGGGCCATCATCATTACAATGCCAACTTGAGACATGTGGAGCATGGGTGACATATGTCATTTTTGATAAAGCGGATCATCCCCAATCCCTGTATCGTTCCGCGGTTTTTCCTTTTTCCTTTTCTTTTCTTTTCTATTCTTACTTTCTTTATTTTTCCACTTAACTTACGAATATAAGTTTTGACAATGGATTTTGCAAGGTTGTAATGGAGCTGAACACCGAATCAGTGCCCTTGGCAAGCTAGATTCCTCCATCCCTTTGTTCATTGCAACGTTACACAGAGCATTCTTGATTTGATTATCTGCAGCCAGCCAATGATATGGCGATCCAAAATATATCCGCTTACAATACACAGCCACTGATTATCAAACCAATAAGATAAGGTTGAAGGTCTCATTCTCGGTCATCATCTTGGGACTGTCTCTTTCGTTCCCATCCTGAAATCAGCCTGAATAGAATTAGTTTGATTTATGGAAACGCCGAGGATGCTATCCCTGAAGGAAAAGCCCTTGAGACTCACACGAGGTCTGGTGACACTTGTACTCAGATTAAGAGAAATCAGAACTGTTATGCATTTATCAGTGACATCACCACTAATGAGCCAGGTATGTAAATCGTCGATAACAAGCCTTATTAGCCTATTCTGGCAGGCATCAATTTTCATAAAGCTGCATAATTCGTCTCGCGGGGCCATTGAACAGGGATTATAGCTGGGGCTCGAGGGAGTGGAAGCAATTTCCACGGATGACACGACATTGAATGACCTCATCTTTCCAGTCCAACTCCAATCGCTGGAAACGGCATCTCGCCACTGTTAACAAGGTGATGAAATCAACATAACAGGTATATCTGCGTACTCTAAATCTTATCTATAAGAAATTGCCAGATCCAACCACAACAGCCTCTTGCAATGGTGGATAACAGTAAACATTCATCTTAAACCTGTTCTTCCGTTTCATACACATCCGCTCGAACAAATATGGCTACCTCAGCTGTGCAGGTTCCCGTGCGCGACCCATGGTCATCCACAGACTTCGGAGCCATCAATAGATGGCGTGCGAACGTCATCAAAAAAGCAGCTGTCCGACCCGCATCGTCGCTGGACCCAGCTGTTCAGGAATTCCTCAACCTACTCAACAACAAAGGCCTTGGCCTCGGCGCCCTCGCGAACAGAATGCTCAGCGAGGTTCCCCCAACCCCGACATATGACTACGACCCGAGTGGCAAGTTCGGTCGCATTCCGAACTACGAGCACATGGTGCAGTGTATCAATCACGTCCTCTACGCGGCACCAGCCTGGGACCACGACGCCTACAAAGCCGGACTGATCGGCGTGCCGTTCAACGCGCTCTTCAATTGGCCCATGGGCACCGAGAGCGGATACAAGTTTTTCAAAAACGACAAGGTCAACGCATGTCTGAAAAAGATCCTCGACGCACATGGCAACTATCTCCGTGACCCGACCCAGGACTCGAAGGAGGTTCTCCCGACCTGGTTTGCAGAGGAGCCATTGCAGATCATGACGGAGAAGGCGTCGCCGTATTGGCCCAACGGAGCGAAGAAAAAGTTCGAGGATATCTACGTGTGTGATCCCAATGATAAATACTGGGGTTTCATCACTTGGGACGACTTTTTCACTCGCGACTTTCGCAAGGGTGTTCGCCCGGTCGATCATCCAGATAAGAACCACGACCCGCATGAGCCGAGCAAGGCGGTTATCGCGAATGCGTGCGAGTCAGTTGTCTATCGATGCGAGGAGAATGTCCAGAAAAAAGACCGCTTCTGGCTTAAGGGCCAGCCGTACTCGCTGTCCGATATGCTGGACTTTGACGAGTCCGTGGACAAGTTTGTCGGCGGTACAGTCTACCAAGCGTGGCTGGCCGCCGAATGTTATCATCGCTGGCACTCTCCCGTATCCGGCACCGTGAAGAAAGTCAAGAAAGTAAAAGGAACGTACTTCTCCGCCCTGCGCGAGTACGGCTTCCCCGAGGTTTCTGGCGATCGGAATATCCCCGATCCCTCGGCTCCGAATCTCTCGCAGCGATACATCACCGCTGTGGCCACGCGAGGTTTGATTTTCATCGAAGCTGATAATCCTACGATTGGGCTGATGTGCTTCATTGCCGTGGGGATGGATGAGATTTCGAGTTGCGAGTTCTCGGTTGGCGAGGGCGACCAGATCATGAAAGGAGACGAGCTGGGAACGTTCCATCTCGGAGGGTCGACTCATTGTCTAGTCTTCCGGCCAGAGGTTAGGCTGGACTGGACGAGGGATGCACAGCCCCCGTTCAGTGATGTTCAATTTGATCAGCATACCATTATTCCGGTCAATTCATGGCTGGCGTATGCGGGCCAGGCGTAAGGTCTAGCTGTCTATATGGCGTGATGTCGCTCGAACAGTTATCACTTTTCCGTAGGTACAATGCCAGACAATGGATTCAACATTATCCACTGAATATAGATCACCAACTGCAAAATTAAGGTAATTTCATTAAATACTAGCGTAGATGTCATTAATCATGATCGAAAGCAACCACCTATCCCGAGCCCTGCCCCGCCCATCGCCCTGCAGGAAAATTATATTCGGCACTGAGATGGCTCTTGGCTGGCATCAGGTAAGCCCATGATTCGAGCTTTTTCTTGAGAACATGACGGTCAAATAGATGTCGCAGTTTTGATGTGAAAGACGACGAGGCTCTTGATGTTCCCGACGTCAGATCGGAATGGTGGGTTGCTGTGAGGGACAGCTTGATGTCGCTGTATTTAGGAGGGTCCATGTCTTAGGAAGTGGATCAGATGTTTTCGGGAGGCTGGATCTAGATCAGAGTCTTAGATTGTTAGTGAGTGAGAGGTATAGATAGGCTGACGGGTCTGCTTACCTTGGATTGAAGGTTTAACGATTCGGTGTGAAGAAACAGCAGTAGGGGAAGCTATAGACTTGGCTATCTCAACAAGGGCTGAGGGTGAGATAATAACCGGAATATATAGCAGAGCTGCAAAATCTAATCTGCAGTCGTGGCAAATGAGCGTGTTTGAAGCTGGCTGAGCATGCATGACGCTACCCGAGCGAATCCCGAGCCTTTACCGAGATTTCTGTCCCGAGAAGATCCCGAGTCATGCCGATGTATCGGTCTGCATGAATCACACATGTTTGATCTCGGACAACGTCCCTGAGCGATTTGCACCGGCCAATGATAGGCTCTGAACTACTGGAATTGTTAGATAAATGTGGTCCTCGTTAAGATATCCGGATGGAATGACCTTGATGGGTGGGGGCTGGTTCTAGGCATTGGTCAGTGTTCCAGGGGTCCTTCATTCTTCTGCATTGAAGCTGTTCCCGCGACCGTGAAGTGAGAGGTAAGAATTGAAACTCGGAGCGTGAAAACCGAGTTGTAGAGAAAGAAAACATTTACTTCGAGAGTGCATGTTGGTGTTTGTAGACCGTATCGATATCGGGTGGGTATTCGTCGAAATATGTCTCTACAGCGATCGGGACTTTGGGCAGTCAGAGTTCTTCTAACTGGTGGGGACCGAAAAAAACCGACCTCAGATAAGATTTAATAACAAAAAAAAAAAAAAAAAAAAAAAAAAAAAGGAAGCAAAAAGAAAACCAAAACAAGAAAGGAAAAGAGGAGCAAAGAGAAGGTAAAAAAAAAAGAAAGGATGACAAGGATGGGATTCGAACCCATGAATCAATGAAACTAGTGATCCAGACATGAGCCTAAAACTAGCGCCTTAACCACTCGGCCACCTTGCCTGAGTAATAACATACAACAGTGCTTTTTGGCTATATTAAACAATGTCACTGCAGATGGTACAACTCCCTGCCAAGAAGCAGGGGTGCCAGAATCCCGTCACGAATGGGTTCAGAGCGCAGATTTATCGACTCAGGACCTTCTAGCTCACATGAACGACCCCTGCGATTTCATGGACAAGATGGCTTCTCCAACATTGCGATCATCATCGACCTTGCCGACTGATTACCGTGACGAAATAAATGAGCCATCGGGCGACGCACATCCAGAGGCTATATTGGGTCATCGTGATCTGGGAATACCGCGCTCTTGAACTGTGATTATTGCATATCTGATGCGCAAATACAATACCACGAAAGATGAGGTGCTAGCATTCGTCTATCAAAGCAGAAAATTAAGCCAAGCTCTAATTTTATACGCCAACTCCAAGTCTGGGAGAAGGTGGGACATGAAGTGTGGGTGGATAGCGAGAGAACAACCCCGAAAGAACCATACCAAGCATTGCTTGAGCCTGAGCAGAATTATTGAAGCGAAAGGGACTCACAAAAAACGAGTCTCTCGCGCCGCAGAACCTTTAATATGTCAGATAAAAGGGAATCTGGAGTCTCTGCGTTGGACATTGCGTAGATGACAGGTCCTAATATACACCGTGAGACTGTGCCCAACCGGCGGGCTCATATCATTGATCCAAACCCCGTCCACCCCTGGTTATGACGATGTCTTTTCAAAAGGATCAAAAGTCTGGCGTAGGCTGCCCCTTACAACATCTTTCATGCCGTGCGTCTTGCAAACAACTCCCCGGCCATATGGCAATGTGATAGTAATAGATGTGAAACTTGGATCTACGGTTGGAAGACTAGACCAAAAGAATATCAACACATAGAGTCTCTGCATTTGCACTATAATAGGGAAACCATAGTCGGTTTTGACAAGAAAAAAAGCCTATACCTAGACATCATGGTGGAGACAGGCTCAAGGGATGCTGCGGCAAGACACAGTGGAGATAGGTACATGGTCGCATTTCCCTTCTTTGTGCCTTTGGACTCTTGGCAGGCTTTCGACCAGGGACAGCTAGTTATTATCAGGCTTACATTCCTTGCCCGCGCTCTAAATAATATTACGCTAATCAGCTATTGGAAATAAGGGAATATATTGAGTCTGATGAGCTCGACAGATTACTTCATTCCAATTCAACACCCAGAGCATACTCCTTCAAGTATTGTGCCATGACTTGGTCTATGATTGTTAGGACACCATGTTAAAGAGCAAGAATAAATGGTACTTACAATTGTTCACCGCGTGGTTTAAATTAGCCTTCATGTACTGGGGCTGATCCTGATATGTGGGTTAGCCAACGTTCAATCGGATAACTATGATCATCATGACCCTACCGCTGTCTGGGCCCCCTTTTCAAGCCACGTCTCGATTTCTTTTGCGTCCCTGATGGCGAATTTCCAGTATCCAGAGAGGACCTGAACACATGCTCGGAATGAGCTCAGAGAATTGTTTCCCAGGAGGACCAGTTCTTGTCGTGCTTGCCGAATCTTCTCGATGTCCTTCTCAAGGTTCTTCTTTTCACTGGTTTTATCCTCGATTTCGTCCTTTACGGCTATTACCGTTCAGTATATAGCTTGGATCCATGTATACGCAATGGCACTCACCGTTGGCTGCAATGATGAGACCAACTGAAGTCCCAATAGCTACTCCAGCAGCGATAAGGCCACCGATCTGGTCACCAGTTAGCTTAATTAAGAATCCATTCCTAGCGTACTAATTGAGAATGGTTTTAAACATACCAAGATGATCGAGGAAAAAGGAGGGAATAAAGTAGATAGGATGGTGGTCACTGGGAGAACGGCAGCGCCAACAGCAGCGACTGAGAGCTGGGCAGTTTGCAATGCTGACAGTTTCTTATTGAGCGCTTTGAGCTCATCATCCAGCTTCTTTATCTTCTCCGTGAGCTCGCCTTCTCTGTCTTTCGCCCATTCAGAGAATGAATTGACCAGCTGAGAAAAAGACTGCACTAGTCCCTCGAATCGGTTGTCGATGCCTTTTGCCTTTACCTCAAATTCGCTTGCTTTCTATATAGCCATGTTAGAAGATTTTAAACATGGAACATATTGGGATACATCTCAGTGCCTATAATACCTTGATGTAGGAATGAATACGTTCCTGTCGTTCCGTAATGGAGATGCTGTCATCCCCGCAGAACTTGATAACCACGAGGTCGAACGCTGAGTGTACGCTAGTATTAACATTGTCCAATGAAAAATAAAAACACGACTTACATGTCCCATATTGACTAATCTCAACTGCTAGCAGCCGACTGTCTCCCAGCACGTCCTGATACTCCTGTTCAACGTACGTTAGAAAACGAGAAACCGATGTAAAAGAGTGCCCAAACCTTCTGAAGCTCCTGCAGCGGCTTTGAAAAGCTCGAATGATGAATGTTATCAACTTGGGCTATCTTCAGTTGCAGCTGTTGAAAGGTAGCTTTGATTTCCTTTGCCGCTCTGGACGCAGCGGACGCCGCAGGCTTGATATAGTTGCTAGCTTCGTCGGATGATGCCGTTTTGGCACTTCCGATGGAAAAGTCCTGCTTTTGTTTGTCAGTTTTTAACGGAAGGTGGCTGTCGTGGTTTTCGACGAGCGTGTTGAGATCTTCCTTGGAAAGGCTCTTTGCGACATCGAGCACCTTTCCAGGCGTGGGATTCGGGCCGACAAGATTGTCGAGCTTTTTCACCACCTGCTCGTATGATGGAGGGGAGTTTTCCGCTGCGTAGCTGGGGAGTGTGGAAGCCATGCTGAAATCTGCGCAAGTAGCAGTTTTTGGAAAGGAATGATTTGAATACGATGCTTTGCAGCGTTAGTAGCCACTTATATGCCTGGCCCCTTGTCATGGATGGTGCAGTAGAGACCCCTCAACAAAAGTACTGAAACCATCAGCCAGCCACTGCTCGAACTTATTGCAGGACTAATTACTACGTGCCGCATCTTGGTTGCTGCACTGCAACCGAGCCCCGCATGACCTGGCTGAGCTGTACGTACATGCATCATGCATGGAGAGGGACGGGTGGAGATGGGTACTTCACTGAGTTCTCCGAAACCAGTTATGTCGCATGTGAAATCAAAATGCAAATGGTCAAGCCGCGCTGAAGGTCTATAAATACGCTTGACCAATAGTCATGGCCACAAACCGAATCCCCACCATCGTCTCTACTCCTGTGATTGATTCTGAATACACCATTTACGTAAATCCCCGAATCTTCGTGAGCAGAATGTCATCTTCTTCCAACCTTTCAATGCTGTCAGAATTATGCGGCGTACTTCGCAACAACCCTACCCCCCAGAAGTATCTCGTTGTAGGATCGATGCTATCCAATGCCGAAGCGGAGGTAGTTATCAGATCCTCAAGCAAGGTTCACCTCGATGATGTAGAGAAAGAAAACTATGTCATCGCTGTTGCCCAGACCCTTTCTTCCAATGACATAGATGATGTCATTGAGAAGAGTGCCGAGGAAGCTCAAGCCAATGCTCTCAGGGTATATGGTGCATTTATGCAAGCCTTTACCATGGTTCTCATCATCGATACAACACACGGTACACAATTCTTGGCTCGAGTAATCCCTATGATTCGCGTAGGTCGAATTATTCCTTGGAATGTTCAGTCATAGTTTATTGACGTGCTCTTGCTAGACCTATACACAAATTCTGCTCGATAGTATACCCCACGCGCGGAGAGTCGCCGACTATGGAGACAGTAGGACTGCCGCAGTCTTGTGTCTGTCTACAGCTAAGCCGCATAGTATTCGACGACGAGGTTATTTTCCTGTGTGCAAATGACCAACTGTCACTCGAGGCGCGAAAAGTGAAGATCGCAGAATTCATCGCGGTATGTATGACCTGCACCAGAGACTGTCAGCTGACATTTGAGAATGCAGGAGACTCAGGAATTCGAGACCTTCTCGAAGGAGATACGGAATCGGCTTGAAAACCTGAATAGCTCATATGTCACGTTCATTGACGAGGTCCGCAGCACCACAGGTGCAGCTGCGCAAAATGCCGCACCGGTCCGAGGAACAGAGGCCGAGACTGAACACGCAGATCCGCTTGCAAGAATTGCGCCAGATGTTGGCTTTGATCATCCGCTGATCTCCTTGGCATTCTCTCTGTCGCGCAACCTGGCTGCTTTTTTGACGGTACGTGATGTTATTCCCTGCGTGTAACCTGGCTAACCTGGGCAATGATAGATCGGCGGCCTCGTTGGAGTCGGGAGTGATCATGGGCTGAATGCGAGCCTGGCCATTAGTTCAGCTGGTAGGTACACGGAAATCGTCGGATGCTCCGTCCGCTAATTGCACACGTCTTAGTTGCGCAGTGGGGTCGCAGAAAAGAAGAGGAGTCTGCATACGCGTCAGCGGGCTCAGGACTCAACAACGACGTCAATTCATACTTGTCTGCGTTTTCAAAAAATCTGGATGGTGTGGGCCAGTATTGGCTAGACAGTCTAAACGATGCTCGGGAGATCGAGGATTGGCTGCACGACGGTGCAAGTATGGCGGTAGGTCCTCCTAGAATGCGTGCTGACGGCATTCACACACACTGACGGATATTGCTCCAGAAATGGCCTAATTACATGAAATTAAACCTTGAGAGAGGGGTGAAACTTTGTTAGTATCTTCTTGCCACCAGCCTCCAGGCTGTAGCTAACGCACTGTGATCACTCAGACCAAGCTATGTCAAAGTATTTGAGAGGCTACGCCCTAGGAATCGAGAACATGCATCCGGAGAAATGGGTAGTGTAGGACAGAACTAACAACTACAACCATGAGGCGGGGCTAGTGAGTCCGCCAGTGCGCTCAAATTATATACAGAATTGGAGTAACTGTCCCTGATTGCATCATACGCTGTGTTTGCCTGAGTAAAAGTGTATCGTAATGAGAAGACACCCGCGGAGGTTGGAAAGCCCGACATGGATCGGCACCTGTGATGTGTGTATACTGGACAGATCTCAGCTCACGGCCCGTCATTGTCAGCTAGCCAATTGTTGTCTAATAACAGAAGTACTAACCACGTAGCATAGCACGGTAGGCTTTCCTACTGTCATATATGAAGTCGTATGGTGAATGTGCATATTCACATTCCAGGCGAGCCCAGACTCCACTTTGGCGTTACATCACAGAAGCTGATGCCAGACAACCATCCAATTATAATTCCCGCCGAGGGGGTTCCCTACGTCCTGATACTTAAATGCGTCAGGGGTTTTCTGCACGATCCGGGGGGCAGGAGGCCCCTGCTAAAATTCTTGTTCAATCGGATTGATTGTTGGACATCTAGGGTCGGGGTAAAGCTAGTCCATGCAGGAGATAGCCCTGCAGAAAGTTGCCAACACATCAATGAGCTGAACGCAGATCGTTGAGTTTCAATGCTTCTACCTGACAGAAAGTGAATCACGACATAATAAGCTAGTTCAAGAGCCGTGAGTGATAAACCAGCGGTTCCGTTTCCTCATGCTCAGTCGACCAACTGCCATCAATTGCAATTTCTATCGTGTCTATCAATTCCCAGCTAAAAGCCATGGCTTCTACAACCTCCAGGTACACCGCCGGCGAGGCCCCCCCGTCGTATGATTCCATTGTTGGGAAGATCGACGAAGCTGTGGGCAGCACCCGCACCCCCGACAAGTACCTAGAGGTGGTAAAGTCACTCAGCAGCGCCGAAATAGGTGTCATTGCAGACGGTGCCAAGGACCATCCTCCTCCAATTTATACAGAGGAGGACAAGAAAACGTTTGCCATCGGCGCTGCAAAGGCCGCATCAGAGGATTCGGCAACAAAGCATCTTGAAACAGCTGCGAATAAGGCCACCCTTGCAGCCAAAGAGATCAGGGGTGTCTTTCAATCAATTGAGCTGAAGATCACAGAAATCGACCAAATCCACATGTCAAACTTTTTGCCGGAGCTGGAGAAACACCAGAAGGTGGCCATTACCCTATACTGTGATCATTGTGACAGGCTAACCGAATCACAGACGTTCAACGACATCCTCGGAGATAGTCGGCTGCTTGCCACGGACATCAGCCAGTATGGAAAATGTGAATCCACTATTTTGCTCTTGTTACTAGGTCGCGAACTAATGTCGCCCAACTAGCATTTGATGGGATAATCGTTCAATTTTGTGCCGACCAGACGATCAGCGTAGATGACAGAATTAAGCAGATTGGAGATTATATAGAGGTGATCAATCTCATCAACCTCTCTCTATCCATTCAGTCATGGGCGCGCTGACCAAAGCAACAGAAAACTCAAAAATTTGAAGACGATTCTACTTCAATCAAGAATCGGTTTGATTCGCTCACCTCGGACTTCACCAAGTTTGTCGGGACTTTCGGCACTTGGGCGAAGGACAAAGAAGGCGAATTGAACGACCAGATAAAAGAGCTGAATAAGGAAATTGCAGAACTCAATGCGAAGCTGGTGAAGCTTCAAAAGTCGCTGATGGTATTGGGCATAGCTGCTGGAGTCGGGCTGCCGGCGCTGGCTGTTGCCGCCGCTCTCTCTGGCCCTTTTGCTCCCTTTGTTGCGGTATGAGTAAATCGCTATCTATTCTTGCAGCATGGCTGATTTTTAAACTCAGATTGGCGGGCTGATTGCTCTTGGTGCCACGGCGGCGTCCATCGCTGGCATTTCAATTGCCATTGCCGGTAACGTACAGCCCGTGGATTGAAACCCATTGTATCTAACAGTTGTTCAGTCACGTCCAACGATATCAAAGCCAAGCAATCGGAGAAAGAGGGTCTACAAGAGCAGATTGAACAGATTCAACATGCTCGCCAGGAGCTTCAAGACCTGGGAACCCAGAAGTTGAAGGTCTTCACGGACAATGTCAACGTTCTCTCAGGTTATTGGACTGCCACCACTGCTCAAGCTCATGAAATTCAAGCCTGGCTGAAAGACGGCGCTAGCATGGCGGTAAGTCGCATCAAAATCACCGAACTTGCTTACTTGCTTATCGTATTCGCCTTCAAATCGTCTAGAAAAGACCCAAGTATATGCAAATGAATCTTGACCACGGAGTCCAAATCTGTAAGTGGGCTACTTCTACACCCCTGGCTTTAGAACCGGGCTTATTTTAAATAGACGCTGCACTATCAGTCTTTCTTGACAACTATGCTAGTGGCTTGACGAGTGACGAGTAATTGAGCCTTACGTATGTTGGCTGCTAACATCATGATCACGTTTCCATACGTTGGGGTTTCTTTGTTTACTCATTATGGATAGTATTCCTAGGTAATCTCATTACATCTCAGCAAATAACGCAATGGGTTTGATCCAGGCGTAACATGAGGATAGAACCTGATTACCATGAGCGTGTTCTAAATGAAGGCTAAGGCTCTACTTTGAAGTTCTGAATAATGGTATTGAAGAAGGATGCGTAGTGCCGCGCATCCGCTAGATACTATGTCTTGCCTCACGATCCGGGTCCTTTGTTACAAGAACTATCCGTATACCTCCCGAGCGAAAGCTGGGATTACCACTAGAATACTTCCTTTTTTCTTTGTTGTACATATTTCCGACCGAAGGTGATCAAAAAATTTATTGAATTATAGCACAAGAAAAAGAGTAGACCGGAGCTTTCCGACTGTTCAGTCTCAACAATAACTTACTTGATTATTCCATCTTCCCCTTTTTGGAAGAAGCTGTCAGCTAGTGGAAGCATTCTTTTCGAGTAGAAATGCACTTTGTCCTCTGTATATATAAAGAATATACCATCCGTGGCGACTATATAAGTAGGGCTCGAACAGGCTGTCTTACCAATCTAGAGTCTCATCTCGAGAGCAGCTCCAGCAAGCAATATTCCCTATAGAATCTTTGAGCAGCTGTCACTTATTGAACAGAGATCGACATTGCCCAAGATGAGCGCTGAGCAAAGCCAGGCGAGGCAGACGGCTTCAAACTCGACTGAACCCGCAACCAACTTTTCTGATTGGGCAGACATCGAGTCAATTTGCAACCTGATTAAGATTGAACTAGACCAACTTGAGGATCTAGGGCTTCCAAGTACGCAGATCTTTCAAAAGGGTGTGCCAAGCCTAGATCAGCATGTAGAAACAATCAAGCAGGGTCTTTACTCGGATAGGGAAATCGATTCCATGATGTCCACGGAGATCACGAATGATATTCAACTCCTAGATATTGGAGGGCAGAATTCCCAAGAGCCTGAGGTTGAGGTGGTATATCCCATGTTGACGGACCATTCCCAATCTGCCCAGCAAGCCGAGCTGGAATATCCCTTGTTGACAATGGAACAGATCCAGGAGATTGAATCCCTTGACTGGGACGTGATCAATTCATATAGGAACCAGATTGATAGTTATGCTGGTCAAGAGCCTGATGCTCTTGCGATAGACAGGCTTTGTGTTAAGCAAGCAGAGAACAGTTGCCCTTACGGTGAATTGTACAAATTTGTTGGCGACGTTGATGAGCCCGACGGAACTAATCCAGCGTCCATGTCGATAGTCAATTTCCGTCTACCGGCAGACTTCTTGGAAATGGTACCATTTAACCGCAATAAGTACTTTGCTGATCATCTGGTCATTGAGTTTGTCCGAAATGGTGTTCTGCAATTGAAATCAGTCGATATTCGGAACAAAACATTCTCAGTCGAAATTGACCTCCAAGACAGGAACCAATTGGCCAAAGTGGATACCATATCTGTTTATCTTCAGAGTCAGGGTGAGGTCCAAAAGCCGCTGGTGAGCTTTTTCAATACATACAAAATTCACCCGCGACCGCTGCCAAAACTGAGTGATCCAGTGATCAAGCTCATGTTTGAACTGGACGTATCAGTTGACCCGACCAATGTCCAAGAGGTGCTTTGGGGCATCAAGAGGGCGCTTAACTGGCGCATAGAAACCGGGTTGTGGGACAGCAGGACACCACTTTGTCACTGTGCTTGGAGCTATTTCCAGATCTCCATGCCGCCCTGTGCTTCCGATTATCAAGCCCTGTACTGTATTGCGGAGATGCTCATTATTCCACTGCTATTTGATACCGAGGGTCATTATGGTTTCACTAAGTTTCCATTCACCATTCAGAACCCTGTTACATTTGCCGGGGGTATACATCTTCGGGGTCCGGTGAAAATTGAAAGAATTCACCGTGGACCTGTCATCTATCCTAGCTTTGTTTGATGCATGCCACTAGTTGTGTTCACTCGTGTCGTATGACAAGTGTTCTCTGGCATATTTTCGCATCCGTGCTTGCCATTAGGTTTTCTTGGATTTCTTGGAGTTTGGTTTGCTTATTATCTTGCTTTGTTACTCGAACTAGATCAGCTTTTTGCAATCCATTCTACTAGTATCTTCATACCGTTTCAAATATGATTCATTTGATAAAATAAGTGTATTCTTGTAGATTCAGTACCTACTAAATAGATCTTATAATAATTTTAAACTTAAACTTGTATAATATGGCTCTAGTTGGAAGAGAAAAAGAATTAGAGGCAAAAGATGGTCATAACCATTCACTGCAGGGCAGGCTGAGGTTCCAGTCGACAAAAGTCCCTATTCACTATGAAGATGAATTTCAGTGCCATAGTCCCTTCTTTCACTTTTCTGCGTAGAAAGCCTCTCAATATTTAAGTGCTTGACCCGCTGCTGCAATTTTCATTCAAACCCTCATCTCTTCCAAAAATCAAAATGCCAACAGGAATTGCTCAACGGCCACCTAAGTAGAGAGGCTTTGCCGGACCTCTTAGAGGGACCCGAGGGAACATCAGAAAGCGCAATCCACAAACGAGACTTTCTCGGCCCCCTCGAACAATGGGACTCCTTCGCTACGGATGTCCGCAGGCATAGCGATGCCACAAGGTGGGGTAGTCAGGTCCTCTCATTCAGACATCAATTCGATGTCCCCGCCACAAGCCTGAAAAACAAACATATCAGATGCGGGGATGAAACTGGAGTGCTGGGCAGAGTTAGCGCAAACGTTGGCCAAGTGCTCTCGGCAATTTGCAAGGTCTTCGGGATCGACATGTCCCCTCATAATTCCACTGCTCGCCCACGGGTCCTTACGGCAAAGGTGCCAGACACCGTCTGTCTGACAGAGCTCGGCGTCTTGAAGATAGTTGGAGAGCTGAAGTCTCCATGGGTAGCTCCCCAGCACGACCTAGAGCAAGCCCAGAGAATGCCATTGAAGCTGCGCCGCGTCCTAGGTATGTGGAATGGCTGCAAGCTCATAATGTATAGCTTCAAACTGATCTTTGTTTCAAGGCCAGATAGCCGAGCACATGAAACCAGACAAAATAAAGTACGGATTTATTTCTACCTATGCATGAATCATCTTCGTCAAACAAGAATTGAAGAATGGGCAATGGCATCTGTTTCATACAAAAGCCATTGCCCATTCTTCAGCTCTTGGAGAGCACGGACTCTAAGGATGTTGTCATTTTGAAATTCCCTTTTCTTTACATTTCATTCAAATTCCCTGGATTTTTAACGGCTTCCTAAGCAGAAGAAAAGCCGTACTTCTCAAAACAGGGCAATGACGGACGCCTACCAATTTAGTGCGATATACAGCAAAAAGTCACTTTTTTACATACATGAAATTCTTGAAGATTACATGAAATTTGAAAAAAATGTATGAAAAAAGTTGCGTCCCGAACGGACTCAAATTGAGGGAATGCTTTTGGTATGTAATGAATCTTCCTTTGCTCTGGAAAGTACTGCCATCATAGCCAGCAGATTTGTCATGGCTAGACGATTAGGGAAGATTTGCCCGGCGAATCTGGAATAGAACTAATAAAAGATTACAGTCTTTTCATTAAGATTTTTTTTCCCGGTCATTAATTATACAAGCTGTCAGTATATTGCCTTCTTTTCTTCTTCTTTACTAATGACTGTTAGTGTAACAACTGCTTTGTTCTGACCAGTGCCTTCCACTCTGGCACTGTTACTGTTTAAGAGAATAACAAACACGACATGTTAATTGCATCCGCGACTACACTACGTTCATCGGTGCCAAAGAACATAGCAGCAGCTTCTATCAGTACTGTGGATAGAACTGCAAGATCTGATATTAATACCAATATCCCTTCTGCAAAAACCTTAAAAAGCCAGGCCCGGCGGGCTAGAAAGGTATATTCCTAAGCTTCCTTCTTATATTATCTTAAATTGATATATAGAATTATAGGCTCTGAAGCGCAAGCAGGCTGGCTCTGATCACTGATAATAGCCTTGAACCCGAGTCCCTCGACTCCAAGCAGAAAATTAGCATGGCATTTTTAATAGCTCTTACCTGCCTGACTTCTACCATCTCCATGTACGCGAGCCGAAAAGGATTTGACCACACTGACCGATGAAAAAAGACAAAAATTGTGGTAATAAATTCCACGAAAATAAGCGAACATTTGGAAGAGGCAACAAAAAACAACAAAATATACAACAGTCAGGATTCGCTGGTGGTCACCCACCCAACTACTAACTGACCGGCGTGTGGCTTGAGTACGGCTGAGCGGACGGGAAGCCCTATTTTCCACACCCTGTGGTCGTATATACTACCTGCTTAAGAGAAGGAATAAATATAGTACAGTTCTGCAGATCAGTTTGAAGGATTTTGTTCCTTCCCCGGCCAACACTGCCACCATGGTTGTCACGGTCGCGGGAGGCCATGTTAACGAACTGTGAGATTTAGGGCTGAGCGATGCAGGGCCGTTGAAGTTGGAGACGAGCTTCTATATTTAAACACTGGGTTGACGTTAAAATCTCAAGCCACAGAATCTCACATATTTTTGCATTGCTTCTGTACCCAGCCGCAGTACACGCAACTTGTAGTAGGAATCGCTTTAACTGGATTTGCCCCTATACGGGAGCAATTTGAGCCCGCGCTAGAATAAATTGCAACGCGCAACGCCTTCTCGAAAATCCCCTTGCTTCTAGAAAAAGCCAATTTAATTACCCCCTTTTGGCCTGCTTGTTCATGGTGGCCGTTATTAAATTATATTAAGATTAACCACCGAGGAGGATTTTCTGGCGATAGACCGGGTTAAAAGGAGATCACGGATCCAGCTAATAACTTTATTATTGAGCACTTTATTTGACTTTGATTAATGCCTGATTTCTCAGTATATTAGTAGTACCCAGGATTTCTAAGCCACCACAATACTAAATTAAGATTAGTTGACGTCAAAGTGAGTGGGGAGACAAATCCGTGATGAGATTCCTGGACTTCACGGTCGCCATGATACGGGATATTTCCAACCAAGCACTAGAACCAACACTACATTGCCGAAATGAAATCCAACCGGCAAGAAACATGCTGCATGAGATCAGTGCGAGGGCAACTGCCGAACAAGCAGGCTTCTTCCGACCAGGCTGCTGTTGCACGATATTCACCAAGTGGACCCCCCGGCGGGGCAGGAAATCGTCTCCTGAACCGCGGTCTGGATCTGTCTCAATCGTGAAATGACACTAATCTTAAATGTACCCCGTTGACTCCGTACGGAGCGGCGAGCCTGCGACATCGTCTGTCGGCGGAGGATTCCACGTGTCGAGTCAGTGTGTCGACAGAGTGGTTCAAGGCCCCCCACTCGCTGGTTGATGGATGAAACAGGTCCGTGTTTTGCCAGCCACAGGGGGCATAACTAGTAGCTATATGCAGAATCGCCGCCATGACCTTCTCTCTCGTCGACTGCAAATCTTCGCAAATGTAACTTCCTTCATTCCTCGCTTGACTAGCCTTCGGTCTTTTCCTTCAGACGGCCTGCCGGTCTTGCCCATGGAAGAGATCTGGGAGAGATCGCTTTCGCCGGAGCGAATTGCCTACCTGGCGCAGTCCCGCATTCCGGAGATCATTCTCTGCAATGTGATTCTCCTGGTAATCGCGACTGCGGGCCTGGCGGTGCGTCTTTTTGTCCGGATGAGGTATCTTACTGGACTCAATATTGATGACATGCTGTGTGTGGTTAGCTGGGTATGCTGATTCTCAATCATTGTTCCTGGTCCAATTGTTAACGCCATTGTGTTTGATTTAGGTATTTACAGTTGTTCTATGCGTGACTTGTATGGAGAGTAAGTAGTCTTGCGATGGATGGACCTAGAATGGCGGTTAACAGTCCGTCTCAGTGACCAAGTATGGATTCGGCAAACACATTGGAACGATACAAGACTTCACCACCCGAGGCATGTTCTTGAGGGTATGGCGATCTATCCGATCAATGCAAAAACACCACTAATAATATTCGATCTCTTCACAGCTCGACTTCGTCACCATGGTCGCCTACGTCCTCGCCCTCGGGTCTATCAAAGTTTCCTTCTGCCTCCTCTACCTACACATTTTCCCGGGAAAGAAATTCCGCATTGCCTGCTGGTGCGTGCTGGGGATTCTCGTCGTCGAAACCATCGCGGAGGTCTGCGTGGTAGTCTTTCAGTGTCAGCCTGTTCACAAGGCGTGGGACCCCACGGGTCTGGTGGAGGGTGTCTGCGTCGACATGAATCTGTTTTATTACGTGAATTTTGCCGTCAAGCTGGGCACCGATATTGCTCTTTTCGCGCTGCCCATGCCGAAACTGGTCCAGTTGAAGATGACGCTGGGAAAGCGCATAGGTTTGGTCTTGATGTTCAGTCTGGGTCTTCTGTACGCTGGATCCTTTGCGCAATGATTGGAATTGAAACGCTAACGTGGATATGCTAGTGTTTGCGTAACGAGCATCATTCGAATCACCTACATGACGCAGTTCTCTGAGGACCACACCTGTGAGTTGCCCACATTACTTTCTTTCTCAACACCACTAACGCCACATCACAGGGGTCCTGGTCGACACAATGAACTGGTCCTGCGTTGAAGTCGCCGTCGCCATCTTCATCGCCTGCATCCCCTCTTTCAAATCGCTTATCAGCTACCGATTCCCCGCCCTGCAGCGCATGCTCGGCCTATCCAGCAAAGGCGGCTCCATGGGCCCGTCACGAATGTACGGCACGGCCACCCGGCGCACGTACAACGGCCTGTCGACCGGACACCAGAATAGCATCAAGTTGAAACCGGTGGTCGGGGAGAGCCAGGCGGAGGTGGAGACCAGTCAGAACGGGTCGCAGGAGCGCATCGTGCATGCAGGGATTCATGTCACGACTAGCGTTCGCGTCAATGAGAGTGTTTGATGCTTTGATAGTCATGATACGCATACTTCATACGATGTTTTTTTTTTTTTTTTTTCTCGCGACTTCTGTCCATTGACCCCCCGGGCTGGTGGGTCGATATTCTCCCCCCTCCACGCAGGACAGACAGTGATACAGAGTCCAAAGGAGCACCAGCCCGATCCTGAACTTACTCCGTGCACCATTCTCGCGCGCCAACTTCCCCTCCATTCACGACAGGGGAAAGATTGTCAATCTAGACTCGTTGACACGGCAGACGCCAAACCGGTGGGCCCGGAAACAGACATAAACAGACACACTAGAGCGAGTCTACGAGCCTTACGACGAACAGATTGGATAGAAACCTGCTCGGCGAAACCTCGAAACCAAGCCTACTCCTGGACAACTCCGTCTCAACCCCGTTAATCTACACGTTACGCGCGACTGCCGCACCAGGGGAAGCCTAAATCCACTGCGCGCTGTGAGTGGCGGAGATGCGCCGAGATCCAGTCCGGCGGGTCATCTTCGCTCTTTCTGGGCCTTGTCAACGGCGCTGAATTCCCCGAAACCTTAATTGTTGGCGCTTTAATTAGATTCGGGGGGTTGTTTTTGCTCGTATGATACTTTTCCGTTTCTAACGCTGCCTTGACTCCGTTCTCCACCGAACTGGCCAGTCACTTACGTAGTTCTCGGTCCTATCTTTACTGCGTACAGACAGATTCACGACGGCTGTCACGCCCTGTGTCACTGCGTCACTAGCAGGGCTGGAGTCAAGACACGGAGGAGGCAGCGGCAGGGGATCGACAGCCCAGAGACTATGGATTGCGGAACCGATATCGTTTGATAAATCGTTAGTTCTACGGAGAATTCCTCCACTCCGCTCTACTCCGTAGCACTCCGTATACAGTGTGTTAGTAACAACTGACTAATGTGAGTGTGACATATCGTGGTATGCAAGTGACAGCGTCGATTGCTTCATTCGCGCGAGAACTCATCTCCGATACTAGGCAAGGTCTTGCCGGAAAGAGTCGTTACTCCGTGCCTGTCCTCGATGACAGCGTCGTCCGTAAGGGATGTGCGCGACCCACTCCCCGGGGTGGAGATGCCTGGTGAGCAACGTAATGTTTTGGAGTGGAGATCTTTCCCGGAGCAGAAGCGCCGGTTTAGCTTGTCCGGGCAACGCGCGAGTGCTACGGAGTAAGGATCTGGAAGGTTTGATCAGCGGGTTGAAGGCTGGAATGGAAGTTAGGATTTTGAAGTATTGGAATTTTGGGCGACAGCTTTTTCTTTTTCTTTTTCTTTTCTTTTCTTTTTTTTTTTTTTTCTGCTGGTCCGGTGTCATTTGGCCATGGTTGTTGTATGCAGTGGTCTGCTCAGATTTTGAAATATGAGGCGTATGGCGGTACTCCATAGACATGTTGCTAGAGATCAGATATGGTGGATATCGGAGACTGATCATGTTGTGTATGTAGTAGTGTAGACCACTTTTCTGTTTGGTACAAAATTTCAGCCCTATTCCCAAATGTGACAGATAAGATGGTGCAGTCTGATTGCTCCGTTCATGTAAGTAACACTTTTGTGCCCGAAGGGGATCGATTATATACAATGGTTTTCGAACTTTATGCCAAAACGAAGACCTACACTATTGGTCGTCTTATCTACTCTTCAGAGGGTTTTATATCATACTCTACGTCACTCCGGATGATATACTTGGCGCCCTTCGTAACGCTCGTCCCCTCGTGCAACAACGCCCCATTGGACTCTCCGTGCGGGAAGAGCGCAACGGCCCCCATCACCGGCCGCAGGGGGTACGCGTTGAGCACGCCTTCCCGAACACCGGGAATGAAGAACGTGGTCTCGCCGCCCTCGAACTCGTCGTTGAGATACAGCAAGAAGGTATACATGGAGCTCTGCTTGTTGTCTTCGGGCGAGGCGTCGTACACGTACGTGTCGTCCGGGAGAATGCCAGACGGCGGCCAGGCGCCGTCAATATGGCATCTGTACTCGGCGCCAGGGACGTATCGGTAGACGCGGAAGCGGCGGTTGAGGCCGCGGGCTCGACGGCCGTTGATCGTTTGCGGCACGTGAGGGGCGATGCGCGACCAGAGCAGGTCGTGGAACGCCATGTCGACGACCCAGTAGAAGTTGTGCGCGAGGATGCTCATGTCGCCGTCTCCGCGGAAGGGTGCGTCGGGGAGGAAGTTGACGGATTCGCCGGCAGCAATGATGGCCTGGCACTCGTCTGTGGACAGGATGTTCGTGGCGAGGCCGAGACCGGGGACTGCGGGATGGGGGTTGTAGGTTGCGGAGGGGCCAGTGGCGGCCAGGGGGACGGCGTTCTCGGCGGTGGTATATAGGATGGCAGGGTGGTGATTCGGCGGTTTACGGAGGGGACCGGGGGTTTCTTCGATGATGCGCAGGGCGGAGGGAGACTTGGGGGCGTGGGTCATGATGGACTTGTCGAGGACGGAGGCGTAGACGGGAAGCGGTGCCGTCGAGGGACGGAGGTCCCATGTCGGCTGGAAGGCGATGGGCGAGGAGGGCGAGTCGATGGCATTTGGGTTTGTATCAATCGGGGTGCTGACGCGAAGGATGGCATCGAGGACGCTGAGGAGTTGCAGGTCTCGTTCGCTGCGCGGCGGAGGAGCCTGGACTGCGTTGGGCTGCTTCGCGAGACCGCTGACCACGTCCAAATCACGGACCCAGCGACACAGGGCTCCAATCTTGGGCTGTTCCCCTCGGATCCTCAGCTCGGCGAGCAGGATCTTCGCGTCGATGTATTGTTCGTCGGCCAGGGCGCCGGTGATTCGGGCGGTCAAGTTGGCGCCCTCGGCTGCGTTGGCGCCTGTCGTACAGGCCTGTCGGAAGTCATACACGGCGACTCGGAGGTCCTTGCATGCTTTGGACTTGGTCAAGCCAGGGTGTTGCGTGAGGGCAGCGAGCGTCTCGATGGTGATATCAAGCTCCTCGTCGGCGACGATGGTGTTGAGGTGCGTGGGGTCGAGCGTTGTGACATCGGCGGGAGGAGCGACCTTGGTCAGTTTCTGTGGTAGATTGGCTTGCGCATTGCGCTTGCGCTTGGAGCATTTGGACTTGGCCATGTCGACTGTGTAGGGGTTGATTGAAGATGGATGGGCTCAAAGTGGGGAGCGGAAGTTTTGGAGGTCGTCTTATCTAAGGCGTTACTGCCACGTCCGGGTGGTTTTGCCACAGCGTGGAGTCTTACTAAACCGTTTAAGCGAGAGCCAGACGGGCTGCCAACGGAGTGTGGCTGAAGCACGGGAGCGTGGCAGCAATTGCTTCCTATCGCATAATCTTAAGCAACACAAATATATATCGGAGGAATACAGAATGGTATTCCAGTGTTCTTGAATTGGGCTCATGGAGTTATTGTGTTATGTTTCCATTGTCCCAGAGAAGGGGGTTTGCCTTTCTTTCTAACTTTTCTTCTTTCTTTACAACTGTTGCCAAAATATGTATCTCCATTGTTAATAGCGCAGAGTTTTTTACTCGTCCAGAGACTTGATTATAACTATTTTCAATAGTGAGAATGAAAAGCGACAAGTGGTTAAATTTACTGCATTGGGGGGCCATGACTATCACGTGATCTTCGGCAACATTTCCCCTTTTGCCACTACTCGAATTTGGCCTGCTCGGCTCTTTTCCAACCCGACGGCATTCTCTGAGCACAGCCGAGATATGTGATATTCTCCCAAGGACATGCGCTCTTACTCCGGCTGGTACGTGCATATCCCTTACATTCTTCTTCATTCCGAACGTCACTTACACACTGCAGTCTGACGTGCAAACGTAGGAAGTTGAAATGCGACGAGTCCAAGCCAACATGCCACAAGTGTATGAAAGCTTCTCGGGACTGTGTTTATGGAGAACAGTCTGTATTCCGTAGCCAGGAGATCGACTCAACCCCAGGCCGCAAACGAAGACGTACGAGTACTCAGCGGGAATACCAGGCCGTGTCCAGAGAGGAGACTACCTGGGTAGACCTTCCAACCGAGCGTATGTTCTACTCAATAGGTGTGCTTCGACATACTTACGCCATATAGTCACCTTTGTTCAGGTGGAAGATGCTTGGGAAAATGAGTCCTCGAGGGTCATAGAGACCAATGGCACACCGGTGCTTGGAGAGGAAGCTGGGACAGGCCGGACGGTAGATGCTGGCGAGGAAGACAATGTTCCTGGATCCCATCCAACGTCCCGTCCAGCGTCACATTATGTGCCCGTTGCGACGCCTTCTTTCCATCATACACCCACTACGACCGAGCATCAAACACCACAAGAACATGATTCTATCTACCGCACCAGCCAAGCAGGGAATGATCCCTTCGAGAAAGTTCTTGTTTCATATCTCCTACGGCATTTCAAGCAAGGTCCAGGCCAGTGGTATACATCCATTACATTCATTCAAACTAAAGCGAATGCTAATGATGATCAAGGATGGACCTTTTCGACACCACTTCATACTTCTCTTCAAAAGTGCCTGTCGTTGCAGCATCCAAAACCTTACTAAAATCGGCAGTCTGCGCTCTCTCTGCAAAGCATCTTCTACATGTCTGTCGAGTCATGGGCCAAACCGGGGTAAACTCCAGGTTCATTCCCAGCTACATCGGCCTTCCTTCCTCAAACGAAGAAACCTGGCGATATCACTCCGTGAGGTTCTACGATCAAGCCCTTGGACATCTAAAGGTTGCCGTCAATCTGGAATCTTATGCCAACAATCTCCCCGATAAGGAGGAAATGCTAGCGGCCGTCGCAATCCTCTGCGCCTTTGAGCTGATGGATGCCCCGGGGAGTGCATGGAGAGCTCATCTGAGCGCGTTACCCCTCTTCGATGACAGGTCTGCCTCTGTGTCGGGTCACTCATCAATCATCATTCCCCAGACAGCCATCAAGGGCCCGATTTTCTGGAGCCTGGCGAGGCAAGATCTGTTGTGTGCCTGTGAGTTCCGAACAACCCATCCATGTAGATAAGCCCTAACAAACCCAGTCATAAGCGAGACGCCAACACGACTGGACCTGAAAGACATGCGTCTCTGGCAGAACGCAGGTCTCGCCACGGACGAGAACGGAGATCTTCTCCCCTACAGCCCGCTCGACGTAATGGAAAGCCAAATCTCCGCCGGCTTCGAAGAAGACATGAAAAGCAACGAGCTGACGTGGATCCTCGGCAAAATCGCAAACCACCTCACTGCCGGCGACGCTTTGGTCCCGGCGAACAACGCACTACCGCACCATGAACGGCCGCTGATCGGGCTGAATCAGGAGCATTTGCTAGAACGTTGGAATCTGCTGATGAGTGATTTGGACCGATGGCATGATTCTCTTCCGTCGACGTTCTGTGCGACGGCGAGGACTAGAAAACTGGGTAGTGCTGCGTCGGGTCTTGAGCTGAGCTTTGATACGTTCGAGCAGATCTGGTTCGATGTGCCGCTTTGTGCGGCTACGATCCAAAGCTATCATCAGGCTAAGATATTGCTTTTAGCCAACGAACCGCAGGAGTCAACGGCGATTCGATCGACTGTCTCGGCGCGGTTGAGATCATATAGACATGCGCTTCGGGAAGTCGTTTATCATGCTCGGGAGGTTTGTGGTATTAGTCTGGCCAATTCAACGGATTCGTTCAGGGTTGATTCCGTACAGGCCTTGTTTGTTGCAGGGCAGGTGTTTCAGGAGCGTCGGGAGCAGGATGCCGTCCTTGAGTTGCTGTCTGGCATTGAGAGGGACCTTGGATGGACTACTCGATATCATGTGGCTAAGTTAAAGGATGAGTGGATCAGGGGGAGGGAGGGGAATCATGTGGAGCGTGATAAGCAGGACCATGAGTCTAATTGGTTTATATCCTAGGTCTGCTTGCATTCATGATCCAATGACTATAATGCTTCCATCTTCCGAAAATTCATAAATCTTTCATTTCAGTGATATTGGAACTGGGAGGAGGGTGTAGGCTCTCGTCACCCGAGAAAAGCCACTTAAACCTGGAGTGTAATGATACCACGAGAAAATATTTGGAAAAATAGTGAAAGACAAGAAAACTTAAAGACAGTGGGAACAGGAAGCTTCTATTTCGTGGCTGCGATTGGTGGATCATACTACGAAGACCGCTCATTGTGAATAAGCTCAGCACCACTTATCCCGTGGCAAAGCTTAGCATTGTAGGTGATCAACACAGGGGCGTATCTATTTTGCAGCAAACCAATATCACATTTTATCTAGAATTTTGGCACGGATTAGAATACATCTTGCGTCAGACCCTCGGTAGACCGGAACGCTCCATTCTGGACCCATAAAAAACCCTATTCTTTGTCTTGGCTGCCTTCGTCGGTTTAGACCGTTACTAAGCCACAGCATCTTCAATCGTACTTCAGTCCCTATGTCTGCATTGAGAAAACTTTTCTATAACAAACCTCATTGTTCCTGTTCAGCTCAAGCGAAATGGCCTCAACACGACAAGAGCTAATCGCCCCGAACGGACGAAAAATTTCTCTCAACACTGGCCTGTTCATTGGCAACGAATGGGTTCGCGCCGCTGAAGGCGGGCTCATCGAAAGCATAAACCCAGCGTAGGTTCAGTAACCATGTCCAAAATCCAGTTGCTAACAGACTACGTAGTAATGAGACGGTGATCACATCGGTGCAGGCTGCTACTGAAGCCGATGTTTATATCGCAGTGCGAACAGCCAAAGCCGCACTCAAGCATCCCAGCTGGGCAGATCTTCACCCTTCAAGCCGGGGATCTCTACTCCGAAGACTCAGTGACTTGGTAGAAGAGCACAGTGTCGACCTCGCGACTCTGGAAGCATGGGACAGCGGAAAACCGTACTCGGTCGCTTTGAATGAAGACGTCGCTGAAGTAATTACTTGTCTACGCTACTTTGCAGGGTGGGCGGATAAAGCACACGGGCAGGTCATTGACGGCGGCGCTTCGAAATTCGCGTATACCATTCGCGAGCCATTCGGTGTCTGTGGACAGATCATCCCGTGGAATTATCCCCTGATGATGGCGGCTTGGAAGCTGGGCCCAGCCAGCATTAGCAGTAAGATCACACCTTAGGAAAAAGCCACCTGGCCACGAATGCTGATTGTGATCTAGTGTGGAAACACGGTGATCCTCAAACCATCGGAGCTAACGCCACTTGCGATTCTCTATCTTGCCGATCTCATCAAGGTCGCTGGCTTCCCTCCTGGTGTCGTTAATATCCTAAACGGACACGGCCGAGAAGCAGGCGCTGCGATCGCGAAACACCCGGATATCGCAAAAATTGCGTTCACGGGCAGCACGTCTACAGGCCGCGAGATAATGAAGATGGCAGCTTCGAATCTAAAAGCCATCACGCTGGAGACGGGCGGGAAGTCGCCTTTGCTTGTGTTCAAGGACGCCGACATGGAACAGGCTGTGAAATGGGCACATACCGGGATCATGAGCAATCAAGGCCAAATCTGCTCCGGGACTAGTCGCATCCTGGTCGAAAAGGATGTTTATGAGTCGTTCATTGAAGCCTTTAAAAGTTTTACGCAAGCCACTAGCAAAGTGGGTGATCCGTTTGCCGAAACAACGTTCCAAGGGCCACAGATCTCGAAATCGCAATATGACCGAATTCGTGCATACATCGATTCGGGCATTAAGCAAGGCGCTCGGCTGGTATTGGGGGAATCCTCTAGCCGAGATCACGGCGGAAAGGGGTTTTTTATCGAGCCGACGATTTTCTGTGACGTGTCTCCGGACATGGATATTTACCGAGAAGAGATATTTGGTCCGGTCGTCGTCATTTCACCATTTGAGACGGAAGAGGATGCCATTGAGAAAGCTAATGATTCTCCATATGGGCTGGCAGCTTCTGTGTTTTCTCAAAATATTACCAGGTGCCATCGTTTGGCGAAAAAGATCGAAAGTGGAACTGTCTGGATCAACAGCAGCAATGACAGTGACTCGTTGACGCCATTTGGTGGAATGAAACAAAGCGGCATTGGTCGCGAACTTGGTCAAGCTGGAATGGAGGCGTACTCTGTTATCAAATCGGTGCATGTGAACCTGGAGGCAAAGCTATAGATGTTGTTGTCTCTACCTCGAAACACTAGCTAGATACGAATTTATACGTTCTTAACTAAGATATTTCGAGGACAATTGGGAGATTTAATCTCAAAACTAAAGTAGTTACAATTGATAAAATTGCTACAACGATCTGACTGATTGCGACGGTCTATTCAAGCAACCCTGGCTTTCCTCGCACGATCATTGAAGGGTGAGTGCTATCATCTCCCTCACGGACTCCAGCTAAGACCTGTGTGATCATTCATGTAACTGGTCTTAAAATCGAAAAAAGCAGAGTAACTGGAATTTTGAGTACAAGATAGTTAGCTATATTGATTCCTAGGCCAGGTCCGACGTGCAATTTCACAATCTCGGGACCCTCGCCATAAGAGACAGACTGAGCTTACTTGATTTGGTATGCTACCCGAGCGACCTGGAGAGAAGCTTATGATTTCAAGAAAGTCTTAAATTTCATCCGAGGTCTTTTCCGCCTCAGATGACATGAACAAGGAGATGCATCATTGCCAGAATTACACTTCCTCCTTGATACCTAGGTCTATATGCTCAAAATAGGAAGTTTAAGCCTGACTTCTCTCAGAGCGGAAAGGCGTGCCTATCCTCCCTGCATCTCTCGTGGGTGTAGACCGGGAGGTGATTGGCGCGGTACCAGTTGCCATGGTCTAAACCACTTAACATTGGCGATCGGGTCGGTGCTGAGCATTGCCCGCTATATAGAAGTACCTGTTAATATTCATATAAATAACTGTTTTATGTTAATGCCGGCCATTATGCAGCCATCAACCGAGAGCTTTGAGCTCCTAGTTCGGCAAAAATTCCTGATAAGTGAACTGGCATGTCGGAGTGGAGCCGAAAGCACCGACACGTAAAGATTGGCCCCAAAGCCGAGCCAATATCAAGAGATCGGGCTTATCTGGATCTGCAGCAACAGGGTCCTGTCCGCATTGCGATTCTTATCCGAGCTTGCATGCTTTCAGGGACGAGACAGCTGGCGGTCTGTGATTTCCGACGCCTTTAATTTTTCGTAATCGGAGCTTAGCTTCCTCGCCCCACGGAATTGTTGGTCTGGACTGCTCGGCTCGAATTTGGCAGTCGAGCCGAGATCCCCTCGGGGTTTATCGGTTGCCCCCACTGTCTTGCCGGGGTCTACCGAATTTTTATTCTTACTCTTTACAAGTTCCTGGGAAAAGGGCTGAGGATGAAATTACTATCTCTGTCACCGTCTTAATTGGATAGTCCTAATAAAGCATGGTGTGTTTTACTGCTTAGCTAGCGACTCTCCTTGACAAACTCATAACCTTGTCTACATAATTCCAGTATGAAGGCCATGGCCGCCTTGTGGGGAGGACCCGGGGAAGAAATCGTCGCAGAGTGGAGTCGCTGCCCAAACTACTGTGCGGGATGAGAAGAAGATTGTGCTCTGTGACTTATGGTAACTGAATGGCGTGTACGTGGGTATTCCCACTGGCCCAAGTGTGTCCACCGGCGGATCCTGGCGAATACTATGTCCAGGCTGTCTGACGATAAGAAAAGATTTTCACCTGGATGATATCGCGGATATTCGATTTCCCATTTTCTGAGCTGGACTTAAATTTCTTCGTCTCCCGTTGGCATTTTGTCAAATCTTTTATTCTGAGACATCCTTGACGGCGCACCGATTGTTTTATTTATTCGCGAATATTGACCCTCGCATAGCCCAACCAAGCGATATCATGGGCTTGATCCCACCCAAATACCTACTAGGATGCATTCTATGTTCAGCAAATGGACTTCTCTTCGGCATGGACACGGGCATCATCGGCCCTGTGACCGACATGGAGTTCTTCAAGTCTGAATTCGGAGGCAGCGAAAACTCTACCATCCACGGCCTCATCGTCTCCTGCATCTTGATTCCGGCTGCTCTCTCGTCCTTCTTTGCTGGCTACGTTGCTGATCACCTCGGTCGGCCCAAGGGAATCTGCATCGGGACTTTCATCTTCGGTGTCGGCGCCGCGATCGAAGCCGGAGCTGTCCACCTGGCTATGTTCATCGTTGGTCGTATTGTCGAAGGTGTCGGGGAAGGCCTGTTCCTGGGAAACCTGGTCGTTCTGATTTGTGAGATCTCGCCTGTCAGAACAAGAGGTGCCCTCACGACTGGTCCTCAGCTGGCGACTACCCTGGGTTTGGTCCTGGGGTACTTTATCAGTTACGGAACGGCCAGGATTCAGTCGTCCCTGTCATGGCGCATGCCGTGGATCCTGCTATCGGCCTTCGCGATGATCATTTGCGCGCTTTCGCTGATGTTTCTGCCCGAATCGCCGCAGTGGCTGGGTCTCCAGGGTCGCGTTGCAGAGGCCGAGGAGGCATGGGAGAAGCTGGGGGTTAGTCTTGGAGAGCGCGAAAAGGTCGAGGGGCAAGTCCAGGTGCAGGAGATGGACCCTGACTCTGAGAAGGCGGCACCCGGGACTGTCGAGAAGCTGCTGGATGTGTTTTCCAAGGATGTTCGGGGTCGGACTGCACTTGCCGTCTTTCTGATGGGGATGCAGCAGTTGAGTGGGATTGATGGAGTCCTCTACGTATGTTGACACTGCCTTTATCTGGGTTTTCTTTGGTCCGTGAACAATAACTAACTCGAGATATATAGTACGCCCCTCAACTCTTTCAACAAGCTGGTCTTGCCTCTTCACAAGCAAGTTTCCTCGCTTCCGGAGTTTCAGCACTCGTTATCTTCGGCGTCACAATCCCTGGACTGCTCTATGCTGATAAATGGGGTCGCCGAACTAGCATTATTTCTGGGGGTATTGGAATGGGAATTCTAATGTTCCTGATGGGCGGATTATACGCCGGAGGTGCCGTTCACAAGGACTCCGGCGCCGGTCGCTGGGTTGTCATTGTCTGCATCTACCTTTTCGCCGCTCTTTATTCCGTCACATGGGGGATTACTGTCAAAGTCTACAGTGCTGAGATTCAGCCTCAGCGTACGCGAGCATCGGCTACCACATTGTCCCATTCCAGCAATTGGGTGTGTAACTTTACCGTGGCGTTGATCACCCCTATTTTGCTGTCGAAAAGTAGCTTCGGAGCTTACATTTTGTTCGGTGGATGCTGTGTTATCACGGTTGTTGTGATCTTTCCTTTCATGCATGAGACGAAGGGGAGGAACTTTGGGCAAATCGAGGCAGCTTTCAAGGGGAGGTCGACTAGGGAGAGTAGCGTATGGAGCCGTGATGCTAATGAAGCTTAATGGTTTTGGAAAAGTTTTGATTTATGATGTGAACACGACATATGCATTTGGAACAGTTATAGATGGATTAACGATAGATCACTAGATTATGGGTTAGAAGATAGAGTCAATACAGGTATTTATCGTGGGCGGCTTTCCTTGTTTTCCCTATCTTGTAAGTGAAAAGAATACTACCACAACACTTAAATAACATAAATGAACATAGAGATCTCCCGTGGACCAATAGAATTATAATCCTGACAGGTAACATCACAGCCAAGTCAAAGAGTGCAATTAAGAAAGAGACTACTCCAGCATGGCTTTTATTTTTGAAAGAAGACATCGCACAGTTCAAGGTATTGCTCCCTGAGGGTAAGGTTATAAGCTCGATCAACAACTATCGCCTGATGTATATTAATTATGCCAGTCTATCGAGCAGTATAACCACCATCTACAGGCATGCAGACTCCCGTAACCCAGCTGGCATCCTCGCTTGCCAACACAACAGCCATTTTCGCGATATCATCGGGAAAGCCAGGGCCCTTCAGTGGGTGCCGCCGGTTGAGATCGTCCCAAGGAGTCAGGTTAGTAGTTGTTTCCTTGAAGATGGCCGTTTGAGTATCTGCGAAAACCATAAGTTTCAATACTCGCAAAGCATTTTCGCAACTCACATCCAGGACAAAGGGCATTCGAGTGGATTTTATGAGGCGCATAGTCTAGGGCGATCTGTCTCGTAAGCTGGCTGACAGCGCCCTTTGATGCACAGTAAGACGCTATAAAAAATTGAGGTTAGTTCAGGTCCGAGATTAAAGTAAACTAAAAATCTTACGATTCTCGGGTCCCACAATCATGCCCATGATCGATGAAATGTTCACGATCCAGCCTCGGTCCCCTGAAGCATGAGGCTCCTGTGCCAGCATCTGTGCAAGGGCGTACTTGCAACCCAGGAAGACGGATTTGACGTTCACTCGCATCGTCGTGTCCCATGTTGCTTCGTCGGTCAAATGGAGCACAGCCGGAAACCGGGCTTCGATGCTTATTCCGGCATTGTTTACTAGGCTGTTAGACCTCTTAGCTTGACTTCTCCAACATAGCTAGAGATCTAAACTAGACTTACATATCAAGTCTCCCGTACTCTTTCACCGTCTCCTTTACCAAGTTCTCCATTTGCGCGGCATCGCCGACGTCGGTTTGCACAAAGATGGCTCGTCCACCATCCCGAGTGATCAAGTCATGGGTGGTGATCTCGGCTTCCTCTTGGGACCGCGCCGTCGCTGTCAAATCAGCACATACTAGCTTTGCGCCTTCCTGGGCGTAGCGGATCGCGATAGCTCGACCCAAGCCGGAAGAGGCGCCAGTCACGATGGCGACTTTGTCCTGTAGACGTAATGACTGTGTCATGTTGGTTTTTCAGATGTGCTCTGGGACCAGAAAGATGGTGATACGGTGGCTGAAGAGTGTTCCTTTCTTCTTTAACAGGTACCGCACCTTGTTCCTGGCGCTAGATAGCTATGAATACCGGAAATCAATCATGACAACGATGAGCAAGAGGAGATCTTCGCTCGGCTTAATTACGGCATCGGGTCTCTAGAACGAGCGGGGCAGGAAAAGTATGGTGGAAAAAGAAAAGAGACAAAAAAAGCAAAAATGGATCGGAGAATTAGGAGAAAGAGCCGAGGGAAACCTCGGGATAGTATCGCATTGTGGCGGACCCGAGCAAGACGGTTTGCAAAAGGGTATCAAGCCGAGCCGGGTCCACCCAGGATCTTCGTCGCCACGACATTCATCTAGACAAATCTATGAAGCACGTTTGTACAGCATCGGCCGAGAAAACTTTCCGACTCCACAGATATCGCAATGGTTCATTCCATTTTCTTTAATTCAGCAATCCGCGATTCACCTTTCCGACAATAATACCAACCCTCCAAGTAACTTCCCACCTACCCACCTTCAGGCCAAAATGCCCCCGACTCTCTATGTTATTCGCCATGCACAAGGCGAACACAATGTCAATGTATATCCGCGATCGATCCTACCATGTCAATGTCGTTTCTAACACCGCCCATAGGACTCTCACCATCTCCGGGACGCACTGTTGACAGAGACCGGGAAAGCGCAGTGCAAAGAACTGCAGGAAAAGTTCCCACACCTTGAAGATATCGAAGTCATTCTTGCATCTCCGCTTCGACGCACTATACAGACTGCTGCCTTTACCTTCACACCAGAGCTTGGGAAACGACAAGTTCCTGTGATTTTGGTGCCCAAAGCCCAAGAGATCAGCGGTTTGAGATGTGATATCGGCCATGAGGCTTCTGTTATGAAATCGGAAGCCCCAAAGCTGATCGCTGATGCTGCCCCTGCGTGGGACGCTACGAACCTGGACATCACGTTTGTTGACGAGTCGTGGAATTCAAAGGTAGGTCCTCCGCCTGCGTCTTTGAGAAATACAGAAGCTAAGAACCCTCGCAGCAAGGGATCTACGCGCCTAATTTAACCGCCGTTCGGCAACGAGCTGCCGACATGCGAAATTGGATCTACAACCGTCCAGAGAAGCACATCGCGCTGGTGAATCACCGGGGGTTCTTGCATTACTTGACCGAAGATTGGACGGGCTACGTAAGAGGAAAAGGTATGTTTGCTTCATAACCGCCCTGTCTTCGTTAAAGATTGGCCAGCTCTGATCACTGAATAGGCACTGGCTACTTGAATTGCGAGTATCGGAAATTGGAATTTACCGAAGATTCTAACGACAAGGAGTCGCACATTCGAGAATGTGGTAGCACGTTGGAAAAACAGGCCAGGCCGGCTGGTTTGGATGCTCATTTAATTCACGAGATAGAAGAAGTGGAGAAGGCGTCATAGGCATAGTGAGAATGAGGGGCGGAAGGCGAAACGGGAAGACAACAAATCTTATATAGCAAATATAGAAGCTATGGTTATAGACAACCTCGATGGTTATAGGAAATTTCGAAGCATGAAATTTGCTTGAGAAAGATTATGTACGTAATTCAATCAAGGGCTTTGCATGTGCCTATCCAATTTGATCAACACGAAGGTCAATGTGAGGATGTTTCCAGGAAAGGTTTGGAGCGATACTGACAAAGAGACAAAGAGCAAGATAGCCATGGTCTTATCAAGGCCGAATTTGCCCTGCGCATGTTCCGCCGCTGAGCTCTACCGATGGTTTTAAGTTTATCACCAATGCATTGAAGTGAACTTGGCTTACACCAGCTGTGCTAACAGAGGTGCTATAAATCAAGTTCTTGTTAGTTGAAATATCAACGACCCAGAATCTGCTTTGAAAAGAAATCAGTCTAAGCTAGCTCGCGGGATTTCATACGTAAAAAGATCCAAGAAGATAATCAAACCCGTATCGTAGATTTTCTGTGAAGCTGACTGATTGCGAGGGTGCTTCTTTTTAGAAACCGACCAACGAATGCACTATCCATCCGGAGTGTATTCCGATCCGGACGCATCCAGGAATGGTTGCACATGGCATGTAGCATCCGTGGATGAAAGATCCGGTGAAGAATGTGCCTCCCCGAAGCCCATAGTCGAGTAATGAGCAGAGACTTAGCGAACACCACCGAGTAATAGACAAAGTATCAAGAATGCAAGGGAGACAAAAAGAAAGGGAATTCCATTCCTCAGGCCCGATGCGTGACTCGGCAACCTTGCCTTTTATGGACACCCACTACATCACCCAATCGGACAATATCCCGCGCCGGTACATGATCCGAGATAAGACACTCGCCATCTAGGTAGCTTATTACAACTGCAAGGAGATGTCTGGGATAGGATCCTAAAAAATGACCTGAATTGATACGAGGCGAATTGTGAAATCGACTTTACTAACGTGAATCGCCAGAGAGGACCATCGAGATGGTAATAGGCGATTTTATCTTTATGTGTCTGCGGCTCTTGTTAATGCAGAATTAAACAAAGAAGTCATTTTGTTTCAATGGAACGTAAAGGAAATGTATTTGCTTGTGTACCAGTAATAGAGCAGTAAGGACAAGGTCGTTTTCATAAACATAACAACCACGTCAGATGCCTCAAGCAGAATATATATCGGTTGTGCTATACAGACTTCCCTTTCAACAGCAGCCTAAAATCTGGTGAAGAAACAATAATCCAGCTGCCACATAAGCTGTGTCAAAGGCCATCATGCAGGAAATATGCAACTAATGTAACTGTCTGGTTATCTGGCCAACCAGCTGCTTTTCTAAAAATAGCTTTATCAGAATACGAGCACCGGATCATATGCCTCGACCAAGAAAATAACCCCGGATATTTTGCATTGTCATTTGCGACTATAATTAACCACACCGTCTGCTTAGCGTAACAGACTAGTGCTTTCCACATAGAAAAAGAAAAACTGAATGCGAAAACTAAACAGAAAAATGAAAGAAATTAGGGTACGTGGAATGCTGGCTTGCCTCAAAGTGCTCTAATCCTCTTTCCCCTGTCCCTGTCCACCCCCATCCCATGGTCTCACCCACATCGAACTCATCGACAAAACCAACACCATCACCATCAATATACTATGTACACTGAACAGACGTCGCTCGAGCTTCACGCTAAAACCGACTCCAGTCTCTGGCGGTGATGATGGCTTTTCGAGCGAACCCAAGATGGTTCCATTGGGTTGAGAAGCGACGGAAAAAGACGGTCCATTGCCACGGCTCGGATCTCTAGTAGTCGTGCTTTGTTTGTTACTACCGCAAACACAGTTGAGGTCGTGGTAGTCAAGTAACAGGTTCGCGATATTCGGGTATATCCCTTGCATCCCGATCGCGAGTTGAAGTGGGGTGAGACCCTTGCTATCAACATTGCCATTGCAGATCTGCCCTCGGAAGATTTTGTACATTGATTCAGATGCTGCATATGAGGATCCAAGCAGCAGACGTGGTATCACGAGCTGTTTCACGCGTGTAGTGAGACGATGAAGTACCTTGACAGTGCGGGATGACGAAGGTGTGTCTCCAAGCAGCAAGCATAGTATTTCAAACTGTTTTGCGCGAACTGCGAGGTGTAGGAGTGTGACGCTAGTGATGATATCCTTATGCGCGAGGTCTGGTCTACTCGCTCCATTATCGACAATCACGTCATGGAGAGTGGACCAGTGACCGTGTTTCGCGAGGACTAGTGCGGGGAGGTCTTTCAGCGACTTTGCTCCCGAGGACTTGAGCGTGAGGTCGGGTCTTTCGATGTCTTCGCCTGGAGATAGGACTCGCATGGTCTCTGTATTGCCAAGCAGTGATGCAAGTGTGAACGGTGTACAGCCCCGCTCATCGGGCATCTCGGGGTCTGCGCCGTAGTTCAGTAATGTCCTGGCAGTGGTCGCTGCGTGGTTGCCATTCGATAGAGCAGCATAATGGAGTGGTGTTAGTCCGTTTTTGTCGACAGTGTTTATAGATGATATTCCTTTCTGCAGCAGAGCGGAGTATAGCGGGATGATCTTAGAGTAATCAGCTGCGCTTGCGATGTGCATGATGTTCTTCTCTGCATGCAGATCAAGGGCGTCGCACTCAAGCAAGGCAGCAACAGCGAGCGCCTTTTTCTTTGCCACTGCATGCGCGAGAACTGTAGTATTGTTCCGGTATATGAAGTTGGGGTTGGCGCCATAGCGTAAGAGCAATGAGACTATCATGGACTGCTTCTTTAGAGGCTTTTCTGGTACTGCTTCCGGACATGTATCTACAGCGATCCAAAGCGCGGTGTATCCCTCTCTGTTTCGAGCGTTTATGTCGACAGACTCCGCCAGAAGCCTTCCAGCGAAGCCATAATGATCGAATTGGACTGCGTACATGAGGAGGGTTCTTGTTGTATATCCAAAGTCGAACATGTAGTTGAGGGTGAGATTCCGCTTCTTCAACTGCATGTTTACAATCTCCATGCGCTCATTCAGTTTGCGATATGACGGATCTGCTGATGTTCCAGCTACAACGGCAATAGTATCGTCGTCTACGGGCAGTCCCGACGAGAGCAGTTCGACAGTTTTCAGGTGGCCCCTAACGCACGCATATCGCAGAGGAGTGCAACGACGCTGATTCTCGGGTGCATTGATGGTATACCCTTTGGCTTTCAGATTGCGGATTATATCTTCCAAGCCATACCACGCACATAGGTGAAAGACGTTAATGCCGTCGTGGATCCAGGCCGACGGCGAGCTTTCCCCCTTGAGTAGCGCCATGGCCTTAACTATCATTCTGACATTACTGTCGTCTGTCAGAAATGCCATCGCTTTGGACTCAACCTCTTCGCTGTCTTTATTAAACTTCATACAGGCGCTGCGAACGTGGTCTCCCCAGTGCTCCAGAACATACGACGCAAATGGGTACGCGACGCTGTCTGCACAGTGCCTTACGAAGTCAGGATCCCTGAGATACTTCAGGCAGAGGAGAGCCGTCTTCGACTTGGCATTTCTCAACGGCGTGCCCTCAGCACAGCTCTTGAGGACTTTAGGTAGGGTCCAATGAAAGAAGTCCACATATGCATGCTTCTCGTCGGCCTTTTCAATGAGAATCAACCCGTTTGTAGCTTTCAGGATCGACACACGGTCGTCTAGACTTTCCTGTCGAATCACGCCTGAGTCACCCCCAAGAGCCAACGCCTGCTGCAGTGCTAGAATATTCAGCCGTTGACGGGCAGTCATCATCAACATAAATGTATTGAATACCAGCTTTTCCTCACGTTTTATCCCACGGCGCTTGATCCCCTCGATCTTTCCGGTTACATACACCCCCAACGGGGTGACCGGGATTTGAACCAGAAGCTCCAGGAGATGGCCACTGTTGCCCGGATTTTTATCTGGTTCCAGCAGCCAGTCAATCCAAGTCTGAGCAACGAGGAAGTTTTTCTGAGAGTGGGAATCTATCTTCTTAGCAACCAGCGGAATCATGTCCCGGTGGCATTGCAAGAATCGCGCCGTACCAGAGGGCTTCCATGCACGGTCAAATTGACGCCGATCGTACCGTCGAGAACCAGGGTCGACGGCCTCCCGAAGCCTGTGGATGCACAACTGCTCAATCTCGTCCGGCCGGGCTCGTACTTCGACGCGAATGGTGTCGTTGGTCACGTCATCTTTATGGCCAAGGGGACAGGAAAAACCGGCTTCTTTGCATTTCAGGCATAGGTCATAGTCATGGTCGTTGTCGGAGCAGTGAAAGTATATGGTGAGCTTTTCCTCCCTGCATCCGCATCCATCGCAGTTGATTTGGTTGACTGCCTGTCGGTCGCTAGGAGATGTCGTGAGAATGCTCAAGTTATAATTTTTCCTGATCAGGTCGAGCGGGTACGCTTTCAGAATTTTCACGGCGTCTTCGGAACATTGATAGAGCCCATCGACAATCAGGTAAACCCTATCATGCGTCTTCAATAGTTCCTCGAACGACTGTTTAAGGATCGCCTCGGACAGAAGACGACTGTGGTAGGCGTCCCTGAGCGTTGTGGGTATCTTGCAGGGCTGACCAGTAGAGTCTTGAAACCTGAGCAATTGCTGCACCATGCTGCCTAGGAGATTTACCGGCGTCTGGAGCCCCTGGCGGTCTTCCTCGTCACTCAGGTAAATGTAGATGACCGGTGAAGACGACTGCGTGTGCTGCAGATGGTTCACTATCAGAGCGCAGAGATGGGTCTGGAGAATGGATTAGGATCGACAAATAACAGCAATAGAAGTGTGCATGCAATGTACCTTGCCTGTGCCTGCTTCTCCGTAGCATCGAAGGTGACAAGGATCCTTTTTGACCCAATACTTGAATTCGCCCGAGTCCTTTATCAGCCACTGTCCTGTGGACACGCTCTTGTCATACAACTCCTGCTGTTTGTTCCGGAAATCTAGGCGAGTGAGCCAACCCAAAACATTCTCATAGTAACTATCATCAATGTTTTGCTTTATCTGGTCAACCTTGAGAATTACTGCACCACAAATGCTAGGTTAGCATAGCCTCCGAATGCATCTGAACAGCGACTCAACGGATACTTGGACGTCGAGGCATTCCTTTCCCAGCCCTTTCGAAAGGGAAGAGGGGTTGACGTACACTTTGAGGCCATTTCTTCCCGCTCAACCTCCTGAGCCTGAATTCGGTCCAGCAGGTCTTTGGCATAAGCAGCTGCTGTAAGCGCCGCATACGGCTGCCACAGGTCAATTTTATGGGTATCAGCGTAGTCCGAAATGCCTCTAATAACAAGGCACTGGAAATTGTTCATTAAGCCGGCTGCCTCCATTTCAAAACATAAGACATTGAGGTCTTTCCGCATCTTGTCACGGATGTGAGGATCCCGATGGAGAGTGTTGCCGGACGCGATGAGCCCATAATGAACGACAGGGCCATTCTGCGGCCTCAACCGCCGAGGAATCACCTGGGCTCTATCACAGTCTCGGCAGTGTCGCTCTTGCGTTTTAGGATGACGGTATTCCGGAGAAAACAACAAATCATGATCCCGGCCCGGGAAATGAAAATAGTTCATGCGTAGGTCTTCGAGCTTCGACTGCGCTTCTTTGATATACCTTGACATATTTCCTCCATGAAACCTGTGATCCCCGGAGAGTCTGTTGGCAGCATTCAAGAGTAGGGTGCCAGGGCTGTTCAGGTGGTTGCGAATCTTGAATCCTTCGGGTTCTTGCTTACCCAGGTCGTACTGCACGACCCCACCTATATCACCTCTCAGCTGGTGTCCAGACGCCGTGGAAGATCAACTCACTTTCAGACCCTTCGGGTTTGCTCACGACGACATCACCAAGATGGATGTCCGTCGTCTGTTCTCCCGGGTCGTCTGACTTGGCATCCAAAGCACCACCGCCAATACCCACCATCAACCCGAAGCGGATTTCCCGGAAGGTTCGAAGCATGTTGGTGACATCGGTCGAAGCATTGGTCGTTCCCGATCGAGTAATTTGGGCTATGACGACGTTGTGCTCCCCGATGCGCCCGAGGGTATAGATATTAGGATCGCCCGGAGGACAAGATGGGGCCTGGTGTTCTGCGTCGAGAAGAGCTCTAGCGGCATCGTACTCATAATTTAGTACGCAGAGCCAGCCCACTGTGTACTTGTTGCAACTGAGCTTGGGGAGAGTTTCGAATGTCGAGTTCATGGTCAATATCGCAAGGAGAAATTTCATCCGCGGGGCGGTGTTTTTGTCGAGATTGTCGGGATATGTTCAGTTGACTCTGGACGGGGTCGAGGTCGACTGACTCAGGTCCAGAGGCTGAGCGCAGGAGAATGTGACAATGTAACCCTACATGCAGGACCCCTAAACCCGAGAAAGTTAAGCTCCCAGCCGGGGAAGGCGGAGATGAGTGTGGATGAGACTGCCAAGACAAGGCTCAGGGTCGATCGTGATGTTGTTCGCAAAACCAAGAATGACACTCGGCAGGACGATACCACCATATGCAAGGCACTTGATGCGGGTCATTTCGGAGACTTAGTATCAGCCATGATGAGATGGATGGTTGCCCAATTCAGGCAGGATACGTGGCTGCCTATGCGTCAGCGACACGGAAAATTGATAGATATGGCCTGGGTCGGTCATCTGACGCCATTGGGCTGCAGATGGCTGGTGAGCGACGCGGTTTGATAGGCGGGGCTACACCGTGCCTTACTCGGCCAAGATGAGGCTGTACGGCTAGGATAGGATGGATGTCACCGAAGACGAGCATACCCCTCTCCAACTGCACCTCCAACTGTGACGCAGTTGGAAGAAGCAAACATCGATGTCTCGCTCGAGCCTGAAGGTGCTGGCATAAATATTGAAGATACCTGCGTTCTCGAAGGCTGGTGAGTGCCACAACACGGTCAACATGCCAGACAAAACGAACATACTTCTGCTGGTTCTGCAAGCCCTAGTGCTGGCAGTGTCGGCGTCTCCTTCCACTGCGTGTGGTGACATTGTAAACCACAAGGGCATGTATATCCTGAGATACCAGATGCCAATACCTGTTGCTGACCACAGACTCTCTTCTAGACGCCACGTTCATCATTTTCAATGCGTCGCAAGCGTACGACTGCCTGAAAAGCGTTCCATTCAATCCAGACGTTGCTAGTCGTCTCATTCAATATTGGAACGACACAATCCAATTTCACAGCACCATAGCCTACCTTGCAAGCCCACCACCAGACTACCAGCAGCCGCGGGTGGATCTCGTTGCCGGATTAGCTGAAATCAAGAGTTACATCGACCAGGGATTGTTCCATAATCAGTACGCGTTTGAGGCCACCCTCAAACTGCTGCTCAATGCTGCACATGATGATCATCTCAGTATGACTGGAGGCATTCTTTCCACCTTCACCTTTGGATCTCCGTATGATCTTGTATCTGTGTCTTTGGACGGAAAGCAGCTACCGAAGGTGTACGTTGCAAATGAACTTCTTGCCAACGAGACAGCAGGGCTACCGTGGCAGCCGTCAGCCATTGCCACCATAAACGAAAAGAATGCCACTGAATTCTTGGAAGACTTTGCCGCTCGACAATCTGCTGGAAAGCTCGAGCCTCACGCGGACTGGAACATGCTGATGCGGAGTGGCGCGTTGGAAGCCCAGGGGCTCCTGGAAGTCTTCTATGGAGCTGCTTCCTTGTACCCAGGCGAGTCAATCAAACTTGTGTTTGAGAACGGCACAGTGCGCGCCCCTGTTCCCTGGCAGGCTGTGTACCTTGGCCCCGAGTATACCGGCCCCTTGGAGACCGGTGGGGACTTTTACAACTTTTTTGTCTTGGGTAATCCCCCGGCATCTTACAACAAAACTCTGCACCTCTCCTCGCAGCAATCTGCATCGAGTACATCGGTCGCAGCGTCTGAGCCTACCTCAGACTCCAACTCACGTCAGAAATTGTGGGACTCGGCATATCCGCCTCAGCCTGATGTTTTCCAACAAAACCATGCTTCGGATGCTAAAACGCTGCTGAGAGGGTACTTCCTACGGGAATCCTCGCTGGCTGTTCTGAGCATTCCCAAGTTCTCTTCAAACGGCAACAAAGAGTCAAAGACGTTTATTCAAACAATCAAGGACTTTCTCGAACTCAGCAAGAAGGCGGGTCTGAAGCGAGTCATCATTGACGTGCAGCAGAACAAGGGTGGACAGCCTCTGTTGGCCATTGAGACATTCAAGCTGTTCTTTCCTTTGAAAAAACCGTTCACTGGCAGCCGTAGGCGCAGAAGTCCGATGGCAGATGCCTTAGGTTCGACTTTGACGCCATACTGGGAGACATTCGCCCCAAACAACAGCTCATTAATCAGTAACGAGTGGGTCGTAACCAGTCGACTGGATGTACAGACAGGACAGGAATTCACCTCGTGGGAGAACTACTTCGGTTCGGCAGCGTCCTATGGCAAAGACAGCTATACAAAAACGGAAGAATACAACCTCAGAAACATGGAATTCACCCAAGAGGGAGGGAGTATCATCATCGACAGCGGGGGAGACCCCCAGCCTTACGAAGCGAAAGATATCATCATTCTCAGCGACGGCCTCTGCTCGTCTGCCTGTGCCATTTTCATGGAGCTGATGCACCACCAAGCCAATGTTTCCACCGTTGTAGTAGGCGGAAAGCCCGACTACTCCCCCATGCAAGCTCCCAGTGGAACGCGCGGTGCACGAGCATACGATACACGCCTGATAGACGAGGATATCAAGATCGCACAACAAATGGACAATAGCACGCAGGAAGTGCTTCCACCGCGGGATCTCGATTTCTTGATCTCTACCGCCAGCGTCAATCTGCGAGACCAGGTCCGTCACAATGACCGAACCAACTTACCCCTTCAATTCGTGTACGAACCAGCCAACTGCAGGATCTTCTTCACACCAAAGACCTGGTACAATTACACCAATCTCTGGATCTATGCAGCTGAGGCGGCGTGGCAAAACCCCAAGCGCTGCGTAGCCAGGTCCGACTCAAAAGCCGACCCCGTGCCCGATAACATCCCACCGCACGAGATCCATATCGATGACAATGAGCGCGTCGCTCCTCCACGTAAACATCAAACTGTCGACAACCCCTCCAACAACTTACAGGCCGGCCCGCAGGCGTTAACAAGTACAAACGGGGGTAAATGCGACAACCGCGGCTACTGTCCTGAGAAATTCATCTGCGAAAAAGTACAAGTATGCGGGGACAAGAAAACAACATATAAAGATGAGCGTTGTGTCCGCGGCTGCGGCGACCTCGTTGGGGAATGCGACCTTGGCTGGGACTGTGATTACGAAGACATCCGGGCATTTCCCCTAGAAGAGAAGAATCGAAAGACGGTGAAGATGAGCGGGATTTGTAAGCCCAAAAACGCGCTTGATTGCATTGGGGAATCCCACCTGAAGTCCGCGGATGTCGATGTTCGGAATGTTGAAGACTGCCTTTGGGATTTAGACACGGGCATACATGAACTCCATTGTTTCAACTTCAAAAATGACGTGCAGAGATGCCATATATTAAACACCTTGGAGGGCTATTGGCAACCCCAGTCTACTCGCTATTGCAGTATGCCAGATCTCGCGGAGTGGCAGAAAAATCAAACCTGTTACACTGAAGACCGCCACGCGTCCTATCAATGTGGCAAAGAAAAAGTTGTGCGGTTCCACTTCAACGAGGAGCAAGTGTATTTCGCTAACATTGAAACCGGTGAGCTTCATTGGAATTAAAATGAAAAGAGATGGGACACAATAACGGAAGCCTCGTTTTAGTTGAAGCATCGATGGGAAGGGTCGCGAAGTTTTGAAAGCGCCAAAACATAATTAACTAATATTTGCTTTATGATCCCTTCCCTTCTAGGGATTTCTCTTCTTTTCTTTATTTTTACGTGTTCTCAACGAAGTGCATATCCCTGAGCTTCTGAGATTCTGAGCCCTTTAATAAAAATGAACCTTGGGATTCGGCCGAACAGCGTCATGAGGCCAACATAAGCCGTGCCACAGATTGATTGATACAGTAGGTTGTTATCACCGTGTTCCCGTCTATACAACACAACAACAAACAAACACAAACAACATGGCTGGCTCCTCGGCAGGAGAGAAGAGAAAAAGAAACAAGAGCAAAAACATACAACAGCCGGGATTCGCTGGTGGTCACCCACCCAACTACTAACCGGCCGGCGTGAGGCTTAAGTACGGCTGAGCGGACGGGAAGCCCTGTTCTCCTCACCCTGTGGTCGTATGTACTTAGCGGTAGTGAATAATGGCATATATAGTATATTTACGTGACCATGTTAATAGGAGGAAGGTAGGTGCCTCAAAACCGGCGACCCTGGCAATCGCTAGTGTTGAAGTACCACTATTGATGTGGATTTAACGTGCTCTTTTGGTCGATGACAGAATGTAGACACCCCAGACCATCAAGTTACAGAAAGATACTTCATAGGAAGCTGTAATAGATTGCCAATGGACACTGTGCCATTGGACCGAGCTTCAACAGGCGGGAAGCTAAAACTGCTGATTCCTAGGGAGCATTAACATACCAGGGTGGACGAACAGACACTCAGCACATGTCTTAAGACGTCTACCACGATGCAGTCTGAAGAAGCTAAATTCAGCCATCCTTGAATCCCTCCAACATCCTCGCCACGACCTTACTACTCCCCGCAGCCAAGCTGCCGATCTCAGAAAATGATTTATTCGCGAGAATGTCAAAGACTGGCACGTCGGCATCCAGCTTTGCCTGGCACCAATTCCGCAGTTCCACCGCAATCAAAGAGTCAACTCCGTACCCGTTTAGCGGCTTGGATAGATCCAGGTTCTTAACCGGCACACCGAGAGCTTTACCCAGGCGATGCATAAGGCTTTCGGCAATCACGTCGGCCGCCTTTTCAACGGAGCGAATTCCTGCCAACTGCTGCACAACATCCACAGGTCCGTTTGCGCCGGTACTAGCTGCCTGTGTATCTTCTGCGTCCTGTATATTCCAGGTGCCGCTGAGCAAGGGGCGTTTCATTATGATTGGAACCTCGGTGCCGCGCGTGACGAAGTTCTGTGGCACCACAATTCCTGTCAAAACCTGCGACTTGAGCGGTGCGACTGGAATCTCCAAGGATGGATTGCAATGATACTCTAGAAGTGCAAACATGTCCTTCTGGGTAATACCGATGAACATGCCGGTGCCCATCAGAAGTGAGCGAACAGTGTCGTTGTCCCGCAGCACGCCGTCCTCTAACATCAGTCCAAGGTTGAACGTTGTTGCTCGCTCGCCCAATGAGTTTCGGTGGTGCACTAGGGCATCCTGGAAGGCACAGGCGGCCGAATAATTAACGGACGCAGTGCCACCTATCGCACCAGCGAAAGATGAATACATAATGAAAAAGTCCATGTTCTTGGGCAGCAGCCGGTGCAGGTGCCAACTTCCTGCGACCTTGGAGTCCACGGCCTGTTTCCAATCCCGGAAGGTCATGTTTTCGAATACCTTGTTCTATATATCGCTAGGTCAGCTGAATTGTAGTATCATCATGGATAGCAGAAATTGTGTGTAAAGGGCAGGCATACTCGGAGGACCATTGCTGATTGAATGCAACCCTTTATCGGGGGCATCAGCCTGCTGATTTCATCTAGCGTCTGTTGCAGACTGGCATAGTCGCTGATGTCACACGCACGTGTTTCAACCCGGGCGCCTTGCTCTCTTATATCTTGTATTACCTGCTTTGCTTCTGCATTGGGTGTTCTGGATCGAGAGAGCAATAGGAGGCATTTGGCACCTCGACTAGCCATCCACCTGGCCGTGCTACGTCCGATGCCCCCTAGTCCTCCAGCGATAACATATGTCGCATTTGGATCAAATTCCCAAGATCGTTGTACTTTGAGCTTTGTCTGGAGTTTTACTGTGGTCAGCCGTCGTAGGACCTGTTGTCTCATTAATTACTCACTTTCACAACATCCTTCTGCCTCATCTCGATAACAGTCTTCCCCGTATTTTGGCCGCCCTGCAAGTAGCGAAATGCTTTCTCGATTTCTGCAACACCGTATACATGAAGTGGCTGCGGTGCTCTAAGCTTACCCTGGGCGATCAGAGGCTCTATGTCGCTTCGTAGACGGCGCAAGAATTCGGGACGGTCCAGGTGCGCAATGAGATCAATCGCATGAAATGAAGCGTTCCGCGCGAAGGGCCGCATTGGAAGGCTACCATTCTCGAGTATGTCCTTCTTTCCAAGTTCCAAAAAGCGACCAAAGGGAGCCATGCACTGCCAGCTCTCCACCAGAAGATCTCCACTGAGAGAGTTCAGGATAACATCGACACCCCTTCCGGAGGTCATCCGTTGAATACCTTTGACAAACGACGTGCTTCTACTGTCGAAGATATGGTCCTCGCTGATTTGATATAAGTTCATCAGCAAGGTCTTTTTCTCCTCAGAGCCTACCGTGGCAAAGATCTCGGCTTTGCGTAACCTAGAAACCTGAATTGCCGCCTGCCCAGTCCCGCCTGCAGCGGAGTGTATCAGAACGGTTTCACGGGGTTGGATATTAGCGACATGAACAAGTGCGTAGAAAGCCGTATTCAAGACAACGGGGAGAGCAGCTGCTTCCGAAAAGCTCATCGAATCGGGTATAGGTATAGCATGGCTAGCCTTGCATCGTGTGTACGTTTGATAAGTTCCAAGCGCACCCGCAAAGACCCGATCCCCAACGGCCAGGTCAGTGACAGTGTCCCCGCGACGAGTCACCGTGCCAGAGCAATCAAGCCCCAAGATATCACCAGGAATACGACCTAAAGCGGTCAGGCAGTCACGGAAATTGACGCCACTGGCTTCGACTTGGATTTCAATTTCGTCTGCACCAAGGGGCTCATGTATGTTTTTGTCCGCCACAAACTGCAAAGTATCAAGAAGCCCAGGAGTCGTAATCTCGAGCCTCAAGCTATCGCAATCCCCAAAAGCTCTTTCTCCATTTTCTGTCTCTACGGCGAGGGCAGGCAGCTGCCGATTGAGGTAGCCCCCCTCGATCAGGCGATCCACGCAGAGAGAACCGTCTCTCTCCACGTACTCTTGCTCGCATTCATCCACTGGCTTGGTGACAACATCCTGGAATACTTTCAACGTCTTGGACGCGATCCATGCTGAATCAAGGGTCGCTGCTTCCAGGGACAGAGTAATAAACTTGGAAGCGTTCTTTTCTAGTCGAAGGCCTCGAAACGCGCCCTGAATCATGGCGTGATCGGGTAATTGTGGTCTTGATCCACCACCACGGCAGACCCAAAGCAGCCCATCGGCAGCCAGAAAGATTTGCTTGAGGTGCGCAAAAGAGCTTTCAGTCATGCGAGACATGAAAGAATCTCCAAGCTCAACGATGATAATAAAAAGCCATGTTCCCTGCCCGGCCAAACGAGCAGCATCGGAAAGCCTGGTCACAGTGGTTTCTGGAGCAGCCATGTTTTTAATCCTTTGAGACAAAGTCTGAGCGACACTAATTTGGACGGGATCGCTCTCGTCTAAGACAATAGCGGTTCTCGGGGGATGGAGTTTGGGGGAACCATCGTCGACCACGGCGGTGGATATTATAGCACTGTACTCATGATGCACGGGATCGTCATAATCGGTCAATTCCAGCTCGACACCAGAGAAGCCAGCCTTCAACAAAAGACTATGCCAGACTTCTGCCGATACTAGCGCGCTAAACTCTCGGTGCGCGTCTTTGAAGCGCCACCAACCTGGAAGGAGTCCGAAGGCAAAACCCGTGCGGATGGCTTCGGGAATAGTCAGCTCCAGTAAAAGCAGCTTACCCTCGGGCTTAAGTAGCTCCCGCACGTGTTTCAAGGTTGTATCAAGATCCTGAGTTGCATGCAACACATTTTCGGCAATTATCATATCATACACCCCAAGCTCAAACCCTTGGGCCACGGGATTCTTCTCGATGTCCAGTACTTGGAACGTCACTCTGTCTTTGAGCGAGTCAAACAAGGACTCGGCGGCGGGGAAGAATCCAGCGGAAATATCGGTGTATGTATAGTGAGAAAAACGAGGATTTCCTGCGCCTGAGATACCGGATCCATCTTGGGTCAGTGTATCCAGAACATATTTTGTCATACCCCCGGTTCCGGCACCAATCTCGAGGACTCTCATGCGCGGGTTCTTGTGCGCATACAGGTCGAGAAAAACCAGGGACTTGAGCAGTCCGTTGTTCATTTTGTTGTGTGCTCGATAGTAATCCTTGACAAGAGAAGAGTGAAACATTAGATGTAGAGCGTCGGACTTTCCCTTCAGTATGTCGTCGAGATTTCGAGCAATCACCGCAAAGAAACTGCCCCGAACGTCCTGAGACTCTACTCGAGCAAGTAGGTCATTAAAGAAAACATCGTCGGTCATATGAGGTTCAGTTTCAACACCAAAAGACTCATGACGGTCAAGTTTCTCCGCTTCTCTTTTCATCCATGCCACGTATTGTCTAAGATGAGGGGGCATCTCGGCGATACCAGTCTGTCTGAGTCTCTCTGACATGCGTGGAACACAGAGATACAGCAACAGCTTCACCTCATAATCCAGCAGGGGCGGCGCGGCTAGAGTGGGAACGGTTTTGTCGACATACTGCCGGAGCTCCTCTGGGGCCAAGAGTTCAATGTCGGGCCTCGTGTCAAAGTTCCAGCACAGTCTTCGACTATCCTGAGATGCTACGGAGGCTCCCCTGATGAATTTGGCATCAAGTCCACTAGCCGAAAAGAGGGTTTCGTGACCAGAAAAGTCCAGAGCAACGACATTCGAAGTAGTTTTGTCTAGGCCGGTAAGGCTGGATTTGTTCCACGCCACGATCGAATTATGGTCTCGTACCTTTTCTGAGATCCACATCTGTTGAATACCTATCATAACACAGGGAAATACCTTCTTGCCTCCGTCGGTAACAGGTATGAGCCCAAGATGGAACAATCCGTCCAGCGAGGCCGGATGGATGACAAAGTCTGTTTGACTCAATTTCCTGCTATTGGTCGTCCAAGATAAGAGATCGATGTGACCCCAACATTCTAGGTGATCATTGTAAGCTGTCTGCTTGACAGCTTGATGCGCAGGTCCGAACATGATGCCATCTGCGGCCAATCGATTGTAAAATTGATCCATCTTTACCGTGCGACTGCAGGTTGCTTGGACGCGAGCGAGCTCGGCGGCGTGATCTTCGGCCTCGAGCTTAGTCTGGATATTACTGTCAACATGACCACTATCCCGCATGTAGACAACTCGAATCTGGCCACGACATGCTTCAGTCCAAGCGGCGTTATCAATGCAATACATATGAAATTCGCGCCAACCGTCATCGCGGTCCGTAGTCTGCCCGGTTGAGCAGATATAAAACTCGACTTCGACACCATCCGTATCTGCTGAGATGCCGACCGGTCGGAAGAACTGGATGTCTTTCAACTTATAAACAGCCAACTTGTCTGGAGCTGGTGAAACACTGAGTAGGCTTCTGACACCTTCGATCGCCATCGCAATGACAGCAGCGCCGGGCAGTATGTTTGCACGAGAAACAACATGGCCTTGGAGCCAAGGGTCTTCAGAAATTCTGATGCGCCGCCGCCATTTGGCCTGATACGGGTTCCAGTCCGGAACTCGGATACCTAGAAAGTCATGTCGCGGTGCTTGGCGAAACCTGTTGCCCAGGCTGAGTCGCGACTCACGCCAGTAGGATCTGGAATGATCAAATGGATATTTAGGTAGGCTGGTCAAAGGTAGTGCACTTGAGCGATTTGGGGAACTAATCCCATTGACTGCTTGGATGCTAATGTGATGGCCCCGACAGTGAAGATACCCGAAAGCGTTGAGAACTGTTTCGATGGCATTGACGCCGCGAATCAACGCCGAGGAATAGCCAGGAGCAGGGCCTTTTGCAGGTCCTGCGGCTAAGGTGTCCTCGATTTGTCGTCGAAGTGTTGAGTGCGGTCCTATCTCTAAGATGTCCTGGAACAGGAACTGCGGACGACTGACCTCATGTGGGGACGTTTTGTCCCCGATGACACGCAGGGATCCTGCTCTGCTCAGTGCCTTCGCGAAGCGCACTGGAGATACCATGTTGTCCACCCAATAGCGCCTCTGGCAGACCTCTCTCGATGTCACAGGCTCGCCCGTGACGGAGGATATCATCACAGTCGCTAGACTGCCTGGCCTCCCAGTCAAGGAGTCAAGGGAGTCGTAATATCTCTTGGCGATGGCTTCCATATGTGAAGAATGATACGCTACCGGAACCGCGAGCTTTCGAGCGAAGATGCCGTCTGCGTCTAATAGCCGTTTCAAGCATTCAATTTGCTGTAAATCGCCGGTAACAGTGACACTGCGAGGGCTGTTGATGCAGCCTACAGTAATACCTTTCTTGCCATGCTGCATTCCAACAGCATCTAGGTAAGGTTGGATCTGTGAATCGGAAGCGCCAGCCGCGAGCATAGCACCTTCGTGGGTGTTACCACTGACAAGCAGCGAAGCCAAGAGCCCCCTATAATAAGCCACGCGGATCGCAGAGCGTTTGTCGAGAAAACCGACGGAATACCTGGTCGAGCAAAGTTTTAGCAATTCTATTCATAATCTGGTGCATGCCTCTTACGCTGCTGCAATTTCTCCAGAGGAGTGCCCAATAACAACCGTGGCTTTGACACCGACCGCCTCGAGCAAATCCACCAAACCTATCTGGACAGCCGTACACAGTGTCTGGCTGATTTCGGGGTCATTGATTCTGCTTTCGTTTGGTGCCCGAGAAAGCTCATCTGGAATACATAAACGAAATTTTCAAATTTGTCTGGAGTGACAAGCGGGTAGAATACTATACCAAGGAGGTTCCACTCGCAACCGATTGATTTCAGCGTTGTCGCGCTCACCGACAAGGCTTCCCTATAAGAGTCATAGATACGTAACTCTCGCCCCATAGAATACCATTGTGCTCCCTGACCAGTAAAACAGAGGGCTAGCTTAGGGGCAACAAGCGCTTTGACCGGTGTGGATAATTTAAGCCCTTGGGTGAGGCTATTCAGAGAGGCGCAGGTGACAAACGAGCGCCAGAGCAGCGTACTTCGTCGTTCACTCAACGTGTATGCCAGCTGCCCGACGTAATCTTGATTGGAGGGATACGGACCAACGGCATGATACTGATTATAAGCAGACTGAAGCCGACCTATACCACCTTCATCCTGGGCCGAGAATACTAGGAGCTTTGGGTCCTCGAGTCGGTCCGACGACGTTTTGGATGTACTGGCTGTAATTCCTCTGGACTTTAAGTGGTTCTCAGCATCCTCCATGACAATGTGTGCGTTTGTTCCACCGAAACCAAAGGAATTGATTGACAATCTCCGTAGCCCCTTTGATGGCCAGCGCACTGTCGTTTTCGGGAACTGCGAAAGGGTTTTAACGCCATAATTGCCAGGCCGCGGGAGATGAGAGGTGGTAAGGTACCTGTAGATTGGGATGCTCCACTGCAATTGCCGGATTGACAACCTCGAGCCCCGCAATGGGAGGAATCTCTCCCTGCTCGAGCACCAAAACACTTTTGATGACGCTCGCGATAGCGCTGGCGTCCTCCAGATGACCTATGTTCGCCTTGACGGAGCCAACATAAAGTGGAATTGAACTACCAAATGCATCACTGATTGCCCCGGCTTCAATTGGATCTGCCAAACAAACCGTCAGCCAAGAAGGCACAAATGGCGGGGAATAGAAGAAAAAAAGGGGGGGGGGGGAAGAAAATAAAGATAAATAAAGAAACAAAGTAAGAAACCAAGCAAAAGAAAGAGATAAGAGAAAGAAGAAGGATTATGGCTCAGACTTACCTCCAACAGGTGTACCCGTGCCATGGCTTTCAATGTATCTGGTGTCCTTCATATCAAGACCAGCTTTCTGATATGTTTGCCGGATCAGGTCAGCTTGAGCTGTTCGGCTTGGCTGAACGATCCCTGGTGTATGGCCGTCCTGATTTATGCCCGTGGCACGCACCACAGCCCGGATGGTGTCGTGGTCGCGCAAAGCCCCGTCAACGGACTTGAGGATAATAACGCCGAAACCCTCCCCTCGACCGTAGCCATTTGCGCTTTGATCAAAACTCCAGCTGCGGCCGTCCGGAGATAAGAAGTTCTGATTGTTAAGAAACATAGCCATATCAGGATTGATCAACAGGTTGACACCAGCGACAATAGCCTACATAAGCGTTAATGTGGGAACAGAATGTGTGGTTAGATGTTCACCGAATGGCCAGTCTCACCAGATCAGATTCTCCGGCCCGGATCCCTTGACAGGCCGCGTGTATAGCTACAAGAGCGCTGGAGCAAGCAGTCCCGACATGGATAGAAGCACCATGAAGATCAAAGAACCAGCTGATTCGATTGGCCAGGATACTGGATGCCAGCCCGCTTGCCCCATAACGGCCCCCGAACTGCGGGTCCTTTGTTGAGAAGGCTTTGTAGTCATCTCCAGAGCCAGATGTGTAAACAGAGGTGTTGGAGTTGGCAATGTTACCCAGTGGAATTCCGGCTGGGACATGATTAGATCATGAGCAAGGCAATCCCGGCAGGGAACTAACCGTTTTCCAACGCATGGTAAGTTGTTTCTAGCAATATTCGTGACTGCGGATCAATCTCAGCCGCCTCAGCAGGTCCGATTTTGAAGAAAGGGGCGTCAAACGCCCCAAGATCGCCGTTAATAAAATGGGCGCCTTTAAGCGGAAACTAACAGACTTAGTTCCTATCTTGCCATAGATTCAGTAAGAGGAGCTTACACTGTTCAATCGCTCATCGTCAGGATCATATATGCCAGTTGGGTTCAGCCGGCTTGGGGGAAAAGGCGACCAAGCAGATCGACCAGCAGACAGTGTCTCCCAGAGTGAGTCTACGGACTCTATTCCTTGGGGGAGCTTGAAGGCAATACCAATGACCGCAATTGGCAACGCGTCATTCGCTGTCTCACCACGAAGGTCCCGGTTGCCATGCAATCCAGTTCCATCCGAAAGACCAGGGCCACATAGTGCGTCTCGCAAGGTTTCTGTCATCTTGTCAGATCTCACCAGGTTGTGATATGACCTCGATGCAATCTGCGTAATATTGTAGGCCAAAGCTGATACCGACGCGCTGCTATATATGGAAGACTGTCTATGAAGATGACAGCGAAGAAAAAGCCGTAAGGAAATGTGATTGGGCAATCAAACGCACATTGGTCTGTTGGGTGCCCAGTCTGTTTTGAAATGCATGTAGCCTCCCAGTTTCACGTTGAATCCATGGTTTGCTGTGTATTACGGTGGTCTTTTCTATACAGTGTAATGGACAGGCGATAGCTAACACCAGAATTAGTGGGAATGACTGTTCTACACTAACCGCAACACAGAGCAAACATATCATGAACTCGACGATGGCTTTTTACCTGCTTATCTTACCATTCACAAAATGACCAGAGCCCAGAGCGGTAATTAGCATACAGTCTGATTGCTGTGATAGTTGCTTCAATGACCGCATAGTGGCGTGAGACAACGCCAAGAATGTAGGCTAGAGGATGAAGCTAAAAAGTGTAGGTGAGGGGTTGGACAGGCAGAAGCCAGCCTCGCGCCACTGAGGAGAAACCCTGGTTCCCTTTACGATGATTGGCAGTTCTTAAAGTGTTGGAGCTCAGAGGGTCCTGGGCTATCTGGATGAAAAGCTAGTCCATAGGTACACAGTTAGCCCTCACCTGATCCACGTATAGCTGAGGTCTGCCTCCACCACTAATAGACCCCTGATAATATACAGTATACCCATCTTCCTGTCCAGATCTAGGTTTATTCGTCTGGAAATTTGTTATTGGTAGTAATTTGTCTTAGGAAGCCCGGATGAGGGGCGGCATTGCAAGTTATGGCTGACTTCTCAAAGTTACTACGATCATTCGGCATTCGGTCTAGTAACACCTGAGGATTCAAGCAAAGCAAACCTTCCGCTTGATGAAGAAAGAGGAATGTTTAACGTCATGTAGGAAAAGTCCGAAAAGGGATCCGTGAATAACGCATGATCCAGACATTGTAAACCGAAACTGTAAGCACGGTTCGGCTTCCTCTAAATCATTGACCGAGGATCACGGTGAAAGGGCGGGACCTTCATTTTGCGATTTTTCTCCCACATGAGCTCACGCACCTCAGCCACGGTAAAAGGCACTAATTGGTTCATATCCTGTGGCTCGGCAACTAGCCCCTTCGCTCGAATATAACGAACACAGGAGGTGGGCCGTTCGCCGACACAGAATCCGAGAATTGCCTGTGCCCAGTCGGCCATAATTTTCGCTGTCTGCGGCGCCTGACGATAGAAGAAGAAAAAGGTGTGTGGCATTTTCTCGTACTCATCGTAGGTGACTGAGACTCCCTGGGAGTTCGCCACCTGCGCAATCAGCCGCGCGGGGTCAGTGGCTTGCTCTTCGCCAGAAGCCATCCAGATGGGGCATGAGCCCGTCCAGTCTTCGGAAGCAACTGGGCTCACCAGAGGGTGAGCTAGCAGAGCGCCGTCACAGTAAAGGTTTGAGCGGGGAGGCCGAGTGGGCCAAAGTGCGCACGTGGGAAAGTCGGGCTGAAGATAGTGGAGATTTTCCATCGGGACCGGATGGATATCTGTCTTGACATTCCGCTCATAAGAAGGGAGACAGCCCGTTTGGTCGGCTATTGGACTGACCAGTGCCAGACCAGCGGGGACGGTTGGATCGATCGTCTGCCCGTGAAAAACGATCGTCTTTTTCGATCGCTGGAGCCTGAGCAGCACCTGCAAGAGGCCGAACGCAAGGCATGTGCCCGAGCTATCCCCAGCAATGACGATCGAAGAGGGCGAAACCGCCTTGTGAAGGGCACCCGGGGGAGGAGCAAGGAGTGCTAGATAGGCCTGAAATACATCAAGCAAGGCTGACGGGAAGGGGCTTTGTGGTGCCAGCCGCTGATGGACCATCAAGACCTTCGAACCCGTCTCTTGAGCCAGGAAGCCTGTAGTCCGACGATAGCAGGACGGGGTGTTCAAAACAAACGTTCCCCCGTAGATATAGAAAATGACAGTAGGCTGTTTTGTTTCCGCAACCAGTCGCTGGAATTTCTCGCTCTCAGAGATTGAAGGCTCAGGCGTGTTCTTCTCAACATTATGGCGATATCCAACCCATTCAAATTGGAGGGGCTGAGAGTCTGGACGGTCATAGAAAATATTCCGATCGTTCAAGTCGTCCACGAGGCTAAGGAGTAGCTCGCGAGAGGTGTCCTCAGTCGGCTTTGGGACGGTAAACTTTGCAACCCACAGAGGACCTTTTACAGGGTCATCTCGGAGTGTTGCTGCCTGCGCATCAGAGACCGAAGTTGTCCGAACTTGTTGTAGAAACTCGGCTCGAAGCTTCTTTGCCGCCGCGAGAAGGTGGTTGGGATCGTTATAATCCATACTGAGCTAGCCCTTGAAGATGAGAAAAGGATCAGGGAACACTAGTTCAATGGACCAGATGATGAGTGATGGAAGGGGAGGGGAGGGGGAAATAGGAGAGAAAAAGGGGGAAAAGAAGAGTATGCGCAGCCTAGTTGTACTAGTAATGAAATAGAATGAACTGATTTAACATGATCTGCTGATGGTCGCTACAAGTAACTGAAGGGGACTCACGGGAGGCAAATAGGTCGAACAAGATATACCTGGATTATACATGTAAACCATCCGCAACGGACCAGTAACGAGCACCCTGAACTCCATTAGTCACAATATCTTTTACCGCATACCAGCAAGCCACACCACTCACAAGGCACTAAGCAAGAAAAGTGCCACCAGGGCTAGTCGTTTGCGCATACTCAACTGCAGCCGGAGGATCGTGGGTATGGGAAGGCCGATGACAGCAAGGTCGATGATGGAGTCGGCCAATTGGGTAGCCAGAAAAAAGACGGGAAAGTTGATGCACGACCCCACAACAGTCTTGTCCCAGAAGTATTGGATTGGGCAACAATTAAGCAGCGAGGCCGTTAGAGAAGCCACGAACCAAAGCAGGCAAATCGCCATAGCGAAGTTGATCTTCTTGCAGAAGGTGGGAACAGCAAATATGCGGCGATAGAGACAAAGGATGGACAGTTTCATGAGCGTGACGCTCAAGATGTACGGTGGAACCAGGGCATACTGGGACTGCAAGTATTGCACATATTTCCGGCGGGCCTCTGCTGGATCTGGATAAACCTGGCCCGCCCCCAAAGTATAGACACCAACCAGAATATCAGCGCAGAAGGCCCAAAATGTGACCTCGGCCATGAAAGCAAACCAGTCATCTAGGCCTAGTTGTGCATGCTTGATTCGCCGCGCAGCAAAGCGCAACACCACGCAAATAGTAGTCAGGACGACGGAGAAGATCGTCAGCGCTACCGTAACGCGTCCAGTGCGATTGAAATCTGTAGACGATGGCATAGTTCAGAGGATAATTGGCGAGGAAGAGTAGAAACAGAAACAGCTCTACTAAATGGTCGTTGCCCGTTGGCCTGGGGGCTGTCATGGTATTTATCCAAATTCCGGCACCCCTGAGATCAGCCTTCATTTTAACATGGGGCATGGAGGGTGGTCAGCTTCATAATTCCATCCAGGGATAGCATTGCAAAGTTGCTTTCAGCCTTGTATCTCGGCGACACCACGTGCCCGGTTGGTACATCCGTCGGAGCAAACAAATAAAAGCAGGCATCTTCCTTCCTTTCCCTCCCCCCCACCAGCAACCTGGCACGTCTCACTAAATCATGCTGGAGACCGTCGTCGCTCTCGCCCCATATGGGCTGCACCTGACTTTGCTTTACGCCGCTTCTGTCGTGGTGTATAGGCTCTATTTCCACCCCCTCGCCCACATCCCTGGTCCTCCTCTGGCTAAAACAACGTACCTGTTCGAGTGGTACTACGACCTGGGCTTAAGCGGACGGTTTACTTTTCACCTGAGGGACCTGCATCAAAGATATGGTTCGTCAAGAATGTGGGCAAAGAGGGACATTCCAGAAAACTCATAATCTTCCAGGCCCTGTCATTCGCATTAGTCCCGACGAAGTCCACGTCCATGACCCCGATTATTTCGACCAAATCTACAACCAGGCTAACGGGCGGACTGATAAGCCACCTCACGTTGCCGGGGTTTTTGGCCCCTACTCAGCGGTAAGGAATAAAATTGTGGATGTGGAAAAGAGTTAGGAGCTAACAACGGTTACCCAGACCATCAGTACCCAGTCACATACGCTACACAAGACCCGCCGCAGTGCAGTCAGTCCTTTTTTCTCCAGAAAGTCCGTCCTTGATCTCACACCAGCTATCCGCCGTCCCGTCGAGATCCTCTGTGAGCGTCTGCGCGAGGCATGTGACAATGGAGGAGTATTGAACATGAAATACATGTTTGGGGCGGTGACACTGGATATTATCAATGATTACGTCTTTGCTAGGGACCCGGTTTACACCCGGCAGCCTGACTTCGGACGTAAGACTTTTGATGACGTGGACAGCTTTCTGATAATCAGCCTACTGGTTAAGTGCCATGAATTTATCTACTTGGGCAGCGGATGTACTGACTGATATCCTAGAACCTCCACATCCCTTGGTTAATACGCCTTACATACTGGCTTCCTGTAGGCAGGCGTAAACATCCGTTGCTTTCAGGGCACACAAGACTAACAGTCCGACAGGACCGTCTGAACAAAATACTAAGTCCAGCCATGACTGACATATTGGACTTTCGTCTGGTATGTGCTCAAAGCCATAAGCATCTCCCAGTTGGTACGAGCTATGTTCACTGTGAAGTAGGAGCTGTCGCGACAAGTGGAAGCAATCCGCAGCGGGCAGGATACCGCGTACCAGCACACCGATCATCGGACCGTGTTCCATGAACTGCTTGATAGCAAGCTGCCAGCGAGCGAATTGAAAAAGGATCGGCTGCGCGACGAAGCCTTCAGCTTGATGACGGCGGGCTCAGTCACTACGTAAGACAAAGTTCTACTCCACGAGGCCTTGTTTGCGGTGGAAGAAACTGACAGCGACTCTAGAGCAGCAACCCTACGGGCGACGGCTTATCACGTAGCCGCAAACGAGTTGATCCGTCGAAAGCTGCATGATGAGCTCTGCGCGGCGATTCCCGACCCGTCCCAGCCCTTGTCTCTGGTCGCATTAGAACGCCTGCCCTACCTGGCTGCCATCATAGATGAAGGGCTCAGGCTTTATGGCCCCGTCACACATCGCGCCTCAATCCAACTCCCGGATCGACGTTTGCAATGCCATGGATATATTATTCCTGCTAACACGACTGTCGGTATGACGCCGTACCTGCTTATGCGGGATGAGACAACATTCGCCCATCCCCAACTCTTCGACCCCGAACGTTGGATCACCGGACGAAAGAACCTGGAGAAATACTTGGTCGCTTTCGGTCGCGGCTCACGGATGTGCCTCGGGATGAGCCTCGCCCGGGCTGAACTCGTTATGATCCTCGCCGCCGTGTTCCGGCAGTTTACGTTTGATGTCTCTGCCGTAAGTCAAGTGAGGGATATCGATTACAACCATGACTACATTATGGGTGCTCCTGCTCACGACTCCCCCGGAATCCTGGTCGAAGTCCGCAGGTCTTCATAATTTTTCTCTGTATGGCGTGGTGCAGTCATTGGAAATTCTGCCTACTTCTGGACTTGTTTTTTAGGGATCTTCGAAGACCCAATATGAAGCCCCTATTTTCCACTGATTTTTGGTAACATTGACCATCGGCCATTTTTACCATACGGTATTGACTCGATAGTTCTATTTTAATCCAGACCAGTGGCGAAAAACACTGTTTCAATGGCTGCGGAGTAAACTGGGATCATGGCTGCTGGGGGGAGACAGTCATTTTACCGTGTAACCCAACATGAAATGATTGGCAACTGTGAAAACAGTCCCCGTAGCTCTTTGTTTGCTGTGTGCCGCCCGATGTTTGCGGTTTGCAGTCCCCCTCCCCCCTCTTCTGTAAGCTGGCTTGTCTTCTACAGCGAATATACACACAATTAGTAGCGACACTAAGAAAACATTCCATAAAAGGCTTTGGCAACGAAGAAAAACAGGTGGTCCCCGATCTCGAACAACAACAAGCACCGCCCACCACGTCGAAGATAATGATTTCCTCAGAACAGACTCCCAAGGAGCCAGAGGCCAGTAGCACAGTTGAGCTGCAAGCCATGGGAGACACATCCACTCATGATACCAGACGTGTCACTCTGTCCGGCTGGCGGCTAAAGCTTCTCACGACTGGGTATGTTCAATGATTCTCAGGCTTCCCTCGCGACATTGGCTGATTTCGTTAAGTCTAAACTTGTGTTGCTTCTTGTCGGCTCTTGATGCTATTATTGTTACCACATCTCTGACCGCTATTGCAGAGGACTTACGGTCATTTGACGAAAGCAGCTGGGTGGTATCCAGCTTCCTGACCTGCTACTTTAGTAAGTCTCCATAACCATGCCAAGTATGCCAAGGGAGCAGTGAGAATGATTGGTCTGACAGATTTAAGGCTTCCTCATTATATGGGCTAAAGTAAGCGACCTGGTTGGGCGGAAAGTCGTCCTCGTTGCGGCTGTCGTTTTCTTCCTGGCTTTCTCCGGTGGCTGTGGCGGCGCCCGGAGCACCTTGCAGTTGTTCGTTGGCCTTGAGTCGAGCATATAGATGAGATTACTGATGAGGTCTTTTAGAATTATTCTCCGAGCATTTCAAGGCATCGGGGGTGCGGGTGTCTTCAGCATGGTTCCCATCGTAACGGCCGAAATGGTGCCCCCGGATCGATACGCCGCATTTAGCTCCATCGTCTCTATCTCAATTGCTCTCAGCTTCTTACTAGGGCCGTTGCTTGGTGGCGTGATCACCGATGGTGCGTCGTGGCGGTGGATATTCTACATAAATCTCCCCGTTGGTGCCGTGGGGCTGTTTTTCGTATATGTCGCCATGCCAGGCGCCTTTCCGGATGTTTCGAACCCGTCCTCCCTATGGGTATCCCCAAGAAAGTCCCATATCCGCCGCAAAGTAGACTATCCGGGGTTCATCCTGCTCCTGGCAGCGTCTGTGCTTTTGATCGTGGCTATTGAACAAGCGGGTATCTCATTTTCGTGGGACTCAGCGCTGGTCATCGTCTTACTTATTTTTGCCATCATGCTTCTGATCGGGTTTATGCTGTGGGAATGGTATTTGCATCGCAGCAGGAACAGTACGGAACCCGTGTTTCCTTGGAGGTTTGTGAAACATCGCTTTCTCCTAGGGGCCTGCCTCATTTCGTTACTATCAGGAGTTCCTTACATGACACTGGTCCTAGGGCTTCCAGGGCGGTTTCAGAATCTGAATAATGATTCAGGCCTCGACGCAGGAATTCATATCCTACCATTTACCCTCAGCATCGCCATGGCTTCGGCTTCGGCAAGCGGATTGACGGCACGGGGCCGACTTCCGCCTATTGCGGTCTTTGCAATCGGTGCTGCCTTACAAGTTCTAGGTGTTGGCCTGCTGTATTCTGTTTATCCAAGCAGTTCTCTTCCCGCCAGGATTTATGGCTACCAGATTCTAGCTGGCGTGGGAATTGGTCTGAGTTTGACCACGACCCTTAACATCATGCCGTTTGTCGTTGACAGGAAAGATCTCTGTAAGTCCCTCCTTTTGTCCTGTTCGACTCATAGGATGTGGGTTAATTCTTCCTGATTCACGTAAAGCCGTCGCCCTGGGTGCTGTTATCCAACTCAGAATTCTCGGCGGTGCGCTAGGGGTTGCAATTTCCGCAAACCTTCTGAACAACACGCTGAGAAGCCAGCTGTCAAGCGAGATGCCTTCCACCATGATTCAGCACGTACTGCAGGATATATTCTATTCCCGGACCCTGTCGACCTCGCAGCAGCAGCTCGTTCAAGCCGCTTTCGCAGATGGTTACCGGAAGCAGTTGCTCATGGTCCTTGTATTTGCCGCAGCACAGCTATTCGCGTTAGCTATCATGTGGGAGAAGCCCTTGCGAAGACTCGCATAGGTGCCGCATGACGGGAGAGCGTTAGCACCGTTGGGATATTGAATCTCTTGTTAGTTGGCTTGGCCCCAGCCATACGGTGGGATATGTATGGTATTCAAACATTCCGCAAATGAGCTCTGTGACGTTACTTGTTTCTATTGTGTGCTAATTATGGAAGCAAGCACTCCGCCTGAGCAAATCGCAATGCGCAGTGCGCAGTGTGCCGTCGGCCCGGGAAGCTGTGGTTCTTTTACTTTTGGTTTGCCGATCTGGGCATTTGCGCATATTACAAGTTGGAATATCACTAGCAGAGTAGTAGAGGCGTTATTATTGACTCTCATAGGAAGATGACTTGGGAGATTCAGCAAATACAACAGAACATTTTTTTACCATAGATCCGCCGAAAGCACTTTCGGATCTAGATTCCATATCTCTTCTGCTTAGCTTTGCTGCTCTATGTTCTAAGAAATTTGAATTGTATTTCGAAGTATCTGCCTATATAATGCAAAGAAAAGACACAATCAGTACATACGACCACAGGGTGAGGAGAACAGGGCTTCCCGTCCGCTCAGCCGTACTTAAGCCTCACGCCGGCCGGTTAGTAGTTGGGTGGGTGACCACCAGCGAATCCCGGCTGTTGTATGTTTTTCTTGTTTTTTGCTCTTGTTCAATTGAATTCAGTTTATCGAAGTTGTTTTCTCATTCAAATCAGACCTGGTGTTGTCGCATTTGGCTTGCATTATGGATTATCTCCCATAACGCCCTCCACAAACTTATTCCTCGACCTCAACCGTGCGTGTTCTAAGTATATGGAAATAATTTCTTCCATCAGGAGCAAAGAATATTTTGATGATATGCAATGGACCTGGTTGATCAAGTATATTAATTGAAATTATACAGATAATCATACAACTTCTTCACTTGAACTAAATGTTGATAGAAAAGTGACATGTTTAAACCATTATCACGTAGCATGAGTGAGTTTAAAATCTCGCAACCATGGGTGTAACTTTGCTTAAACGTAGGAAATATGTTTCTACTCAAAAACTACAAGGAATTCCGTTGTTTGGAATTAGACTAAATCTATTAGGTAACATTATGGCTAATTGTCATATCCCTTTTTTACCGAGGGGATAATCCTCTTATCACTGAAGAGTGCAGACATGTCTCATGCCCAACCAGCTGGTCCTAATGTCCTGCACATTCCCTTCTCGATAAAGTCTGTCGACTGCGAATCAACAATTCTCTGTCTGACCTCTGCCTCCACTTTGGGAGCCCAAAGCGACGTCAACCTCCGGCTGTACTCCAACCACAACCGGGCCAAGAACTGTACATCCTGAACGCAGTACTGCATGATTTCACCAGAGAGTGGACGATCGTTCCACACTTCAAAGCTCCCTCCTTGAGCCGGCGAAAAGAGCTTCCTGCCCTTCTCCTTCCCGACCTTCCAGCTATTCTTTTCTGAGTCGGTCATTGGGACATCTCTCTCGATGCACTTTGCTAGACCATGTACTAGCTTTTTCGAGAAGCTGCGCGTGGCAAGTTCCATCAATTGGAGGTCTTGAATACCCGCAAGCTTGATTCCGAAATGGCCATAGAGCGCGTCGGAGTCACTGCGAACATCGAAAAATACTTTAGGGATGGAGGATGATTCGAGAATCTCTTTTAGTGTGCAACCTGTCAACGATGCCTGAGTAAAGGCTTTTTGCTTGAGCTTGTGCACATCAATCACATATGTCTTGTTGAGAGGCAAAACAAACATCTGTATTACTGAGACGCTCCCATGCCGTGAAAGGTTGGCCCCTTCAAGATCAACGTACAAGGACGGAGGACTTACAGGCAGCTTTTCCAACACCCCAACAAGATCGGCTACATCTTTCTTTGTATCGACGAAGACAGCCGAGTTCTCCTGGATAGTTGCTTTCTCGAACGATACTGTGAGTGCTTCAAGGTCCGGTTCAGCCGCCATCTTTGCTAAGATATCAACTCTTGCTTCATTCAGTTATTGGACTGGTGTTTTCAAGGAGATGCTCGATCCCGGGTGTCTGCTTAATTGAGAGGGTTTGGAGGCGACAAAGGCTGCTCAGGCAGTGGATGTTACAACACTCTCCGGAGCCTGAGGCATTGACATGTATTTATAGGTTTAAACATCGACTGTTAGCTCGGAATTAACCAAGTTATTTCCGGGAAACCACGGTAGACAAGCTTTTGGTGTTACCATGGGTCTGGTAGAATCCAGTCTTTGTGCATCCAGCAAGATACGCTCAAAGAGCACAATGCTAGATTCAAAACCCAGGAACAAAGTACCTCTGCCGGTGGCATTCTATATTCATTGGTGTTATGAAAAATGCCCCACGTCGACCAAGAAGCCAATTTAACACATTTGTTGCGTCTGACCAGGTCAGCTGGTTTCTAAGATTAACTTGCTTTTTAGCTCGATGCTTTATCCAGACTATTTGCCTTCTAATGTGGGGTTTAAGTTTCCCTATCGGGATTTTCCACAAGCATCATTGTATCAGGCAGCTGGTTGTTTGTCCGCTTTGTCTAACTACCATTTCGGGAGCCAGTGATATATGCAGAGAAGATCCAAAATGCCCCTCTAACCTAAGAAACTTTAAACCCTATCCTTCTGTGGGGGTTAATGGTACCCAAAACGAGTAGCTTTCAAAGAATCGGATGAGGAGCCCTCTCTGCACGTTAACCAGGAGGGGATCTTCGCTATTAATATCACCAGAATAATCCTGTCACATTTCAAGCTTGTTCTGTTCGCTACTCAAGGATTGATTTGGGGCAGTGTTTCTACTTATAACGCCATATCCTTACCCTTAAACAAATTGCTGATCAAGGCCACACAGGATCGCCCATATATTGGTTCCTTGCCCCAGCGCTAGTACATAGTAGGACATGCCAAGGGAAGGGACGAGATTAGTGTTGATTTGATGCCTTTTTGGGATCTCATCAGCGGCAGCCGCCAATGGTAGATAATATTTTTCACGGCCTGACCCGAGCAATACGAGGATGGACCCTTGGCGGTCCTAATTCAACCCTCGCGCCCACTGCCGTGGGACAAACGAACCTTTTTCTTTCCTTTTTTCTTTTTCTCTCTATCTATTTCTTCTGCAGTGTCAGGTCGCACAGTCACCCTTCTTCAAAGACTAGGGACTCCTCCATGGTTCCCCTGGCCTTCCTCGCGCGGCTCTTGCTTCTGCTAGCCATCGTCAACACGGGTACACTTGCTAGGAGAGGTGGGGGTGATCATGATGGCGACGGCGACAGCGACAGCGACGGTAGCAGTTCTAGCGACGAAGGAGGAAGCAGTGGAGGCGACGATAGTTCCAGCTCATCTGGTTGTGGATCAGAAACCCCAAGCAGCGGTCTTGGAATAAATGACTTAGTCCCCAGCATTTCCAGCAATTGGACCTCCCAAAGCGGTGCAAGAGCCGTCCCCAATCCAACAATATACGATGGCTCATACTTCCGAGGAGAAGCACATCTGTCCTACAACATGACGACTGGACCCGAGTGTCAGAAATTAAAAGAGCTGCGATTGCTCGGGTATGCATGGATCGGTCCACTACCGCCTTATCCAAAGGGAGCGCAGAACCCATTTGCTATTGGGTTCAAGGCATGGCAATCTAATGCGGCTGTGAGCGAGATTCACACTTCCTATCCAAAAATCAGGTGGGAGGGAGATATGTGCGCCTCGGAGCCGGATCTCTTCCGCATTACCACTACCACGGGTTCAGTGTCTCGGACTAGTGCTTGGGATATTATGACCCTCGATGTGTCTGCGGACTCGGCCATATCTGATGCAGTTCAGTTTAACGCCACCACTATCCAGGACCTAAGTGATCCAATCAGTCAATACGACGCGATGTTCCGTCTGCGCGAGGGCACCTGTCTTCGAGAGGACACGGAGATGCATTGGCCGGATACGACAGTCATGGAAGGTTCTGTCACGAACACGACGATCAATCTCAAGTTCTCAGGCTCGGTCGACGAGAATTCAACCCAGCTCTATGTTGGGATGGACAAAGACTTGAAGGTGAACTTTACAGTTACCTTTTCCGGGCAGTTTGATAGTGTCAATTCCACCCATGCCCTGGAAGTTGAGAAAGGCAATAACACTCTTACGTGGGTAGCGAATGATGCTCCGACGATTGGAACAAGTGGTTGGGTAGGTAGATTGGTGTGGATTATTGGTGTTCAGACGGTGATTTGGAGTCTGTGGTGACTATAAATGCACAGAGAAGGTTTTTCTACACGATGTTATGCGAGCTTCATGTCACATCAAACCGCTAATAAGCCTAATGATAGATTCTGAAATTCTGTTTTGCCTGTTTTCATGGATGATTGCCTTTAGTGCTCGGAAATTCATCTTGGCAACCGAGGTCTCATAATTTATATCTTAGGCTTGTGGATTTACTATAGGTTCCATGGGACACAATAGACTTTGGCGTCGCTCAGTAGATCTGCACGGGTATAGCAATCTGCCGAAAGCTGTTGACGGCTATATTCAGAAAGCAACATCCGTGACAGATAAGGAAAAGTTCCAGCTGAGAGATCGGCAGTTCTTCTCCACTATGGCTTTATTCCATACAGTATTCCCCACAAACCGCTGTCATAGATGAGGAACAGGAAACTCCGGCGCGACACTTAGTGTTTCAGCTCGACTTTATCCGCGCGTGGCCCTAGTGATGTGCTCTTGTCCGGTGGAACACAGGCCTAGCTAACCCCTGTCCCATAATGGTTTATTAACCCTGCTGCTGTCAATCAATGTTTCCTACTTCCCATTATTGCATTTTCTTTCTTCCTCCTCACCTACCCCATTCCAGGAAAACGAACGCCATAATGAGACCTCAATATACCAGCCCTAGCTTCGCGCCTGTGGGAATTTTGTTACTCACGTCCCTGCCAAGTATTTTGGCGCAATGCGAACTTCCGTCCACCTATAGTTGGACGTCAACAGATGTATTGGCAGAGCCCAAATCGGGATGGGCTTCCCTCAAGGACTTTACCAGCGTTGTGTTCAACGATAAGAATCTCGTGTACGCGACGTTCCACGACACCGGATCGACCTGGGGCTCGATGAACTTCAGTCCCTTCTCGGACTGGTCTGACATGTCTTCGGCAACTCAGAACGCAATGACTGAGGGCACTGTGGCGCCCACACTCTTCTACTTTGAGCCCAAGGACACTTGGATTCTCGCGTATCAATGGGGTCCAACTGCCTTTTCCTACCGAACTTCAAGTGACCCCACCGACGCCAATGGGTGGTCATCGGCGCAGCCGCTCTTTTCCGGAACCATCACCGACTCCAGCACTGGGCCTATTGACCAGACTCTCATCGGCGACGACACCAACATGTACCTCTTCTTCGCGGGAGATAACGGCAAGATCTACCGGGCCAGCATGACCATCGCAGATTTCCCCGGTGATTTCGGCACAGACTCAGAGATAATCATGAGTGACACCACCGACAACCTATTCGAGGCGGTACAGGTCTATACCGTCCAGGGTCAGAAGCAGTACCTTATGATAGTCGAGGCGATTGGAGCCAATGGTCGCTATTTCCGCTCCTTCACGGCCGACAGCCTCGATGGTTCATGGACACCCCAGGCGGCCACCGAAAGCCAGCCCTTCGCTGGAAAGGCCAACAGTGGCGCCACTTGGACGAACGACATTAGCCATGGAGATCTCGTGCGCAGTAACCCTGACCAGACGATGACCGTTGATCCGTGTAACTTGCAGTTGCTCTATCAGGGACGTGATCCTAACTCCAACGCCGACTATAACCTCCTGCCGTACCGGCCTGGTGTGTTGACACTGAAGCAGTAAGGTGTACAGAGTTGGTTGTTTCAATCGTTCGCTGCGGTGAATATCGAGGAACCAGGGAGGGTTAGTTAGTACGCAATCTGACATTTATCAATTTATGGGACCAGTCCGATGGAAATTGTAGACCGTAGCGAGATTTGAAGAATCTGAGCTGATTGTAGGATAAAAAAGCTTTAAAATTACGAATTCAGATCTCATTAAAACAACTTACTCGAGGACTAAAGTTGTTCGATATTTTGAGTTGCTACATTGTTGCCTTGTCATATTCCTCTAGGAGACCCCGGGCAAGCGAAATGCCATAATATAGCATGAGCACTGCGTAGTAATCCGTAACTATAACAATAATTTAAATTTGGTACTATTTCCTGTTAACCCCAGATAATCTTTCTTCCCCCGAGGGATGTTCGTATTCTCGTACTCTCGTCTTCGTATTCGCAGTCCTCATTTCTTTTTCTTTTGCCCTGTTTCTCAATGACCTCTTTCTTATTTTTCCCAAGGCTCAATTTCCAGAGAAATCTCGATTTACCCGGTTCTGCCTAATACTAGCTTCGAGCCAGAATGGAATGTGATCGCGGGCTGATCGCTCGCCGATCTGCAAACCAGCCTGCAGTTACCCCGTAAATTCTCCTTCAATATTCCGGTGGGGGATCTTGGCGCTGTAGTAGTATCTGGAATATAACTAGTTAGTGGCTATGCAGGAAAATTGAGCCACACCTAGTTCAACTCGCTGTGGTTCAAATAAACACGGATTCTATTTCGATCACCGAAAAACCTAGAAACGCTGTCTCGATCAGTACTGCCTGGAAGCATCTGCAAAGGGCCGACGTCTTCTGTTTGCAGTCGTCCACGGCTAGAATAAAGAATCCCTCAACCACTGTCGGATGCTAAATTCCCAGTTCTTCTTGGAAAAGGAACAAAAAAAAGAAGAGAGAGAGAGAAAGAAAGAAAGAAACACACACATAATATTAGCTGAGGACTGAATCGGTCTGCTGTTTTACCCGGGGAAGTCATACCCACCATCCAATTCCTGATATTCCAAATCATATTCATTTTTTCAATAAACATTATACTGGCCCTTGGTCGGGCGGTGGTAAAATAATTAAAACAAAAGTACACTTCATAAGAATCGAAGAAATAGCCATCAACCGTATCCAAAATCACTGAGCCTTGCGCTTATTTGCCCTTCCTCGAGGTCCTGCAACGGTTCCCATCAGGACTATAAAAACGTCAGCTTCATGGAACATCACACACGCAAGAAAAGAAAGAAGACTCACCATCCCAGTGCTTGAAAGAACTCGCATAATTCCCCACAAAGTACCGGTGATGATCATCGTGCCAATCCGCCCCACCCCAAAACGGCACGATCCGACGCAGGCTCCAGGGGAAGTCATACCCCGAGTGCGCGTCAATGGCCTGGATCTGCCGCAGTGTCATCCACACCAGCACTGTCATCAGGTGCACCTCGCCGGTGATGTATCCCATCAGCAACGGGGGTCCGATCGTGCCAAATCCTAGCAGCATTGTTTCCCACGGACTGGCGTATTCAGCGGTCAAGCCGAAGGGCGCGGCGTATTGGTGGTGGATGCGGTGGATGGAGCGGTATAGGGGACCCCAGTGCATGGCGCGGTGGAGCCAGTAGTGGTATGTGTCTTCGACGATGAAGAAGGTGGCAATTTGGGTGGCGACGGTGCGCAGTTGAGGGAAGGGCAGGTTGTATTTGAGGCCGCAGAGTTCCATCATGGGGTGGAAGAGGACGATCAGCGGGAGTTCGATGATGAAGTGGATGGCGAGGATGTATTTGATGCATGTCCACTGGTCCATCACGGAGGGGGACTTTTTGTCTTGGATCTTGTATTTGCGGAAGATGATGGGCAGGGCGTCGGCGATGATCCAGGGAAGGCAGCGGCCGAAGTAGATCAGTTCGTGGGCAACGAAGGCCATGATTCCTGGTATTCGTTAGCTGGGACAGTGCAGAGGTAGAGGTTACACTGCATACCTGTCGCGAGGGTGTCGTTGTCCCAGTAGGCGTAGTGGGCCTGCCAGAGGCTCTCCATGGTGGACATGTTGTGCTGTTGCTTTGCGACCTGGAAGAGCTGCGTGTAGGTGGCCGCGGGAGGCACGGAACTAGAATTGAGCAAGGACTCCATGATGAAGCAGTCACTGTCTGGCTTGCACTCCCTGTTATTCTTCGGAATTGTTTTTGTTTTTGTGTCTAATATATACGAGCTGGTTGGCCCCTAAAGCAGGGTCCATCCGAGTGGGCTGACCGGACACACCACTCGGATGCCGGACGGATCAGATCAGGTCAGCCCTAGTTTTAGTCCGCCATTCACCTTCATTCAATATCCAACAAATCCACTTGCAGCGTTTTCTCGAATATTTGCCTCCAGATCCACTCAAGCTATACACGCCATTATTTTTCTCAACTCTGTATGCCACATGCTCTCTTGCCCTGATATTTTACATTTTGCCAAGACAAAAGACAACCAGCAGACCTCGTCCATATTCATATCTCCCTTAAATCTGCAGAGCAGCCACACCCAGGGCCAACGCAACGACCACGGACATCTGAGTTCCAATCATTCCAGCACCTCCTTCCTCGCCGGCATCGGTGGAAGAAGCGTCGGCAGCATCGCCAGTTGAGGTCGCAGATCCGCTTGCAGAGGCGCTCTCAGAACCGCTCGCAGTCTCGGCCGGCCCATCGCAGTGCCAGTGGTCGCCGTGAGGCTCACAGCCGACCGACTCGGTGGGGCTGGGAATCGTCGGGGTGGCGGTAGATTCTTCCTCCTCGTCGTGAGAGTGAGTGGCAGTCGAGGTCGCCGTGGCTTCGGCACTCGCGGGTCCGTCACAGTGCCAGTGGTCGCCGTGAGGTTCGCAGCCCACGGACTCGGTAGGGCTGGGCACGGCAGGGGTCTCGGTCTCGGACTCCGATGCAGCAGAAGTCACGGTGGCCTCGCCGGCGGTAGCAGGACCGTCACAGTGCCTGTCAGAGATGTGAGTTAGTCTAGATGCTGACATACTGCAAGACGAGTTCATGGAGGACTTGACATACCAGTGGTCGCCGTGAGGCTCACAGCCGACAGAAGCGGTAGGAGAAGGGCCGGGGTCTTGGCTAGTTGTCTGGGCCAGGACAGACGAGGCCAAGGCCACAAGAGCAAGGAAGGAGTATCTCATGTTGTCTTTCTGTGGGGGCCTTGCGTGGACAGTAAAGTACAGAGAGGCTTTCGGCTCAGGTTGATATCTGCGATGAAAACGCAAGGAAATTCCAGGAAAGAATGCGGGCTTTATATCGCTCATGCAGCAGGTAATCTCCCACGGGCCCCCATCACCTCGTTGCTTTTCCCTTGATTACCCCGTCTGCTTGTGGGCTTCTACGCCTATGATATCTGCTCGTTTTGATGCCAAGCGGAGTGGAATGGGCTTGGCGTCTCCAAGGTTCTCAGAAGATATCGACGGCAGGTTACATTGACTGGGATGAGGCTGCCAAATCGGACGATAACTTCTCGTGATAGGAAATTAAATTTGCTTTCAAGGCTCTCAGAATCCCCGGCGAGACGGACCTTGAGTTTTGGGACTTTATCGGCCAGTTATGCATATTCCCTTGCCGTTCTTTCATCGACCTCACGACGCCAAGACCTGACCCTGTCGGACGCCAAGATTGCTTGAGAACCTTGGGAGTTGGTGTCTTTGCTTGCCGAAGGAGATATTGCTCGTTGGAGGATAGACTGTGGCGGAGTTTTCCGTCGGATAGATTCACGTACGGACCCTTGTCTTCTGTTGCTCTTGGTGTCGGAGAAAACCGTCTGCTTGGTTCTCTACGCAGCACATTATTTTCTTCGTGCTTGAATTGACATCCAGAGCTTTCCATATGACCAAATGAAATAGTTCTCGTGATTGCTGTATACCTGTTGTAAGATCTGATATGTTATTATAATGTGAAGTTATGAATCTACCTTCCTGGGATCGCTTCAAACTGACACGACGTTTAATGTGATGAACGGAATGGACCAAAATAATTTGAAAAGCCATATGCGAGCGTACCTACTCTGCACATTAAGCCTTTGTACCTTGCATGAACCTCACAGAGCCAGTCTCGAGATCATTCTTCCAGTCTAATGTTGTCTTCTCTCTTACCTAATTCCCATTAGGCCTGACCAGTACACGGCATCTTGCAGGCAAGTGGCTTTCCCTCGCAATAATGACTCGCTCTTTACTTCTACTTTCTTATTCCCTGTTGCATAGATGTTCTCCTTTCATCCAAGATTTGATTAATGTTGACTCTCTGTCGGGAAACCAAACCAGAGCTTAGTCGCCTGATCCGCTACCTAAGCGTTCAAACCAGCTGTCGTTATTAAAAGACCCTAGTCCTCTGAGACAGGAAAGAAGTTTTGGAATTAGTTGCCATAATCTTCCAGTCATTGCAATGGTTTTTATCATCCCTTCTAATCCAAAGATCACGACAATCTTCGTCGAGCAAAAATACACGCGGAGACTTGATCCTTCAGTCGCCTATCCGATACTAGCGCTCGCCACAATCATTTCTTGTTTCTGGGACGCACGATAGCCAAACTAATGTAAGAGCATATGAGGGACCGAAACGAACAGGAAAGACCTTTCTCAGTTGTTAAACGCGCCCCTGAGATTATCATAGCTCAGAATGAGATTCTCCTCTCTTCTTGACCGAGTGACCACTAAGATTTATTGACTCCCACCAAACACGTCGGAGCCTCGCGAATATCTATTCCACCAAGTATCGCGCCATAAGGAGCTAGAATAGCCTAAAGCTTATCTGAATCAAGATAGGTGAACAGCCAATAAATGATAAGCTAGATCGCACTGTGAGTCACCTACTAACAACAAATGCTGCCTAGTTGAGTCTACGGAATAGATCCCATCGGTCATTGCATTCTTTGGGGGCCAAATTTAGTCCGAGATCGTGTATTTTATTCCGCGCGGAATAAAAGGGTCTAGGCTGCACTTTCTAGTGTTCAAATATAAAAGGACTGCACTAACCACACTCCGAAAATCATAACCTCAAGTACGACTCTACGCAGATACCCTTAATCAGGTCCTCAACTTAAAAGCAGATACCATCACCCCACAAACACATCCACACCAATGACTTGTAACATGTCCTATACAATCCAACCGTCGCCCTCCTCAGACGTGCGAGAATGTCTCGCCGTCTCTGAAAAGTCATATGCCGGATTCCACAGTGCACTCTATCATACCTTGCCCCTGTCCCCCGAGTCCATTGATATCATGGTCCGTGTCCGCGAGGAAGCCATGGACAAGGACCCGCAATGCCGGGCTTACAAGGCCGTGGACTCCGAGACTGGCGCTATTATCGGCGTCGCAAAATGGAGCGTGTATCCCGAGGGAGTTGTGATTGATAAGACTGTGGAAGAAGTCGTCGAGGCAAGACTCACGCCTCGGATTCCAGAGATGCGGGAAGACGTGGCGAGGGGGCTTCATTCGCTCATGAATCGAGAGATGAGGCAGATTATGGCGGAGCGGAATGAGGGGGAGGTAGGGAATGAGAATGGGGATGGAGAAGTCAGGAAGCTCACGCCTCATGTGCATGTCGACGCGCTGTTTACGCATCCGGATCATCAGCGCAAAGGCATCGGGAAGGCTCTCTTGCAGACGTGTCTGAGGGAGGCGAATGAGCTGGGGCTTGTCACTTTTCTGGAGGCGACGGAAGATGGGAGGCCGCTTTATGAAAAGTCGGGGTTTAAGGTTTTGAAGGAGTGCGTGTTTGATGCGGAGAAGTTTGGTGGTTTTGGAGGGCACGAGGTTACGGTTCGTTCTTCTTCCTCTTTGCTTGAGCTTGTCTGATACGCATGATATGGATGTTTGCTGACTCTCACATCTTTTGAAGTATATGAAGAAGTTGCCGGAGAAAGTCTCGTCCAATACTTCGGAATGAGATCGAATTCTAGACCTGATTGGCTCATATCAGAGTTTAAATTAGCTTCTATATCATGTGTTCTGGTTTTATGTACCTGTGAATAGATTTATATTTAGCGTCACATTGTTTGCCGAATGAATACATCAGCTTAGTCTCAGGCTACACCTCGAAGCGCACACATACCAATCCAAACATCATCCACAGAGATCAAATAATCATGGGAAATCGTTAACCTATCCCATGCCTGCTTTCTTAACTCGAATGAGCCAGCTCTTAAGTCAGACTGCCTAAACAACTTGCGCAGATACATCCACTCGCATCAGCGTACGGAAAGGAATAAAACTTGTTTTCTCCAGATCCCATATCTTCTCCCTTACATATGGGTCGGACTCAATTGCACGATGGAATTCTTTCCAGCTCTGCTCATTTACAACCATGACTGAGCCCTTAAACGGACGTCGTGCGATTTCTGTATCGACGTGATCATCAAACACCGGTCCTAGCCGCTCTTGTCAGTACGGAAATGGGATATCTCGTATAAAGACACTGAACTAACCAGCCCATGAAACATAACCTTCGTTATGCAGCCGCAGAAAGTTTGGGGAGTGCCGAGGCCGGATTTCCACGCGACGGGCGAGCTGTGTCGGCAGGAAACATTAAAAAATCTGGAATCCATGTGCTGATAAAGTATCCCGAAGCTTACCACGTTTGGTCTGTCAGGTAGGATAACGAGATGCTCGATGTCACCCGGGTTTGTCGATCTACAATAGATCACAGGTGTCAAAACTCGCGCTGATCCTTCAAAGCACCAGATAACTTGCCCTGTTCCTCGCGTTTCCATATTTTGCACTGCTTCAGATGATATCTCCCTATCTTCTTTGTACTGCTCAGTGACTGCTCCCGTTCTGCCCACAGATGATGCCCATCCACGTGCAGGAGCTGTTCTATAAGCTCGGGCAATCCAACTTGATCCGCATCCTCGACGGTAAAGAGACCGAACTTGGATCATCGCTCACAACGGCCGTATCTATGATAGCTTAAGTTAGCAGTAATGAAATAAATTTTCAGAGAGCTTCATGAGTCCATGTTGATTGTGGACACGAGCTCCGTCATTAAAGTCGGGAACAGGACTGGACGGTTGTTCATGTTGGATGAATTCCCAACCAGCCGAGCCGAATACGATGCTGCTATTCATTACTAGTCATGCATGATGCGGTTCTAGTTGGAATTTATAGTATCAGCTGAGAAGTGGTCCAGGATATCCTACTGGTCACTGAGCTCTGTGTCATGTATTCAGGCAATAGTTCTGGTTTGAAGTCGTAACTAAAGTAGCCCACCCCGGAAACATCGGATTAAGCAACCCACAAGCAAATTCTCTTTTGAAGGGTCTCAGGACCCTTCACACCCTCAGCTCTCTAAACCTGGGATTCCCAAGGCAAAGTTCATAATGTTTATTGCGAAAACCCGTCAAACGAGCCGTTTTACCAAGGCTCTTTCATCCCGGCCACTCCTATCCTCACGATTCCTCCATAGAAACGACGGGCCACGCAAAGAATAGTAAGATGAACCCACCTGTTGCCCTTTAGTTTCACACGGCCATTCTTTGCAGATATAACTCACCCTATCCTCGTCTATGTCAGCTTCGTACTCGTTTGGGACCATCCCGGTGCAAGCCGAGCTGGTTTATCTTCTACCGACTTCATCGCTCCGCGATTCACATTTGCGGGTGAATGCTTGAGTCCTGTCGATCCGGATAAGCCGCAGACGGTGCAAGGGAATGCATTCGCCTGCCTTGCACAGAATGTCGACGAAGTGAGGGAGATAATCAAGGAGTCGGCATACTATAAAGAGGTAAGCCATGTTGGTAACGGTCAAATCAATGTGTTAGCGGGAATGTTAATTAATTCTGTACTTGCAGGGAGTGTGGGATATCACCACAGCCGAGATCTCGCCGTTGATGACTGTGCATTCAAAGGAGTATCAAAATGGCAAGGCTTGACTGGTCGGAAAAATGGCTACGGGAAATAGTGGTAGAATTGATTATAATACATGATTTGAAGGTCGTTTCGCTTTATTTCTGCACTCGCGCTCAAAGCTTCGTAGCTTGCCAGAACTGCGCCTGATACGCATTCTTGCTCAATCCCTTGCCATTGCGACCATATGCCACTTCCAATCCTCGAACAGGACAGTTAGGAAGTGTGATATCGCCACACGATGCCTCCATCTCCTCGAATCGGAACCCAATCCGCTCACTCAACGCGACAATCTCGTCCAGCGATAGCTGTATAAACGGCGCAGTCCCATATAGCAGCGGTCCCAGGTTAATCCATGTTCCGCCGGGACGGAGTAAGCGATGAATATTCTCCAAGTAGGAGACTAGGTTGCGCGCGGTGTCGATAAAGAACAACGTCACGATCACATCGTATTTCCCGGTCTCCTCGGTGAACGCCGTAGTGAAATCACCTTCCACCAACAGCACAGATGACGGATCCACCACTTGGTCTGGGAATACTACCGAGCGCTGGAGATCGCTTGTTGTGGCGTGATGCGACCACCAGTCAATGTACGGGTGGAAGGATACGCTGTTCGGCGTCGACAAACTAACCAGGTATCGATATACGAGGTTCATATACATCGACCATTCGTTCATAGTCACCTCGAATCCTGCCTGGTCAGCACGCACTCTCGCAACCTCTTCGGAGGAAAGATACTTACCTCCAAGTTCGTCAATCTCATGCGCTAACCTTCCCACTCCAGCCCCGGGGACTAGCACTCGAAGCGGTCGGTCGCTTGGTTTGGGCACGCTTTTCAGAGCCTTCAGCACACATGGAAATGACTCCTGTCGCTCGTCGAATCCCTCGTCGGCCCAGTCGCGCACGAAATGCTTCATTGCCTGTGCCACGCTGGTCCGGTCGGTCGATTGGCTCTGGCGCTCCTGATGCCGGATGAACTCGTCCAGTTCGGACTGGGAGACGTTGTAGAACTGTAGACCCTGGGTGACGATATCTTTGGCCAGCTTCTCGTTGGCTTCGAGTAGATGCTCGATGGTGTTGAGTTTGCGCGTGTAGTGAATGGTGGATTCAACCAGCTACACGTTCATATCCATTCGTCAGTACAAATGAGAAATGTCAAGACGCAAAAGGATAAAAACTACCGATCGCTGCTTCTTCGAAACATTCTTATACATATCGCGCCACTTCTTAGTCTCCACCAAATGTCTCTCCTTGTACCTCATATACCCATGCAAGGCCGTCAACAATCTATGTCTCGCATGCGACGAGTCCCACTTGCCACGCGAGCGCTCGAGACGATGCTGCAGACGGGCATATTCCTCATCGTGTCGTGGAGACGGGGCTGCGTCGAGCAGCGTGATATTCGTCACGAAGACATGGGTTATTTGCTATAATTCTGATCAATACTCTCCTATGGCTCGAGATCGCAGCCCAGCATATCTAAATGCAAGACTTACATCCAAACGAGGCGATACGTCAATGGCTTGCTTCGCGCAAGCCAGACACACCAGAAATGCCAGGGACAGAGCTATCCAGCGCAGCATGGCGTCAATCATTTCCGAGATCATATGTCGCTGGCGGGCTTTTCCTTTTATTTTCCTCGGCGGAGCCCATCAAGGTCCTCACTCCAAGGTACTTGCCAAGTCCGCCAGAGGATGCCAAGATGGTGAATCGTGGATGTCGTTGGTGGTGAACGGATATATTATTAGGCGAGTCATTCTCAGGGTCTGGAGGCTGGGGTGTCTAACTGGTCCTTTCCTCTTTGTATGGTGTTCTTGCTCATGCCCTACTGGCCTATCCGGTGGTTTTCTTACGTGCTAGGATGGAACACTATGCCATAGAATGAGTAGAAGTGATTTAGCAATCGCTTGAGTCGATAATATCACTTCAGGTTATTTGGGACGTCATGAATGGGCTATTGTCTTTACTCAATTGTTGTTTTCGGTTTGGAAATACATTAGCACTGTGCTCTACTACAAGATATATATACCCCGGATCCTTTTGAATATCCATTTACTAACCCAACAACACTAGACCCAAGGCTAATAAAAGAAAGACTTAAAAAACCGATCGATTAAAACTGATCCGTGTCCCGGACTTCTAACAATGTGCGATGAACATCTTCCACAAGATTAAATCTAACACTTGAACAAGGGCGTCCACGCCAAGAAAACACAGATGGTGCAACAAAAAAGAACCAAGAACGCTTATCGCCAGTGGCATCGATCGTAATAGTACTTGGCTTTGAAAAGACTTGCACTCGACATTCAGGTCCCAGCACAATTTCGGTATCTTGCTGAAATCACCGGTGCTTTGAAGATAGAGAGTGGATCTGGAGAACCGGCATATACGAATACGACACCAATGAAGATTCGACCAGATCACTCATTTCGTTTACCACCGGTGGGATACGACATGATATCTTCCCCACCTTTCGCAATCGATAGATGATAACACCAGCCTCAACTTGTCAAGATTTCCCCTGAATTCCGGTGCAGTGGCCACGACCCCGACTCCATTGAAACGACCTTCCGAAGAAGGCAGATCAACCACCACGGAATTACCGAGTAATAGGGCTTAGTTCACCCAAACCAACAGGCTCCAGGTGTAGTGTAAGGCAGTGTAATCGTATTGCCCGTGAATCTCAATCCCTCCTAACCACGGATTCCCCTTCTCCGACACCCACAAGTCTAAAATTTCTAAATAAATAGTGGTAATTTAAGCTTGACACGTTCCAGGTGGAGCGGCGACAAATCCAAATCCCAAAAAAAGTTCGAAAAAACCCCCACTCCGTCGACCAGCACCAATCACGGACGAGGTGAAGTCCTACACAATTTTCATTTGCGGGTGGACGCTGCTCGGTGGTCGGAGGTCGGAGGACCTGCCCCGACTCTGCCGGTTCAGTTCCGCGGGCGACGGAGATTGTTTATGATTACTGAACGAGTAGAAGGTCCATTCGGTTTTTTTTTGTAATGACCTTGAGTAGTGTGTGGATTGTATTGCTGAAGCCTTTTGTATGCAGACTGGAGGCAACAGTGTTGGATTAGAGTGATAGCTCAGTTTCACCCCGTAGATCTGGCGATGCTCGACTGTTGGACTACGGCCGACGAGACGGCAGGACGTGCATGGCGGGGCTGGAGACGTCGGCAGCCGCGCAATCATGGCAGATAATAAATCTTGAGGAGTCCAAGATGGTCATGACAGGAGGACAGGACGGGGTAGAGCAGATGACCTCAGTGTCTCGTCCTACTGCGTATACTTCGACGCACGTGCTGTGTTGCCTCGGGGAATAGACTTTGACGATCTTATCTGGACATCAAATGGGGAAGAGCACACGACCAGGCTTTGAGTTACCTCAGGTACTTATTTTTATTGTAGTAGGACGAAGTATGAGAAACCTGTCCCACAGAAAGTAACGCACTGGCAGTCAACTCTCTTGATAAGGATAAGGCTACTCACCGCTTGTCCAAAGGGGTGAGCCAAGCTAAGAAACATGACTCCGTCAGTCTGTAAGAGGAGGGGCCAAACCGTTTCGGCCCTCAGACGAGGCTGAGTCTGGCGATCAGTCGAGATACATCGAAAAGATGCCTCATCACGACGAGGCTGCCGTACCGTAACGAAACGACTGCCCGACCCAATCGGGTTAGCCTGGCGATGCCACGAATCCATTTGCCTGATCGGGCAGGCAGATCGGCCGATCGCCGGCCTTTCTGGCGGATGTCTGACTAAGCCGCGACTGGGCGGTACCGTAATTTACAGGACGAGACGCAAGGGATGGCCTGAGGCATTCCAGGTGAAACGCCGAGAATGTCGCTCGGTCGCAGCAGTAACCGGCAGAGCCACGCAGGATGCTGCTCTGTCCGATGACCAGGATGCCTGGAAAGAACACGATTGGGTCTCTGCACAACGACTCAGCAGGCGCCGTGCTCGTTCGCGCGTTCCATCTCCGCTGACTAAGGAAATGGGATCTCTGTGGCTCGGAAGTGCTGTGGAGTCTCGTCCAGGGGGAATCCAAGGAATGTCTCAAATCCAAAGCCACAAATAATAACGTCCTGCCCCCCCACTCACGACCAGATCCAGGACTTCCCTTGGGATTCTTCTGACTCGGGATACGAACAGAACCTCGCAGCGGCTCTAGCGGACCGAGCGTGGCAGTGGTCATTCCTGCGTGGCGGAGTCTGGGATATAAGTCGCGTTGATCCTCTGGCACTTCCTCCCTGGACCTGGCAAAAGACCTGGGAAAAGGATCAAGCCTTACCGTCCGATCCAGCGTGCTAGGCCCTATGGGATGAACTGAAACTAATCGGTGGACCCCCCGGATTCAATGGGTCCAAATTCGTTCCGTATTGTCATTTCACCTTACTCCAGCCAGCCTAGTTCCCTTTCACGATCAGGGGGAAAGCTCTTTTCGCTTTGATATAATAAACCCGGGGCGCTTCTCCCTTTTCCTCGTCATCCCTCGACCTGCCAGCTTCACGACCCTCTGGACCTTGAATCATGGCGACCTCCGCGTCGCAGTCCCAGCCCGACCTGGGCAAGCCCCAGTTCGCCTCGCACTCATGGCTCGAGCCGATTGTGAGTCCGCTTTTCCCTGCCGATCGATCGTCTGCTCCCTGCTAATCATCTGGTGTCGCCCGCAGATTGTCGTGAGCATCATGATTGGCTCGCTGGTCATGAACCGTCGTCGAAACTACAGCGTCCTGCGATCGAGGAAGACGTCGCGCCTGAACGATCCCTACGCCGACGATGATGGGTATTCGGAGCCCAGTCCGTATGCGAAAACCCAGACGGTGTGCGGCATCACCGTCGACACCCCCGACTCCTCGCGCTGGGCCCACCACGTCCACAGCCGTCTGCTGCAGAAATTCCCCTTCCTCGTCGAGATGTTCTACTGGGCCGTCAACTACCTCTTCTACTCCGTCACCAAGGCCACCTCGCAGTGGCTGTCGCCCGCCCAGATCGGCGTCGTCCAGGTCGCCCAGAACCACGGCGTCAGCATCCTCGAGTTCGAGCACAAGTCCTTCTTCAGCTTCTTCTTCTCCATCGAGGAGGCCGACTTCCAGCACTACTTTGTCGAGTACCACCCGGCCTTCATGACCTTCTTCAACCGCATCTACTCGCTCGTGCACATCCCGGGGACGGTGCTGTAAGTCCAGCCCCTCCAGAACCTCCAGCTCAGCTCGAGCATGGAACGCTAACGCATGGATTGATGCTAGATTCCTTTCCTGGTACTACTACGCCGCCGAGGACCATAACACCTTCGCCGTCGCCCGCCGCACCATGACCCTCGGCAACCTCGCCGCCTTCATGATCTTCTGCGTCTACCCCTGCATGCCGCCGCGCCTGCTGCCCGAGTCCTACCGATTCTTCGACACCGTGCGCCAGGAGCACGCCGAGAGCGTCTGGGTCGGCGGCAAGTCCATCAACCAGTTCGCCGCCATGCCCAGTCTGCACTTCACCTACGCCTTCGTCATCGGATGCACCTTCCTCTACCACTCCGGCTTCCTGCAGCGCTTCTCCGGCCGGCCCACGCGCCGCTCCACCCTCAAGCAGATCATGTACATCTCCCTCGCCGTCGTCTACCCGCTGCTCGTCCTCAGCGTCATCGTCGCCACCGCAAACCACTACTGGCTCGACGCCGTCGTCGCCATCTTCACCGTCTCTCTGTGCTTCCTGGGCAACCGCGTCCTGTGTCTGCTGCTGCCCGTCGAATACTGCATCTGCTGGGCCTTGCGTCTGGCCAAACCCGTCCCCACGACCGGGGACCGCACCCTGAGTCGATACGCCGCCCGACGCGATGATATCCAATATAATCCTGTATAGGTGTGTTTCTCTGCATCATCTCTCATCCTCATATCCATACTAATACTCTCCTCTTCCTTAGACATAGCGAAACCTTCATCTCCTGCATGCGAACCTGACCTCACCCCCACGATCCACCTATATACCAACCCGTCCTGTCTGCTCAACCACCCCCTTTCGCAGCATATATAAACCAAACACCCCCTCGTCGTCCACGGAGACCAAAACCGGTCACGTTACATGGCTCCCGCACCGCTACATGCCCCATATATAGCTGATTTCAGACAGCGTCTCATGGAGGTTCAACGGGCCCTCCCGCATTTACTTGCATATATATATAATCTTTGATCGCATCGCATTAGCCTCGCTAGTATGTATAATATATTAATCTTGAATGACTCTGAGAGCTTCTTTTCTCGGTCGCGAGGGTTTGGTCGGTTGGTATGTCGTTGCGTTGGGGTGTGCGACCTGCTGAGGGGTCACGTGACGATGGTCTTGCCGTGTGCCTCGGTTAAGTAGATGTAGATGTAGATGTAGATGGTGTTTTTGGGTGGTTCATTAGAGTCGGGTTGGATAAGTCTCTGTTGTAGAATCAATAACCTGTCTAGTCGGTTATATATGGAGTAGACCTTGTCTAGGTCGGGCCGTTCGATATCATAGACCGGCTTAGACTTATCATCTACAGCAACTTTGGTACTGAGTACATGGAGAGTGAGCTTCTCGCTAAGGCATTCCCGTTAGATTTTTCCATAATGTCTCTGCAGTAGTACAGATGCTCCGTGTATATGAATGAGGCTTTCCGATGTCGAGGAGATTCAGGATTCAGATCCGCGCCGTTGAGGGTGGATTTGACATCCTGCCAACAGACAGACATCGTTCAGATTCTGGCGAGAGAATATTCCAACTCATCTCATTTACAATGAACGGTGCATTGAACGGGAGAGGGAATCTCAGCAGACCATTGAGTTTACTACTATCGTTGCCGTGATGAGCAAACAGATCCATATACCAGAAGCTCGCAGAAAAGCATCTGATGAGTGGAATGTACGTTGCGGAGCGTGAGACTAATAGCATGTCTATCATAGAGCAAACGGCGACAGTAGGTATTTGGGACTGCCAGGCCGCCGATGAGGTGTCGATAATGCGAATGGGCGGAAGCATGACCTTTTATTGGCAGTGAGATAGGGCGGACGGCTAGATACCAGAGATGGGATGCATTTCCTGGAGTTATGAACCCAGTCTGCGTAGCTGGATCTTCTTATTCTACACCCCACTTGCTCACTGGAACCGTCTGGCCTGCATGCACCTAAGATCATACCTAGAGACACACAAGGTCCACGACGCGAAGACCCAAGGCCCTCGACATTTCGCTTCAACCATGGGTTTCGCTTTACTGACATCCGATAGCAATCAGATCATCAATTGAGTCGGGGTTTCCCAAGGTAAAGATCTGATAATTACCCGGCTGTAGCACCGTTGTCAGTCTCCCGATAGACATGGTGCTCATGCATATCCAGGATTCCAACCGCCTTGTCATTTCTCGGGCTGCATGAAAGAGGTATCAGATGACAAGAACGAGGACACCCCCTCGTCAACATCCTCGACAGACGGTGAGCTTGCACTTCCTCGGCAGCTAGGATCTGAATGTCGGTGTGCGATCTCAGTCCGGTGACCAAGCCCAAGCCCAAGATATGTAGGTCCAGCCATTGGTTCTGCCAGTGCCTCATCACGAAGACAGGTATGTGAGCTTCGGATCCGGAGAAATCCCGACGTCGGCGGTAAATATTTCGGCCTGCTGGATATGACAGAAGCTTGTTGAGTGAGACCCGGTGATTGTCTAGTTCCTGAATGAGAATAAGGTACGGAAACAAGATTGCAACGGCTCAGTGCTTACCTTCTCTATCTACCATTACCACTTTCACCCTGAGTGACGGACAAGTCGAGCGCAAAACCAGGAACAAGAACAAGAACAAAGAAAGAAACAGCCACAGGCCGCGCCAAGCCGTCACGGTGAAGCATATTTCCATCTCCCAGAGCCTGGTCAAGCCCTGAGCATACCAGAAAGGCAGAAAAAGCAAAGAAGGAAAAGAAAAAGAAAAGAAAGCAGTCCGGATCGCAACAACCGTCTCGACCTAACCTCCACCGCCATGCAGAATTGTATCCAGCATGACGAGTCAGTCGGCGACGCAACTGTTTGTGTCGCACAGTGACTGTGACGGAAGGCGTGGTGACTGCACGCGGCAGTTGGGGCTTTCCATGCGGAGGAAACGTGAAGCGACAAGTGATGTGATGGGAAGTGGGATTGAATGAATGATGAAGTGGAGGGTTTGGGTTTCTCGCCCTGAACACCCTGGTCAGTTATCATTATAGGGAGACCACTATGTGGTGGGTTCTTCATGAGAATAAGGCTTGTGAAAGAACAGGCCCCGGGAGGGTTTTGGCAGGGATGCGGCTTCAGGCCAGCTGGTCCCTGGATTTGGAGAGGACCTCTTTGTTTCATTTCTTGATTTTGTCCATTTTTGAATATGAGATCTTTTTTTTTCAATTTTACTTTTTCTGTTTTGCCTTCCCCTCCCTCTGATATTCAAGTTGAATCCTGTTATTAAGTGATCTCGCATACTCTCGGGATCTGCTCGATGACCCGCTGAATGTTAGATTATCACTAGACCGATCATCCTGCATTCCAGGACCAGAATTGCCTCCCACCATGTGCCAGCTGAGGTTATCGGACATGTGGACATTGGACAAGGTAGGATTGTTAAGATGGATAGTGGGGGAATTATGGGTCATCGTGCATGGATGGGCGATCGCATGGAGGGGTTCGCTCATCTTTTGCCCCTCCGTGGTTGCATTCCATCGCGAGGGCTGGCCACGGGGTGTTATTGGCTGCTGGTATCTCGAGATGATCTAATTTTTCGATCGAAGGATTCTTTAGATTTAAATAGTTCATGGGCTCAGCTATCGGCTGTCGGGGCAGACACAGCCGTAGACTAGTGCTCGACCATCGCGATATGACGCTCCTCGGGCTTGGCTTATCATATGCCATTGTCATGGTCGAAGTCAGTGTTCATTCAGGCCAAGTTTCTCCAGGCTGTTCAGGTTCAGGTTCAGGTCCGAGTTCAGGTGAAGTCAGGGACAGGAACGAGCGAACCCCTAGCTGGAAAAGAAAAGAAAGACTAATGGCCAATAACATGGCATACCTCGCTCTCCTCTCGCCAAGCCAGAAAATGTGACTGCAGTCAAAAGAATTCGAAAAGAAACCGCCACCCCAAAAACACTCAATCAGCGTCGATCCGAACGGTGCCTCTGCCTCTGCATCGCATTGCATCGCAGGTCGACCGAGGGTCCGACCAACAGAACCCAGCGCACGGAGTTAACGACCCCAAAACATTAGAAATCAAGGCCTAAAAAAGAAACACTAACGGCGACAGCCACAGTGACGAGAGATGACGACCCCAGCACGGGCGTCGGCACGGACATTCAAACAATCGCATTACATCTCGCCCGGTCAGCCTTGATCCATCCGCCACTCTGATTGACGGACGCACTGATTGCTTTGCGCCGGATCTTGCCCAGTGCTTAGGAGGGGCCGTGGCATGGCACGCACCGAACCCGGCCCTTAGTTTAGTTCCATAGGGTCCTTCGAACCGAAGCGGACGAACTGCTGGTCTTGGTTCTAGTCTTAGTCCCAGTCTTGGCCGTAGTCGCTACTCTCCTCGCCAGTCTCACCCTAGATTGATTAGAACCGGACTAGACTAGACGCGACTAGACCCGGCGAGGCCACACCACTGAGGTGAACGGCTTAGATTGCGAGACGAGGCGTTGCGTCGCCTTCGTGTTCTTCCGGCCCTCCGTCTGGGGCTTGGATTGCGTGGATGATGTCCAGCGATCGCGATCAGCGTCCAGCTCGCCATCACCCCGGACGGGCTATTGTTCACCTTCCGGGATGGGCATAGTCGGTTCTCGTGCCCGAGATAAGACAAGAACAATCGGATTATCAAGACGGATGGAGGGGGAGACGGTAGCAAGGGACACCAATCCGGCGGCCTCCAGCGCTGTTGGAGACCTGCGGCACCGCTCGATTGGGAATGGTGGGAGCAGGGATGAAAAAGCATTGTCAGGCCTTCGCTCCAGATGACTGGCCTACTAAACTAGATTACGGCTGAGATGTGATTCCATGGACGAGCGAGAGGGCGTAGAGGGGGCGGTGCCTTGGTTCATCGTGATGGTGGGAGGAAGCAGGGGATCGAATGGAGTCAGCTTTCATGGCGGTGGAAAACCGGAATTCAGGAAATGAAAATCATTTTTCAGGTCGAGAAAAATAAAATAATTTGCGAGTAGTCTTTGTTCTCCAGTGGAAACAGCCAGGGTCATGGCTGCCTTTCGAGTATAAGAGCCGCAGCAGCGCTTTCTACTTTCGCTTTCTCTAAAAGCAAAACACTTGTCTTTGTCCAGCATCCCTGACATTATCATGCCTCATATTATCGATCAGAAAGACCCGGTTTCTTTTTCCGAGAAGACCGCCATGGGTGATATCCTGCACTCATACCCTGAGTATCAAACCACCGCCGTGCTGGACAAACTGCGCGAGACCGAGTACAGCTACCTCGACGAGCAGGACCATCTGTATCTGGACTACACCGGCGCCGGTCTCGCTGCGAAGGCTCAGTACCATGAGCACGAGGCCCGTCTGACCAGCCAACTCTTCAGCAACCCGCACTCGCTGAACCCCACCAGCGAGGCGTCAACCAAGTTGGTCGAGAGGGCGCGCATGCGGGTGCTCGAATACTTCAACGCCTCGCCCGATAAATACACGGTCATCTTCACGCAGAATGCCACTGGCGCGGCGCGTCTGGTGGGCGAGGCATACCCCTTTCGGCGCAAGTCCAAGTTCGTCCTCACCTTCGACAACCACAACTCGGTCAACGGCATCCGCGAGTTTGCCTGTCGAAAGAATGCCCGCACGGTGTACGTCCCCACTCAGGCACCGGACCTCCGGGTCGACCCGGCAGCGCTGGTGTCAGCACTCGCAGGCCGATGGCCGTGGAAACGAGGCACCGCGAGACCCGGCCGTCGTAAGCGCGGCCTTTTTGCATATCCCGCGCAGAGCAACTTCAGCGGGGTACGTCACCCGCTGGAATGGGTCGACCTGGCGCAGAAATGCGGATACGACGTGCTGCTGGACGCCGCCGCTTACCTACCCACGCATAAGTTGCAGCTCTCCGAGGGAAACCCCCAGCCCGAGTTCCTCATGGTGAGCTGGTACAAGCTGTTTGGATACCCAACCGGCGTGGGATGTCTGATCGCCCGGCGCGATGCCATCGCTCGACTGTCGCGTCCGTGGTTCTCTGGAGGGACGGTGCAGGCCGTCACCGTCGGCATACCCTGGCACACCATGGCCCAGGACGGTAGCGCGTTCGAGGATGGCACCCCGAACTTCCTGTCCATCCCCGACGTGCATTTCGGACTCGACTGGCTGACTCGCGTTGACGTGGCGGTGATCGAGACCCGCGTGCGCTGTTTGACGGGCTGGTTCTTGGACCGGCTGAAGGGCCTTCGACACGCCAATGGGGCGCCCATGATTCAGATTTATGGGCCGCAGGACAATAGGTCGCGTGGGAGCACGGTGGCTTTTAATTTCCTCGACGTTACGGGCAAGGTGGTGGACGAGCGACTGGTGGCGTCCGAGTCAGCTGCGGCGCGAATCTCGTTGCGCACCGGCTGCTTTTGCAACCCGGGGGGTGGCGAGACTGCGTTTGGCCTCGACATGCAGGCGCTTCGGCCTCTCTGTCGCATTTCCAAGACGATTTCGGTGGACGATTATGTCAGATTAGTCGGCCTGCCGTCCGCCGGGGCGATTCGTGTTTCCTTCGGACTGGCTTCCACCGTGGGCGACGTTGATCGATTCATGCACTGGGCCGAGCATACATATCGAGACCGGGTGACACCAACCGAGGGATTTCCACCGCGTGGCCATTGTTAGGATGTGGGCTGAAGTCACCTTGTACTCTGGAGTGAATGGCCAGAATGTCAGAACAGTGAATTAGTGTATATAATTATTCAGTGCGAGATTCCAACAGAATGAAAATCTGATGAATTCCATGTCCAGAAACCTCGTATTTAGAATTCGGTCAGGATGCACGTGATATGTCTCATATGCATGGAATCGTTCCACCGTGAAGATTACGCTGCCCAGGATCTTTTCCGAGGCTTCGTTTCTTCGTGCCGGAAAACTATATCCGGTCGCAGCGACAGGGATGTCCTGGATGCAAAGATAGTCATGAACAATGCACATTGTTGACCTGGCCGGACTCAAGGCGGATTCAAGCCAAACCCAGCGTCCGCAGGTATATTCCCAACCGCACATATCCGAGCGTCGCTCTTCAAGATATTCAACCAGACCAGGTTGTCGGCTGAAGTCTGGTCCCAATCGTCCTCACTCCCGTAGACCAGTCTCCGGGCTTCATTCTGAATCATATGGTCGGAAGGGAACGCCCCGGTCATCTTCTGTCGGATAATATAGTCGACCAGATGATCGTACAGCAGCTGGAACGCCTCGGGGTGATTGTTCGCCCATGAGTTGTGCCCAAACGCCAGCTGTGAGTCCTCAGGCAGAAACGTCGGCCTCCACGGCTCCAGGGTCACGGACTCCTCGCCGATGAGGTACGGCGGCATCGCGTTCTTGACGAGGTCCTGCACGTGAGGCTCGAACCCCCAGTCCCCGTGCCACTGGAACATGTCGCAGCCGGCTTTGAAGTGCGTCGCGAGGTGGTCGTTGCGCTCTTTCCAGGTCGAGAAGACGGCGTCGCAGAACCCGCACCGCGACCGTACCTCCTGCGTCGAGATGGACCAGTCGTCCATGTGTGGTTGGAGTTCGGTGCTGTGTGTTAGTTTGAGGTGCTGTGCGAGATGGTCCTTGCGGTTGAACATGCGGTCCTGGGGCCGTTTGCCCTGACAGAGGCTGTAGTCGTGGGACTCGATGTGGTCGAGGTCGGGGTCAGCAGTGCTGCAGAAGATGCAGATGGTGACTCCGTTGACTACGGTTGTGGCACCGTGGGGAGCGCAGACCCACTGGTCGAGATTCAAATGGATCGATTTTTCGTGTCGCTGCCAGTCGTACTTGGTGGGGAAGGTCTGGGTGCAGAAGGTGCACCGGAAGAGACGCTGTTTCTTGGCCTTCTCCTTGTCCTCGACCGGCTTCTTCTTGAAACTGCGTCGCTTCAGGTGCCGGTGTCGACTTCTGCTCCGTGGTCGCGCTTGGTGCGGAGTGATGGACAGATGGTCGGTGAAGAGGCCGGAGAGAGAGAGGTCCGAGGCGGAGGAATAGTTTGAGTCCGAGCTCCGGGCGGATGCAGCGCGCGTCATGCTCAAGTCGCTGAAGCTGGAGATACTGCTGGACTTTCGGTGCGCGTAGCCTTCGGACGGAAAGCTTGCAGCCGGATTGGCGCCCATCTCATAGTCGCTGGGCCGGTCGACCAGTGCCTGATACACGTCCGACAGCGACGCCGGCTCATCCTCGGGTGGCGAGTTCTGCCATCGCTCCAGCGGGGTCCAGGACGGGCTATCGAAGCTCGACCGCGCACTGGAGGTATCGCGGGACTGCAGAGAAGAGGCCGGGGAGCGGAGGGAGGGTTTCCGTTTTCTGGAGTTCGCCAACCAGTTGCGGATCTGGGTCTTCGACAGACCCGTCTTCTCCATCAGATATAGGTTATCTTCTCGCGAGGGGTAGGGGTCATCGGCGTGCTCAGCCAGCCAGCTCCGCAAGACCCGGACTGCATGTTTCGGCAGCCGGGCTCTGTTTTTCTTGTACGGCTCCGAAGGCACAGCATCCTGTTCGTCATTCTCTATGCTGGGCAGTGGTGCCTGGTCATACTGCGCGAAAGGGTGCTTAGGCCCCGACATCGGAATATCAATCGACACGGACGGCCGATGTCCAGATGCACCGACAGAGCCATCGATTTCATCAACGCAAGCTTCCTGCTCATCAGGTCCATGGGTTGCAATGCCTCTACCTGTATCTAAGCGTTCAGATTAGTCGCACACATAGATATGATTTGTAAGACGCCTCAGGCGTGTGCGGAACGCGCCTTACCGGGAGTCTCGCCTGAGGCATCGACGAAATAAGCGTCCGCGCCGTTCGAGGCGGCATCAAAATTGAAGTACTCCATGACCGAGAACGAATAGCGCAGGCTGTGCGTTCTAGCAGTCGTATGGAGAATGTGGGGCGGATTCAGCGCGCATTGTGCGAGATGAAAGATGAGTCAAATTGCGCTGGACGGCGGATTGTGTATACTTCCGCTGAATAATCATGGCACGTGAGCAGTCGGGCGGAGGAACATTCTGCCGAGGTCACGGGGCTCAACCTATATTTGGGAGTCCCGCTATCCCTTATTTGGAAGGTAACCAGAGAAAATGAAGATTGTATGCAGTGGACTGAACTAACAGGAATGGGGATCCAGGGGTTGAAGTGAGGATTGATCAAGCTTTGTGATGGTGTTCAACGACTGCTTGTTGTGTCACTTGCTGTGCAACTGGCGGAGAGGGGTATCCCCCGCCTCCGAATGTCATCATCCATAAGCGAGATGGCTACATGGTGCTAGGATGTTTTGTGACGTCTATTTGAGTCAAGTCCAGTGAAAACCAAGCATGGGTTCTATTAAGAGTATCTAGAACTTGCCATTGTTTGGTAAGAGATGATTTAGCAGTGCGTGGCGATTGCAGACCAATCCCCAACAATTGACTAATCAACAATATATAACCGTCGGATAGAAGACAAGAGCCCATTGTTCAGAACCAACAGGACCCAATCTAGAGCAGCACCATAGTCGCGGCCGTCAACACAGCCAGGACGGCGTACAAACCAAGCTGGAAAGATCCAACCGCAACGGCAGTACCGGCCGTCGTGGGCGCCGCACCGGTCGACCCGGACGCACTGGCAGACGCCTCGGAGGATCCCGAGCCGGCGGTCGCGGTGGGCTGCGAAGTGACCGTTCCGGTGCCAGCAGTGCCCGCCTGGCTCATCAGAGATTTGCAGCTGCCGGTCTTGCTGGCGGCTGAGGTCGTGGTGGCCGATCCGCCAAAGCTGCAGGCCGAGGCCGCCGAGCTCTGTTCGGCGTAATACTTGTTCAGGGCGAAGTTCAGCTGCTGCTTCGAGTTGCACATGCCGTAGGCGCCGTACTTGCCGGTCGTGGCGTTGGCAGTGAGTCCGTCGCAGTCGGTGTATCCGCAGACCACGCCGAACAGGTCGGAGTACTTGGAGCTAGAGAGGGAGTCCTTGACGACGCAGCCGGCGGAGGCGTCCATGCAGTTGCAGAGCTCCTCGTTAGGGGTAGGGGGGAGAGGAGTCTGAGTGGCCTTCCAAGCGGTGCTGACGGCGGGACAGCTCTGCAACGCCGAGTTGGTGGGCGTGTAGGATGCCTTGTTTGTGCCCGAAGGAGTGGCGCTGGCAATCTGGCTCGAGTAATAGGTAAAGTCCTTCAGCTTGCTGACGCTGGTGCTGTCGACGACAGAAACAAGGCCTGATCTTTCGTCAGTATTAGTCGGTCATCAAGAACAGATACGTACCATAATCGTTGGCCTCCTGGAAATACATGTAGACAATACCACCAGACCACACGTCGTTCATCTTGTCCCCGAACAGCGCCTTGACTTCGGTGAACTTCCGAGGCGAGACGGAGTTACAGCCGTACTCAGCAAAGAAGACGGGCACCGAGTAGTTGCGGAACTCGTCAGTGCGGTCCTTATACCCAGACTCCTGGTAGGTAGAGTCACCACACCAGGAATAGATGTTATATCCCCAGAAATCAATGCTGTCCTCGTCGCTCTCGCAGTTGAAGTAGTTAGCCATATGTACCCGGATGGACGAATCGTCGTTGGTGGCGTATCCAACACCCATAGAACGGTAGTTCTTCCGCTTGATGTACGCCTTCATATCCCGGACGGCGGCCTTGACGAATGCACTGGCATCGGTCGTCTTGACATTGTTGGACACTTCGTTACCTGCAAAGAAGCCCAGCGTGTTGTTATACTGGGCCATCTCGTCGATCACACTGGTGTAGCGGTTGTACAGCGAGACCTCCCATCTGGGATCGTTGCGGTCGATGGACTGCGACGGAGACGACAGGTCCGAGATCACGTAGATGCCAGCGTCGGACAGCAGCTGCATGCACTTCTTGTGGTCAGCCGTCGGGTCGATGGCGTAGACTCGGATGGTGTTGGTGTTCAGCTCCTGCATGATGGGAACGTCACGCTCGCAGGCAGTAGCATCGGCGAGGGGGTCCTTGTAGGTGTTGCTGCCGTCGGTGGTTCCATTGCTCGAATATTCCTCTGCTGGAGTTAGGCTTGGGATGGTCTTTGGAGTGGAATGACATACGCTGATAGGCAATGCCGCGAATATAGCTAGGAGGATGTTAGCGTGGTCCGAATGAACGGTCAGCAGAACCTACAATTGAGTGTTGTTGCCGGAGTAGAAGAATTTTGAGCCCTAGCCAGTCAGAAAGGATCACCGACAGGAGATCGGACATCCTACCTTGATAACGATGGGATCGATATCCGCCAGAGCAGCACCCAGAAGGGTGGCTCCAACAGCGAGGGAGAGTTTCATAGCGAATGCGGTCGACTCGTGAAAAGAACACAGTCGTAAGATAATGAGAAAGAAAGAAACAATCAAACGAGTGTCGAGTCCGGAGAAAATAGGAATGGATCAAAGAGTGACTGGGAAACGGCAGGTCCAATCCACGCCAGCCGACCACGGGGAACAGCCCATATAACCGCTAGGAAATTGCATTTCAGGAGCCATGCAATCAAAAACCGGTAATAATAGCAGCCGTCCCATTATGCTTTGCTCCGAATGCGACTGTCGACAAGTGTCTGCCTGGTGCCCCGCTGCAGCGTGGAACGCGTCACTAGTCATGGTGGTTAGTCGACGAGCTGGATTTGGGCCGAAGCCGACGGACTAGTGAAGAGAGAATGGGATGGTTCCATTCACTGGCGGATCCATGGTGTGGCAGTCTGCAGTGATTGTGGGACGAGTGCTGGCAGCGTGTGGGCGCTCCCACAGCATCTACTCGGTAGTGCTGCACTTGCGAAGTCGAAGAAGACTAGAAGACAAGAGGTGGATAGCGAGTGGATGCCTGTGGATGCCTTATCTCCGAGCCAGAATGTTTCCCTCGGATTTAGTCGGTGGGGGCATTAATTTCACTCACTCCGTTATCGCGAACTCTGCATGATCGGTTGGTCGAGAGGAGGTAGACTAACGAGGACGCTGACATTGAATCTTCAATCTAACTGCAGCCTCCACTCCGGCATGCTTAGTGCTCCTGGGCCAGAAACTTATATACCAAGCTTTCCCCGTGGAAGGAGCCGAGCCTACTCTCGTCTAGGCTACAGCATAAGCCGAAGTCAGATCCATCAATCAGAGTATATTGATATTGACAAGCATTCCCGGTAAATTTACATCGCTGACAAACATTGCTAATCGAATCAAACCCAAGCCAATCACGCCTGTCCCATCCATTATCCGTGGATTCTATGCCATCGCATGCTCCTTTCGTCGTCGCTCGATGGCCGCCTCGAAGTTCTTGATGGTGTCTAACGGGCGCTCGAAGCGGGGACGCGTGGGATTCGTGAGGTCGGGTTCGGCTGTTCAGTTAGCAGGTATATTTAGGGAGGGTATGGTGGACTCACTGATGATTTTGCCCTCGGCGTCGCGATGCTGCATGGAGCGCAGCGAGAACATATCGGAGGTTCCGACATTGGCCACTGCGTTGGTTAGCATGTCTTCTGAGAATATCTTGGAGGTGTTCTCACTTGGCTGGGCTTCAGTCAACGCCTGGTTGGGGTCGGCCTTGCTGGAGAGAGAGGATTTCTTGTAGGCCTCGTGGGATCCGATGGATCCGGTGCGATCACTGGAAGCGCGAGAGGAGGGCATTTTGACGAAGATGTTGCAGCGAAGAGTATACTCTGTCTGTGCTGTGTACTGTGTATAGTATAGTGTATGTGAAACGAGTCTCTGGACGGCGTATACACTGGATGGCAAAAATGTGGAGACGAGAAGATGCCAGGGGTATCCAACGGTATATAAGCCAATGCACGAAGGGACTCCCAAGAGAACTCGGCCAGGAATCTGACCGATGCAACCGGGCCTATAAATCGCCGACTGCAAGCCACCGGCCCTTCCGATTTTTTTTAGAAGCACCGCACCAATGGCGATCAGGACTCGTGCGCTCTCCATTTCTGACGCGGCCGCACCGGCCTGCGTGACGATGCGGCCCACCGGCGCTCAATTTGGGGTCATTTCACTGGCCTTTGTCTCGCCAAGCTTCGACTAATGCAGCAATTCCAAGGCTTAGCCATGGGGGTCGGCCAATGCGAAGGGCACACCGGAGGACCAAAAATGGGCCACGCAAGCATCCGCGGGGCTGAGCTGGTGGCAACTGCATGGCGTTCTGAAACTTTAGGCTGCCATGATTCGGATTGGTTACGTTCCTGCAGCGTCCTGGCCGAGACGTTCTGGATCCGGCCGGCCTCAGGGGGCTGCCCGCCGTGGAGAGGAGGAATGCCGCCGGATTGGCCCTTGCCAGACACCACCACCGGGTGGGTGTGTTACACGGTTTGTGTGCGAATTGTGCACTCTTGGCAGGCGGGTTCGATGAATAACCATGACATAACCCAGTCAATTGGGTTGCATGAACTTACGTACTGCCCCTGACTATCTTCCTGACAATCTTCCTGACAATCTCCCTCTTCCTTCGTACGGGAGAACATTTCATCATATTCTATTTTGATTCACGTTCTCGATCAAATTGTCCGCCATCTTGCCCTACCCGGCGGATTCCTTCGCCGATCCGTCTTATGTCATGCCGTGTCGTGTTCTGACCGCAAGCGGCCCTGACACTTGATCTGCCAGTCGTCCGATTCGGTACTCGCCATCATTGTTGGAGGGGCGATTCTGAATCCCAGCTGCTGATAGTGTCGGCTGATAGCTGCTCAGGACTACGAAGGATACGAAGGAATACACAGACGGGAATCCTGACGGCGATCCAGTGACCCCTGCAAAGTTCGGCGGCACCAACTAATCCGGCAGCCAACGCCAACTGCCCTGTACGGAGTACTTTGTACTCGTATTCCGTATAGAGGAATGAATCCACCGGAATTGGATGCAACATTACCAATGTCCGTCGCGGCACGGCTGCCCTGCCGCACTGATCGGCCCGCTGTCGCTGCAGATCGCAGCGATCGACGCTATGACGAATTTCCAAGACCAACGCGTGTCGTATGATTCATAGCTCGGACGTTTTTGAGATATCTGATAATCTGACACAACTGCCTCGTTAAATATTTTCATCTCGTCGCCTCGTCTATCGCAATCTTCTTAACACTCATCTCTCGTCTTTCAGCCCGCGAGGACAAGTTCTTCCGTCGTACAAACACCGTGGCAGCAAGAGATCGAAAGGATGCACAGTGCCTGACCATGGTGAGCATTGTCGCTCATCTTTCGACAAGTCCGCTGGAATACGTCGAATACGAGAAGCTGCGGTGATGGGGGCTGTCCTGGTCGCTAGCATCGTCGTCGTCGGATTTGGCGCCAAGCCTCGACCATGCTAGCCTTGTGGGGATGGTGTGGGGAGCCTGAATATGGCAAAGTCATGGTTTGAAGGCTGCGTTGACATTCGAGTTTGCGACTGTGTTTGATCGCAAGAATCAGAAATCTTTGTTCAGAACCCACTCGGATTTAGCTCGCGGGAGATCGGAGAAGAAAGTTACCCACTTTGGTGCGTTGCTGAAGAAAGCTGACAACCGCTAGGGGAGGATTCGACTGGAAGTGGATGCAGCGTAGAAGACCGAAAAGTCTGGAGTAGTGTTAGGACTTGCAGAAACTGGTGAAGACAAGGTGTCTGACTGAGCTCCGGATAGGTATGTCTTGCTGCATCTCGCCAAGACAAGCTCTTCCTGGGGGATGGAGTTTCCAGCTCCATTTTCGTTCGGAGTAGAAGCTAGTTTAACTCTTTCACAGTATGAGTCCTATTATGGATAGATATGCGATCGCTGAAATATGTTGTCTTTTTGAGGCGATAATTCATTACTATGTATTGTCATAGAGTATATCCGTAAGGCTAAACACTAACATACAAAACAGGGATAATTTTGATGCTATAGAATACTATTTATGACAAGATTCTAAATCCTTCAGTACTTCTTCTTAATACTATACGCTGCTGTGGGCTTTATTTTTCTTTGCTATTACTTAGTGAATGATTTCATCTAAGTGTGCCATCATGAGTAGTCTGATGTTATTTAATGTTTATATTCACAGAAATCGCTAGATGACTTGTGGGTCTTCAGTTCAAACTATATACTTTGACTGTTGCAAGATCCTAAACACGCAATTCCAAATATCGTCCTATGTTATCATAGATAAACTCACTCTGGTCTTTGAGCAAATAATACGATCAATCATACCTCACTTCTTAGTTAATGACTCTGTTTGTTCCGCTTATGGTTTATGAACTGGAAATGATGTCGATGTGCAGTCATCACCAGGCAGATTCTCACCGACAAGCTTTATGAATCGCACTTTCTCTCTTCTGCCTGAATCTACCGGCAATGTCCTTCATCTTGCGAATCTTTCCTGATTCCACCGTGTATATCATGTCTCCCAGCGTCGCTATCATGTTCATCACCCTCTCCATCTCTATCCGAACTAGTCCCTACCGCGTCACCTTTCAGCCATGCCATCTATTAACCAGACCCACAACCTCTCCTACATCCTTCCTCTATTCACCTATCTGCATGACATAGACGACGCCCTGCATCTTGCCCGGACCTGCAAGGCGATCTACACAGCCTTCGACGACTATTACACCCGAGCCTGGATCTTCGGCAGCATCATTGTCAGTCCCATACTATCCCCACTCCATCCCCAACTAACTCTCTTCAGAAAAACGCGCCTCACCACGAACATGACGCTCGCCTCAGCGGCATCCAAATGCTCCGCGACGCCTTCCACTGGGGTCGCATCCCCGCGCACGCCTACACCCGCCGCCACGACTTCCTTTCCGGCTTCAATTTCCACCTCGACGCCGAGTCCATCTTCGCGATCGTCTGCCGCTACTACGCCCTCCGCACCCTCTTCTCCCTCTACTGCCGCAAGTCCATCTACCGCGTCTACACCTCCGACTGGAAGCCCTCCTGGGACATGGACTCGCTCGCCAAGGAGCGCTACCTCGCCGACACCAATCCTTTGCGGCGCTCAACTATCCCCCCAGCCCATGTCAAAATCAAACGCCTCACCCACGACCAGAAACACCGCGCCTACCTCCGCTTCTACAAGGCCCTGACCGCGCAGTGGTGCGCCCTCGAACACTTCTACCTCTCGCGCGCCTTCATCTACCCCGACGACCTGGAGCAGAACGCCTTCAACAACCTCACGCTGATGAAATGGCGGTATAACCCACAGCGCCCGCTATCTGAGAAGCTCGACATTCTCGAAGTCACCGATTTCGTGTGGGAGTTCCTCCCCCGGAAGGTCTTCGACAGCGAGTCCCCTGACGCGTGTAACCCCGACGATCCGACGTATCTCGTCGAGCGCATGTATCTGCTTCGTCCGCCGCAGATCATCCAGTTCGTGGACCTGGCGCTGCGGGTGTCGCCGAGGCCGCTGCCGAGGCGGTTTGCGTTGTTCGATGATCTGATTACCGAGTATCATCGGTTCGATGGGGAGACTGTGGGGTTGAGTGCGGATGATTTCGCGTTGATGGATCTAGAGGATGAGGTGGCGAATTACGTGTGGAGGGCTGGGGTGCCCGGGAAGGAGCTGGGGTTTGTGCAGAGGGGTACGGATCTCTTGACGGCTTGGTATCGATATCGGGCGCAGGCGTGGTGGTGGGATTGTCGCGGTTTGGTTCTTTTCAGGTCGGAGGGGGCGAGGCTGTTGGTGAACAGGATGATGGAGGTCGAGATGAAGTAGTTGGTTTTGGTCTGGTGGGCTGGGGTATGTCTAGAGAGTTGATTCTACAAGCTTGATAGAGGCTTGACTATTGAGGATTGGATTGCTGTAGTCTAAAAAGAATAAAAGAATACCACTATCCATGAAGACACAATGCTCATTGGTTTGGCTATGTTTATCTTGCAAGACATCGAATGGCACTATGACTAGTTGACACGAAGTAGAGATTCCTAGACTAAACAAAACAAAAAAACAAATAAAATAAAATAAAATAAATGGAAGAAAGAAACACAAAATGACCAGCAAGCTGCAGATAGAAAGCCTATTTAGATGAATGGATCAGTGAATTATGGAAGAAATTCTAAACTATACTTTGGTCGCCATGTCCAATGCCTCCGTCATCTGAGCATAGCATAAACAATGCCTATATTTAGCCCAATCGCCACACCACCTCCCCCCAAAAGCCTAAGCACCCACGAAGAACCCAAAACAAAAACCTCGCAGAGAAACCCTTCCGATCTAACTCTCCCCCAACAAAGACCCCAAACCCCCGCATGCAGCAACCAACGCAAAATCCCGCCCAATGCGGCAACTCCATAGCAAGGGATATAAGCTCGCCAGCAAGGGATGCACCGCCGACAGCCTCAGCCCAACCCATCGAGATCGAATGCATCAATCACCTCATGGTCCTTGCATCTTGCGACGGCCGGCCTGGCCTTATTTAAAAGCATGGCGTGGTGGCTCTGCCGGTGCAGCAGATCTGCCTCCGCTGCTGGATTTCGTCGCGCTATCATTCTATCTTTGGTTTTTGAAGGGTCGCGCTACGGAGTGTGACGACGAGATAACCCCACGGTTCAATAGGGACTTGCCCTATCTAAGGGAAAAAGACAATGTCCATCCAGGTCGGGCCGAGGACGTTCCATGTCACGGACATCGATCGCGAGAAATGTACTCGCGTCGTGCCGATGCGCGTGTTGTCGTTTGGGCTGTTTCGGACGGGGACGGATTGTACGCTACCATCTCCTTTTATCTGTTCATTCTTAACATTTCGCCGAGTTGACGAGCTAATGTCTACCCTCGACAGCATTGACAGAAGCCCTCCGCATCCTCGGCTACAATGAAGCCTACCACGGATACTCGCTGATGCTGAACAACCCGCGCGACGGGGAGATGTGGATGCGGGCGTTGCGCGCAAAGTACGACGGCGTCGGGAAGCCGTTTGGGAGGGAGGAGTGGGATAAGTTGCTGGGGCATTGTCAGGTTCGTTGACCTGTTCCTGTTCCTGTTTCTATTTTGAGGGTTGGCCGGGGAGGATTGGATCTCGGAAGCAAGGGGGATGCAACGCGCGGGCTGAGAGGCCGAGCTGACCAGTTATGAGGATAGGCAGTCTGCGATGTCCCTGCGCTCTGTTTCGCTGAGGAGCTGATCCAGGCGTATCCTGAGGCGAAGGTGATTTTGACGGTGCGCGATCCGAAGGAGTGGTATTCGTGCGTTATCCATCCATCCATCTATCCCCGTCATCTCCGGGAGAGCAAAACTAACATCACGGCTACGATGTCTCCTGCAGATCCATCCTCGAAATCACCACCGTCTGCGAACGCTACCCCATCCTATACGTCTTCCTGCCTCTGCTCGCCGCTATCGACGCCCTCTGCCGCAGCCGCTTTCGCTGGGTCCTGCCGGTGATTTCCCGCTCGGGGAACGAGATCCTGCGCGGCAGATTGAAGGAAGACGGGCTTCGGATCTACGAGGAACATTATAAGAAGATCGAGGCGCTGGTGCCGCCAGAGCGACTGCTGCATTATCATGTGCGGGAGGGGTGGGAGCCGCTGTGCGAGTTCCTGGAGCAGCCGGTTCCCGAAGTGCCGATTCCGAAGGGGAATACGAAGAGGGAGATGAAGTTGAGGGTGCAGGGGTGGATGGTGTTGGATTTGAAGGAGTGTGCGGCGAAGGCAGTCACGGTCGCGGCGTTGGGGTGGGTGGGTTGGGGGGTTTATAGAGCGGGAGTTGCGATGGTAAGGTGATGTGCTGGTTTCTGTATGAGTTGGAGGTTGAATCTGTTCGTTCAGTGTATGCATATTGACTATGGACTATGTAATAAACCAAACTGAATAAATACAACAAATATGCTCAAATAACAGGGCAGACACATGCAAGGCTAGTCGGTAACAACCAGAAGAAAAAAGAAACCCGGGATATAAATCCATTCATTAGAGCAATAGATGGAGAGTCATTAAGTTGTCGTTGTCGTGGTTGATATCGCTGGAACGGGTGTTATTGCGTCGCCGGCCGCTGCCCATACACGATATGCACCTTCGAGTACAAGTGATTCGACAAGTCGCGCAGCTCGTTGCGCATCCCCGCCACCAGGGCTTCGATCTCGGGACGCTGCCAGCCCAGCACGCGCGTGAACAGCGCGTAGCAGTACGGCCCCAGCGCCTCGAACATGTTGACTTGATGGTAGCGGCCGATTTCCTTGAGCTTGGGGTCTTTGGGCCAGGGGCTTTGGGGGACCTGCGATTCATTAGCACTGTCGCGTCCGGAAAGGGGCAGGCCAACGCACCTTGTACACATCCTCGTGGACGTTCACAAACCCCGCGTTCTCCATCATCTCCTTCCAATGCACCACCGTCGTCATGTCCTTGCCGTACATCTTCGACGCCGCGTGCATGTTGCGCACGCCCTCGAGCAGACACGGCGCCCGCATGTGCGTGTTGTCGTCCGAGTACGTGTTCACCTCCAGCGACGCGATCTCGAAGTACCCGTTCGGGCGCAGGCTCTCATATGCCTGCCGGAACAGTCGGTCGTGGTCGCCGATGCAGCCTTCCAGCTCGCGGCCGTGGATGTAGTCGAAACCTTGGCTGTAAGACCAGTCCTGCTCGAAGTCGTCGACTTCGAAGCGGCAGTTGGGCGGGATCCAGGACGGCTGGATGGGACTTAGGTCGTTTCCTGATGGGGTTAGATTGGTTTCATGGGGTGGAGTGAATCCACGTACCGATGACCTCTGAGTTGGGGTGTTCGCTGTGGCTGTTAGCATGCGGATCTAGATAGTTGACGATAGTGACTTACTCTGCAAAGTCGATCGCCCATATCCCCGTCCCGGTGCCGATGTCTAAGACACGACCGGGGTTTTTGATCGGCGCTCGACATAGCTCTCCTTTCAAGAGCATGCGATAGATATGGTGGCTCTGAGCAGGATTAGCGTGTATCGCAGATGCATCATGCAAGACACATACCAAATCTAAGCGATCCTGCTCCTGTTCATCATTCGGCTAACCAACATGTTAACCACAATCCGATCGACCAAAATAAACCACAACATACCAACAGGTAGACGCCCTCATGATAGGAATGATATCTGCGGCCGTTCTGCAAGAAATAGGGCTCTTAGCTTCCCGTGACCAGACGCGACATCCAGCTCATGTGACACGACCAGATCGGATGTATCACATCAAGCGACAGGGGACCGGGGCAGAAGTCAGAGATGTAGATACCTCATATCTACCGCAGTCAGCATCGAACAGAATGGAGGCTGGATCCATCACCTACTGGTAGTTCATCGCGCTGGACGTGATGCTTGTCGTGTAGCTGGCGTCGCCGAGGCTGCGGCCATCAGCAGAGTTCTTCGTCCCCCAACAGGATGGAAAGATAGAAAAGACTTACGACCCGGCGTAGACTGAACCATTGTCGGAATCCTAAACCAGCATAAACAACCATTCCACGCTGGAAGATAAGATAGTGGGGAGGAGACTAACCTCAGGTTCGATAAAAGCGGGACCATGTTGTTCCTGGGACGGTTGGCGCGCCACCTCGGGCGATCTACGAGATTCCGGTGACTTGGGGGATTCTGGCGATTCTGGCGATCGAGGCGAGCGAGGTGGTGAGCGTGGTGGTGGTGACTGTGGTGAGCGAGGTTGGTCGGCCATAGTGATCCTTGTAGCGAAATCCGGGGAAAACGAGGCGGGGAGGAAAGTCGGAAGGGCGAGGGATGGGAAAAAGTAAAAATAATTAAAGGGCGGATGTAACACGGAGATCCCCCAAGAACCTAATAAATTGAAATCCGAGACTATATCACATTCGAAACGGGACCTAGGGGGTTTAAGGAGCGAGAACTGAATATCCAAATAAAAGGGGGAGGGGTCCAAAGCAGGGAGAAAAAGAACCCAGAAGGGTAACGGCAGGGGTTTAACTATATTGACTAACAGAATGGAGGAGGGAAAATGACAAAATAGCCAGAAAACCCTGCAGAAGAGACAGACACCAATGAAAACCCGCTGCGGGCTGACCGTTTTCCCAGCAGATGAGGAATTCCGATGAACAAATAATGAGAGAACCCACCGGCGGCCAGCGAGTGGATTCGAAAGGAATCGCTAGTCCCTCGTTTAGGCGGATGCAAGAGCGGATGCCGCGGGCGATGATCGCTCCTGGTTGGGGGCTCGACAGGCACCGGTGGCGTTTAGTCTTTGTTCGCGCAGGCTAATGCCGTGGATTGGCCGATCCTTCCGTCTTCCGTTCTTTTTCCTTCAAAATTCCTCTTTACGAAGTCTTTCTGCTGCTCCCTTCTGGAGTTGTGACTTCTGAAGGGATACTGGGGAAGGGATATGAACACGACTCATGAATCTAAACCATGGTTATGAAACCAAGGATGATCATCACCCGCTGTCAAGAACTCCATTCGACTTCTAGTCTTCGAGTCTTCTACGGAGTAATTCTGACTGCCACGTCACCGCCGGCACTTCAAGACGGGACAAGGATAGATCGGGCGAGAACCCTGAGATCATAGCGCTGCACGAAATACACCAAAAATTATTTACACCTTACCCAACATGAAAGAAAAAAAAAATAAAAAAAAAGAGGAACCGTTCCATGCATCCATGATCCGTCCTATCCATGTGGCAGTGGGGGGAGGGGTTGAATTCTGTCGTGCCTAGTACTTTTGCGGTTTCTTCAGGACTTTTAGTCTGTCGGGCGAGAGATTGACGGTGAATCATGTGCCTATCAGAGGAGAACCCGACGGTCTCCCTCGCTTGCCTGAATCGCCTGTAGGTAGTTCCATTCACCCGTTAGAAAATCAATTGACTACGTAGTAGTAGGTACTCTGTTGTAAGTACTCCGGCGTCAGTCCCGACAACGTCAACCGTCCAGGATCAGTGATCCTTCCCCGATCAGGCAACAGAAGGAATCCGATCAGGTGAACTGAGGTCCATGTCCGTGCAGTTTGCAAACGGGCTCTTCGCGTTCAAAAGTACAGGCGAGGGCGCCAATCAGACCCCCTCGCGGCACGGAGTGTCTCGGGCGCAATGCAGCGGTCAAAGTACGCTACAGATTGCAGCTATCCTACCGCGTACGACGTAGGGTTCGGGGTATGTGCATGTCCTCGGCGTCTGGTCGAGTCGAGGCGACTAGGATCAGCCGCGTCGGCTACCGGAGTCTGAGCTGGATGCTACGGACAGTGGATGTGCTCATCCTGCTCACTCTCGCTGTCTCTGGCCTAGGACTGCGACCGACGTTATCTGCATCTACCCCGACACGGACAGGGAAGAGGACGGTAAGGCTACGGAGGCAGGGATTCCGTAGGTCCGTGGCGGGAGGCGGCGCTATACTAGGCGCTGCTATAGCGAGGATAGTGTCATGTGTTTATAGTGGTTATGTTATTATTTATTATATGATCAGGAGAGATATGGTTAAGACCAGCTAGCGCTTACTCTCCGGAAGCCGTCAAGGATTGAACGGTTACTGCTCGTCCCGTGCCAGGCGTACCCTACTTTAATCCATAGCCTCCCTCGCGTGGAAATACCAGCCGGAATGGACAGATCACCCTCGCACACAAACTAGACTCGTCCAGAAGGTCGAAAAGAACAGCACCCCACCGGCGAGCTTCGACGTCTTTCCAGAATGGACGGGCGATCGGAACGAGGCGCAGAGTTGAACGACTTGCACGGAGACGGAAGAGGAAGGTCGATGACCCACAGCGTCTGAGCGAGAAAATGAAAATGGCCAAATGAATGCCATGTGTGCGACTCTCCCTCCCTAGCCTCGCCGACTTCCGTCTTATTTCCACCGGACTCCACTCGCTAGACTGGAATTGTCGATCTTGACGAAAAGCGGCATGACGTGGTGGACGGGACAAAGAAATACGGTAGAATATCACTGAGGAGTATGCGTACGAAGTTGCTAGTGACTTGGATTCTTAAGAGACTGGGGATCAGACTACTGCGTACGTGATTTCGAGCGACTACATTTGTTATGGATACTAAGGCTCAGGTATAACTCATGGCTACATCAACCAATCAGGAACCGCCGCGGAGATCGCTCGGTCGCAGCACCAAAACCGGATTCACTCTTGACCGCCACGTCGATTGATAATGATTGCAGCAGATCTGTACGCTCTGCTACCTAATCTGCCTCGACGTGCATCGCCAGATACAAGGCGTCTCTGTTATATCAGGAGTTAGCCAGGTCTAGAAAACTCCGGATCCGGAAAAATTAACCGTATCTCCTTGTTCGGAGTACTCCGGACGCAGTTGACAGTGTCCTTCACTTTTCTTCTTCTTCTTCTTCTTCATTTTTTCTTTCTCTAAATAAACCACTAAATAAGCTAACTAAATGCAAAGACAATCCGAAACTCCCTCAAACTGCATGGTCGAAACAGCACAAACAAACATACCTCCTCAAATATCCCTGCCATGAGAGACCTCCCTCCGATTGCTCCAGTGACAGACAAAGAGAAACCCTGATCCACAGTAAAGTATAACGTAATCCACAAGCGAGCCGCGGATACAACCGAACCGCGGATCCTTCGCCATGGCCATTACTATTTGAAGCTATTCAATCACAAACTCCATTAAATTTACTGAATAAATATATGAAAATTCAGCTATTTACTAGGACAGCTCCGAATTGTATGTCCAACTGTTCCACAGCCACTGCAGCGTGGCAAAGCCTGTTGACGAGGTACAGGAGTAGTTTGCTCAGGCTGCTCATTAAGCTGCGTATTTAGCTGCTGAACGCGATTTTGGCCTTCCTGTACAGATAAAAGGGTATCATTCCCTAGTAGAGCACGCCTTCTTGCTTTCTTTTTATATTTTCGCTCATTTTCGGCTCGTAAAGTCTTGATTTCTTGCTGTAAAAGGAGGTTGGTTTGCATCGCCATTTGAGCAGCCTTTTCAAGATGTTGAATATGAGCAATTGGGCTACTAGAAAGCTTTCGTTTAGCACTAAGACTGTTCTGTAAGCTGCGTATCTCTCGATCTAACTGGCGAGTATTCTGTGGAGTCTGGAAAGCAGAGGAAATTGACCCTTCAACTAGTGACGGTGCAGGTGTAGGTGTATGTAGTCGAAAGGTAAGCTTTGAAAGAACTCGTTCTTGATTAAGTGGCTTAAGCCCTGCTCCTGCGAAACCACTGCAGATATTCGTAGAAGTAAAGACTTGAGCCCGTGCGTCTGGATATAGTGATAAAAAGTCCTCTTTATCAATATGGTTGTTACCCGCAATCATACGCCCTTCAAGCAGTTTTCCGTATGCGCGTTTAAGCGGGCCAAAAACACCCACATCAAGCGGTTGAAGAAGGTGCGAAGCGTGAGCAGGCATACAAAGACATATTATTGCATTTTTTTTGCAAAAATCGTCGAATTCAGCAGTCAAATGACTACTATGGCCATCCAGAATGAGCAGGCGTTTTGCCCCAGTCATATAACGCCTAGAGGAGGGTTCAAAGACATTCTTTAGCCAAAGAAGACCTATTTCATCGGTAGTCCAGCCATTTTGGCTTGTTGCAATCCACCAGTCTCCGGCAAGTTTAGGTTCTTGAAACCATGCGGCCTGTTGATTGCCTGCTTTAAGTATAATGACTGGTGGTATATGTACGCCGCTTGAGCTGACTGTTTCGATGATTGTAACCCATTCACGATTACCCTGGATAACCCTGCGTGGCCGCTCACTACGCTCTACTGCAGTAATAACTTTAGCAGCTGAGCAGAGCCCCATTGCAAAGCCAGTTTCATCAAAATTCCAGATATCGTCTTCGTGTATGCCGTGTTCTTGGATAGTCTCGTGGACAGTTTGAAACCATGGTATTATAACCTTCGGATCTTCTTGTTTTGCGCGTTGATATGTAATCCGTCTGCTGTATCGTGTACGTAGTTGAGGATGGCGTTTAGTAAAATTATATGACCAGTTAACTCCAATCATTGCCGTAGGGATTTGAAGACGCGAACGAAGTAATATCTCTGCCATTTCACGTAGGAATTCGGGGCGAATTGGAAATCCTCGCGTATCTGCATCTAGTAATCGCTTAACAAGGATTTCTTCTTCAAATTGAGAAAGTTTATGGCCATTGGCGCGCGTTTCTGATCGTGGTTTTACACCGCGGAGTCGATCGTGTAGAGTATTTTCAGGGATCATAAAAACCTGTGCAGCGCGTAATATAGATTTAATTTGACCCTTTTGATAAGCTGAAATAGCCATCTGAATACGCGATTCTTTAGAAGGAGGCATATTGCATTCAGTGTTGAAGATATGACGCGTTGAATAAAGGGGGTGGAATGCTGATTGAGGATCCGCGGTTCGGTTGTATCCGCGGCTCGCTTGTGGATTACGTTATAACATTACATGTTACATAAGCCCGGGCGCACGCCTGCATCATCCCTGTGGATTACGTCAAATAGAATGCGTCTTATAGGCTGGCGATTAGGTTGGTGGTCTGATGGAGCAAACATCGGGGGGGAGAGTACTTCTGGTGGATACATCAAAGATACCTACAGAGTCAGAGTATTTTGTTGAGGAAGGTCGGGGCAACGGTACAAAGTTATACATGCATATTCATTCCTACAGTGATTGTGCATTCCAGTATCTTTGTTTTCCACCAACTCCACTGTATGCACAGGAGACAATAGGAAGACTGCAGGTTGCTCTACTTTGCGTCAATTAATGTGAAAGTAAGGCTGAAGTATCGTGGAACACACTGCTTCTATCTTTATATTGTGGATAACCTCTCTAACAAATACATAGACCTAATCACTAGGTAGCCCGAAAAGAAAATAGAGCACAGGATCTTCCTCCGACCGGTACTATGGCTTTTAATGTCCCATCGGATTTATATCAAATCTTTATTCTCCTCTCCGGCCCCTCGCCAGGTATTTCATGCTCAAGGTTTAATGGTTCAGGTAAGAGAGATCAAATGACAGCTGTGAACATGGTCTTACTCTCTTGCCTCCAAGGATATTCTCCGACAGAAGGAGTGCATAAAATCTACTCCGTAAAAGGGAACACAATCAGCAGTCCAGAGAAATACAGCACATTTAAAGAAAGAGTCTTTTATCTAGACAATCAGCCGAGCCAAAGGATACACCCACCGAGCCACTAATCCCCGATCGGGAAGAAGGCGTCTTAATCCGCCATCAGCGCCAGGAACCAAACCTTGTTCTGTCGTCATTCAAGAGTTGGGACAGATACACCGGATGTGGCCTGAATGAATGATAATCGAGGCTACGAGACATTGTCGAGTCCTACCCAGGAACCTCGAGGCACGAACCCTGGCAATTCAGACTCTTATAGGCTTCATCGGTTGACGGAACTTTGATTGATTGATTGATTGATTAATTGAGCCATTCAGACTCAACCACCACTAGAAATCAAGTTCTCCATTCCAACCGATGCCAACTCTGACGCAATGCCAATCGACTCCAAGAAGAAACGAGACACTCCCCTCACAAACCACCTCAGTCCCTGACCCCGCAGATCATGCAATGTCTGAATGCAACCATGCGGAAGGAATTTCTCCGCTTGTCAGGGTCTCAGCTTGTTTGTCTGCTGCGAACGCATTGCCTCCTGTCGATCCCCCGGCTAATTTAATCTCCTCCGTCGGTAAAATACTCGAAGGGCGCGCATCCCCGCAGGAGTTGAGACACCTCCGCTTTCTCATCTAATCTATCCTGCGGGGGACAGTCGTGTATTTATACCTGCGATCAGCAATGGTGTTGAACTACACTGTCGCGTCAACCTGGTGACGCTAGATCGAAAGGTCTACGAACCATGCATCTCCGCTCGTTTTTCGCCGCGACGGCCCTCGCCCTCGTGTCCCTGGCGACAGGGCATACTGATTTCTCGACCGAGCAGTTCACCGGAACCCTGGACGGCGAGTCTGGTGTCTTACGGTCCCTGAAGCCGAAATCGTCGGCTGAGGAATTCGACTTCTCGCCGTCTGACGTCTTCGACAAGCGGAATGGAAACGGGAACTACCACACGGGCGATCTGACGCTGCGGTATCGCGTCGGGGACTCGGGCGCTTGGACGGATGTGAATACGGCGACGGATCGGGGCGTTTTGAAGCAGAGGTCGGGTTCGAATTCATCCTCCTCCTCGGTGATCGCATCGTCGAATCTAGCCCCCACCCTGAATGTGTCGTCGCTGGCGGATGATCTGGCGATTACGCGCGCCTGGGTCGAGTACGAGGGCGATCTGGCGTTGAATTTCACCGTCACGAATAAGAACTCCCAGCCCGTGGAGCTGGGGAGTCTGGGCTTCCCAATCGAGTGGAATACCATCTTCTATGAGCGGACGGCCATCGAAACAAGACACACCTGCGTGCTGGTGGATCCGTATATCGGGCTGGATGCGGGATACGTGCAGGTGACGCGACTGCTGGGGACGGGCCCGCATCTGGTGATCACGCCGCTGGGAGAGACCAAGTTCGAGGCGTGGCGGTTTCTGCCGGAGACCGGGGAGAGTCAGCTGGCGTATCAGAGCCAGGTGTTTGAGGGGAACTACGAGTGGCAGGTTTATACGAAGGCGTGGGCCGAGAAGGAGTGGGAGGGCGTCACGCCGTGGAATAAGCCGACGTCGCGGACGCTGAAGGTGGGGGAGTCGGTGTCTTATGGACTGCGGTTTAGTGTGGTGGATTCGGTGCCGGAGATCGAGGAGAAAGTCGCGTCGTTGGGGATCCCCGTGGCGCAGGGGGTGCCGGGGTATGTTCTGCCCAGGGACCTGGATGGGAGGTTGTTTGTGCGCACGAACGAGAGCGTCGAGGGGGTGGATGTGGTTCCGGGGGGATTGACGGTGAAACAGCTGGATGAGGTCGACAAGGAATGGAAGGCTTTCAGTGTCGTTCCTGAGGAGGACGCCTTTGGTCGAGTTCGGGTTGAGCTGAAGTATAGCAGTGGCCGCACCCACAGCTTGCACTACTATGTCACCGACACCGGACCCAAGTCCTTGTCGAAGCTCGGAAACTTCCTGACTGAGACGCAATGGTTCAATGAGACTGACCCGTTCGGACGATCCCCGTCGATCATCACCTACGACCATTCGGCCGATGCGCCAGTCACCCAGGATAACCGCGTCTGGATCGCCGGTCTCAGCGACGAAGGCGGCGCCGGCTCATTTGTCACGGCAGCCATGAAGCAGCTCGTGCAGCCGGTGGCCGAGGAGATTGCGAAACTCGAGACCTTCGTGAATGAAACCGTCTGGGCCCGACTACAGCTGACCAGCGGAGAGAACAAGTTCGGCGTGCGAAAGAGTCTGTTCTACTACGACAAAGAAGCGATGCCGGATTTCACCTACGACTCGGACATTTACTGGCCAGGTGCCTGGGATAAAGAAGGATCAGACCTCCTGGACCGCGCGTATAACTACGTGCACGTTTCTGCTCTCTACTGGGCGCTATATCGCGCCGGACGGTCGTCGAGTGTGCTGCAACGCCAGAGTCCGCAGTGGTATCTGGAGCAGGCTTTTGAAACGTCCGTCCCTTTTTACTCTTCTTTCCTCTTACTCCCTGGCTCATGAGGTGGCTGACAACCGCAGAATCCGATTCGTCTACGGCAAAGACTCCAACGGCAACCGGAAAACCTGGTACGGCGACCTCGGGCTAATGGGCGAGACGGTCTGGAAGCTGGTTCTCGACGACCTCAAACTGGAGAACTACACCGCCGAAGTCGAGACCCTCGAAGGAATCCTCAAGCCGCGTGCGCAGGAGTGGACAACGCAAGAGGACCCGTTCGGCAGCGAACAGGCCTGGGACTGCACCGGCCAGGAAGGCGTCTACCTGTGGACCAAGTATGCCATTTCCCCCCTTCTCATCTGGCATATAGCATGGTCTGACACCTACCAGATACTTCGGCTTCACCGAAACCGCACAGAAGACCATCGAGTCGATCCACGGGTTCATGCCCACCGTCGCGCACTGGGGATGGAACGGCAACGCGCGCCGATACTGGGACTTCACGTACTTCCATCCTGCCCTTCTCATCCCTATATTTTTTACTGATATGATGACCGCAGAACCGCCGGCAAACTCAGCCGCATCGAGCGGCAAATCCACCACTACGGATCCAGCCTCAACGCGCTCCCCATCCTCGACAACTACCATTCCTCCAGCGACCCGACCTCCGCGCTGAGTCTCTACGACCTGCGCATCGGCTACGGCGGTAACCAGGGCCCGCTGACGAACATCGCGCAGGACGGCTTCGGGTCCATGTCGTTCCACTCGTTCCCCGAGACGCTGGACTGGGACGCCTACTCGGGGGATTACGGGTCTGGGTTCGTGGGGCATGTGCTGGGCGCGGCGACGTATGTGCTGAAGCATCCGGTGTTTGGGTGGGTGAGTTATGGGGGGAATTTGGCGACGGAGGGTGGGAAGGTGGTTGTTGAACCGAGGGATACCGTCAGACAGAGGGTTTATGTGGTTGATGCCGGACTCTGGGTTGCGATTGACTCGGGGGTTATTACGCGGATAGAGGTGGATTTGGAGGGGAAGTCGGTTGTGCTGGATGTTGAGGAGAGTGTGCAGGGCGTTGAGACGGTGGAGATTGAGAGGGCGTTATTGGAGTATCAGGTTACCAAGGGCATTGTTGATTCGGAGGTCAAGTTGACGAAGGGCGCGAAGGATGGAAAGCATGGCGATGAGGTCGATTTCGAGGAGGGTAAGGCGAGTCTTACCTTTTCGTGGTGATCTGGTTTGATTTATCTGCGTTAATGGCTGGTATCTATTAGTGTGTCTGTATGATCTGGGGCTCTAATTCCTGTCAGTCTCCTCGGTTCAAGTAATTCAGCAATAAGGAGCATATCCAGATCCGAATGTGCAAACTTTGTCAAGATGTTCGGATATCCCCCGGTGTGGCGAGTCCAGGAGTCGGCCATTCTCCGCATTCAAGTTCTCAGGATATGGAAATTTCTGTATGGTGTAATTCGGAGATATAGACGATCGCGGGGAAGTTGCCGATAGATTGATGCCTAGAAACCAACAAGAACGCCGCGTCCGGTGCTTTTATAGGAAAGATGCGGATACGGATACGTGCACGCGGACTCGAATACGGACACGCCGTCGGGTCCCTCCGAGCGGGTCAACGTCGCTTAGACGCCCTTCTGCCAATGAGAATACAATAAACGGAGTAAGACTGGTTCGATGGAGACTGATCTTTTCCCGATCACGGACACGAACACGACTGGCGCCCAAAATAGTGGCGTTCAGTCCCCGGGTGGAGAAGATTGTACTCTGTGGCACTGCCTGGTCGGAGTCTCATTTAAGCCTCGGAGTCCCCTTACTGGGCTGTCAGTCTAAAACTAACATTCAACCTTCATTCGAGACCATGGCATCTGGTCACGGCGAGATCGACTTCAAACTCTACCGGTATACGCCCTCGCTCGCGGCCGCCATCCTCTTTATCATTCTCTTCGTGCTTATCACGGCCTACCATCTGTACCAGGTCATTCGGGCAAGATGCTGGTATTTCTTGATCTTCGTTGTCGGCGGTGTTTGTAAGTCTGCGTCCAATTCATTCCGGTCTTCTATCATATCGATCTAACGACCTTCCGACAGTCCAGATAATCGGATACATCTGTCGTGTGCTCGCCCACTCCGATAAGGAGAATGTTCCCATCTACGCCGTGCAAACCCTCATGATCCTGCTGGCGCCTCCCCTCTACGCCGCCTCCATCTACATGACCCTGGGCAGACTGATCCGCCACCTGAACGCCCAATCCCTGAGCCTGGTGCCGGTCAAATGGCTGACGCGGATCTTCGTCACCGGCGACGTGATCTCGTTCCTGATGCAGGCTAGCGGTTCGTCTACCTTATCCACCCCAGTGCTCTCCCTGTTACGGTATCGCATAGCTGACCAAATGGATCCATAGGAGGCGGAATCATGGCCAGCGGCACCATCTCTGCCATGGAAACCGGCGAACACGTCACCGTCGGCGGTCTCTGCGTGCAACTCGTCTTCTTCGGCATATTCATCATCGTTGCGATTATCTTCCATCTTCGCATTCGCAAATCCCCCACCGCTGTCTCGATCGCTGAGGCTTCGTCGGCTGCGCGACTTCCCTGGAACGACCAGACGTGGAAAGGCACCATGTGGGGTCTTTACTCGTCCAGTGTGCTGATTCTCATTCGGTCCATTTTCAGGCTGGTGGAGTATGCGCAGGGGAATGATGGGTATTTGATCAGCCATGAGGCGTTCATGTATGTTTTCGATGCGATGTTGATGTTCTTTGCCATGGTGGTTTTGAGTCTTTGGCATCCTAGTGTGGTGTTGAGGGATGGAAAGAAGGTTAAGGAGGGGCAGGAGGAGGAGGGAGAGGAGAGGGAGTTGAGGGAGGTGGATTCTTGATTAGGATTTGGGTTATAGGTGTTTGGTGTTGGTTTTTAGGTTGTTATGTTTATGAATCGGGATTTGTCTTGAACAGTTCTGTACAGAGCTATTACTTGTTATATAGATATTGCTGAACCATCAGATACCAATGAATTGAACTTGACGTCTTATGGAGAATGCTTTATGTTAGCCGACAGACCTTAGCTAGGGTTCTGCATATCCGCTTTCTCCCAAATGAAGCCAGGCTCATCGCATTGCTCCCAGAGGACCTGCTCGGCCAGCAATTCATCATCGTATCGATCGAGAGCAGATTCTAACCCCTCGTACCATTCGGGTAGATCGATTTGACCGTAGTGTGCCTTGGTATACTCCCAATATTCGGGATACCATCCGCCAAATCCCCAGTCTACTATGGCAGTGACCTTTCCGTTGTCTACCATAATGTTCCGAAGACACAGGTCGGCGTGAGTGAAACAGCTGCGGTACTTGTGAGTATGACATTTAGTGACTTCTTCCCCAAATGTCTGTGTACAGTGTTCGATCGCCAGGTTTCCCCGAACGTAAGCGTGGAAGTCTTGGTGAGTATCGAATGGACCGAACGGGCGTGGCCCAATGCGTAAATCCAGGCCCCCTTTGAGAGCTGCCGATGCCACTATTTCTTCTCGTGGCGGTTCTAGACTCCGAAGCTGGCGAACGTAACCGGCGATTTCAGAAATGACCGCTTTCTTTTGGGTGCCCTCGAAACCAAGCGCTCTGGAGTGTCGATCCGCGGATATATTCCATCTCGATGTAGAGCGCATCTTGGTAGTAGTGGGTTTTGTAGACTTTGGGCACAGGAATCGAGGTGTGCTCGGCCACATATTTCAAAGCTGCAAGCTCTGACTCTCGACATGGTCCTTTGATTAGTCTTGTCCGACTTATTCGAACCACACCGCGCCCGAGTTCGCCGAATAATTTCCTCCCTATCTAGAGTCTAGTCGGCAGGAGAACCGCCGTCGGGCGGGAGGTCGTATCATTCTCCCTGGTTACCGACATTTAGATTGCATGCTCGGAAAATATAATTGGATGGGCTATCAGCTGCTCATACCATGTGCAGTGTGGTCAACTTCTTCTGTTTTGTCGCAAATGGCGAGCGCGTTTAAGATGGAAGTGGAAGAGCGTGCAATACATTCAGGGGAACCCTCCAGGTCACGAGACCACCGGCCAGATCCGGCAGCATTCGGCTGCACGACGCGATGATAATTAGTAGGATAGACTTGATAGCTACCGTCTCCTACGAAGCATGATATAATTCATGAATTATGCTCCGTCCTACCCAAGGTCCGTCTTTGTTTTGGTCGGCAAAATCCACTCGGTTATGATTGGCCTGCGGGTGACCCACCGAGTTACTGGCAGCCTGATACTTCAGGCAGAGATGTACTTCTCCGTCTTCCCTATTGATGGAAACGATTTCTTACGCCACTGCTTCTGTATGGATAGTGCTCCGTATGGAAGTATCCATAAAGTAACCCGGTCAGCCCATGTTTTGAAGAGTCGAATAATTGTTGCATATCTCGGGTATCTCCTTTTACAACTGTATATTCCTGAACAATCCTCCACCATAAGCACCCGATCGACTTGCGGGAGTACGAAAGGGTAAGCTGTCAAGCATGAAATACAAAGAGCAAAAAGAGAAACAAACCAAAAAGAAGGGTAGAGCCTATTGGTTTAGATCATTCATGGTATCATAGATGACCACGATAGACCCCGGTGTCCCGCGCTTCTACAGAACACGGTCTATCACTAGCCACCGGAATCGATCACTCCATTCAATGTAGAAAGTTTACAGAAAACAAATTAACCCACTTGAAGAATCTGGTTTGAAAAGTGATGGCAAGTTTTCTCCATTTAATTGCGTGCGATTGTGCCAGCAATATTAGGCGTGTTAGTATGGCCAAGTATTTGGGAATACTGGAACGATTTAAGCATATACGTCTAACAATCTATTCAAAGAAATCTATATCTGAACAAATGTCCCCCTACGACTTCCCCTCCGATCTCACCCTCACCCCAATCCCCGACTCCGTCTCTGCCTTCGTCAACGGATACTCATCATGCAACCGATCCTGACTCCACGATGCATCCTGCGCCGCGGCCGGCCGCTTGGAATAGCTCGAGAGACGTCGCATTCGGTAATTCGGGTCCGGCGCTTGCTCGGAGTCCTTGCTACTCCAGTGCATGTCGCAGCAGAGAGTGCGGACGAGCGGGCGCAGCGTTGGTAGACACGCGCAGATGATACCGACGCATGGCTCGACGAATGTCCATGTTGCGGCTTCCATTACTGAGTCTGGGTTTGTTAGAGATGGAGTCTGGGAGAAGGGACGGAAAGGGGCGTACAGGAGGTGTCTTCGTTTTGGAAGATCTTGAGGGTCACGACGCGCATGATGCTCGCGACGCAGACGCTGTTTTGAACATTTAGTTTCACGGCTCTGGATCTGGCTGCAGATAAAGAGTGGAAAGAGAGGGAGAGGAAGGGGAATAAGAACAGGGTGACGTACAATCCACCGAGCAAAAAAATACCCAGAATAGTCAGCTTTTGCGACGTGCGCAATTGCAATTGTAGGACCATTGGAATCGGCATCGTCAAAATTACCACGTCGATGAGCAGGTTTGAAATTGCATTGCCGAAAAAGAACTGCTTCGCGTCGAGACACGTCCCCTCCTGCGACTTATCCCAGTTCAACGAGATCGGTCGACATTGAACTAACACGGTTAGGAAGACCGCGAGGCACCAGGAGCAGACGAGGCCGGTGACGATCCAGCTGGCGATTTGGAATTTGCGAACGGGGAAGATGCGGCGGTAGAGCAGGAGGATGGAGATTTTGATAGACGGGACCAGGAGGGTGTACGAGATTTCGTTGGCGAAGAAACACTTTTTTCACAGTTAGTGACGGGATAGACGGAAAGGTAGAGAAGAGAAGATGAAATAATTACTTTCTGGAATGTGACCTTTTCCTCATCACTGAGGTCTGTCATGTGTTTTCCTAGTCCGCCATCTCGGGCCCCTTGTCGAGTTAGGTTCATCCTGGGTTCTTGAAGAAGGAAAGGCATACAAAAGACGGCTTCTGCTAGCATGCTATACGCAAGCACAATTGATATGCAAATGACATAGTCATCCCATCCCAGTGTCGATTTGATCCATCGTGCCGCGATCCGAACAGCCACAATCGCTGTCGAAAGAGCCACCAGCACGGAGGAGACATCAATGTACGTCTGTCCGCGAGCGTTGGCTCCCATAACGACTGTACAGTATGGGCGTGAAGCCGCGCATCACGAGCCAAGCAGGACCGAGGGCGAGCAAGGAGAAAGGTTAAGTTTGAATATCTGAACCACTAAACTCCGTAAACCAGGCGACAACCCGCGTTCAAACTTAAGTTTGCATCCTGCACGGGTCATCCTGGTTGTTTGGTTGCCGATCCACTCATGAATCTGGCGATTTGTAGGTTAGGCAGCTGGAGCGAATTGACTCCGTGCCCGAGGTCCGTCCGACCTGATCGTTCGATGGTTATTAGTGGAGCGGTGGGTCGATATCAGGATGGCATCTCAGACGTTCTCGTTGGAGGACCTGGGTCTTCAGTTGTTGGCTCTTGCTCAATTTTCTCGTGGCAGCAGTAGTTTGTCTTGGCTGTGGGACGAGACCGTGGTTATCGAGACGTTTATTGTGGCTATACCCGATTGCTTATTAGCACTAATACATAGCCTGGTAGAGCCCTGCGAAATTGGAAAACGAGACAATTCCTACTATTCAAACAAACTGCATTGGGAACATAGTTAATTTTCGTCAGGCGTGAGCGATCGACACAGAATTGCTTCAAGCGTCCAGGGGCAGGGGCTGATGGCTTCATCGCATTTTTGGCTCGAAGGATCAGGATCGGGGAGGGTGGAGCCATCGGCTGGAAAGCGCTCACCCACTGGCTCATGCGTAATTTATGGCGACCTAGTGCCAACTTAGCCTTCGTAGTGACTCCTTAGCAAAGCCTGTGGCTTCCTTTCTAGTGGAGGCCGTTACATCGCTCCGTGACGGACACTGTTCGTCTAGCAGTAGACATGTGGAATCGGTCAATCTATTTACGGTTTCATAAAACGAAAGTGTCCACATCTGCCCTTTCTTCTGTGTGTCTATTTCGAAACAATTCTGCGCACCAATTCGGCCGTCTTGTCGGGAACACTGAGAAACGGGCTGTGGCTGGCATCTAGTCTCTCGGCGGCCATTTCCACACCAGCTTTCTTGACATTTGAGATCATCAGCTCCTGGATCATGGGAGGGATCGCCTCGTCTTTATCGCAGATGATATAGGTCGATGGGATGTCGCGGTACGCTTCGTGCGAGATGGGATCGAATTGCGTGGATTTGGGGTGCACGACGAGGCGGCCTGCGCAGTCTGCGGCTTCTGCGGCGGGGACATCGTTGAAGAAAACAGGAGCTGGGTCGAGGACTTTAAGAATGGCTCTCTCTTCCTGATTTTGAAGTTAGTGTGTGAAAACCCAAATTCGTTACGTACTGAATCGAGATTAAACACCTACATCGATCGTAATGAACGGCGGCAGCGTTCCCCCAAACATCCCTGCTAGGCTGCTCCCGCTAGGAGGCACAAACGCAGTCATGTAGATTAGGTGCTGAAGAGGCAGACCCTGTAAAGCGTCGGTGCCCACCATTCCACCGTACGAGTGCATGACTGCGACGACACGCTTACCCTCATCAAGAAGGGCTTGTGCCGTGTCGCGGATCAGCCCGACGTCGTCATGCAGGAATTTTGTCGGCGGCACGGCATCGTTGCAGCTGGGGAGCCGGGGACAGATGACTTCGTAGCCCAAAGCCTCTAGGGACTTGCAGAATGGGGCGTAGAGGCTGGGATAATGCCAGGCGCCGTGGATCAGCAAGATAGTGGGCGGAGATAGAGAAGAGGGCATTTTGGATCTATGTTGAATCTGGAGTCGAATCCCTGCTCGTAAAGCGAGTAAATTGAGCTGAGTTGGCTGACGTGCATGAACTCCGTGCTAAATGGGACAGGGATGGGTTTTATTTAATCATGGACGCTTGACCCTTGCTGTCTGGGCATTTCCGCTATTCGATGATGGTGCCAGACGGAAAGCATTCGACCCACTTGGCTTTTGTGGTGGAGATCAACATCCAGCCGTCACTGAGGGGTTGTATGTGTCCTATTCCGTACTCTCAGTAAGTGGCCTGTGTGGAGGACTCCAGAGGTGATCCGAGCATACGGCGGAGGTTGTTGACTGGCCGTAAGTGCGTAGATCTCGACTACGGCCTTCTCTCTATGGGGATCTGCGGTTGAGACTGCCGCTTTGGTGGGAGTCAAGCAGGACCATCCCGACTTGCGACACCAAGATCTGCAGCAGTGACCCAAGATATCGCGGGGTAAATGAGGAGTAGGTTCTCATCGTCATACACTCAACGTGTGCCAATAACAAACTCAAAGTTAAGACAGGCTTCCGAACGCTTCGGATTGCTGTTCGGGTTCGGAAGCAACATCCGTGGATGCTGCCGGCTTAGAATACCACGGCCCGACGAGAGACAGTCGGACATGCCTTCGGAAGTACAGATGCATCCAATGACATTGATATGGCGCATTTTTGGGACTCTTTCGAGATCGCTAGTCTCGCGTGTAGCCGAGGGAGGTGGCATCTGGATATAAGGTTCCTGAAACCTAGTCTATCACAACGTGAACTTCATTTTACATCCCTCATCTGGTAGAAACGTTGCGATTCGGTTCTTGAGAGCGGAATTGTACTGGAGAATGAAGCAATTGAGAAGACGAAAGGTCGCTTTGATGTCGACACGCTAGTCCTGATGGGGACATTATGTCATCTGGCACGTGAGCATAGTGGTGACCTCCGCGCTAGGCTCAAACCGGCTAGGTCCTGTCCTCAGGCACCCCTCATCCCCTGCGCAACTCGACCTTCCGGAATGTAAACGCCAAGGGAAGCCCGTCATGAAGTTGCGCCTCCTGCACCTCGCCCTCACCTTTCTGTCGCTTTTCCTACTAGCACTGGGTGTGTAGTGAATCTATTCCCCCCCGGATATCTGCCAAATCACAGCCACCGGACGCACAGATCAATTCGACTGACTCGTTGCCAGGTATCCTCCTTTACTCCAAACACAGAGTCCCAGATGCAGACCCGGTCGCTTATTGCGCCGACTGCTTGAACTATGCCAGTCGTATCAATGACATGATTGTTCGTGTGCCGGATGTGCGCGGCAATAAGCAGTTCTTTCGATATGCCTGTGACTGGTCCTGTCGGAACAACTTGCTTACCTCCGGGCGTTGTCCCAAGTACCGGAGGAGCTTTTTGGACCACACTGACAGGTATATGTTTGAGGTGGAGGATCCTCCGGAGGCGTGCAGGGGGATTAGGGCTTGTCCATAACTTCTTTTCTATTTGCGTGAGAATCGTTGCATTTCTTATGTATGGCGTGGTTTGTTTGCAGTGCTGCTGCGGGTTTCAGTATAGCAACTGTTGGTGTACATATGAACAGAAAGTCGGAAGGAGATGTGATTCGTCAGATGTCGGTATTTTGGACATGATATGTCCACTTCAGATCCCGAAGACATCAATGCCGTGAGAAACCAGAACGACTACGCTGGCACAGGTCCTCTTCCCTCGGCAACACCCAGTAAGAACAACTAATAATATCCCTCATTCTCCGGTCATGAAAACGTCCTTCCCCACAACCAACTCTTTGGACCACCAATCAAGGAGAAGGTATTTTAAGCATTGTCTATCGCATATCAAAAGGGGTAAATCAAGCTTACTATGCCAAGCTTTAGGCTTCGACTTTTTGGTTATGGTCTGATCCGGTTCCTGCAGCGTCCGAATCTCGGGGTCCGCGGACTTATCCCTGCCCTAACTCGGAATACCGAACTCGACACAATCAACCTCTACTGTGGTATTCCTATATTTATATGCTTGCTCCTTTGCAGTTATTAATCATGGTGATTTTAAATTTATCTCTGGCTCTTGAGACTCGGGATACAGGAAGGCAAAATGCTAGAAACAGAGCACGCCAACATGTCCGAATCAATCCCCCATGACTACTATCCCCCGAACCTGGCTCTCCCGCATTTCCTACCGAATGAAGACACGGCTTTTTCTTTGATCTTTCGGTTCGCTCTCCTATGGATGTCTGCCTTGGGTGCAGGCTTCATCATAATCCGACGTGTCCGTCCAACGGCGAGTAAATCGGACCAACTGGCGTTTCTTTGGATGTGCTTGAGTAAGTAACCAGCCCACAAAGACTGCGCTGCTAAGTGGACTGAAATAATCAAAATAGCCGGCTGCATCCACCTCTTCTTCGAGGCATACTTCGTTATCAAACATCCTAGCTTGGCCGGCTCGGAGACGCTCTTCGGCCAGCTATGGAAGGAATATTCTCTTTCCGACTCTCGCTACTTGATCTCCGACACTTTCCTGGTGTGCATGGAGGCCGTCACTGCCGTAAGTATCTATCAACTATATCTTACAGCTGAGCCTCGCAGGAATTTAAACTGACAACGTGCAAAGTTTGCCTGGGGCCCTCTCGCCTTTGCGACGGCCTACTTTATTCTGGTCCGCCATCCGGCTCGCCACGCGTGTCAGCTCATTCTCTCGACCGGCCAGGTCTACGGCGACGTGCTGTACTATGCCACTAGCTTGCTGGATCTGTATAAGGACGGAACCCCCTTCTGTCGACCGGAGGGGTATTATTTCTGGTTTTATTACTTTTTTATGAATTTTATTTGGATGGCGATTGGGAGTTGTAAGTTGCATTCTTTCCGGTTGAGGGGGTGATTATGGGCGCTGACGGTATTCCTGGGACAGATTATGCGACGCAGAGTGTCAAGGAGATTACGAGGGTGTTCACGAGAGATGCACAGCTCGATCGAGGGGAGGAGAAGAAAAAGCGATGAAAATTCAGGGGATTTAAGATACGCTGAGGAAGAGGTCCCACGGGGGGTGCGAGGACCTGTTATGATGGCTCTTGTTACTTCAGCGCGCAGAATTGTGTGCTGCAAGGGATTGGCTGGATTTACTACATAATAGGCCATGGAAATGCCCACAAGATAGACGCAGAGCTCGACCTTGTGACAACCGAACTTAGGTAAAGACAGCCTGATATTGCACAAGAAAAGATGGCGCCAAGATCCTGTCATGGAGCGAGGAAGATTGAATACGGTGGAGTTACAACGTGAAAATGATTTTGGAGAGAGCCCAGATCCTCTATTCATTTATGCTACTGGGGAGTAGCAGCGAAAGCTTTAGTCTAAATGGATGGCATGCTATAGTCAAGATCCGCAGCTTTTCCTATTGGATTATGACCTCAGACGAGGCCAAGACAAATAAACAAAAAAGTACAGAGATAGAAAATAAACAAAAAAACAAGAATGACTGAAAAAACAAAAGAAATACAAGACAAAAGAATGAACCGACCCCGACGAGACCACCCTGAGAATGAAGCCCGAAATGTGCCGGTTCAACCACTGAGCTTGATGAGCCGAGGGTGACCCTTGGCACGCTGGGCTACATTCCCGTCCACAGCCGGTGGAATTCACCTTCCAAAAGGGCTTAAGCCCTTGGGGTGAATAACACTGCATGAGCTGGGAACCGAAGGACGAAGGCCTCGTCCGGGCCGGGGTTGGCGATGACATTCGAATCATCGAGACGGTGACTCCCCCCAGACCGAAAGTCGAACCCATGCACGATCGAGCCCACGAGCATCTGCATCTCCAGCATCGCAAACTGTCGCCCGGGACATCGATACGGCCCGGTGAGGAACGGCACGAAGGCCCTCGGCTCGAGCACGAGATCCCGTCGAGACGTCCAGCGCTCGGGGATAAACTCGTTCGGAGAGACGAAGTACCGTGGGTCTATTGCAACCTCAAAGTCAGAATTCATGCATGTTATCGGAACGAATAGCAGGAAGAAGAAGCTTACCTCGATGCATGCTCCAGATAGACGTCGAGACTATCATGTTTCCTGGGATATACCTCCCTGCAACGGTCATACCTTCAGGGGGCGTCAACCGTTGAATGCCGCCAGGAATAGCCGGATACAGCCGGATTGCTTCCTTGATGCATGCATTCAGGTAAGACGCGCCGTGCCTGAGATAATGGACCGAAAACCTCGAGCTGTCGGGCGGAACCTTGGTGAGTTCATCCCGTAGCAGCCTTTGGCTTTTGGGATGCGTTGCAAGGAGAAAGATCAACGCCGAGAGAGTGTAGGCCACGGTGTCGGTACCGGTCGCAATTGCAAGGTCCGCATCACGCACAAGCAGCGTGTTGGTGAACGGTAGCCTTTCCTCGCCCTCTCGTGTGTAGCTCGGCAGCGCAGAGAACAAATAGCCACGTTTGTCAGCGAGCTATTGGGGTAACGAGGCCTTGGTTAGCAACGTCAAAGACAAAGGATAAAAGCTGAAAGCGCAAATAAAAAAGCTATCCGTACCTCGTGCCGCTTGTTGATCAAGGCATAACAAATCTTGATCCATTGACCCCGTATCCAATTGACCGATGGCGCTTGCTTCAGTATAGATGATAGCCACGGAGCCCATTTGAAGGTCCCCGCAAGGTCTTGCACGTAGTCCTGCTGGATAAGAACGTAACGAGACTTGAGATACCTCATCATACCGAAGGATCTTCCCAGGACCATGTCACCCATCACATCATAAGAGAAGTACCGGAGCAGCAGAGTGATGTCAAACGGAGAATTTGCATTCGCTTTCAAGCACCGAAGAAAAGTAGCACAGTGCTTGCGAAAGATAACTTGGTATTCATTCAGGTCTATGAATAGTCAGATTGGCTGTATTAAGGGAGGCTCTAAGAGACAAGACAGGCCGACACTTACTATTCCTTTGACCAAGTGCTTTCGCCCACATTGAGCTTCGGGCTTTGTACATCCGGGATTGGTGAGAACGACGCAACGTGCGCTCGGGGTTACACTCATAAATTGGACCCTTGATGCAAGGGGCACCGGGTCCATGGATTTGGTGAAAAGCCTCGACGTTGTTGATAGACACCTCCCGCGGGCCTAGAGGGAGTTAATACAGGCTAGTTTATATGATTGAACAGTAACTTACCGACACGAACAAAGTCACCAAAGCGTCGATGATCATTCCATACAGTCTCGAACGATGAACATCGCCAAAGCATAGCCATGCGCGACATGAGTGGTCCCGGGAAATCGCGCAGCGGATGGAAGAAGACCCGGTAGGCCAACATGCTGCACACAATTCCTGAGAAGTAGAGAACGCTGAGCTTCAGGAATAGAGTGAAGGGCCATCGGCCGATGCCAAAGAAGATCAGCGAGGCTGCCCATTCGAGGCCGAGGAATGTCCATGCAATCTTGGATGAGAACCGATCCCATTCTCCACGATTGAAAAACCCCAAGTGAGTGATGATACCAGCCAGAAAGACAATGAAGCCTGCAGAGCAGAACAGTGTAGCAGCAAGACCGATGAGAGCGTTACAACAACCCGTGATGAATAGGCCAAACCATCGAAAGGGCGTGACAAGGAGAAGTTCGACAAATTCAAGCAAGTCAAGACTTCCAACCGAATCAGAGAATACAGGGTAATCGAGGGGCTGAACAGGTGTGGGATGGGCGATGGTTTTGGTAGGCACAAGGACTCGAGTGACCATAGGCTGGGATGCATACATGGAAGTGCGGAAGAAACTTTGGACAGACTGGACACCACGAAGTAGGAGGGACTCGTAGGTTCTCCTAGCGCCATGGGCCTGAGTCAAGGCAGAGTGCATGCCTTTCAGAAAGGCGGGCCGGATGACGTCCATCGGGGATTGAAGGACTTGAGCAACCCCGGCAGGCTGCGATGCATACATGGAAGTGTGGAAGAAATCGTGGAAAGCCTGGAAAGCACGAAGTAGGAGGGGTTCGTGAACTCTCTTAGCGTTATGGACCTGAGTCAAAGCAGAGTGCATGACTCTGAGAAAGGCAGGCTGGATGGCATCCAACTGAGATTGAAGGGACTGAGCAAGCTGAGCGGATGACATGATGAAGATTGGATTGTACTGAGATAAGGTGGATACAAGAAGTTTGCATAGAAGAGAATTCATTGGTAGAGGTTGGTTGAGAGAGAAGAAACAAAGAGATGAGGATGATTGCTGATGGGGATTTTATAGACAGGTGCGTGGCGCTGCCTGATGGTCTGCATCGGAAGTCTTCGCCAAAGGCTTCTGCTTACCAGTGGGTTAATGGAGCGTACCGGATTCCCCTATCTCCAGAGCAAACCACGCAGCTCTGGATGACATAATTCGAGCTGTCTCAATGGGAGGTTCCGGTTGATCAGGTATGTGATTGCTCTCTGATGTACGTCATCGGCGCCCTTCCCAGCTGGGGAGTATTGAAGGGTGGAAGATTGAGCTGAGAGAGCCTTGGGGAAGGATTCGGCACATGTATATGTATGTAGAGTCGAATTGAACGTTCTAGCTATATGGGAATTAAAAGCTTCGCATAGAGCGTACGATTACCAAGCAAGGTTGATACGAAGTGGGATTGGTTTTTGATTACTATCGATAGGTCAATTTAGAACAAACATACTCCAATATTAGCTGGATAAACATCATAAAATTAAAATCCCCGCATCACATTTAGTAGAAAAGAGTGACCGGAAGGCCTCGGCTATATGAGGTCCATGTACAACTTCCCACATTCAATAATTGAGCCACCAAGAACCAGACACGAGGAAGCTCTCATACAAAGCAAGGCAAAAAAAGAAAAAAAAAGAAAGAAACTTCAGAGGCACTAGAAAAAAAGAAAGAATGGTGACATGCACTTTCGTCAATCATCGTAAATTGCAAATCAATAGCCGCATCTGCCACAGTACCCGCATGACGACGCCGAACAAGCCGTAAAATCTTTCTCTGACTCGCTATCACAAGACGGAGAACCATCCTCATCTTCAGCATACCGGTCTGAAAGGTCCCCCGTATCTTCAACAGCGTCATAAAATCGGGCGAACAACTGCTCTTTCAGTTCGTCGGGGATGACATGGTTCACTCTAGGCGTGACTTCCCTCAGCTCGAGAGAATCTCCGCGCTCCTCTCGCACAATCTCAAAGCGTCCGTCCGGCTGTCCGTGAACAAAACCAATGAGCTGCCCCAGAAGGCCATGGAATTGCCGAAGAGTCTCTGATTCCTTCTGTTCCCATGCCTGGATGGCAGGTCGGGTATCTTGAATCCGGATATCGTGGAACTTGCCGTACCTGTGGAATGCAAGCACGGAATTTGGGATCTGGGAGACCCAGAGACGAGGTACTATCTCCGCCAGAATGTCATCATCTTTGCGCTTGAAGGACCGCGTTTTGAGATCAAAGATGGCCGCTTGAGGTATGCTGTGTCCTCCATCGAGGATTGTAAGTGACGTCGTATCTTCAGGCTCATGGGAGCTGACAGTAGTTTGCTGTAAGAGCGAGGGAAGAGCAGAATGATCATTTGCCGAAGTATCCGGAGCACTTGTCTGTTCATCACAGCGGTCGGGAAGATATCCGTCTGCTTCGAAACGTACCACACATTCGACATCCCCAAATCGATATTGAACTATGCGCTGATGAGATTCGGAGCCCTTCACAGCCCTATCCCAGGAGGTATAAGACTCCGGAAACGTGTGACCGAAACCACGCACTCCAGGGATAACATCGGTAGGAGAGCCATCCCGACGGAGAAAGAAGACTGTCGAGCCAACTGCCTCCACGAGGATCCTGAACTTCACGTCGAGACCGCGCACGAAACAAAGAAGATTACCTAGAGTGCTCCCACAGGCCACAAGATCAACGGAGTCTAAGTCAAAGCCAGGATCTTGCTTGATGATTGCCTCCATGGCAGGCTGAAGTGGGTACGATGCAAAACGAGCCGCATTCTTGTCACGGAAATACGTCCCACTATCTTCCGAAAGCGTTATAGACTTCTTGAGGGGAGTCCAAGCCGGTGGGGACCCTGTTTCCATGGGTTATCAGCTGGTGCAACCAGAGAAATAGCATATGACTATCCACGAGACAATCTATCTTACCTGGCACGAGCATAGTCGGCTTCACTCTGTCAAGCCAGTTATACGAAGCCAGGGTTCTGCAGTTTGTGATGTATGGAGCGTCATTGCTGGGGGAATCAGTGGGGCCAATGAGCTGATCTCTGTTGATATTGGCGATGATACCACGGAAAGAAGGCTGAGACATGCTTGGAACATCGGTTGTCATCCTTGCACCACTGTGATAGCCCCTGCTCATGGGATAGTAGGAGGATCTAAAAGAAGCGACGGATGGGTTGTTGTCTAAACAGAATAGTGAGATCAACGTTGAGCTCAACAAGAAGATGACTCAAATTCTTGAAGGAAGAAGGCCGGAGTGGTAGAGTCAACCCAGAGTTTACCTTTATACCGCCTAGGCAGCCTTTGTTGGGTAACCTTCAGTACAGTACATGAATGATTGGATAGCAGTGGCCAGGCATATTCACCATCAGGGCCTTTGACGCGTCAGCCACCTTCTTAGGCGTTTGCTTGCTTTGGGGCGCTCAGTTGCCATCTATCATATTTTGATGTCGCTTGTCTTTTCCCCTTGACCCATCCTCCACATTCAAATGAACCACGTTCTCTCAAAAGATCCCACAATCAACTTTACATAGCGAATCTCCCTGGTATTTTGCAATGAGTCAATATAGAAAGACCAGACTTGCCAGGTTCTTTTCTCTGGTTATTTCTGGACAGCGCAATGTGACAGACGAGGAGAGCTCCAAATTGTTCTTGGAAGCAGTTCAGCAAGAAAACAACCATGTTTATTGCGTCGAGCGGATCATTGGGAGCCCTTCAGCACGCAGCGCGGTGCATGCCAGCATACGCTTCAACATCAGTCCCGCATTTGTCAATCAGTACACCTCCAGTTTCATCATCTACTTGGCCGACCCGACTGTCAAGCAGTTATGTAACGGTCGCATCCTACAGAAGCTTCTGACGCTCATTGTAGAGCCACGAACACTGTGGGACGCTCTCTTGCAAGGGTTTCTATCTGGAGAGTTAGACCAAAGCTCCGTTCTTGCATTCGCCTGGATTTTGGAAGAGCTACTTTGTCTACCCTCTGCGAGCACAAGTCACCTAAATATCGTCGACGATGCCCAGAAGGTGGTGGACGATGGCTCACTGCTGCAGTCCCCCTCCGGCCAAATACGGAACCATGGCTATAAGATCAAACATTACCTCCAGATGAGATCGTCCGACCCGTTGGCGATCATCAACTCTAACTTCTGCCCTGGTGGTCGCCATGACAATGACTTTGCAGACTTCCGTGAAATCGCCATATACCCTACGTCAGCCGAATTCCTATCTGAAGCAAAACCCTTCTATCGACGAGCAGAGGAGATAATGGAAGTCGCCTCTGAGAATCGCCTGGTTGCTCACCTCGACAATCAGTTTCGGCTTCTTCGAGAGGACATGTTGTACGAGATTAAAGATGAATTTCAAGTAGCTCGAGGCAAGAAGAAGAGTCGTCGGATCGCACCTCTTCTGTGTGATCTAACGCTTAAGCACATTCAGTATGGCGATGCTAACCGACTTCGACCTTGTACTTTGGCAATGACTTGCAAATCAGGCTTGGGGGCTTTGATAAGCAGAAAGCCAGCTGACAGAAAGAAGTTCCTGAAGGACAATCGAAACTATCTTCCTCATCAAGCCTTTGGATGTCTGATGCGTGGTGTGGAGATCGTTGCCTTTTGCATACTGGATCGAGATATCGATTTGCTCTGCCAATCGCCGCCCTTGATCTCGTTGCGTGTCATTGGACCTGACGCCCTGTCGAAAACGCTGATGTATCTTCACCTTTACAGTGATCTTAGCTTCCTGCTGGTTGATGCACCGGTCTTTGCTTACGAGCCTATTCTGCGATGCATTCAGGAGAAGGTAGAGTTATCGCTGGTTAAAGACCTTCTTGAATTTAAACAGGGTGATTCCATTTCAGCATCCGAAATCGTGCCATCTTCGATTACTGCGAGCATACGTGAGACTGGTATCAACAACGGTAATATCCAAGGGATATTGAAGACTCCAAATCCGGTCAACCTTGACTCTGCGCAATTAGAGTCGTTGCTTTCTGGCATGACCCAAAGCGTGAGTCTGATCCAGGGGCCACCAGGTAAGCGCCACCTTCTATGCAAGCAGCAGACAGTGACTTAGAAAGACTGATTTGAATTCAGGGACTGGAAAATCGTTCGTTGGCGCGCTTCTTGCCAAGGCCTTCCACAGTTACAGCGAAGAAAAGATCCTTGTGATGTGCTACACAAATCATGCACTGGACCAGTTTTTGGAAGACCTTCTTGATATCGGAATTAGACCATCGGATATGGTTCGTCTAGGGTCAAAGTCCACAAACCGCACGTGGCCTCTGAAAATCTCTGAGCAGAGCTCTACGTATAGGCGGTCTGCGTCGAGCTGGAGCGTGATCAACAATTTGAATGAAGAAGCCAGTGAAGCCAAGACAACTATTCGCAGCTCCTTTGAAGGGTACCAGAACGCCAAACCAACTATCGGCGACATTCTTGAGTATCTGGAATTTGAACAGCCAGACTTCTTTCGTGCCTTTTGCCCTCCACGAACTGAACGGGGAATGGTAACCGTTGGAAGAGACGGGAAAAGAATCACGCATAAGACTTTGTACCAGCGCTGGCTCTCCGGCAGAAGTCATGAACTGAAATCAGCTGAGCTTCTGGATGATGAATCTGTGGCTGTATGGAGAATGGATCCATCAACACGTCAAAACCACGTCAATGAATGGATACAAACGCTACTTGAGGAACAGGTTGCCAATCTTCGAAATGAGATGGTGCGATTAGATGATTATCAGAGTCAACTTGAAGATCTTTGGGACGAGAAAACCCGCTCAATCCTTCAGTCAAAGCGCATCATAGGTTGCATCACCACAGCAGCCGCGATGAATACTGCAGCAATCAAACTTGCGTCTCCGGGGATTGTTCTTCTAGAAGAGGCTGGCGAAATCTTGGAGTCGCATATCCTGACCGCACTGGGACCCGAAACAAAACAATTGATTCTCATTGGAGACCATCAACAGCTGCGACCCAAGATCAACAACTACGGTCTGTCGGTGGAGATGGGCATGGTTACGATCTCAACCGGTCACTTTTCGAACGTTTAGTTCTTTCTGGTTATCCCCATTCTACCTTGGCCATTCAACACCGCATGTGCCCTGAGATCTCCTCCTTTATCAAGACTCTCTCCTACCCCCGTCTTCTTGATGATCCGAAAACAAAGAATCGGCCGGTCCCTCGTGGCCTGCGAGATAGGGTCATCTTTATCAACCACACAAACCCAGAGCAACAGCTGCAGAATATCGACGATCGCGACACAGTGACCAGGGGGAGTAAGCAAAATAAATTCGAAGCTGAGATGGTGTTGAAAATTGTTCGATACTTGGGGCAACAGGGATATGGCACAAAGAAATTGGTTGTGCTCACACCGTACCTGGGCCAGCTGCACCTTCTACGAGATATTCTTCGCAGAGAGACAGACCCAGTCCTGAATGATTTGGACGCCCATAATCTCGTGCGCGCCGGATTGCTCTCTCAGGCTAGTGCGCAGAATCAAAAGCGGCCTATCAAGCTGTCGACGATTGGTAAGTCCATGTGAGATTAAAGAATTTTTATTTGTGCTGACCAAACAATCTAGACAACTACCAAGGAGAGGAAAGTGATATCGTTGTCGCGACGCTGACGAGGAGTAACGAAAACGGCGACATCGGTTTCATGGCGGCTCAGCAACGCCTGAACGTCTTATTGTCTCGCGCCCGAAACATTTTGATCATGATTGGCAATATTGAGACATTTGCTGGAAGCAGAAAAGGAAAGGAGGTTTGGCGTCCTTTCATCAATCTACTTCACGCGGGCAATCATCTCCATGACGGTCTTCCTGTCAAATGCGAGCAGCATCCTGACCACAAAGCAATTATCTGCACACCTGAAGATTTCGATACGCAATGCCCCGATGGCGGGTGCCATTTGCCTTGGTATGATAATTGATTATGCAAAAAGCTTCAAGTATTAACTGCTAACAAATACAGTGGAGTCAAATTGAATTGTGGTGTCCACGATTGCCCATACAGGTGTCACCAGCTATCAGACCATTCGCAGATGGAATGCCGGACCATAGTACAATGGGAGTGCCCACGAAAGCATCGCATGGCACGGGCATGTTCGCAGGTCAAGGCGGATTGCCACAGGTGCGCCGCCGAGGACAAAGCGAGAGAGAAACGAGAGAAGCGAGATGCCGACCTGGAGGCTAAGCGCGACCGATTGCAGAAAGGATACATGGCCAAGCTGGACGCTATCAAAGATGAGATTGAACACGAAAGACAGAAGAGAAAGGATCAGTCTGACCGGGACGAGAGAGAACGTGTCCTTGAGCAACAGAGACAAGAGCTTCATAGGCTAAAGAACGGTTCGAACCGAGCGGACGCACATGATCCCCAAGGTAACAGCCAAGTCAGCAGCCAGCAGCCAGTTTCCGCGTCGAATAGAAGTTCCCCTGCCCATACCACTTAAGACGAAAGAGCTGATGTCAGTTCATCTCATGATACTGAGGATCCTGTTGGTACCGACAATTCGTCACCTGCCGAGGAGGACTGGAAACACCAGAAAGATTTCGAGGGAGCACAAAGCGATGAAATTGATAGCCTGATGGCAATGATTGGTCTTGAAGGTGTGAAACAAATGTTTCTGGACATCAAGGCTCAAGTGGACACAGCGATAAGGCAGGGGATTGACTGTAAAAGCGAACGTTACGGATCAGTTTTACTGGGCAACCCGGGAACGGGTTAGTCTTTTTGTCTTTTCTTTTTTGCAGATCTCTGAAGGACGCTAACGATTGATACTAGGAAAAACAACCGTCGCAGGCCTGTATGCCAAGTTTCTCACTGCCATGGGTGTCCTTCCTGGAAGCTTCATATCCGAGACGACCGGGTCACGACTAGCGAACGATGGTGTGAAGGGCTGCCAGAAGCTGGTTGATGACATCCTCACAAACGGGGGCGGTGTACTCTTCATCGATGAAGCGTATCAACTAGCACAAGGAAATTCTCCAGGATCCCAGGTGATCGACTTCATTCTAGGGGAGTCCGAAAAGCTCACCGGGAAGGTAGTTATACTCCTTGCTGGGTATCGGAAGCCCATGGAAAAGTTCTTCGCGCATAATCCTGGGTTACCGAGTCGCTTCCCCCGAGAGTTCGCCTTTGACGACTATACCGACAGTGAGCTGAATCGCATTCTGGCATACCAGATTGAAAAGAAGTTTTCTGGGAGGATGAAAGTCGAGGGAAGCTTGACAGGGCTGTATTGCCGGATTGTCGCACGGCGCTTGGGTCGACAGCGTGGAAAAGAGGGCTTTGCGAATGCTCGTGCCGTTGAGAATGCCTGCTCCCGCATATTCGAGCGCCAGGCTCGCCGTTTGAAGAAGGACAGAAGGCACAAAAAGGTGGTAGATGATCTTTATCTGACCAAGGAAGATTTGATCGGCCCCGAGCCCTCCGCCGCGCTCGAAAAGTGCGCTGCGTGGAAGAAATTGAAATCGATGATTGGATTGAGTACAGTGAAAAAGAACGTCAAAGCACTGCTAGACAGCATACAGTTTAACTACCATCGCGAATTGAATGAGGAGCCACTTTTGGAATTCACGCTCAATCGTGTCTTTTTGGGATCGCCTGGGACTGGGAAAACCACGGTCGCAAAGCTTTATGGCCAGATTTTGGTGGATATTGGGTTCTTATCTACTGGTGAAGGTCTGTTAGTTCTTTCATTTTTTGTTTCTTCGCCCACCTCCTAACACCCCGTCGCTTGCAGTCGTTGTGAAAAACCCAGCAGACTTCGTTGGCAGTGTCTTGGGCGAATCTGAGAAAAACACCAAAGGCATCCTGGCCTCCACACTTGGCAAGGTCCTGGTAATCGATGAGGCCTATGGGCTTTACGGTGGGACCGGTTCCCAAGGGGGTGCTCAAAGTGACATCTACAAAACTGCGGTGGTTGACACGATTGTCGCAGAGGTTCAGAGTACGCCAGGGGATGATCGCTGTGTTTTGCTTCTTGGATATGAAGATCAGATGAGAACCATGTTTCAGAACGTCAACCCAGGATTAACTCGCCGGTTTCCACTTGACTCGGCCTTCACGTTTGAGGATTTTACGGATCACGAGATGGGGCAGATCATGGACTTGAAGTTGAAGCAGCAAGGTTTCAAGTCTTCGCCACAGGGTAGAAAGGCCGCATTGGAGGTTCTGGCACGAGCTCGCAATCGCTCAAACTTCGGGAACGCCGGTGAAATCGACATTCTACTGAACGCTGCGAAGTTAAGCTACCAGCGCCGGCTTTCGGAAAAGAAAGCTTCTGGCGACTCTTCTCGACTGGAGCCCGAGGACTTTGACCCAGACTTTGGTCGCGCTGATCGCGAGGGCACTAATATTCCGATGCTCTTTTCCGGGGTGGTTGGCTGCGAGAAGATCGTGCAACAATTAGAAGGATACTGCCAGACTGTAAAGAACATGCGGGAACTGGACATGGACCCGCGAGAGCAAATTCCTTTCAACTTTCTGTTCAAGGGCCCACCAGGTATGAACTCAAAGCGATCATTTGGAAGTATAGGTGCTAAGATTGCTCAGGAACTGGTAAAACATCGACTGCCCGCAGGATGGGGAAGGTCTATTATGACATGGGCCTTCTTAGTTCTGCAGAAGTGATTGAAAGCTCGACAACAGATCTCATCGGGCAGTACATTGGGCAGACTGGTCCCAAAACCCAAGCACAGCTGGAGAAGGCGTTGGGAAAGGTGCTCTTGATCGACGAAGCATATAGGTTGGCCGAAGGGCAATTCGCCACAGAAGCCATGGATGAAATTGTGGACTGCATCACAAAGCCTAAATTCTTCCAAAAGCTGATCATTATCTTGGCCGGTTACGACAAGGACATAAACCGACTCATGGCAATCAACCCTGGCCTGACAAGTCGGTTCCCTGAGTCGGTCGAATTCAATGGTCTTGGTCCGGATGACTGCACTCAATTGCTGACCACCCTGCTCAAAGTCCAAAAGAAAGGATTGTCGGAAAGGCGCGCTAGTCTCGACATGGGTGTCTTGGAGTTGATGTCGCAAGATTTCAAAAACGGTCTGTACACGCGTTTTGCCACATTGAGCAACATTGAAAACTGGGCGAATGCAAGAGACGTGCAGACCTTGGCGAAGGGCATTTTCGGAAAGGTGATTCGGAAGAAGCGAGGCAAAACACTCGTGATAGATGAAGGCCTGATCATCGCGGAGTTGGATCATATGATCAACGAAAGAACCTGTCGCCAGAACGCACAGTCAACTGGAAGAAGTGATTCCCGATCTCAAGGCCAAATCGCTCATCTTGATCACCAACCTCCACCCCCATCGTTGATAGAAATAGACAAAAATACTGGCAGCAATGTGGACACAGATCAGCAACCAGAGGATGAAGTTCATGAGCTATCGAAAGTCGAGGCTACCACGACCAGAGACGCAGGGGTGTCGGACGCAGTTTGGGGTCAGCTCCAGCGAGACAAGCTCGAAAATGAAACTCGTGAAAAGAGCTACCAGGAACTTGCTGCAGAGGAGAAAGAAACCGAAAGGAGGGTCCAAGAGCTTGAAAAGAATGAGAAGTCGTCGAAAGAGCGCCCTCCTGATGAGGATGACAATGAGAAGAAACGTCGCGAACAAGAGCGCATCCTCCATGAAATCCTCCGTAGGAAACGTGAAGCAGCCGAGCTTGAACAACAGAAAGAACAAAAGGCTCAGCACAAGCTAAGAAAAATGGGTGTTTGCTGTATGGGATATGCCTGGATACGGCAGTCTAACGGATATCGCTGTGCTGGGGGTTCTCATTTTGTTTCGAACCAACAGCTTGGAATTGGATCGGATTGATCTGGAAATATTCTGCTTGGTCAATAGCCTGTCGTCATGTGAACAGGGATTAAATTGTCATTTTGGATGGTAGAATTAACAACGTGTCTTCAATTCGCCTACCCGGGAGCTTGCAACTGCTAGACATCGAACCAGGCGCAACTAATATGTCTCATTTTATTGCTTTGAAGCAATTCACTACCCAAAGAATGTCCATGCGGGAATTTGAATTGTTTTCATCTGTCTCTTTACGATTATAGGAGTTATGGTCTATTTATCAAGGTGTCTAATGCTGTAGTTGAGTTTAAAGCGAGAAATCCCATTAGTAGGTTGAGAATATAGCAAAGAGCTCAGCCTCTGAAAAAGGCCAATTGACTTTGAATTTTAAAATGAGATTAATCATACGGGATCATCCCAATAGCCTGTTGAGTGGCCTTGTTGATGACCGGCGGCCCATAAGGATGAAGGATGTTCCAGTCTGCCATTTGCTCCTCCTTCAGGACAAAATCGGTGGGATCGTGTGACTGTCATTTGATCAGTAAAGCCCACTACAGAATCACTTAATCAACTTACCGTCATATAACCCCGTTTGAAAGCCTCTACTTTGCGTTCTCTTTGCTCCTCCGTCAAGAGATCGATGGGCTTGTAGCATGTGTCTGATCATGGTCAGCTCAGATCCGCGACACTGAGGAAAATAAGAAAGACTTACAAACAGCCATCCGCTTGTTGTTTCCGAGCGGCGCAGCGCCGTAATGAACGGCTCGAGAGTCCCAGAGAACGAAGTCGCCGGGCTCCATGCTGGGTTTTACCCATTCACAGCCTCGGTCTTGGAACCATTGGAGCTCCTTATCCGTCCAGTTGAAAAGATCCTTTTTGATCCAACCACCCTCGGGCTATATTAATCAGTATCGGTTGCTTGAATTGTGTGAAAGTTTGGGTCCTTACAGCTTGATGCTCCTTGAAGTATTGCTCGAATAGCGGAGCCGTACCGCTCATCACGGCAAGGCCACCGTCTTCGGGGCCATTTGGAAGCTGAAGTAATGTGTCAGCAAAGGGAAAGGCATACGATTGCATGAGACATACTAGGTTCAACAAGCCCTGAATGCAGTGGGGCCAGGCTCGATAGGCACTCTGATCTGACTAGAATGAGGTCAGCATACATAGGGGAAGAAACAGGTTTCTGATACTCACGTGAGGCCAAGGTGCCTTTCCATGACCGGGCTCATCGGGAGTCGGAACAGCCAGCGTGCCTCCGTCTGCCATGGTCAGCAAGATGCCTTCGAGCGAAATCACAACACTCTATACCATATGATACCGTGAGCTTCTCTGTGCCCCAGATCTTCGCAAAGATATCGCGAACCCCGGGCTCTGATTTACAGTCCCAAACGAACTGTGCATGGGCAAAAGAGAAGCTAAACACTGTTAGTCGCAAGCCTTCAGGGAAGTTTGATATAACTTACTGGTCGAATAGTCCCCCATGACGATGTCTGGGAAAGTTTTCAGATTTCCATGTTGACGGGTCATCACGCTTGTATCCCAGTTTGAACCCTTCGAGCCATTCCTCGCCCTTGTCAGCATACTTGAGGGCCCTGTCTTTCGGCACTGCCCCCTTCACTAAGGCCCACTAATGAACGTGTCAGCACCGGAATTATTCAATATCCACAGAAGGTCTCACCCCGTTCTTGTGCAGGTCTTTGAGCCACGACGGACTCTCGGAGGTGAGAGGCGCGAGCTTCGGACTAGGTCTCTCAATGCCCAAAGGCCCGCGCGGGTCCTCCCAGTTGTCTTGTTCCACCCATGTCACGACCGTTCGAACGGGTTGGCCTACCGCTACCGCGAACAAGGGCGGGGCTCTATGAATAGAGGGCGTTGCGTGTCGGGCTAGTTTGTTGACGAACATTGTGCTGAGTGGGTTCTGCGAATAATGGGAGCAGGCATGTGAAGTGAGGTCCCTATTATATGCTGATGCATCTCTCATGTACAGTGCGGTGTTCGGTACCCTTTTGGGAAATGGCTCCGCGGAATGCGGAAGTGCCACAAGGGGCAGTCGGCTCGGTTGTAAATGGGACACCTCCACACTGATATTTAGGTAGGACGTCCAGTTACTTCATGGTGCTTGTTGGGCGAACTGAAGTGTGTTGTTATGACTTGGTTCAACGTCCAGTGGTTGAGGCATCGCAACTGAAACCACAGCGATTCCCAAATCAGCGCCTTATTCTTCGAAGAACCATTAGTTCCCCGAGGCCCTGGTAGAATAATCAAGATACTATCAAGTTGACCTGTTTTGCTTTTCTGCGTTACCAACTTGACACTATTAGCGTAGTATTGGATTTTCTGCATCCCTTTTCTGAGCCAAGCCTAAATACATATCTGTCCCCGTAACGGACGACAGTGGGCCATTCATCTCCGAAACAATTGCTAAGAGAACGCAAAAATATATTTCGACGCTGAATTGTGTAGGAATTCAGCGAGATTCCGGATGCCTACCGGAGCGTTCCGCTGACCTATCCCAAGATGATGTCATTCGATCATGTTTTATGGGAGGTTCCATTAGTTGATCACCGCCTTGATCAGCATAAATAGGGCCTTTCTGCGTGTATCTAGAGCTTCATCTTTAACAATCTTTCATATATCTGTTTTCTAGTCAATTGAATTGTTCTATCGTGGACCACCCCCCTCTGCCAATTTCCTACAAATTGAATTTACTTTGAACCACAAAACCTTTCTATGACCCAAAATAAGCAATCACGAATCAACTAGCATTGAATAGAAGCCATGGCACTTTCAATTTTTGCCTGACTTCTCTTTTCCGCAGCAACGAAACTATCCAATGCTTCAGAAAGTCGCTTTCTAGTGGTATCGTCTGCATTGTTGGCCTTGTCTATCTTAGCTCCTCCATCGACCAAATAGTCCAAGTCTGTGCTTGGCAGTTTGCCATCCCAGTGAGGACTGGCAAGCGTGTCTAGATCGGCTATTGGGTAGAGGCGCTGCGGAGTCAACGATGCCCTCTTATACGGATGTTGCAGCTTCGGCTCTCCCTGCCCTGGTTGTTTGGAACGCTCATAGGGATAATTTGCCATCTGAGCGAGGACCTGATGGGAGATCGTGGCGGATTGACACCCAAGCTCGCCAGCTGCCATTGCTTCCGCCGGAGATAGAAAACTGGACGAAGTTAAGTGGAGATCCTCGTATTCTGTTTCACTAAGCCTTACCTTGCGAGTTTCACCAATGGCTGCTCCTTGCCTGTCTCCTTATACAATGTGTGATAGACCTTGAGAATTTGAATCAGCCGTGATGACATCGGATGTAGTAACGCTGGGTCTTCTGATTCAGGCCAGAAGTTCGGATCCACATGCGCACGAAGCTCTGTAGGCCAAGACAGTCAGATCGCATGTCAAGCATATCCCGATTCTTGTGAATCCTCACCATTGTAATAAGGGCTGATGTACAAACAACCCGCCTGACTCGCAGCAATTGCTTGATGGACGCTAAACACGGCTGTTCCGAGGGTACGAATTCCTTCGTTCTCAAGTATAGCACATGCTGCCAATCCTGGGCCGGTGCACGGAATCTTCAAACAGAACCGGTCTTTTGAGATGCCGGCTCTTTCGAATTCACGAATGTATGCACGTCCATGCTCCAGGGTCTTCTCGGTGTCGTAGGAATATGAAGGGAGCGTTTGAAGCAGGACTCGGCCATTTATGTTTCCGATATTTGCCTGGCACATGAGAACTGACTAGGACGTATTAGCGAACGGACACCTTGAAGCGTCGACATCAGGATATTACCATCCGAGTGTAGACAGCCAGCCACCCATCTTGCTTGCACTCCTTGACGACCTTTCGCAATAGATCATCATTTCTGGGATAGCATAGCTGGTCGTGCACCAAAATCTGGTTACTGGTCATGTCATGGGGAACGAATGGAAAGAGACTCAGGGTGAATGCGGGATCCATGCAGTCAACGTCCACGTTTACTGCTGGCATGTCAGCTTCTAAACATAAGATGGCGAGGAAGAAAAGCCATTCGCCCACACTGTTCATCCAATTTGTAGAGCCATGTTGGGGGGTTGGTGATTGTCATCTTGGAAATCGCTAGATGGTGTCAATGATGGGAGCTACGAAGCAGCGTATGAGGGCCGTATGAAGTGGGGTTGGGTAGACATTTTAAGCGATACTAAATGTACAGCATCACAGCTCATCGACTCTAATGCATGCGTTGTCCCCGGATGAGAGTCGTCCGGGTTGGAGAAGCAATGCGTGCGGAGAAGCCGAAGAAGGGAATTCCGCATCTTCTGTGCCTCGACAGTGGAACTACCTTCACTAGACCTTTCTTTCGCGACGACCCGATTCCTGTATTCAGGCCTTTAAGACCACAGAGAAAACTACAGACACAGCCCCTGGCTCATTTGGAATCATCAAAATGCCCGAGCCAGTCTCAATAGCCTCCCAAAACATTGGCAACAATAGACATTCGTCTATTTCCGCGCCAAGAACTGCAAACGCACCACTTGCAGATCCGTTCCTTGATTTCACGCGCGATCTAGTGAAAGGGAAAGAAGAGGCAATTGTGTCTAGCTGGTGCAGACTTCTGCGGCAACTTAAGATCGAGAACAACTTGATCGCCCAGAAGGAGCACGAGATCATCCCGGAAATCTCCTTTGACGATCTGGAGGCCGAATGCGAAGATCTTAGAGACGAAATACAGAAGAGAGGAATGGTCATTGTCCGTGGTGTCCTTCCGGAAGAAAAAGCTTTCGCGTGTAAAAACGACATGGATGATTGTTCCCGCAAGAGTCCAACGACACAGGGTACGTACGTATTTAACTGCGCATATCACAGTGACTTACAGACAGTACAGGAATTCCCTGGAACAACTGCGAGCCAACCCGGTCAGCAGCAAAGCTCAGAATGCGCTCACACCCGTCAATTCTCAAGGTCCAATGCCACTTGATGGCATTTCTGTGGGATACCTGCCCGGAAACAGAAATATCCCTCACCATCCCACTCGCATCTGCCGGCCGAGCATGTACTGATCACCGAATTGACGATCCCCTCATAGACGGTGAAAGCACTGAGCGCTGGGTAGCAGGAGCCTACAGAAAACGCGAAATATACGAGAATGTCTTTGAAGGGGAGTGGGAGAGCTACGATCCATGGGACGCTAGTGGCAGAGCGGAGGCAGTAAACAATCTATACGATGGGCTGGGTGCACCGTCAATGTTCAAATTGTGGCAAGGATGGCTGAGCATGAGCTACTCTGGTACTGGAGAGGGCCGCATACTCGTCAATCCATTGATTCAGCTAACCACTGCGTACTTATTGCTTCGTCCGTTCTTCAGGCCAATCAATGAAATACGAGGACCTGGATTCTTGGATGAGGATAACTGGATCTTCACAGGGGAGCCAGACATGACAAGTGAGCTACATGGTGCAGCTCCTGGCCATTCTCAGGAACTCAATGATGCATTGCATCCTCACCTAGAGCTTCATCGTACAATGGTCCACCTTCCTCCTCTCAATCCGGGCGATTTTGTCGCTTGGCATTGTGACTGTAAGTCTTCATCTCCTTTGTGTCCGAATACGTCGGAGGTATCATGCCGGCTAATGCAGTACTGTGCTAGCAATCCACGCATTGGACAAGACTCTTTATGATAATGAGGACTGCCGCCTTCTTTCTATTCCAGTGTGCCCTGTCACTAAAACCAATGCGATCTGTCTTGCGGGCCAAAGGGCGGCACTCCGAGGCAATCAGTCTTCTGATCTCTCCGGAGCCGAAGAAGGAGCCGAGAAAACTGACCAGCCGTCCGAAGAAGTGCTTCGATCTTGGACAGATGATGTTGGTAAACAAGCCTTTGGGTTGGAAGGACTGGTGACAGAAGATATTGCACTACCAGGGGAGAGGCGGGTCATTGAGAAGGCAAATAGGATTTTAGGCTTCCAATGTAAATACAAGAGCCGACGCGCGCGAGGACATATGTCCCCTAGTCGGATGGATATTTTAGACAGATTTCGATTGTGATTGAAGTATGAATACCCGAGACATTGTCGAGAGACGTGATGGGTGATAACACTACCATAGCCTGGAAGAGAGACTCTAACTTCGAAGTAGGATCTGGATAATTGTAATTTACACTTTCATATTTCAGGGTTTTATTTTCTCGACAATAGTAGGTTGAGTTCCATCTTCCATATTCCCCGACCATTGGATAACAAGATCCGGTTTTAACAGATTCTCTTGGACAATGATCGCATTTAAAAAGTCGTTCTTGTCAATGCGTTTGAATGCATCCTGCAGTGTTTGTTCAATTCCTGCCTCAATATGACGCTTCGCCAGCTGTTCTCGTACCTGCGCCGGATCCACGTCGAGAAACACACTGTAGTCGAACAAATCTATTAGTCCCCGCCACTGGGGCTCGTCCAGTAAAAGATAATTCCCCTCGAAGATGACGATTTGGGTATCGGGTGTCACGATGACCTTATCCTCAACGGGATCCTTTCCTTCGTGGTCAAAGCCCGGCGCTTTTATGGCGTCCTGCTGCGCGAAAGGTCCGTCATTTGCCCATCTTCAAAGTTGACGAGCAAACGCCTGTAGACGCACAGTGTCGAAAGTCCATGGCGCTCCGCGACGGACAAAAGCTGCCGCCGGGTCTGGTGAACGGCGCAATTCCTCCTGTGTCAAGTGGAACCCGTCCATAGATAAAAGCGCCGCCATTGCATTGCCGCTGCTGTTGAGTTCACGGACCAGGGCTTGCGCGACCGTCGTCTTGCCGGACCCCGGAATTCCTGCAAGGGCTACCAGAAAGCGCGGTCTTGAGTGCGCATTTGCCTGCTGCTGAATTAAATCGACCAGCCTTCGGGTATCAACCTCCATGTTCCTGTCGATGTATATCCAGTGGTCAGCTACTCACCAGTTCACAAGGCGAGATCTCACTGTAACTTACCTTTAACCAGGTTGTATTGGGTTCACCTTTTGATCAGGGCAACAAGAAACGGACACAAGGCAAAGGATAAAACACGCCCATAGCAAAGGGAACTGTCTCTCCAAGCGAGTAGGTGGCATCGGCTCGATGTATTCCGACGGAAAGACGATTTGGTGGAATTAACCCATTGGGAACCCCGCAATCCACGTCCATTCGCTGTGAGAAATAGTTTGGCAAATCAGAAAGAAAAGAAAACAAATCGGCCCCCCTTGCGTCTACTCCGGGGCAGGAAATCTCTACTGTGGAGAGGTGCGGCTATTTCCCGAACAGGGAATCTGATCCGCATCCCGATTTGGACATCATCCCGCATCGCTGGCAGTCCATTTTTGTTGTCAGAGTCAAGCATCGCTGGAAGCAGGAAAATTCCTTAAGGCGTTGTAGTTGGATTCGGATCTAGCTACATATAAAGCTCTTTGCGGCTCACGCGACCGGTGCCTCTTCGTCATACTCGGCATTGTTTATAAGGCTCAGAAAGCAATTCCACCCTGGGAGTACTTAGTATAACATACTCAACCCAAAGACCAAGAAGACAAACCTATATTGAAGACATTGACGGCAAGGACCCGATAATGAAGAGGCACCAGATAGAGATTCACTCCCTGCAGGATAGGCCAAATGCACCAATTGGTGCGAAGCGCCTCCCAATACGTCCGTCGCAGCTTCTCGCGAGGATCGCTTCCCTCTAGAATAGACATACTCGACAGAAACACTCCAATCATCGTAGGAGCGCAGAAGAGCTGGTCAACTGCTACACGAGCGGCCAGTGTCTTGAGCGGAGAGTCTCGGCAAATGCGATTCTGCAGAAACTGAAACCATTTGGTCGCGAACGGTCCGAATACCGCTACACATTGAGTGAGCATGAAGATTGCATATAGAAGAATGGATGGAAGCTCCGTACCTCCGCCATAGAGAGTCATTCGCGCAGTGCGGCCTACATCGTAGTTGGCAAGTCCTTTCCGTTCAACACCCTGCTGGGCAAGGCAGTCTCCCACCGCAAATAGACCCTTCAATCAGTCAGCGAGCACTGTTGTCTGGACAGACATGATATTCGTTGAAAAGGCCTTCGACTTGCCGCAGTAGTTAAGCTCTGGGTCAGCACCGGACGCTGCAAGAGACTCCGTTGATACCTACAGTTGTCAGTCGAGTGGTACTGGAGACAAATGGGGATAGATAGCATACCAGCCAAACATTTCTAACCCAATTCAACCTGTACCGACTGTGAAGACAGTTGAAGAAAACGGCTTTTCGCATATTCCCTGGACTTTTTGTAAATCCATCGGAGTGTCGGAGACGCTCCATCAGGAAAGTCCCGCAATCTCCCCATCTGCTCTCTTCTCCGCTGTCGATTGCCACATCCGCCGTGGTCCGCGTTTCGGCTGGCGAGAAGGAATAAGGGTCTTATCGGTTGTTGGAAGCCGGCTAAATGATATCTGCACCCCCGCGGCTTCACCCCGTGGGGAGGCCACCCCGACCTGTGAGCGTGCCGGCTTTTCGCTTATCATCCTGGTCGCGGTATAAAAGGCCGTGCCCCAGAATCCCGGCAATTGAATGGTATCAGACATAGCGCTTGTTTCATTTCTTTTCTCTTTCCCCTGGTCTTTATCCTTCCTTGCTTCCACACACCCGAATTCGCCCCGGGTGAGTCCATTGTGAACGATATGCAAGGCCCTCAACTCAATCTTGACTGGAAATCGAATCGATGGGCCATTCTATACTGCCTAGTCGCCGCTATCGGGGCCCTTTGCTACGGATATGACACAATCTACTACACTGGCATTCAAGGCATGCCCTGGTTTATACAGGACTACGGAGAGCAAGGAGCAGATGGCACATACGCGCTAGGGACCACCTTCCTGTCCGTGTCGGCCAGTATTATCTACGTCGGAGAACTCTGCGGTGCCCTGGCGGCCGCTCCTATCAATGACGCCCTGGGACGACGTGTTGTGTTCCTCTCAGCCTCCATCTGTATCATCGTTGGCGCCATTGTACAAGTATGCTCCTTCGGCTCGGGCGCCGTCTTCTATGTCAGCCGAGTGCTAATCGGTCTGGGCATCGGGCAATTCACCGCAACCTGCCTGATGTACATCGGAGAGGTCGCGCCGCCTGCGATCCGCGGTCCGGCTGTTATGTCTTTCCAATTCATGCAGTCCATCTCTCAGCTGGTTGGAGCGTGCGTCAACCAAGGCACAAAAGACATCCAAAGTGCCCAGTCCTACGAGATCCCCATGTGCTTGCTGGTGGTCCTCCCAGGTATCATGCTCCTGTGTCTTCCGTTCACCCCCGAAAGCCCCGTCTGGTACATGTACAAAGGAAAGCGGGAGAAAGCCATCAAGGCCCTCCGCAAGATCAACCGCAGTGCTCGCGACTACGACCCGTTAGTGGACGTCCAAACCATCGAAGACCAAGTCCGCGTGGAGCGCGAAATGGCCAAGGACGCCACCTGGCTCTCCCTCGTCACGGACCCCATCGAGCGCCGCAAGCTGTTCTACGCCTGCGGCGCCATGTTCGTGCAGCAGATCAACGGCATCCAGTTCTGGTATACCTACGGCGTCGTCTTCGCGCAGTCCATCGGCGTTGCCGACCCCTTCACCATCAACACCATTATCTACGTCGTCCAGATAATCACCGTTGCTGTCGCCGTTGTCTTCGGGAATAGAATAAACCGCCGCAATTGTCTTCTAGTTTGCTCTGTCATCATCTTCGCCTCCCTCATCGCTGTCGGTGGCCTCGGCACTACTCGCGACGCGGACGGCTCCTTCGGCTACGGCGTCAGCATCGGCATCATCGTCCTAGCGTATGTCAATATCATCGCTGTCAACTTCTCCATCAGCACCGTGTCATACTCGATTGTGTCGGAGATGGCTGTCGGCAGGAACAGAAACAAGATCACATCTTGCGCTATCAGCGTTTTCTTCATCACTGTCTGGCTCATGGTCTTTACGAGTCCGTATATGTACTACACGGCGAACCTGGGCCCGATGATCGGGTTTGTCTACTGCGGCACGACTCTCTTTCTGTTGGCGTACTCGTGGTTCTGCGTGGGAGAGACTACGGGGCGTAGTGTATCTGATATTGAGCGCCTCTTCCAGGACCGCGTCCCTGTTGGGGAGTGGGCGACGTATGTAATTCCTGGCAAGTATGATGTCTCGGTGGACAAGGATGAGGGTAAAGATGAGTGCAATGAGCAGCAGATTGAAATGGCGTGACGGGTGGGTATCTGATATGAGATCGGTTTATGTGGCATGACTGGAAATTTAGATGATAGACAAGAGTAGGTTGTTCCTATGATCTGAAATGTATTTGATGACTGCGTATATCATTCCACCAGTATACACTGTGAGCGTTAAATTAATCTGTTCATTCGTAGTTTCATAATTAACACCACTGACAAACACCATGTAATTCATAGGTTGCTACTTTAATCGCGTGAAAGCAGTAGAGTAGCAAAACATGTAATCCCCAGCGCCTTTGTACCTAGCCATTAGAATATCCCCTACCATGGGAGCGGCTCATCGAAATCCATCAACGGCAAATGATCAAAGTTCACAGGGATTTCTGCGTCAAGATACATCCACGAGACATCATCCATACCAGAGAATAAATTCATAGTATCCAATTCAGGATGGGTCCTCTCAACGTCTTGCGAACGGTCCATCATCTGCGCATCCAGTGAGTGGGGCTGATGATCAACTTCTTCCACCGTGTCCCCGAGCTCTCTTCTCGAGGGCGGATGACTGTCTCTTTCTGTCCGATTGGACCGATTCACCCACAGCACGCCCAGGTTCGGTAGTTGATCCAGTGCAATGGAGATTCGATACGCCAGCGATGCCATTGCGTCGGCAGAGGCCCATTTGCGTCGCAGTTCTTGCAGAATCTCGCACCCGGTGTTGAAGTCCTGGCGTGCGTCTCCTTGGTCGCTCGGGAGCCGGCTATATCGTAATTGTTGGTATGATACGGATAGGGCGAGCGAGGCGGCGTAGACTATTATGGGGAATGGGTGGAGTGAGTTGAGTCGAGTTGGGTCTTGCATGTAGCGGATTAATTGGATGGCGGAGAGCTGCTGGCGCAGCCGTGCGGCGGTGGGAGAGGGTAAGGTCGTGACCGTTTTAAGGCGATGGGCTAGGATAGCTGTGGCGCGGTAGAAGACATGCAACGTAGCTGTTGGGAGAGTGTGTCAGCTAGAGGAAATAGAAGTAGGTCTCCTAGATCTGATATTGCAGGACAAACCTATTGTGGCCGAGGGTAGATTCCACGCGTGCATTTCATCCATGATCTGCTCGAACCCCGGGTAATCGAGATCCCAGCCAGCAGTCGGGACCTTATTGTTCGGCCGATAGAGCCCAATAGCCTTATTCAACATCTTCGCAATTCTAAAACATACGTCAAAGGCAACTGAATTAGATTCCTCCGGCGTTATTTCCGGAACACCTATGTCGATGTCGGCCATGATGCATGGTCTCGAGTTAGTCGCAGCATTCATGCGGTCCAGAGTCCAAAGACACCAGAACAGCCGTTTGAATCCGTTATCAGTATCGTTGGGACGAGGCAAGTGAAGCGCTATTGACTGCGCGTTATGGACAGCCTGTGCAATGCAGCTGGATGCGCCTTCCATGCCTTCGCTTCCTTCTTGGTGCAGCGAGAGCAGCCCGAGAATGCGCATAAGAGTGATCTTCCCCAACGAGGCACGACGGGTTAGAGCTGCCGAAAGGGACGTATACAGTTGACTGCAGAATTCTCGCGCGGAGAGGGGAGTATCTCGTGATTGAAGAAGCTTCAGATGCTTCTCCGCCGCAGCGTCCTTAGCTGCTACTAGACACAAAACATGCACAAGGGGCACCGGAGCCGTCCCTCGGGATAGTGATTGCCAGTATTGTTCCTCATTCAGAAGCGGTATCATGGGATGTATGTTATTAAAATAGATTTCCGAGAGCGCCTTGATGGTTTTTCCGGATAGCATGTCCGATCCGGGTGGTAGGAACCGGCTCAGTCTTCCGGTCGAAGGAGGATGCGGCCTTGACGGAGAGCATTCTTCCACGCCCGAAGCACATTTACTGCAAGGATGCGGCTGCACCCAGACTCCCACTTCCCCCGGAGCCATGTTTTGCGCATCCTCGGGCGTCGTAGTTTTGTCCAGGAGTCTCGCCTCGGGGTTCAAATCACCCACGAAACGCGTGGTGAGAGGGCTCGCATGAGTGTCTGATCCGCATGTATGATTATGCGTCTCTGCTTCGGACTCTTGCGGTGGGAGGTGATTTTGTGGTTGGTCTGCCTGGTTCTGACTTCTCGTCGTCCCAGCGTGGCTCTGTTGGCCGCTGGGCGACGCCGATGGATCTCGGGCGCTTGTCAATTCACGTCTTGGCCCCGGACCAGAGGCGGCCGGCGCTTGAGATTGAGATTGAGGGGTTTCGTGCGACCCCATCCACGCCAGAGAACGCGATGGGGACGAAGAGGTCACGGAATGCGACAGGTCTCGGTGATTGCATCGTCGCTGGGAATCTGCGGGTTAGAATGACGTTGAACTGGAGGTTCAAGGTTGTGGCGACACGCACCTTCTGGAGTCGACAGCGGCTGCAGGCTCTGCGCGACCGGACGCGTCGCGACGACCGCTCACTCGAATCGGGATACGGGACAAACGTTAGATTTCCTGACATGCTTGCGTTGTTGCGGCTTTATAGGAGTCGGTCGGACGAAAAGTCGGAGCAAATTCTCTTTTCGGTCAGCCGAAGAATGCGGGGAAGCGGATGCCCGGGTGCCTCGGCGCCTTACTGCCTTAAGGCAGTCAACTCACAATGTCTCACGATATTACGGCCTCATAATATAAATTGTTTCTCGAAATAGTCCTCAATAGCTCTGAATTATCATTCGAAGTGTTTCGATGTAGAGTCTCTGTTCCTCGAAGCTCTAGGCTGTTAAAACCAAAATCAGCCTGGATATATATCCTGTTCCTCTCCGACCTATACTATTGGTATTTTCCCTTGTGAGAAGTGCTACTGCCACCATAACCAAGTTTGACGTTGCCTCAGAGACCCGAATGAGCATTTTGGAAGCGTGAAATTACCACGTCTCCGGCCCGAACTTTCCTCCTTCTCTGACAGTCTTCCGATAAGCCGTATACAACGAGTCCTATCCTCATTAGCAACCATCCTCCAACAAGACCATCTACACAGAGAACAAAACCTATACTTACCATTGTCTCATAAACAGCTACGTTGCCCCACCAGTTCGGAATGGCCACGTCCGGCAAAGTAATCGCAAAGAATATAATAATGGTGGAGATAACGAGCCCGGAATCCAGTCCCGCCGCCGTGATGTAGTTGTACGTATGCCACCAGCCGGGCCAGCGACGACGGATGAAGTAGTTGAACAACAGGCCGAACATAGCCCAGCTTGAGAAGCTCAGTGGGGTTGCTCTGTGTGCGCTTGTTAGTTTGCAGAGTATAGTATAGGAGTGGGTTACGTACGGAGGAAGCCAGGCCATTGCGCCGAGCATTCTTTGGCTTGGTTAGTTATGGACGGCGGAATCTAAGAATGATGGAAGGGAATGCTAACACTGGTGCATTTAAAAACCGCGCTGGCGAACGAGGCCAGAATCTCATACAGATGTAGAACGCGATGGGCAGAAGAGCACCGAGCAACCAGAACCATTGGATGGAGGTGTAGATTGCTCCAGGGCCGAACATGCGTTTGGGACCGATCACACCTGAGAGCCTATGATTAGCTAAGTTGTGTTTTGGTGGAAAGGAAACCCACCCCAGACAATACTCGATGAGAAGAAAGTCGACCCGTTCGGACAGGTGAAGTGTGCGGATTGATCACTGCTCGGTCTGATTAATTCGCATGAACGGAGATTGAAGACGGGATGGAACCTACGAAGTGCAGACGCCATCGATATTTGCGAGGGTCCAATTCATCACAGCGACTTGAACAAAACAGGCCCAAGCTGTTGCAGCCACCTGCGCAGTGAAGACTATCCGGGGTGGAATTTTCATGTAGTGTGCGAGCTGGACGGGGTTAGGCCATTTTCATAATCAAGAATCGGGGCTTATACTTTCAAATCCTGGCAGTAGGTTTGACTGGATTCATTAGCACGCTGATGAATACTCGAGAGAGAACTAAACCTACGCTTGTCCAAGGGTGATCGTGCTAAACACCTTGAAGATCATAACCCCAATGGGCTTCCCGGGGATCATGAACCCGGCAAGGAAAGGCGACAGAACGTTCAGCGCTGTCAATTATTTAGCCTCAATTAATATCGAGGAGTAGTGAAGAACATACAGAGGGTGATGTTGGTAATCGCTAGGATCATGCAGGTCGGAATCTGCCGAGTTAGCAAATATCAGCCCAGGGAAGGGGCACACTTACAACAAACACCACAGCAATGATAATGGACACGAAAAACGCCCACCCTATCAAGTCAGCGGACAGCCATCGGAAACCAGAAACTACAATGTACATACAAGGAGTCTGCGTATCATAGCCAAGAATTCCAGCCAGCCCCAGGGCGATAGATACCAGAAACAACGCCGCGTACCACCACTCCGGAGCTTCCCGATATTTCTTCATCAGATGCAGATGGATATCCGGCTCTTGATTCTGTGCCGTTTTGAAGCGGTACCATATTTCCTTGTGATGAAATACAATGACGTGAAAAATTGCCGCGGTGAGCGCCGCGAACGAGAGACCGTAATTCAGAGCAAAGGTCGGCGCCAAGAACATGGGCGAGTAAGCTTTGTATTTCTGCTCATCAAACGAAAATCCAGGACCGAGAATGCGGGAGACATTGTACTTTTGCTGCGTGTTGTCGTATGTTGTCGATGTGTTTATAGGGAGGTAGTCAGAGTACCTGGCTTGTTAGTATGGCTCATCCAGAAAGAATGTGGAAAACGGGAATCGTACAGAGCACCTGTATAGGCGATACCTATAGTAGAGATAATAACAAATACAATCAAACCGATGAGCGTGTTGAGGAGCGCGTGCACTGGCGCGAGCAATGGATCGAGGAGATACGCAGAAACGTAGCTAATTTGTCAGTATGCTAAGCGCCAGAGGGAAACAAGGCACTTACGTCCAGTCGAATGTAATTGGAATCAGCGATAAGCCGCTGAAGCCCCCAAAGAGCTGATTCAAGACCACATTGTTCGGTTTGATCCCTGTCTCATTAGCGCACTTCATTTCTGCTCGAGGGGGAAATTACATGTGATAAAAGCAAAGACCGACAGTCCTTGCCAGAGGACAGCGGGGATCCTAAACCAGTTAAATATTTACATAAAGAGAGAGAAAGGGACAACAAACCAGTACCACGCAAAAGCTCCCACCATCACATAGAGGAAGTATCGATACCGCGAGACAGTCCACCCGTTGCTTTGTGATGCATCCGACGTGCTTTTATCGTGGAGAGCGTAGAACAGAGAGGAATTCGCAAACATTCCGGGCCAGATCATGGCGGCAGGCCTAAGAACCTATATGAGATGAAGCCATATGAGACGGGGGTCGAAACGCACCACACGAGAAACCGACGAAAAAGACCCGCTAGCGAGATACCGATTAACTGGCTGCTGAGGGTGAATAGGAGTTGGAAACCCCAGCCGATGTCCAGATTGTATAGAGCTATTATCTTTTTAGATATTCCCTCGCTAACATTTAAAAAAGGCAGGGGATACTCACGCTTCGCTTTGAGGGCTAGCAGAGCATCCGTGCTATATGCATATCCGATAGAGACGCTTCGAGAGTCAGAATCACCTTTGCCTGAATACGGACTACCTACTTTGCCATGATCTATATAGTGTTAGCACCCGTAATCAAAGTCCAATTGAGGTACTCACCGTGATAACAGTATGCTCTTTGATTGTAAAAGGCCCTGTGTTAAGGGTCCATTTCAGACCGAAGGTGTTGAACACCTTCGTTGGCATAACCCTCGCCCATAAACAGGCAACCGGATACACCAGCAATTGCACGACAATCGCGGGAAACGAGATCGCAGGGCTCCTATTTCCTATCAGCCTGCATCGCAAACCCGAAAGAGAAAATCCTACCGCATGCTCAAGAACATATTCAGCCCACTCCCCAGCGTCACGAAAATCATGCCCAACACCCACGCGCGCACCGTATTTGCCACCTCCCCGCCATCGGTATTCCGTACAGCTGCGCGAACAGATTCGTAAGGGGAATCCTGGAGAAAAGACTTATCAACGTTCCCTGCCTTTTCCTGGTCGTCGGTCGCGGCGGCGTCGTTGATCGCGTCGAGCTCCTCCTGCGGTAGGTTGGGATCCCATTGGTGGGAATTCTTGATTTTGCGAAGATCCTTGATCGCTTCGTCGGCAGGATAAATGTAGCCGGTGGCGACCTCCGCCTGGGATGGCTCGATGCCTTTGTCTGAGGGCGTTTTGGCCATTTTGTGCTTCGGATTCGCAGTGAGCGAGAGAACCAAGATTGCGCGGGACGCCTGCCATATACAATGCAATTTATATATTCTCTGACCTCAATTTCTGGAGATAAAACTACCCCCTTACACTGCTAGTTTCCTCCGATATCCTGACTTATCTGCTCCAGCAAGCCAATGTAGCATCGAGCTACTGCTAGCGCCAGTCTAAGCTCGATTCCCCCGCACGGCAAGGCTTGTTTATCAACGCTTGACCCCTCCGTGGTCTCTTCCTATGCGCCTATCTGGCGCTACTAGTCATGGCCGGCTTGGTTTTGCTTGATAAGAGAAACCTGCTGATTCGTCTGGCGGAGCATCCGACGGTCGCATATCATCCGGTGACTCGCTAACAGAAGAGGGGGTCGCTTTTATCCGTCTAATCAGCCGGAAGGATGTATCTCTGGATGGGATTCTGAAATAGCGCGGATTTCTCCAACCATCAAGGATGTTACTGTTGCGGTGAAGGCGGCTTATTCCGTCGTGTGACGTCGCTGGCGCTGCGGTTCTTTTTATCCCTTGCGTTGTCGCGAGGAGGGAGAAGAAATCAACATTGCGCTCTTGCGGGCAGCTCGAATACGGAAATATGGTGTCTGCGACTTCGTTTAGAGGACTTACTATCAATCGGGCTGAACGGGTCCCGCTGCGCGACCGTATCGAATGCGTTACTGAGGATTTAAAAGAGATCCAAACTATTCTGTCCATAACGATATCCTTCAAGCGGACGCGACGACTCCGAGAATTCATAACCACTGAGCTGAGTTCGCTGCTCGGTGAGCCATTCGATGTGTATAACCAACAGGACAAGGTCGATTATCTTCTCCTGAAGAATTACCTCGAGCGACAGCTCCGTGACCTCGAACTCAATGTGGAACGGGATGAGAAAGCGAAGCCCTTGCTCCCCTTTGCTACGACGTTGGTCGAATTATGCGAAGCACGGGAGGCTGTTGACCCAGTGATCCCAAAGAATGTCGCTGAAATTTTATTCCGCACGCAGAAGGACGTTGTAGCCGTGATTGACCTTGTGGAGAATACGCCCGAGAAAATAAGCGTGAATAAGTCGAGCGCCTTCCGGGCGGCGAAGACCGTTGATGATCTACGCGAACATTTGACCGAGTGGTTCGGCTTTTATAAGGGGTACGATCCCTTGTTTGACTGGTGGGTTGCCAGTCCGTATAGCAGCATCGACAGCACCTTGGAGAGGCTTTCATCGACTATCCGTGAGAAACTTGTCGGAATCAAACCCGGTGACGAAGATGTTATCGTCGGCGAGCCGATCGACCGGGAAGGACTACTCGCTGAACTGCAAGCCGAGATGATCCCTTACACGCCGGAAGAGATTATTTCTATCGGGGAGAAGGAGTTCGAATGGTGTGTCAGGGAACTGAAGAAAGCGTCACAGAGCATGGGATTCGGGGACGACTGGAAAAAGGCCCTGGAGGAAGTCAAGAATGATTATGTCGAACCAGGCCAACAGACACAACTGGTCAAAGGTCTAGCACACGAAGCCATCTCCTTTGTCGAGGAGCATAACCTGATCACTGTGCCCCAGATTGCGAAGGAAACATGGCAGATGTTCATGATGTCGCCGGAACGACAGAAAGTCAACCCCTTCTTCCTGGGAGGGTCCTCGATCATTGTTTCTTATCCGACCGACACGATGGACCACGAGGCCAAGCTGATGAGTATGCGTGGTAACAACATTCACTTCGCGCGTGCGACCGTGTTTCACGAGCTGATCCCCGGCCACCGTCTGCAATTCTACATGAACGCGCGGCATCGCCCATACCGGCAACTCTTCGACACTCCATTCTGGATCGAGGGGTGGTCGTTATATTGGGAGATGATTCTGTGGGATGACGATCGCTTCGTCAAGACCCCGCAAAATCGGATTGGGATGTTGTTCTGGCGACTGCATCGATGCGCCCGAATCATCTTCTCGATCAACTTCCATCTAGGCCGCATGACGGCGCAGGAATGTATCGACTTGCTCGTGAATGAAGTTGGGCATGAGCGCGCCACTGCAGAGGGAGAGGTAAGACGATCGTTGGCTGGTGATTACTCGCCCTTGTATCAGGCTGGGTACATGCTGGGAGCGTTGCAGATTTATTCGTTGCGAAAGGAAGTCGTCGGGGGAGGCTTCATTCGGGAAATTGATTTCCATAATCGATTTTTGAAGGAGAACCGTATGCCTATCGAGTTGATGCGTGCTTTGATTTGCGAGATGCCGCTGGGGAGGGATTACAGTCCTTCGTGGAGGTTTTATCGCCTATAGCAGCAGACGCTGTGGAGTTAGGGCTGCCATGGCACGTGTCCCATCCATCCAGCTGCTGCCCTTGTCGAGTTTCTCTACAGTCAGACTGCGGAATGTTTTCAAATTGCAATATGAATTTCACGTGTCAAGATCCGCCACACTATCGTTACCTAGTTGGTGAATGTAGAGAATCCTGCCGTTGGTTCGTCGCGCTAACATCTGTCACAATCTAGGGTCAACAAATGACTGAGAAAAAGGGGCATTTGCCAACATGCAGCATGTACCGTCTTTTCCTGTTCCAAGCTAAGATTAGAAATCTCCTGACACCTTCCTTCTTTGTCACGCGGCTGTGAGTGTTACCCTTTTTGTACAGGCAGCCAGCCATGGCTGTCACTCGTGCCAAACTATAGGATATCCACATCAGGCTACAACTTTACCAGCTTTGCTCTTCCATGATGTATGACTATCTGAGACAGGAACCACTAAATAAAGCCACCGAGGGAGATGGTCTCAAGCGCACGGGCAGAAGCAAGCCACGGCAAAATGTCAAAGAAAGTTAAAACGCGTCCCCTGAAGGACGAAACGCAATCTACAGAGTACAGGGTAGGGCAACGCCAAGTATCCTCTCGCCCATGTGAAACCGCTAGGATCAGCTCAGCCACCGGGTTCTATAGCCGTCATTCGTGAGTCGGGAACAGGTGGGTCGTAGGAATCCGATCCGTGCTCCTGGGTTCTTTAACTTTTGCTTGTCACCTTTGATTTGACCTCCAGGGGCCTGTGTTCTGTATTTCCCGTTGTGCCTGGATAGTGGTTTCAGCTTAAATTTCAATGGGATTGGGGGCGTTCGGGTGAGCTGGAAAAGGGACCAATCCAGAGCCAGCCCTACCCTAATAAGGCAGAGATTATCTCCTACTATTGCAACCTTAATGTTTTGAAAGATAGAACGCACCCAACAGAAGGTGGTGCGGTGATCGGAATCTGGACTAATACGATAAGCTCGTAAACCATACTCGTTCTCTCCAGGCCGGGAAATATGCGCGCCAAAGTCCTGGTCGAACATGGAGTCGCATGCACAGCCCCGATATCCGGTGTCTTTCCTTGGATTGTTGCGGGCCTGTGTGCACCCGCAAAATCTTGCTTGTTCCGATAGAAAACTGACGTTAGTTTCAGTGCGAAACTGACGAGTTTCCCAACAGAGAAAATGGGGTTTTCACAGGGCAACAGGCCGACTCCAGCAGTGGGTCTCACTAGATGCCGATCTGCCAGCACAGCCAACGATCGGCGAAAATGCTCCTGCGGAGTCGATAGAAGGAAGAAAAGACATCTTGGCATCGAGCTAAGGATCTCTCGCCCGCCAATGATGCCCTGCACATCTTAATACTGCCTAGGGCGTGTTGGTGGAGGACAGGAGAGCCTTGTTTGATATAGGACATTTCCGAGAAATCATACATAGGATCGAGGACGACCACCTGCGTTCTTTCACCCTTCTGTTGGTTTCCAAAATGTCTTTGCTCTCCAGGTGAAGTAGCCTCGACAATATGGCTCCTCCGGCACAATGGCGCCGTATCTACAACCAAACCCTTACACTCATTCACAAGAATCTCTTGATCTCCTTCAAATCTCCTGTTGCGACGTTTATCAAGGCCTTTCTTCTCCCAATCATTATCACAATTATCTTTGTCTGCCTGAAAGAAATCAAGCCGGATCTTGACTCGTCAAATGGAATATCACGCAACGGACGACCCGTTCTGGACCTACCGGAGGCCATGGCGGCCAGCTCTTCGCCGTCCCTGGTATTTGTCATGAACCACATCAGGGACTCCCGACTCACCGATATCGTCAAAGAAATTCGAGATGACCCAGACATGAAGCCTTTTGATGTCGGGGTTGTTGATGATCCTAACCGACTATTTGATTGGTGCAGACAGTCCATCCAGGGCACGAGTGACTGCTTCGCGTCGGTTATCTTCACTTCCTTCAACAAAACCCATGCCGAATACAACATCGCAATCGACGAGGACGCCCTCAAGAATACGCCCTACAGCTACAGCCCCGGACAATCTACCCTCTCGAAGCGCATTCTCCCCATCCAATGGGCCTTGGATTCTCGGATCGGTGGGTTCGCGTCGGCCAAAAGGCCCACCGAGAAAATGTTCAGTGGCTTTTTCGATAAATCTGGTTCGAACTCGATGGATATGCCTACTGAGATATACTGGCTGTCAATTGTCAGTTTCTTCGCCGCTCCCTTATTTGTCTTCCTCCTTCTAGTCGCAACCTACCACGTCAGCAGCTTTGTGGCAGGAGAGCGACAGAACTCCGTGGCGGAACTTCTCATGGCCCAGGGAGTTGGCACTATTCCTCGCATTCTGTCCAACATGCTCTCGTTCTGCGTTCTCTATGTCCCCGGGGTCATTATTTCGTCCATCATGCTCGGCGAGTTGCTGTTTAAACACACCTCTACCGGACTCGTTTTCATCCTCATGTTCCTCGCTTGTTTTTCATTCATCGTTTCGGCGCACTGCATGGGGTCTCTTTTCGCCAAAGCCTCGACCGCCGCTCTATGCACTACTATCTTAACATTCATCCTCGGACTCATCACAATCACCCAGAGCCTAATCTCCACCAAAGGCACCGGCCAAATAATCGGTCTCTCACTCGTCTTTCCTCCCTACGCATGGGCCAGCCTCATTCGAGACATCGCGACAGCAGAGATGGGCGAGCGAGCGTTTCCGGATAAGAAGGCGCAGGAGCAGAGGCAGACAATAAATGGGAATCTATTCGCACTGTTCTTCATCTTGCAGATCATTGTGTACGGGGGATGTACGTTCCTCGTGGAGCATTTCCGATGGGGTGTGCCGCAGCAACGCGAGTGGACTGAGTCTTCGGATGAAGTGGCGCTTCGATTGGGTAATCTCTCGAAGACGTTTAAAGGTGACAAAAAAGCCGTCAATGGGCTGAATGTCGAGGTAAAGAAGGGCTCGGTTACTTTCCTGCTAGGTCCCAATGGAAGTGGCAAGACCACGGCTCTGAAGTGTATTTCTGGTATGATGAAGGTAGATACCTGCTCGAAGATTCAGTTTAGTCGCGATGGCCATTCGTTTGGCTTGTGTCCGCAGGATAATGTACGTTTTTTAATACCCATTTTCTGTGAAGGTACTGATTTTGTAGGTTCTTTGGGACCCACTCACTGTGAACGAGCATGTCCGTATCTGGGCGAAGCTTAAGACTGCCGGAGCCGATATGGCTGCTATGAAAAACGCGGATGATGTTATTGCTGAGTGTGGCTTGACTGGAAAGGCACATTCGGCCTCAGAGACGCTCAGTGGAGGCCAGAAGCGGCGACTGCAGTTGGCTATTGCGTTTTCCGGAGGATCCCAAGTGTGCTGTATAGACGAGGCATCCAGTGGGCTGGTATGTTTCTGTTTCCCTCTTCGTACTTTTTTCGGGGCCATCGCTGACCTCTATAGGACCCATTATCTCGTCGCAATATCTGGAACATTGTCCAGGAAGGACGCCGACATCGCACCACCGTTCTCACGACCCACTTCTTGGACGAGGTTAGAGTCCTATCCCCAGTTTTCTGAAGCTAGCTGACACCGGTTAGGCCGATATTCTCGCCGATCATATTGTCATCATGTGCAAAGGCAGCCTAGTATGTCAGGGATCCAGCACTTCCCTAAAGTCCCAATACGGCGACAGCTACAGAATCCGCATGGACGACGATGACGAAATCGCTTGTAAAGCCTCATCGTCTGCGGAGGCCACTCAGAAAGTCCTCGAACTAGAGAGAATACGCGACGGCATGGCTTGTCACGTCACATTTCCTACCCTCGAGCAGGTCTTCTTGAAGACAACGTCAGCATACGGCACGGCGGTTGACGCAAGTGGAGGTGATGGCATTGTTGGTGAGCAAGAGGGCACCGATGATTCGACCACGGCTGTCGAAGATAAGATCCTGGCGCTTGAAAGTGAATATGCTGGACAAGATCTGAACCTGGATGTTGGGCGCTCGGTGGGAATCTTTCGACAAATATGGGTGCTCTTCCGGAAGCGCTATCAGTTGCTGATGCAGTGGTCTGGACTGACTGTTTATGCGGTAAATCTTGTGATCCCGATCTTGGTCGCAGCAGCCTTAACCAACTTTCTGTACACCTGGAAAGCTCTTGATACGTGCGAGAATATATACGACCGATATGTCAATCCCAGTGGTGCTGAATTCCCTCCTCTGATGGAGGCAATAACGGCGATGAGTCCCGGAGGTCCTGCTGCCATTTTGGGGCCACGAAATTCGTTTTCTGGCGATGTGCAAGACGCACTTTATCACGACATTATGTGAGTTTAAACGAGCCTTCGAGAAATATCCCCCGCTAACGGACATAGTGCATCAATGTACTCTGGGCCGAATTCTCTCGGTCTTCAACCTAGAATTCTTGTCAATAGCCAAGACGCCTTTGAGAAAGCCATGTTCAACAGCTCTGGAAATGTGGGCTTCGGTCTTTACGCCCCTGGCTCGGGTGATGCGACATTTTATCATTCTGCGGATCCTTACTCTGCAGGTGTGTTTGACTTCTTGATCAACTGAGCGTCGGCTAATTTCAATAGGAAATGGAATGGGGGCCTTCAACTTCCTGACGAACCGCCTCGCCAACTCTACAGCTAATAATCAAGCGCGAATGGTCTCGACGACCTTGCGGACATTCCGCCATGCCGGCGGAGTCCATGATTGGAGGAATATGCCGATTGCTATTCTGCTGGTCATTGCTTTCATGGCCGCTGTGTCGACCACGGTGATTTATCCCAGTACGTCTATTATCATACCCACATTGAGAAATGCATTGCTAAGATCGCAGTGTACGAGCGAGTTTCCAAGGTCCGGGCCCTGCAATATAGCAACGGTGTCTCTCCATTTGCTCTTTGGACAGCGTACTTGCTATTCGACATGCAGTTCATCTTCGTCGAAGGTACGTGTCTCATCAGTATGACCGTTCCCGGTGACTGACTCAGGTAGCGCTTATCATGTACGGCCTTCTTTTTGTCAACCCGATCAACAACGTCTGGTACCGACCAGACTGCATCTTCGGTGCCTTCATTCTCTTCGGGATCGCCTCGTACCTGGGCTCGTATCTCATCTCCAACATCTTCCGTCGCGGGGGCTTCTTCACTTCTCTATCAATTCACATCGTGCTCTTTGTTCTTTACTTCATATCCTACATCGCGAACCAATACGGCGGCTCAGCAAGCTCCCGACAGGACAGTACGTGCTCCTCATTCAATTCCATGTTCAAGACAAGCCACTCACACACATATCTGTAGACTATGACAATCTGCAAGCCGGTCTCGGCCTCATCGCTCCCGCCGCCAATCTCGCTCGTGCTCTTTTCGTCGGCATGAACACTTTCGACGTCCTCTGCGGAAAGTGGGGAGATCGAATCACCACTTATCCCTTTGACTATGCGCTTTATGGAAGCGTCTACGCCAATCTCACCTACCAATGCGTCTTCCTCATTGGATGTCTCGCGCTGTCTGAATACGGCAGCGAAGACTGGGTTCGACCGTTGCTCTTCTGGCGCAGAAGGCTCCCCGTCAGGGTCCATCACCGCGTGAACGACACCGAGATGACTTCTTTCGAGAGTACGCGGAACATCATGGCCGAGCGACCGCAGTTCGTGGCTGAGAATCCCATCCTGGATGTCGATCGCGTGAGCAAGTGTTTTGGGAGCTCGTTTGCGGCGCAGAATGTCTCGCTTTCGATCTCGCCGAATGAGACGCTTGCGTTGTTGGGTGGGAACGGGGCTGGTAAGACCACCGTGATTAATATGATTCGTGGGGAGCTGAAGCCAGATTTTGGGAATGTCTATGTAAATGGGATCTCGATGTCACGACAGCCTGGACAGGCGAGGTTGAATATCGGGGTGTGTCCGCAGGACGACGCGGTTGATAACTTGACCGTGAGGCAGACACTGGAATTCTATGCTTCCGTGAAGGGGCTGCAGAGGGTCAAGCAAAACGTGGAGCAGGTTATGAATGCGTTGGATATTACCCAGTATGAGAAGATGGTGGCGAGGGCGCTGAGTGGTGGGACGAAGAGGAAGTTGACGGTTGCCATTGCGCTGCTTGGTGAGTTCCATGACCTTGCATTTGGAGACACGGTGATGCTCATCCTCATCTGATTGAATTTAGGAAACCCACCGCTGCTGCTGCTGGATGAACCGTCCACCGCGCAGGACGCAGGCGCAAAACGAATTCTGTGGCGGGCGCTCAAGCGCATTCGCACCAACAGAGCGATCCTGCTTACAACACACAGCATGGAAGAAGCTGAGTCTTTGGCCTCGAGTGTTGCAATCTTGCGAACGAGGCTGCTTGTTTCCGGGTCGTTGAATTCGCTCGGTGATGCGTATGGTGGAGCCTTCCGGCTACGGGGTGTGCGATGCGGCGGCGTCGGTACTGAATTGGCAAAGGACGCAGTGAGGAGGACGTTTTCGAAAGCAGGACTGCACGTTATGGAGTATGTCGATATGAACGGCTTGATTCAATTCTTCGTCAAGTACGAAAAGCGGAATTTGGGGCAGATCATGCTCATTATGGAGCGTTTGAAGGGAGGTACCGAAATGATGGGAGGTCATGCTGGGGAAGGAAGTGCCGGATCTGCATCTCCAGAAAAGGGGATGAAGGTGTTTGAGGAGTATACCTTGATCGAGCCGACTTTGGAGGAGGTCTTCATGAATGTTGTCAAAGAGGCCGAGGCATCTGAGGGACTATGACTGGTGTAGCGTGTCTGTTTTATTTCAGCTGTCAAGTTTTACATTCCCCAGTGTGCATCATGTTTTCAAGCGGCTTTTTTCCCCATAGATTTCAGTTGTAGAACAATACCTTTGTTCGGCAAGCTAGGCCCGGGATTCCACATCCTCTATGATACCATGCATTCAAAGTGCTATTTCTAAGAAATCTTCAGTTCCGTCTTGGAAGAAGACAGGAAGCAGGGAAGTCGGTTCATTCTCTCTGTCCTTGCATCGCAATAGCGGCGGTGGCGTATCCGTGTTTCAAGCAATGGAAGTCAGAGTAATGGGCTGGGATATCCTGATGCAGTACTAGAAGTCTTTCTGGGCCGCTTCTTTTCTTGTTCCCTGCACAATAGGAAGTTGGGTCCCGTACGTCATGGTAATATATTTCTTCTTCCCCCTAACCATCTACTACTGGATAAGTCATATTCAAGGTTTACCTGCAAAAGAATGCTAAGAATGGCATCCCTGCTGGTTGACATCATCCGGTGCAACTCACAAACAGGGCCCGACAGCATCGGTGCATGAGACGCAGCAAGTCGGTCAATCATGAAATATGAAATTAACGATGACGGCAATGCCGGTCGACAGCGTGGATCCTCCGGACCCGCCATGAGGTAATGGCGTTGACTGGGTGGGTTTAGCATCGACATTAGCAGGAATTAGGGCTTGTCGATCGCCCACGATGCATGACCGCCGACGAATCTCCTCCGGCGTCCCCTTGCCTTATGCCCCGCCACTCCACTTCGTTCCAAGACTGAATGTCAAGCTGGGTTTATTATGGCGTTCCTGTTTTGAGATGGAAAATCAACACTGATCATGGCCGTTCGCGTAGTTGATCATCGAGGGTATATAAGCGCTTCAGGGGTAGCTACTAGGATTCTTGCATCCAGCCCAGTCCAGTCCGACCGACCAAATCAACATGCATTTCCAGCTTCTCTCCTCCGCCGTTCTCCTTGGAGCCTTGTCGACTGCGTCGGCTGAGTCCAAGTTCAACCCTCTCGAGCACCTCACCGGCATCGCCCCCTATTACTACCCCAAACACCCTCCTCTGGACGGAGCAGCACCGCAAGGATGCAACGTGACGCGTGCCGCGTACCTTGTGCGACACGCTGCTATTTACGCCAATGACTTCGACTACGAGTCCTACCTCGAGCCGTTCATCGACAAGCTGCGAAACACCTCCCAGGACTGGTCGTCGGTCGGCGGGCTGCAGTTCCTGAGTAACTGGTCCGCCCCCGTGGATGAGGAGCATCTGGAGAAGATCACTCGTGTCGGATACCAGGAGGCCACTTCGCTGGGCTCGACCTTGCGCAAACGCTACTCGGGACTCAAGGCGCCGGAGAAGGTCTGGTCGTCCAGTGCCGACCGTACGGTCCGCAGTGCCAACGGTTTCATTGCTGGATATACCAACAACAAGAACGGCAGCGTGCATCTCCAGCAGGTCGAAGAGAGCGAGGATACGGGTGCCGACTCGTTGACGCCGTACAAGAGCTGCCCGGCGTATAGTGGATCATATGGAAGCGATCAGTCCCAGGTATGTGTTCCCTTCGCTCGTAAATTAAACGCGAGGCACAAGACCAACAGTTATTCTAGGAATGGGTCGATCGCTACACGAAGCCCATCATCGAGCGCCTCAACTCCCAAGCCTCGACCTTCAACTTCACCGTCTCCGACGTCGTCGCCATGTTCGAGCTGTGCGGCTACGAGACCGTCATCCGCGGATCGTCGGGCTTCTGCTCACAGAATCTCTTCTCGCAGGACGACTGGCTGGCCTTCGAATACGGCGAGGACGTGCGATACTTCCACAACGCCGGCTACGGTCGTGACGTGACGCCGCGCATCGGATACCCCTGGGTGAAAGCCAGCGCCGACCTGCTGGACGACTCGGCGTCCAAGCAGGATCTGTACGTGTCGTTCACTCACCGCGAGATGCCGCCCATGGTGATCACCGCGTTGGGCCTGTACAACAACAGCGCTTTCTCGGGCGCCAACAACATCAACGGCACTATGCCGACCGACCGCATCAACTACAACCGTGCGTGGGTCAGCAGTCGCATCCTGCCGTTCTTGACCAACATTGCCATCGAGAGAATGCAGTGTGACAGCTTCGGCTACGACGAGGGCGACTACTATCGCGTGCTAGTCAACGCTGGCCCTCAGCCGCTGGTTGAGTGTCGTGACGGGCCAGGTGACAGCTGCTCCGATGGTAAATTCAAAGACTTCGTGAAGGAGCTGGGCGGACTGTATGGAGGTGACTTCGATTCGTTCTGCGGTACCAGCAGCAACATCTCGCAGAGGTTGAGCATTTACGAATAAGTTGGTTTGGCGTCGTTGTGTTTCGACGATGATAATGACATGTTCTTATGACCTGGCAGAGTGCCATGGGCTTCTCTAGCAGTTTTTCTTGTTTGTCTTTTGAGCATCTACAGCATTTTCTAGCCTGACCATTTAATCACCTTTTAGAACACATAATGCATTGAAGTGATTCATTCGTTTCGCACTGGTTTCTGAGTGTTGAATCGATCCAACCAACCCGTCCCCTCCCATAACAACACACTCCCCAGCAGTATCCCTTTAAAGCTCCTCCCTACAGATATGATTGAACTTGTCTGGCATTAGTTCCATCTCTAAAGCAAAGTGCTGGACAACTCACAACGTCACATGTTCCACAGCTCGAAGACGAGGGGCAATTTCGATCGGAACTGCAGAAGTCGCCGCATCTCAGAGTCTGAGATTGTAGTTAGCTTGGGCTTATCCGGGGTTCAAAACCAGATATGTACATTGTTGTGGGGCATGGGATTCGGAATGGCTATGGCGAGCGTCACGAGTGCAAAGATGGCGAAGCGTTGAACTTTCATGATGTCTGCGAATGGTCGTTAGGGTTGTTGGTTGCGGCCGACGTGCCTGAGGAATGTGTCTGCTTTTCAACCTAGATGGTGTGATGCCATGTCTAGACGACGGGATGGGATGAAGTTATATGTTATCTACATGTTTCTTCTTCAGATGTATTTGTCAACTGAAGGTAACCAGGTCGATCAGGTAGTGTAGTGCAAGTTGTATATGCAGGTTGTCCTCGCCTCATGCCGGGAGGTGTAACCCATCGCCATACAGGCAGCGGATGGTGTAATTTCGGACCTGCAATTTGAGATCCGAAGAGCAATGCAGGAACCCGATCTCACTGCCTATTCTCCTGGATTTCAGGGACCTTTCGGCACTTTTTGACTTTTGCCCTCGTGTTGGAACCAAGTTCCGCAACGTTGGCCCGGGAGATATATCGCTCCAATTAGGCCGAGACAGAGTTGAGATTGGAGGTCAAATGACAGCTTCACGACAGCATGGCATGATAAGTTCAATGTTAAAATCTGGTCGGAGAGTAAGACAGAATCAGGCAGCCGTAGCATCCAACCTATGGAAGTCTGCCCACCGACTGCCGGGACTATACAAGACAGACAAAGAAACGGCCAGACCCCATGGACCGCTGACTCAGCGCCCGCCTGAGCTTATCGCAACCAAGCCCTGGCCGGCAGCCAATCAGAAGCGGCCATGGCTGGCGCTAGATGCGCATTCAGCCTAGCGCCCAGCCACCAGGGCCGGCGGACCAACGAGAGCGGCGGACGGCATGCGTCATGGAAAAGAAGCGGCCGTCGAACATCTCACGCGTGACACGAACTCCTGTCCAGACTTGCTCCCCTCCGTCTCTCCTGAAGGCCCTTTCCTCGCTGCCTTCCGTCCGTCCGGCTCTTTGAATGCGCAGCGAATACACCCCGGATCGCTCAATTCATTCCCTCCGAATGTCCCTCTTTCTACGACGGTCGGGATCATGTTGTTTCGCTCTTGGGTCTGTCTGTGTCTTTTCGGACAGACATCCGCCGCGTCGATAGCATTCGCTTCGCAAACGGAGCCCCTGGTTCACGCTGACTGGGTCAATCGGGATCATCGTCGCCTTGCTCCTGCAGCCGATGACAGCGATATCCGGGTAGCGACGGATATCGACTCCCGTGATACTACCGCACTCCGTCAATCGCCGTTGCACCTCCTCCTGTCCGATCCATCAAAGCACAACCGCAGCTCGCCGAATCGTATCTCCTCGTTTTCAGCATTTCGAAAATCAATTCGGCCGCCTACCGACGTGAGCAACATGGTGTCTGTCGTTCTTTATTGCACCCTCGCGGCGGCTATCGCATTCCTCTTTCTGACGATGTTGCTGGTGAATTTATATCGCAGACGAGATGGGGTCTGTCGTCTTGAAGATGACCCGAATGATGTCGTGCTGACGAAAATGGGGCGACCCTGTGAGATCGCGGATGAAGAAGTGTCGGATGATTTTGACGACACGGATTATCCCATGGGGTAAGGCGTGGGGTAGAAGTCGAGGGTTGGTCAAAAAGGGGTGGAATGATTTATGCATGTATGTACTTTGGTTTGTTTGCTTTTTCTCCTGTCGGGAGGCCTTACCTTCCTCTTTTCTCTTTGCTTTTGCCTGCCCCCTCATCTCTTTTCCTTTGTTCATTTTCTGCGTTCGAGTTCAGCGTCGGTGTTCTACGGCAAGGGGTTCAATCATGAGTAATATGAATGAGTCTAGATGTCATTACGAATTTGTTGACCAGGCATCAAATCAAATGCCTACTGCCCATTTCTGGCATTCTACATAGGCCATACACTATAGACATGCAAAAGGGCTAACCACTCAGATGTAGCAATAGCATTGATTCCTCCATTACGTACTCCCACTGCCTACCCTTACTGAAATCCGTATTCCACGTCCGCTACAGCAGAGCCTACTGAATGGTGGTGATGTTGAATACCACCAGCAGCGCGTCTATTCATCTAACATCGCATCGTCGTATCGAACGCACTCGCGTCGACGCTGCATGCTCGGTTAGCTTGGCTAGATAGGCCGCTGACGCAGAACTCACTCGATGGCAATAGTCGCAACGGCCACGACCCTCGCAGTCTCGGTCCCGCCGGCAATAATCACCACAACGTCCAAGCTACATCGATCAGCGTTTCTCACCGCAGGCATGAACTGTTGAGGGAATACTCACGGTCGTTGGCTCCGCATTCTCCGCGGCAAGCGCCATGCTAAAGAGGGCGACGAAGAGAATATGCATGAACTTCATGATGTCGTTGGGTGTTGAAACTCTGGCTTGCTTGGTTTGACTGTGAGGATTGATTCTGACACCGTTGAAGATGGCCACTTCGAGCCGGTCATCGAGCCCATATTTATAACCTGACCGTCCCCTTCGGCAGACCTCTCCTCACCATCGTAGAATCTCACTCCCCGCGCGGGCACAAATGGGAAGCGCAGGGACTCGTTCTCTCGGCGCATCACATGAAGTACTGTCTTGTCTCGAGCCGCCACATCCGCTGTATAACGCAAAGTAGACCATCAGCTGAGATGACTGCAGGAGTTGAAGCCATTCCCATCGCCCAGAGCTGACCATTGACCCCGAAGCTGAAGCTGCGAGGGGACTTCCCCGTCCTTTCGTCCTACCAATGTACCACTGTAGCCGGGCCATGTTGCAATTCCTCGTGCGGGGCAGGAAGTCAGTTTTTGGGGTCGGAAGCTTTATTGCCGTATTTGCAGGGTGACCTCGAGCTATATCAGACTGGGAAGGTCAGAAAGGCTCGAACTGGGTCCTGCGTCCGATGCATAAGGCGGTCCCCAGCGAGTGAGCAGGCATGGGATGTTCGGACACGTACCAGTATGGGGGACTGTCCGACATCTCGGAGGTTTCAGTGCGTGCCGTCAAAGACGCAACAAGGTTTATCGAGCCATATGGTTGTATCTTCCGGCCGAAGGCATTCCTGGGGTTGACGAAGACCTGCTCTCCTGGAAGTTGGATCCTGAGGCTCTCCAGAACAGACAAACGATGCATTCGGTGCAAACGTGCAAACGACGCCACGGCCTCACGTGCCGTCGCCTTCTCGCACCACCTCGACTGGCTGGAATTCCCTCACTCTCTTTCTCTTCTTCCTCGGATGTCTGTCCACACCGGCCAATCCAGAGCGTGGCAACATGCACTGCCCCTCGGTCCACTCCTTCACTGGAGAACGACGGGATATTCCAATGACAGACTCGTGATGAGCACGCAACCCGAAAAAGTCTTCCATTGAGATCCTCCGCCAAGGGCCTTGGCGACGCCGCCCAGGACTTCCAAGACTGGCCCAATTCGCCCAAGACGGTCTTCGCGATGCTCGACAACCAGCAGCTCAGGAACGTGCCCATTCTCGCCTGCTGATTGGCGGTCCATCGGCCGCACGCTCTGCGACCGCTTGGCGCCAAGTCCGCTCCTCTCGGCGGACGCCAGGGTCGAGGAACCAATGCTATCGGCGGCTGCTCTCACGTTCTGCGAAGATACCAATCGACCGGGCTGGAGATGACCGAAAAGACGAAAAACCACACGATGCCTTGGCGCGGTGCGTGCAGCCACCCGGTCATGGCATCAATATGGTACTTAACGTGCTCGCGTGCTCGCTCCTTCCTCCAATTCTCTTGAACAGCACGTCGTCAAAGCATCATTGCCTCTACTCGTTTCATACTCTCTCTTGCAACGCTCGAGCTTGTTGCTCGGCACTTCCTTGCCCATCATGATTCCCCTCGAGACCGCTCCGTACGACTGGATCTTGGCCCTGACCTCCATTGCCTTCGTCTTCAGTGCCTTCGGTAACGGTGCCAACGATGTCGCCAACTCCTACGCTACCTCCGTCGCTGCTCGGACCCTGAAGATGTGGCATGTCGGTATTCTGGCCATAATTACCGAGTTCGTCGGCGCTGTTGCCCTCGGAAGCCGAGTGACGGATACTATCAAGTCGGGTATCATCGCACCCGACCGCTTCATGGGCAAGCCCGGTACCTTCATGCTGGCCATGGGCTGTGCCGAGGTGGGTAGTGCCTTCTGGCTGATGTTTGCCACCCGTCGTGGATGGCCGGTGTCCACCACCCAGACCGTGGTTGGTGCCCTGGTCGGGGTTGGCTTTGCATCTCAGGCGGAAATCACCTGGGAGTGGAAAAGCGGCAGTGTCTCTCAGATCGCCGCGTCCTGGGGCATTGCTCCTGCAATTGCATGTGCCTTCTCTGCCCTGATCTTTGGCCTCCTCAAATATACTGTGCTGGAGCGCAAGGACTCCTTCAAGTGGGCCATGCGCCTGATTCCCCTCTACCTCTCCTTCACCGGTGCCATTCTCGCTTTGTTCATCGTTGTCGAAGCTCCCACCGCTCCTTCGCTGGAGGAGTTCGGTGCCGGTAAGGCTGTCGGTATCATCCTCGGTGTTCTGGCTGGTTGCTTGGTGGTGTCATACGCATTCTTCATGCCCTACTTCCATCGCCGACTGGTCAAGGAGGATGCCCGGCTTCGATTCTACCACCTTCCCCTCGGCCCTTGGTTGCTCAAGGACAACTGTCCTCTCTACTTCCCCGGCTCGGGCGAGCACTTCGTTATTAACTACTACGAAGACGCCTATGGTGAGACCCGCGCCGGCCAGAAAGACGCCGAGAAGAAGGCCGACGCCGGTAAGACCACCAACACCGACATCGAGCAGCGCGCCACCACCTCCGCCAACTCGACCCCCGAAATCCAACCCAAGAAGCCCATTATCGGCCCCCACGAGCGTTTCCTCCAGCCCGTCGAAGACCTCAGCTGGTTCAACCCCCTCAAGTACTGGGGTTGGACCAAGTTCATCCTGCTGCAGGGCGTCACCCGCGACGTCATCACCCACGACTCGGACCTCCTTCGTGCCATCCACGCCCGCGCTCACCGCTACGACGACCGCGTCGAACACCTCTGGACATACTGCCAAGTCGTCTCGGCCATCATGATGTCCATCGCACACGGCTCCAACGACGTGGCGAACGCCGTCGGTCCCTGGGCCGGTTCCTACGCGACCTACCTATCCGGCAGCGTGAACACCGAGTCCGAGACCCCCATCTGGTTCCTGGTCATTGCCGGCGTGCTGCTGGGCGCTGGCTTCTGGTTCTACGGATACCACATCATACGCTCGCTCGGTAACAAGATCACCCAGATGTCGCCGACTCGTGGTTTCGCCACCGAGCTGGGTGCTGCAATCACCGTGCTGCTGGCCTCGCGACTGGGTCTTCCGGTCTCTACAACCCAGTGCCTTACCGGTGCTGCGACCGGTGTCGCCTTGATGAATTATGATCTTGGTGCCGTGAACTGGCGCCAGCTCGGGTATATTTTCTGTGGTTGGGTTCTGACGCTCCCGTCGGCTGGTTTGGTTGCTGGGTTGATTTGTTTGATGGCTTTGAACACGCCGCATTTTTAAAAGTGCTTTCTCATGGTTGCTTTTGTATATATAGATTCTTTGGTTTTGGTTTTGGCTTGGTTGGTGATGACTTTATACCCTAAATGCAATTAATAGAGTTATTTGACTTATCCTTGATGTCTTCCTGGCGTTTCTTGAATTTTCTCATTACAGATTTATCTTTAACTTGTCGTACTACTGGTCTTCCTCTTCCTTTTCATTCTTTATCTCTTCATTATCTTTGCGATCCTCTGTTTTTTTATTTATTTTATTTTTAATTTATTTATTTATTTATTTTTTTTTTTTTTTTCATCGCGTGCCAACGACCGAAGATGCTAAGATTGAGTCAATGCTCCTCCGACTTGCAGGTCGATCAACCCGATGTCACGCCGATCGGAAAATGCCATGCTTCGCCAAGTGCTGCATGTCGCATTGGCATCTGGCACCTTGGGGATGTGCAGTGCGAATTCCCTCTTGAAATGGAAATATTGTGAGCGAGTCATTTCTGCTCGTGGTGTTTTTGAGGACCCGGATGTCTACGAGCTGTCATCGATGGCGGTCGTCGGGCGATCGCAATATTTCCTGCCAACTTTGGAGTTCTTCACGTCGTTATCCCACTAGTGAACTGAGGGACAGCCGGCTGTTGTCACCAAAAGACGTTGTTCATTGCGTACCTTGGAGACTGCAGAAGATGATCGACACGAGCCCAGGAAGATCATCCTCAAGGTTCCAGCGCAAGGTCCCCAAGCCCTTTATATCTATCCTCTTGGCCAGAATACATGGTTAACATCAACAATGAAGCTCAATCCCTTTCTCTTGGGGCTCTTCGCCCTCGCCTCTGCATCGCCCAAACTCCACGACTTCGACGCCCTAGGTGCCTGGTTCGACGGTGTCAACTCCATCAACACCAGTCATCATGTCGCACCGCCTGGAGCCAAAAGCAAAACTATCGCAATCGTGGGCGGAGGCATCACTGGACTCGCGACGGCGCTGATGCTCGATAGCGTGGGCGTGCACAATTGGGAAATCATCGAGGCGAGCGATCGCGTCGGCGGACGCTTCCGCACCAAATTCATGGGCGACACGCAGGAATGGGCCGAGATGGGTCCCATGCGGCTGCCTGTGAGGGCGCAGTATGCGGATGGCGAGACGGTCGAGTATTCGGACCATGCGATGGTGTTTCAGCTTGCTGCCTTGCTGAACGATATGAATGGTAATCATTCGGACTGGAGGATTGATTTCATTCCGTGGATTCAACACCACCCGAACGAGCTTCTGGCTCTAGGGACGGGTCGTCACCCAGATGGGCGTATTCCAACTCGCGCAGAAATTCAGCAAAATTCCAGTCTGGGACAACCGGATACGATGTCAACGTCCGAGTTCAAGCAGACGAAGTCCCGTATGGATGCGATCCTCTCGCGCAAGGAAAAGCTGAAGGCGATGCAAAGGGATGTTTGGCGCCAGCACAAACTCGCGATGGACGAGGGCCTCGACGACTGGAGTGAGCAGTCCATGATGCGGAATGCTTTTAAGGCCAGTGAAAATGTCACCGATGCTATCTGGACGGACTCCGACTACGACGTCTTCTGGGACGAGCTGCACCACAACTCCAACCTCGAACTCGACGGGTCCCCAGGCTCCCTAGGCAAAACCCAATGGACGTGCATCGATCGCGGTTTCAACCGTCTCTCCGATGCATTCCTGCCTCATGTGCGCGACCGACTCACTCTCAACCGGAAGATTCGCAAGCTCGAGTCCATCACCTCCCCTACGACCAACCAAACCATGACCCGGCTATCCTGGTTCCCATCCACCACCAACCGCACCGCGCAGTCCCTCGAGTACGACTACACCATCATGGCCGTGCCCTTCACCATGACGCGCTTCATGGACCTGCCATCATTCTCATCCGTCCTCTCGCGCGCCATCAGCGAAGCCGGCCTCCGCTTCAAATCCGCCTGCAAAGTGGCACTCCTCTTTTCGGAGCGCTTCTGGGAGCGCGGTCCACGCCCTATATTCGGCGGCAAATCCACACCCCCCAGCTCAGCCGTCGGTGCCCTCTACTACCCCATCTACGGACTCAACGAGTCCCGCCCGGGTCTCATCATGCATTACCGCGGTGGTGACTGGAGCGATCGCCTCGTTAGCTTCTCCGAGGAAGAGTACGTGCAGACGGTTCTGGACGCCGTCGTCGATCTGCACGGTGAGCAGGCAAGAGAGCTGTATACTGGTGTTCATGAGAAACTGTGCTGGTTGGAAGACGAACATACAGCAACGAGCTGGTGTCGTCCGGACGTCGAGCAGCATAAATTGTATATCCCGGCGTATCATCGCATGGAGCATAATACGGTCTTTGTGGGTGAGCATACCGCCCCGACGCATGCGTGGGTTAGTAGCTCGCTGCATTCGGCTGTGCGAGGGTGTGTGCAGGTCTTGTTGGAGATGGGGTTGGTGGAGGAGGCGAAGGTTTTGAATAAGAGGTGGATGGGGAGGTGGATTCATACTTAGCCTTTGTGGACTCAAAGTCGCATTGATATCTTATCTTATTTGAAAATCCAATGAATGAGCGTACACATTTCTATTCCAGCCAGTTCGGTAGCTTTCCCTTTCGTTTCAGCATTCGCCCCTTGCTGCATAATGACGCACTGCACTCTGGTAGCAATCTGGTCTGGAGTTGCCTTCATTGCCCGTGTAAGCTTTCAGTCCCAGGGGATTATTCGCACCTCTCGCTAACTTACTTTGCATTCTCAGAACAGCTGCGATGGTACGGTTGCTCTCTGATATCCCCCCAGTTTGAGCCACTTCTGAGGCTGAAAACAGGTTGCGATGCGCTTGAATTTGTAACCTCAACACAGTGTGGAAGGACCTGTCGTGAAAATATCTCAACCGAGTCATGAATGCCAAGAAATCTACCATCGACATCGTCATGCATAGATGTTTTCGGGGTGGTTACATCGTGCAAGGGGTAGGGCCCTTGCTACCTCAGAAACATCCGGCCATTGGAATGTTTATCCTGGTAGGGATAAATGACCCACCAGATAAGTCAGACTCAACAGAATTTCCTGGTTGTTTAATCGCAATGAAACTCAGACTGTATCTAACTATGGTGACGAACATGCCTTACCTGCTTATGAAATGTGTTATGACGCTAGCGATGACATCAATATAGAAAGTGGCTGAAAATGACTACTCCTCGACCCTCGGTCAACCGGTCATGCATAAACCTTTTTCGGGCACATTTCATTTCATATCAATGCTGGTTATTTGTATTTAATTACAGTTGTTGGTTTCCTCGCGTTTCTGGGGTTCTTGATTTTGTTCTCACATGATATAGACAGTATAAATCGATTACATGCAATATCTCTTCGTGAATTCTACCATTTAAATCCTGATGCTGTTGATCAATTCTAAATCATTGCCAAGGTCTCTGCCGTCGGAAGTCCTATCCATGAAATCTCGATCTATTCATTTTGTCTTTAAGCAGTATACATTTCTGCTCACCGTGGATTCATTGGCCCACTGTAACATCGAAAAACGGGGCCAGATACACAGATCCACAAGCGTCTTACTCCTTTAGGTCATTCGCCACACTGGGGTAGCAGAAACAGACGCTGTCATTCCAGTAGAGTGCATCCTGTGGGATCCCATCGAGTCAGTTGGCCACTAAACCGATAATTTAGCATCAGAATCCCCGATAAATGCGCTAAGAGTTATCGGTATGTGGCACTCAATCGTCTTTCCTCTCCAGGTAACACTTAATCTCTACTGTAATATAAAATGTCGCAGGCATATCCCATTGCTACACAGCTCTAAACAAGACTGCCATTTCTTTCGAAAGATCAAGATGATATCTCAACGAATTTACACGAATGACTCTGACACGATCATTCTGTCCCTCTATATCATATTCTTCCTCTATCACGTACAAAACAAAGGCACCTCGTACAGGTCATACCATCCTGGTAGGTGGACCCTGCCATGAACGAAGAATGTAAGCTAACATGAGTAGCCCTTCCTTGGCATACAGCGGCAGGTGCCACGGAGGTTGTTCTTTACTACCTTGGCTTCCGCTGCTCGCTCATGGCCGTGGCTGCATGCCTCATTCATTCTTGGACGGCCCTGATGCTCGTCAAGAACCTCAGAAACGGCTATCCGCCTCTAACAAGTATGGTCTGGCGCATCCTTCCCCAGATAGACACTCACATCGATAGGACCCATCTACCAAGCTGGTTCGGTCATGCGTCCCATCCAGATCCTGCACGCCTATTACACCCAAACTCCAACGGCCTACCATGACGCTGTCATGCCAATTCACGCATTCATCTACACCCGAGTAATGTTCTTTTTGATGGGAACAATGGGCCCAACCCTCTCATTTCAGAAGAACGTTAACTCGCCTTTCATCTACTCGGAAGCCATACTGGGCGGAGCCCTGATCGCTGTCAGCCATTCCAGCAAGCCTGAGGCCATTGGCATTTATCTGAGTATTGTGCATGTGCTGGGAAAGATTGGGCTGTGGACGCGAAGGCAGCGTGATGCCTGTCGGTATGAGAAACTTCAATTCCCCATTTACCGTGTATGGCGCTAAGGCTGGTGTTTACAGGGAGCAAGGGCTTTCTTTTTCGAGACCGGTGAGGCTGCTTTCGTCGCTGGGGTTGGTCACTGGGGGAGAGCTGGTTGATTCTTCCAAGGCTGGCGTCAAATGGGCGCCGGAAATTGGACATCTCCCCGGTGATAAAATGGGTCATAATTGGGCTGCTTTTAACTAGCTTGAGGCATGTGTATCAGTCACACTGCCGCTGATGATATGTATGGAAAGGAAGCTTCGGAATGCCATTATTTCTATGTGCTCTCGTTATTTCTTGTTTTTTCATAGATCAAATACAGCTTATACAGGCCCTGGATGCAATCAGCCACGATTTTCAGACGTTGGGACTTCCCAGAAGGCCAGTACCCAGGGGTTCTAGGAAATCTATTTTCTATGGCATGCACCTATATCCCGCACTTCATTCACTCCTTTCCCCTCGCAATAGACGCCGGAGAAGAAACTTTCCCCCACTCCATCCAACTCCCGTCGTACAACCTCTTGGGCATTGCATACCCCGACTCCTCCAACGCCACCTCCACCGTCGCCGCCGTGACCCCAGAATTGCAACTTAGAATAACTGGCTTCTCACTGAGCCCGGACTGTTCAAACAAGGCTCTCAACTCCGACGGTGTCTTAATCGCACCATTCTCATTCAATACCGTTGACAGAGGAATGTTCACAGAGCCGGGGATGTGGCCTCTTTGAATACTTGGGTCTGAGTATCCGTCCTCTCCGGTAAACAGGGCGTTTGTGCGCGTGTCCAGGATTTGGTAAGTTTGGTCGGCTTGCGCGAGAAGATCACACAGGTCCGAGTACGATATGACCTTCTCCTGATCAATCTGAGCACAAGGATACGTCTCCGCCTCTCCTGATTCGCGGGGTAGAGTGTGTCCCACAACATCCCCCGTTTCCACGGGAAGACCCAGTTCTTTATATAGCCTGAAGTTGTTCAGGACATGGACATGCTTGTGACCAAAAATGCGGAACATCCACGCCACCCGCGGAGCGTTGTAGGTTCCTATCTCTGCGGCGTCGTAGACCACCACGACGTCGCTGGGACGGAGACCGAGTTTGGACATCTCGCGCGAGAAAGTCGCGGGAGTGGGCACCATTAATGGATACGGAGTGTCTGGGTTCCGGATGATGTCCATATTGAAGAATCTATCTCTTTTTAGCTTGGTTTCTCAAGGTTCGAGTCCGGGTGGAAAATACATCGAACCCGGGATGTGGCTGGCATTGAAGAAGGGAATGTGCGCGGTGCGACCGGCGGCCACGGGGATGATTCTTTGGCTGTCATCGTGGGATTGAGAGTGTATCTCGTGGAAATCTTGTGGTGTGATGAGCTTTGAAGAGAACATGGCGATCTTGGCTGTTTGATCAAGAGTTGCAGGAAAAGGGGCCCGACGGAGGGGAAGAAATCGATGATTGTCGATTGATTGGACCGGATAAACAACCCACCGCCCTGGACTGCCTGGTTGTATACAGTCATAGTCATACAGCCACTCTGCCGTCCGATGAGGTCGACATTTCGTCAAAATTTGTATATCTCGCATGGACCTTTGGTCGGCTGCAAGCTTTTTTTTTTTTTTTTTCCTTTTTTTTTTGGCAACCACCTCATACGCCGGATTCACTAGTCTCCTCCCTCTCTTACACATTGCTCTCACACCCTCAGTATAGCTAAAGTCTTTGTTGCACATCAGGCACCATCCAAGATGCCGGATTACAGCGAGTAAATATTCAAAATTCCACCTCCTTTCCCCAGGTGTGAGTGCTAATATGAATTGCCCCCCAGAATATGCCGCTCCTCCCAATTCACCTTCCTCGTCGGCAAACAAAGAACCCCGATCAAGGTCCATTCGGCCGTATTCAAGGAGTGCTCCCGGCCATTGGCCGCTCTCATCAACAACGGAATCATGAAAGAATCCACCGACCGCGTTGCAGTGCTTGCCGATGTCGATCCTGAAGTTTTCACGGCAGTCTGCGAATACGCGTATACCGGCTCTTATAAGTCGCCCTCTTTGGACCCAGCAGATAACCAGGTCATGCGACTTTTAAGTTCTGCACTCGATGAGATCATGGCATCTCTTCCTACTCTAGCCACCCAGAGCTACAATCTTTTAGCAGAACCCGGTACGGCCCGGTATGTCGAACGGTGCAAAACGCTATCATCGAAGCTATCCGATCTACGCACGGCGCTCTCTGGTACGCTGATAGCAAACTTCCACACTTTTATATACGGCACTGAACCATCCCCAGTCAACGGAGTGGCATGTGCTCTCTTCCATGCCAAGTTATACATCTTTGCCACTAAGTACTTGGTTGAGGAGCTGCGGCAACTCTCCCTACGTTCAATCTACCAGGACCTCACACGTTACTTTTTCAGTACAGACGAGATCTGCGATCTCCTCGAATATGTCTACAGGCATACTGGGTCAGTTGAGCACGACGGTCGGTCGTCATTGCGAAGGATGCTCATTCGCTATGTTGCAGTCCGTATGTGGCGCTATTCGTCTGACAAGAGGTTCTCGGATATGCTGCAGTCCAATGGGGAAATAGGCGCAGACCTGATTCAAAAGCTACTTTTGTAGTGTGAAAGCAGCACCATTGCTGTCGAGCTTCTATGGCTGTATTTCACGTTCTTTTGAATTGTCATGGGCTTGACGAAATCTGGTTGCGGGAAGATACACCCTGATATCATGAGTGCGTTGGCTAATTCTTGAGCGTTCTTTCATTTCGGATGTAGCATATTCCCAAGTTTCGGTGCGCAAAAAGGATAAATAAAAATGAATTTCCTAGCTGTTTAATGACCCCAAGAGCACCATTCATTCCTCATCGTTCAGTATACTCTCAGCTTGTTCTCTACTCACGGTAGTTCCAACAGGTTTCTCGGTCTCAGTAAACCGGGAAGATACCCTGATAACCAGATCATTGATATCCTCGACCACCCAAGACCGCGGAATCAACACAAGCACAAAGAACGAATCTCTGTTCCGGACTATATGTTCCACATCAAGAAATATTCTACCCCTAAAAGACACCATCGATAGATTCGCCTCGGGGGTAGAATTCTGCTTCTTGTCGCTCATAACCCATGCAGCGTCATAGAGATCCAGCTGTCGGGCGCTATGAATACACCAGGCCGGGTCTTCTTTCGGGCACATCGCTTCCAGGAATGGGAAGACTGATGATAACGAGGGGATGCCGAACTCTACAGTCAGAATCAATATCATTCGTGAATGTTTCAAACAAGGTCAGACATATAGAGAGACTTACCATCCGGGCGATGCATCACCTTCAGTACAATGAGCTCCAGATTTTGGCTTTCATTCAAAGAACAGGAAAGCAGTTCCTCAACACCATCAGCCTGCAGCTCAAACCTCTCCGCGCAATGGTCCCGGAAGTCCATCCTCTCGGCGCTGCTATCGTTAGTATCCAGAGGTCACGACAATCACCTTCTCATGTAAACCTACCGAGCAAACACCTGATTTTCGATGCTCATCTGATCCACCGCCCTTCTGTTCTCCATTGTCGAATTTCTTCGTCTAATAGTCATTTCATATGGCCACTTTTTAGAGACTGTATAGGCCACGGAAAAGTAGTAAAGCACTGTGTCGTAGAAATCCTCCGGAAGGCGGAAATGGCGGTCTATGAATGATACCAATATCATGGAGGGCATTCGCTCGACGGAGTCGATTGTCCAGGTGAGATGCGTACCAGTATTTTTCGAATTGTGTCAAAGAGAGGCTTTCAAGTCGCTGTGGAAATTAAAGGACTCGGTCGAAGGCAGGGGCGGAGGTTAGTTGCTTGCATGGAATCCGCCGGGTGTTCGTATCCGGCGTTATGGATTCAAGTATCACGGCTTGGTTCCGTGGCTGGAATCGGCGGTCAAACTTGCGCCGGTCGATAGGTATGAGGATGCCGTGGTATCTGGGAAAGTATATTTTCTGTGCCTCCGGACAGACACGGTTAATATGCTCGAATGCTCGAGTCTCGTTGAGGAAGCTATCAAATTCGTCTTTTATGTCTTGCGTGGTGTACCATGTCGACGGGATGCGATACCATTGCTCTTGGGCGTGGTTTAGAGTGTATTCTGGAAACTATACCAATCTTGTTATCTTATGCTAGTGGGCACCTAGATGAGAAAGAGTGGAGTTTTATGTACTGTCTTTGCAGCATAGCTCGTCTTAACACCATCCTCTTTGGCGTATAGCCGGAAGACCACGATCGGGCTGCCATTATGTTCGTGTAATCTTCGTCCGAAAATCCATTGTCTGTCGGGGACAGGAAAGTGGAAGGTCGTCAGACCTTGGGGTTCATCCAACACTTTGAAGGGCGGCGTTTTTCCTGAGAAGAAGGTATCTATCCATGTTGGATCTTCCTCCATCGTAGATCTGGGTTGTGACCGAGAAAGCCCTGTTGAGACCTGGTTTGACAGACACGGGTGTTTTACTGGGGAAAATGCTCAACTGAAAAAAGTGTGGAATGGGGAGTGCTTTTGATGGGCAGTGGTGGCTTTACATACTACTACGACTGAGAAGGGAGTATATGTGGGATGCGAATCGAACATCGATGGATCAATTATTCTGCAAGGGTGAGCAACGCTTATCCAATCAAGAGACCAATACGGGTTACACAGAATCTCAGTGAAAGGCACCAGCACCCCTAGATCCGTTACAGCCGTCCCTACCTAGGCGTTGTGCTCAATGGCAAAGGCTAAACGCTAGGAATGGAAGAGTGTCGCCGTGGCCACGCCAGAACTAATTAATTATGGGAATTAAAAGTCTCATTCTCAGTCTCAAAATTGTATCAACAAGCAAAGAATTGATCCACGCTAAAACGACAATTATCCCTCCCCAAAAGATACCAAGAGAATATACACATTACTCCATGTGCAAGTCATAAATCACTTCCCTTTTCCAAGAATTATCTCCTCCAACACTGCCCTCTCGCCACTATTCTCAACCAAATTCCTAAACACACCGGCCTTTATATGCATGAGTTCTTTCGGCGTCCCAAATTCAACCGCCCGTCCGGCATCCATGACGAGGATCTTGTCGAAATCGGCGATCGTGCTGAGGCGATGCGCAATCACCAGCAAAGAGCTGTTGCGGCCGAACTCGGCTCGAATTGACCGCTGGATCAGCGCGTCAGTCTCCATGTCGACGGCTGAGGTGGCCTCGTCGAGGATCATGATCTTGGGCTGCGAGACGATGGCACGAGCTAGGCAGAGAAGTTGCCGCTGGCCTTGTGAGAGGTTATAGCCGCCTTCGGAGACGGGGGCCCAGAGGGAGGCGAAGGCATTGGCCGGTTTTGGTGGCGTGTTCGTGGCGGTCGAAGAGGCGGAGGATGAGGCCAATGTGTCGCTGCCGCTGAGGGGGTCGTGGCTGCTGGGTTGCGATCCAAGAGTGAGGGTGTCTTCGAAGGAGAGGAGATGAACGCGTTCGAGCGCGTTGTAGAGTTCTAGGTCTGTGTGCTCGTGGAATGGGTCGAGGTTGGACCGCACGGTGCCGGAGAAAAGGACCGGATCTTGTGGGATGATGGCGAGTCGGCTGCGCAGAGCTTGCAGTTTGATTTTGGAAATGTCTTGTCCGTCGATAGTGATGCGACCTTGTCGGGCTTCGAGGAATCGGAATAGAGCAAGGGTGAGAGAGGACTTGCCGGCTCCGGTGCGTCCGACTACGCCGACCCGTTGGTTGTGCTCGATGGTAAAGCTGAGCCCGTCTAGTACTGGAGGGAGTTCAGGGGCGTATCCCACCTGGAGGTCCTCGAATTCAACATGTCCTCGGGTCGGCCATGCTGCGGGAGGATCGACGCCTCCCTGATCCTCGGTCTCCATGGCTGAGTATTCCAGCACTCGCTCCGTTGCATTCATGTCCATTTCGACGTTCGCGTAGAAGCGCAGTCCCATGGCCACAGCGTAGTTGTATTGCAGCGCAAAGCTCATGGCAAACCCAGCCAGAGCAGCAGAAATTGACGGTACGTAAACAACAAAGGCTGCCGTGGCAGTTGAAAAGATGGCTCCCACGATGCTCATGCGGAATCCCAGCCATCTGTTGAACAGCCAGAGGTTCCATGCGGCCTGCGCATGTCGATCGATGCGTTCGTACATCTGGCGCACGTACACATCGGCTTTGTTGAACGCGCGGATTGTCGTCAGCCCGACTAGGCTGGAGCCGAATTGCTCCATGACCGGACTTTTCGCGGTGCTTTCCAGTCGTTTGACTTCGCGTACACCACCCAGATAGGTCCAAGACATTTGAACGCAGACAATGAGTAACAGCCCAGCGAAGACCATGATCACTGGAGACACCATAACGCCCGCAACGATAATGCCTACTAGCTCGAGGATCTTGAACACCAAATTGCCAAGATCGTAGGCAAGCCTCCAGTCAAGCATGTAGACGTCTCCAGTGAACCGGTTGAGAATCCGACCGAGAGGAACCGTGTCCAACCATCGTAGAGGCGCTCGTAAGACAACTGCGAGAAGATCCTCAAACATCTGTCGAGAGGAATGGAGCGATGCGAACGCGAGGGAGAGGGTTCTAAGGGTTCCGACCGCACAGGCGGCAACAGAAATGCCTACATACACGCTCAAGTAGAAGACGAGGTCGGGATCGATGGATGATTTGGTGGTACTCAGGGTATGATGCCATAAACTGACGGTGTGCACCGGATGTGACGATGTATGAGACGAGCTTGTCCAAAGGCTTACCCACCAGGACTACCTTTATGTTAGTCTACATCAATAGATGATCAGGATGGAACACTTACGCGGCCGACGAGAAGAGCTGTGAACACAGCATAAGCAAGGAAGGTCAGCGCCCACACCGGCAGGCGATTCCCTTTGCTCACATATGCCATGTATACGCTCCACGAAATCGCACCCGTTTCTCGCTTTTCGTCTTGGGTAAACTTCCGATGGTTTTCATCGCCGGCTGCTGGAGGAGGGCCAACGGAGGAACGTTTTCGTCGAGACACCGCATCTTCCTCGTCGACCTGCTGCCTTTTGGCCGCTCTCTCGGTAGCCAGGTTGTGAAGGACGTCGGTGAGGCCTTGCATCTTGCTCAGTTCCTCCACAGAGCCTGCATGTGTCATCGATCCATTTTCGAGAAGAACGCAATAGTCAGTCCGAGGTAAACACAGCCCAACGTGATGTGTGACCAAAATCCTAGTTCGATCGCGACCCAGCTCCCCTGTCAGGGCATGCTCGTACACGTGTCGACCGGTTTCCGCGTCCAGCGCGCTGAAGATGTCGTCCATGACGAGGATTCCGGCACGAGAGTACAAAGCACGCGCAAATGAGACTCGCCACCGCTGGCCGCCACTCAGATTGATTCCATTTGCCCCGATTTCGGTCATTTCACCATCCGGTAACATCGTCAGATCCTTCTCCAGGCCGGACGCGAAGAGAACCTTGCGGTAACGAGACCAGTTATAGGGCAATCCGAATAGAATGTTGTCTTTGATCGTGGCGTTCTCCATCCATGGGTTCTGGGCCACGTAGGCGATGGCAGAGTCGAGAATCCAATTGTCGCGCGTGGCTCGATGGTCGAATCGTTCGTCCAGAGGGGGGGAATGTGGCACTGCCACTGATCCGGCCAGAACATCGCATTCACCGAGGAGAGAGGCAAGAACAAGGCTTTTTCCAGAACCCGTCTTGCCGGCAATCACGCTCAATCCTTTCCGAGGAAACTGTAGAGTCAAGTGGCGCAGGACAAATCGGTCATCCCGCTCCCAGTCCTTCTGGTCCTCGCTCGATTCATCTGCCGGCCATGCAAGTGTGGCGTTTTCGAACGATATCTCCTCAACATCCGTTGTGTGGGGAGCCTTGTCGGCGGACGTGAGATATTTGTCGATACGGTCGGTGCTTACCTTGGCTTCCATCGCACGAGATAGCAAGTCGGGCAAACTAGCCAAGGCGGACTCCAGGTTGCCAAATACCGACAGGGCCGTGAATGCGACCGATGCAGACAATTCGCCATGGATCAGGGCGTAGACTGTTAGGGAAACAGCCGAGAGCATCAATGGCCCTAGAATCCACACCGAGACCATACCGGTTGTGTAGAGGCTTGTCTTCCACAGAAGTTTCAGCTCGGCTTCACGCTTCTGGGTGATGTGATCTTGCCATTCCTGCTCCAGAGCTGCAAACTTGATCTGGCGGATACCCTGGAGGACCTCGGTCACGGCAGAAGTCCGTTTGTCGCTCGCCTTCATCAGCTCCTGCTGCACCGACGTATACCCTTTGGTCAGATACGCATTAACAGGCATAACCAGGACAGCCACACCGACACCGGCCAGCAGGCTGCGCCATCCGATCAGATGAACCAGAAATGCGGCAGCAATCCCCAGTCTCATTAGACATGACGGGATGAGATAGTTGAAGGTGGCGAAATCAGCAATCCGTTTAGAGTCCACAGCGGCCAAATTGATGATACTCTGTCTGCTTTTCTCCTGCTCGTCTTCCTCATCCTCATCTCCCTCCTTCTTGGACGGCTTCAGGTGCTTCGCGTCCTTGCAACGCATTGATTTGGCAAACACCAACGCTGACAGGCCCTCGTATATCGGGATCCACAGCTGCGAGTAGATCAGCCACCACAGCCAGGACTCAATTCCCAAGGACAGAACAAGCATGAAGCCAAGGGTAAGCACCCAAAGCCATGCCGCAGTCACCGGGCCCGACTCGGTTGACCTCCCCTCCAGAGACGTCAGGATGCCATATAGAGCCACCTGCGGTCCGAATCCCAGAACACAGGTCACGACGCTGAGAATCGTCTGCAGAACCAGCGGCCGGACATTCCCCATCACGAGCGTTTTCCAGAGTTTCAGCGTGCCCCGGGTTTGTTCCAAACGAGCGTGCAGGATCTGTGCACGCGCTGCAAAAGGCAATTTCGGCAGACTATCGACGTCGAGATTCTTGTTCTGTCCCGTGTAGTGGAGTAAACTGCTGACGTAGGTGTAGGTGAATCGGTTGAATGCACTGACTGTGAACTCCTGGTCGACCATTTGACCGTCGTAGTAAACATTGGGTCGACGCGGGATCAGGACACAACAGAGACCGCGTATCACTGCTACCGCTGCTTGACTGATGAGAAGTCCCGTTGATGCACGGCCAATGTTGACATCGTTGCCGTAACACCAAGGGATGAAGATGTTGAGACCGGAGATAACCAGGGTAAGAGAGCTGGCCCAGAAGGCGTGGAGGCCGAGCGTATACCGTTCCACGGTTGATCGCTCTATGAAAAAGGCTGTCGATTGGATACATTGCATCATCTTTGTCGGTTAGCAGCAGTCATTTCTCATGGAGCTGATGACTTACCCAGCCTCCCATTTGAAGCCAAAACGGCACAATCAAGAAGCTCTTGTCTTTGGCTTGCAGCGACAGAATGGCGAGCGCCAACGACAATTCCCATCCCGTCACGGAGAATATGGCGATGGCGACCTTCTGCCAGGTATCCGAGTAGGCTCGGAGCGATGATTCTGGCGCCTCCCCATCCTCATCCTCGTACCCCGGTTTGGTGATGGGCGACGCGTCCAGGCGAATGAATTGAGCATCCCTTTCTAATCTCCGAGTGATTTTCAGTACAGCAGGCACACTACTGACGACAATAAACACCAGGACCAAGACGCCCGTCACGATGGACAGGACTTCCGGATTTGATGCCATTCCTCATAAGATCTGGTCTGGCATTGGAGAGAGAGAGAGAAGCAACAGGCAGAGCGATTGAAGGAGAAAAAGACGCGAGAGAATAGGGGGCGCTGCAGCCACGACGGACGGAGAATTGCAGGACATTCCTCACTTCCTGCCGCATTCCCGTGCATCCCTGCCGTCGCCCTTCCGCCTTGCTGCCTTCCGCGGCAGAACCGCTCCCCGCCCGCTGATTGGCTCCGGCCGCGTCAACCGCACGCGCCAGCCAATCAGCGTCCGCAGACGGGCAGTTTCCGTCTTGGCCTCAGGACTCCAGGCCACAAAAAAATCGGTGATGTCTCTTTTTTTCCCTTTTTGCCCCATCTTGTACATCGTGCTGCCCCAGTCTTGTCATCGCGCACCGTTCTAGCCGTTAGTGTCATGCATGCATGTCATCTGCGCCCCTTATTGGTAACGGACTTCGCCTACTCCAATCATGCACAGCGGCCCACTTCCGATAGGTTAGGCTTTAGTCCCCGTCCAAATCCACGATGTCGTCGCTGCTTCGGATGGTTGCATACGGTGCTATTTGTAATGGCCAGCTGGTGACTGGCTGCGATAATGGTCTGACCGTTGGTTCTTGGCGTATCTCCCATGGACAGGTCAAATCTCTTTAACAAAGCGGAATCTTATCGAGACCCAATTCCGTTGAAACCAGGACGAACTCTTTTTAGATACATAATATATATTTCACCCGCCACTACGGAGTGTCCTTTTCGGATTTTGTAGTAACTGTGTAGACCTTCAATTAGTTGTATTTATTTCCCCAACTTGTGGTATGATGAGGAGAAAAGCCTGCGGACACCAAATATATATTTGGAGGAACCGGCTTTCTGAGCCGAACCTGTCATACCGAAACACGTACGTCGAAAGAGGAATTTGCTGATAGACTTAAATAATCAAACTAGTTGCTATCCAGGATAGGTTTGGTAGTACACTATGCTTTCTATGGTAGCACCACCTTATCTGTTTCCTCGTTTATATTACCCCTTGAAAATGACTGGGGTCTGCGTCAAATTGAGGTGGTTCAGACTCACCGCTAGATCATGTTACTCGATTTCTACCTTCGCTCCGAATTCGAGCAATATCTGTCGGCAGTTAATGGCCACCTGAGCGATCAATGAGCTCAATGGAAGTCGCCGTCTCCTGAAAAACCACTCAATCCTTCTCTCGTGCCAATAATCCGAACAAAGAAAATGATTTGGGTTACCGTGGACACGAAATCTGGGGACAGCTGCAACTCCCCGGGCGCCTTTTTTGTAGGGTAGGACAAGCAACGCACCTGGACCATGGATCGTGACATGTATTTGCATGTGTCTCGTCTCCATATCCAATTGGAAGTGACATATTTCTCATCAGAAATCAGGCCAAGGATGAGGATGCTCTAATCGTTGCCAATCCTTCGGCTCTGAGACCTACCGGGTAGGGTTTGGTGGTTCAGGTGATCTCGGTGTAATTGTGTACGAGACTACAGCTATATGATAGATTCATGTCTATAGTCTGAAAACCACCGGACGATTTCCCCTGAATGGACTGTTCTTTCCATCCGTTCAACGAATTCCTCGAGAATCCGGGAGACGTCGTGCACCCGCGAAGAACTTGCTTTGGATTGTGGAAACTCTGGTCGATGATGGAATAATATGCAGGAAGCAAACAACGCCGGGTAAGTTGCGTGTCTGTGCTGGCATACCTGCGAAGGGAATGAGCGACCAAACTGATCACTGGCTGAGGTTTTATGAAGATGCTAAAATTTCTCTTGGATGGGATACGAATGCCGACAGATTAGACCGGATCAGTATCCAAATCCCTCTTTTATTACGCATTGACTAGAGAAAGGTAAGGCGTAATAGAGAAAGGACTGGCAGTAAAATATTGAACTGGCTTGATGAAAAAATATCGCTTTGTTTTACCGAGGGATGGAGGTTAATATAGACCCGGTTGTTCGAGTCAATGTCAAAAGCAGTGAGCACATAGTAAGCAGCCACCTACCTGTCGTGAAACACACTATGCTTGAATCATTCATCATGAAATCTTTCTTATCAGGCGTCTGAATATCCTGTTATCGCACAATCCGAGCCCGGCCGAGTGAATGATACAGACATGGTGGCGAAGCCATTTCGGAGTTTCCAATATGAGATGCAAGAGGCAACCGAGTTCAAGCCACAAGACCAAGTTTTTATCGTAAATTCCAAGCCAGCGAAGCTTGCCATCTAGAGAGTTATCCGCAAAATTGGTGGCATGATTACTCAAGAGTCTCTGACTTCGGACATCACTCTGATCTGGTTCAGTTTCTCAGGAAAGACGTCACAACTCTAAGGCTTTTTGTCACCCCAGTTTGATCCCATTCATACCTAGTCTCGCAAAACATCCATAGCTTTATGAACAACAACACGTATAATGTTTAGTGGAGGTAATAGTTAAATTGTACGGCCCTACCAGCCTATTGTACATACCGACAGATACTGTTGGTTCAGATAATACTATATACACGCACTATTGGCGACCAATAAACAGACAGCCTGAGCCAGTCAGGTAACTAGGAACTCGGAGTCGACCGAGGATCTTTCCAAAGGGGGTCAATGAAATATACAAGACCGTGAGCCACTGCAGCCGCCAATGGACCAACCTGTAATTTGGTTAGATCAAGACCGAGACCGATATGACTCAATAGAAAAGAAAACATACCCAATGAATCCAATGGTAGCCAGGAAAGCTCGACGCCACGTAGGCACCAAAGCATCGGGCGGGATTTACACCTGAAACTATTAGTTCCACTTCGCTCGAAACCATCTATCAGACGATTGTATTGATGAGAGGTACTCACTGGCGCCGATATATCCATCTCTCGTCCATGCCGTTCCCCAGGTCACGACGCCTAGCACAACGCCCACAAACCACGGGGCTGTGGCGTGCCCAAACACCTTCGCCTGTCTCGGATCCAGGGCCACCCCGAATGCCAAGAAAATTAAGATCAAACAGGCCATAAACTCGATGATCAGCGCATCCTTCACGGGAACCAGCCCCGTATCGATATAGCATCCACCCACGGTAAAGTTACGCGTGCCGTATGCGCTGTTAAGCGCAAACCCGGCCAATGCGCCGCCCAGCGTCTGGCCCACCAGGTACAGGACCATGCGCGGGAAGGAGATGATGCGCGCAAAGAAGGTGGCTAGCGTGATTGTGGGACTGATGTGCCCACCGCTGGACGGGGAGAAAGTGTAGATTAACAGCGGGGTGAGGAGCAGATTCGTGATGCCGCCGAATAGGGGCGAGAAGAAGGTGAGGGTGGCGTAGATTCCGGCCTGCGATTTAGGGGCGCCGTCGCTGGATGGGGCGTGTGTTGTTACCCACGCGGTGATAAAGACGTTCATCATGCTGGCTGATTGGGCCGCGTTAGCTTTCCATCTCTGCTATCTGCATGTCTGCTGATAAGAATGACCAGGGGGCGGGAGATAGGGTTGGGTAGTGGTTGGGTAGTTGCATTAGGTTTCAGGTTTCAGATGGTTATCTCGACGGGGCGAATTCGTCGAGATAAGGAACGGGGTATATAAAGACCGCACAGGTATCCTTACCAACACATTCTAGGAGTGCAAATTTCCATAGATCAGCACTGAGGAATCCGCGAAAGTCAAACACCTCTTGCAGCGTCATACATGGCGCCGCGTCGGGCACCTTTTCCAACACCTTCTCATTCCGTGGATCGTTCCTGTCAACGATGAAATCCTGGTTTCCACCCATACGGCCGGCGAAGGGTGGAATTGACGGTGTCAATTGTCCCTGCTGCTCATCGTGTTCGTACTCAGGGAGATAAGCCACCATGATGGGCAGGTCAATTCCGGCGCTGGAGATAAGATGGCGTTTTCAGGAGGAGGAGAAAGGAGAAAACCAGTGGTCAGAGATACCATGTCAGATAGTTATCTCAGGATGTGGTTAGAGACATCGGGACCGCCCGGATGGGGTTTCATGATCGCGACCAGCCTTGCGACTGGCGCCGAACCGACGAGATACAGTTGGCACCTCCGACTTCGTGATTTGCTTTCTCGGCTCGGCAATCCGTGTCTGCTGCGGGTCTCTCGTGGGCTCTTGGCGAGATAAAGCTGACCTTCTAGAAACCGTTGGCAAATTCAATTATGTCCAGCGAAACTGGGCGGCCAATTAGGGTGGATCGAGTTCGGGGTTATCGCAGTCCCAAGGACCCAGATTGCGCCACCCGACGACAAAGGGCTTTGCCGCCCTCGGGCCATACTTTAATGCTGCAGTGGGCGGCTGCGAAGACGCTCGATTCTACCGAGTTGACTGATTGCCGTGGTTCGAAGCGATGTTCGGTGACCTCATGTCCGGCACTCTTCCGGAGGACTGGCGATGCGAATTTCGCAGAGAATTTTCTGTGATTTCTGAATCTCTCGACCGAATGCGCAAAAAAATGGAACCCGCCGACTCCGTATTTTCCTTTTCCTCGAGCAATCAGCGAACGGGCCAAAGGATCCAGACTCCAGAAATGTGGAGAAATCCATCACAGACCGGACTCAGGGGCAAATAGCAATCAAGCCAGGTACATCCCCGGGGACAAATCCCAGTCGTCTTTGGTGTTTCATTATCCGATCCAGGAGAACGGTAGGTCCAGGAGAGCACCTGAATCTATTATTTGGTCGACAAATTCTGCTCATGTCCTGCAACATGTCATATTGAAGTCGTGATGCTTTAGGGCTCGGTCGGTCATGCCTCCCGCTCCGGTTCCGGCCTTCGGAGTTAACCGTCGACCTTCGATGACGCGGTTGAACTTCGGTTTAGCGCTGACGATAGTGCTGATTTGCCTGCTACAGGCGGAATAATTGGCACGCGTGGATTTCTCTACGGGATATTTCGTGATAGTTTCGCCGAGACCGCTGACATGTCGGACATCCGATATGCCGTTTGGGGGCTACTTGGAGATCAAATGCAGAAGCCTACTTGAGAGACACATACGCCGTATGAAGTATGGACACCGGCCTGCTGGAGGTCCACTTCCGAAACATGATTCAATGTGGACTCTTCTCATTCGGATTGCTGAGTGCCAGTGTGATCGGGTTGATTCGGATGACTGGTCATGGAGCGCTCATGGAGTGCTTCCTGGGCTGAGTGCAGGGACATTGGCCACTGACGGGCATTCTTGAATCCCTCATTCAATCAAGCTTTTTGTTCAGGTAACCGTGCACTGGCCACGCAGCATGAACCCTCCAATGATTTATAACAAGCTACGGAGTACTCTCCACAAGTCCTTCTTGAGGCCTCTGCAGCCCAGGCAACTGCCCATCTGCCACGCAGTCAGATCCAAGACTCCATGATCCATGGATCTATTATGTCCAAGCTAAAATAAAGCAAACTAAAAAGAAACAAGTCTAAGCGGAACAAAACAACCCACTAGATAATACTAAGAAGTAGAAAAGAGAATTTAAAGGATTTTGCAAAAACACCTTTATAAGATACGAGCGGAGTCAAGGGGAGAAAATAGCCCGTACTATTTAGAAAAAAGAGAATAGGGAAAATAAGAAATTACTCTTTTAGTATAATATTTATAATTATGCGAAGATAAGATTTGTCTATAAGCTATGGGACCCGATTAAAGAGGGGTGCTAGCTACTAAAAAATATGCTGCTTTCTGACTGTTGGGTATATATGGCCAGGAAGCTGATAGATAGTGACATCAGAAAAGAACACTACCCGGGAGAGTTCGACAAATGTGGCGATATCAGGGTCTGATGTAGACTTTGCTCAATTTTCACAAGGACTGACCGAAGAGACCAGAGTGAAGAATTGGATAACAGAATGGTTTGGTCTTCAAAAAAAGGGGATGCCCGGTTGGCCTCCTTGCAGAATGGAATGCGTGTCTCGGCCGAGAGGAGTGTCTGAGATCAACGCGTTTCTACTGTTTCAGGCGCGTGGTTCAGGGATGTGAAGCACCAGACACTATGGAACGCGGTTACTCAAGATTGCTCAGGCTACAATGTCGCTGCAGAGCAATAGTGGAATTGAACCAATAAGGTGATTTTCAGATATGGCGGTCATTGATGCCATAGCTTAGTTGCCGCAATTTCTCTTTCAACAATCTTGACCTTGTGTCACAGGAGACGCATAGGAAAATAGAAGCAACAATTGACCAATATTTATTTTGGTTTACCGAAAGCATTACGATAAAGCGCAGTCAATGAACATCTGCGCCATCTCAACGAATGGAGGCTTCACCTGAGCACTTCAGGCCTCGATTCAAGGCAGCACGCATAGCACGTGGGACTACACCAAGTCTCTTATGCGTCATGGCCTTCGGAATAGGTAATATGACCAATCTTGACTTTGTTGACAGCATAAAGTCTCATACCATGCCCGATTGGCGGATGCGGAGCTTCAATCCCGAATTTGTGGTGACCGGGGACAAACCCCGAACGGCTGGATGCGATGCCGAGCCGTCAGACCATATTTTCTTCCAACATTTTGAATTATTTCCGTCTTATTTGGGATGGCATTCCGGAAATCTCCCGTGGTATCTTCCGGGTGGCGCGAGCTGTTGCACACATGTTGACAACTAGAATAGACATACGGCAACTAAAGACACGAAATAAATTGGAAGAAAAGAAAACAAATCAGAACAAAAGAAATATGGTAGCACACAAGGCTTAAATTGGAATCACTTTAAGGACTTACATCTACGGGACTATGGATATAGGGAATTTCACAGTAGTAAAACAACTCGATTGGTTATGCTGACAGGCTAAATACAGTCAGCCTATATGCACCTTGCATGGCTAGAAGACTTTAATGGATTTCTCCCTTGATAGTGCAGCGACAAAAGCCGTCCTCAAGACCTGTATTCATTCTCGCATCTCTTGCCAGGTAAAGACAGAAATCTTTTGTCTCGTAGGGATACTCAATAGGCGGATCGAACTCATCTTTCTCGAAGGGTAAGATCGCGTCAATCGCAATAGAAAGTGCTCGCTGTTGAATTTCGTTGTCAGTAAGATTGGTTGGGGCATAGAGCTCGAACGCCATCACGATCACGCTGCAGGGAAGGCCGTTCTTCGTACTTGGGGCGTCTTCCACAATTTGGCCGTCGCGCAGTTCGACACCAATGGCTTTGGCAAGCGAGCCTAGACCGTTGAGTGGAACAGTCTGGTCGAGATACAAGTTGATGTCGATGAGGACGAAATCATCGTCGCATAGCTCCTCATCTGGGCAATGTTCCAAGACCTTCCAAATTTTTCTTTCCTCTTGCTCGTGGTCCGTCAGTGCGTTTCGGTCGACGAAGATCTCTAGGGCAGACATGGCGAATAGGCGTTGTTGAATCAAATCGAGGTGACTCAAGGGTAGAAAATACTGAATGATGCAAGGCTGAAAGAAGAGTTTTGGACGTTGGTAGCCAGGTTTGATACATGAAGACAGAAGGTGATATTTATGTATCTGACGTCAAATAGAGATGTCAGAAAACATCCGGCAGGTAGGTTCAGTGCCAGAGGTTAAAGCTGATGACTTGCCATCAAACTACTGCTTGCTTCCGTTTCAATGTGTGCAATAACTGGAGCCTCCTCTTTCTATACCTCCTCTAAGTTTGCATTCTGTCTCATTCAATTAAAATAGCTGAAGCTAATAGCCTGTGTTCGACCTACGGATAGTGCTTGAGTGGAATATTTCTGGAGAAAAACGGTAGAGTTAAAGCGGAATTGCTCGGATTCAAGTTGACAGTATGCAAAGACTGATTGTAGTGGCCTGAAAATTATTAGAGGGGAGAAGAAGTGCGTCAACGAATAGGCAGCGTGAAAAGACATTCCAGGTTGCACTTCTGGAACATGACCTTTCTATGGCCTATTCGAATGAAATTACACGTTATTTTACAGAAGCCATCCATACTAGGAAGATAATTCATGAAACATTAGGTTAGTGTATTGATGCTAAATCTCATTCTGGAGTGAAAAGTTGTATTAACAAATTTATGCCGAGTTTATCCCTCAAACTGGCCACATGCTACATGAACCAAAAGCGAACAACAGACTTTTCTTTGCTACCAGAAAATAACAACGTAACAAGGTATCCAATTCATATTACCAAGTCGTAAAAGGCTGCACATTATGTAGAATCACATAAAGCAATTCAGGGATGCGAATCAAGGGTAAGAAAAAAAGCGAAGAGCGAGGCCGTTCCGACGACTTTCAACCGGAAGACGGACCAGGGCCAGCATAAGACCATCTGTGACGAATGAATATTGGATTCGATGGTTTGGATGGCTAGGAACCAATTTTGCATTGACAGCATCGAGAGCCCTCCGATTCAGGTGATTAATGAAATCCTGAGATGTCTGTGGGTATCTGCCGTCGTCCTTCAGAATCACCGCCATGATTCGACACTCATGAAGATGAAATGCAGGCTCAGAACGTGGGAGGCGGGCATGAACACGGTCATGGATAGCATTTCGAAGGTAGCGGCCAACATCACGCCGTCTATTAAGATTGAACCTGCTATTTTCAGGATAACAGACCAGGACTCCGACAAGGCTGCGAGGCGGCGATGGATCTTGGGCTAGTAATGTTTCGTAGGCGGTGTTCATGAGTTCTTGCTCGCGTTGTTCACGGGCCTCAGCGCGAGCCACATCGCGCGCCCGTTGCTCTTCATCTTGTTCTGCAGTGGAACCCCTCCTGAGCCAGTTGCACATATTGACCGTCGCGCTCGTAGGGTGGCGATTATCGCGGTAGTTTACAAAGGGCGATATCGGAGGACGGCAGCTGCCTGGAAAAGAGCCGAATGGGTAGCTAGGGTGGGGACTGTCGCAAGTATTTAAAACTGCGGAGAAAGAAATCACTTTAGGAGACTATCGAGAGAAATCGATGGTTAATGAAACTTCCCGCTTCATCGAACGGGTTGAATCCGGCACTTTCACCTTCACAACAAGGCTCCTCTGGAGCTCTATATCACAATGTCAGTTTGAGCAGTTCTAGAAAGAATAAGTCTCGAGGGTTTATCTTACATTTTTCAATCGTAACTTGAAACTTCCTGTAACAGTAGGCGATATTGAGAAGATGTGTTTTGCTGGTTATACGATAGAGGGAATGCACTGCTGGGTTGTTTGAGACTGCGTGGGGTCTTCAAAAAATATCAAGAGCATCAAATTTCACAACCTCAAACTGATCTAAGGTTACGGAAATCTCAGTATAATGCTAGGGCCAGCCCACCTTGCTAATGCAAAAATTACATTAACATTCGGCGATCGCTGCGCGCGGAAGCATTTCAAGCTTATACCCCGGGCCTTCGAAAGGATAAAATATAGGCTTTGCCCATGCCACGCGAGACAGCCATTTGAGGTGCTCTTTAGCTTCCCGGAAAATACCCAAGACAAATTCAACGTTTTCCACATCGTCGCCTGGCTTCAAGGCTCTATCGAAAGTCATCTGGACAATATGACATGTATGCTTGTGGTTTTCCAGGTTCTCCTCTACGCAGCAGGCCTCGAGACGTTCCTTGAGAATTTTGATGATGGCCATCGCAATGCATTGTTTTTGGTCCTCACGAACAGGCTCGCGGAAGTAGGGTTGTAAAAGGCAGAAGTTCAACTTTATGTAAAGCTTAGTGTCAGGACCTTCATTTGGGTATTCGTTAGGACGCACGACTCGGACATGTACCTGACGTTCCATGTTGCTGGTAGTTTCTGTGCTGATTATTCTTAGATCGGATGCGCTCGGATGCGCTCTGCAGCGCAATGGTCAAGAATAGTCAGGCCAGTGACATGATCTTCGACAATGTGAGCCGGAGATTGGATTTATACTTCACAGCCAAGGGCAAGGCAGAGGAAGTTGTCGAAGATTGACAGTCATTCAATGGAAGGCATGTGGATGGGTCTTACAGTCTCTGGTGTAGAGAACAAAGATATTCAGGAACAAGCCAGTGTAATGAGTAAGTGACAAAAGAATGGCAGAAGACAAAAGACCAAACAAAAAACAAACCAATGCTGCTGCGAAATCACAATGAACCATGACAGTAGTCAGTAATGCGGGCTACATCAGAACGACTATGCGGGGCAGTAGACTCAGCGCGTTTCTCTACATTCACCGCGTTGTTGCCCATCATGCCTAGACTGCAGCCAAACAACCTCGGTATAAAGAAGGCCCAGACAGACGGCGTCTGTTCGGCTTCGTTTTCGGGTTCGGGTGCGACCGTGAGTGGATCTAGCAAGGGGCTTCACACTGGGCATGGCACGTATTAATTAGAAGTCGGTGCATAATAGTCAGCATTAAGCTGTCATAATGGTAGAATGGAATTGCAGCATCCGAGCTCAGGGATTGTCCAGTCTTTGTATAAAGCCTAGACGTGGTCTCCCAGATGCACACTGTTTCCAAGTGCACCAAACATCAGTTCACAAAGATTTCCTTCGTATCCCCCAAAATGATCAAACCATCCTTTGCAGTTATTGAATCTTCTTCAAAGGAAACCAATGATGTTCATACTCATCTCAACTACTGGGATGCCCCTCCCCAAGTCCCTATCACGATTGACTTCACGCACCCCGATGGGCAGCAAAGGTTCGCCGAGACAGATAAGCTCCAGAGGCCATACCCAGTGACTATTCACGATATCCGCGGCCACGAGGCGGAGTATACCCTAGGCACTCATGGGTTTCAATACGTCCGCGACGAAGTTCCAGAGCTCGGTGTGGATGATTGGTCTGATCAGAAGAAAGTCACCGACGTTCTGATCCCTCATTCCGAACGGCTTATCCGAAATGTGTATGTCTCCTCTAATTTCCAGTTCTCTTGAAATCGGACTAATAATCAATAGTACTGGCGCAAAAGAAGTCATAACATTTACACATCGCATTCGCTGCTTTGCTACCGACGAGGAGAAGCTCGCTAACAACCGATCCCCCGCGCATAGTGTGCACTTGGACTTCACTGTTGCTGGTGCATTGCAGCACCTGGAAACTGTCCTGCAGGACCCGGAGAGAGTGAAAGAAGTCCTACGGGGACGTGTTATGGTCATCAATGTATGGCGCCCGCTGCGAAAAATCAAACGAGATCCTCTTTCTGTCTGCGACTGGAGGTCCGTGAAGTGCGACGAAGACTTGATTCCCTATCAGATGGTCTTCCCGCACGGACAGAATGAGCTCGGTAAGGTCAGGTTCACTGAGCGACATAGATGGTATTATCTCGGGGGTCAGGAAACATCTGAGCCTCTAGTTTTCAAACAGTTCGATAGTGGGAATGGGGACGAGGGTGGATGGACTTTGCCGCACAGTGCGTTCGAGGTGCCAGGAATGAACGAAGAAGATCCCCGAGAGAGCATGGAGATCAAAATGTTCGCATTCTTCGACTGGGATTGCCGGTCTAAGGATTTCACGCCATGTTTTTGAAGCCCTCGTGTTCCTTTCGATCTTTTTACTTTGCAGTTCGGGATTCTGTCTTCGTTGAATGAAACGTCCAATCCTCATTGCCAGAAGCACTCGTAAACATGGTCTACTAGGCCCCGATATGGACGAACGGAGCCCATCCAATGATGTTTACTGGCTTCCTCTTTTTCACCCTTCTGACAGCAAAATGTAGAGCATACGCAACTACATCGTGGCTAACCTCTGGTCCACTTTGTTTCAATTGATCGACCAAGCTTTCGTAGAATGCACCTGCAACCTCAGTTGCGCACTTATCATCAGCCTCCCACAAGGTACCAATGACATGCGGGAACCCTAACAGTTGGAACGCACTAGCGATGTGGATAGCTTCGTTGGCGAGGTCTACGGACGCATTCTCCGCCGTTGAGCACGCAGACAGATACGCTATCTGCCCAAGGTCGTGACGCATGTTCGACAATTCCTGAATGGTGAGGCGCTCTGGCTCTAGAGCTGTGCTGGCTCCTAAGAAAAGACTGCCTTGCTCTGGGTGTTTGGTATCCGGAATCCCATGGCATGCGAAATGAACAAGGGCACATTTGCTGATCTCTTGTAGCACTTCGGCTTTAGAGGGCTGCGTGAGAGTAGATGGAACAATCGAACTAGATCCCTGCACAGCTTTTCTGATCAACTGAACCTCTTTCCCCGTTCCAAGTGGGTTGAGGCCAACTGTCCGTGGCATTGCTGTGATGAGCATTCGGGTGTTTGGCTCCCGGAGATATTGTAAATCTTTTTCTCGGGCATACTGTAGAGCCTTCAAAGTAGGAATGTAACTGGATACCACGTAGTCTGAAGTTGATCGCTTGGAATCTCCCGCCGCGTGGAGAGGCATAAGACCCATTTGTCCGCTCGTCACCCACCATATGTGCGAAGGGTGCTTGGGGACCTTTGCTGGGAGTAATCCGAGATTATCGAGCACAGGATGCACTGCGATCTCCCAGAGCCACTCGAGGACTTGCTGCAGTTCTCTCTGACGCTGAGCTTTTGTCGATGATAAGCCCACTGTTAGCTTCTTATCTCCGATGAACTTTTTGACATTTTTCTTCAGTTCACGAAACTTGAGCCTCTCCAAGGGCAGCGCAGCAATTCCACCTGGTTGGGTAATGAGTAGGGCGTCGCTGCGGTATTCCGTGCAATTGAAGACTACAATTGGGCCGCGGTGCGCCAAGTCAATGAGCGCTGCTGGGGTAGGAGGCAGAAGGAATCGCTCAAACCCTTCCTGCTCTCGAATGATGCTTTCCAATTCTTTGAGCTGCGTTGTGTCCCGGTAGCGCTGGGAGATTCGCATAGAAACACTACTCTTGTTGCTCTCGTAGGTATTCTTCGGGGTATTCAAGACGATCTCGCTCAGGGTCGAGGCACGTTGAGTCTGATCTTCCCAAGGCATGCACACCTGATCTCTTGCCCTGTTGTATTTTGAGTATAGCTCAGGGTGAAGCTCCTTCAACTCAGAGATATCGCTTCGAGAACTGATGATGAAACTGGCAATTATACCTCGTCCGGCTTCAAGAATCTCCAAGGCCTGAGTAGCGGTTCCGTTCGTCTTTAGCACCATCGAAGCTGCATCGGAGGGAATGTGGCTAGCAGGCGCTAGCATGCGCTGCTGATCCCTTCTCGGCAATGTAGTAGCAGACAACCTTGGTAGCAGTCTGACCAACTTTTCTAGAAATGATCTCGCCCCTAACCAGTCTTCACTCAAAATGCATCGATCAAGACCATGTAGTCCTGCACGGGCGCGGTCAAAGGGGGAGCCGCTTTCCAGGTCAAAGGCCTTCTCGCACAGGGCTTTGGCGGTATCGAGGTCACCATCCTCTAGAGGATATTTGTCATGAAACGCCAAAGCCAAGTTCGTGAGAATTGTGACTCGCGCAGGATTTCCGTCCGGAAGTAACTCAATCGCCGCCTGTAGGGCGCTCATGGACTCTCTCAAGTCACTCTGATTCTGAGTTCGTTGGTACCGGAGCTCCAATGTGCTCGCCCAATTGTTTAAATGATATGCCTTGTCGATGTCATCTTCCCATTGTGCAGTTATAGCCTTTTTCTGAATCCCATGAGCCAATTCCCGGTCCGCTGCAATTCCATGATGTTTGAACCTAGCCTCCAAGCACATCGCGAGAAAATTGAGATACTGACCATCCATTGAAATGTCATCAGTCAACATATCGGCGACAGAAGCCATCAAACCGATTGCCTTGCTCAAGTCAGTGGAGCTGCTTGTACTCTTGTATCTCTCCATAATGTGATGAACTAAAGTGAATTTATAGTGAGGATTGATGGTCATGTTTTTGCACACGGCCTCTTCCCCTAGACCAACCCCTTCATCCAAGTCGGACATTGCCAGCGTTATTTCAAACCTGAACATGAGACACACGCTCAGATCATGAATAAGTGTGGCCTCAAGCAAATGACTTTCTGGGTGCTCTGACAGAGCTTTTATGGCCTCTCTATGAAGCTGAATCGAAGTTTCTAGATCGTCCCTTGATCGCTTCCACTTGAATCTTGCGAGGAAGTCAATCGCCAGCTCGTGTATGTACTTCGCTCGGTGTTGATCATGATGCGGAATGCATTGCAAGATCGCCTGCTGCATTGGTATCGCAAGATCCAAGACGTCCAGTTCATGAATCTCGGCTCTAAGCCGAATGATGTCGTTGGGCATTTGTCGAAAAACCTCGGTAGGCTCTAAACCTAACGCTGCGGTGATTTTTATTGTCTCGTTTATCAACGCATAAGCTTTCACTAGATCCTTCTGTGTGGTGTACCTGCAAACGAGGCACTTGGCTAGACTGATCAGATAAGGGACCCGAGCAAAACCCAGTTGGTTGACCAGAGAAGCTTGGTTTAGAAGATTAACAGCTTCATCTATGTCCTCCTGGTGGTTCATAGGGTATGATTGGTTAGACAATGACTCCTGCTCATCATTCTCAGTGCGCGCTTTTGCTTCCAACTCATCGTACCTCATGAAGAGGATTCTAGCCAGCCCAGCTTGATACCTTGCTCTCTCCGGAGTGTCGTCTGAAACAAGATCAAGGACATTTCGCATGAGGTTTATAGATCTATGCAAATCATCCTCAATCGATTCTTTGTCTAACCTAGACATTTCCGTCGAGACTCCAGAGTCATCTGCATATTCCATTGACGAGTTGGAATGTCCAATGCTTCCTTCGTCTATTGAGTTGGCGTACTCACATTGACTTGTCTTGTCTTCAGCCTGAGAGATAGGGGGCGAGATAATGAGTTCTCCTAAGCCTTGCACTGGCTCTTGCGCATTAATCTCATACTCGGGGAAGTTATCAACCAATTCAGTGGTATCGCTTGCGCATGTGGCGTTTGAATGCATGCTTTTTCTGATCGAGCGTGCTGCTCCATCAGCCATGATAGACGCATCGGTTGCATTCTCGGATAAACGATAGCGGTAGACAAGAAGGTTCGACAAAAACTCCAAGTACTGAGGTTGCTCAACTTCATTATTTGAGCCGGCATCTATCGCCTCTTCCATAGTTTCAATTGCTTCATCCAGATCATTCATGTCACCTTCTAGCTCAAACATCGAGACAAGAAGAGATGCAAAGGTGCACAGACGCTTCGATAACAGAGCTCCGTTCCCTTCAACTGCATCGATAGCCTCGATTGCGCGGTCAATATCCTGGCTTAAGGACGTTTTCCTTTCCTCATCTCTAGTCTCTTGATTACCAGGATCCGGAAGATTCGATAGACGGAGCATACTATCAACACCACCGAAAATTGCAATGTCCTGGAACTTCTCGGTAGCCGTAACGCCTTCGACCTGCTCTAATACTGGTAGCCTGGCCGGTTCGTTTGGCGTCTCAAGCAGATCCTCGTAATCTTTATCGATATCCAATGGACCGTCCTCGAGATACTGGATAATAGCCGCCTTCAACCCATCCGTTTTCTCTGTTTTTCTGAATCTCAAGAGGAGCGTCCGTGATAAGGTCGCTTGGTAGGAGTCGTAGAGTTTACGGTTCGTCCTTCTGCTGCGGACTATGCCCTGCACAGCCTCCCGTCCACATCGGATTGCAGCTTCAACATCTTCCTCGGTATTTGCTTTTCTCCATCTGGAACAAAAATATCCAGATAGTCCATCTAGGTATCCAGGGCGGTCCCTATGGCCTTTTGGTAGCCTGTCAACAGCGTCTTCTGCCAGTTCAATGGCGCAATTCAAGTCGTCGATTGACGATGCTTCTTGGTATCTTGACTCCAAAAGCTCAGCCAAATCAAATAAATATTCAGCGAGGCCTTCGTTGTCATCTCTCGCCGTTTCTGCAGCCGCGTGCGCGGCCTCAATGGCTTCATTTAGATAGACGATTGCCGGCCTTCGTCTTTCCGAAGCAAGTGCTTTCTGCTGCCCTTCTCCATCCTCAACAGATGGGACTTCCGATGCCGCGTGGTATCTCAATGTAAGACATAAGGCGAGACGGTTCAAGTATCGTGCACATTCGAAATCATACTCACTTGTTTCAACTGCCTCCTCTGTAAGTGCGATAGCCGACTCTAAATCATCAATCTCCTGCTTTACCTCGAACCGACTGACCAAGTGTCGAGCTAAAGAGTCGAGACATGCAGCACGATCAGGACTACCCGATGGCAGCGCGGCCAAGGCCTCTTTCCCGAGTTGTATTGCCTGGTCGATCGCGCGTTCTGCCACGGTACCTATGCCCTGGTTTCCATCGGTGTCGCAGGGCTCCTCTATACAACTTCCTCGTGTTTCCAATTGATTACCAGAGTCCTCGTCCGTGTTACTTTCATCATCAGAATCACTCGAACTCTTGTAACTGTCAGTTTCAGATGGCACCGATGATAAAATGGACGCAAGCAGAAGGGTGTACTCTTGTCGTTTCGGGTCATCGAGAGATGTGAGATCCATGACCTCCTGCATGAGCTTAATGGCTTTTTGCAGGAGGGCAGTTGACTTCGTGTCCCAAAAGCGATACACATAAGAAATGGAAAGAAAGTGCAAAGCATGGACTCTGTCTGTGATCTCCTTAGGCAGAAGATCAACAGCCTCTTCTGCCAGCTGGATGGCCTCTTTGAGGTCTTTGGTCGAGTCCCATTCGTCTAGAGTAGAATCGCTTTCGGTTGCCGCACGATACCTACGAAGTAGGAGCTTGGCCAGGTCGAGTAACAGCTTCGGTCGATCTTGATCAGTGGTCGGGAGATAATATAGGGCATCTCGGGCACAGATGATAACTTCTTCCGATTCCGGCGGGAACAATGACACGCCGTCCTTGGTTGAGACTTGAGACATGTGAGTCATCTGGGTAAAGGTGAATGTTGAAAGTAAATACCATTGTTATTCTCCTCTTCAGAAGCTCCGCAAGACAGCATATCAAGCGATGACATCCCGTCGGATGGCGAGTGCGTAGCCTTTGTGAATGTTGCCCAGGAAAGCCAATTACGCGTCTGCGTTGGTTTTAGACGATGTTCATACGAGAGTATCTTCCAACAGCTGATTGTTCTATAGTCGCACCATAATCATTGCAGGCTAGCACGTTCCATTTATTTCGCTCTCAGCTTGACAGAACTCGGATATTCTCCGCCTCGCACAAACTCCTGCTCGGGTCTTGAATACTGTGAAAAAGAGCGGCACTGCCACGCTAAATAGCCAAGTCGACACCAGGTTAAACTTGGCGCGATGTGTGCCCAACGGAGGGGCCTAGAATATGAGTGGCTTTGTGGCTGGGTAAACGTTAGAGGGTTATTTCTAACCGCGGTTTATTGGACCGTGGGAGCTCTGAATAGGTAAGTAAACGAGATGAACAACTCGTCCAGCAATAATGAACCTATTCTCCAGGCAGTATAGTAGTCTTCGATACACCAAATCGAAAGAAGCCGTTAGGCAGTGAAATGGCGCAGCATTTACTTGTTCCAGCCTCGGTCTCACGTCAGCCGTCAACTAAGTCAGTAGCGTGCATATCACCAGCCACAATAACGGGGTGAAAGACCGCTTCATTGGGAGTAAGGACTGCCATTGGCCGGTATTTGAGGATCCTGTCATGTCGCCCTGACAAGATCCTTGAAATGCCACTAAAGCCTCCTCTCCTAGGCAGCTGATGACCTGGCTCAGTGCTTTCCATTGTGGCGCTTTCGCAGCTGCTCGGTTCAAGAAGCAGTCGATGCCGACCATTTTAGTCGTAGGATGAAGACACTGTAAAGCAATCTGAAATTTCACAAACGCGAGTTGGTTCTTCCTTCACAATGCGAAGCCAGTATATTTTCAAGGCGCCCTTTCTGTCGAGCGACGAAATAAAACTCGGTAACCTCATTCCAAACATCAGAGATCCCGAACTAGACGCCCAAGAATGTCCTTGGCCGATCGCTCTCAACGAGGACTATACCGTCAAGCTCATCGACAATTTCCATGCCTTTTTCCGGTCGGAAAGGAACGTGCAATTGTCGGGCTTTCTCTCGAGACTAGTCAATGTCTCCGGTCAACGCACCACTGCAAATAACGATGAGCTGTCTTCGGCACGTGGCAATATCCACACACTCAAGAAGCCAAATGCTTTCTTCCAGAAACTTTGCAAGGATCAGGACGTTCGAGTATGGCTGCAGGAGCAGATCGAAGACGGCCTGGATGTTCATTTTGTGGTCGGGTTTGTCACTTTGTTGAATGCCAGGGCCGCGGATGGCACGTCCTCAAGCAACGCGTTCAAGGGTCAAGGGAGCATTCCAGTGACAGAAGTACTCGCTGGTGGGGTGCCAAATGACCTCTTGGATGTCCGGCTAGCAGGTGGCTACTCGTCAGCCGAAGCTAACGGACGAAGCTATCTCGCGCCCGGAGAGCAGATATTTGGATTGCGAGTCAAAAAATTGGTCTTCAAGTTCTTTCGATCGAGGAGTGTCGCCACCGCAAAGCTTGAGAAAAACACATCTTGGGAGCTAGTGTCTGGTAACAGAGCTGCTTCCCAGCAGGGATCGGAGTGGGTCCAAGCATCCCTTGCTGGCGACGAGATTGAGTCGGGGGATGAAGTCGATGAGAGCGATGTTGGATTCGCTGAGGATGATGAGTTCATTTTGCTGGACGATGGAAGTGATAGCAGCGAAACTGAACAGGACTGATTGCTCCCAATTTCTTGTTTAACAGAGCCGAACCCACTCACGCTTACCAACGAGATGGATGTTGAGCTGCTTTGTGCGACCTGAAGGTGTATGACAGAATGGGTTGTCCAATAATTGATCGACCGACGTGGTAACAAGACTTTTTAAATGAAGAAAGTCAATTTACTGGAACAAGGGCACATAATGATGCCTCGGAGATTTCATAAATCCTAAAAAGCTCCAAGAAGGTCATTCTTGGCCAGTCAGGACGAACCATAAGCCTTCTAGAAGGGGCTTAACTTGAAGCCCCCCGTGTTCAACCTGGTGAAAATTCCCTGAGGATCATACCTTTTCTGGATTGACTTCATCCGAGCCACATTTTCTGATGGGAACCCTGCGAACGGGTCCTGCCATTCTCCGGCATCCCCCATGTACACGAACTCAGTGCTGATTCCATTTCGCCTGTTGGCATCATGCAGTTTCTCTGCCAATTTCTGTGACCAGCGTTGGACGCGGATGTCATCCTGTGCCAGGGCCCAGCCCGTACTAAATTGCCACCCTGATGAGAATATATCCATTAGCTGGGGCCACAGGATATAGGACAGTGTAGCTCACAAATCATCGGCTTATCATCGATTCCCCAAACATTGCCGATGCCATTGGACTTGCCTACTCTCGCTGCGCCGGCAGGGGCCAGGTTTATCACGAAAGTCGGCACAAGTCCTTTGACGTCCGAGATGTCCCGCAGCGCCAACCTCCATGCTCGATACATCTTATAGAGTTTTTCATGATGGGTCTCCATAGTATGGTGGGAGAACATCACCCTAGTAGCTGGTTAGCAGGTTTCCAACAGCTATTGGTTTTCGGCTTACCGGAACATCTGATTTGGGGTTTCCAGGTTCGCGGCAAATTCCTTTCCAGTGGTCACGTTGTGGGTCTTCAATGGCCCGGGCAATGGCAGTAAAATTCTTAAACTGCGATGGGGGGTTACTGATGCCTTCTTGAACTCCCATAACCAATGCGGATGTGACGTTCGTCGTTGCATTATAGCCGATGGTAAAAACTCCCCCGGCAGCAATAGGATTCGGCTCATCGAATTTGGCCAGGTCACAGGCGGCTTGGATGTAGTCGTATATACCCGACTCAGAAAAAGCTTGGATCGTCGTGCTAATGCGAGGAATTTCATGAGTTTTGAGTGAAAACTTGGTCACAATTCCATAGTTGTTGGCCCCTCCTTTCAGTGCCCAGAACAGATCTGGGTGAGATGTCCTAGACGCCACGACTTGCGTCCCGTTTCCGAGCACCACTTCATACTTGACAACATTGTCCATGGCGAAGCCATATTTGTTGGTAAAGTAGTGGACTCCTCCGATAAGGGTGAGTCCCGGGACACCGATTGTCTTGAGACGACCGCCAATAGCCATCCGACCGTAAGGCTCGAGCGCCGAGTAGACGTCGTACCAAGTCATTCCTGGGCCGACGTCAATGGTGCCATTGTGAACCTTGTACTTGTTCAGGTCAGACAGTGCGATGACAACGCCATCGTCAATGTTGTTGGATCCAGGTATCTACTTTGCCCGTCAACCATGCACCCTGCACGTTTGATGTAACGGACCTACATCATGTAATGCCACCCACGCTTATAATTTATATTGCTTCTTGGGACTCCTGCAGTAACATGACCACACTCCTTTACCGATACGGCGAGATGTCCGCCTCGTAATCGTATTTGTATCCTGTTATTCTAACCAAAGTGTGCAAGCCGAGATGACCATATTGCAGCCAAGCGGGTGGTAGCGGGTGGTTCCACCAGTCCGAGAGCGAGGATCGACGTGGCAGAGGAAATGTGGAGATGAAAGGGTCGTGCGTCGGGTTCGGGTTCGGGTTCGCTTTGTTTCTGTCCCGTCATCCGAGGCACGACCAGGATTGCAATCATTTGACAACGCAACCTTCGTTCTCCATGATCAACAAAATACATCTGCCTTTGGGTCAAGTGCACCATCCGAGTTGTTCCATTGGCCACTGGATCCAGGAGCGATGTGCTGCATCCAGAAGCCCATGGATCCGGGACAACAAATGAATTGCCCATCCATTAATCCACCACATCCACTCCAGTCGATGCAACAGGGGGCAGAAAAAACCGAATATTACCAACGCCACAGGTCGCTGCTCCCTCAAAAGCTCCAGGAATTCCTGGGACACACCCAGCGGCCAAACAAATACATCATCCGTTTCCCACTGTGTAGGACATTGGTCTGTCCACAGTACATATGACCGTTTCATTTCTTCCAACGCATCCAGGTAAATCTTCAGCTCCTCCATGTCACGAACTTCCTCTCGGATCAGAACCTCCAGGTCGGACATAAAGCTCTTTTGATCGGTTACCAGGCTATTTCGAAACTCCGTACGATTGCCGCGAATATTCAAAATGGCTGCCATGGGCCCCGACGATAATGAATCACGCGCATACTTGACGATTGTTCCCGAGCCTCGGAAAAACACTAGCCATTCGGAAACCTCTCCTCGTCTGAACAGCAGAAAGTCGTCCAGCTTCCTAGGCTTAGCGCAGGATATAAAGCTGGTCAGCATCGAAAACAGCAGGACACCGGCGCTGTCTTCTTGCATAAGGTGAGTCATGTTTGGCGCCACTTGCTTCACTGCGGCATCATGGTGATATTCCGCCTGGTTCACATAAAATTTCTTCTGGTGAGGTCTCAGATGGGCCAGATGAAGGGCGGAAATGGCCAGGATGGCACGGAGTGCATAAGGTGCCGAAAAGCCTATTCGCGGGGCGTTGACACGCCAAAAGGTCTGGATGGCCGGGTGCTGGGAAAAAGTGTATGCAGTTGAGGTCGAGAAATGGTGCAGGAGTTCAAGATCGGATATGGCAAGTTCTGGTGCTGTACTGGTTGTCTGCCCGGCAGCGGGATCGGCATGAGTGCTGATCAAGGGAGTGTCCGAAACCTCATATGGTGAGGGTGAACCGTTGGTGGTAGCGAAAAAGGAGCATTCCACATGATGTTTTTTGCAATTCCGGCAAGTTGGCCTCCCTTCATCACACTGCGTAGATATGATCAGCCTTTGTCACATAATGATTTAAGCATGAATTTGCAACTACCAGAGATGTAAAGCACGAGTGCAGTGATTAATACCTTCACTTTCCGTGCCTTGCACTGCTGGCAGCCATTGCGCGACTTGCGGTGCGACCGGCGCCCGGTTACAGGCAATTGAGTAGCCATCACACTGGATGAATGTTGTCCGAGGTCATATTGTTACACAATCATGATGATACAGAAGACGAAGGAACGGTCGGGGCCTTTCGGTGGATGGAATGGTGTCAGGAGTGACGATCGGCCAAGACGCGGCAGCCTGAATGAAGCCGGCCGGGAGGCGGTGTCGCGTGGCAGTATAACAATGTCAGCAAGTCTATCTTTAGCAGGGCTGACGAAAGGATTGCAAGTAGAATATGGCTTTCATCTGAGTCAGGAAGCCATGGAAGCCTGGGGTACAGACTGCTAAGCTCACGCCATTTGCTTATCCTCAGCCCCTTTTATGTATACAACGCCATACAAGACCTTCTACCGCGTTCAACCCAGATGTAACAAATCCATTCATTTTCATTATTCTGACCCTGTTGGATCGCTGCTGTAGTCCTCCGCTCCCGTACCTCAACACGAACCAGGACTAGTCACACTGAGTGATCCTGAAAGACCTACTAAATTCTAGGCAGAACGAATCCAGAGCTCTACTGCGTCTGTCCTCGGAGAAATGGCGCAATCGGCCCGACGGCACCGAACACGTGACCCGGTGACAGATCCAGCCTAGTGCGGGCACGGGACGGGAAGGCCGTTAACCGGCGGTGGGGCTCCGCGGATCTCTCCGCATTTCACCGACTCTTCATCCTTCCCTCCAACAGGTTGTCGTATACACGTTAGCTGTCTCGTGGGCGCCGCTTGCCAAGGAAAGACTGTTCCAATCGTCTCGAAGGGGCCTGGCAGAGTATAGCATCACATCTGAACCATGCCGGCCAAGTGGAGAACCAAGTCCGGCTGCTTGACATGTCTGTTCCCCCCTGACTCTGTCACCCTGTATGATCGACAGCACTGACCCATCTTAATCTAGGTCGCATGAGACGCAAAAAGTGTGATGAGGAGAATGGCACGTGTAGAGCCTGTCGTCGAAATGGCCTGACTTGTATTTGGCCCTTGAAGGGCGTTGCCAGTGTCGACTCCAGAGCAATCGCGAACACCTCGACAAATATCGATATTGCGTCCCATTGCCTGACCACATTCCACAATCGGGCCCAAGAGTCGCTTTTTACGTACTTCTCTTCAAGCGTTCTTCCTCAGCTTCTGATTCCCGGCACGCCGCGGGCCTCCTGTGATGGGCTACTGTCGATGGGCATTGCGTATCCGGCCCTCATGAATTCGCTTCTTGCTTGCGCCGCATTATACCAGCCAGGGACCGCAGAATCGAAAACGCGTAATGCCTTGAGATATTACTCCAATGCCCTGGGTATGACGCGATCGATGATCGAGAATTCGACACTGGAAGGGACGGAAGACTGGCTGCTGGTTCTCACATTGATCATGTGCATTTTCGAGGTAGGTCGGACCGGTAAAGGAGCTCGAGCTGTTGCTAGGCGAGTGAAGTGACTGAGTGCTAATTCTGTCCAAGAGAGCCCAGCCTGGACCATCCTGCGGTGCGGATAGTCATTTACTTGGCGCGTCACGTATCATGACCATGAAATTGGAGGCGGCTGCCCAGAGTGACCAAGATGAACCCGAAACGATGGCAATGACATGCGCTGCATCCTTGATATATCATGCCTCAACAACTACAATTCTGTCTCCAACAACCACGCCAGCCCCCGATTCAGTATGCTGGGACCAAGTCCAAGAATATCTTGAGTCCACCCAACAAACGGACCTAGCTATGCCCCCGTCACTGTGTCGCGTGATATTGGAAATAACCCACCTCGCAAGCCGAACCCCGCTGAATTATGATGACCGACTGCTAGTGTGCTCCCTGCGGCTTGAGCTCAGTACGTGGCTGATTCCGCAGAGTGGCGTCGATGGAGAAAATACGGCACCGGGGACGGATATTCAAAAGGCAGCAGAGCTCTATGCCCTGACAGCCGACATTCTTCTTATGAAGATTGCTCAACCTGACATTCAAGCAGCGGACAGCAAGATCCAACAGCGTGCCAGGCAGATTCTGAGCAATTTGAAATCGGATGTTTATGGAGTCTTCTGGAATCAGCACTACTCATGGCCGTTTACGATGCTTGCATGTACCGTGCAAAGAGAGACAGAAATGGTGTTTCTACTCGGCCGGCTCCAAAGAATGTGGGAGTGCTCACATTGGGGAGACATCAAGCGGACTATCCACCTTTTAACCACAATTTATCGACGACGAAAGGCATCTGGGCAGTTCAACGGCTCAAATCCTCAAAGCTCGGAGAAATTTGTTGAACCGTTTGATCTCTTGCTTCAACCGGAAGGGATCTCGAGTCTTATAGCGACATAAAGCAAAAAACGGTTGACGAATGAACAACGCCACCATGGGCCAAGCCCACGAGGTATAATATCTTCCCGTGAATCTCATATTGTGGAATTACTGCTGGGTCATAATTCTCAAAGTGAGAGTAAATCATCTACAAAACGCAATACCTCATAGCTTGGCCGGCGGGAAGTTGATCAGAACCGCTTTGGCCTGCAAATAGCTCAGCACCGCCGCTCGACCACCCTCATAACTGCCATTTCCACTCTGCTTCCATCCTCCCAATGGCAGATCATAATCCGGCTGGTGATTGGAGTTGATCGCAACCGCGCCGGCCTCAAGGCGCTTTGCAAGCCGGAGTGCCCGGGGGATATCCTGGGTGAACACGCACGACGAAAGTCCATATGTTGTCGCGTTTGCGAGGCTGATTGCCTCGTCTTCGGTCTCAAACGATCGCACACAGAGAACAGGGCCGAATACTTCTTCCTTCCAGGCCGCCGAGTCAACGGGCGGGTCGAGCAGAATTGTTGGCGTCACGAAGTTCTTGTTGGCTTCGCCCCCGGTTAGAACGGTGTTTGAGTTCGTGCTCTGCGCCGCCTTCACGATTGTGACAATCTTATTCTTTTGACCTGCATCGACGACCGGACCGAGGAAGGTGGTATCTTGACTCGGGTCCCCTGATGCCCCGGCCAGCGCCTCAAATCTCGCTTTCAACTCTGTTACAAACCGGTCGACAATAGACTTGTGAACCAAAACTCGCGACGCGGCCACGCAGATTTGACCAGAATGTACGAGGAAACTCTGCGAAGAGTGCAACAAGGCGTTGTCCAGATCTGCGTCGCCGAAGATTATCGATGGGGATTTGCCACCCAACTCCAGCGTGACTCTCTTCAAGTTGCTCTGCGCGGCAGAGACTTGAATCTTCTTTCCGGTCCCGACCGACCCCGTGAAGCTGAGCCGGTTAATATCCATATGGGATGCTAGAAGCGCGCCCGTTGTTCCGTCTCCGTTCAATATGTTGATCACACCCGGCGGGAATCCCGCCTTGACGATCAGGTCTCCGATCTGCAGTGCGCCCAGTGGCGACTTCTCCGACGACTTGAAGATGAACGTATTCCCCGCCGCGACCGCGGGCGCAATCTTCATGCTGAAAAAGAAGAGACTCGCATTCCAGGCGCCGATCCCTGCGCAGACGCCAAACGGATCGTGTCGGACAATTTTGTAGACCCGATCGTCCCCCTCGGGCACAAACTCCCCCGGCAATTTGTCACAATATCCTGCATAATAGCGCCATATCGATCCCACAAATCCTGCTATGCCCCGCGCCATCATGATGGGCAGTCCGATCGCGCGACTCTCGAGAACTGCCAGCTCGGCGCTGTGAGCATCGAGCAAGTCGGCCAGCGCCAGCATTCGTTTGGCCCTTTCCTGGCCGGGCATGGACCCCCAGGAGCCTTTGTATGCATCTAGCGCAGCTGCTACGGCGTCATTCACGTCTTCTTGTCCGGCGCTGTGGATCGAGTCGGACACAAGGGATTCATCGTAGGGATTGCGAACGGCGAAGAGGCTTCCGGATTTGGCTGGGACGTACTATACGGCGTATGATTGATTAGCAATAGAATTCGCTTGTTCTTAGCATTCTGAAGCAGAAGACTTTGAAACCAACAGCTCGTTATTCACCACCTACTTCATTGTTTATAAAGAGTTTTGTATGGAAGTTCTCAGAAGTCGACATGGTGCGATCGATACAAGGAATCTAAATCCTGAATAAAATGCCGACAACACCGACCATCCGGACCAGGAAGACTACCCTGTATTTCTAACCCCAACACAATCATCCCGAATCCTTCAGACTCCTCTCATCCGCGCGATCCTGACGCCGCGCGCGCAGAAAGTCGTCAGGCCCGCGCTCAACGAATGGCTGTGGCGAACGGCGACACTAAAGCTGCACGACGGTGGAGAGCGCGCAATGAACGGCGATTGGCTGCTACGGCTATTCCGGGTGGTGATTGGTGAAACCACGGACGACGTTGCACTGGCGGTTCGAAAATTCTCAACTTTATCGCACTTTCTCAAGCGTCGCCTGATCCATGCGATGTTGGGCAACTTAACGGTCGCGGATGCGAGTGACGGGTGGATCTCGTCTCCGGATTAAAAGCGTGTCATGTCGCTGGCGTCGGTCGGTCTTTTTGCATCGACTCCGTAGCGAAAATTCCACCCCGGCGGTCGTTGCATATCCGAGATGGCAAATTCTCCATCGCAAACGAGAGGCGCAATTTGCTCTCTCGATGAATTCCTCCAGGTGTCGTTCGACTACCTCATCGTGGGCGGTGGTACAGCTGGCCTGACTCTCGCCGCCCGCTTGAGTGAAGACCCGTCAGTCACCGTGGGAGTTATAGAAGCAGGAAAAGACCAAACGAAAAATGAGTTCGTGCGCACGCCGGCCATGTTTCCGCAGATGCTGGGAATCCCGGAGTACGATTGGATGCTGGAGACTGTGCCTCAGGTGAGACAGACTGAACATCTTTTTACTGGGCATTCGAGGATCTAATATTCTTCTCAGAAATGGAACGGCAACAAGGTACATGCTATGACTCGAGGCAAGATGCTCGGCGGATCAAGTGCGACGAATGGCGTAAGTACGCTCATCCTTTCTGGAGGGAATCAAGCCATTAACGAACCCAGATGATGTATGTTCGTGGTCACAAACAAGACTTCGACGACTGGTCAGCCTTTGGAAAAGGATGGTCATGGTCCTCTGTAGCTCCGTATTTCCGAAAGCACGAGTCTCTCGAGGACAACAGGTCCGGTGAGCCGGGTGACTTCTCTTTCCTGAACTTCGGAGAGAAATCCCACGGAGAGTCTGGCCCTGTCTCGACGAGTTTTAACAACTGGCGAAACCCGCTTGAGCGCTACTTCATCGAAGCCGCTAAGACAGCCTCTGGAATGCAGAACAGCCCTGCAGACCCTTGGGGAGGAGACCATCTGGGGTTCTTTTCCTCCTTGTTAACCGTGGACCGGAGCAAAGACAAGGGCACACGCAGTTACGCTGCAAGTGCGTACTTGCTGCCGAATGCTTCGCGCCCGAACCTGAAGGTCTTGACGGAGGCGCTTGCGTTGAATGTGATTCTCGAGGGCAATTCTGCACAAGGAGTCCGTATTTCGCATACGGGGCGAGAATACGATGTCCGAGCGACAAGGGAGGTGATTCTCTCCTGCGGCACCTATAAATCACCACAGCTGCTTGAATTATCTGGCATCGGGAATCCGTCTATTCTGGAATCTGCTGGAATTAAATGCGCTGTGCCGTTGCCTGGAGTGGGCGAGAGCCTGCAAGACCATGTACTCTCGGCCACTACTTACGAACTCAAAGAAGGGACGGTTTCATTCGATTCCCTTCGCAAACCAGAAGTCCTCCAACAACACCTGGATCTATATGCCAAGGAGCGTCGTGGTATTCTGGCTGCAGGAACCGGCTGCATGGGCTTTCTGCCCTACTCATCTCTGGTCTCACCTCAAGAAGTCACCACGACCTGCGATAAAGTTCAACAGATTCCCAACACTACCTCCTTCCAACAACGCCAGCTCGAGCAAGTCGCCTCCCAGCTACGAAGCCCTTCATCTGGAAACATCCAATATATCCTCTTCCAAGGCACCATGAACGTCGACGAAGTGATCCAAGACCAGGGGAAATTCGCCAAACCCGGTACCCCGAGCGATCCCGATGGTTTCACGCTCGTCACTTGCCTGCAGTACCCGGCCTCGCGAGGAACAGTCCATATAACCAGTTCGGACCCCACCAAAAACCCTGCCGTCGATCCGGCGTATCTCAGTAATTCGGCGGACGTCGATGTCCTCGCTGCGGCTATGGGAATGTGCGAGAAAATCGTCAACTCTGCGCCGCTGAAGGACAAAATCCAACGGCGCATGCACCCGGCTCCAAGCGTGCAGCTGGGCGATAGGGAGCAGGCCAAGGCTGCCGTAAGAGACTTCTGTATGACGGAGTATCATCCGTGCGGAACGTGCGCCATTGGCCAGGTAGTAGATGAGCGGTTGAGAGTGAACGGAGTGAAAGGATTGCGAGTTTGTGACGCGAGCGTTTTCCCGGGGAATGTGAGCGGGAATATCTTATCGAGCGTGTATGCTGTGGCGGAGAGAGCAGCGGATATGATCAAGGAGGATGGGTCAAAGGCCAAAGCGTTGCTCTGAGGAAATACATTTCCGGTTCCCTATATTTGTCTTTCGGGCGTAGAATCCGTCGCCGTCTAATGTCTGAGCCCGCTGACTTCCTCTGACTACAAGATGATGTCACACCGCTGATATAATGCGGTGTTTCTGAATTGTGATAACTGCTTCTTCCTTCTTCATTCATATCTGTGAAGCTTTCAATAAGAAGTCGCATCGAGCCTACTGAAATCGCATCGAGTCTGACTGCTACCCAAAGAAGATTTCTACCCAGATCTACTGAAGACTATTTTTTCACTATGTAAGAGAAATTCGAACCATACTGGTAGTTATGCTAATCTAATTCTTCAAGGTGCCGCTGGGAAACCGTCAAGTATGCTTGTGGCTGCACCCGCCAAGGGGTCTTCGTCCAATGTATTCCGAAACAGCCGACAAACTCGCGCTGCCGCCTGGTGGACGATGTTCCGACTAAACGGGTTGACAATTATTGTTACTATCATTTGGTCCCCGAAGGGGAAGGTGTTATTTTCAATCACCGGGGGGGAGGAGAGAAGGGAATATGATTAGTTTATGATCATCACCAGGAGAACGAAAGAGTATGGTGTAAAGGAACCCAAATTATGTACTCAACTATAATAACACAGAATAATAATACAGAATAATAACACAGACAGAAGTCTTCCCTCCGCTTTCTTCAAGGCCAAAGCCGCTCCTGACTTGTATTTTCACGACTTAGACTTGAAACACCTTTGCAATGTGAATCCGATCCAGTCGGTGCTTCGTGTCTTGTTTGGCTCCCTACCGGACCGAGCGGGAAATTATTATCGTGCTGCGAGTCGCTTTGTTCGATCTCGAATGATCGAGCCTGAAGCGAACCACACATCCCCTTCAAAGCCGGAAGGGATAAGGCAACTATGGCCGTACTGACTTCGGCGCTTGTCCATATCATGACGACCGAAATGTACCAGGTTATATCATCCAGGTGATCCACTGCCTTGAAGACGACGACAATGCGCCCTATGGAAGCTCTAGGGGATATCAGGCGTTAGATTCTTGAAGGCGGGTTTGGTCCGAAATATGCGCGTTGAACCTACATGATAGCACTGGTCACCAGGTTAGCTTCGGTCCGTATGAAGGTATAATTCAATCGGTGTGGCTCACAAAAGCCCGAAGGACAGGATTATACCGAGCACAACCTTGCGTTCCAATGTCGCCTTCATCGAGAAAATAACGTTTGTTGGTAGGAGCAATATCAAGATATCAGCAGTCACTGTCAACACAGTGTTGTAGGTCATCGTCACAACCCCATAGCACCTCTTTCCATGTTCTTCCTGCCACATGGCTGATAGCGGAACACATCGAATGGTCGTGACCACAACTTGGACGACGAATGCTGCTATCACAAAGATGAACGTAAAACGTAGATAGAGCACAAACCGGGGCATTGAATTCAAGCGAGCATAGAAAAGAATCCCTGATATACGACAGACGACAATATTAACGACATAGATTGATGTGGATAGAATCACCCATAACGTCATTTTGTCCAGGCCAGCGGGATCGTCACTAAGCACCGCCATGAGATGCCTCCCACCTCCATTGAGTATAACCAACACTAGAAGAGGCAGAAGTGCCCAACTAAGAATCTGATTTGAAGCTATTTCGTCAATATTCGATGGTAATATGGTTAGGGAATGTAGATGATTACTTCTAGGGCTCACCCACCATGGCAAAGGTTATAACGACATCATCCCAGCCAAACTGCCGGATGAGTATAGCGCGCGCATATATTCGGACGAAAACAATGAGACTGGATATAGCAATAGCCACATATATTCCGATGATCGACTCTTTTTGCCTGCTCTCGCCCAGTCGATTCTGAGGAATGCTCTGAACTGCAGGCGTTCCATTCATAACTGTGGCAAGACTGACAGGAAATATAATCGAACAGAATGGCCACGGCAGTGGAGGTTAACGCCTGATATTCCCTCCGGCATTTAGGCCTTCATGTTTATCCCTGGCTACATGCATGCATTTACTCATTTCACTATAAGGACCTCGGCTGGGTCGTTCCGGAAAACAAAGAAAACAGCCTTTATCTTGCGGAAGGCCGCCTCATGCCAAGCAATATTTGACCAATCCTTCATCATTTCAACGGTCAAAGCTCTCCATCATCACACTTATACCGGGAATGCAAATGCCTAAGTTTGTTACAGGATTGGTGTTGGTAGCACAATGCATCTCGAGCCCCTTGCGGTGGCCTGAATGTGCGGATTGGGCCGTTATTACCACCACAAACACACAGTGACCTCGTTTTTTGAAAATTCAAGCTGCTTTCGAGGGCTTTGTTAAGTCTCGTGATATCCACCACGCGAGATTGCTGACCCGTTATGTGAGCAGCAGGATAATCCCGATGCCTGATGGATCGGCGAGCTGAAATTGGCCCTGACGTCACAACTGCAAGCTTCGCTCAGCTGTGGATAGGCTCTCGTATCCTTGATAATAAGAACGATACCCACGCGGTGTAGGACTAACAATCGACCATGTTGGTATCTCTTCAATTCAAAGAATCTCCGTTAATTGCGACACTCTTGCTGGCTGGAGTCAAGATATCCCTGGTCATTTACCACGTTTCAGGAACCCTCAGTTGCTTTTCATGAAAGAGTGAGATAGAGATCGACTCAAAGTTTTCACAGAAGGCAATGGTCTCTAGAATCGTTTGTGTAACATGCCGATACGACAGCCAAAACATCCCAATATTCTTTACGGATAGGAGGAAAGATAAAGTAACGGTTGCTATCTGAGTCGATGAGCTTCAACTGCTTGCTCTTCAATCCCTACTCGCCAGCAGGGGTGAGGCTCATTGATTGTAGGTAGCTTCCTCTATGCCACAAGCTGGCACAAATTTGTCTTTATCCTATATTTGTTTATAGATTCTGTTCTTGTCAAAGGTTAGAGCGCACACTATCTTTCTAGATCATGGTTCGTAGCCAACGCTATTATCTCCTGTGTCATGAATCCGCATTGCCTGGAAAAATAACGAGAATAACAGTGGACCTTTTCCGATTGGAAAGTTCTACCATGTTTGAAACAAGGCGAACATCTATCTAGTTTGTCTTTTTGGGGGCAGTAACACGATAAATCTTTGGTATATAGATAATGATCTGACAGTCTTCACTAAAGGAGGGATTAGCTTCTGTTAAAATCCCTACTAGAACGTTGACCTGCTCGTATTGGCTGGTCCGATTCTTTGAAAACCCGACGAACCTGAACAAGAATGTCCGGGAACTGCGTCCGGACCTGGGATGACACCAATATCCAACCTTGGCTCGGTGTCGCGACGTAATGTTGACCATGTGGTTTTAGCCACTCGTTGAGATTGGATAATCGAAAGAATAAAGACGCCGAAGTAGATAATGGGACTATATTAGCATGGAACACTAGTCAAACGAGGCCTCTCCTGATTCTAGAGCGCTCCATCTATGAGAGTCATCCGGTTACATGTGCGGCAGCAAGATGCCTTTTTGGGTCAGCTCTATGGGAATATTGATGGAGGCAGCTCTGGATTCGGTCTTCTAGACTGCGAAGCCGCCACTTACACTTACATTGAGATTTGATTCCTGGAAACGCTCTGAGTGAAGAGGGGTTCAATTATGAATCTGCCATGACAGAAAGGCCTTCCCTACGACGACCCCGCGGTAACTCAATTTGAAAGCAACTGCCTACCCTCAAGTAGTGATCTCAGCCAATTTGCACTTCAAAGAATTCTTTAATCCACCAGATCTTCCGCCCTTTATTGTGTTCTTTTCCTTTTTCTGAGAAGAAACATGTCTTGTGTTCTAGGTGATCAAAAACAAACAGCCTGGGAAGACGAACTACTGGCTCTAACAGAGCAACTGGAGGAAATCGAAGTTTATCAGGGCAACAGCAAAGGAAATTACCGGGTGAATCACATTCCCGATAACGAAGCGGCCACCCAGGTGTTTCTGGACGAAGTGACGGCACACTTCAACAGATTAAACGACCTCCAGCTTGCGCGGAGTATTGCTCATGCTGTCAATTTAGATGGCCCGGCAATCTCAGCTATCAGAAAGGCAGAAACACAGGCCGAGACAGACCGACGTTTGGCAATAAGAACCAGTGCGAATGATCCTACACTTGAGAAGCCTCCCATTGCCAATGAGACCAGTGGTGATTGCCCAGCTCCACAAGAAAATAGCTTTTGCATGATCACTCGGACTTTCGGCAGCAATGACATTGACGAGGAGAATGATGCAGCTGGCCCGTCAGTGACCTATGCACAACGGCAGGAAGAGAAAGAGGAGGTTCGATGTTGTGTCTGCTACGATGAATTCCCACTACACAAGATGATTCGCTTGAAATGCTCTCACCTCTACTGTGTCGATTGCATGAAAGGTCTTTTCCTACGGGCTACAAAAGACGAATCTCTGTATCCACCTCGATGCTGTCGTGAGCCAATCCCTCTACTTCTCATTCAGACAGAGATGTCTGAACAGGAGCTGGAGGTCTTCAATAGCGCAGAAATTGAGCATAGTACTACGGAAAGGACATATTGCAGTAATATGCAATGTCGTATGTTTATACCACCAGGCAGAATTACAGCAGACGAAGCGAATTGTCCTTTTTGTGGCTCTTCCACTTGCACGATGTGCAAGAAAGCGTTTCATCAGGATGACTGTCCTGAAGATACAGCCCTCCAGGCCACTCTATCTCTGGCCAGCAGGGAGGGCTGGCAACGCTGTTTCTCGTGCCGGCGCTTAGTAGAGCTAGGTATGGGCTGCTACCACATAACGTGCGTTTTCGTGACCTTTCCTCCATCCATGTGGCATCATACATTGATTACTTACTGGATTTACGAGTAGGTGCAAATGCAGAGCTCAATTCTGCTACCTCTGTGGGGCAAAATGGAGATCTTGCTCCTGTGAGGGGTGGGATGAACAACGACTTGTTGAGAGAGCCGAGGAGGTTCTGGATCGAGAGGCCACTCAGGCACTAATGCCTCACGATCGTGAAATTCGGGTCGTACAAATGCAAGAAAACCTGAGGGAAAACCATGAATGTGGTCATCCGGGGCGCTTTCAACGAATATCTGGAATTGGAGGTGGCAGGCCTTTCGTGTGTGAAATATGCGAGGCAGCCCACTGGAGATATATTCTCCAGTGCCGCCGATGCTATCTACAAGTGTGCCAGGATTGTCGTCGACATCGCATTTAATTCTGTGTTGGTAACAACGGGGTTGGGGGTTTCGCTAGAATCTAGGGAACACCTTTTATCTGGCGACATACAACTGTCAGTGTCGCCCAAAAGAAACGATTGACTCAGCCAAGTACTTGCTTAGTATAGCATCCAATATGCAACTTTACTTTGGTTCCTTAAGCTTGGTTCCCGTGTTTTCGGAAGGAAGGAAGGTGGTTCACGGGTGTAATTCATAAAGCTCTCTATGCTCAAACAGCCAACAAGAACAGGCAACATCTCCTGGCCATATCGTGCCCTTGAGTGAGCAGGCACACCGATATTTGGATTTCTCTCCCTATTCCAGGGCCTTTATTTTCATTTTAATCTTCATCACCTGTCATAGTTTGCGTTTTCCCTTTCCCTTCTTCTTTTCGTTTTTTGTGTTTTCTTCTCTCTGTCTCTCTCTAGCATGCGAGTCTCCAATATATCGGAGTTATATTCAAACAACACGACGAAATTGCCTGGGATTTTGGGCATATTCTCCGAAATTCCCGCTGACTCTTATTATATGCCAGAACAAGCCATGTCCGTCTCGTTCAGTGAGTATAAAGAAATGGAGCGAAGTTCTGTGTGGAAATATGTTCACTGATCGGGAATTGCGAGCAGAGAAAGATCGCGATGGGGAGAATAAATCATAACCTTGATCAAAAACTCGAATTATATCGTACGTGAAGAGCCAACGAACCGGACCAAGAATTGGACTTGGCCAAATTGCTTTACCATCGCATCATCGGTGGTTCTCTGGCCTGAATGGAGAACAACATCGGACCCATCCAGCACGCAATTGATGGGCCGAATCCTTAGTTCCCTCGCCGGGGTGAATTCATTTGCCTTCGGGGAGCCGAGGGATCAATCCCCCTATACGCAAGCAATGCGCAGGATGGCGTTTTCGGCCTTATCAAGTCACCAGGTTATTTAGCGTCTTGGATCCCCTCTCTTCTGCAGTATTAGTCGACCCACTTGATGCTTGAAAGTCGTGCAGGACAAATCTGGCCTTACGCTGGCCCCAAATATCAAAGCATATTATCTTTTGGCTTCTGCGAAGTGCAGTAGCTTCGGAGTCCACTGGTCTTGGTCACTTTAGTGCCCAAAATATCCTGCTAAACCAAGCCCCCAACACCACAGAGGCCGGTAACGGCCGTTCGATTTCGCGCATCCACCTGGGTCGACGTGACGTCTCCCTCGGTGGCTACAACTAAATCATCTCTCCCTCTTCAGAGATGATGCCATCGGGAATGCGGCATAACGTGATGGAAGTCTTGCCATCGCCGGTGGGTCTACGGCCTCCCTTGCATGGGGTCAGGGGGTGAAATGTTCAGTCGCTGTATAAATTCGACCGGAGCGAAGCAATTTCCTACTTGAGAAAGCAGTCCTCACATTTGACGCATTTATTCTTGTCGCTCCGAATATCAGCAATGGCTGCCGAGCGCCACGTCCACGATGCGGCTGCCAGCGACCAGGCCATAGCGACGGGCGTGGAAAACGATCCCAAGGGAAAGAATTTTGTCACAACCAAAGCAGCAGATCTTGAGGCCGACGCACGTGGGGACGGTGATCAGGGATCCGATGGCTCTTTATTTGGAACCTCCGAAAGAAAGGAAATCACACCTGTTGAGGCGTTCAAATGGAGTGTCGAGGGAGATCAGTCGCCTTGTTAGTTGTCATCAATCAGAACGATCGACAGGTATTAACTTGAGTTCGCAGTTCCTGAGGTGGCTGCGTGTGTCTCCAACAAGGATGACCCCAATATACCATGTAATAGTAGGTTCAACCCTTTCCCCGTGTATATCATACGATGAATCATAACTGATGGATTGTAGCTGTCCGCGCCTGGGTCCTCATGACAATTTTTGTCATGCTCTTCTCAGCTGTCAACCAGTTCTTTGGTCTACGATATGTGCGTTCTTTGATCTTAATGATCCGCTTCCAAATACTGACTCCTACCAGCCATCGCTTTCAATTGGCTATGTCGTAGCGCAACTGCTGGTCTATCCCATCGGTCGCGCCTGGGAGAAGCTTCCTCGCTGGAGAGTTCCTCTGGGCAAGTTTACTTTCGATGTCAACCCTGGTCGGTTTAGTGTCAAGGAGCACGCTCTGATTGTCATTGTGAGCTTTACTGTTCTTGAGGGAAAAGGACGTAAGATAGCTAATTGGAATGCTCACTACAGTGTGTAAACATTAGCGCAAGTACAGCATATGCCTTGGGCGCTCTGGTGGCGATCGAAAGCCCTGTTTTCTGGAATCAAGACTTCGGTGCCGGGTTTGGCTTTCTCTATCTTCTAACCACTCAGATGCTGGGGTATGAAATCCGAACCTTCCCTTCTGACCCATATCTGATATCTATCTTAGATTTGGGTTTGCTGGACTCGCTCGTCGCTGGCTCGTTTATCCCGCTGCTCTCGTCTGGCCAACTTCGCTATCGTCCACGGTCCTCTTTCGTGCGCTTCATGAGCCTGAATCGCGCACTCCAGCCAACGGATGGACGATCACCCGATATCAGTTCTTTGGCTACTTTACGCTGTTTGCGTTCGTGCTATTTTGGTTCCCCGATTACATTTGGACCAGTCTCAGCACGTTTGCCTTCATCACATGGATCGCGCCTCACAATCAGAAAGTCAACACACTATTTGGCGTAAGTACTGCCTGCTCGTCAACTTCTTCACCGGGTGAGGTTAACCTGGTCTGTCTGTGAGTAGATGAACTCTGGCCTTGGTCTGCTGCCAATAAGCTTCGACTGGACTCAGATCAACCAGGCAGGAAAGCCTTTGATTACGCCTTTCTATGCTACGTGCAACGTGTTTGCTGTTGTGGTTCTGTTCTACTTCTTTCTCGCCCCAATATTCTACTATACGAATGTTTGGAATAGTGCATAGTGAGTATTCTTCTAGTGCTGAGCCTTCGCAAGTGGTTTTTAACCGAAACTAATTAATTATAGCCTTCCTCTTCTCTCATCGAGCACCTTCGACAACACCGGGTCAACGTATAATGTCACACGAGTGGTCGACGAAAGTCTCAACTTTGTGGAAGACAGATACAAAGAATATTCACCCATGTATATCTCCATGTCCTACGCTCTCACATTCGGGCTCTCCTTCGCCGCCGTCACTTCCATGGTCGTCCATACCTACCTCTATCACGGCTCTGAGATCTGGGCCAAGCTCAAGAATTCCCGCGCCGGTGGTGAGGATATCCATCGCCGTCTCATGCACGCGTACAAAGAAGTACCCGACTGGTGGTATGCATTGCTTACGGTTGTGGTGGTGGGGTTGAGTATCCTCACAGTGCGATTCTGGGAGACGGGGCTTCCGGTCTGGGGGTTCATCGTCGTTTGCTGTGGTCTTCCGGCAATTTTGACCATTCCGGAGGGGATTCTTGAGGGAACGACTAACCAGCGTGTTTTTCTCAATATTATCACCGAGCTCATTGCGGGATATGCTTGGCCCGGCAAGCCCATTGCTAACATGATGGTCAAATGCTACGGACATAATTCCATCAAGCATGGCATGGACTTCGCCCAGGACCTGAAGCTGGGACAATATATGGTATGCAAGCCTAATTACGGTAGATGAGGGTCAGAGACTGACGATATTCCAGAAAATCCCGCCTCGTGTTTTATTTATGGGCCAAATTTATGCCTCCGTTCTGTCGACCATGACTCAGACCGGGGTTCTCCGGTGGATGTTCGGCCACATCACTGACCTCTGTCAATCGACCAACACTCAACGGTTTACCTGTAACGGAGCCAAGGTGGTTTACAATGCATCGTTGGTGTGGGGAACGATTGGTCCGCAAAGAATGTTCCAAAGTGGACAAACTTACAGTGGACTGATGTACTTCTTTCTAATTGGAGTGAGCATCCCTTTTGTTCCTGGGAGATGAAACAAATCCTCACGTTATCGCAGCCTGTTGTTACCGTACTAGTGTACCTAGTATATCGACGTTTCCCCAACAGTTGGCTACGATATGTCAACATCCCGGTCTTCTTCAATGGTGCCGGCAATATTCCTCCTGCGACAACCAGTGAGCTTCTTATTTCCCCAGAGACAATCGCCCCTCACTAACCTGACCAGCGCAATATTCCCTGTGGTTTATTGTCGGATTCATATTCAACTACCTTATCCGAAAGCGTGCATTCCCATGGTGGAAACGGTATAATTGTGGGTTTCTTACTGTTGAACTTTCTGAACTCTTTCCTAACCCTCTGCGCAGATCTCCTTCAAGCCTCCATGGATACCGGTACCGCGTTGGCGACTATAATAATCTTTTTCGCCTTGGGCTATCACGGTGTGAAGCTCAACTGGTGGGGAAATACCGTTGGATCAAACACAGATGACGCAAATTCTGTCCCCTGGCTGACAGTGTCCAACGGAGGGCATTTTGGCAGAGGACCGGGCGAGTTTTAAACCGTTCTGTTGTTGTTCTATGATTTTTGGCTCTTTCTGATCAATCACTTCAGCCTCACGTTGGTTTCCTGGAGCGAGGTAGGCTTAGCACTAGGGATAGGTGAAATGTTCTTCCTATTTCAATTAATTAAACTTGTACTGATGAAGGTAACTTGACAGTCTTAGCTCCTCTCCCGGGCTTGGGGGTCTCGGTCCGGTGCCCATTATCCTAATTACTTTCTCCCAGAGCACTACAATGCAAACAGCGTACTTTTGGGTGTTCAACCACTGGTCGTTAAATCAGAATTTACAGAAGTTGAAAGGCTTTAACCGATGCCTCAGCAGTAACATGAGCGCTAGCAGGGTTCGCTCCAGTCACAATTCGGCCGTCGGTGATTGTAAAGGCATCCCAAGGCCCGGCGGGGGAAATGTCTGCATTTTCTTCAGCGTTGAAACGGCCTGAGAAAGTTTATCGGACTTACATGTCGCTCCAGATGAGGCCGCCGACGCCTCAATTGTAGGTCGATCCCAACTTTGGATCGTGCCGAGAACACCCTCTTCCTCTTCGCCCCGAGTGGTAAACCCGGTGACCTTGCGGTTGGCGATGATGGATTTTCCCGTGCTTGGATCAATGATTCCTGGGAAGATCGCACCTCCGTGGCATCTGAATAACATCAGCGTTTTTAACTTGAGACATTGTGGGGTTTCAGTTCTTGGTCGCATACACTGCAGCAATGATGGCACCCGCGCCATACATCTCCGAGGCGATATCCTGGAGGCCTTTCGCGTCCGGGTAGTCGATCAGGGAGGCATGGCCTGCTGACGCGAAGAATAATCCATACTGGAGCATTGAGTTGTTAGTTGCTCTTCTAGAGAGTTTTTCCTTCACATACATTGCTTGCGTCAACCTCGCTCGGCCTCAACAAATGGTCGAGTTTCGATCGAAACTCACTGGAATGGTCTTCCCACACGGCTCGGTCTTCGTCGGAAAGCCATTCCTTTTGTTGAGACAGCCAGTCGGGCTGGTATGACCCCGTCTCAGACACGAGATCGACTTCGAGTCCTGCCTTTCGGAAGACGTTGAACGGATGCAGGGCTTCGGTGATGAAGAGTCCGGTCTCTTTGCCGTCCGGGTAGAGCGGCGCGTGCGCGGACGTTATGGCGATCAGAGCTCGACGTGGTGGAGACATTTCGAAAAGGTTAACTATGGAGTTCAATAGCAGCAGGGTATGTGTAAGAATATGCAGGTACTTTTGGACGCCGAGACTGAGAAGGATCGTGAAGGGTGCCGGACTGGTGACGTCATGCAGACATAGTGAGCCGATTCCGTCGGGCTTCTTTCAATTTGCTCTCCTGGGAGGATGAATGCCTGACTTGGTCTTCTAGATCCGCGTTGGAGGACACAAGTAGATCTCTGCGATCTGTTAAGAAAGATACTTGGGCTATGTTATTGAACGACTGGGCAGAAAGGGACTTGGAGCCTCCGGACAGAAAGTATATATCTTGGTATGAGGATGAGGTCAGTGCATTTTCAAATTGAAACAACCGATACCGAACATAGAATATCGAGTTCACTTCGATCACCCTCCAGAGACTGGTCTGATCATTCAAACCCAATCATTCGGCCCTGTTCAGCCCGCGACACCCATCGGGGATGGGAGCCTGAGGCGAGCATGGCGTGGTGTTTGCAGTGTTTGTACGGTTTGCAGGATTCCACGTGACGACATCGCCGGCGACTTTTTTGTCTCTTCCGTTTCTTCATCGGAACAGCGAAGCCTCGAGATGTGACATCGCGAGACTTCCGTTCAACTTCTTCAGGGAAGCATTGGACTGATTACACAATTTGTCAAAGAGCACAGGGTTTTTCATTCCTTCAATACTAGTCATCGGTTCCTGCGTCATACGATTTCTTCCCTCGCGCCCATGTCTGCCGAACCTTTGCCTTCAGTAAGCTCTCAGCTTTCCACTCCATATCCAGAACCACAAAGTCCGCCCGATATCCCTTGCGCAGCATTCCCGTCCATGATTCCGCGAAACGAGAATACGCAGCCCCGGTAGTTGCCGCAGTCACTGCCGCCCCAAGGGACAGTCCAAAGTGGGAGTTGACTCTTTCTTCGCACCCCGGCTCGATGGTCGACCGGCGGGTCGTCGCATTATACAAGTTAGGCAAGGATAGATGAGCTGCTGTGGGCGCGTCGGTTCCGATGGCGATGGGTGCACCGCCATCCAGGAAGTCTCGATAGGCAAATGCGCGACTGCAGCGATGCTGGCCGATGAGATCGGGCCAGGCTCTAAACAGAACCGGGTCGGAATGAACCGGCTGGACAGATGCGGTGATCCCCTGCTGGCCGAGTCGCTTGGCATCTTCGGGTGTTGTCAATTCGAGATGCTCGATACGATGCCGACGAGTTGGCTGGCCCTGGGAGAGTCCGTCGATGGCCTGTTTGACCGCCTGGTCTCCGATCGCGTGAACCGCGCACTGCAGGCCAGATGAATCGGCCTTCTTGATCACGGCCTCGAGCGCATCTGCCGGCCAGATGGTTGGTACACGGTCTGTCGCGCCGTTGTAAGGTTCCTTCAGGGCTGCCGTACACCCGTCAACCACTCCGTCAGACATGAGCTTGATGCCCACGATGCAGAATTCGGGGCATTCCACGGGGCTATATTCGCGATTACGAGCGATTGCCGTATCCAGGTGCCGAAAGACTTCGTCCATAGCATGCGAATAAGGAACCAACCAATGTGCCGCGACGTGGAAAGGGAAGTTGTCACCGCACTTCTGCCGGAATGTTTTCAGAACGTCCCATTGAACGTCATCCATGGCCATATCGATCATCCCGGTATACCCGGCGGCGCTATATGCAGCCGCCGCGTCCTCCAACGCAGCTAGCTTGTCTTCCTTCGATGCTGCGTTCATGAGGAATGGAGGCACCACTGCCAAATAAGCGGTCTCACTTAGCAAACCTGTGGGCCTACCGTTGTCGTCTCGATGAATCTTCCCACCGGGCGGATCGGTCATGGCCGTTGCGCCAATCTCCTCCAGTGCAGCCGTATTGCACCACCCAGAATGCAAATCGTTTGCCTGAATGTAGATGGGACGAGGATCCAAATCATCCAGCATGCTCGCCAGGGCAACCCCGTCCGTAGTTGATTGAATCCAACTCTTGCAGGCGATTCGGGGCTCGCTCGGATGCGTCTCAGCGTAGGCCTTGATTTTATGTCGGATATCGTCGAGCGACTTGCAATGGAGTAGGTCCAGCTTACGACGCGAAAGAGCAAAGTCGATCATGTGTATATGACTGTCGATAAACCCCGGCACGACAATTCGGTTTTGCAAATCAATGTGTTTTGCTCCGCTCGACAAGGCGTCCTGGACGGCATCGTCGACGCTTGTTCCAACATGAACAATGCGATGTCCCACGATCACCATCGCTTGCTGAAAGATAGGCTCATCCGAAGAATCGCCATTGGTGTGTATCCGACCGTTCGTAAAGACGGTGATTTCCATGCCGGAGGAAGCCGGAGGATCTGGCATGACAATGATCAACTGCGTAGAAAACAGGAAAATCGAGCACTTCTGTGTGCCCTCGGCGACCTGGGCTCCGCATAGTCTACTTATAACTAGGTCGAGGATTGACTCCTTCCTATCTATGGAGTAGACCAAGTATTTGCTCTGTGCAAGGGTGACTCGCCAATGTCGCCCCACGTCCAAGTGGACCCAACAGGCTTCTCCAGAGACAAGAATGCGCCAGTCCTAACAAGGGAGGTCCATCAGCTGGATTGTGACTGGTCATGGAGCATACGAGACCAGAGACAAGGGTCTACGCTGTTATTCATCTTCCGAATACGAGATCCCCCATTTTAGGAACCCGTGGAGGGAGTATAAATGCCTGTTCAGCCTTGCAGCAAACCAACATCCCCATCTCACCATATCCACAATGACAACTACCATTTCTCCCCATTATAACCTCGCTGCCTTGCTAGCCACGGACATTCGCGAAGATCTTCCTGCGGAACATGTCGCACACATCATCAGCCACCCGCCGTTTGTTTGCATCCCCGGCACCTTCAACGTTCGCGATCTCGCTGCTCCAGGACAGACCTTGCGGTCGGGATACGTCTATCGTTCCGGGGCCCTGAACAACCTCACAGACGAAGGTAAATCGGCTCTGGTGCAGAAGCTAGGCATCACCACTATTTTTGATCTACGGAATGCCTCCGAGCGAGTCAAATCACCAACCCCGGAAATACCTGGCGCAGAAGTCATCTGGATACCGTATTCGAGTGACCCTGGGGAAATCGATCTAAAAGCGTTTGCGAGGGAAGAGCATGACTTGACGGGGTTTATCGATCTCTACCTTGATACCCTGCGGATTTCTGGCTCCACGTATCGGAGAGTCTTTGAGCATATTCGGGACTGTCCGGATGCGCCATTCCTGTTTCATTGTACCGGTAATCTCACTTCATGCTATTGATTATCCTTATGACCCTTCGGTATGATGTACGTACAGGCCAAAGAAAGTACTGACGCCCAATGACAGCTGGCAGAGATCGCACCGGTGTCCTCGCTGCCCTCATCCTGCGTCTCGTGGACACGCCGCTGGAAGACATCACGCATGACTATGCGCTTACCCGTATTGGCATTGAGCCCGTTCGCTCGTCCCTCCTGAGTAAGTTGAAGGGCCACGTGGGTGACTCTCACGAGAGTGCTGGACTGCTGGGGCTGGCGAGGCAGAAGGCTGGTGCCATTGGAGCATTCATAGAAGTTTTTGAATTGGAGTTTGGAAGCACCCAAGAATACATTATCCATGAGTTGGGACTCACGAAGAATGACGTGCAAAGGATCAAACAAAATCTTGTACATCAGTTGAATGATGAGGTCTGATAGGTATGTGGCAATACAAGAGATAATACCGGCACTGAAATTGGAATCGCAGGTGAATGATATCCCAGGTTGGGACCAATGGTGCCAGCGAGTTTCATTGTTAGACTACTGGTGAATATTAGAGTATCGGATTGCTCCGGTATCCCATTAGTAGATAGGTGTTCCCATATCGACCGGGTCAGGAGAGTCCCCTGACGAAAGATTTCTGAGAAGAGTATAAAGACACGGAAAGCCCTGATATCTTTCCCATTCACTTGTCTCGTCCACCAAAATACCTCTTCACCCTTTCGTACTGACCAGCTCGCCTAACCAGTATCCATACCTACCAAACACAGCTCTACTCTACCTTCATTCAAAATGCCGACCAAGATTATTCCCCTGGATATGGACTTCGAGACTGACCACGGCGTACCGCCCCTGGTGCGCTCGTATCCCAATATGAACCCTCCCATCCATAATGAGGTGCGGAGAGAATGTGCGTGGCCCAGGTCACAGAAGGTCGAGTTGAGCTTCTATATTGATCGAAACGTGGACATTCACAGCCAGAAAGAACTGGCCACCGCTATTCGCACCCTGGCCTGGCGCCGTCTTTCTGATTACAGATTCACTGAAGACCCCAGGACGCTGCCTTACCGATACTATCATGTCAAATTCATCTTTTCCACTCATGTCGCCATGGATTGGTGGCATCACGTCTTCGTCGTTCGTATGATGAGCGAGATGGCTAGGGTGGAAGATGAGGTTACCGTCAACATGCCTCATGACAATCCTTTCTTTCGGCTGTCCATCGTTTGCTAGAGAATATGCAACCTGCCTGGGACTTTTGTTTTCTCTTTTCTTTCAATGCTTATATTTGAGCAAGTTCAACTAAACTCATTTTTCTTTACTCTTCCCGTGGGTCATTATCTTCCAATGAAAACATTTTAAAGACATTCTGAATTACTAATCTTTCAGTAGGATGTAGAATATAATTTTAAGTGCCATACCTGAATACTATGCGGCTCTCGAATGCGGTACATTCAGTTTCGGAAAATGAAGTGAATGGTTGCTCATATTCGTGGCATCTAGAGGCATGATGTATTCGCCTCAAAATTGACACGACAAACAATAAAATTAGCCTGTTCTATTAACCTGAATTTTTCCCTTACTCGTGTACGGATATTCTTACTGAGCTTCAGTACTATAGGTTTCAACTCGAAAAGGAGAGTGAAACTCCCGGAAAAGTACGCGCCTTGGGATTCGCTGAACACCAATTTTCTTGATGAAATATTGTGCGAAGGTGGTAGCATGTACGGAGATTTCAATTTTCGCAGCCTATGCCCAATTGCGTGTTCCATCGGAGAGGCTAGTAAGCAATAGAAATTCACCGTGATCAGAGTGATCGGGGTCAATAGCAATGCGCAGCGACCGGGCGATACCTCTATGCTATTAGTGTTAAAGCCGTCGCAGGTTTGGGTCGAACATGGGCATGAATCCCTATAAATACTTCGAATCTACCCCGGAAGGATCAACACTATCGTGTGAACTGCCGTGTGAATACTTTTTCTTCACTAACCAGATATCTCCAAATAACAGTTGCAACATCGCCTGATAAAACCTATCGAGGTTATACAACGATAAAATGCAGTCTAACCCGTCATCCATCTTCTATGGACAACAGGGAATGCCAGCAATCGAAAGATTAACTTTGGAAGGCAATGCGCAGCCCTCGCAGGAAGAGATGCCGCCAATTGAAAGATTGATCCTGGAAGAGAATAGCCAGGAAAGGTCCGAGGAGAGCGATATCTCAGATGTCCCGTTTGTGGTCTATCCGAAACACCCGGAGCGGCGAATGATAACCATGTTCATCCCCCAGGGAACAGGGACATGCATCGATATAGGATGCGTACTTAGGGCATTTCACGCCGAGATTTTGGAACGACTGTGGATAGGAAATCTCTACCACCGTAGAGATCTGAGGTGCCGTGCACCTGGTCCGAATTATGTCTTCAGCTTCTGGCCGGCTTCCTTGGATCCTGTGAAGTACCATGAAGAGGCTGCCAATATTCTGTCCCAGTATCTCGAATATCATTCTACTGACGTTATGATTCTTCCATGGTCGAGCTCAGAAATGTATTTCGTGTTGGACTTGATTGAATGATGACGTCTAGTTTGAGGTCTAAATTTCTGAGCTCTACAGTTTTGAGGCCTACTGGCAATTTTTCTTTTGTCTTTTCTTTTTCACAGCTAATATAGCTCCATGCTAATAAATTGATCCTTTTGTCGCTTAACCTTCTCCGAGTAGGTTTGTATCGTTTCTAACATAATACACCGCAGTTTAGATTTTTACCACGCAGTTTGTACATAAGACCCTATAGGGATAGTCCCGATGTTAAGGTTTTTTTCATGTCGTTTTATTGTACTGTGAGACGGGGCAAATGTAGCAGCTCTCCTCATATCGAACCTACGAAGTTGTATCAAGGGCTGCTGCGTTCGCCTAGATCAAGCCGAAGATCATTAATTCATTTACTTTTTGATTAGTCTATTATTTAGTTTTTCTTTGACAGCGTAATGATCAACAAAAGACACCGTAGTCAAAAGAAGAAGGTGTGGTAGAAAGATTGAGATGCAGGTCTATAATAAACTATACATCATTTTTCTATGTGACAAGTCGACCAGCGACGGGTTAACCCGACGGTTTTGAGATTATGTGCGGCCTCCATCGGAGATGTCAAGGACCACCGTGTTTCTAATGAATAGGTGTTGGATGTTTGGGAGTTTCCTAGTCGCAGCTCGTGAAGCCGTCGGTGTTTCAGGCAGACTTGGCGTTCGATGTTTCTTTTCTGCTTCTTGAATCACGGACCGACGAGGATTATTTCCTGGATCTCACCCTCGTGATGGCTCTTCAAGACGATTGATAATATTTTGATTTATCTTGCGCGAGAGCATAACGTCTGTCGAAGCCCGGAAATGCCATCGCTACTGTAAACCACACCAACACGAGAAGAAATGAAGACAGATGCAGTTCGCTGAAAGATGATCCTGCACTTCACTAATTCAATCTGCTCTCATGCCAAGAAGCCGACAGCTCCAATACCTCAGATAATCCCAAACCACTCCAAGATCGAGTCCACATGCGTCGGCACAACATGTCCGACCCCCTTAGCCGAATACGCCACGAACCGTCCCCCATCACCATACACATACTGCGTGTAGCCAGTCTCCGGCGTGTTGCTCACATTCTTGCTCAGAGAGACCCCAAACACTGTCGACCACTGCTTCTGCTCCTCCACCAGACTCTGATGCGAGATCACATTGTCCGCCGTGCCATGCCAGACCTGCAGTTTTGGATACTCCCCGTTCCAACCGGGATATGCCTGGTCAACCAGCGCAGCCCATTCCTGGCCCGTCTTGATCACCTCACCGGCAGCACAAGCTGGATCCGACGAGAAGGGACTTGAGCCCGGCGAGCCCTTGAGACATCCATATGGCAGGCCTGAGAAGGCAGCCCCCGCGGAGAAGATATCCGGGTAGGCAGCGACCAGGGATTGAGTCATCATGGCGCCAGAGGATGATCCCGTTACAAAAACGCGAGACGCGTCGCCAGAGTATTTATCCAGCGTGTACTTCACCATGTTGACGATAGAAAGGGAGTCGCTGCCACCGTTGTGCGTGAGCGAGGGCACAGTGTTCACATCCCAGCAGTTGGAGTCGCGCGTAGAGCCGGGGTAGATGGTGATGAAGCCGTGCTTGTCGGCCGCGTCTGCAATATCGTTTTGCCGGTAGTAGCTGGGGGCGCTGCCCAGACAGCCATGGAGCTGGTTCCATTAGATCCTTGACGTTGGTCTAGTTGGGTGGGACAATGCTTACAGCCACCACAATCGCCGGGTTGTCGGGCAGAGTATCGGGGACATAGATGTACATTCGGTCACGACCAGGGTTGTCACCAAAGCTGGGGACAAGACGCAGAATGGCAGCGGAGGTGGTGCCTAGAAGGCAGAGCAAAGAACAGAGAATATAGAAGGGCGGCATCGTGTGTTGGATAGAGACGAATGGACTTGGTCACCACTGCAGTTGCTTCAATATGCCTACGTATCAGTTCAAGCGAAGAAAGTCTCATTCATATATGTCAATTCCATACCCCATCTCCACGGCAAATGGTGATGCTGAAACTCCCGACATATTCTTCAGGCAGGCATTGCATGCGCCAAGAGAGTCGGCATCTCGAGTCGACCGAGGATGATCGGACGGCGTCGATCTCATTCGTGGAGCGAACAGGGCGATCGTCATGGAAATTTATTGTCCTCGAACCCTGGGGCCTGTCGATCCCTGTCTGTGCCCCTCACAAGAGTTTCATCTGATCAGCACCGAGGTTGATCGGTCTCGGGTGATAAAGTGCCGGTCTGTTACTACTACGCAGTATACTGCTCCTGCCATGTTTACTAGTCATGCATGGACTGACCATAATGGCAATGACGGTCAAATTCTGTCTGCCTATAGCTAAATATACCAGCCTCACAATCCGCGCGCTCAAATCCGCGCAAAGAAAGATATACTCTATCCAGAGCAGGTGCCGACCTTCTTGGGCTCGCAACCGCCAGCACATCCCTCGTACGTCACGCAGGGGTTCTTGGTGTCGTAGCAAACGTTTTTGAGCGTCGCAGTGTCGCCGTAGTTGGAGTTGATGCCGACCAGCTCGCCGCCGTCGCGTGCGGTCACGCCCTCCACGTAGACGTTGCGCTTGCATTGCTTGCTGCAGTTTCCGCAGGAGCGGTAAAGCTTGCCGTAGTCTTCGACGTAGAAGTTGATGATCTAAATGACAGTGCATTAGTATTCGATATCAATCGCTGTGGAAGAAGAGTTCGGAGCACAAAGACTCACGTTGACGGTACCGCATCCATTGTGCTGGACGACCTTGTCGCTAGCATGGTAGGCTCCTCCACCGATAATCCAGGTCTCCTGGCCGGACTTGTCGTTTTTCTGGTTCGAATTGCCGGTCAGTCACATCTGTCGCTAACAGTCCAAGTCAGAAAAAGGGGCCAACGGGAACGTACGACGGAAATAGCATCCTCGCAGACATCCTCAAACCAGACAAACTCAAGCGTGCAGGGTCCGTTACAGTGCACACCTTCGGCCTGGTTCTTGCCAATGATGACGTTCTTCAAAGTCGCACCGGACTGCAGGTAGAAGACAGCGTCCTTCCAGTCTCCTTCGTTCTGGCCGCCGCAGGCACCGGAGCCACGGTCGTACCTGGCCCAGCCACCGTCGAACACCTGGCCAGCAGCAACCTCGATGACCGCGCTGTTGGAGTGAGTGGCCGTCGCCTTAGGCACGCCGCCCTCGTAACCCAAGCAGGCGAGAGCGGTCGGCATGAAGGCCGCGAGGAGAGGAAGCTTGGAGAGCATAGTGATGTTAGATATGCTGGAGTAGCTTGAGAAGCGAAGATGAGGTGCTCAGTGGGAGTGAATTGCGAGATCGTTGGCCCCCTTTATATACTCCTTCCTCCGTCCTGGACCTATACCGGGCCGGATCCATTGGTGGAGCATCTCGTGGCCCTAGCATGGTGATAGCTATCGCATTCAGGGAGAAAATGACTCCCAGGAGCTTCATCACACGATGTCGGCCCCTCAGGAGAGTGACAGAAACGCATCTCCTCCAATCGGAGACGTATGCACACCACGGATAACCTCCATTTTCGCAGCCATTTGGCTTAGCAACGGTCGCTATCCACCGAGTAAGATTATCATCCAAGACATATGGCATTGGCACTCCGGTGGAAGACACTGGTCTAGCAAGTGTGGCGAAGCCTGGGCTGCCCAGACTTGTGGCGCCCGGAGTAATATTGTTCGGCAATGCGAAGAGGCCAATGGCAGTTGCGATCCTTGTCCACCAATTATCCGGGGTGCAGCTATTCACACTGCAGCCAGGGTCGGCCTGTTCTCCATTGGGGAGATTGCAGGGGACTTGGGTGGTCAAAGAGCGCGCCCAAGAGGGAATTGGTGGAGGCAAAAGTGTTGCAGACTGAGACATTGCCATTTGCAGTAGTTCTTGGGTCCGGAATAGCGAGCTTAGCGAAGGGACTAGAGCGACTAGACCGGCTTCTATTGGCTTTCTAGGGCTCGGGTCTGTCGGTGAAGGGACTAGAGTCGAGTCACTAGACTCTAGAGACCTTAGTCTGAGAACCCTGAGGCGTTTTTTGGGAAGGTCTCCTCCGAATGACGAGGGCTATTATCCGGCGAGTTTGGCTGTATGAGATGCTCCGAGTGAACAATCAACGTCATTAATGCATGTCGACTAGAAGCACACTCTACGCCAGCGCTATGAAGGAGGGCCCAATGTACACGGTACAAGCAAACCAGAAATCAGCTCACTGCTCGGCCACGATTTCCTCCGGCACCACCAGGCTCATCATCTCGTCCAGTAGCTGCTCGACATCCACAGCCCCGGCCTTTACGGCCAAGTCTCGCGCCGTCTGTCCGTTATCGTCTTTCACGTCGGCTGCTGCTCCGTGTCCCAGAAGAAAATACACGTCCTGTCGTAGTCCGGCGGAGGCCGCCATGTGCAGCACCGTCTGCCCAAACATGTCGCGCGCAAAGATATCCCCTTTCTTGTTGACGAGAAACCGCAGGACATGGCTTTTGGCCCGAACAGCCTTGTGCAAGGGGGTCTGGCCATAATCGTCTCGTGGATTGACATCCGCCCCCTTCCGGATCAGAAAGTCCACCATCTTGCGACTGCCATTTTCCGCAGCCTTGTGCAGCAATGTTTCTCCGGAGTGATTTGTCACGTTGATGTCCGTCGCGTTTTCCAGCAGAAGAGCCAGCATGTTTCGGTCTCCGCTGGCGGCTGCGAGATGCAGCGGCGTATCGCCCGACTCGTCTTGCGCTTCGACGTCGGCGTCGTTGGCCAGCAGAAGCTCCACGAATGGCTCAAGTCCTGACTGGGCAGCGATGTGAAGCGCCGTGATGTCTTCTTTTGTCCCTGCGTCCACTTGAGCGCCCATTTGCAGCAAGACCGTCGCTAATGCTACGTCATTCTGCTTGGCTGCGATATGCAGTGTCGTTTGCCCGGACGCATCCTTCGCGTTGACATCGGCCCCCTTTTGCAATAGCAGCTGCATCATCTTCATTCGATGCTTGCCTCGCTCGTAAATTGCCAGGGCCAGCAGCAGTGGGAGCCCCAACTGACCCGATGGCGCGTTAATATCGGCCCCCTTCTTGATGAGATACTTCACCACGTCGCTGTGTCCTCTGCGACCGGCCTGATACAACGGGGTTCCGTCCGGCTTCTTTCCTCCAGAGTCTGCGTCTACCGGCGGTTGAACATCCATATCGGCGCCATGTCGAATCAGCAGACGCACGATGCCCATATTCCCGTTCCTCGCCGCCCACCATAACGGCGTACACCCGGCATCGTCCGGCTCGTCCACGCCCACTCGACCGGAGCTAATCAGCAACAAGAGGACTTCTTCGTGTCCTTTCTCCGCTGCCCAGGCCAGCGGCGTCCGTCCATCTGCTCCCTTCACGGCGGGATCCGCACCCGCCTTCAATAGCAACAGCACCAGCGTCGGATCGCCCTTCTCGACTGCATAACACAGCGGCGTTTGTCCGCTGAGATCAGCCACGTTGCTATCGACTCCCTTCGCCAGTAGTGCTACCACCACGTTCTCGTGCTCGTTCTTCACGGCCCATCCTAACGGCGTCTGTCCAAACTTCGTGTCCCGGGCGTTGGGATCCACTCCGTTCCCCAGCAGCAGGCTCACGACCTTCTCGTGGCCTTCCTCGGCGGCCCAGGACAGTGCACTGCGGCCATCCTCATCGCGGCAGTCCAGATCCACGCCCGGCGTGCTGAGAAGTAGTTGCACGATCGAGTCGTAGCCTTTGCTGGCGGCTAAGAACAGGGCCACCTCGAGGCGGCTTTTGGGTGCCGGCGGTGCAGATTCCCCAGCGTTGGCCATTGTTCCATAAACTCCCGAGTCCAATATCCAATGCTTACTCTCTACTCCGTAACTCACTCACTTACGACCTGGGATGGTTGTGGGCGGGGGGTAGTGGTACATCGGAGTGCAGGTCAATGGGGCGATTGACCGGGATTCATGTGAATCAGTCGCGTCCAGGCAGGTGAATTGACAATTAATAGGGACCAGCCACCGTGAATCAATCCGTCAGTCGAGAGGGAGGGCAAAATGAGAACAGTGAGTCAAGTTGACTGTGGGCAAGCGGGGACCGAAAATAACCCGCGAACATGTGGAGGGGAAACATAATTTAAGAAAAGAAAATAGGGGGATGCGGGACAGACAGCGGCCATGATATAATAGCCCCTGTAGCGAAGGCGACTAGGAAAAAAAGCGCCGACGGAGCAGCAGCGCGAGTGCAGCAGCGGCGCAGAGGAAAACATGCGATGACACGTGGGGAGCCCTGACTGGCCTGTCGGCGGCCTGAGGCCATCCACCGGCTGGGATTCCCTCGTCGGCTTCGTCGTTCTTTCTTGCCTCCCCTCATTATTATCGCCTTCGCTGCGAATATCCTCTGGACAACCGGGATCTGGGAAGTTGCGCTGGCATGTTTGCTACCCAATTGGGATGTGAGCTGGTCTGGTCTGATCTGGTCTCGTTTCTCATGGTCGGGATTCCTGGGCGATCGAAACCGGCCACGCAGAACGGCGCAAAACAAAGAGCATGGCACGCGACGATTGTGTCCTTACAGGCCTTTGAAGACCCCTCCTTTGGTTGGTCAGGATAAGCTCCTGGCCACCGTTGACTTCGTACTTGGGCAGCAGTGCGAGGGCGTTGTAGTGCTGGATTGAAGCCCTAGGTGTTTATCCGAGGGTTGACTATGGCTTGTTCGCGCAGAGGAAGGGGGTAGATGACAGACAGGATGGGTTGATAGGCACCACCAGGATGGCCTAATGCGTTGTTCGAAGGAGTATCATGCTTCGTATACTCTGCGGGTCGGTGACGGTCGCCATATGCAGATGTTGGGTATGCCTTAGGCCATGAGATATGCGTTCCCCTCTGACTTGCAGATTGGAAGCTCAAAGACTTGGTTCGTATTAGCAGTTTACCGCAGTGAGAGTGCTTGTCGGATTTACCTGTAAATCATTTGATATTCACTCACCTAAGCTATCCCACCAAGGATAGCAACTTGTCTATGAAGGCACCATCACTGCCGTTCAGATCCACCCCAATATCCTGTGGATTCCGCAATCCGCTGTCTCGGGCGATCTTTATAAAAATCCCTCGGCTGGTGCACTAACATGAGCGGAGCCACCATGCTGACCCCACGTCCAGCGAACTGTTGCTGGCTGCGATCGCCGTTCACGCCGTTAAGGTGATCGGCAAGGTCGCGTCGATCGGCCATGCCAGGCGCGTCACGGTGAAGTCACCCTGCGTAGAGGCGGGGTATACCTAGGGATTGGTCAACAGTCTCCAAATAGAGAATGTGGGATTGCTACTACCTGCGACAAGACGGTTTGAACATGATTGCAACTAGTCACCGGTCCTAGTTGTTACGTTTTCAGTACTAGGCAAGACAAGCGAAGCGCCATGCTCCTGGACATTGGGTGTCTTTAATTTGACCAAGACCGAATATGTTTATATTCAGGTCAATCTTTGGGAGTTCCGGAGACATATTCTTGTATTGGAAACGAAGAAATAATTCTGGTCATGGTGAAAGAAAGAGATGATTCGAGCGTAGTTATCGCCTCTCACCTGGTTGATGTATTATTTTCACATTTCACAACAGGTAGTCTGCGAGCTGAGTCAAGGGCCCACGACCATCAGACTGTTCTATGGAATGGTCCTCCATGAAGATGTCTACGTCGTGTCGTACTGTATCCATGTTTTCTTCGATATCTTCCGTTCCTCGGCGAATATATATTGTTTTCAAACCTCTACATCGATCAGTGAGATGAACGCACACAAAAAGTCCCAAGCCGGGAGTCTCACATTTGCTTAGCAGCCCGCAAGTCATAGGCATGTGCAGCGACCATAGTAGCGTCTTGTGGCGAGAGTTGTAAGAGCTGCAAGGCCTTGCGATAGATGGCGGGATCCGGCTAGAACGATTCAAGTTAGAGATACACCCGCGAAAAGAAGTCAAGGACCACCATGCCTTGGTTGAACCTAAAAGTTGCGATGAGAATAGCGTATGAAATGAAAGGCCAGACGATCGGATGATATCGAGCTGCAGTCGCGTGGTGCCGTTGGCGAGAACGACCCTGGGGCATTTAGTCACTGCATACTGGAAGATCGAAGAAGACGAACACCATGTATTTTGTCTTAAGGCGGGAGATGGCTTCACTTGCATCAGGCCACGCTACGAAGATGTCAATTACTAGCCCTTCCTATATTGCAAAGACCTGATAATGACCTACCCACTTGCGAGTGCCAACTGCCAACTAGTCTCTGCCGCTCCGTCTCGTCCACCAGGACCTCATCGACCTCGTATTGTCACAACAGTCGGTCGAGGACCCGACGATGCGTCACATCAATATCTTCAGAGTCGCCACCTGATCGAAATCGAGCATGGATTTCGTCGAAGAAGCCTGCACGCCAATCGGCGGCGAATTGCGCATGTTGTCCGGCCAGGCGGGGGCCGAGGGACGTGGATTGCGACAGGGCGGTGCAGATGGAGGTCTTCCAGTCGGTACATGTGCCCATCAGATCGAATATCAGGGCCTGAGGGGGTGTTGCTGGATGGTGGGATGATGGGAGATCGGACGACATGTTGTGGTCAGGAGGGAAGTAAGTAAGTAGAAGGACTGCAGGCAAATGGACGAAAGGCAAGAAATGGCAGCCTTATAGATAAGGCAGAAGCCCCGATAAGATAAGATAAGCGCTGATAAGGAGTTGCTGACAAATCCAGACTGTGGCCAATCAGATGCCGGAGTCGAGAGAAGATGAGTCAGCCCCCTCTCTTGGGCCTCTCTTCAGCCATCATCATTCAATAATCAACATCCTCACCTGCGGGAGTTTCTCTCTGAATCTACTCTCGGGAGATCTGGAGCATCTGGTTCTGTGAGTCTACTCTCGTCAAGCTGAACCTGCATACAATGTCGTTCCAGCAAAAGGAATTCTCCGACTTCCCTGCGCCGCCCCCGACCGGCACTCCGCCCGACTCGCCCATCGCCCAGCCTTGGTATTCGATCGGACCGGGCATCTGGGAACTGCTGCTCAACGGCGACAAAGACTCCCACCACAAGTCCGTTCTGCAGTGGTTCGAGCCCGGTCAGAGGTCCGCCCAGCTCCAGCCCATCACCCATACGTATGTGGAGGAGGTATGCTTCCTGCAAGGCGGCTTGCGAGATCTGACGCTGGGCCAAGAATGGGGGGTGGGTGCCTACGCGTATCGCAGGCCGGGCATGAAGCATGGGCCGTATGAGGCATCCGATAAGGGATGCTTGGAGTTTGTCAGGTTGAGTCCAGCCTGAGCGAAAGAACATCAAAGAATATCAAGAATATCGGTGACTATCGACGGTCTCCGCGGACACGACCTCCTCGGGAGCCCGCGGACTCCGAGAGAAAAAGTCGCCTTGGACTCCGTAGATGCTTTCGCCATTTCGCGAGTTTCCGGTTGTATATGATTTCCCACTCTATCTTTCTTTTCACGACAATCTCGGTTGGTCGGGTGCATCTCACTCTCATGGCGACTCTCGAGAAGCCCGTGGCCCCGAGCCAGGACGGCTCGCTGGCATCGACCCCTGAAAGGCCTGGCGAGTCCGACGCGCCGAAGAAAGATGGAGGCATGAAAAGCTATCTCAGGATATTCGGTTATACTGATCGGTTTGGCTGGTTTCTCAACGTCCTGGCTTTGATCGGGACGATCGGCGCAGGCAGCGCATTGCCCTTGATGGATCTGCTTCTGGGCAAGATGATCACAACATTCAACAACCAGGCCACTGGTGCGGACTCGGCGTCGAAATTCCGCTCTGAGTTGAACAGGTTTACGTATGTACCTCATTGCATTTCTTGTGACGGTGCCTGACCATAGCCCACCTTAGCCTCTACTTCGTCTACCTGTTTGTTGCCAAGTTTGGCTTGGTATACATCTGGACTGTACGTCTTTTTCCTTGATCACCTCGATCTCCCTCAATCTGTAGACATAGCGTAACCGAATCTCACCCGCAGTTATCCTTGTCGGTTTCCTCGCTCCGGACCACCAAAGCCGTGCGCATCGCGTTTTTGACTCGCTTGTTGCAGCAAGACATCGCCTACTTCGACTCCAATCAAGGCGGCTCTCCGGTCGTGCAAGTCACCACCAATGCCAACCTGGTCAACCAAGGAATATCCGAAAAGCTTGGCTTTGCGGTGCAGGGCGTGGCGACATTTGTGGCAGCCTTTATCGTGGCCTTTGTGGTGCAGTGGAAGCTGACTCTGATCACGATCTGTATCGTGCCGGTCATTATTGTGGTCACGTCGGTATGCGCAGATATCGTGGTGAAGCAGGAGACCAACATTCTACGCGTCAACGCCGATGCCGGATCGCTGGCAGAGGAGATTCTAGCCAGTATGAAGACCGTGCATGCCTTTTCCGCTTTTGGCAAATTGACCTCCAAATACGACGAGCTGGGCCTGGAAGCAAAACGCCTGGGTTTATCTCAGTCATTGAACATGGCCATTCTTTACTCGGTGGAATTTTTCTGCGTCTATGCGGGTTATGGCTTGGCCTTTTGGCAGGGTGTCCGCATGTATGCGAGAGGGGAAATCGCCGAGCCAGGCACAGTTGTCACGTATGAGAATATCCTCACCCGGTTCAGAACATGTACTAATCCTGCATACAGGGTTATCTTCGCCGTGATCGTGGCGGCCACAGCCATGACCCAGATCGCACCGCAGATCATCCAACTCACGAAAGCTGCCTCGGCTGCTCAGGAAATGTGGACGGTTATCGACCGCGAGCCTTCGATCGACGGACTTTCCACCGAAGGAGCCCGGCCAGATACTTGCAACGGGGATATCATGTTCTCAAACGTGTCTTTCGCTTATCCCACTCGGCCACAGGTGCCAGTCCTTCAGAACTTCACCCTGGCAATTCCTGCCAACAAGTCGACCGCTCTAGTCGGACCCAGTGGTTCTGGGAAGAGCACCGTCACAGGCTTGTTGGAGAGATGGTATAATCCGTTGGGGGGATCAATCACCCTTGATGGACGAGATGTGAAAGACTTGAACATTCAGTGGCTGCGGACCCATCTTCGCATTGTCCAGCAGGTATGTCCGCCTTTGACTATCCCGTCTCAGTTGATCATTATTAACGCCGGTTTTAGGAACCAACATTGTTCAACGGGTCCGTCTTTGAGAATGTTGCTTATGGTCTGGCCGGCACAGAGCATGTTCATGCGTCCAAAGATGAGCAACTGGACCGTGTCATCAAAGCATGCAAAGCGGCGTATGCTCACGATTTTATCGAAAGACTACCAGAGGTTAGTGACAGCATTTGCCCTGCGAATGTGACAAACCTGACATCTCAATCAGGCATACGACACCCAAGTCGGAGAGCGAGCCACCATGTTATCGGGCGGCCAGAAGCAGCGCATCGCCATCGCCCGCAGCATCGTTTCTGATCCCAAGGTCCTTATTCTCGACGAAGCGACTAGCGCCCTTGATCCTCAGGCGGAAAGGATTGTGCAGGAAGCGCTGGACAATGTTTCGGCCTCACGCACAACTATTACCATTGCTCATAAATTGTCTACGATCAAGAAGGCCGATCAAATTGTGGTCCTGTCGCAGGGCAAAATTGTGGAGAAGGGCACACACGACCAGCTCAACGAATCAGGCGGCGCCTATCATCGTCTCATTAAGGCGCAGGATCTTGGTCGAGTCCAGAGTGATGATTCTCCGGCAGAGAAGGGGGAGTCGGCAGAGGACGTACGGGTCACGACAGTTCCTTCCAGGCGGCCGGATAGCGTGAAGGATACTGGTGTGGTCAACAACATTGAAGCGCCTTCCACCCGTAGCCAAAGCCTGATAAAATGCTTGGCCATCCTTCTGTCAGAGAGACGTGAACTGTGGTTCGAGTTCTTCGTTGTTTTTGCTGCCTGCGTTCTGGGAGGTAAGTAACCGGCCCTTTTGTCTCGTCGAGCTGTCTACTGACGTCTGACAGGCGCCACTAATCCGATCCTTGCTTTCCTATTTGCGAGGATTCTGGACGTGTTTCAAATTCAGTCTTCCGACCAGATGGTAAAGAGAGGTGACTTCTACGCCCTCATGTTTTTTGTCCTGGCCCTGGTTGTTCTTCTCGTCTATGCGATCTTAGGGTGGCTCACAAATGTCATTTCAACGGTAGGCCTCCTCGCCATCTTTCAGTAATTCATGTCTAACAGCGCATGATATCAGTGTATCGTATACATCTATCGGATGGAAATGTTCCGAAGCTACCTTCGTCAAGACCTGACTTTCTATGATCAACCAGAACACACCACTGGGTCGCTCGTGTCGCATCTATCGACAAAGCCTACCAGTCTCCAGGAACTTCTCGGCTTCAACATTGGTATCATTGTCGTTGCACTTGTGAACATCGTCTCCAGCTCCATTCTTGCTCTAGCGGTTGGATGGAAGCTCGGACTGGTTGTGCTGGCTGGTGCCATGATCCCCATGGTCTCCTGCGGATACCTCCGAATCCGTTTAGAGTTCATGTTAGATGAGGGCATTTCAACTCGATTTTCGCAGAGCGCCGCCTTGGCCGGAGAGGCAGTCTCTGCGATTCGCACCGTTGCCTCACTGGCCATCGAGCGAACGATCCCGGCACGGTATACGGATGAACTGGCCGGGATCGAGCGACGATCTATCAAGTCATTGATCTGGACTATGTTCTGGCTCTCATTGACGCAATCGCTTTCCTTCCTCTCCATGGCTCTTAGCTTTTGGTATGTGCTCCGTGCTCTCTTTCATGCTCAGAGCATACGGCTTACTAGCACAGGTACGGAGGACGCTTGATGTCCAGCGGCGAGTACTCAACGACCCAGCTGTATATCGTTGTCATCGGATCTATTCTTTCCGGCGAGGCGGCAGCATCTTTCTTCATGTTCAGCACCAGTAAGTACCTTCTCAAATTTGCTGTTTTAACAAACGCTCACAAATCACAGGCTACACCAAGGGCCAGGCCGCCTGCAACTACATCTTCTGGCTTCGATCCTTGCTGCCCGATGTACGCGACGGTGATTCAGACCATAACCTCGATCAGGCCTCTGGTGCGGCGGAATTGACGCTTCAGGATGTGGGATTCCGGTATCCCACACGGCCTAATCGGGCGGTGCTGAAGAATGTTGACGTGGAAATCCATCCCGGACAGATGGTCGCATTCGTCGGACCTTCAGGCCATGGCAAATCCAGTTTAATCTCACTCATCGAGAGATACTACAACCCCTCGACCGGGTCCATTCGCTTCGACGGGTCGGATATTGCCAATATGTCGCTTGCCTCCTACCGAAGCCATCTCTCGCTAGTTCAGCAAGAACCGGTCCTTTACCAGGGAACCATCCGCGAGAACATCGCCCTCGGGCTCGAATCGGAAGCCACTGATGACCAGATCGATCACGCCTGTCGACAGGCCAATGTTTTCGATTTCGTCTCCTCTTTACCTGAAGGGCTATCCACCGTGTGCGGCTCTAGAGGCAGCCTCTTCTCGGGTGGTCAACGACAGCGACTTGCAATCGCGCGGGCGCTGATCCGCCGGCCCCGACTGCTCCTCTTGGACGAAGCGACGTCTGCACTGGACACGGAGAGCGAGAAGATCGTCCAAGCCGCACTTGATAAAGCCAAAGAAGGTCGGACGACGATTGCGATCGCACATCGCCTCTCGACGATCAAGCATTCCGACCGGATCTTCGTCCTTGTGGACGGACGCATCAAGGAACAGGGGACACATGAGCAATTACTGCAGCAACGTAGAACATATTACGAGATGTGCTTGGGACAGGCACTCGATCAGGCGGCATAATTCCCCTCCCGGTGCTTCTTGTTTTAATATTAATTCGATCATTCTGGGGCTGATAGAATCGGCGGCGTTGATGAATGTGATTTATGATATGGACATAATAATCAGTACAATCTCATCTCTCACAGTCGGCGAGGCGGTTTGAACAACAGGTGATAATGACATGCAGGACGAGATATATTTGTATTTTAATTCAACTTCTTTTTTCAATTGTCTCGGAGCTCGACGATATTCAGCTGACTGTTAGACAACCCTAAGTTTTCAGCACCCTCCGTATGGTTTCAGTAAGACGCAATCGCGAGTTGCAACGACGCCAAAGTCGCTGTTCTTGCTGGCATCGGCGGCCGTATCACACAGGGCCCCGTGATCTGGCGCTCGTCGCTTTCTTCGATTTCCTAGCCGCTCGATCGCGGTGACGACACATGCATGGCGCGAAGTAGAGGTCGGATAGTCATCAGGCTTGCGGCCGTCAGACCGAGACCCGCTTCAACGTGGGACCAGATGGCGATCTGCGTGGTCTGATCTGAACGAGTGGTTAACTGGAGTTAACGTCAAATGGACGCTGCAGGCTTACAGAGAAACTCGGGATGCTTCGAGAATTGAAGGAATGGCATGCGTACGATGACTGCCGAGCTCGCCCTGTTTATTCATTCAGCAAGATTGCGATGGGTTCCTGCGATTCGAGGTGACTGACACGCATCCAATGCCTAATAGCCCGGCCACCGCGACCTTGGTCCGTTGATTCATCTTCAGTTTCCACACCATGAAGGCCGGTAGCAGGCCGATTGTAAAGTCGCAGATGGCCGCCACCGCGCTGTACATGTACACTATCCCCAGGAGAAGATCCATGTTCAGACACCGCCCCGGGGTATCTATACGATTCCAGAAATAGTGGACAGGTTGGCACTGGAAGACGGTGAAGAAGAAGAATATCAGCCCTGCCATAATTGACAGGGCTGTAATGATGTATAGCATGAGGGAGTGGATCCGTTCAACTGTCAGACGAAGCAACGAGAGGGCGATCGAAAGCCTTGCAAGGACGCAGGTCACGACGTAGAACACCTGTCCGAAGTAGAAACACTGATTCGGTTAGCTAGAAAAGGTCTTAGAGACCAGGGATACTCACCAGCATCGCCCATCGATAGTGGTCTGGACGATTAGCAAAATAGGGCGTCTTCTGGCCCATGCCATACACGGCCCCAAGGATTCCGCAGATTCCGAATCCGATGTTGAAAATCTACGCCGATCAGCGACGTTAAATCCATGATAGTCTTCAGTTTCGAACTCACTGACGCAATCAGCATAATCCAATCATCGGTTCCAAAGGACCGGACCAGGCGAAGCCGCACGTAGAATCGCAGAAACACGGTGAACTGCGATATCCCCAGAATGACCGCCGTTGTGACTAAAATGGCCTCGCTTCTTCCACTCACCATGACCGGCAACCTGTCCGACCAGCATTGTTTGGCAACGATCTTTCGAATGGATTCATTGATGCTCCTCCGTCATTCAGTCGAGACTGTCGGGTCGAGGTTCATTTTGTACCTTGCAGAGCTGTCATCCACTCGGCCCGACGCGATGTCGCCTTGACGTCATCACTCGCGACCGGAGGCTTCGAGATTTCTTGGCCTTTTCATGCATTTTTGGAACGTTTCCCCGGTCTGGCAGGAGTTCTCGCCGGTCAGTTGTTTCTGGGCCCGGTTCTTGCCGTGTTGCTGGGCATTAGATGGTGTCTTCACTGCCGAACAATGTGAACGTGAACAGATCGGGCAACATACACTTGAGGGGTGTTCCCTTGGGCTCTCATCTTGGCTTGGGTTATATTGAATCTCATGAGCGGTTGAGGGTCTACTATCGTGGGTGATGTGCTCTGTGGCATGACTCGAGTGATCATCAGGCACGTCATGGCCAACTGGGAGAATACTTCCCGAATAGTAAGTATGCCATGCCACTATCCCCATATCCTACGGCATAAATAAACTATTTCCGGCTTGGGAATGCGAGATTTGGTGGTTTAAATTCAAATACTAAATTCCATGCCGGCAAAGAAGTGCGCGTATGGTCCATCGACTGGAAAACTGGTCCCTGGTTAATGTTCCAAGTCCCTTTGGTTCAATCTCCTTTCCCCTCTTCCTTGTTGGCGATGCCCTCTGACACGCTACTATTTCTGCTCTTTTTTTATCTCTTATTTTCATCTCTGTCCTTTCGTGGCAGGTTATACCAGCGGTACAGCTAGGGAACCTCCTGTCGGGTCTGAATCCCACCGATAAAAGTGCTCATTTGACCTCACCACCTTGTCTGGAGACAGGTGGACTCCGCCCAAATGACTCCTGGTTGGTAACATCTGCAGTCCTCGGCTATCCTCCTGATAGGCTACATCGTAACCTCTTGTGGCGGCTTACAGGCTGCGACAGGGTGGGCTATTCATGCGTGTCGCAATTTGAAATCTGATGGCATCGTCTGACAGGTCTCTACGCAACAGCAACGGGAAACCCCCGGGGGATTTAGTTCGCCGACTTGGAGGAGCCAAGAAGCCCTGCATGATTTCCGATGCAGTCATTTCAACCGAGCCGAGGCGATTGAAACCAATAACAGATCTGGAGAGTCTCGACAAGCACGATCTATGACAAACTGAGCATCTTGGCGGGCTGCCTCCAGGCGCTTCTTTTAGCCCTGATTAATTTGTGCGACGGTCAAAACAACACGCAAACTGCAGCTAGACTCTCCATCGCAAGCCTTGTGTCAGAAAAGTTATTCGAAGACCTGCCCGGACTCGAGATCTATCGAGTGTTTTTGTCTGTTCCAAGTTTTACCTCCCGAGTCTGTTCCAGCCTGCCGATCAATCGCCTCTCAACTTCCAGGGACAAAGAATTCCACATTCCCGATGAAACGAAGGGAGAATCACGACATTTGTGGTCCATCAAACCATCGTGCCTGTCGGGGATATTAAGGCTTCGCCCCAGAAAGGATGCCGCCACTCTGTTGGGCCAAGGGTGCCTTAAAGGAATCCAGGCGCTGGTGACTGTAACCCCACGGAGAGACCTTCATGTCGATCGACGTTGATCGGTGTTCCAGAGTAGTTGAGGGTCATTTTGACGGTCACAAATCGACGCGGATCCAATCATGAACGGGCAGGTTGACGCCGTGGATGATGCCTCGCAGGACAGGACATCGATCCACTCAACTTCTAAGGGTTTAACTGGACTGGACGACGGCCAGCGCGGCGCTTCGGATCCCAAATCCTGGGAAGTGGAAGTAAAGTGGCCGGTGGGGGTCGCCAAGGGGAGGGATCAGATATCTTGGCCGATGCAGGCGATGTCGAGCAATGAGACGCAGATGTCACCGTGTTGGTGGCGTCGCCTCCTCCAATCCCCGTCGACGCCGCTGCATTCGATTTAATTTCCACCACCTTCGAAGGAAGGGGCGAAATCCCCGACCGGAGTGAAGCCATTCACCGTCACTGCCGCTGCTTAGCGCTGCCTGACACCCGCTTCTTTGTTGTAGATCCGCATCATGAAGTCGCGAGCCCTACTGCAGGAGTATATAAGGCTGCCGGCACCCATGGCTCTCCAGATGCTATTCACTCACCAGCTTCTGCGAAGCATTTCATTCCTTTGTTGGTCTCGGTTGTTCGCCCTCTTTGTCGTTCTTTTTCTTTCTCTTCACCCTTAGTCATTCCTTATTCGTTCTAACCAAACACCATGTTTCTGGACAAACATGCTCGTCTCCTGGTCGGAGTCCTCGGCCTGATGGCGCTGGCTCCCCAGGTCTCTGCTGCTCCCTATCGCTTCCATCACCATCGTCCTCACGGTCCTGGAGACCGTGGTGACTACACCAGCACCCCCAGCGTCTCGGCGACTCCCAGCTCTGAGGCCACGGGCATCTTCAGCATTCAGCCCGTCAAGCCCACCGGCGTCTTCAGCGTAAACCCGACTCTGGGTGCCAGCTCGACTGCCGCGGCTGTTCCAACGTCCTCGGTGGTCTCGACTAAGTCGAGCTCGAGCAAGGGCGAGGTCATGATTCCTTACTACCTGTACCCCGAGGCTGGAAAATGGGAGCCTCTGGAGAACCTGTGGGTTGGCATCAGGCTCACTGCATGTATAGATGGCTAACAGGCACAGGGTCACCTCCAACCCCGACGTCAAGTTCACCGTCATCGTCAACCCCGATAACGGCCCCAGCGGCTCGACCACTCTTCAGGACAAGAACTTCCTCACCCAAGTCCCCAAGTTGGCGGCTCACAGCAACGTGCGCCTGATCGGATACGTGGCGACTGGCTGGGGAGACCGTTCCATCTCCGAGGTTGAGGCCGACATCAAACAATACGCCGACTGGCCCTCTGCCAGCGGCAACTCGGCCTTCGCCGTTCAAGGCATCTTCCTGGACGAGGGAGCAACCGCGTACAGCGAGGCTACCGTCTCTTTCTACGAGCAGGCGGCCGCTCTGATCAAGCAAAGCTCGGGTCTTGGTCCAGAGAACTACGTGCGTGCATTCCGTTTTCTGATCTTTTACACAATGCGTGAAGAACTAACCTTGCTATAGGTCGTCGCCAACCCCGGAACCCCTCCCGACGCTGCCTATCTCAAGATGGTCGATTCGTCGGTCATCTTCGAGTCTCCCTACGCCGAATTCGAGAAGGCCCTGTCTGGCAGCACCTTCTCCAGCCTCACGGACGCCACCGGTGTCGACCGCGCTTCTATGGTGTATAACGTTCCGCAGAACGTGGATCTGTCTTCCGTTCTGGAGAAGGTCAAGGGCATCTCCAACCAGGTCTACATTTCCAACGTCGACAACTACGCGACCTACGATCCCGCTTGGGATAAGGTGGCCCAGCTGCTGGTTGCCAACTAGAGCTTGAAAGAGACGAACGGAGTGACAACGTTGGAGAGATGCTACTTGAGATTGGGGAGTTGGGCGAGCGACGATTCCCTCCTCACATCTGCTCTCTTCGACTCCTGTATTTATTTATTGCACTAGATGACATATATTGTAGATAGATGTCTCAGCCTCGTCATGCAACCTTTTTGCCTTATACTCGCAGACCCAACGTACTAGAGCCACACATAATAGAGCTTCTCCGTATAGCTCGATGGTAGATTCCGTTTCTCGCAAGCTCTTTGCTGCAGGGAAAGACTGCTGGATTCAATCAAAGTATTGCTTACTGCCCCGTATTCTTCGGCTCGGGTTCCGGAGTGTTTTCTTTTTGTCGCTCATCTTATCTCGCATTCGTATGTGCTCGCCCTCAACATGTCGTGTATCCTGCCGCTCGGGACCACCACGAACAAGCGCATGCATCTAGGAACCAAAGAGGGCCCTAGTGTAGTTAGGCTGAACTAAGCTTACCAGCCAGCAAGGCCATTACAAGGAATGCGATGTGTATGCAGTATTCGTTGAGAAAGTCTAATCCAGTATATATGTACGTCTCATCCTCATACATGTCGCTTGCATGTCTCTCGTCATAAACAATAGCAAAGAAAGAAAAACGCCACGCTCTAAACCAGGTACCGGAAGCCCTTGACCACCCGCAGCGACTCGTCCGGGTCGTCCATGGTTGGATCGGGCGCGGCGGGATTGGCGTCGCTGACGGTGTCGCGCGACTCCAGCTTCTTGTTCAGGTTCACCAGGATCATGCGGAAGAACCAGAAGCCCACGACGGCCACGCCGAACATGGCCGTCACGATGCCGTAGCTCTTGCGGTATCCGTTCTCCGACAGGTCCCAGACGTACATGCCGGCGACGTTGCCCAGCTGCGAGAAGGCGTTGACCAGGGCCAGCGCCACGGCTCGCTTGGCGGGCGGACGGGGGAAGGAGGAACTGATCCAGGAGTACACCACGATGAAGCCGGCGTAGGATCCGGCCTGCAGGAAGAGGGCGACGTATCGCGCGGCGGTGTTGAGGGTGCACATGCAAATGATGAAACCGACAAAGCCCATGATAATGGGACCGTAGATATGCCAGAGCTGGATACGGCGGATCAGTCAGAGGTGGAACGCGAGAAAATGGGCGGTAAGGGATGACTGACCTTTTCTTGGGTTCGATCGGCATGCCAGGCATTCAGCAGGGAGAAGAGACAGGAGAACACCCACGGGGGAGCACTCATCAGGAGAGTCGGCACGTATCCGAATCCAAGGGTACCGGTAAGTGTGGGCTGGAGCAGCTGTTAGTCAACAATTCCCCGAGACGCGTGGAGCTAGGGCGGACTTACGAAGAAGGCATTGAACGACAGTCCAATGACGTACGCGGTGAAGGTGAGCATCAGCACGTAGATCTTGAAGTCCTTGAAGGCCATCACCAAACCGGCAAAGGCACTTTGGCCGTCGTCGCTGTCGGCCTCGCCGACGTCCTCGATGATGCGCAGCTGCGCCACGAGACGCTCATCCTCGCTGAAGCCGCCGGTGTTGGTGGGCAGGTCGGGCAAGATAAAGCCGGAGGCGATGGCGATGGTGATGGTGGCGGCACCTTCGATCCAGAAGAGCCAGCGCCAGGCGGCGTGGCCCAGGGTGCCCTGCATGTTGGACAGGACGCCGGCGGCGACCAGGGAGGAGAAGGCGTTGGAGATCAGGTTGCCGCAGAACAGGATGGCGTTGCGGGTGGTCAGCTCGCGGCGAGTGTACCACTTGGACAGGATCAGCAGGGCTCCGGGCAAGAAGGCGGCCTCGACGAAGCCCAGCAGGAACCGGATGACCACCATGTCCTTGAAGTCCTTGGCGTTTCCGGACAGGGTGGAGATGACACCCCACAGGGTCATGGAGACGGCGATGTACAGCGAGGGCCGCGAGATGCGGTTGATGACCATGTTGGAGGGCACCTGCATGAGAATGTAGCCGACGTAGAGGATACTGAGACAGGTGGAGAACTGGGTGTTGGTGAGGTTCAGGTCCTCCTGCAGACCCTTGAGACGAGCGGCGGAGATGTTGTTGCGGTCGAGGTAGTTCATGATGTAGATCAGCACGAAGATGCTGCAGCGCAGGTCGAGCTTCCACTTCAGACTCTTCTCGGCGGCGGCTCGACGCGCCGGGTCCATCTGCGGCAGCACGTTCTCCTGGACGGTGACATGCTCGAGGTTTTCCGTCTTCATCTTGTCCATGTCGGACTCGATGGCGGACGATTGGTTGAGCGCCATGACGGGCAGGTTCGCAGAGACGAATTCTCACACGCAGAACCCGAACGAACAGAGGAGACGAGGACAGGCCGCAGCGGATGGGACGCCAGACAGAGGACCAGCCGGGGGGGTTTTATCTTGCAGAGCACAATCCCCAACAAAACGAAAAAGACAACCCTTGGGTGACCCCCACGCCAAAATTGCGGGTCGCACGCGGGGGTTCTCGCAGGCCGTGGGGTTTTCGGGCTCTTCCTTTGCCTCCCACGGCATTTCCCCCGGGTTGTGGCGGCAGAGATTTTTCTGGGGACCGGAAGGGAGGAACCCACCCAGTGACGCCAGATCCGCTTCGGTCCTCGAGGTCAGCGAAATGAGGTTTCCTGAAGTCTCCTGAAGTCTCAATGGCACCGGCCGGGATGAGCGTCGTGGGTGAGTGGCCGTGTTGCATCGGCCTTGAATGCACCTCGTCCGGAGAACGTGGGACAGCGAACGCACCGAAAATCGAAAAACCCCGGGCCGGGCTAAGCAGGATTAGGGCAAGCCGAAGCCATCGGGAACGCTGGCGGCCGAGTGGATCGTCTGACACACCGTCCTTTTGGCCCTTTTTTACCCGATCTTTTGGCCCATTTCGCGGACGCTCTCCGGGGACGGTCGGCTAATCCAATCCCCGCGCATTTCCTTCACGCGGGGTTTGGAGTCGACATGACATCACGGGCAGTTCCTGGCGTCATCGCGGTGCGATCTCGATCAAGTAACCGGGTTTGCTGCAGACGGAATCCCTGCAGTCGTGGGCTCTGGGGAGATGCCAGCAGTGCGAATGATTTCCCCGGCGGAAATGCCCAAGGAGGCCGCCCGTCACCTGACCCGTCCCCGCGGGGTTTTGCACCGTTTGCACCTTTTGTGCGGTTTGCATTTCCCCGTCCGGTCAGCTGACGGGCGCTGCCGTCACGTGCACCGCCATCCCGTGGATTGTTTCATCGTGACTCTGGAATCTACCGATCAAAGTTTTCATGGTCTCCCTGATGCCAGTAGTCTACCATATATGGGCTGAGGAGAAGGGGGTTCCTGAATGACCCAAGCTGGCTGTTCCCTTGTAGACATCTTCTGCACCGATATATATTTGTGTGTTGGGGTAGGACTATCCCCTTAGCATATATTTGAGTCCCTCCGGTGGACTCCCTCCATCTTGCACTATTCTTCCGATTCTCGTTACTCTTATTTTTTACTCCGGGAATTTCCTGAATTCCCACGTTGTTCTCCAGTGCAGATCGTCGCCAAAAACGACGGTTTCGCGACGGCTCCACCCCCGCGGCGTTGTGCGTACGTAATGGAGTCGCCTTTTTCTCTGTCGTCCTCGAGTCCTTCGTGGACGCGGACTCATCTCGGGTCCACTTCGGCACTCGCTTGCGTCGATTCTTTATCATTCCGTTCTAGAATGTCCATGCCATTTCTAGCCGCAGGACATCCTTCCGGAAATCCTTCAGAGAATTCAGTAAACCCAATAAAAAAACGGAAAATAAATGAGAAAGGGACTGAAACAAGAGTCCCTTCGGTAAATATCCCTTGCTTTTGACCATCAGCTGGCCCTTCACCATGTCCAACCGGAAGATCTGCTAATATATCCCGTGAATCAGGTTGATTCCAGTCCGGGTCAGATCCTTAGACATCCTGCAATACTTCCCGGCGAATGCATTGACAACGAACCCTGTCCCGGGAGTCTGGAAGATGAAAGCCGACTCGTGTTTCGGATGGAATGCAGACCATGTCCGATTGGGCACGAAAGATGCACGAGTCCCCGCGTCTTATGCACCAGGGTCATATCGACCACCCCGTGATGCACCAGTCCCGAGGCCTGGGTAATGCTCAATAAGTCCCCCACGATGTCCAAGGTGATATTGACAGCTGTGTGGAGCATAATTAACTTCTTATCAGGTCCGATGGTACAGAGCACTAATCCCAGCTTAATAACTTATTATATAAGATAAGGACGAGGTACTTACGCTCTCAGGGGTTATTAAAATAGGAATAGGAGGCGTATCTGGTCGCGAACCCGTAGCCCATCACGCCCGCCGTATAGACAACCACGACCCACCAGTAGATCATCCACGTCGGGAGGCGATCAATCATCTTTTTGAAGATCAAAAGGAAACCGAACTTGATCGCATTGAAGGAGGCCCATCCCAGCATCAAGCAAATGGTGTAGAATTTGTGATATTGGTACGACATCGCCATGAGGTTCGGGATCTCCACGGCGAGTCCTCCCTGCAACGCCGACAGCTTATACATGCGAACGACCACCTCGCGATACATCACCAAACTGCTGGCGATCAATAAACACAAGGCGAGGATGATGAGCACGTCGTCGATCTCAAGCCGTTGTTTCTGCACGCGGAAACGGATGATAAATCGCACCACCACCCCCAAGACTGCCAGGGCAAGACCGCAGCCGGTTGTAATCTATCCTTTTCATTCAGACTCTGCACGGTCTTTTCATGAGTATGGGCGGAAGAAAGACCTACGACGAAAGCATCTTGGTGGATTCGCCCCACGCGATCCTCGGGTCTCATTCCAAGAGTTACAAATAAATCAGAGCGGCAAAGGTTCGGTCGTCGCGCGAGTAATAAAACGCTCTTAAAGAACATGAATCGAACCACGGGGTATAGATGATTCGCTTGAGATGTGATTTCGACAGGCGCAGTCCGCGACGTTTTTTAAGTCATCTTCGGTGACGGGGCTATTAAATAAATCGGCTCCCAAACCATCGTTGAGAAAAAGGTCTGTTCAACCTTGTCAATGTAAGGCTTTGGCGCGGGCGCAGTTCTGCAAGGAGATTGGGACTGAATGCTCTTGGATTCTCTCCGTCAGCGGAGATTTGGTGGTGCTTCAATCACCATTCCATCATAAGGTCCACAGCGCATTCTGGCCCTAAGTACAGCCAGCACCATCAGAGAATCAGCATCAGGTATCAGTTAGTGCACGGACTCATCTTACGAGGTTAAATCGCCAACCGTCACGGGGTAATTCCTGAGACAAGGATTTGGGGGCCATGCGAGCGACCAGTCTCGCAGCAAGCATATCGTGCATTTGATATGTCTCAAGACCCCATATTCCGACCGATTTCTCTGACTAGGACGCGTCGATGCGTGATCATGGGGGCTGTTGGGCGCGAAACATCAGGTCTAGAGCACCTTATCGTAGTCCAGCCACTCCGCTCCATAGATACCCCCATTATCTAGTGGAGGAAGGTTAAGGCCATCGCCAAGCATGAACTCAAAATCCTGGCACATTTCAAGTGGATCGGATACCGAACGCTGGCCTAGTGTCCCTGTATTGGATCCCAGATGCTGCTGCAAAACTTGAACCAGGTGCGGCGGTGTCTCGGGAGGCCCAACCCTTGACGCTACGAGTTCGCACCGTGCACTCCAGGCATCAAGTACAGCGTCTCTAAAAGCAGCATGGATCGGATTTTGGACATGACGAATGAATTGTCGAAGCTGGTAGTTGTCGCAGATCGCCTTCCAGGCTCGGTCATCATCATTAAACACGCCGTGTCGCAGTTTTCTCAGCAAGATCATATACCCTTCCATCGGGACATGCAAAGCCGTGTACCAGTGAAAGCCTCGCATACTTTCATAAGAGTGAATTTCAGTGTCGTATTCGAGCATTCTTCTAGCACATATAAACAGCTTGACATGGTCTGCTTCTCTCATGGAGGTAGGGTGTTGGCCGGCATGCAGCCCTCTAATTAACTGGAGTTTACAGAGAGCGATACGGGTCATCGCCAAGGCCAAGTGATGGAAAGGAATTTTGCCGTTGCAGTGTTTGAGGTAGGTAGACTCCACGTAATCTTCGAAGCTGCTCATATCCTGGAATAACGGATGCCTTAAGGAGAATGCACCGGCGTTGCTCTGCTCGGACGGAACATTGCAGGAATCACGGGTTTGACCAGGCTGAGGGTCAATCTTGGTATGGGTAGAGGCAGAAGCTATCATGACCTGCATGCGACTCAAATAGAAGAGCATCTCGGTCGCTCCCGTATGAGGGACGGGAGTTTCTTTAGCGTCTGGATGCAAGTCCGCGTCGTTCACGTTGGAGGGCAGTGGACAGTCCGCACCCGAGGAAGATAGAATGGTAACGGTCGAGCCGGTGATCTCCGCAATCCTTTCGTCTAAAGCGACCAGCTGCCACCAGAGTCGCCGCCGTTGCTCGGTTTCGAATGGCGACAGACCTAGCCGGTAACCATCCCGATGGAGACCGAGATGAGTCGCCATGCGCACAGCGATACCCATCCAGCAGGACAGGGTTCGTGCATCTACATCGCGGCCCATACTGAGCTATAGTAACGGTGAGCTAACGAGGAACTTGACGACACGCAAAAGAGAAGCGCATGGAATTCAAGGTTTGTCCTTACCAAGTAAAGCACGAAAGCCTGCAGCACAACGAGATCATTTGACTTCATCAATCCAGCATTTGACAGAGCATGCTGGCAGGCCTCGTTGAAGCGAGTCACCAAGACTGCCTTGGGTTGTCCCAGGGTGGTCGTGACCTGTTCATCTGTCATGGACTTGACGGTTATCAGGTAGATGCTGAACATGAGAGCCTCCAGCGGCCTTGGGATGTGTCCTGTGTTAACACCGGCACTGACAATTTTCGATTGCAGAGTCGGGATATGGGTGAGCTTCAAGAGGGAATTGACGTTATTGATATAGACCTGCCAAAGCTGGAAGATCTGGATTCCCGGCGGATGCAAATGAGTGATGGTGAATGCCGCGGGGCCAACCATGAATGGAAAGCCTGCAGTCTCGTTGAAAATCATATTTAGGATGGGGCGACTGTTCTTGTCGCGCTTCTGGCAGACACACTTGCGTATTTCCTCTCCCTCGGAAGCTGTTAAGCCGCCAAGGTCGGGCTCTGTTTCGGAGACATGCTCATCCGCGTTGTCCTGTATGGAGTCAAATTGAATTCCATTATCGCGTAGAAGAGCCTCGTATCTTTGAACTCGATCGACTAGGTCTCGTTTTCGCAACTTCTTCTTTCTCCTTGTGACCGGCTTTGGAGGGACGACCTTGCACTCGGCCTGGGCGCGAACACAATTCGAGCACGGCTTTTGCTGATCGCAGCGAACCTTTCGCTGTTGGCATAGAACACAGGAGTGTCCGCGTGTCAGAGTCATGGCCGTGCGATGTTCCTTGATTCAGGGGGCAAGCACGAAGCGAATCCAAGACGCGTCGGCGACAGCGAGAAAAAGAAGTCGGTCGGTCCCGAAGCGATCGTTTTGGCTCCCGAGCCCTAAACCCAATGGGGCAGGCGTCGCAAAGGCATCCCGATTGCCAGGATGTATAAATCATGGGATGTTCTCCATGACCAACGACCCTTGCGAGAGGCATTCAACAGAATATGAGGATTCAAAATAACTTAGATGGCGTCAATGCCAAAGGGCAGAGTGACCAAGCAGGACGAATCAGCCCCAGTGCACTCGATGTCGAAAAAGAAATCGCTTCGTTACCGTCGACAGGTCAACCGGAGCCAGCCAGCGCTGCGACGGACAACCAATACCAGCCTGGGACACTTGAGTTCTGGCTGATCATGTTCTGCAATTTTCTCTCTCTCTTTCTGGTTGCACTCGATCGAACCATTGTCGCCACCGCCATCCCTCGCATCACCGACGAATTCAACAGTCTGGGCGACATAGGCTGGTACGGATCGGCTTACATGTTGACCGGCGCGGCATCCCAGTCTCTATTCGGTCGGATCTACAAGATATACCACACGAAATGGGTTTTCTTGACCAGCGTCGTGGTCTTTGAGGTCGGATCGGCGATCTGTGGTGCTGCCCCCAGCTCCAACGCCCTGATTGCCGGACGTGCCATTGCGGGATTTGCCTCGGCCGCCATATTCTCCGGATGCATGCTGGTTGTCATTGGCATGGTGCCGCTCCATAAGCGTCCCATGTTCCAGGGCATGTTCGCAGCGGTGTTTGGCATTGCTTCCGTGATGGGGCCCTTGATCGGCGGGGGCTTTACCGGTGGCGTAACTTGGAGGTTGGTCCCCTGGGTGCATCGATATGTGTTAGGCAATACTGATTATATCCAATCTCAGATGGTGCTTCTATCTGAATCTCCCTATCGGAGCTGTCAGTCTGGTTCTCATGGCTCTGGTCTGGCATCCCTCCACGCCAAAACACGAGCCTGCTCCCATCCTAAGGCACGCCCAGCGCCTGGATCCTTTCGGCACACTCTTCTTTCTACCTTGTATCACCTGTCTTCTCCTCGCTCTCCAGTGGGGAGGGTCGACATACGCTTGGAATGATGGTCGAATCATAGGGCTTGTAGTGGTTTTCGGGGTTCTCGCCGTGGGATTCGCCGTAATTCAGGTGCTGATGCCCGAGACAGCCACCATCCCCGTTCGAGTCATCAAACGCATCAGCGTGTTCTGTGCGGCTCTTTTCACCTTCTTTGCCTCGAGTGCCATGACGATGATCCTCTACTATCTTCCAATTTGGTGTAAGCCTGCCACTCAATCGGATCTGTTAAAATAACGACTAAATATTGTTAGTTCAAACCGTTAAACAGGCCAGCCCGGTGAAGTCGGGTGTTTACACGCTGCCGCTGGTGCTGAGCCTGGTGATCGCCAGTTTTCTATCTGGCTTCGTCACTCAGAAAACCGGATATTATGTCCCCGTCATGTACATCTGCCCTTGCCTTCTATCGATCGGACTAGGTTTGATGTCCACCCTCGACGTTGACACTGGCTCCTCGCACTGGATCGGATATCAATTCCTCTGCGGCTTTGGATTAGGACTGGGGATGCAGAGCTCCGGTCTTGCCGTGCAAACGATCCTTCCGTCGTCAGATATTTCCATCGGGATAGCCTTCATATTTCTCTGCCAGCAGCTCGGTGGCTGCATATTCGCCACGGTCGGTCAGAATATTCTCAGCAATCATCTGGTGTCCAAGCTAAGCGGCATCCCGGGAGTAGATCCTAACCAGATCGTTCACGAAGGCGCGACGAACCTCGCGTCGGTGGTCTCGTCGGACCATATGTTCGTCGTCAAGCAAGCTCTTAATTCGGCTGCCACCAGGATCTTTCTGGCTGCCTTGGGTCTGGCTCTAGCGGCATTGCTCAGCTCGTTGGGTATGGAGTGGAAGAGCATCAAGGAGAGCGGTGCTCAGGATGAAGCTGTCCCGACCGGCGCAACAAATAGTCAGGTACCCCAAACGCAAACGGGCAAAAGCCCAGGATAGATGTGGAGTTCAGGGAAATTGCAAGAAGAGTTCTGGTGGTAAAACAATCCTCGGGCAGGCCAGGCATAGAGTTGCTATTGTTATTGGCCCGAGCTGTTAGTATACTCTCTCTTTATTTTAGTTTCGTTATTTTCTTTTTTGGATGAGAAAGAATGAGAAAAAGCCGAAATTTGAAGCATAAAAAAAGAATAAAGGAACCAAAGAATAGACAAAAGAGTAGGAATGCAAATGCTGACATCAGCAATCACGTGCCGACGGCCCACCGAAGAATCGAGTTTGGCTTCAATTCGTCTCGATGCAGTCAACATCCACGTCAACATCGATCCCTTCACTCCACACGCCATCTTCCGCGGTCGCGACAAGACCGGGAGGCAAGGGCATGGGCACCGTCGGTCGATCCCATTTTCAAGAACTGCCCATTAACCCGCGGGGCATTTTCTGGGAAGATGACTTCATCTCGCCGGAGCACGAGCGGCGTCTCATCTCCGTCTTCCGCCACGAGCTGGAATGGGCCGACCGTCCGGGCCGTCTCTCACTGCACTATGGCTACTCCTTCGACTACAAAACGTTCGGAGTCGATCCCGACATCCCCTACAAGGAGTTTCCCGACTGGCTGAAGCCGCTCATCCCCACGACGGAGTCACGACCGCCCGACCAGGTGTGTCTGCAGTATTATCCCCCCGGAGCCGGCATTCCGCCGCACGTAGACGCGCACGGCGCCTGGGACCAGCTGTATGCGCTGTCGATGGGCGCCCCGGCCATCATGCAGTTCCGCAAAGGCGAGGAGCGCGTGGACGTCGATCTGACGCCGCGGAGTATGATGAAGATGGCCCGCGACGCCAGACTCCATTGGACTCACGGCATCAAGAAACGCAAGACAGACGCGTTGCCAGATGGGACGGTGCGCGCGCGTGCGGATCGCTGGAGTATCACGTATCGATGGGTCCGGGAAGGGGAGTGCGACTGTGACAACTTGGAGCTTTGCGACGTGGCGCAGCGACGGAATGGCACGGAGAAGGAAAAAAGGTCTCTAAAGGAGTTGGAAGCGAAGACCGTTGTGGAGGAACCAGCAGCAGAGAAGTATGACTTGTCGACTGCTGTCTGACGAATGATGAATGTCCCTGTCTCTCATGTATGTATATAGCCCAGTACCCCCCGCTCAGCTTCGGGGATTCTCAAAGTTTTAGCAGCTCAAAGCCAGGTTGACTCGTACTGTTGTGACCATAATCACCAGCAGAAACACAATAGACATCCCGCATCTAAAACTGATGTCTCCGGACTGCGTAGCGGAGTAAGCCGGGTGCTTGTTGGCGAGGCTGAATCCTCCGCCTCAAGCGGATGTTATCTGCATTTCCAGTCTTCTACAAAGGATCTCTGGGTGTTTCTGAAATTGCAAATCGTTCACAATGACTGGGCGGAACTGTTCGTCCTCATTCCATGTGGGTCTCGGGGTTCCCGGTTCTTTCCTCGAACAACAAAGAAATCGGCCAAGCGCGATGCCTACAAGGAAGGGCCCGGAGTATATAACAGGTGTCGAATGCCTGCTAATCAATATGATCAACACTGCTGCGCCGCACGCTCGAATCAGAAACCACCACTCCCGGAGCTTTATCAGACCGCCAGGTAGGCCCCGGCCGCATACCTAAAACCTCACCCCTTTTCTCAAGTAGCCCCTTGGACATATCAAGAAATGGAGGACCCTTGCCGCTGGAGGAATGAGGGGTTTGAGGTGCCTGTGGTAGATCAGGAACATGTCTGGAAAGTGGAAGCGGACACTGTTTGGGCCTGCTATGTGCCACCCGTCTTTGAAAATGCAGAGTCGCCCAGTACATTTTGCTGCTACATCTGGACACCTCTGCAAGGGACGTATCTGAGTCGTGCCGCCCTGTTTGAAGCTGCGCTCGACACCTTCCAGGACGGACGTGCCGTGGTAGCTCGTCGGCTGTGCCATTTCGTTGGTGGCATCTGGTGGAGGTTCACAATCCCAGACCAGCAGGATATCTTTCTCAGTGACGAGCAACTGCGTAGAATGGGCGCGGCAGACCTGAATCGGTTCTATCGGAGGGAGCTTCAGGCAAGGCTGGGGCTTCCTAAGTGTTTTCCCGCCCTCGAATTTCGCTAATGCATGGCAGATTGGTATCAGCATCTGTTGGCTCTCCGCATTTGATCTGAAAATACAAACGGAACGGCCCCATGGTCGGAATAGAACAAATTCCATCAATACCTTCATATTATAGAATGCACATCTGTAGAAAACACACCAGTAGTTAACCATACCCCAGCCGCCGGTTTGGATAGACACATTTTCCGTTTCACTGTGAATGTATCATGTTCCGACCTTGATGGTGTCTAGATAAATGGCTTCCATTGCTCCTCGCACCAATCCCATAACTTCGAGGCATAACCCAATCCTCCATCTTCGACGGGCATCATCGCCTTGATTATATCCGTTCGAGGGCAGTCCTTGTCCGGCCGTATTCTTCCCCAGGGAATGACATAGGCACCGCTCGTTTCCGCCGTGATGTCGGGGCTGAGGCCGCAGTAGAGTTCCGTATAGGCCCCAAACCGGGTCTCGTGCAACAGAGGCCGCACGAAGCACATCGTCAAGGCCGGTGTGCCCTCGTATGAGCCTGCCTTCAGGTTGCCGGGATTCTGCACCACGCTGACGATGCCGTCCGCCGCATACCGGCGCGCCATTTCGCGACCCAGCATCCAGGTGCCGGCCTTGGACACGGCGTAATTGACCACGCGGTCTTGGCTGCCTTTACCGAGTGTAGCAAAGTCGATGCCGTTCGTCGGCGATCCGCCCTCGGCCAGATAGCTCGACGTCCAGACGACGCGTACGGCGCCGGTCGGCTGAGATGCCGCGGCGCTGCGCAGCTGCGGACGCAGCAGATCGGTGAAAAGCAGCGTGGCGATACAGTGCATCCCGACCATAGCTTCGAAGCCTTGTGCAGTTTGCGTACCGGGGGCGACGCGGTTGGCACCCATGCCGGCGTTGTTCCACAGAATATCGAGCTTCGTCTCCTGAGTTGCAAAATGGGCAGCGGCCGCTTTGACGGACTCAAGGTCGTTCAGGTCCAGTTGTAGAAACAGAAGGCGACCCGGATTTGCAGGAGTCGGCGACGAACTGGCGATCGACCGGATCGCTTCTTCAGCGCGTTCCTAGACCAATTCCGTCAATTGCTGACACCGGATGCATGAGATCAAGATACCTTTGACCTGGATGCCATGTAGATCGTAGCACCGGTGCCATACAAGATGCGACACAGCGCGAGACCGACGCCGCCATTTCCTCCGGTCACGATGAACACTCGACCGGCCTGCGAGGGAACATTCTGCTCTGTCAAGACAGGACTCGGCGGAAATATCTGCGTGTACGCATTGCACAAAGTTGCAAAGACCATGGTCGGACGATAACGGGCAAGAAGCTCACCTGCGAATGCCAGCCATCTCATGTCCGGCGCATCGAGGCTCGAATTTATATCGGTCGCGATACACTGCACTAGGAGGACAAGGATGCGGCATCGTCTTCCATCTGGAGGACTCGTCGCCAATCATTTGGCGGTATTCAGCGTTAGTGACAGGACCTGTTAGTGACCAATTTAGCGTCCAGCGCCAAAGTCCTATCGCCGAACAAGATCCTTGGTGATCTATAAGCACAGCAGCTCGATTAGTAATTCCAATAGCAATCATTTGTCATCAGAAATGCGTATTTGCGTATCCATGTTGTTGACTAGCGCTTGATGCCAACCTGGAAGGGTCTTCCAACCAGGACCCGATCTACGTCAACGCGATGGCTTTCAGTCCAAGTTAGCAATGTCTATGCACCGTAACACTGTCGCTCGACCCTTCGGCCTTTCCCGATACTCAAGAACGCTGTGAGTTTCAATGCCTTCCAGTTCGTTCTATGTGCTGACGACCAGATACAGAAGGAGTCAATATTTGGGCGCACAACAGACATGACCCTAGATCGCTGGCGAGGATGAGAGAATATATCACCTACGGAGTATATGTACCATTGTTCGTCTATTGTCAGCCACCGGTGGAAGATTGATAGCCAGGGTAGCCACACTCCACCGGCCCCCAACAACCGGTTCGTACCGCGGGCTCCACCGTCCTTGGGTCATCACGGTCCATGATCGATGCTAGAATATCCTTGGCAAGAAGGCTATTTGCAACCTCAATCTTGCTATGGAAACCAGAATCCAGTATTGGGGGTGGTTGGGTGAAAGTCATGGTGCTGGGAAGAATGGCGACGGGCAAGACAAACGAGTCCTGAGCGAACGGCGAAACTTCGAGGCAGGCTGCTACGAAGTACTCCGTCGATGGTAGCTCATTCGACTTCATCAACAGGAGACGGAAGAAAGATTATTGCCGATCTGTTAAAGTGCCAGTGGATGGCCAAATCGCCGTTGCCAGTTGGGCCACGGGATGATCGATCAAGTCGAGACCACCGCGGTCTATCTATCCGAGAACTCGGCCGCGCTGAGCTTGGGAAAAGATCTGCACAATTTGCGTAGGGAGCACGGCATATCTCAGGGCTCGATCGCGGTGCCAAAGATAGATTGCAGGGTGGACTGCACAGCCCGTGTCCATAAACAACAAACTTCGTCGAGGATGGACCGACAACCAGACCTTCTCAAACGAGCAATCCGGCCGATGCGACGGAGTGTCCTCCGTCCGACGGTGATTCTTGTCTCCGATTGATTGCGCGAATACGTCGTCCGAGCGTCATGCAAGGCAACCCTGATTGCTGAAAGCCCGTCGGCGATCGGCCAGCAAATGGATTCACCGAGACGACCCCGGAGAATGGACCCTGGACGTGTCATCGGTGGCTCAGCCCTGAACCAGACTTGGAGCAGCGAGGACAACCCTGAAACCCTGGGCAGTGCGGTGGCGGACCAGCCCAAGAGTCGCCAGCCCGTCACATCGTGGACTGGTCAGTCCGCGGGCAAGGATCGACAGGCTGCAGGAACAAGTGTAGCCACCCCGTTGAGCCCGGTCGCGCTAAGAATAGAACGGCCGCGACGTTTCCCCACGATGCGAGCCACTCTGATGTCATGTTGGCCACTCAGGGCTCTGCGTTGGCCTGCTGCGGCCGGCGCGTTCCACGGATTGAAGCTGCCTGGGATGACGGTTCGACCCGATCGAATGGCGAGGACCCTGAGCGAAGGCGAGAGAGAAAGCGACCGAAAAAGAAAAGCGAACAAGCACTGCGGGGCCAGGATGAAAGACGGCAAGAGTAAGACATGTCTCATTTCCCGACGATGATCGACACGGCAGAGATCCACGTCTTTCCCGTGCACCGCGAAGCCCTATAAAACCCTTCAGGGTCTCGCGCTTCTTCTGCTCCCCATCTCCAGCACTCTCGCTCTTGTGCCTCCTACGCCTGTCTTTACTCTAATTCTAATACTTCCACCTCCAATCTTTCACCATGAAGTTCTCTCTCGCTGCCATGACCGGCCTGGTTGGTGCCATCAGCGCCTCGCCCTACGCCACTCCCACTCCTTCGTCCTCGGCCATCCCCTCCGGCACTCCCACTCCTGGAGCTGTTCTCCCCGAGGCTTTCACTCTCGTTGCTGAGGGCGGCCAAACCCTCCTGACCGATGGCCGTAAGTGTTGCCTCCGCTGAGACTGAGAAGAGACCCAGTACTGACCCTCGATGACAGAGTACGCCTACTTCGGCGGTAACACCACCGACAAGGAGATCCTCATCCGTATGTTTCCCCAGCATTCAGGGCTCTCTATGCCATGATAAGCTAACATTCGCTCAGTCCACTCCGCCCCCAACGGTGCCGTCTCCTTCACCTCCAAGGACGGCGTCCCCACCGCGTTCCAGAGCCTCTACGTCATCGGCAACGACACCGCTCCTCTGGGCATGACCATCCCTCACTCCGGTGCCGTGCCCAACGGCGCCAGCACCCTGGACTTTGGCGTCAACGAGCAGGGCTACTTCACCCACGAGGGCAAGCCCTGGTTCGCCGTCGAGGGCTACGGCTCCAACCCCGAGAAGACCGTCTACTGGTACGGTCGTCACAGCTCCACCTACCGCGCCGCCAACCTGTGGGTGAAGGAGTGCAAGGGCTGCTAAATCAGTCCTCCCCGCGGCTGAGCCCCTTGTACATACCTGAAATCCGGAGTACATAACCTTCTTTTGAATTCTCGATACCGACGACCTGCATGATGCAACTGGTTGGGTTAGGTCGCCGGTCGCATCTGGCCTAGACGTTGAATGAAGTATCGGATTGTCCGTGTTTTGATATCCCGAGCTGTATATTAAGCATTTATCCATAGAAATCTCGTGGCGATAAGCCATCACACCCTGAGATCCAGAGCTCCGTAAGAACTCTAGGCGACTGGGAACAAATCTCCTTAAGCTTAATTAAGTGGCCGTGCAGCTGAAACATGGCATGTGTCAGATACTGCTATCCACTTCACCCTGGAAATGTCTTTCGCGGGTGACCCTGTCTAGACCTTGACCATCTTAGCCATCATCAGGAACATTTTTCCTCTCCCAGCCAATGGCCTCGTTTCTAGTCGTAATACTGCACACTGACCCCCTTGACAATCTCCACTTGATTCACCTCGTTATCCCCGTCGTCTGGAGTGGTGGTGCTCAGGTTCTTAATCACTCGCTGCTTCACCCACTCCCCGGCTTTGATGGGATTGCCATCGCCGCCAACCACCCCGTCACCAAGCAGTCCGTGATCGCGCAGAACTGGTGATTCTTTGATCGGCACCAGGTCCGAGTCGTCCTCGATGCGCACCATATACAGGACGCCCAGCCGGTCAATATGCGCTTGGTCCTTGGGAGGCGCAACGACGCGATGGATACTGGATTTCAGGTATCCGCCTGATATGGCTCATTAGCTCACTTATCTCCCGGCCAGGAAGACTCAAACTCGTGGACTCACCAGTTAGGAAGTGAAGGGCATCCGCGATATTCACCGTCAGGGCGTCCATTTGCGGTCGAACGTATTTCCACGTTCCGTCTTTGCTGAGCACTTGCAAAGCAGCCACGGGCTGGCGGAAAAGAAGCGTCAAGCTGCCCATGTCCGAATGTCTGGGTATGGTATAGAAATTAGTGAATTCAGGTGCCGATGGGAGGCATAGCAGGAATTCTTACCCTTTCAGCCAAACACCCCCCAGTTTCTGGTTCTCTTCCTCGCTGCGCGCATAATATTTCATGTAGCGGAGATGATCGCCGCTGGTCTTCTCGTACCGGTGCTTCTTGACGAACCACTCTTCATCCTCGAGACCCAGGGCAATAGCGAAAACCACCAGCAGCTTGGTCACAATCTGGTCGTGAATGTGCTTGGAAAACGTCTCGATCGTGGGCAAATGCTTCTGGACCACGTCCGGGTGCGTCCGATCGGCATGCTCGGGGATGAACTTGGGGATATTATAGATCTCGAAATTGTCCTTCACGCCAGGAATCAGATTCCGCGTGCCCGCCGGCTTCCAGCCGTTGTAGTCGCCTTGCTCGAGAGCTGCTCTGTATCTGGACTTCTCTTCGCTGGGCAGGGCGAGTGTGGCATTTGCAATCGCGAATTGGTGGTCAATGTCTTCTCGGCTCAACCCGTGGTTCTTGACGTAGAAGAATCCTGGCTCGCGAATGAGATGCCACCCACGTCAACGGATGTTGGAACATACCGACGTCTTCGATGGCCTTGATGAACTCGGCGGCGAGCTCGTGTTTCCCTCCAGGCTGATCGAATTTTGACAGGTCAAGCGTTATCAGGTCGGCCCAATCCAGAGACTGCGAAGTCTCGGGCACCTGGACATATGAAAGCGTCGGGGCTTCAACGGTGGTGGTCATCGTGAATTGGGATCGGATCCGGTCGCAACTACGCCCAGGGCTTCTATACCAGCAGGCAACCAGCGATACTTGTATGCAGTCGCATCATGCTGTCATACGCCGTGGATTCGGTCCCGATGCACGTCATTCTAGCCGCCATCACATCATGCCCGGCTAATTGCATGCCCGAATCTCACAGCGAAGTCGGCGTAGGGCTTCGGTGATGCAGCCGGCTCGAAGTCGCCAATGGGCTAGCTAGCATGGCGACTGTTATCTCCGTACCAGGGCCGTCTGATCGGGTTCGAGTGTTCCATGACTCAGGGCAACTCCACCCGAGTGGAGGCCAAGAAACGCCTGCGCTGGTGCCATTTGTAGGGCTGGTGATACCATCCACCTTGCCGGATGGGGAAAGCAGCTCGGGGTCTGAATCCTGCGCAGAATCCCGGTTGATTCATTCCTTCTCTATCCTTCTGGAACCGATTATCTTCAATTATCGTCGACTGCAAGAATCTCAACAGCTTATTGAGAGCAATTGAGAATCATCATGACCACCCGGTTGGATTACATCGAAACAATCGCCGGCCGCCAAGATGCAGAGAAAACGACCAGCGTCGACATCATGGGCGAGGAGGCCATGGAAATTGATCCCCAGGTTGCACGGCGTGTCTTGAGAAAGATCGACCTCTTTTTGATGCCTGCCATGGTCATTGGTAAGTCCCGTGTCATTCCTTTTGCGTTCAGGCTGATGTATTGTGCAATAGGATACGGCTTGGTTTACTACGACAAGGTAGGTACCTAAAACTCTAGGATGGGCGAGCGTGTCATTAATTCAACGTGATGCCATAGGCAATACTAGGGAATGCAGCGCTGTTCGGCATGACCGAGGATTTGCAGTTGAAGGTCGTCGACTCGTCGGTGAATCCTCCTCAGATCGACACATCCAGGCTCAGTTGGGCAACGTCCATCTTCTACTTTGGCCAGCTGGCGGGCTCCTATCCGATGACATACGCCGTGCAGTACTTTAACACGCGCTACGTTCTGGGTCCCGTCGTGATGGTCTGGGCCGTTATTTGCGCTTCCACAGCAGGTGTCACAACGTGGCAGGGCCTGTTAGTGCAACGGTTCTTTCTGGGTATGTCCTACTCCAGCTACTGAGAGCATATCAGTCAGTTCATGCCGCGGCTGATCCCGAGATACAGGCTTCACCGAGGCGGTTATCCCCACGGGCTTCATGATCACCGTCAGTGGATTCTACACGCAGTCGGAACAGGCACTCCGGCAGAGCTGGTGGTTCTCGGGAACCGGATGGTTCACCATCATTGGCGGGGCACTGAACTATGGCTTCGCGCAGATTGACAGCGGGTCTTTGAAGGCATGGCAGTATATTTACGTTCTTGCTGGGGGACTGACGTTCTTGTTTGGACTCTGGTGCTTCTTCATCCCCAACTCGCCTTTGAATGCGTGGTTTCTGAGTCCCGAGGAGCGAATCGTGGCGGTGGAGCGATTGCGCGCTGGACAGACCGGGGTGAAGAATCACAAGTTGAAGGTCTCACAAATCAAGGAGGCCGTTATTGACATCAAGGTCTGGCTAGTCGCAATCACAATGGCTGCTGCGTATGTGCTATTACCTTCCGCGCCACTGGCGAGCATGTATGTACTAACCTCGAGCCAGATATACCGTCAACGGGGCTGTCTCGGGATTTGGCCCTTTGATTGTCTCGACATTTGGTTACTCCTCGCTGGAGAGCATTCTTTTCCAGTTCCCTCTTGGAGGTCTGTCGGCGGTTGGAATCATCTTGACAGGCTGGCTCTGTTCACGCTTTCCAAGCACTCGGGTAATCAGCTTGCTGGTCTGCTGCCTACCCGTCATCGCAGGTTTCGCCATGATTTGGAAATCTACGTGGGGCTACCAGCCGGTAGTTCCGGTCGTTGGATACTCCCTTATTGGATTCTTCGGGCCGGTTGTCAGTTTGACCATCTCCCTTGGCGCAAGCAACATCGCAGGCGAAACCAAGAAGAGCTTCATGGCCTCGGCCGTCTTCGTAGCCTACTGCGTGGGCAATATCATCGGACCACAGTTGATCCGCAGTGAAACGATGAGCGAACATTATCCCGAGCTATGGACAGGATTGATTATTTGGTACGATCGTTTATCCACCTGCAGTCCCCGTATTGTATGCTGACGCTCACAGTTACTGCGTCACGATCCTGACAGCATCGGTGCTGTACGTACTCCTATCGCGCGAGAACAGGCGGAGGAATACACTGGGACTGGATGAGATCGAGCGAGATCGGCTTGCATTCAAGGATCTTACGGACAAGGAGAACCTACACTTTCGATACGTTTACTGAACGTTATTCAGACTGTATGGGGAAGATACAACAAGGAGAATAGTAGTATGGAGGCTCTTAAAAACCAGACTGCGCCTGCCAGTGTTACCCAAGTTTAAAATCCAATTCAATATACCTAAGAATTTCTAACTCAGTCGTTCACTGCATAAACGCTTGTCAAAGTCATCCATCTGTTTACAGCATATGTTAGGTCCAAAATTGCCCCACGCATTTTTACCTTTGCCTTACTTGCATTGATTTGAGAATCAACGCATACAGCTCATTTTCAGCTCACATTGAATCCTTCGGAATCTGACATAAATCACGCGGTGTCTGGGTAATCCCCAAAACGGAGTAGGGCCTTGAGCGTCTTGCGTCTTTGGTGGATGCTATGATGCCATCTTAGCTCGCGAATACGCCGTATAAAATCTGGAACTGGCGCACCACATGGTCTCTGAATCCACTAAATCCTTCTCAGTGTTTAGCGCATTCTTCTTCCGCACTAAATGTTGCCGCTGAGCGATATCTATCATGCAATTTCCGACTTTCTTCTCAACGGTGATCCACAGGAGCCTTTATGGACATGACTCGAGTCATTAGAAGAGTCCAGTCACCGTACCGAAGGAGTCCGAATAACGAACCAGAGTCGAACCAGTTCTTATCATCAAATCCCGGACACTTACTTTCGGGTACTCAAGCCCAGCCTCTGTGCTCCATACTGCGCCCACCTCCGGTCTCGGACTTTCGCCATGAGCATATTATGAGCGCTGTATATCGAACGCATTTCTAGGATCTTCCAGTGTCATGCCAGAATGACTAAACCCATCCGTCGGGTGGCCGTGATAGGCGCCGGACCCGCAGGGGCCATCGCGACAGATGCTTTGGTGAAGGAGCAAGCATTCGACACCATTCGAGTGTTCGAACGACAGGATATACCGGGAGGGACATGGTATGACTTCCTTTTCCTCAAAATGTTACTTTGGCAGCTTCAGTAACGGTCTTAGGGTATGGACTCCGGCAACCAGCCGGCGCATTCCGTCGTTGCGCGACCTGCTCAAACAGCGCCTTGATCGGGGCGTGCCTCTTCCCGGCAGTTTTCCTTGCCAAACGGAGGTCGCCGAGGCGATTAATTCATCTCAACTCCGATTCGCAGATACTGGAGCGCACGAGCACCTGCACAGCAACCTCCCGCCAGGCATCATGTGCTTCACGCAAGAACCGATCCCGGCCAGGCTGTCTGAGCGAACGGTGACTCGCTACGGCCAGGACTCGCCGTTCCGGCATCGTGAAGTGATACGCGAGTGGGTTGGGGACATTTTCACTCGGGGCAATCACCATGATCTGGTCGAGTTTGGGACGACGGTCGAACAAGCAGAGCATACGGGCGATGAATGGGTTCTTACCCTGCGCAAGACGCTCAAATCGACCAACAACCTGTGGTGGCAAGAGCGATTCGACGCAGTAGTCGTAGCTACAGGCCATTACTACCTGCCTTACATCCCCGATATTCCAGGTCTTGCTGACTTCGACGAGAGCTTCCCTGGAATAGTCCAGCATAGTAAGCATTATCGAAATGCCGAAGATTACGGCGGGAAGGTCAGTCAACCATATCGCGATCTTCTAATGCATGTGAGATGCTAACACAAGGTCTATATAGCGAGTCATTGTAGTTGGAGGTTCCGTATCGGCCTTTGACGCGATCCATGACATCCGACAGGTGGCCTCCAAGCCGGTGATCTCCTCGCTGCGTCAACCTTCTCCGCTGTTTGGGACTGCTCCATTCACGCATCCCGACATCGACAACCGGCCTCAGATCGCAAGATTCGACGCCGAGACGGGCACAGTGCATTTTGCGGATGGGTCATCGACCGACGCGGTGGATGTGGTTCTGTTTGCGACTGGCTACGATTTTAGTTTCCCCTTCTTGCCCGAGTTGCAGGGGCCGCACAAGCGAGTTCCGGGGTTGTATTATCATGTATTCAGCATTGATCGGCCAAATCTCGCCTTCATCGGCATGGTAGGATTCCCCCGACGAGATACAAAGCCGTTCACTGACGGCTGTAGGTGACTGGCGGCTTTGGAATCCGGGTCTTTGAATGGCAGGCCGTCGCCACAGCGCGCATGTTTGCCGGTCGCGCAACCCTGCCCTCGCACGAAGAGATGAAGATGTGGGAGCAGGATCGACTGGCGACTCGCGGCGACGGCGCGCCTTTCTGGACTTTGATGCCAGATTTCGAAACCTATTTCGAGCAGTTAAGATTGCTGGCAGGTGACCCAGCTCCAGGCTCAACGGGTCGAACGTTGCCCAAGTATGATCCGGCGTGGGCGGAGGCATTTTGGCAGTTGATCGAGAGGCGGATCCAGTGGTGGACGGGCGAGAGCCAGGCGGCCAGTAGATAGATCTTAGATCCACCGGACAGGGGCCAATGCTAGCATCCGGAGTAGATCGCGTAGATCCCAACCAGGCGCCGATATCGTCCGTGCCGGGGCGGAGTTGTTGCGTGCTTCTTGCTGGACGCCCATAAATATCTCCTGTTCCCCCTCCTTGTCTTGGTTTGTTTCTTGCCTCCAAGCAGAGACTCCGCCAGGATGCCTCCCACTGTCGAATACTATTTCTCCTTCATTTCCCTTTGGTCCTATGTGGGCAGCCGTCGCTTCCAGCGTCTAGTCCACGACCACGACGCTCGAGTAATCTTCAAACCCATGAATCTGATGCACATTTTCTCCATCTCGGGCGGCCTCCCCGTGAAACAACGTTCGACCCAACGTCAAGCATACCGACTGCTGGAAATGGAGCGTTGGCGACGCATCCGCGATATCCCCATCGTCACTCATCCGAAATTCTACCCGGCCGACCCTTCTCTCGCGCATCGGGTTCTCTTGGCAGCCATCGACGAGCTGGGACACGATCATCCCTCCGTCCACGAGTACGCTCACCGAGGGTTAGAAGCCGTCTGGGCGCGGGAGCTGAACATCGCCGACGAAGGCACCATTGCTCTTCTTGCCAAAGAGGCCGGATTAGATGGAGAACGATTGCTCGACCGCGCCAAAGGGGAAACGAATTGGGCAAAACAAGAGATCGCGCTGACAACGGAGGCGGAGGACCGACAGATCTTCGGGGCGCCCCTTTACTTTCATCAAGGAGAGCCTTTCTGGGGCCAGGATCGACTCGAAATGCTGGAGGAGGTAATTCGCAGCGGCAGGGAGCCGATTGTGATTTCGAACGGGAAATGAATGATGTGATCTTGGTACTTTAGGTTTGGGATTGAAGGCAATCATCGTGATTCTTTCGAGATCGAGCCTATGGCATATATATATCTGGCTGCACAGTTGGCTTTATTTAGTCAAGGTCACACAGAATGATTTTCATAGATAGGATACGGGACAAACTGAATTTTCATTGCCAGTCAAGTGTGCCTACCGTTGACTCAGTCTGGGAGGGCTTCATGGGGACAATTGCAGACAATCGATGGACGTAGAAAAGAAAACGCCCAGCCGGCAAGGCGACAAGGCGACAAGGCAACCAGGCAACCAGGCAGCCAGAGTGACTTCCCAAACTGGTTAGTGTGTAAGAGGTCCTACACTAGCCTAATTAGGCAGGTGCGAAGGTCGGCCTGATTTCGCGGATCCGCAAAGTCCATGCATGCGTCTTGCGCAGTCTACCAAATCCAAGGCCCTGGACGAACGATTCATTCGTATGATTATGATTATTGATTAAAGAATACTAATTAAGATACGTTCATCATCCCAAGATCCCCTTCAGCCGCACCCCCGCGTTGGTCGTCTCCAGCCACACATTCATCTTCTTGGACGTGTCCTCCATGCCGCTTAGACTGGGACTGGATCGGATGGACTGCGGAGCATCCACGCTGAGGTCGGAGAAGAGCAGCGCCAGCGGGGACGATTTCCAGATGTACTGGTTCTTGGTCTTGACGATCGTCACGATCAGGAAAATGAAGCCCAGGACCACGAGGGCGATCGGCAGCGCCATCCACGGCCACCGCACCTGCACGAAGGACTCCATCGTCCACGTCTTGCCCGTCACGGAGGCGTCGCATACCTTGGACCGGGCGTGGGTGGTGAGGGCCGAGGAGAGCGAGTGGAAGACCGAGCTGACGTCCGTGTAGTTGCCCTGGACGCCGTAGACCGCCTTGAGTGTGTCCGACGACCAATCCGGCCGGTTGCTGGTGAACAGCGACCCGTTCCCGTGCAGGAGCGGCCGCAGGGAGTTGGACAGCGACAGTCCGCTGAGCCAGTTGACGTGGTAGGTGCAGTCGTCGGTCAACTTGTGCCGGGTGCCGTTCTTGTAGCAGGTCTCCGGGGTCAAAAAGAGATCCTCCGTGATCATCGACGACGAGGCGTTGGACGAGGTCTGCGTAGACAAGCGGGTCTCCTTAAAAGATCCTTGGGTCACCGAAGCGTTGAACGTATCGACGCAAAAGTACATGCCACATTCGGTGGCGCTGATGTCCGGGGGAACCCCGTACCCGGCCGCTGAGATGGCCGTAAAGTTCAGAATGGACGGAACCCCGCCGGTGTCCACGCGCAGCAGGTCGAGGTCCACCGTGGCGTTCATCAGGTACATCATGTTCATGGCGGTTTGGAAGTGCAGCCCGTTGGGAAGCTTGTAGTCGTAATTGGTGAGGGTGCCGAAGGACTCCGAGGAGTTCGAGAGCTTGTCCGTGACGTTGGCACACCGCGTACAGATGCCCAGCGACTGATAGGGCTCGAAGGTGCAATTCCCCGTGGGACAGGACATCGTGACCGCGTTACTGTGGGGACTGGCGCTTTGAAAGAGTCCCGTGTAGATGGCTCCGGCCGTGGAAAGCGGCACGACGTTCATGCCGGGGCCGGCCCCTTCACCGTAGTCAGTGTAGGTGCTGGAGTTGCAGATCTGAATGGAGGATAGGTCGGGAGCGGGAACGGGGCGGAGATTGATGGCGATGACTTGCTGCACAAACGGAGCAATGGCCGCTGCCACCACCAGAATGAGACACCCAATGGTCACCAGATGGCTAGAAACTGAATTTTAGCGCATGGCTCGCCGGGGGTGTTCCGAAGTGTGTACCAACCGAGGGAGAAAGCGGAAGAGCACCATGAAGGCGCCGATAGCTCCTCGACTGGCGGCATCCAGCGCGGACAAGTCGCTCAACTTGTTGCCCCGGTTGAACCACGACCATTTGAGCTGCGATAAGGCCTCGGTGATGGGGAACGCCATGGCCGCCTTCATGACGGTGCTCAGGAGAGACACTAGCGCGTTGAGGGTGATGCCATACGGCCAGTCCGGCATGGGCTCGCCGTCGTAGACGTACAGCACGACGATGATGGCGACGAGGGCTGCCACGGCGATCACGCTGCTGACCACCTCTAACGCCCAGCTGGAGCCACAGAACCCGGTGGTTTGGCTTTGCAGAAGCACTTGTTCGGAGGCCGTCAACGGCTCCGTGGCCAGCGTTGGCTCCGGCGGGTCATGCATCCGCCGATAGGAGAGCCGGTACTCTTCTTTGAGGTTGTCCATGTTGGTCGGGCGACCTCAGACACAGAGCACTCGCTCGCTGTACTCACTCACACGACCCTTTGGAGACAGACTGCGGAGGGCCGGCGGGTATATAAGACATTCCCAGCATTCTGGGTGGACTGCACAACGGGAATGGAAAATTCCTAAACCTAATGCAGAGAAGCAGTGGAGCTCCGGATGAAACTAGAGCGAAATTGACCGGAAATAGTGTCAACAGAGGAACGCTGAATGGCCCTATTCCTCCCCACAAAGCTTCACTCGTGAAAGATTCTCATCCGAGTCAGGGGTAGATCAGCGTGATCTTCAAGAAAACCCTATGTGGCAACTGAAATCTGCCCAGGTCAGGGACCCCTCAGAATTGACGGTCAGCAGTCAGAGTGCCGAATATTCAGGCGATGTGGCTGGTGCTTGTCTAATATTTCCATGAGTGTGTTTGCTTGCAATCTTACGCAGGAAGTCGCGGGGAATTTGCCAGGCGAGTTTACGGTCCACAGCTATGTGGCTGCCGTTCGGTCGCCCAAAAAAAAAAAAAAAAAAAAAAAAAAAAAAAAGAAAAAAAAAAAAAAAAAAAAAAACATCAAAAAACCGAGCCAACCATGACGTCAAATCTGTGGCGCAGAGCGACGTCCCAAGGAAAATCGGCCAGGAACATGTCCGAAGTACCGAATAACGAGGGTGACGACGGCCGGTTGTTTACGCCGATCGCTAAAGTTGCCCGTGGTCATGCTCAGTGAGCAGGGGAGTGTCGAAACACCCATAACCCTTCACGACGCTCATCTCGTCAACGTCATCATATTTCGTTTTAAACGACCATCCCGCGACTGTATTCTGGAGGATATCGCAGGAGCCACTATCCGGGGCTTTCTGCCACAGACAGGTCCCAAAGACACCAAGTTCAGAAATCACGTCGCCCATGTCGAGGCCCGACGGCGACATCAGGGCATTTTGCGCGCCGGGTGATGCAATCCGTTCCATCAAAATGTACGCACACCACGTAGAGCGAGGGATTGAAGACAGGAACGCAGGGATAGCATCGCCATACACATTGTGGCCTCCGCCTTCCAGGGATGGCTTCAGAATATAATCGCGGGCGACTTGGGGGTCGGTAGCGAGGCTCCGACCGTGTAAACCGGCTTCTGTTTCATCCAACGGATAGACCCGGACGAACGTCGACCGTATCATAGCCGCCTTTTCTTGGGGGAGAAAGTGCTCTAGCGCCTCCGGGGTGGTAAGTGCTTGCTGGACTTTCTTGAAGGTGCAAATATGTCCCAGAAGCGAGGGGCATTTGACAGCCATGGACAACTCCAGGCGCAAGCGCGCTTGTCGGCCGGTTTCATCATACTCATGTACCTCATATCCAGCCCGCATGTAGACCACCGAAATCTCGAGGGGTTGTTCTCGGTCGACAGGATAGAAAAGGAGTTCGCGCGATTCGGTCAGGGAGGTACGGTCGAGAAGGTCGTCGCCATAGTCCACTCGATAGACCGGGATGGAGGGATCTCGGTTCCCCAGTGCATATTCAATCGGTCGCTCGTCGGCAATGTTGAAGTTGTCAGGTTGCACGACAAACAGAACTGCAGTCTGGGTCGCCCTGCGGGTTCTTTTCGGTCCATAAGCAGCATGGGCGGCCGACAGACACGCCGACAGAGACTCAATATTGGTGTTCCGGGGAAGGGCGGACAGCGTGATCGGGTTCGGGCTTTCGTTCTCAACGTTGTAGGCGCCTGTCCGGGCTAGATATCGATGCATGTCCGCGACCTTGTTTGCATGGGCGGCCCCGGCACAAGAGAAGGTATTGAACTCAACTTGTTTGAGACATAAATCAGCATTCCCACCACATCCAGGGCGAAGCTCAACATTCGGGCCCTGCAGCATGTAATCGGAGCGAAAGATTCCTGCCGAGAGCGAGGTCCCCCGAGGCCCAGCCTTCTTCACCTGTTCATGGATACCCCATAAAGTGGCGGCGAAGGCATCGACGGGGAGCAGGTCACGAATGGCCTGGAATATCCACGCCTCATCTTCAGCCATGCGACAGTAGAGTTCATTGTAGATGGATTGTAGATGCAAGGCATGGTCGAACAGACGACGGGGAAAGAGGGTGGGGAAGACGGCGACACCAAGGGGGTAAGTCAGGACGCTGTGGTCACTTTGCGAATCGATGCGCTTGAGCAGAGAGCCATGGTTGATCTGCCAATCCAGAATCTGCGAGACCAGCGACAGACCGCGTTCCTCCGACACGCGCGGAGGATACTCGAGGTCGGCCATGGCTGAAGGCACCGCAAGTCCCGGCAGTCCCGGCGGCCACGGGATCCGGCACGTGCGACGGACAGCTGACTCATCCCGGATGAGTCAGCACATTCTCCCGGGTGGTGACGTCATTGTGCAGCGAGGCGCAACGCCGCTGGGCTCTTGGCAGCGCGCTGATTGGCGGGGAGCCGGGGCAACCGGAATCCCGAGAAAAGAATACCAGAATTGCGATGGAAATGCCGTCGCACCGCTTTGCCCTTCGTCTGCGCCCTCCCTCCCTCCCATCGGTGTGTGCCCATTGGGGTCCTCTTACCCTGCCATGGACTCTGTAGGCGCGCAGAGCAGCACTTCCGGGGCCAGGGCTGTCCCTGAAGGTCAATTGCCCGGTCCTGTTTCCGCTCCGGCCCAGCGGAAGCGAGCCATCCCTCGCAGTGCGACTGCCGGGACGATTGGCCCCCGGCGCACGCCTCGGGCCTGCGTGTCTTGTCGAGAGAAGAAGAGCAAATGCGATGGCGTCAGGCCAAAATGCAAGCTCTGCGCGCAGACCAGTACCGTCTGCTCCTACGTTCGGTCCAAACGGGAGACCCAGCAGTGGCAGCTGCAGTCGTTGCGCCGGAGGATTGACACCTACGAGGATTTACTTCGGGAGATCCTCTCCCACAGCAATGCCGAAGATCGCCGATCCATCGAGGATGTCGTTGAGGTCTGATTCTGGTTCCTCTCTATGATTTACAGTCGTATCCAACACCACGGTCCATGCTCACTCCTGACAGCGACGATTTCCTGAGGCTCCCGATGCGTTCGCCACGCTACTCACCACGGGCTCCCTTCCGGATCAGCACGTGTCGATGCCGTACCCCGGACTCTCGCTGCGTCGAATGCAAATGGCATTGGCCTCCCAGAGGGATGCCACGAAGATCCAGCTGCTTCGCAAAGACCCCACGGTACGCGAGAGCCAGATTCAAGCCTGGACCTCGCTGGTCGACAACGAGGTGGCGAGCCATCTCTTTTCTCTGTACTTCACCTGGGAGAATCCGACCTGGCACCTGATCGATCTGGACGTATTCGTCCATGACCTCGAGCGCGGTCGCACGCGCTTCTGCTCTTCTCTGTTGGTCCATTTACTTCTCTTTTTCGGCTGTGTACTACGGGATTCCCCATCCGGCGAAGAGATCCAGATGGCTAACTCGTCTCTAGAGCTTCTCCTACAACCTGACTCGGATCACGAATCGCCGCGACGAAAAGAGCCTCGGAGAAAAGCTGTACGCGGAGATCCAGCGTCTCTGGCTTCTGGAGCGTGATATCGTCGCCCTTCCGACCGCGCAGTCCGGCATCATGATTGGCCTTCTCTGCTGCACGTTCGGCATCGATCGACTGGGGACGAGATATATCATGCACGGGGCCGAGCTCGCTCGTCGGCTCGACCTTCACGAGGAGTCCTCGACGTATTTCCAAGTCCAGCCGGGCGATGATTCCATCGCAATCGAGAAGGCCCATAAAATGCTCGCATGGGCAATCTTCGATGTTCAGGCGTGAGTATTCCCCAGCACAACCGGGCCTCGTCCATCCGCTAATCCGTCTCCCAGCTTGGCTTCCCAGGTCTACAGAAAGACTCCCGCTTGGCCGCAGCCGCCATTGGTGAGATTGTTGCAAGTAGAGGCCATGGTGCTCGACGAGGGGAGAGAATGGTGCCCCTATCCTTTCCGCACTCCGACCCATATCCCCTTCTTCTACACGGCGGCCTGGATCCGCAACGAGCTGGTGGCCGTGGTGAACGAGATCGCTTCGTTTGCCCTCACCTTTCCCGACGCGGCTCGGCGCGACGACGTCTGGGATTACGGCTACGTTCTCTATTATAGGCTCGTCCACTGGAGGGCTCACTTGCCATGGACTGTCATGCCCCGGCACAATACCACCCCTCATGTCCTTTGCCTGCAGTACGTACTTCGCTCCCTTGGTCCTCGGGGCGCCTCATTAACCCCGGATCAGCTTCTACTATCAAGCGACTCTCGTATCCTTGTGTGGGATTTACCTCACCAACTTTGATGCCGTCCCCCAGGATGCTCGATGGGACCCACTGGCCGTGAAGGATCAAGCTATGAATACCATCGGGTCGCTCGTTCTCCTCTACCGACACAGCCACGGGTGGAAATCGGTGCCCATCGTCATGCTGCATTATTTTTGCCTGGCAGGAGTCGACGCCATCTCGAAGCTTCATCCCCGAGAACCTAAATGGGCTCTTGTTCTAGAGAGCTGCGTCGTAGGGCTGTGGCACCTGAGTCTAGGTTGGGGCCGACTCTGCACGGCATTCCTTCGCACGATCGAGCTCGTCATGAAAGCCACCAAGCCCGACCCGTCCCTCGTTCCGCCCAAAGTGTCCGCCATCTTTCAACAGTTGAGCAGCAGTCGGTGGAGTGCCAAGGATGTCTCCTCGCTGGCCGCCGACTACATGGTGCACCACATCCCCAATGGCGTGGGAACGTCGGCCAGTGCCAATGCCGGTCCTCGCGCCCAAACCCTGGAAAGCCTCATCTTGTCGCTGGAAGGCCTGTCTATGCAGTGATTGCTGATATCTTGTATCTGATTGATATAAACATTGCTAGTCTACCGTGGGTTTATTAACATCTGCAGTGTCTGTTTTATGTACCATTCCCATCCAAAATCTCGGGTAAATAAACATGGCCCAGTCGCCACCAGCTTATGGCACTTGTCATTAGACCTGGCCCTCGCAATTAGCTCTGCGGTCGTCCGCCTGAAAATGACCGGGTTTCCACTCACCAGCTGCAAGTATAGGTATCCGAGCTGGTCACGCATCCTGACCCGCCTGGCTCCGAAGTATGGATGGCGCGACGTTGATCACCTCACTCGTGATCCGGCGTGAACAACTCGGAGGTTGACCAGGTAGCACTCCCCTGCTCTGAGTTCAGATGGCCGATCGAGCAGGGATTCGAGGCAGGGCAGGCCAGGCCCGACGACACATCAGTAAAGGGCCACCACTGCACCTGCGTCTGGGTCACGTAAATGTTGCTCCAGCAGTAAGCACGACCCCGCGTAATAGCCATTGCCGTCGTTCTCTGCTCCGGCCTATCGAGAGATTTGGCCAGTGGCATCCTCGCTTGGTGATGTAGTTATTCATGTTAATAGAAGTAATATTAGTGATTGGGACTGTCTGGATCAATAGAGGCTGATAATTAGAATCAAGCAAAGGAAAAGATGCTTTATGATAGAATGGGTTAGAGAAATTAAAGCTATACTGTAGCCAGATTCACCCTCTGTATGATCAATGATATATATAGCCAGGGATTATTGTTATTGAGGCTGCGTGTACCCCCAAGACCTGCGTGGATCCCGCACTCCATATATAAAACGAGCAAGAAGCGCAAGAATCAGATAGCCATATTACAGAGTCTTTTACAGGTCTTACCACAATCTGCAGGCGTTTGCAAGGCGCTTCTCCATCGAGCCTGGCAAACGAGGCATCAACACCTGATGCCTGACCGGGAAGGACGATGTGGGCCTGATTCTCCAGGCCCCCATCAAAGGGGGACCACCGGCCAATCACGTGCCCGAAAACAAATGACGCCGTAAGGCTGGCAAATCCCCAGGAACGTTCGGTCTTCCCCAATAAACCAAAGTCGAGGGATTGCTTCTCAGCCGGTAAATGACCGGGGAACAGTTTTCTACACAATGCTATGGTCTCGATTTACACCACTGACAGAACGCGAGCACGAATGACGCATGAAAACAAAAGCAACCCCCACGAAGATTGGATGGCAGCCAAAACCTGCGCCAAACATCCGACAGAAAGAATGAGGATTCCATAGGCTGTCGAGGCTGGTGATTGACCTAAACCATCGACCGATACCCACATGCCGAAGCTGGAAAGTCCAGCAACTCAAGGACGCGTCGATCGTCCGAAGCTTCCAGATACATGCAGAGGGCCTGGCACTCGGACCGAACCCGCGCGTCAATCCACCAGTCATGCACGGAGCACATCACGCCCAGCCAGTAGGCCAGGAGAAGAAGCGCCCGCGGCTCCTTTGCCCGCACCAGGCGCAGGTACTCCGGCGGCAGTCGGCCCATAAAGCTCGAAACCCGACTCGCCTCGAGCTTGCTGACGGGGACGCGCAACAAGGGGCTTAGCATGCGCAGCGGCCAGTGATACGGATTCGTTTCTTCGGTCGTCGTGTCCGAGATGTCACAGAGGTCGGCCAAGCCCGCGTCGAGATCCTCGCGCCCCATGCGATGGTCGTCGTACAGCTCGTAGGCGCTGCTGACGAGGAAAGCATCGCGCCAGATGCTCTCGTCCATCCACGGCTTGATGCAATCAATCAGACAGGCCAGTCCGCCCTGGATGAGCAGCCAGTTCAAGGCGCCCGGGTCGTCCGAAAAGATCCACGAGTCGCGGGGGCGCACGTTGGGCGCGGAGAAGGAGAACATGGCGATAAGCATGCAGGTCGTCAGAAGGACGTCCATATTAGCGCGGGTAATTGGATCCTGCAGCTTTCCGCGGTACATGTGAGCGGCCACCTGGCGAAAACGCGTCGCCACGACGTTTTGTTGCGAGTCGCCGGGCATGAGATTGGCTTGGTGGGTGCTGGCGACCGCGAGCATGGCATGCAACAAGCAAGGTTCCTGGTGCCGTCCTCAGTTACTTGCGTCGGTGAGGCAGCCAGGTCGTGTTCTCTACTTACCGTCAACGCCAGCGGAATGGTTCGGTCCCGCAAGACTTGTTTGATCGGCGCGTAGGCCGTCTGGCGCGCCCCGACCATCTGTACAAAATGGGCTAGGGTCGCCAGGCCCAGCGACCGAGTCGACCGAGTAAAGGTCGACGGAGGCCGATCGCTCCGCAGGACGGCGTTGACGTTGGCGGACATCGCGTCGAACGCCAGGGCGTCATTCCGCCGCGGTGACGTCTGAGGCGTCGTGACAAGGCGGCGGTCGACGGACCCCGGGATAAAGTCGCAGGTGATGCCGTAGGTCTGGCAGCGGCGACACTGCGGTCTTGTCTCGTCGCATTTGACGCGACGTCCTTTACACGTCCGACAGCCGGTGCGAGATTTCCGATGCGATCGTCGATGGCGGGAGGCTGACTGGCCGGAGCCAGACTGGGAGTCTAGTTCCTCCGCGGCCAACAGGCCCCCGGGCGGCGGTTGGGCAGGAAACGTCAGTAAATATCCATCTGCGGGCTGCATCTGGCGGGAAGAGCTCCTAAGTATCATCATTGCGACGGGTTAATGACGTGGACGTCCAGGAGGAATGCCAGAAGCGGAAATGGAAGGAACACGAGAGCGAGGGGGGAGGCTCGTATTGCACTGATATATTGCCTGGTTGACGATCGCCGACTAAACTCAATCGCGTGATTTCGCCCAGGCTCGTATTCGCCTTGGCACAGCCATGTGCAAGGCTTGCATGTTCAGCCTGCGCCCGAGGGTCTATAAAGAGCTCAGGACGGGCCGGGGCGAAGCCATGGACAGAAATCGTCGACACGTCACCCGATTCTTCTCATCAAGATGGAATATAAGCACGATCCTGGCAGCGCACTCAGCGTTGCTTCCTCGACCGACACGCTGTCGGGGCCCATGCCGGTGGCCGGCAAACGCCTCCACATCCAGGCCAAAGGCATCGGCCTGATCCGGGTGCCGCTGCCCATGTCGCCGAGGGAGGTTCCCATCTACGGCGAGGACGGCTCGATGGCCTACGTGGCCGCCAAAGACCGAACCTGGTCGCACCGATGGGTTCTTTCCTCGTCGACGCGGGGGCCAGCTGCCTGATGATGCTGCGACGCGAACGCGATCGACGGCGATTTGTGCAGGCGATGGTGATCGGGGCGGGGGGCAGTTGATTTGACGGAGGGAATCATGAGATTCGGATGTTTTTGCGGAAGAGGTTCGTTGTTTGGGTGGCGGCCATTGGATTAGGTGGACCTTTGATCAAGCAGATGTCAATAGACGCATGGGAGATGGAGACATGGACGAGACATACCTGAAGCACTTCCATGGGTGATGCTGGAGTGGAGGGGCGAAAAGAATGCAGCGCGCCTTGCCGCATCGGGATGCGTGCGATTTTCCGCATCGGGAAGGTGCGCTCAGGCCCCGCGTTCGCTGGAGACGCTGAAAACCAAAGAGTGAGACATTCGGGGTTCTTCTGGCCTTTTTTCCGTAACCCGTTTGGGGCAAACAATGCCTGCGAACCGTAGGATTGTCCGGGCCGAGAATGAAAGATATATCGCTGTGGGTAAGCCATGATACGCTGACTACCAGTCGCAAGAGCAGGGACTCGGACAGAGTAGCTCGACAGCTCTTGGCAGTGCAACCCCCGACGATGCAACGCGATCCCCAGATTTCCCCTCCCCCGGCGATCCACGTGTTGAGCCGTGATTCCCACCGGGTCGGGAATACGAAGGGCAGCGCTGTCTTCGAGGCGAGTCCATGGTACCAGACGACCAAATGACCCGACGACCGGAATGGAGCCATGCGGAGGTTGCACCCGCGGGGATTCCCTGATTCCCTGGACTCCGGAAATCCGGGGAAGCCTGCGCATTACGTAAGAGCCTGACAGCCTGACAGCCTGACAGCCTGGGAGCCTGGGAGCCTGCACATCGACTGATGCATGCCGGCGATTGACGATGCGTGGATCGTCGGGGAGGATGTATCGTCCGACCTATTCTTAGGGCGACTCCACGCTGAGCGGCGCGTGGTTGACAGGACCCACCGGTCGGCATGATCCTCGAGTTGCGGAGTACAACGTCGAACGACAGAATGGGGGATGGAGGAATGGACCAACGTTCCTAGAGAAACCGTAGCAATGCCTGAGAATGCTCAGTCGGCCATGGCCGGGCCTTGAGGATCGAAGATCGCAGGATGGTCAAAGGACGGCATCTAGTGCGGCGAGATAGCAGCCTCGACAGCTCGACAGCTCGATAGGAGACGATAGGAGGCGATAGGAGTCGCGTGCAACGAGACCCAACGGACCGAATCCCTGTCACCGTCGCCGTCGCGTTTCATCGCACCGTCACGCCGCCCGAGCCCGAATGGCATGGTGATATCTGCGCCGGCCAATCCGCGGGCGCCAAAGAGACCGGGGGGCTGATAAGACGGTCTCGGCTGGGGAAACCTTCATTTAGTCACGACCAGGAAGGTTTGGTCGCCAGAACCTCGTCTGGCCGGAGAATCCCCGCCCGTCATTAAAAGCCCCGGGACTCCTTTCCTGGCCTCTCTCGCCTCCACCTCCATCTCTCACTTCCATCTCTCTCCTCCCTCTTTCCTCCTCCTGCCTCCCGCCTCTCTCGCCGCGTCCCACACCCCCCCCCCCCCCAATTCCCTTCCGGTCATCTTCCTCTTCCACATTTCCCACCATCTGACCATCTGCATGGAGCCGCTCGATCAAAAGTCCGCCGGAATGGCTGCGGCGGAGAATCCAGCCACGGAGCACGGCGCTCACCCCACCGACGTGCCGCGCCCGCGAGGCTGGATGTACAAGTCCTTCAAGCTCGGTCGCTGGAACACCAGCTGGTACGCCTCGCCGCGCATCCAGCTGGGTATGGTCGCCTTTGTCTGCTTCATGTGTCCCGGCATGTTCAACGCCCTCAGTGGCTTGGGAGGCGGTGGTAAAACCGACACCACCTTGGCCGACAACATGGTACGTTGGCTCTTGGCTCCGTGCAATTCCCATTCTCTCCTTGGCCGTGCTAACCCGACCCACCCCCGCTGCCCAGAACATCGCCCTGAACAGTACCTTTGCCGTCGTGGGCTTCTTCGCCGGCACCTTCGTCAACCGCATGGGCATCCGCGCCGCCCTGTCCTTCGGCGGCACCGGTTACTGCCTCTATTCCATCAGTCTGCTGGTGTCCGAGCACAAACACGTCCCCGGTTTCAACATCTTCGCCGGCGCCTACCTCGGTGTCTGCGCCGGTCTGCTGTGGACCGCCCAGGGCACCATCATGATGTCCTACCCCCTCGAGGAGAAGAAGGGCAGCTACTTTGCCTGGTTCTGGGCCATCTTCAACGTCGGCGCCTGCATCGGCAGCTTGGTACGGCTCCCGTCTACCCCCGCGCCGTCACGAACCCACTAACCCTCCCACTAACCCTCCCGTAGATTCCCCTGGGCGAAAATATCAAGGTCACCACCAACACCACCGTCAGCGACGGCACCTACATCGGCTTCATCGTGCTGATGTTCGTCGGCGCCGTGCTGGCTCTGTTCCTCTGCGACGCCGACAAGATCGTGCGCAGCGACGGCTCGCGCGTCATCCTGAAGCAATCCCCCAGCTGGCGCACCGAGTTCGTCGGTCTGTGGACCACCATCCGCGACAACCCCTACATCGTGCTGCTGTTCCCCATGTTCTGGTCCTCCAACTGGTTCTACACCTACCAGCAAAACGCCATCAACGCCGCCCACTTCGACACGCGCACCAAGGCGCTGAACGGCTTCCTCTACTGGTTCGCCCAGATCGTGGCCGCCGTCATCATGGGGCCCCTGCTGGATCTCGAGCGCTTCCGTCGCAGCGTGCGCGCCAAGGCCGCCCTCGTCTTCCTCTTCGTGCTGACCATGGTCGTCTGGGGCGGCGGATACGCCTGGCAGAAGGGATACACGCGCGAGACCGTCAGCGCCCCCGACTTCGTGCCCACCGACTGGACCCATTCCGGCTACGTCGGACCCATGTTCCTGTACTTCTTCTACGGCATGTACGACGCCTTCTGGCAGGGAATCGTCTACTGGTAAGTGACCGCGCACCCGTCCGCATCTGGAGAACCGTCGTACTGATGCCACTGTCTGCCCTAGGTTCATGGGGGCCTTGGGTAACTCGGGTCGTAAGCTGGCCAACCTGGCGGGCTTCTACAAGGGACTGCAGTCGGCCGGGGCGGCCGTCATGTGGAGTCTGGACCGCGACAAGCTGGCCTACATGTCCGAATTTGCCTCGAACTGGGGCTTGCTCTGCGGATCGATTCTGTGCGCGGCGCCCGTCGTCTTCTTCAAGATCAAGGACCACGTCCCCGTGGAGGAGGATCTCAAGGACACTGGCGAGACGGTGGAAGACGTGCTGCCGGAGGGCCACCCCGAGAAGCGCCAGGTGGCCGGGGTGTAGCGGGCTGCACGAAGCCATGGCGAACGACGGAAGCTCCGGCTTGTTCGTTTTCTTTTCCGTTTCGTTTCCTTTTCTCTCTTCGCTTTTCCTGGCGGGATTCGGGGCATGTATGCGATCGATCTCCGACCCAACCGGCGTGATGTGTCATGTTGATGATACCCGGCTAATACTAATAATGACAATCATCGATCCCTGCGATTCTCGTAGTCTGTAATGATCCGAGGGTGACACGAGGCACGCCCGAGTCCTCGTTTCACCGCTGGCCTCTGCCCCTGCCAAGAAGGGGGCCATTTTCTCCCCGACCGCCACCGTTCGTGTTGACTTCTGGTCTGGAGAATTCTGGAGAATCTCTCGACAACGGTTGCCGTCGGGAGAGGCCAGTTCGTCCTACTCCGTCCTGCCCAGCCGCGCTCCCGATGCTCTCCTCCCGTATCCATCGACCGGAGAAGGCGAGTCATGCCCGACACTTCGACACGACCAACGATCATGCCCGTCCTGTACGAGGCCCTGTCCGGACATTTACATGCGGCCGCCGTTTCGAGCGCCGATTGGACGGCCGATCGGCTGATTTGCATGTCGTCGCGAGCGAGCCATTTTATTTTTAGATTCTTCCTCGCTCGTGTGGATGCACGGTCTATGGCCCTTCGTGTCACGGCTCAATCCGTCACCCCGCGATGGCTCGCAAGTCTATGGGGAAGCTATCGTTCGATCCCACGGCCATTCATCGCTGATGCTATACGAGATTCTCGAAAGCAGAAAGGAGTCGCGACAGCATGGATGGAAGGGGGAAATGACATAAATAGGTCCGTGACCAGCGCCAAAATGGACATATTCATCCACAATCCTCCTCGATTTCGACTGCAGACAACAAGCACGCATCATGAAAATATTTGCATCGTGGCTGGTGTGGCTGGCGGCCGTGACTCCCTTCGCTCGGGCACTGCCCTTGCAAGAGCGCGACGTCAATCTGTTTGAAGAACGGTTCATCAATACACTGGACTACTCGCTCGGCAACGACAGCGTCAAGTTGATTGGCTTCAAAACCGTGCGCATTCCATCCCACGAGCTCAATGATCTGAACGATCACTACGACAGCAACCCTCAGGAATGGGGGAAGCTGTCCAACTACTTCTATGATCGTGCCTCGGGCACGTTTAGAGTCTACTTTCCGGTCGAAGGGGCGCTGGTGGCACACGACGGCCAACATCACGAAGCCAACTCTCTGGGAGAGCTGAACCTGCAGCAAGTGAACGGGGACCTCGCCGTGCTGGGTCGGAAGCAGACCGACCAGGTGACGGGAGTCGAGGGTAACATCATCCGCGACGGCATCATTTTCCTCGACAACGCCCCACGGCCTCTGTCCCAGTACGGACGGGTGTTTGTCTACGATTTCGGGGAGAAGGTCATCCTGGACCACGGCCACGGCCACCAGAAGCGTGGAGACAAGAAATCGTGCATGAAAAACCACGGCGGACCCAACTGCAGCAACAAATTCAAGATCCACAGCAAGAAATGCAAGAAACGGAACGATATCTGCATGGACTACAACGGAAGCTTCTCCACCTGCAAGAAAAACGGACCGACCTGGCGCAACTTTCCGGGCAGCGACTGCGCCAAGGCATTGGCTCGCGGGCACTGCTGGAATGAAGTGATGTAAACGGATTCGAGGAATGATGGTGGGATTGGAAGGATGGGCGAAGTACATACAGGCCTACATACATACGGCTGTGTCAAGAACCGGACGGAGCTGAAGATGGTCTTCTGGAATCTGGGAGGGCCTCAACTTGCTGCATTTGGTCTTAAATCCACATTTCCAACCTTTTCCAAGGTCCCAAGACCAGAGTTCATAGTTTGACTACTAAAGAGGATATAGACTCCACAGACGAGCCGAATGTTCCGGCCTTTTCACTTGCGAGTGATGTGTATTGGTCGTGGAGACTATGGATGAGACACGAACGCCTCCAGGCGAATAGAGCGCACTGCACGAGTCACCACGGGACCCCCGAGGAAATCCAAGTAGTCCACTGCCCGTAGGAATAGTTGCATCTCGCGACGGGGCGAGAACCATGCGATCACCACGTGGGCGGTGGAGACCCTCGTGGCTTTTCTTTCTCCTCCACAATTCCTGCCGATCCACTTTCTTCCATTTCTTCCATTTCGTCCAATTCTTCCATTTTCTTCTCGACTTCGTCCTCACCGGCCAGGCCAACAGCCAACCACGCCCACCTCGCGTACGAGAGTTCCAATAGTCGCATCGGGCAGCGTGGCGGGAATGGGCCCGGCCAAGTTCCGAAGCGACGGACCGGTGGGCCTCAACCAGCTTTTGCCTTCAGGCACCCGAGATGAAAACGGACAAGGAATGGGAGAAGGGGGGCCCAGCAGGAAAAAATAGAAAAAAAAAACTACGGAGAATTCCTGACCATTCCCCCGTCACGGTGTTTAGGTTAAATATCGTCATCCCTTCCGATTTGTCCTGCCATCCGTTGATCGGCAGTCTCTCTGTTGTCTCTTGGCAATTCTCCCCTGCCCTTCCACCCGCCATGGGCTTCCTGTCGCTCATTGATCGGGCTTTGTGTCTGACCGTGACGGCCCTTGCCGTCCTTCAAACCCAGGCCGGAGGTACCTGCAGTGCCGTCCCGACCGTCCTGACCCAGCAAGGGCTGGTCTCCGGCTTCACCCAGGGCAACGCCAACGTCTTCTTGGGCATCCCCTTCGCGCAGACCACCGGCGGCGACAACCGATGGAAGGCACCCCAGCCTCTCGCCCAGTCGACTACCGCGAAATTCGATGCCACCTCCTATGGCCCAACTTGTGCCCAGGCGATGTCGGGCAACGCCATCGTGGCGCAGAGCGAGGATTGCCTGAACTTGAATGTGAGAAGTCGTCACCCTCCAATCATTGCATAGACGACGCAGGAACTGATGACAGGATGCCAGATCTGGACCCCTGCCAACGGGAGCAACCTCCCCGTCTTCGTTTACATCTACGGCGGTGCCATGGTCACCGGGGGGAACAGCAACGCCCAGTGGCAGGGCCATAACTTTGCTCGCAAGGATGTGATCTACGTCAACGTCAACTACCGCGAGTCGGTCTATGCCTCCCCGAATGCCCCCGAGCTCGAGGGCCAGTCACAGAACTTTGGAATTCTCGACATCGAAATGGCGCTGGAATGGGTCTACAACAACATCCAAGGTTAGTGCCCCCCCCCCCCCCCAAACGCTGGCGCTCTCTTCGAACTTTCCGCTGATCAAGTGCAGGATTTGGTGGTGACAAGACGCGCATTGTCCTCGGTGGCCACTCCTCCGGTGCCGTCCACGTCGACCACTACCTTTGGAATCATCCCGACACCTTCCTGGCCGGTGCGATTGAGATGTCGGCCAACGCTGAATCCGGCCCGGCCGTCACCCCCAGCGGCGTTGGCTTGACCCAAGTGGCTCAGGATATGCAGGACGCCGGCGTGTCGCTTAACTGCGATGCCGCTAATCCGACTCTGGACTGTCTGCGCGAAGCGGATACCTACGCTCTGCAGACCACCTTTTTCAACTCGACCTCGAACACCTGGTTCTCCCCCGTGGTCGATGAGATCACTCGCTTCTCGGACTACTCGGCCCGCTTTGCGGCTGGCCACTACCCCAAGTCGCTGCCGCTGATCGTCGGCAACTCCGACCAGGAAGGCAAGATTTTCAGCGTCGTCTACGGCGCCGAAAACGGTGACTTCTCGTCGTGGATCAACACCTTCGACGCCGATTTGGCTTGGATCCCCGACGACGAGCTTCTGGACGCGTACAACGCCTCCGACTACGACTCGGTCGCCCTGATGAGCGGTGCCTCCTACGGCGACGGCCGCTTTCTCTGCGCGACCGACTACCTGCTGGACGTGCGTGCGGCCGAGCAGCCCACCTGGATCTATCGCTGGTTTGGCGACTATGACAATGTGTTGGGTATGAGCGGCATGGGCGCCTCGCACGGCAGCGAGGTGCCCTTCTTCCACGGTGGAAATGAGTGCTTCTCGAAACTCTCGGACGTCACCGATGCGCAGCAGGCACTGGCAGACTACATGAATGACTGGTTTGTCGCCTGGATCAAGAACCCGAGTGCCGGCCCCGGTTGGGACCAGGCGAAACCCGTCAACGGTCCTCTGGCCAAGGTCGGTGTGCCGGGCAATGAATTGGCCATCGAAACGAGCACCACCGGCGAGTTTAACGCTCGCTGTCAGTCGGTCTTCAAGCCTCACTACCCTCAATACCCCGTGGTGCAGAATCCGGTGACCATGTCTTCGTGATATGACTGATTTCTGTCGTTCATTTGTCTTTCCTTGTACTTTATATTCGTCATAGATAGCTTTTCCATACTTATTTTAGTCATTCCCGCCTATGAATACCTAATATTGGTCGCCCCTCATCGCGTCTTACTGCTGGTCTAGCCCGCGGAGCCAAGATCGCTTCTGGGCCAAGAGGCATTTCTCGAAGCCACTATTGAAATTGGAAAATTCCAACACGAGATCCACTATGAACGCCACGCCTCCAACGTGTGGCCGAGGCAGAAGTTTGCAGGCAGAGTGGCCGGAGTTTGACCGACGATCCATGTCAGACCTGGCCCGATGTGGACTAGTGAGACTGCTCGATATGTGCTGAATCTCACGAATGCCGTTTTGTCTCACAACGGTGGAATTGTTTAACCTAAATTACTGCGAGAGTGGGCCACCCAGAAAGCGTCCGGGAGCAATGGCCGAGGCATGAGGGACTGCCGGGATGCTGCTATCGTGACGCAGAAGCCGCTGAGGTAAGGCACTCGAACGTTACATCAACACCCTGCCCATAATCTTTTCATTTACAGATAAACAAAGCCCACAATCCAGCATCGACTGACCTTCATCAGTCCGAGCTTCCACATCGCAGGGACCGGTGTCTCGGAGCCCAGTCGCACTGTTCCCAAGACGGACTGTGGATCCACCCTGTTCCACGGTTCGGCTACCAGCTTTTTGGGCGCTATTGAGCATCATCGAATGACACTGGCCATGCTCGTCTGATACGGGGGAACATCGGGGGCCATTCCAAGCCGGGCCTGGAGGTTTCCAGCGCCGCGATCACAACTACGCTTGGGATGAAAACTCAAATCATGCCAGCACAGGAACAGGAAATCGGGCTTGCCACCGTTCATTAGTCCCTCGAGCCCCGAGGCAAGGCGACGATATGGTCGTCGGGTTTTGTTCACCTTTGTTTCCTGATCACAACCACAGTACAGAGAGTCATCATGGCTCGCCCTGATGTTGGCCAGGTGGTACGGTTTCCGCATCTCTCATCCCACGAGTCTCGAGGCCCGCAACTGGAATGCTAACCCGTTGAATTTCTGGATCAGGTCGCATGGTATGTTTGCACCATCATAGCCTGCGTATTTCTCGTGGCCCGTTTGGTCATTCGATGGGGCCTGTTCAAACGATTCTACGTGGACGACTTTCTTTTGACGCTGTCCGCCTTCTGTCTCATCGCCGATTTAGCGATCCAGCACTACATGTTTAATCTTGGTGGGTGGAATGGCGGCTTCCCTTGAGTGCAGGATCCAAGGACTAATACGAACCCCTTCGCAGGCATGTCCGACATGAGCAACTCGACCAAGGATGAAACAGTCGCCATGATGAAGGTGAGCGATCGTCGCCCACCGTCAACGGACACGGGTGAGATCACTAACACGATCGATCGCAGATGATCGTCCCGGGCTCCACTCTTTATGTGACCTCGCTTTGGCTGATCAAAGCGGGCATGGTCCTCTTCTACAAACGCCTGGCCGATCGGACAAGATACCAGATGGTCTACAACATCACGCTGGTCTTCCTGGGTGCTACGTGGCTGGCCATCTTTCTCAACATCATCTTCAAGTGCTTTCCACCCAACCGTCTGTGGGATCTGGACCATCCCGAGAGTAGGTGTTCCGTGAGGCTGTGTCGCGTCGCGATGCTAACCCGGTACAGGAGCCTGCTCCGATAAGCAGACACGAATTAATTATTGGCTCACCATTTTGTGTACGTTGAATCCATTACCTTTTTTGTTTCTGGCACCCAGGCTAACCATTATTTACCAGTCAACATCTTCAGTGATGTGTTCAGTAAGTCTCCACGGCGGACAGAGTCCATGTGCCCCGAAACTAACCCACGTCCAGTCATCTGTCTCCCGATTTCTCAGGTTTTGAAGTTGAAGCTCCCGAAGAAGCAAAAGATTGGGGTCCTTAGTATCTTCATGCTTGGCTTTTTGGTGGTGATCACGAGCAGTAAGTTGGACCGTAGCATCCACGATTATCTAGGATTTACTAACCAGACCCGTGAACAGTCATTCGCGCCATCTACTCCTACCGCAACGAGCAAATGATTACCTGCACCGTCTCGATGATCGAAACCGCCATCGCCATCATCGCCTCCTGTCTTCCCGTTATGCGCACACTTTTTTTCGGATCGAGGTCCCGAACGGGGACCTACAGCGGTCGACGGGGATATGAGCTGTCCAGCTCGGGACATATCGGCGCGGGAACCAAGCAAAAGGCGACCGTCTCGGCCTCTAACGTGGGGAGTCGCAGTAAAACGCAACTTTCGCGGCACGACTCGGAGGACGAGCTGGTGAGAGAGGGCGCGTCGCCGGCGGTGGATGCGCCGCACTCCGGCATCTCGGTGACGCGGGAATATTTCATCCATGAGGGGGCACGAGATAGTCAGAGCATGCGTTGAATCTAGATTTGTGTCCTCATTAGTCACGTCTGGGAGTGTCCTCACAAATTAAACAGGCTCGAGCAGAAGGCGATGGGATCCGACCGTGTCCATGAGCACGACATTCGCGAGTTGAGGAAGGCTGCCGACGAGGCTGCTGTATGCAAGGGATGGAACAGCCACCAACCTCTGCGAGAATGCTTTCCCGTCTGAGTTTTCTTTTTCTCAGACAAAAGTCATCGTCCAACGTAGTTTGTCGATGTCCGCTGTGCCCGCCATCGTACATAGTATGACAGCCGGTCGGAGTAAGCCCTCGGCCATGAGACTGGGAGACCCGTCGCAAGAAGTGAGATCTGCGGCGCATAGTCTCGGGGGGGTCTCAACGGCAATCTTTTGTGTACCGATTGCCGAAGACTCATTTATTATCTAGGCCAGTCTAGGATATTTACTTAATGTATAGTTTCACACCGTTTTCAGTAGAGCTCCCTGAATTAAGGTTCATGGTTTGTGGCGAAAGGAGTATTAATCTTATATGTAAAAATACATCGGGTGAGGTCGGGACACAAGCAAATGGTATTGTAGTTTCAACAATCCCCAGGGGCCTACTCGGACACTGCCAGATTGAAAAGATGGCCCGAGAATGATAATCCTGCCGAAACTCCATGTCGATAAAAATATATAGTGGGAAGAGCTGATCGATTTGCACAAAGAATATGCGTAGGCTCAAGCAGGCGAAATATAATGTAAGGCTGGACCGGGTTGCTGCTCTCTACCAACTGACCCACTGCTAATGAGAGAGCTCGATCTTATGCAACAGTTCCATTACAAGATCCCAGCACAAATGTCGATTATTCGTTGACATGGCAGGCCAGAAGAATAGAATCGGCAGGGGAAGCGATAAACACGAAATCTGGTGTTCTTTAAGGATGCCCTGGCAGAGGTGTTACGCAGGAGAAGTTGAACGGGAGCAGGACGAAAGTGGTAATACTGTGAAAATTCAAAACGAAGTGCTGTTCTTTATGAAACCGGCCAACATTCAGGCTTCTACATCAAGCATCTATCAAGCTAGGGGCTGGGAGCGAAGTGGGGTCTCAACTCCTCCTTCAGGTTTCCAAATCCGATCCGGGGGCTGTAGTTCGCCACCTCATTGGCACCGAAGTCGAAGACGGTGTAGAACTGATGAAGGAGGGGCGTTCCGATGAGGGCCAGGTCGACAACCTCGCTGTCATCGAAGGGAGGATAGCAGGCGTCGTCCCGATGGGCAAACCCGGGTCGAGCCAGCTGCTCGCCGGTCATCGTCACCTTGGGATCCGTCTCGGACTCGCCAAAGTTCAGCGTCACCGACCAGGAGGAGTTGAACTCCGTGCACAGAGGAATGTGTCCGTTCAGAATGGCGGTCCAGTTCATGCCGATCGATTCGTACAGGTCGTCAATGATGTTGGTGGGGACCTGAAAGTACCCGGACCCGGTGTCGAACACCGCGCGGCCATAGTCACCCAGCGAGCTGGTGGTCGACCGGCTGCTCTGGCCGGCGGTCTTGCCCGTGCCGGTGATAGACGACAATTTCGTGCGCCAGACCTGGAATTCGGCCTCCTGTTGCAGCGGGACGTACGTGAGCTCGCCGTCGACGTACCGGTCCTCGTGCGAGCCGCCGAGGGTAAGCACGCCGGCAGGGTCGGAGCCGGTGGTGTCGAAGTTCGTGCCATAGTAGACGGCAAATCGAGGCTCGTCCAGCAGATCGTTCTGCATCAGGGTTTCCATCAGGGTAGTGGCACCCGCGTCGGCGATGGTGCTGAATGCCAGCCCCAGGAACCCATCGGCCGGAATGAATCTCCAAGAGCTCTGATCCGCCGCCATGAAGGATTGGTTCCAATGGAGACCGTTCTCGCCTTGGGCGTTGGTCGGCAGGCCAAACATGTCGGTGATTCCGGGTCCCGACGTGACACCTCCCGAGTAGTCGATCGTTCCATAGATACCGATATATGACCCGGTCGAGGAGTCCTCGGTACCATAGCCGACGCGCTCATACCTGCAAGGGTCAGTACGGTGCGATCGCCCCCAAGGCAGGCTGAAGAACTCGTACGTACCTACTGCCATTGGGACAGTTCAGACAGCCCTTGCCGACCACCCACGTGGTTGCCGATCCCGTATCGAAATGGAGCAAGTAGGTCTTGGGCGGCGTGCCGATCGAGGCCTCCACCTGAGCCTGTGCGAGGGATGGGTAAGCCGGAGAAATCAGCCCAGGTTTGATGAACGGCGGAGACTTACATAGCTGTTGTCAAAATGAACCGGGAGATCCACCACGGCACCCCAGGCCGACGGGAGAAGCGTGGCGACTGCAGCCAAGGACAATACCTGACGAGACATCTCGGATGGCGGAAGATTTGATAACACCGACGGAGGTTCAGAATAGCGAGGCGATCTGTTTTTCAGAAGTCGAATGGCCATCGCTCCCTTTTATAGTCCGGTGCCATCGCGAAATGCCTCGGCGTCGGCCTTCTTTGGTCAATGAGAATACAGATATTGCAGTGGGTCCGGGTCACTCGAGCTAAATTTATCGAAGCCGAAAGGCCGCCGGATCGTGCTAGTCCAGGGACCTAACTTTCTCTTAAGGCAGATAGGTGAAACACGGCGTCGGGAAGGCGGATTTGCCAAATAGCGGCCGTCGAGTGCTCGACGGGGTCATGACGGACAAGATTGAACTACTTTGAGCCGTTTGATGACCCAGAGTTGAGAGTGATGGATCACATCACACATGCATCTCGATGGCGAAGGGCGGTCCGATGATGGCGGTTTTTACGCATCGGCGACCGTCCAAACCAGTCACCATCCCGGTCAACTTTGATTAATGTCTTGGACAGCTGAGACAGTGTTTCATCGGAGGATTGGAGGCCACGGACATGACAGGACTTCCTGCACGGAGCAAAGTCGTGCCGTTATTTGGTTTCGGGGTGATTGCTGCAGGCCCGTCGGAGAAGACCGACCGCGTTGGTGGCCTGAGGCAGAGAGGGGAGCAAACCTGCCAAACATGCCAAACCCATCAAACCCATCAAACCCATCAAACCCATCAAACCCATCAAACCCATCAAACCACGCAAAGCAGCCAAACACCAAGAAGTGGGACCGTCCGGTTGGCCGAACAGCAACCGATGCGAATAGAATCGAGGATGCGGAAGGATGGGGAGGGAGATCAGAGAGAATGCAGAGAAACCGACCCCGTCACGTAGATTGAATCTTGGTCTATCCAGGGGCACAAGGCGACCTCGTATCACTGTACCCCGTAGAATCGAATGATGTGAAAAAAACCAAAAAAAGGGGGTGGGCCCAGACTGCGGGAAGACCGATGGGCCGATCGGCGGAAAAGGTTCTTAACTCTTAAGCCGGACTTCACCTCAGGAACGTCACCCAAGGCTGAGGTCCAATCCACCAATCAAGCCGCCGTGACAATGGATCCTGCCTCGTTTTTCGATCCGAACCTGACCCAGTCCGATCGGCTGGTCCTTCGGAACCTGCTCGACGACGCCCAGACCAGCGCGTTACGCCCGTCGCCGGAAGGGCCTGACGGAGATGAGAGCAACGGTACGCTGCCTGTCCCCAGATGTTGATCGCAAGCAACACGTCCGGTTTCAAATCCCCCTGACTCGGTCGCTTCCGCCTGCAGTGCGACGTAGGACGGCGGCTCCCCAGGAGACCCCGGATGCCGTGGATTCCGATGCAGGGGCCCTGGACAAGCTGCGGGCCCTCAACGACCCCGAGCACCCGGACTTTGTGCCCACCGTGTTCGTCACCTGGGACTTGGACAGTCTGAATCTGCCCTCCTGGCTACATCGATGGGTGCTGCAGCCCTATATCCGCGTTGCCCGCCGACTCGTGCGCGTGGAAACCGACGTCGTGATGCTGACCCATCTGCTGCTGTACTTCACCACCTCCGTGCCCAGCGCCGTGATGCTGTTCCGGCACTTCACCTGGATCCACGGCGTGCTGCATTGGATCATGCAGTCCTACTACGTCGGCACCTACACGCTGATGATGCACCAGCACATCCACATGGGCGGCATCCTGAAGCGATCCCCCGCCCTGGCCTGGTTCGACAAGCTGTTCCCCTATCTCACCGACCCCTTGATGGGCCACACCTGGAACACCTACTACTACCATCACGTCAAGCATCATCACGTCGAGGGCAACGGGCCCGACGATCTGTCGTCCACCATCCGATTCCAGCGCGACCAGCTGGGTGACTTCCTCTGCTACGTCGGCCGCTTCTACTTCTTCATCTGGTTGGAGCTGCCGCTGTACTTCCTGCGCAAGGGCAAGGTCTACTTCGCCGTCAAGGCGGCCCTCTGCGAGTGTCTCAACTATACCGCCATTTACCTATTCTGGAAATATGTCGCCTGGAAGCCCACCCTGTTTGTCTTCCTGCTGCCCCTGCTGCAGTTGCGCGTCGGCCTGATGGTGGGCAACTGGGGGCAGCATGCATTTGTCGACGAGGTCGATCCGAACTCCGACTTCCGCTCCAGCATCACCTTGATTGACGTTGCCGTAAGTGATCTCGAGTCTCTTCTCCCCCCACAGCTGTCCGGCTCACGTGCCCCCACAGAGTAACCGTTTCTGCTACAACGACGGATATCACACCTCTCACCACCTTCACCCGCGCCGCCACTGGCGCGAGCACCCCAACGCGTTCCTGCAACAGAAGGATCGCTACGCGGCCGAACATGCCTTGGTCTTTCGCAACATCGATTACATCATGATCACCATCCGGCTGCTGCGCAAGGACTACATGCACCTGGCAAAATGCCTGGTTCCTATGGGAGATCAGGTTGGCATGACCCTGGAAGAAATTGCCGCCATGCTGCGCACCAAGACCCGGCGGTTCAGCGAAGCCGAAATTAAGGAAAAGTTCCCGGCCAGCCAATAGGGCCCATATACCCGTCCTCCTGGCCCCCCTTCGTTTGGTCAATGAATCTTCATGTCGTTGACGTGATGCTCATAGACTAGACGTCTCCGTTATATGCTTAGACCTTTTTTTGCCGATAGACGCATGGGTAGCGTCCATGCATGTATATAGATATACATAGATCTCTCGAATTTTAGCAGCTACTATCATGTTGGACAAATACCGGAGCATTAGTTTCGTTTGCGCCATCGTGCTTGTGCACGTTCGACATTCGAGCACCTTTCACTGCTAATCTCTCGAGACCTCCAATGATATTGCCTGTAGATTTCCATTGCTCCGGGATTCCTGTTGGTATTATTTCCCGGCTTCTTTCGCAGACCGTCAGAAGATACCCCAAAGACTTTGTGTTCTATAGTCTCCAAGCCGATACAATGGCAGCTTCGCTGTTACCATCGTCATTAGCACAGTTCACAGTATTCCGTTTTCCCGCTTCAACTGAACTATAATTATTGTACATACATATTGCTCGTATTTGTCATTTTGCGTCTCGGCTTACGGAAGCGTGGTTAAAGTATGCTGCAAGTTAAATTGTGGAATCTTGATTTCGCCCCTAAAAAAAAAAAAAAAAAAAAAAAAAAAGGAAGGCGAATGGTGATATTGCGCTCAATATTGATAAGCATAGCTGTACTAGATAATTAAGGTCTATGAAAATAGGAACCATGGTGTTCATGATTATAAGTGTAGAAAATTAGCATTTTATTCGTGTATCATACGCTCATTCTACGCGTTGAGAAGCAAGCACCGATGGACAGCAGGCAGTATAGGTGAAGACATATGCTCCTGTAGGACTAACGCCGAAGGTATGGGACGACACCGACCTCACTAGAGATAGAGATAGGAATAGCGGGAGGACAGATATGAACAATACGTGAGCCATAATATGTAGTATCTCCCCCATTTTCATACATGTTTAGGATCATGTTGTCTACTAAGATGTAGAATGCCCCAATATCTAGCTGTCGAGCATAGAACTTGACGAGTAGTCCATACTTATTTCGTGGAACCATACGACGAGTTGGAAAGAAGTCAACATCATCTTGCTTCAGTCGTAGAAGAGCCTCCTTCAGCTCTTCCTCGAACGTCAAACCGTAGGGTACAGGAATCAGCGCAAAGTATTGATGTCGATGCATGACTTCTGTGGGGTTGCCAACTTCTAATGATGAACAATAAGTTCTTACGGGGCTACCTTGGCTTCGATCGGTTGTTATTCAGTCTGAATTAACTCCCGGGACACAGCAAACATATAAACTAGTTTAGGGACCATTTATAGGTCTTTGCTTCAAAGCAAGTTGAGAATTAACGCCCATGAAGATCTCTTCCGATGAGCAGAGTAGATGATGGGCAGTTCCGACAAATAAGGAGCCTAATGCGGATAGGCTACCGAGAGATGTCTTGTAGATATGGACTTTTCCATTATACGGGATGTCTATAGCCTACCCGGCAGTATCTTTACGGCACGCGCATATAGAGGAAGAGGCTAAAACCACCCCTGAACTCCTAGAAGAATCGTGCATCTTTCCTATAAACTTTAGAAGCCTCATTCTGAAACAGCTGTCTCGTTAGGAAGGTGGGCTATCTTAGAGCCAAAGGGTGATTGAACATCTCAATGTAGTAGCCAATCATTTTCTCTCAGCACCGAGACTAGCCCGGTAATATTTGATTCGTGTATGCCGCTTATCATGTATCGTTTTTGGCTTAAAGCTACCCATTTGCAGTTAGGCAATCGATTCGGATTGAATCCTTGTGACTATGAGTCGTTATTTGGATTTCTCGAGAAATTGAGAGGGTCCGGAACATACTGTAGACTTCCGGGTCATTGGAGTCGTAGTGCTTGGTGTTAGCTATCTGGCTCCAAGCCTGCTTTTATAACCTGGTCTTGTCAGTCAGCCAAAATTCCGGGAGTTCAGCCGGGGGCACAAGCCATGTATCTCCGTCTCAGGCCCTCCCGGACTTTCCGGCCTACACATCTTAACAAACCACCATGAGCCACTTTCCAACCGGAAAAGTAGCTCGGCAGTTCTAAAGAGGGGTTGCACTAAAGTAAACCCGTCCGAGCATGGCGATCGACAGGCGGAGCAAGACTGACCGAGCATGGTCATTATGATGGTTGAATTGACTGACGACTGAGAACGGCGAGGGAGGATAAGGTCTCCTCCAACAAGCAAGTGGTGCCTACTCTATCTAATTTGCAATCGCACTCTGGCTTGACTTGCCGGATGGGGGCGTGCCATTTCCTGTCGGATCATGTAACACCTCTCGCGCGATCCTACAATGCAGGTCACGCTCGGCCCCGTGCATGTTGTCTCCGAAGAGCTCGGCCACTTGCTCCAGTGACTGGTTGGATGTCTCGGGAACAAAGATATACGAAAATACGGCCGCCCCAAGGCAGAACATCCCGAAAAAGAGATATGTGCCCCAGCCCAGTTTGATCAGCATCTCGGGAACGACAACCCCGATTATGAAGTTGGACAGCCAAATCATTGCCGTCGCAGCTCCGACTCCCTTTGCACGCTTGGAGCTCGGGAAAACCTCGGCTGGCAGGACCCAGGCAAGAGGCCCATAAGACATGGCATATGTTATGACATACCAGTCTGCCATTATGTCAGCGAATCATGCTAATGGGTGGCTTTCGCAGGGGTGCATACAAATTAGCGCCACACAAAACCAACCGATGGCCTGATGGGATGCCCAGTCGCCACTGAACTTGCCCATCAGTCCTGCCATCACGAGATGCGGAATGGCCATAATCAGCCCACCCAAGACTGCCAGCCTTCTGCGGCCAACACGGTCGAGAAACATGAGAATTGGAATTCCCCCTATCAATTGGCAAACATTTACCATACCCGACAGGATGAGAGACATGTCGCTACTCTGGCCCAAGGCTTCGAAAAATGTGGGTGCATAGTACACAAATGCATTTATCCCCGAGAACTGCGGTACGGTCAATCGGCAGTGCAACCACTTTAGAGGGGGTTGCGTACCTGCTGGAAAAAGGGAATGGCTAATGCTATTAGGGTACGGCGGAAGTATTTCGGTCGAAAGAGCCCGATCCACTGTCGGATTCCGGCTATTAATGGCCTAGATGTATAGTCTGGATACTCTAGCAGGAGTATCTCCCTCTGGAATCGCACCTCTGACAGAATACCCTTCCATTCATGTTGCACCTGTTCATCGTGACCAGGACGCTGGCGCAGCCGAGCCAATGACATAAGACTGTCCTCATTGCGATCTCTCATAGCCAGCCATCGCGGCGAAAACGGAAAGAAGTGGATTGCACAGCCTACAACCAGCGCTGGGAAGATCTGTAGCAGGAATGGCAGTCGAAATGCCCAGTCGGTAGATATGGATCTGAGGATGATTAGCCAGGAGTTAAGGGGTCTGCAAGCCATGTGCTAGAGATGGGTGTGCACCTGGTTGCATAGGTAATCCAATATGCCACAATAGCCCCCACCACGATGCTGATGGACTCCAGGACTAACAGGGATCCTCGCCAGGCTGGAGGTGCGATCTCTGAGATATACAGAGGAGCTCCCATGGCCAGAGTACCCACGCCTATTCCTCCAATAAACCTTCCCGCAACCAGAGCATCGTAATTCAATGCCGCTGTCTGGATGATCGCACCCACCACAAAGAATACGGTGGCGACCGTCAGACCCCATTTCCGCGATATTCGATCCGCCACAGACGGGAAGAAAAGGCAGCCGACGAAAGCACCCAGCTCGAGCATTGCGGTCACAAAGCCAACGTGAAAGCCATAGCTGGGACTATCCGGGTGGGTCTGGGGGTAGTATTGCCGGAATTGAGTCATGACCAGAATGATCGAGATGACGCCTTGATCTAGGGGATGAGAAGGCCAGCGGGTTAACAGACTACCCACGGCACCAGAACGCGTCGTACGTACCATAGCCAAACGAAAATCCACCAAAAGAGGCCAATAAAGCCGCCCCAAATACGTACGGCGACTTGGTAATGTCGCGTAGCTGCCCATTGTCATATCGCACCGGAGCCGTCAAAACAGCCAGGGCATGGTCGCTGGCATACTCATTATGAGCCACAGAGGCCTGGTCATTGGGTTTCTCGATATCGATTGAATGCGTCATTGGTATATCTCAGCTTGCCAGGAAGTTGGAGAAGCCAATTTCTTTCTAGACAACTCATAGTATTTATAAGATCCTCGAACGGACGATGGAGATTTGAGTATCGACACCAGCATCGGCGTTCCCCGCATTTTGGTCATTAACCGTCGACGGCTTCTGCATAGACTTAAATCAGCAGGCGACGTAGATCCGGAATGGGGCAAGAGGTTGAGAAAGTCGGGGAAGTTGAAGAAGGAAGATGGAAGATGGAACCTAGATTCAAGGTGGATGGAAAGGCAAGTCATCTGTCACATGATTGGCTGGTCGACCGGAGTCTTTTCGCCCGTTTGGGTAATTCCCAATGGGGTAACCTGCCCCATTGGGCCTGACCCATGCCATGCATCATGACTCATCATCTTATGCTCCTCATGCTTGTTATGCTTGTTATGCTTATGGTCGTCCTGCTCCCTCGAGATAGGAACGTGAAGCCTAACGTTATGTTGCCGTGACTACCAAACTCTTACACTGATCCGCTGCCCGATAAATGCAATCAATTTTGGTTACTTCATCTAGTTTCAAAGCGAAATACATGTTGGTGCAATGTTCAACGTAGAGATATATTTCGACATCCTCAAGTGTAGTGCGGTAAAAGTGTTCTAGAAACCAAACAGCACGAAAACAGGGCTTAAGCAGCAAGATCCCAATATATCATGATCAAATGACAAATGCCCAGCATCCAATCATCTACCAGGGTGCTCTTTAGGTAGCCCCCATCTGTCGCCGCCAAATCTTGATCGGCATTTCCCCAACAATCAAATTGAAAGCTTCGTGGCGAGCTAGTTTCCAGTCCGACGAAGGAAGCGCAAACTCATACCGATGTACTAACGAAGCCAGCACCATTGTCTGTTCAAGATAAGAGATGTTGCGCCCAATGCACCCGCGAGCACCCGCCGAGAAGGGAATGAAATAGGGCTCCATGCGCTTCCGCGCCTCGGCATCGAGCCATCTCTCGGGTCGATAGGTCTCGGGATCGGGGAAGATATCGGGATCGCGATGGGCTGCGTAGATGGTCATCGAGACACTAGTATCTCCGGGAATCCATTCACCCATGATTTGAGCGCCTTCGGGGGGTGTACGTCGCGGGAGCCCAGCCGACGTGGGCGGCAGGATCCGGAGAGCTTCGTCCAGGCAGGCGCGCAGGAAGGGAAGGTTTTTCACCTTATCATGCGCTGCGACAACTTCATCCTCATCGAGAACACTGTCGACCTCCTCTCGCAACGTCTGAAGATGTTGGGGGTTTTGTAGCAGCAGCTCCAGTACTTGCGTGAGGGCGATGGCAGTTGTATCGGCTCCGGCATTGATGATGGCGCTAACCTCCGCCACGATCTCGCCCCATTCCAAGTTGTTGGGCTTCTTCTGCTTGTCTTCCATGAGGCTCGAGAAGAAATCATCCAGTTCCTCCCCGTTGAGATATCGCTGGAGGCGAGTGGCGGCCTGATGGTAAATGACGTCATCCCAAGGCTGCGCCTTCTGCCAGACCTCGCGCCATTTGGGACTCAACTTGGACAGTTTGACGAGCCAAGGGTAGTGCTGATAGTCCCACACAAATGTAGCCTGACCCAATGCCGATTGGTTCTGGGCCTGACGGTATCGGGCTTTGTAGGTCGTGCCGTCCAGGCGCTGTGCCGTGACTTCGTCCGTCCCTTTATCGAGTAGATCCATGTTGGCCGAAAGGGCGATGCTGTTGATCGCCTCAATTGTGAACAAGTTGATCCATTTCCCGAAATCTAACGTCAGGTCTACGGGGCTGGCGATCGCTTGGCCATCGGGGAGAGGTCCGGTGCAATGGTTGTCGAGCGCACGTAGGAGTCGACCGGTGGTGCGAGCAACTTTGAACTCCCATCGCTCCAAGTTTTTGATGGCGAATGCAGCAGACAGAATTTTGCGTTTGCGAGAATGCTCGCTCCGGTCCACCACGTCAAAGAGGTGGGTGTGCGTCCCGCCTAAGACGACGTAGTTTAGGTCTTTGATGCATTTGGTTCCGTGCCCATAAATGTCTCGCACGGCTTGTGTGTCACCGAAGGATAATGAGTTCGGCCCAGTGCGGAGAATAGGAGCCCTTTTGTGAGCCTCATAGAGATCTCTTGAGCGATAGCCGCACGCACTGAGGTATATGTGGCGCAGATCGGTAAAGCCGGACAGGGGAGAGAAGGAGGGGTATTTCCGAAGGCCTTTGCGATCAAGAAAATACAGTGCAACTGGGAGGGTAAAGAGGTAGGCCAGCGCTACCAGGGCTGTCCCGCCAAACACAATGATTGCTAGCATTTTATTGTAATGTTGGAGTGAAAGGGCCGCGAATTGGTTTGCAGGAGCGAGCTGAAGGTAAATATGATGCTTGGATTTATACATAGTCTCACACTCGCAGGGGAAAATTTCCCTCCTCGAGCAGTGGAATATACTTCTTGTTTCGCTATAGACACTCATGGACGCTCTGAATCGAAGAAACGCAGGGTCGTTGCGTTGCACGACTGCTTTCTCCACATGCCGAAAAAGGGAAACTACCTGTTTCAGTAGGAATGCCAAGAATTCACCTCATATGCTCCAGGGCTACACCGAATTTGAATGCACCATGCAGATATCAGAGCTTTCTGGCCTTTCCGGGGAATCCAGACTGCGGGGAAGATGTTTGCGGGGAACTGGGAAATGATACGCCTCCCCCCCACCTCGTCGCATCACGAAGTCTGTTCCCACGCCCTTCTCAGCTGCCCGACGGTTCTTGCCGTCGGCCATGCGTGGTCATATTCCAGCTCATTCAATAACCGGACAATTGCCTGCTGCTCCTCAGAGTCTGTGAAATACTCCCCACAGATGGAGATTCCTACCATTGCCGTGACAGAAGCTGCCGGGCACTTCCCGTTGGATACGGCCAAACCACATAGCCGCCGCGTAATTGTGCGAAGCTCCGCTGCTAGACCATAGGTCCTGGAGACGGCGTTGATCCCAAAGGCGGAGGACTGTCGCGGGTCTGACGTAGCCAGCAAGATGCGCCCTAGCTCCACATGCTGCGCGCCAGCTACCTGGCACGCATTCATGTGCCAGATTTCCGGGAAATGCTTTCCGCTGGAAGCATCGCGGTCGCGGTAGAAAATTGGCTTGAACGCGGGTGGCTTGGACGTGTCCCATCTTTGTTCAACAGACTTCAGGATAGTCCACCGCTCCATGCGCTCCTCAAAGCCCATCAACGGGTACTTGCCAAAGCAGAAGATTAGGAGGTCGGCAACCCAAACCATGACTCGATTGGTCCAGACAAAGTCATTGGCTATATCGGCGATATCATAGTTATTCTCACGAGAAACCGGAAAACGAAAGGGACGGCGATTGAGAAAAGCGTTCCAGATCTCCTGCCGAAGGATACTCAGACAGGCGGAGTGACGTAGTGATGCAGACGGCATAGCATGAACGTCGGGGTCTCGGAGAGGTCCTTGGATTGTCTGGTAGGCGTAGAAGGATTCGTTCTGCTGAGTGTTTACAATAAACTGGATAGCATTCAGGTATGTGTCGGAGTTGCCGATCATAGGATCTTTCAGCTCCGGATTAGCACGGACGCCGTCTTCTCAGAAACAGTATGGCAAGCCTACCATCTATTTGCTCGTAAAAGCGAAGTATCGTAGCAGCGGTCAACACGTCTTCGTTATACTCTTCCGCCGGGTCCCTGGATATTTCAATCAGATGTGAGATGCAAATATCGTGATATCGAATCGCGGCATCGGGGGTCAGGGCTGGCATTGGGATCCCGTTGAAGTTGATTTCGTCGGTAGCTTGTCCTCGGCAGCACGCAAGTCGAGTTAAATGACCCGCCGAGGCAGTAAACACGGCATAACGCAGAACGGGGCAATGCATGGCCCGCTCTGGGACGAAGAGTGCAAAGTGACGGTCCCTGTCACTTGTATCAAACTGATTGCATCAGCTTCATTGGAACGCTGTAGTATGTACATGGCGGCAATACCCAAGGTGCGAGGTTTTCAGCAAAGTGGCGGATAAGACAGGCTTCTTCCAGAGAGAGATACGAGATTTCAGAGTTACTCGAGGGCAGGTCATATAAAGGAGCTTTAGACATGCGATTGGACGGGATTGACAGTGCTTCAGGTGTCATGGAATCGGGGGGCCGGCTGTTTCTCGGTGTTGGATTCCCATCTCGTGGATTACTCCTCAACTGGCCTGGTTCTTGATGAACTATAGTTTGGTTTTCAACATGTTGACCCGACGTGGATTCAAACACCTCGTGCTGTGTATAGGATCTTGTGCTTTCCTGTCCTCCTGGGCCGTCTCCAGGCAACGGGGACGAGCTCTGACTTTTCTGCTTCTGCTTCTGGTGCAGCCCAGGTGTCATGTCAACGTACGCGAGACGGCCTTCTATGGTCACCACTAGCCATTTGTATAATCAGGAAACAGCAGGCACCTACCAGGAGCTTTGGAGTTGACCCATTGCTGGCCCGGCGAAAACTCGTAGGTTCGTTTATGGCGAGGCGCTGATCGAAACCGATATGTCGATGTAGTCGGCTCACACTTCGCTCTAGCTTTGCAGCAAGACTCGCAGGGAATCGCTCCATCACCTGTTGAGTTAATTTGGAATGGTTCAAGGTAGCATATGGCGTTGCGCTCACATCGAAGGTGGTGGTCTGGTCCTCGTCAATCATGGCTCATGTCTGGGTCTTCTATTCAACATACCTCGGCATCGAAGACACGATTTTGGCGGACGGCGCGCAGAAGAGTTCATGGTAGGAGCATCTCTATGCTATTAATCGAGGATGAAGTCACGGTCGGCGTTGCTCTGCGCGGGCGACGCGTGGGGGCTGCCTATGTGCCTGCGGCACCATAATAGTTAACGTATTCCACAAGCGAGTCGGCACCACAAGCGAGCCGGCACCCCAACGCGTTTTGACCGCGATCAAAAACCTTACTCAATTCAACCACTAACCATGCCTCCAAAAGCGCGTCAAAAGTCAGGAAATTCAGCCGAGCAGGAGGGGAGGATTCTATTAGCAATCTCTGCTATAGAAAATAAACAAATTACCCAAATTGCTAAAGCTGCGCGTCATTATAATGTGCCTCGTTCTACTCTACAAGATCGGCTACGCGGAAAAACAAATCGCTCAGAAACACGTGCCAATGGTCATAAAATGACTCAAAATGAAGAGGAATCGCTTGTACAATGGATTCTATCGCTAGATCGACGTGGAGCGCCTCCCCGACCGTCCCATATACAAGAAATGGCCAATATTCTTCTTGCTGCGCGCGATACTACCCCAGTTCAATCAGTCAGAGTGAACTGGGTCTCCAACTTCATTAAACGACAAGATCGCTTAAAAACTCGCTATACTCGACGCTATAATTATCAGCGCGCTAAATACGAAAACCCCAAGATTATCAGAGAGTGGTTTAATCGCGTACAAATCATTATAATGCAACATGGAATTATACAGGAAGATATCTACAATTTTGATGAGACTAGCTTCGCTATAGGCTTAGTAGCTACTACTCAAGTAGTTACTAGAGCTAATTACTACGGAAAGGCCTCTCTTATACAGCCTGGCAATCAAGAATAGGTTACTTCAATCGAGTGTATTAACTCAACCGGTTAGGCACTTCCTCCATGTGTGATCTTTAAAAGAAAGATCCATATAGAGGGTTAGTATCAAGATATCAAACTCCCACGCGATAGCAGGATTGAAGTTAGTCCTAATAGATAGACTACTGATGAGATAAGCCTTCGCTGGCTTAAAAACCTCTTTATTCCGACTACTACTAGTCGTATAACTGGAAGATATCGTCTTCTAGTTCTTGACAGTCATGGCAGCCATCTTACACCTCAATTCGACCAGATATACAGTAAAAATAATATTATTCCTATCTGCATGCCTGCACATTCATCGCATCTACTACAGCCTCTAGATGTTGGCTGCTTCTCGCCTCTAAAGCGGGCGTACGGCAGCTTAGTTGAGAAACAGGCACGCTTGGGAATCAATCATATCAATAAGTTTGATTTCTTAAAGGCCTTTCCACAAGCTCGTGAAAGCGCTTTTCAAGCAGATACTATTCAGAATAGCTTCGCAGGTGCTAGTCTAATTCCACTTAATCCAGATAGGGTACTCAGTAAGCTAAATATTCAGCTAAAGACCCCTACACCACCAGGCAGTCGATCTACCAATACAGCGCCAAAAACGCCTTATACAACTAGGCAGCTTGAAAAGCAGGCATCTACAGCAAAGAAGCTGCTTAAAGCGCGTACGCAGGGCCCTTCATCTTCGCTAGAGATGCGATTTAATAAGCTTATTAAAGGTCATAAATTACACCTTAATAAGCTTATTCTTGCACGCGAAGAAATCCATAAATTACGCGCTTCTCATGAAAAGAAGCTTCAAAAAAAGAAACGCTCTACTAGGCAGCTAGCTATTACAGAGGGATCAGCTATTCAAGAAAGCCTAAAGCAATTTCAGCGCGAGAATAAGGTTGATGAAGCTCAAAATACGCTTCCTCTAGACCCTGCACTTTCTGCAGTTAAGCCACGCGTACGAGCGCCACCACGCTGCAGTAATTATCATATTCTAGGACATAGACGGTTACAATGTCCCAATCGAGTTCCTAATTAGTTTTTATATAGAAATGCAATTATTTCGTTGATAAAGCCTCTAGTATTTGGTCCGCGGGCAGAAATTGGAGCGGGGGTGCCGGCTCGCTTGTGGTGCCGACTCGCTTGTGGAATACGTTATCTCCGATCGGGATTACCTCATCCTCTGGTGGCCTGCAGAATCAGGCATCATATTTGTGCAGGCCCGAGTAGACTTCGGCAGACTATATCCCTTGTGGCCGCAGTGCCACCCACAGTATACTACTTGATTGAATTTATACGCTGACCCGTCGCCCATCGGGGATATTGTAAAACGCGGTCGTCTAGACCAGACTAATAATTTCCTATCCAATATGCCCGGGGGAACTGAGGCTCGGTTCCTGCTGTAAGGGGCAGCCACGAAGGTTCTGTTCCGGGCACTTAGTTCCCTTAGATGGATGTACCGAGGAGTTCGGGACACCTGCGATACACCTGCGGACCGCCTACTACGCACTAAGAGATATAAAGAGTTAAAAGACAAGTATAGAATAAATAAAATTAATTATTTAATCTCTTAAAAATTAAACAGTTAATCTAGTAGGGAAAATCAAGGGATGGTAAACACTATAGAAATAGGGCTATGATTGTAAAAATTTACTAAATAATAAAGATAGATCTGAGGGTTTAAATATATCTTTTACTATATTTTTAGCTATTTTTATTAAATTTATATAAGGCTTTAAAGTTAGTTAAAAAATAGTCTAGTAATTTAAATCTGGTTAATATTTCTAGAAGTATTATACTTAATTTAAATTATTAAATTATATTTATAATCTATTAATTAAAGGTCTATTAATTAAGGGTCTATTAATTAAAAATAATAATTATAATTAGTAAATATCTATTCTATAATAAGCTAAAAATTTATAAAAATTTAATAATTAAGTCTACCAGTGTTTAATTTTATAAAATATTTATAATTATTTATATTTATAATATATCTTAATCCTGTAGGTCCTATAAGATATAAAATATTTAATATTAAAAAATCTTTATTTATTTAAATTTAGTTTTATTAATAAGTTAAAATTCTTAATAAGATCTAGATTAGAGTTGGCATTCAGGACCGCAAAACCCGCATCCGCACTGCGCCGAACCCTATGAGGTGCGGATTTGGTCCCTAGGGGTAGAATCCGCAGTAGGTTCGGGTTCTAGAAGTAGAATCCGTAAAAATCCGCAAGGGACTATTTTCTACAGATCTACAGATTCTGCTATACTGAAAAATTGTAAGGGGCAGCCACGAAGGTTCTGTTCCGGGCACTTGGTTCCCTTAGATAAATATACTGAGGAGTTCAGAACATCTATAATATGCCTATAAACTGCCTACTATATACTAAAAGATATAAAAAATTAAAAAACAAGTATAAAATAAATAAAATTAATTATTTAATCTTTTAAAAATTAAATAAATAATTTCTTTAAATAAAAGATTTTCTGTATATAATATTATTATAAAAATTAATTTTTAAATACCTTAGTGTCAAATGGGGTCACCTGACATCACCTGATTTATCAGAATCACCTGATTTAGCCCCACAACCAAAATTATTCAAAATTCATTACAACTTTACTTTCACTTTATTGAACTCTCACTTCCACCACTAAATTGTATGGGAAAAGTGAGGTGAAACTGAGCTCAATGTAAGCAGAAAATAAAAAAGAAAAATTTCTGAAGAATTTCTTATTTTGGACTAGTTTACCTTCCTAATTAGGAAATCACCGGTTGCTAGAATCTTATAGAAGTCAGAAAACATAATTTAATGAATTTCCTATTTAGGAAATTAAAAGTTTATTTCAATCACTACGATCAATGGCTTTGTTCAGATGATCAATATAAAGGGTCCAGAATGTCTCGCCTATTTATTTTATAAGCTATAAAGTAAATATTGCTACCCTGGTCATTCTGATATTATTTAAATGATTTTATTATAATTTATGTGTTAAATCTTAATTGTTCTGATTATTCTGATCATAAAATCTTGATTATTTGATCATCTAAATAATTAAATATTAATCTAATAATGATCTATAAGGTTGATCTTAAAGGCCTAGATTAATAATATAATTTATAAGTAAAGGCCTAGAAGGATCTGATAATTTTATGTTTGTAATATTTGCTTAGGGCCAGATTAAATTAGCCCTAATTTAATTATCTATAAATATGCAGTTAATGACCTGTATTAATTTATTTTTTTTATTAAGTTGATTTATCCACTTAATTCATTTAATTAAATTTTATTTATTTATTTAATCAATTTCACTAATCTACATACATAGTAAATGGTAGGACCTCTGGTCTATTTATTTCAGATCTAGGTGGTCTAGGTAAACTGTTTACTTCATCTGACTAATTAATTTCATTTATTTTATCTAGTTATTTGAAATTTTTATTTAACCCATATGACTTACCTACCCTAACCCACAGGCCCTGGGGAAAGATATGTGATTTGTATTTAGGGTGCCGAGCAAGGCGGCCTGTGATTGGCTGCTCGATCGGCAATACAACATGGTTTTCCTTTAATTTGTCACATGGTTTTTATTTAGTTTCTATACTCTAATTCCTTCTAAAATCAGATATGATATTAATCAAGTACTTATTTATAATTATTTAAAAATTGAGGCTGGTCCATCGTGAATCACGTTTATAGGAGCCGGTTTTTAGTAAAAGATTATTTTATTAGGGTGCCAATCAGGACAATAACCTACCTATAAATCTATATATATATATCCGTCCCTCCAGATACCCCGTTGCAAGAACTAACTTATTTTTAATCCTTATTTTATATTAAGCTTATTATTCTTTGTTTACGCCAGTTAACCCAGCTATTATAGAATATTAAATTTTTATATAGGTAGAAATATTACTAGTAATCATCTGTAAAATATGCCAGCATAAGATATAGCCCAAGGAAGTTTAGTATTATTTAAAAAATAGAGCCTATCTATTAGTGATATACCAGGATACTATCCAGATTAGCAAAGCAGTTGTGCAGTGGTCTAATCTTGTCTATAAGCCCACTGTAATTAATTGGCCGCAGCAGCTAGAGCAGCCTATTACTAGATTATTAATCTATACTAATAGACTATTATACCAATAGGGCCCCCAGTGCCAGTACGTGACCCGAAATATTA